TTCTTCTACTCGGCCCCCCCCCCCCCCCCCCCCCCCCCCCCCCCCCCCCCCCCCTGGCCCCCCCCCGGTTTCAATCATCATATGGGTCCCGTCTCCAAATCCCGGAGGATGTTCGACCCAACCGAACCGTCTCGTTCCGCCTTTGGCACCGGAGCAGTAGCCGCCCCATTTTGCTGCTTCTCTGCTAGCTGAGGAGCCGGGAGAGGTAATGCAGCAAACCAGAACTTAGGATACTGCCGCTGGATATTGTTGACTATGAGAGCCGTTGCAAGAACCATCGTTGAGGAGAGAAGTACGACGGGTAAGAAATACCAGCGGAGTGCCCATATAACGGGATCGGTGCATGGCATCAGCGCCGTGGCGCCTGCCGGTGGGTGCGTCGTCTTCGTGAGGTGCATCACTATTAGGGCGATTGCGGTCGAGAGGGATGCTGCTAGCCATTGGTAGGTGACGTTTTCCTGATTGTGCAGATTCAGGTCGAATATGGTGGCCACGATGACGCCGGTGAGGGCGCTGAAGAAGTGGCCGAAAATCAGACTCCTGGGCTGGGCAAGAGGTACATCGATAGCACCATATACCAAAATGGCGGATGCGCCCTATACACAATCAGTCGATGAAGATATTGACCAGAGGAAAGGCTTACAAATGAGGCGACAATGGGAGGAACATTACGGCTCGTGAAGTAATCTGTATGTTGAAATATGGCCAATAGGATTGAGAGACCGCAGAAGGATCCAATGAAACCATATATGCAAACAATGAGCGTAGGCGAAGGACCAAGTTTCTCTCTGCGATATCCAAGCCATCGACTGAGCCACGTTGGCAGGCGCGCAATTGAATGTTGTACGTGGCGCTCAACTGGCACCAAAGGGTCCGAGAAATGCATTGCTATCCACTCTTGAAGGCAGAAAGGACAGCAATGGCGAGAGTGCAAAGAAGTTCCCCGCCAGCAGACAGGATCGAAGACATGCGGACCCTATTATCCGCGGCCGTTGATTGCGAATTGTCTGTAGCTCGAAGGTCGTTCAAAAAAAGAAAGAGCCGAGGTGCTTCGGAACGCGGGGAAGTGTCGGAAATATATCGCTGGTGTCCAGAAATAAAACCGAATATGTTTTCCGAACCTCTGTCCTTCCAAGGTTGTCAGGTACCATGGCTTTTACAATGAGCTGACTCTTTAAAAATCTCTCTACGCTGAGGACCTCTAAATCAACCGTAGTCTTGTCAGACTTTTCTGTACGTGCGGCACCCTGAATCTCGAAAGTGATGACAACAATGAAATAATCGAGCACAGACTGGCCAAAAGTTCAGATTGTACGGTATGTGCTTAGCAATAGCGAATTGCAGTTATGTACAAAGTATAGAAATGCGCGCCATTTGCGAGTAGACAAGCGGTCTACATTATCCAAACAATCAATTCGTACACCTCATTTCCGGAGGCACATACTCCAACCCCAATCCCTCAAAAACTTTCCTCTCGGCATCCTCCGGAGTCCCGTCCACGCCTTCAGGTCCCTCCAATTGTATTACTTTCCCAGTTTGTCTGCTTCTAACGCCACTGCTATCAAACTTCCAGCCCTTGGCATGCTTCACATACCGGCGCAAATCTCGCTGGAAAGTTGTGCCACCGCTCCATCCCATTACGGCACAGCCAACAGTCCTCCAAGGAGATAGGATTATGTCGACGCGCCTATGGATATTGGGATTCTTGGCCCTGGGATTGTCTTGAAGGTCCTGCTCGCGTGTAGGCCAATGTGGGTCCTGCCACACGACGAGCGCCTTGTCCAAAGTATCGAAGCCAACGCCGGACTGCTTGGACGTCCGAAAAGGGAGGGTATTTTGACCTCTGTTAGTGTTATTCAGACTCAGGGTCAGAGTGTGTGTGATCCACTCCGCCTCCTCGAGAGACTCAACAATCTCCTTGACTAACCCTGCTGTGGCATTCAGATCGGGATGCGAGACTATCATGTCGACATCGCCCGACATCTCCTTGCCACGGCGGTATCCCCCGACAACGGTAACAGTAATGCGCTCATCTCGCAGTTTGACGGCATGTTGACGGACGACTTCCGCAATTTGTTCAACTTCCGCTCTCGGTATACCCTGTAGGAATTCGTCGTAGTATTTTAATCCGATCTGCTGCACCCGGTCCAACTCATTCCAGCCATATTCAATAATATCATCAAGTTCAGTCCAATGGTGGTTGTAGTAGAAGTTCCTCGCTGTCTTCGCACCCACACCCCAAATCTCGTAGAATTGTCGTAGGACCTTCATGGCTTCGTTATTCTCGAATTGTTCGACGGCTTGTAGTGTACCGGTGTTCTTCCACTCCACCCACATGTTCGCAACTTTAACATCACAGCCTGGTAGCCGGAGAATCTCCCGGGGATTGCTGAATTTGTACGGGTACGCAGCAATACTCGCAATGATGGTGGAGTATGCACGGACGCCAATGTCATCATCAATAAGGATGCGTGCAGTGCGGATCTTCTTCAGCAGCTCAATAAACTCCTGATTAGGTGGATTTGGAGGAGTGAACCGTTGACAAGCGTACTTGATGCCTCTCTTAACCCACTCGGGAGGCTCAGGAGTGTCGCTATCGGTTCCTTCATATTCGCTTGTAGTCTGCTGTAGAAGGTGTGCCGTCCGAGATGCCGCCTGAGCAGCTTTCTGTCCACTCGAAGTGAAAGCCAGCCCTTCGAATCGACGCGAACCATGACCGTCCTTCTGATTGGGAATGTAACTCGAAACCCGTGGAGCATTGCTCGCATCGATTTTCGCCCGCTCAAGTATACTCCGAGCTGTCTCTGGCTGAACGGCGAGCGCAGATGTCGAAGCAGGTGTAGAAGTCGACAGCAGATTCGGCTTGATGAAACCCCGAGTAGTCGAGGGAGGAGCTCCTGGTCGCTCTAGTACTTTTGCTCTATATACCAAGTCGTCCCCCAGTGGCAGAAGTTGGCCGGCTGCAACACAGCGGTCGAGCCAGTCCGCCTTCACGATCCAGACAATGTCATCATCGGCGCAACGTTGAAAAACAGGTGGTGGAGTTGCGGACTTCTTCCGAGATTTCGCAGGTGTAGTGTTTGGTGTCTCACCTACTGCTGTCGACCCACCATCGGTCTCGGTTTCCGTCTCCGACTCCTCGGCGGCCACTATCGCTGATTCATCCTCCGTCACAGAGTCCTCATAATCAATTGTAATCGGCTTCGAAGACGTAACTGACGTTTTTCTTCTCTTGTTTGCTGGACCGTCCGCATCTTCTGCGTGACTGAACAAGCGCTTGCTCTCTTTGATTTCTTTCGCCTCCTCTTCAGCTGGTTCCACCTTGAATTTTCGACTCCTCAACTCAAACTCAGCCCGTCTCTTGGTTCCTACTCGACCAATGAATACTCGGGCCTTTGACGGGTCCGATGTGACAACTGCATGATGCCGGCGCAACCTCACCCCCAGCTCGTGTACTTCCTGGTCATTGAAATGGGCTGAAAGAATAAGAATCGGAGGTATATTGCTGAGGTCAGGTACTGGCCCAGCCGTCGATGAAGACGGAGATGAAGCAAAGTCGTGCTCTTCCATTTCCCATACCTAGGGTAAGGATGTCTAACCAATGCTACACCAATTACGTCATGAAGGTGCAAGTCCAAGGTGTGTGTATTATCAGCCAGTTGGAAATAGAAGCATAGTCTAGTATTGAGACAATACCAATCAACATAGTATACTCTGCCAGAGAGCTAAACTGCTGTGAAAAGATCCGTTGGTCATGGATGAGTGAATGGGTGGGGTTGGATGCATATACACAGTACGCTAGCACGAAGGTGAGATGGCGCTTCTTGGCAAGTTTGCTTAGTTTGACGTTAACTCAACCATTCACCAATATTAATGGCGTGTGTGGTTACCTCCTTCTACTCAGAACCTCATACGGCATCACTTGCTCTGCGCTGTAGTTTGATAGACGGATTACTTCCGTTCACTGCAAGGCCTCCCTATATCTGAGAGCCACCCAGGAGCTGCTGCTCCATTCCTGTCAGCTCACATTCACAAAACAACCAGAAAACTGTGGTTTAACCGTGCAGCACGGAAGACCTACGATACCCAGAACAACTAGCAAGAACGGTGTCCTGAGCCCCTCGATAACCCTACCCTTCACAGATCCATCACTGATCCCCTCTCCATTGCGTTCCCAAGAACTTCCTTTATCCCTTCCAACGGCACACGCGCGCAACACCCACGAACTTGTGATTCGCATTCCTTCTGTTTACAAGTCCACTAAACCTTTTCTTATCTTGACTTTTCCAAACGCGTGAGGTTCAAACGAATGTCTCTCCCTACCGCCGATCTCCAACCTTTGTGGCCAGTCTCTATCCCTACGATTGCGATGGTGGGGGCGCCAGGTCTCGAGGATATAAAGGAGGAGTCTGCCAGGCGAGCCTTGAATGACGCTCTCTCTCTCTCTCCAGCCGTGGATACATAACGTTTCTGTTGGGGACGAGTTCGTTTCCTTCATCCTCCATAAGATATCATGCTTCTCACTCTCTTCAAGAAAGTCGTTCGTTCATCAGCCAATATCCTTAAGGGCCTCGACTCATCTCTTGCACCCTACTCTCTTCCGCCGCCAGTCGAACTCCGCATAATCAACAGTAATACCGCACAACGTGCTTTCTAAGACCGACTAAGCCATGCGCTCTCTTACTCCATTCGTCCTACTGGCTGTAGCGGCATCAGTGACTGCCATCCCAATCACACCCGCCGCACCGAAACTCCAACATCTTGCTGAACAGATGAGATTCGAAGGCGTGGCTGAGGTATGCCTTATGCGAACGCACTCTAGTTAGACCTTGCCCCATCTAACAGCTTTAGCATGATATCGCGGAGCAACTCGCGTTGTCTCCCGAGACAAGTGAGGATCTGCCCGGGCCTCTTCTTTCCCAGCTCCCGTTCCCATTACGTTCCCTTTTCGGCGCCAAAGCCGCTACAGCAGAACGCGACCTCACAGGCGATATCGCACCGGGCTCGCTAGAAGCTCCCCAGATGCTTCCGCGCGCTGCGGCACCGCAATCATTTATCGATAGACTGAAGGCTAAGTTATTGGGTGAAGATTTGATGAAGAGAGAGTTCGGCGTATGAAGGCAAAGAATCCGAAATGAGACGGCCTTGGGGCATGCGGCATTGGGACCCGGTGGGTTATCACTGGGAATAGATCAATTGCTTTGTTTGGTCGTCTAGGCGTAGCGTACCTTTTGCATCTTCAGCTGTGTTCACTCAATCGTGTTGGAAGATATGTCGAGGTTGTTCAGTACAGATAAGATGGCATATTATCACAAATCATGGTATCTTGGCTCATCACTGGTCGATCTTGAAGCCTTGAACCCCAACACCATTTCCTGCTACCCGGTCCTTCCATGAAATCCCAAACGCCAGAGTGTGATAGTAGAACCATAGGACTCCCCGTAGTAATCAATCTTAGACAGAGAAAGTGCCTAGAAATATGTCTCATATGCCCATAGTAAAATCATGTTCTATGCCTGGTGTGACACTGTTTTGATGAGTTAGCAAGGGGGTATTACGACGGAACATCTGACTCACCTAGCCATGAACTTTAGGAACACCACTAGATATTGGTCCACCCGAATAGCGATATCCTCGTCTTCCAAACCACCTTCTACTAGGTCCCAGTCTGCATCCTTGGCATCTGCATCCGGTGCTTTCGCCTGCTCCGTGAGCTTCAGCAGCCTCGTGTCATCTACGAGGCCTTCCATGCCGCTATCGACTTTGCCGACGCCTTTGCCGGCTTTCAGCTTCGCTAGCCGAAGTTTAAGAGCGGCATCTGCACGGTCGAGCAAGACTTTCATGACAGAGGCATGCTTGCAGGGGTGCACTGATGCCGTCTTCACTGCATGATCGAAGAAAGGGAAGTTCTCGATTGTCACGGTTTTGTCCTTGTAATCCCCGACTATATCCTCCATCATCTCCTGGGGCTTCAGCGGTACGGAGGTGGAGCCATAGCCCGAAAGATATAGGCGGGGTGTCTGGTATTTTGCGGAGTAGCATATGTAAAGGGTGTAGGTGCGGACAGGTCTACAACGGTATTAGCAAGTGCATGGCCATAATAACAAGCTCGGACAAGGATGGATGTATACGCACGCCGACGAGTCTTCGCTTGCAGGTTCACGAATGATGGCTTCATCGTCATCGTCGTCCTCCATATCTGGTATCTCGTCTTCCTCATCTTCGGGCGCTCCTAGATTTCCGCTCTCGTCGACAGTTCGGACATCCCGCACTTTTGCTTCCTGGCTCTCAGCCATACCTCCCGTCCTTAGCCATCCGTCGTCATCCGCGTCGCCTTCTCCTGCCAAGCCATCCTTAACGAGAGTGCCGGCTTGTCCGGCTTCCCCAGCAAAGTTGTCATCGAGGCGCCGGCGGCACGGTACGCCGCGAGTTACGAGATACTGCTTTCCTGGCGGGAGGTACGATACTCGCTTCGAGGGTGACGAGGCATCCGCCCATTCCCAGGAGGGGAACTTGAATACTAGGAAGTCACCAGCAAGCACGAACTCCTCGGGCGTTATCTGGCCGGTGGAACGAAAGGTCGAGGTATGGCTGATGGCCGCGGTACGCTCTCGAAACGTGTCTATGTAGGACCGGACGAAGTTGTACGCCATATCGTCGTAGTTGTAGTTGTGTGGACTTCTTGTGTCTTCGCGGGGAGCTACCTTTGCGGGGCAAGTCGGAAGCAGCCTGACCGTTGCGCGGACCGACTCTATTCCGAGAGTAACGCCTTGGCACGTGAATCGTCAGCCACATGAGGCTTTGCATGTCTGGTCATGTCATCCCATCACGAGCAAGACAAATCGAGTCAGATTTGAATGCTTGCACGTCCACGCACGACGGCATTATTGAGTACACTGCCTCCTTCCGGCTTACTACTCGTCAATCATCCATCATTGTCTCACAGGACACACCCTGTGGCGCACTCTAGTTACATGGCTAACACTACCCTCACTTTACCCATTCTCGACCTCGCCTTAGCAGACGACCCCCTGCAAAAGCCCCATCTCCTCGTTCAACTGCACGACGCTCTCTTCAACATCGGGTTCCTCTACATCAAGAACCATGGTGTTCCAGACTATATCATTACCAACCTTGTTTCGATGCTACCAAAGCTCTTCGACATGCCCTTGAAAGAGAAAGCAGCGCTTTCGAAGCTAAATTCACCCCACTTCTTAGGCTACAGTGGTTAGTCGGCTGTGTGTATACGCTTCCCGGTTACTTGTTCTTAAGCTTTTTGGACAGGTTATGCAGAAGAGGTCACTCTTGGTCAGAAGGACCTTAGAGAGCAGTTTGATTTTGCCACTGAGCTTCCCGTCATCTGGAACCCTGATGGTCACACTTCGCAAGATTGTTCAGAACTTGAAGCTGTTCGGAACAAAGACTTTTCCAGATTATATTGGCGGCTACGCGGTCCCAATCAGTGGCCTCCTGAGTCCTATGTACCGGGCTTCAGGAAAGCTTTGACAGAGTTAGATGCCGTAATTGCAGTATAATGGTCAATGATCGGCTAATCGAACCTGAAAAGGTACCATGATGCCCTGCAGGAGCTGTCATACCGTTTCGTACACCTCATAGAGGAAGCATTTGGAATTCCAACTCGCACCTTCGATGCATTCTTTAACCGAGATGACACACAGTTCCATGTACCCCCTCAGCACCGCATCAAGCTCGTGAAATATCCTCCGTGCTCACGAACCGACGGAATAGCACATGCTCAAGGTGTGGGAGCACACAAAGACTCGAGCGGATGGCTTACCTTTCTGCTACAGGTTGAGCAACAGGAGGGTCTAGAGGTCCTAAGTGGAACTGGAAAATGGATCAAGGCTCCGCCAATTCCCGGAACATTTGTAGTGAACTTTGGCAATGCCATGGAAGCAGCAACGGAAGGCGCTGTTAAAGCGACTGTTCACAGGGTCAAGGTCTGCACCCTCCCCATCCCCCTCAAGATATGACACAGGCTCACATTTATGAGGCCCGCACCTCCGAATCATCACCACGGTATTCAATTCCTTTTTTCCAGGGTCTTCCGCTTGATCTCACAGTCTCACAAATCCGGTCTTACATTCCGGAACATGTCAGGAGCCTTCGCCAGTCAGCGTTGAATGCAGAGTCAGAGAAAATCTCCAGTTTCCTTGACCCAAGGTGGGACACCCTCGGGGAGTCGCAACTCCGAAAGTGGATCCGAAGCCATGAGGAGGTGGGACGCAAGTTCTACGGCGATGAAGTCGTCGACTTCTATCTCAATTAGGCTTAGCAGGCTGGTGGAGTAGGAGTCCTTTGTATCTCAGACCACGGGTCTAGTTCGATCCCGGGCTGTCCGTGAAGGTCGTGTGCACCTTCACGCGGTTGAGGTGTTATTCCTACTCAACAATAATGACTGTCCGAACGGTTCTGCTCAAGCACGGGGGCGTTTACTCTGTTAACATGATTGTGGAAAACATCATAGAGAATCATGAGTCCGGAAAAGCCTCTTATCTATCCTCTAAATACCGTATGCAAGCAAGACATCGTCCATAGACTTGTAGGACATAATGACAGTTTTTGTGTCGTTAGTAGATGAGCCGGACTGAGCTATGCTCCTGCTGCTGACAAGACGTGTTTGCAAGACCTCCACACATCTTTAGTCTCGAATCAAACGCTACTGCACTTGTGTTACCAGTTAATACAAAGGCCAAAAGTGCCTTGTTGAACAATCGATCAAGGAAGTGGGCCGCTTTGTAACCCCTTCCATCACCACATACGGCCGATCTCCATCGCTTCCTCGTAGCACTTTGCGAAGCTCTTACTCGGCTCCGATACCAGTCAGAATCATGCTCTTACAGTTTTGTTGCTTCACACTCACCGTCCCACATCTGGCTGTATTCAAAGAGGCCTGGTTTGGCTCGGTTGAGTATCTTGCCCGAGGTAAATACGTCATCAACTATCCCAGAGTATACTGGATGATTGAATCTCGCTCTTCTCAATCAGCAATATTGTTCTCGACATTCCGGGAGATTGCAAGGGGTATGTACAACGTCAGATGCTCTACCTGCTACCCAGGTATTGCGAGCAGATTCTCTTGTGCCCCTGACCGTTGTGGTACATCGTTGATTCTTTCGAACTTCAAAGGTGCGAAACCGAGCTGATACACAAGCTTCCTCGTAACATTGGTTCCCGTCACCGCGACATTGATGTCCACAACTTCTGACATCGAGGAATGTTTCCTCGAATCTTTTACTCACGTGGAGGATATTTGGAATCTAAACATGGCTTCTCTGTCTCCGGTGGCCCTTTGAGATACGCAAATACCTGCACCATGAAACGGACACAGCATGCATTTTACCCCTGCCATCTTGATCATATCGCACAATGCACTGGTTCACATCACCATCGCATACGGCGACCGATGAGAATGGTAGCAATGCCCAACGGCAGTTTGAACCAACTTCACTCTAGTTTTTTGGGGGAGCTTATGCGATGGAGGTTAGGGATCCTACTTAAAGCCAGCATCATCCGCATGGCAAGACGTTCGGCAGCCAAAGGTCTTTCGCAGCTTGTGCAAACCATTGACTCGCCCTGATCTTGCCTTTGTGGAGTATCACTGATTCAGCTGTCCAAGTGTCAATACTCAAGCCGACACTGTCCTCTTGTGATATATCCTCCAAACTCTTCCACGAACAGGCACTTGCCATTGCATGGCGGATCCTGACCCAAGAAGTGGAGACAGACAATCGCGACCTGGACAGCAGAGGCCTGCCCATAGGCATCATCCGCCTACTGTTCAGGTACGATCCTACTCACACGAAGCCTCGTAATTTCATCGTTAACCTTCCTCTCAGGACTGCCGTGCAGGGCAGAATCAGCCAACGACCGGCTCATGCCATGCCAGTCTCTTGAATGGCTCCTCACGCCGCAGTCATCAATCCGCAGCCATGACTCGCTGGCTCAATGAGAGCAGTGCGGATGGACACTGGAACTCGGAGGCTCGTCCGTGATTCGATTCCCATACTCTCATCTCTTCAGAAACTTTCACGGTGAAGGCGAATCCTGTCGCGGGTTACGGATTATGACACTCTCCATTCGCTTCTTTCCATTCGGATAGCTGAGCATCAGTGTGCGCATATGCTGCACTGGCTGTATTTTCCGATTATCACAAACGGCTCAGGGACTATGTATTACCAGCCGACCTTTCTTGTACACCGATACTGCTGATTTTTCTTTTTCTTCGTTCAATCATCAGCTGCGACATTCGTGAATTTACATTGGGTATCGGGGTGGCGCTAGTGCTTTTCCTTTCTGAATCAGTCCTGGACTGCCGCAGTTTCGGTTTCGCTCATGGTTAGGTTCTTAAACGATCGTAGTCTACAAACAGATTCGGGAATACTAGTCTAGAAACGTCACGGCCAGGTCATATGCGACCAGATTGTCGGAAATAGCTTGCGTCTGCTTGACGAAGCGTGACCAGACTTGTACCTGCTACTGGAGTAATTCTCAGATTTCCGGGAATGCCAAATCTTCACATTTGATGTACTATTGAATCGTCACATACTCTTAAGGTGCACGCAGACGACAAGACCTAATGTCAAGATATGCATGGATAGCATTGTAACTTGTAGGCGATGACACGGTCAGCAGAATAAAGCTCGCTCCGTCACAGGAATAGATACTACGCTCGCTCTAACTACCTAAGCAAATGCAAGCAGATACTCCTAAACCAGCTGTATTGCAATTAGTTATAAAATATAAATTTACAGAAGCATCTTGGATACACGCTACTGTCAAGAATGCTCACATAGCATTTGTAACTGTAGCCTAAGACACAATCAACAGAATAAAGATCGCTCCGACACAGGAATAGATACTACGCTTGCCCTAACTACCTAAGCAAATGCAAGTAGACAGTTGTAAACCTAGTGTATCGTAATTAGTTATAAAATATAAGTTTACAGAAGCATCTTGGACACACCCTATTTCTTACAATAAGGAACTAGACCTAAGATATTTGCTAAGATATAAAGCTTTTTTTTTCTGTCACCTAGGTGCTGTACCTGATACGCGGTTGAGACAATTAAGTTGTCCCTTCCAAGAAACAAAGACTAACCAAGGTTTAATATATATAACAAATTCTAGAGAGCCTGTTAACAACACCTTACTTCTCGTAGCGGGAAATAGGCACTGGATATTTGCAAGATGGAATGCCACTCTTCCCGTCACTGCCTTCTGACTACATTATCCCTCCTATCCACTCAGTCAATAGCCGCAGTGAGCCCCGGAGCGAGTGTCGCGCGGTTTGAGCTTGAGGCTGTAGCATAGCCCGCATGCGCGACAAAGGTGCCCTCACAATCCGTATTGTGCCCCAGACCATTCCCCCAATTTGATAACACAGTATCTTAGGTTCGAATTCAAGTCCGTGGCTCGCAACGGATGGTCTCTAGGAGCTGTTAATGTTCCGATGATCCGCTTGTGCGCAGTCGATGACCCTATAATCATCCGATGTAGAGATATGTTTCATTCACAGGCAGCGCGTTGTACCCAACGCTCCTCTTCCCATTCATAGCTCCCCCACGCGCTGCCGTCGCTCCGACTAGTGATTTCTGAAATTCTTCTTCTGGTAGAACAAATCAGTCCTGCTCGAGCCCAAGTTTATGATTTTCGGGCAGCCGTCGCGGTCTTTTTCGAGGCGGGTGCATTCCTGTTCGGATATTAGTATGAGAGATTAACAGAAGAGCTGGGAAATACTTAAATTACAATACATCGCGTCTGAGATTCCTTCGCCGCCGCATACGACGCACTTGTTTTGGTAGTTTCCGAAGGAACATTCATCGCAGATGCGGACGAGGGTGGTAGGGCGGACGTAGCTGTCGCAAACGGGGCATTTGCCGTCGCATTTCTCGCAGAGGCGGCCGATGGAAACTCCGGGTTGCTTGCGGCACATTACGAGATCTCTGAGCAGGAGTTAGCATGATATTCATCGGTTGAGAGGAGTAAGTCGACACTTACGGATGATGGCGAGACATGTTGAACTGTGTAGGCGCCTAGGGTTCGTATTTCGCGTGAACGTGGTCTTTGTTGGTAATGATCGTGCGAATATGCGCGTAAGAGTTGTATGTGTGCGCGAAGCGGCGTTGCAATGGTGATAGTCGTGGTGTCGGTGGCAGAGGTGTACAAGTACATGGGGTGGCGGAGATCTTACATAATCTCCGAGCGCCAAGCCTCTGTGGAAGCTTCGCCAAACTGGTCGCGTCGATCGAGGTAAAACAAACACTGATGGCCATGCACTGACAGAACAAAGTTGCTAAACGCTTATTCGCCAACGTCCTCGGTTCCAGAAACTACCGACAACACATTATCATCTCTCTCAACTATGGACGGCATCATTGCCTCCGCTGTAGTGCTCCCGGAGCCCCAGGAAACGAACCGTTCCCCGAGTCCACCACAATCCCCAACGGGCCAGAAGAGGAGGCAATCATCCGTAGCCGAACAAGATGCCAAACGACCGAGGCTCAACAGCTTCGATGCCGAAGCTAGTAACGGAGGACAACCCTCGTCAAACGCTCAAACGCAGACAACAGCAGTGCCAGCGAGGCGAGAGCGAGGCCGCGAACGAAGGCTTTTTGGCGCAGTCCTCGGTGCCCTATCCCAGAATTTTGCTAGTCCAGCACAGAGAAAACGGTCGGAGATTGAGAAACGGCAACGGGCTCAGCGTGAGCAGGAAGAGCAGGAAGATGGGCAGAGGAAGGCTGAGCGCATTGCACAGCGCAAGGCTCAGCGCCGGATAGAGCAGAAGAGGTTCGAGAGGGAATCGGTATGAGACTTGGGATATCTCGCAATTGCGCAGCTTACCTGTAGGCTTAGATGCGGATTCGACATGCCAATATGCGACACATGGCCCACTTCCTTCGGACAAAGACTGAGCCACAACTGGTATGTTTGCTGCTGCCGGATGGTGTGGCTGGCCATGCAAGATGTGCTACCGATGCTGATAACGTGATGTAGTACTATAAACCCTGGGAAACCACCGAAGAAGAAGACGAACGAATACAAGCCCAAATAGCCGAGGCCGAGGAGACTATTCGCCGAGAATTAGATGAATTACGGTCCCGAGAGAATGCGGATGGAGATCGAGAGCAGAACCAGGAGCAGCCCCGTAACACGGCCTCCGAGTCCAACAAAGATGCACAGCCGTCGCTCGAGAGGGACCAAGATACGTATATGCATGAAGACACGGCTATAGAGAATGGAACGAATGAAAGGAGCCTAAACGGTAGCGGACCGTCACCCGAGGATTCGGGACCAAGGGATAATGAGCATGCAGAATCTGTCACGAATGGGGCGGAGAGAGGAGGACAGGTAGCTGAACCACACCACATATCGGCTACCACAAGTCTGGGTGCGACGTCAGCCGAAGGGAATTTAGAGGCAGATACGAACAAAGAAGCCATGGACGATAACGGAGACGAGATGGTAGAGGCCGCTGAAGATACGGTCATCTACTGAGTTAACCGACACAGCGACGCAATCCTGCTATTAGCGGATGTTGGGCTTCTTGTGTACGGCCTCGCAACGTTGGGTTTGATTTCTTCGCCATCCGCAAAAAAAAGATCTTCATGATCATGATTCGAGGTACCAGATATTCATGATTACGTTTTGCAACCACGGCGAATCTTCTAAGGCGACAGGTCATTTCATTGGCAGCCTTCTCACCGATTGGGAACCTCCTACTCTTCTATGCGACACTTGGGCTATTTTCCTCATTATTACCGAAGGCCACAAAACTCCATCCATTTAGATCGGAGCATCCCCTCGTTCCAACGGATCCAACGTCTACGAGCCCTCCATCGGCAATAACCGTACGGCGCGGTTACACAGTAGCAACGCAGCAAGCACCCAGAGATCCGGGACATGGCAGACGTAGATTCCCTGTGCATCTCAACTTTATGCATCTCAATTGGCAAAAATCCGAATGCACGTCTCGGTGTCGGCAAATCGCGAGACGAGGACCGACAACGAGGCCTCAGGTCGCGCAATGGGTAGACCACATGCAATCAATCCCATACTTCGCTGCCTCTCCCCTCTTCAGTTCAGTACTACGAGAGTTCTACTATTACCAGGTAGCGGTATCAACACGTCCCAAGCCCGCCTACAATCGTCCGTCGTCCGTTCAGTGCTCGCAGATTGCGGAGCCTCAAAAGCGGGTACGACTCTAGTTAGGAGCAAACTGAACCTAGGCGTCGTGACTGCAGAGCTCTGGATCCAGGTTGCTTGCTAATCAGAATGTGAATTGCATATGTTCGAGTCTGTCTTTTCATGATTAGTCTTCACTGTCTTGCTAAGTTGGGCAAATTGGCGGGGAAACCTAGCCTAGGAAGTCAGAACAACCAGCCTCGGCTACTTGGAAGCTATAGATTATGAAGCCATTCTTCAGATGCAGTCAGCCCAACCAGCCAGCCATCGTCCTCTCTGCATAATAGAACCTCCCATCTAATTTTGATTTCGTTTCCCGAGTGAATACAAACTACAAAGCTCCAAGGATTCCTTTTTAGAATTTACCTGCGAGGAGGAGGAAACGACATGCCAGCCATCCGCCCCATCGACCCAGACGGCGACTCGCGCGTCGAGCACAAGACCGCCGTGCTAAATGGGAACACGTATCATTTCCTGTACGGCGTGCCGCCGGGTGGGACGTTTCATGCGACCGTATTTCTGGTAAGTGTGGACTTCTGAATTCAGGGAGTGAGTTGCGCATTTGACTCCTTGCCCTACTCTGACGGGGTGTGTTGGCTGATGCAGACGGATATTTGAGGAGCGGGCTGGCAGGCTGGACGGCTAACATGTGGTCTACAGATTCACGGATGGCCCGATTTGAGTATGGGATGGCGGTATCAGATTCCCATGTTGTTGGATATGGGGTTTAGGGTTGTGGCGCCGGATATGTTGGGGTATGGAGGCACGGTAGGTTGCAAGATCATTCCATTTGGATGTCTACAAAGGTTTGGGCGGTGATATAGATCACGGGGGCTTGTTATCAAGAGTGCGGTTTCGCTCAAGGTGTTGGATACTCTAGAGATATTTCTTATCTACTACGAAGGGCATTGCGAGGCTAAGTGTCAAGTGTAGGACGCACCCAAATCTCCGCCGGAGCCTATCAGTACATACGGCCTGAAACGGGCATCCGACGACATTGCAGCGCTGGCTAAACACATAGGCGCAAAGCAGATCGTGCTTGGAGGCCACGACTGGTACGTTATCTACACGTTCAACTGGCATGAGGGTCCTGAACTGAGTTCTCTGACACTTACTAGGGGAGGTTCCGTCGTCTGGCGTGCTGCTGCGTGGTAAGCAATACAAGAAGTGATGAAGTAACAGGTCCAGACGTATTGACGTCTATGTAGGTACCCTGACTTGATCACTCATGTCTTCTCCGTTTGTACCCCGTACACACCACCGCACCGCAAGTACTTCTCGCTTGAGCAGCTCGTCGCTGGTGAATTGCCACAGTTCCAGTACCAGATCCATCTGGCTTCGGGTGAAGTGGAAAAGGCCGTCAAGGACGAAGCATCTATTCGAGCGTTCCTCAAGGGCTTGTATGGTGCCAAGGGTCCTAATGGCGAGCTGGCTTTCGATCCGGAGAAGGGTATCTTGGTCGAGAATCTTTTCAAGATTGGTGAGAGCAGGCTCTTGAACGGAAAGGTGAGTTGTTCCATCTTGCGACGGTGGACAGAGCCTCAATTCAATGTGCATTGCTGCATACTGGCAGATTGGATCCGGAAGAGACATGGCCGCGTGACCCACATTCGCCACTGCAGCATCTGAGTACTTCAGTGTCCCGAAGAATTTCTGCTTCTACTGCGGTCAATAACGGATCTGCTGACGATGATAGATGCTTGACTACTACGTCAGGGAGTTCTCCCGCCACGGCATCCATCCTACCTGTGAGTGGCGACCCTGTCGTGCTGCTTCGTCGGTTCACTGATCGTGCCACAGTGAATTGGTACCGGACAAGGAGAGCCAATTGGGAGGATGATCTTGCGTGAGTTTGGAAAACTTGCTCATGAGAAGCGGTCAACTGACTCGTTTTGAGACTTCTGGACAAGAAGGTCATCAAGATCCCCGTCCTGTTTATCCAGGCCACTTACGATAATGTTTTGAAGCCCGAAATGGCAAAAAACATGGACGCTCTGCTACCAAATCTTACCAGAGGGGAGGTACCGGCTACGCACTGGGCCTTGACGCAGAAGCCAGATGAGACCAATGCTATCATCAAGAAGTGGCTTGTCAACCAGGGGTTTGGAACCAGGAGCTCGTTGTAGCAGTTTGATAATGCAATACAAGCGGTCAGCTACGATTTTGCCATGGGTGTATCGCAGTGACGTCCTCGTTGTCTCGGTTGACGGAGATAGTGGTGCTTGCGGCTCCATATTGCGATGTCGGCTCCGGCTTTTCCCAGCTTGTTACATCAGCATGTAAACTACCGGTACCGCCGGCACGTGTTTGGTGCTTCCGATATGCAGTGGACCTCACTGCATGCATACATGGAAATCGAGATATGGTCCGAGACAACTGTGGTTCGGGAAGACGAGTGCCGTCGCAAAAACAGAAATCAAGTGGACCGTCAAGTGGCGACGGGTGTTGCTTTCGGTGGACAGAACAAGGGCACAGGATTGTTCGAAGAGGCTTCGACGGCAGCGATTTCCAATTGTCGCTAAGAGCATGAGTAGCGCAAGTCGCCTTCTCATGCATTCTGGACGTACTGAACCTGCGGCAGCCAGTAGGATGGGAGAGCTCGACCCTGTGGTTCGGTGGTGGATGAAAACGAGCTTAACACGGCGATGCTATTGACACGACGGAATGCGGGACCATTTGTCCGGGGCCGCTATTGTGGAGCGCTGGAGGAGCAGGTAGGTAGGGTACCTGAGCCGGTGGGCGAGTCACAGGGCGCGGCGCTGGAAGACAGCTGTTGCTTTCTGCTAAGTTTGCGCTCACCGCTGCGACGGCCAGAGGTTAAATGTCCGACCTGAGTTCGGAACAGACTGGCAGAATAGGCGAGGGTGCAGCTGCTGCAGCGCGGGAAGGCAACGTGAACTCCACACCGCCTACTGGATCAAGTCGGTCGTGCATAAGTGTCGGCTCGTCGTCCCTTGCGGACTGGCAGATGGCTGATGGGATGCGGTTGATGCTCGTATATGGTGGACTGGAGTCCCATGCTAGTGGCTTCTTCCCTAGCGCTGATCGAGGGGACGGCCTGGGATGGTGCAATATCGAAACCTCAGAGGACATTGCTTATCAGTCGGTCACGGAGTCGCATTATTCCATCGCATTTGCTGGCCGGGCGTGTGGATATGGCTGGCTGGCTGCTTGTGAGGGAAGAAGGGAGAGGGATGAAGTGCTGGAGACAATACTGTGTAAGAGGGCACGTTCGCCAAGCCGTGCTTGAAACTACGGTTGCCACGGTTGGCTTCACAGCAGCTCTCATCACGGCGAGACTACATTTCGTCCAGACATCTCCATCTTGACAACACAGCATTGATTACATTACTCCGTACAATTGACGCCCATGGGAAGCAAGATCAGCAGCAGGGCCTGTCGACGGGTGTCGCTGTTCCATTCCGCGGGCCAGCAAACAGCACCGAGGCAGATCTCACGACGAGCTGCACCGGCAGAACCGAGATGCCGTTCGCAACAACGGCCGTCTGGCTCGCCGCCCTCTCATCAACTGCTGTCCTCTGCCCGGCCTGCAATGCATCATGGTCCTTGATAAGCAAGCCTGCACATGGCAAGCCCACCCTCTCCCAGCCTGTCGGGTCCGTGCCTCGAAATTTGGTCAACGCGGCGTCTCGGCAGCCAGTGTTGACTGCCGCCATGCATCTCTCCCCAACCCGCAATTCAACCTCGACTCCTATCCGGCCAACAAGCTACCTGTGCGCCCCCAGACGATATCGTGGTATGCCGCGGTGCCACCGCACCCTCCAGTCATGGAATTTCTCGGTCGCTTGCTGTTGTCCTTGACAGATCGGCCGCCCCGGCCGTTTTTCATGTCCGGTCCCTTGCCGTGCTGGACAGTGTCAAAGATATTGCGGTCCGGCCCCCGCCGCGCACGCAATCCCAGGGCCCCGAGAACGACTACGGAAGAACTTGGCCACTAATAATGGCTTTGCTTCTATTTCTTCCAGAAGACTGCCAGGGCAGTCTCCCTATGCATATTGTCGTCTTGGGTGCTATACAGAGGATGTAGGTACCCATCACAGCGGAGGCGTTGTGCCATCAGTGCTCCAACCACAGACCTCGATCCGACCTCTCCCGCATATCAGCCTGAAGGTCCAAGGTCCTTGTACAGTCCCAGCAATCGTCGTCCTTCTGCAACGACTCGTCACTGCACGCACCACCTCATGCTGCCGGTAGACTGCAGCATCTGGTGAAGCTTGGACCCGCGCTCCGCTGCGTCGCTATGCCTTATCGCCGTTTCACACCTGCACTGTTGGCTGATAGACGTCCTGGGTCCACAGAAACAGCCCATTTTGCAGTCCACCTCCAATGATGCTATCTTCACTTGACCCCTGCGCTACCCCTCGCGTCCGACACCGTCCCATGTACCGGAACGCGAGCGCTTCCAATCCGGTAGTGGTTGGCAGTTATCTTCGAATCCGCAATGGAGATCTAGCCTCATCTATATAGAGAGTAACGGGTTAAAGCAAAGCAAAAGCTACGCGAAGCCGCCCTGATCCACTCACGCAGCGGTATCCATGTACCACCCAAGATTGAGCCGGCCAACAAGTGACGTGGGTCTTTGGAACTTTTCCTGCTACTCGACTATCTCCCCGTTGCAGCGCGGCCATGTTCGCCCCAGTGTCTCTGTTGATCTGGGGACGAGTATATCTGTCTCCGCCCCCGCGCGGGTGTGGGCAAGCCACCTTCCTTCTTCACTTCAGTTCTCAATCATTTCCTGACATCATTCCTTGAATCTCTCGTAATGGCTCCCTCTGCGCTGGCGGATATCTACCCTATCCCAGCAAGGCATTATTCCAAAGCCACTACTATCCAAGCTTCCGTCTTACATGGGGCAAAAGATCTGAGACTGGTCGGCCTCTCCCGTTTCCTTCAACTTATCCCACGCTCCCGACGTTCGTGGGGGGATGATGTGCTTGATCTCGCGGCTAACAGTCCGATTAGGAAACTCGAACCATCACAGATCCCGCACCCAATGAGCTCCAGATTGCTATCAAGGCCACCGGCATCTGTGGGAGTGACTGCTCTTACTACAGCAAATTCCGCAATGGCGACCTCCAGGCTTGCCATCCACTCTCCTTGGGGCACGAGTCCGCTGGAGTCGTGGTAGCCATTGGGGACGCTGTCACTGGCTTCCAGATTGGCGACCGGGTTGCCCTCGAAGTGGGTGTGCCGTGTGACAATTGTCGGTCATGTCAACGAGGCCGATATAACCTCTGCCCAAGGATGAGGTTTCGGAGTAGCGCGAAGTCTGTGCCTCACTTCCAGGGCACGCTCCAGGAACGCATCAACCACCCCGCAAAATGGTGCTACAAGTATGTCATGCATGAGCCGCAAGCGTCAGAAAAAGCAATGAGGGCTGATAAGCTTATTTTTAGGGTTCCGCCGCATGTCTCGCTTGAGTCCGCCGCACTGCTTGAGCCGCTTTCTGTCGCAATTCATGCCTGCCGAAGAGCCTCCATTGAGCAGGGTGACACTGTTATTGTCTTTGGCGCCGGTACCGTGGGGCTGCTAGTTGCTGCCATGGCCAAGCTCTCTGGGGCAACTACAGTATTGATTGCAGATCTCGACAGTGGCAGGGTCAATTATGCCTTGTCAAATGGCTTTGCCAACAAGGGGTACATTGTGAATCCCACGAAACACCTCAACGACATCTCCGAGAAATTCGCTGCTGCCAAGGAGATTGCAGACGACGTTATGGAGATCGCAGGATTGCATGATCCAGATTTCGAAGGCGCTGATATTACCTTCGACTGTACCGGAAAAGAGATTTGCATGCAAGCAGGCCTTTATGTAGGTTCAAGTTCCTCTCCCTTTTGCAAATGCAGCAGCTGATATCTTGAGAAGGCAACACGTCCGGGCGGTCAACTCATCATGGTCGGAATGGGCACTCCCATACAGACACTGCCAATGTCAGCCTCCCACCTCAAGGAGGTTGACATCATTGGTATCTTCCGCTACGCCAACACGTATCCCGTTGGCATGAAGATTCTGTCTTCTGGCGTATTACCCAGTCTCGACAACATGGTTACGCATCGCTTCAAGGGTCTTGCTTCCGCCAAGGAAGCATTCGACCTTGCGACGAAAACTGCCGACAAAGAAGGAAAACTCGTCTTAAAGGTCCTCATTGAGACCTGAGTTAACACACTAGTCACATCTCAGCGCACGTGGAAGATATGGGTGCAGCATTGGGCTTCAATGAACGACTAAGTGACCTTGCAGGTCACCATAACGATATGACGACGATACGACAACTAATAATATAGAAGCCATAGACGTTTTCTTAGGTTTTGGTGTGGAGCTAGGAAGATTGGTGGCACCTTCCATGGGCTAAAGTCGGTTGCCTTTCGCATAGACGGTTTGTGGGTGAACACAGTGGAAGATACCAGTTTGCTTTCAAGTTCAGGCTATAGATACGGATGGGCACAGGGAAACCTCTAACTCATAATGGAATCTTCTATACCAAGCAAGGCTCGTTCTAAGTGTTGATCGTCGTGATATCGGTCAGTGATTACGTCGTGCCTTTCACCGAGTGTTGAGTCAGCCAATTGATGAGGTCAGGCTCGGGTTCTCGATATAATCTACTGCTCATTATGGGCTTTGGACCTATTTCATCTGTCCAACGGACTCTTTCTTGTTCTATCATGGCACTATTTTCAGAAATTCTAACAGGGCACCAATGGTAGAAGGCTGCTTAGTAAGGCAAAGGCTTCCATACGATCGCCCTTACCACGATGTTAGCTCAACAGCATTAACCAAATAGAAGCCTTCATCTATTCAAAAGAAAGTTCATGCATCTGCCCGTGACTTCACTCTGTCCACTCTCTTACCTCTCCATAGGAGGAGGAAAATACACGTGATGCAATTACTAAGCAAATTGCGGAAGAGCTCCCCGCCAAGCCCGACTGCCTGAAGCTCCTGCAAGCTCCAACAACAAAACAACAAACACCCTCAGGCCCTGCCCTTCTACTCCGCTCATTCCTGAATTGACCAAGTTGAACGTAGCCCGAGCGGAAGCGTCCCAAATTATGGCCACCGCAGCGCCAAACCCGCTGTTATCCACCTCTCGCGCCTCCGACACAAGCCCCACCATACAGCTACACCCTCTCGTGCTCCTCACAATCTCAGATTGTATAACGCGGCATACCTTACGACAGCAGAAAGGACCGGTTGCGGGAGCTATATTAGGACAGCAAAATGGCAGGGAAATTACCATGGAAGTCGCGTTTCAGGCGAAATTGAGGGCAGATGCGGAGGGCGAGGTGGTGCTGGATGAGGAGTGGTTTGGGAAACGGTTGGACGATTGTAAGATCAGCCGGAGGCATCTCTGCTGGTTCTAAACCTGATTACTGACTGAGCCGTTATTTGTAGACAGAGATGTGCATAAAGATCCTGTGCTCGATATCGTCGGCTGGTTCACGCTTGGTCCTGCCTCCGGGCCACAGCTAGAACACCTTCCTATCCACAATCAAATCTCAGAGCTGTATACAGAGTCGCCGATACTCTTTTTGTTTCATCCTGCCGAAGCACCGTCGCCAGCTACCGCAGCGGGGAAACTTCCTCTGACACTGTACGAGTCCGTATACGAAAATCCCAGCAATGACAAGGCCATGGATATCGACGGCGCGGCCCAGGCTAAGGCTGTGAAGTTCCGGGAGCTGGTGTATAGCATTGAGACGGGTGAGGCCGAGATGATTGCTGTGGATTTCGTTGCTCGGGGAGGCGGCAATGCCACTGCCGTTGCTCCCGAGGATGCAGTGAAGGCACACTCTTCCTCAACTGACCCCTCAAGCCCGCAAAGTAAGGTCCCATGGATCCTTAGAGGCAAAGGAAAGGGAAAAGAGAGGGCCACAGAGGAAGACACGGCCATCGAGGAAGACAACGCCTTGACTGCCGAAGACGAAGAAAGTATGTATATGTCGAGAGATCCTGCCGTAAAACTAAACTAACGCCACCCAGTCCTCTCCACACTCACAGCAAAGATGAACGCCATCCGTATGCTCCGTCGCCGTATAGCTCTCCTCCGCGCCTATCTGTCCTCCCTGCCTCCATCCTATCTCACCGACCCTTCGCTCCCCCTCAACCCATCGCCAACCCCCGATCATCCCCTCTCACTAGACCATTCCATCCTCCGCAGCATCTCCGCAACCCTCGCTCGCATCAACATACTCTCTCCTCCCGACACTGAAGCTTTCACACTGGAATCCCAACAGGAAGCCTCGGACGTCCAGCTCGTGGCGTTGCTCTCCTCCATCACGAATTCGATATCTGTGGCCAAGGAACTCGGACAGCGCAGTCAGATTGTGGAGAATGTGCGGCATGGGAAGAATAAGCCGCAGTTGTTGGAGCGATTTGCTCCGCCGCCTGGGTTGGGAAGGAGCTGGTCAGGGATAGTGGAGGGGCGGAAGGAGAGTGAGTTGTGGCCGTGAATGGTCACTGGGAAGGTCTTGGCTGTATTGGTCTGCCAATGCGGTTAGAGGGTTGAAAGAGGTGGTCTTTATGGGCTCTGTGCTAGTCCTACACTCGGATATTTAGCACTGATGCCGGGTTCTGGAAGGCGGATGGCTTGCGAAATGGGAATGGAAAGCCTGCACTCAGGCTTTGACCGGGAATAATGTTACAAACGTGCAACATGACAAGCTACCGGAGCTGATGGGGCTAGACGACATGCATCATGATTTATGCAGCATGAATGGCGTTTGGAGGTGCTATGGGTCCCGATCTCTGGGACTGGAATAGAGAAATGCATGATTACGCCGATGTGAATATGCAGCTGCGCAGTGAAGCTGGTGGACGAAAGAGCAAGCGATCCAAGTGTATACAGTTAGCAGAGACTTGAACGAAGCTGAGTGGTCCTACTGTTCTAGCATCGCGATCTCGGAAAGGCAGAAATAGCTAATCAGAATAAGTCCTGAAAAGCGGAACCCCTTCCCAGCCCTATTGAAATGGACCTACAGCCAGCGCGTTGCCACGCTCCAGCCTACATAGAAAGGCGAAACTAGAAATACATTTCTGAAGAAGACAGAACCCAAACCACCGTAACTCCATTCCTTGAATCTCTCCAGCCCTTTTCGAAAAGCACTCCTAAAACCCACCGAATCTCCAAGACCCAAATCCCTTGAATCAGATGAATTCCCTCCCACCATCTCTCTCGACCTCGCAAAAGGGAACCATCACTTCCCAAATGCCGAACGCAGAGCACAAGACTCCTCGAGATACACATCGAAATCGACGCTCCTGATTTCCTCCCAGAACCTCTTAACCGCCTCCTTCAACGTCAGCTCTGCATACTCTCCTCCGCCGCCGCCTCCCCCTCCGCCTCCGTCGTCGCCTTCGCCGGTCCAGCCATCGATATCGGGACCCCAGCCGGGAGCGAAGAAGTTGCCGTTGAATTCTGGCTGCTCACCTCCTTCCTCTTGTTCGTCAGCATAAGCGTCTCCATTTGCAAGGTCATTCGGAACGTCGTTGGCAACCTCATTTGGAATGTCGTCCCCATCCCCACCCACTGCCGCACTCCCCTCGCCATCCGCCTCACCACCACCACCACCACTCTCTTCATTCCACCATGCAAAATTATAATTCGTCGGTTCAGCATGCCACCTCCTAACCTCCTCCTCCCTCTCCTCCCTATACCTCTCCTCATCCGGGCTCCTCTCCCGCCACCTCGTCCACCACACCTCCCCCACCTCCCCCTCCCCCCTCGACAAAATCGGCGCAAACGTCCTCTGAACCTTCCACTCCTCATCCGCATGTTCCCTCTCCAACTTCCCCACACACTCCCTCACAACCCGTAAAACCTCGCTCCTCACCCCTCCCCTCTTCATCTCCGCCAGAAACTTCTCAGCGCGGCGCAACTTCTCATTCCACCCGGACCGCTCGTTCCAAGCTAGCGTCTCGCACTCGCGGCAGGCGGAGGCGAGGTTGATGACGAGCCGGTTCTCGGCGTCGGTGCGCGCTTTGCAGCGGGGTTTGGTGAGGCCGGCGCGCGTGGTGCTGAGGAAGAAGGCGTTGCAGGGCGTGATGTGGGGTTTTGTGTGGTGCCAGCAGGTGAGGCGGTAGTAGATGATTTTGCACATCTTTGGGTGCGGGATTTGGAATGCGAGGGCAGCAGTGGCGGTGATTTTAGTCGCCAGGGCGTTTTGATCTGGGATGTTGGAAGGGGATGGGAGTGAGCGTGGTATGGTGTGGCATTGCTGTGTAGTGGTTCAGTGATGCGGTTTTCTGAGGGATTGTCAGTATGAGATGTGTACGGAGGTAGAATAGACGAAGAAGTGAGGCGGAGAGCATGGGGCAGAAGAAGATGAAGGAGAGGAAGAAGCAAAAGCAAGAGGAAGCTGTTAGAGGAAGAAGCGTTAGTAGAGAAGGCGGGTCAGGTTCGAGAGGAAAACCCGCTGGATGTGAGAAGTCTGGCTCTGAGATAGCAAAGCAGCAGTTGAGGACGTGCGACCGTCGTGGCGGTGTGTCGAAGAAACTGGGACCGTTTGTCCCGGATATGATAGTGCTTGGTGGACGTGTTCCCGATATCGGGGTTTTGCCCAAAGTTAGAAGGGCGATCGTTATCGAGGATGTCGATGACCCATATGCTTGAGTCGATTTGCTTGCTACTCTCTCTAATGGACGGGGCCGGTGCAGCAATGTGGCTTGAAGAAATATCCTGAACCCAAGTCGACCAGAAGTCATAAGAACATTTACAATCTGGCATCGCAATCTCCACCGTGATGTCCTAGCGACTCAGTAACAGATCGTTTTGCTTCACAAGAGGATTCGAGGGAGAGAGAAATTGACTTGTGAGACGGCAGTGGAATAATTGAGAGCACAGAGAGATGACGAAAACGCGTATAACTACTTAACCTGTGAACAAACCTCATCATATACAAGCCTGGTCGAAATTCTACGTCACCCTTCATTCAGGATCGTCAATTGCATCTAACAAGTAACAAGCCTCCGCCGTTGGCAGTCGGCGACGCACTGCGCACGAGTGCAAGTGGGAAGATAATGTTGATGTGTCCACATTTGAGAACTGCGGTGATATTGTTGAAAAAATAGTGTGCGGTCAAAGATAACGAAAACTAGCAGAGAGTAGAAGACAATGAGAGATGCTGGAGTACTGTCGACACAAAGTAGACACCGAAAGCACTAGCGCGCCTCGATGCAACCAGAGGAGGAAAGCGCATCTCCAACGCGTCGTACGCCCGTCTTCGCGATAGCACGTGACTCCATCAATCTGAGAAAGCCTTTAGGAGCCCTCGGATTCGGAGTTCTAGAGCTCCAAACCGAGCAGTGATGCAGGTGCGTATCTCGGCGTTTCGAACCTGTTCATCTCTACCGTCGGCAAAACATCCAACCGACTCTCAAACATCTCGCTTCACTGTCTACGAAACACTTCTCGATTCGAAGTACCCATATCCCTAACGATAACAGAACTGTTATTGGGAAGCTACAGGGTCCAGGGCTCACGCTTAGATGTTCTAGAAAAATTAAGGGATCAGCGAGATCAAGAGACAGGCAGAACGTGGAATTCGAGAACGTGTGGAATGAAAGCAACTAGGTAATTGTCGAGGTTGCAAGCAATCTCGGAAGAATATAAAAGTGTATCTACGCCTACCTGCAGCCTATGTACACAGCAGTCTACTCGTCGCAAGCGCGTTGCATTATCCATTAGCTGAGTCGTCAATTCATGATTACGAGCATTGCGAAAGCGCGCTCTGATACGGTACAAGGTATACTGCGCGCTGGCTTGAACGCTATCCAACAAAATAAACAGCTTTGCACTGTCAGAAGACATGGTTTCCATCGCCAAGTCAATACCGAACAACTGGAGGAAGCGCAGCTTCGTCCTGAATCATAACACCGGTCTTGATCCCCTTCTTCTCGAACTGGTCCATCCAGTTCCCTTGCTTCTCCTTCTTAAGCATCCAAGTGCTGAGCACCTTCTTCAACTTTGATTTATTTTCCTCTCTGACTGCGAGCGTTGGGGGAGCAATGGAGAGTTCCTTGGTGTATGCGTGATACAGTTGGCGCGGAGATGACAGGTCTGCGCTGATCTTGCGCGAGAAATTTGGAGGCTCCAATCGACTACCGTCGTAGCTCATCTTGGGGTACCGGTTGTTCTCGTCGGACTTAGACAGATCCATGTTGGAGATCAGCTCATCGAAGTCCCTAGAAGTCTCCCGGCTATACGGTTGAGGATGACCTTTTCCGAGAGGTGCGTCCTTCGCAACAGGATGACTGCCGGTGTTGACCTTGGAAGAGCTCATATATTTCAACGCCACGGTATCCGAGCCGCTTCTTCGATGCTGGTTACGAGCCGGGGCAGAATCATGCATGTGAGCCTGTGTGCGCATTACAGTCGCTATGTGTGGGCCTGTAGTCTTCAACGTCGCTTCTTTCTGGTTGTTAGTCTGCTGAAGGTCTCTCCAGGTATCCAGACTCGGCAGAGGTGGCAGTTCCCTATTCAGATTCACTTCTGTTTTCTTCGACTTTTCGTCTTCCACAGCACGACCTCTCGAAGACCCAGGCCGGCTACTGTTCCTCGAGCTTGACATGCGCTGTAAGCCCCAACTTCGCCATCCGTGTGACGACGGGCTCCGAACGGAATCCATTTGGGACGAAGAACGACTGTTGGCGGTACTTAACGAGTCCTGCGACTGTCGCCTGCTCAGTCTACCCGATCCTGGAAACATGAGGTTTCTAATACTCCTGGCGCGGCTTGGTGGTCGAGCGCTTGGAGTGGGATCATAGGAGGGTCGGGGTTGGGGCTCTGTATATTGGGTCCTGTTTGATTGCGCATGTTTGGCTTGTTTCTGCTCCATCCTACTGGATCCGCGCTTCGACGTATCTCCCGATGTCACTGACGCTGATGTGGGTGCCGTAGACCCACTGTTCAAATGGGCATCCGTTGATGCCGTATGCTGTGTCTGGACGCTCTTGACATCGTCTGCCTCCACCTGATGACGGGCTAGTGTGGACGATGATTTAAGATTCTTCTTCAGTTCACGCTCACTTCTGGCAAGGTTGGCATACTCCGCGCGTCTGCGTTCCTTGTCCGACGAGCTGCCTCGGTCTCGATGATCGCTAGGGTTGGGTGCTTGATCCGGCTGTCGTCTCCGTGCAGCATTCACCGTGTTTGCGTCAGGATGATGTCCCTCCAATCGCTGGGGTTGCCGGGTGCGTCTACTTTCATGCCTGCCAACTGTTGATTCTGAAGGGGCGCCTGTAGGCCGATGGACCCTGACGTCCTCTACATTGACATTGTGTTCCCTCCGCGTGGCCGGGCCCTTGAAGTCCAGCCTCGGATCCGCATCTTCGAGACCATGATCTGACGCTTTCAAGTTCCGCGCTATGAGAAAGCAGGCAGCGCGAAGTTCCCGCTCGGTATTAGGAGTCAGCGGTCTCCTACAGATAAACTCTGATTCAAAGGGATATGTGATTTCATCGGACTCTCCACGATGTACATGCGATTGTGAAGGCGGGAGCGGGACGGAGGGAGCAGGGTGCGCCGATTCTTGCGACTTATTCGTAGGCGCCTTCTGGGAGAAATAAGCTGAGAGTTTCAGGGGAGACGGGCCAGAGCCACCCACCACAGGCGCCAGATTAAAAGCAAACTTCTTCTTCATATTGGGTATCGCTGTGAGAGAATGGATGCTGTGCGAAATCTATACGAGGGCGCGATGTTCGAGGTATCGATAGCACGCAACAGGGGTAGTCAGTTCAGGCGATAGCTTGAGTTCATCTCAGCGACGTCGGCGGTTCTCTGTTCGACTTGGAGAGAAAAGAAGGACGAAGCCGAAGAGAAAAGGGAAGGCAGACAAGTTACGGCAGGGCAGGCCCGAAGCACCTGGCGTATGGATGGATCCTCTGGGCCTGTCATGGCAGGAGGAAGTCGACGAGTTTACGAGTTTCAGATGCGGCAACCGACGACAAGGGGGCTCAGCCAACGGTCACGAGCCGACGACCAATGAATGGCATTCTTGAAACGGACCAGCCACCACTCTCCCGCTCTAGCCAAAGAGAACATTCACTCTCGCTTGCTCAATAATGAAAACAATGCCCCCTTCCGCCCAACTCTGCTCGTCTTCCCACTTCCATCGGTTTGCTGAGGCAGCCCACAATCCCGTATCTCGCGATGCTAGCTGCACATGTTGTGGCCCATTGCCGAGAAGCATGCTGCAGTGCGATGTCATCCCCCTGGAGACCCTCCCTATAACCTTGGTCTTATTGTCCAATCTTTGTTCCAGAAATCGGGCGGTGTTTGGAATTAAAGACCACTCAAAAACCCCGGCATCTTCCGCAAGAGGCAGCCCAAAGCGGGAAACATACTGAGGCTTCGACGTCTGTTAAATCACTTAGCTTCCCATTAGACGTTAGAAAGCAGTAATACAGAGGAAGTGCAGAGACTGTTCGCCCAAATGCAAAGAGACGCAGGAGACCACGCGAAATTTCCGGCACGTCCGCAAGAGCGAGCTGGAGGTAGGTTCGCTGAATTTCTCTCGCATGTTCTTTACGTCGGACTCTGCAGTTAGGCGCTGCGTCAAAGCGAGACGCCACTACGAGCTGATAGACTCACAACGCTACTCTACCCGCTCGTCTGCCTAGCACAGCAGGTGCCACCCGTACTAGAGAGACAGAAGCGGACAATTAGTGTAACTATTTTGGGAGTCAGGCGCAGACGACATCGTATTGCCGCAAAACGAGAAGAACTTCGCAACGATTATCAGATAGATATCAGTCCGATTTTGAGTCCCTCTCGCTTCTACTGTTAGGATTCACAACCGGAGGAGGAAGGTTGACGGTTTCCGCTGCTCCCGTCATCCATAGCGCCGATACTTTTGACATCCTTTCGCAACTGCAATCGCACCGCAAACTGCAGGTACAGCTCAAATTTGACGGTCCCCAGAAGGTGAAGTTGCAGCACCAGTAGAACTTTGCTCCCTGGCACAGCAACAAGTGAGTAAATCAGCCTGTCCCAAATGAATGGACAAGCACCGCAGAGCGATCACTTCAACATACTCGCAATGCAGATTTCGAATCTACTAACGCGGGCACCGCGAAATCACTGCTAACTCCTATTCTAGAACATCACGGTTTCAAAATGAAAGGATACTAATGCAGCTGCACGATAGTGTTATGCACGTGGCCACTTGCCAGCTGTGAATCGGTCAGGGAAAAATCTCGAGACTCACAGCGGGCCAGAAACAGAGGACATTGGTCGCTCAAGAGACCTAGCTATGCCGAGATTCTTACATGGCGTGGTTTCAGTATTCTGAGATGGGAATATACACTAACACCTGAATGGCGTAGTGGAAGACGCAGTCTTTGTCGCCTGGTTGAACTCAGACTTCGGCACAAGTTCTATACCTGCGCTATCAAATGGTATAGACCTTATTTCTTACAATGTGCAGTACATATCCTCATCTTTTTCCAAATCCCTGAATACATACGACTTGCGATCCTTTGAGTCCTACATCCCCAGTCCCTTCGCAGCGTCGCACATGCCGCCTCGACCACAACACTCATACCCCTCGACACCTCCAGGAACTCCGACTCACATTGTCCACCACGACTAACAACACCGTCATCATCATCGCAGACTCACACAATGTCGACCATGCACAATGTCCTTCGTCCGCAACACTCTACCTCGGCCCCTTTGACCAGTCACCAGCCTTAGCAAAGGCTGAGCAAAACCCACTCAAAGGCCTTTATCCGCCAAACCCAACACAATGTCCACACTCTTACAAGTTCCCCATCATAAAAGCTAGGCGCCTAAAGTACCAAAACGGTTCGGCAAGAAAAATAGAAATCTCATATCTCTCTCCCCTGCAATTGCTGCAGCAGCGAACATCGAGACATCAAAACAGAACTTGACGACAGCAATTGTCTATCCAACCCATGGCACGAACACACTACTATTCCTACCCAACCCACCCTCCACACCCCCCAAACAGAACCTACCCACATCCCGCCCCTGTACAGCCTCATCCTCAATACCATCCCCACCCAAACTCCAGCCGCACTGCATACACCCACTCCCCAAACAACTCCCCATGGCGCTGCGACTACTACAGCCACCCGAGAAACGCAACGTACGAAGTCACCGTGCGGCGCAACGGGTCTCGATGTGGGCAGGTAGACTGTACGCTTTACGATGTCCGAGTAGCCGATATGCGGGATGCGTGGGGGAGGATGAGAGCTGTGACGGTTATTCCTGAGCGTGAGCTTCGGCCTCAGCCGATGTATAGAACGTATACCCAGCAGGGACGCGACATGGAGAGAGGGTATTACACTCCGGCGAGGGGGAGGGAGGAGCGGAGTCCTGGGGGATTTCGACAAGGGATGAGAGAGGGAGAAATGAGAGGGAAGAAAAGGGTAAGATGGGGCACTGTGGAGGTATTCCATTATCGGGATGTGTAGATGGATTATAGTCTTGTAAGCATCAAGTGCTGGTCACTGTGCAGGGCGCAATGGATCCATCAACTTTCTAACTTCTTCAACGAGGAACTGTAGAATAGCCATAATAATCACAATCATCATCATCATCATCACCAACAGCGGCAACTACCTCCCATAACTTATGAATTAAATCAATGCCGTACAGCATACACATTCACTAGCAGCTGAAGAAATTAGGTCGGTTCCCACAGCTTGCATCATATTGGCCAAAATCCATCGTCAAAGGGACAGTGAGCATAAAAAGCTCAGCCAGTCGCCCTAAAGTGCTGTAGCCATTCCCTTTGTGGCAGTACGGACCTCAAATTTTCTTATCTGGCGGCAATGTCCGGCTCCAGAGAGTTGATGCTGTGAGGGCGCATAAACCTACTCTGCCATCCTAAGACCACCCCAACCTCTTAGGCAAATTTCCCCTACACAACCACGCACCCGCTACCGCCGCCACACTCAATGCTCCCATGACTAATCCAAAATTACTCACACTCGTCTCCTCCTTCACCCTGCCAATCTTGGTCTCCTTCTTGCCCGAGCCAAACACCACTCTACTAGCACTGACCCCCTTCTTCCTGACAGGCCCAGCCGCAACCTCGTAATCCTCCCAGTCGACCTTGGACAAAAGATTCTGGTACTCGATAACAGTCCCGGACCAGTTATTCGTGATCTTGCCTTCCTTATTCTTATACCAAGATCCGCAGTTCGGATCCGCAAAACTGGATTTCTGGAGAATGGCCTGGATTTTGTCGTTGAACTCCTTCGTCTTGGACTCCTTAGGCATGAGCGCCAATCTCTCGCCGCGGTTACGCGCGTCCAGGACGGCAGCGACAAGCGTGTTGAGGTACCGTGATTGGGCTTCGATCATCAAGATAATGGAGTTGTGGCCAAGGTTCGTGTTGGGACCGTAAAAAATACCAAAGTTTGGGAGGTAGGGGACAGTAGTACCGTATAGGGCAGACGGGCCTTGCGACCAGAGCTTGTCAAGGGGCCGGCCATTAGTGCCTGTAATCTTGATGGGGTGCAAAAACTCGACCGTGCGGAAGCCAGTGGCTAGCACAATGAGGTCATGCTCATGCGTTGTGGTGTTGCCTGCCTCATCGACCACCTCGATGCCGGCGGCTGTGATACCTTTGATTCTGCCTGTCTCTAACGTAGTCTTGGGGTCAGCGATAGCGGGGTAGTAGTCGTCGGTGATGATGACGCGCTTGCAGCCTGGGGAATAGTTGGGGAGAAGCTTTTCCCAGAGGTCTGGACGATTTGGGACCTGAGCCTGTAGCATGTTTTGACACCATTGGCGGATCTGGTTGGCGAAGTCAGATTTGGCGTCGAAGACAGCGGAGTGGAATGATTCGCGGAAGTCCATCTGGAGGGCGCGGAAACGCCAGCGCAGAGGTGGGACATAGCGAAAGAGGAAGCGGCGGAGAGGAGAGACGGGGCCGTCACCACGGGGGATGACCCAGTTCGGGGAGCGTTGGTAGACGGTGAGGGACTTGGATAAGGGGAGGATTTCGGGAATGATCTGAGCGGCAGTGGCACCTAAGATGTGTCAAATGATTTCATTTTCCCAACCCAAGGATACGTGAAAGTAGCATTGGAATGCTTACCGTTGCCGATGACGCCAATATTCTTACCCTGAAGATCGTAGCTCCAGTCCCAGCGAGCGGAGTGCATGACCTTGCCCTTAAAGCTATCCAGCCCTTCAATATCAGGGTAACGGGGCTGGTTCAACTGGCCAACCGCCGAGATGAGAAAGTCAGTTTCGATCGTGTAGCTGGGACCGAACTCGGAATCCTTCCCGCCGGTGACCTTGACGTCGACCTTCCACTTGCAAGCCTCATCATCCCATCGTGCGGCGTCGACAGAAGTGTTGAACCGGATGTACTTGTAGAGGTTGTATTTGCTGGCAACATTGCGGAGATAGTCCTGTGAAAAACAGATTAGAGATATGAAAGCAGACACTGGGAAGGTGAGGCTTACGAGAATCTCTTCCTGCCCCGGATACTCTCTCGTCCAGTCGGGATTCTGTTCGAAAGAGTAGCTGTAGAGGCTACTCCATACTGCAATCTGTAAAGATCCGTTCGGAACTGGTCTTTGGACGGGTATAACCTACCGTCGCAACAGCATCCAGGATATTTGTTGTCACTGAATCCCATCAGCCTTAGGTTAGGTTATCCAGTGTCGTCATTTCACCCACTGCCATGTTCCACCGACACTAGAGCTCTTCTCCAGAATTATAAAATTCTGGCAGTGGTTGCGCTTGATGAGGTCTATGGCCATGCACATACCTGTTGTATGTTAGACATTCATGAACCAATTATCATGCTGTCGAAGCACTGGGAATACTCCAAACATACCAGAGATACCCGCACCAATAATGACCACGGCAGCCTGCGTATGATCCTTATTGCCGACAGGCACTTTCGGCCAAGGCCTCACGACGGATGATCCCACGGTCATTGTATTCTCTTCTCGGCCTCAACAGATAGCGAAAAGAAAGAATCGAATCTAGAAAACTACCTAGGTAGCACGGTGCCTAAGGAGGAAGAAGGCGGGGAAGGTTTGGAGGAAGGGAAGTTACTCTCCTTATAACTGACAAGCGCGACCGCACTCGAGGGAAGGCCAGATGACGATCCGTTGTCTGATTTTAGCAAATACCTAGGTAAGGACTCAAGACTCTTGACCCCCGCTCCTACTTGGTGGAAGCATAAAGTGGTGATGTAAGCACCTCGGATGTCTACCTACGGAGTACTACTCTTTGGTCATACTCCGCTAGGGCATCGCCACCCGTGAAAGGAAGGTTGAATTTCGGGGGCATGTACCAGCCTTTGCGATAATTTTCATTGCTCAGCTTATACCATGGAGTGAGCTGCATAGTATATTCCGGCTATTCAGGGTCAGTAAGCAAACGGAAAGGTAATTTTGGGACAAGTGTTTTCAACCTCGTCTTCGCTGATGGTGATCATTGTCCCCATGGGGTTGTACTGGTCCGTGCATCCTCCGCATGGATATTCCTCGAGTCAACAGTCTCGACACGTTTGAGAATCGCAAGAATAGCCCCAGAAGGCGCTCTGGTCAAGTGCAGGAAGTATCCATAGCCCCGGAATCTTCGGCTTAATAGTAGTTCTGAGATTGAAAAAGCCGTTTGCCAGAACTTGACACTAGTAGGGGTTCTTTTCGATGGAGGGTTGGAGTAGTAGTAAACATATCAAATCCTCCATGAACGTATCACTTCAATGGATAGATGGTCAGGATTCAAGATATCACCTTTATCTATCTAACCGCGCGGCATTGAAACCTACAGATGACCAGAATTCCCTAAAGCAGAAGCTGAAGCAATCCGCTGATTAAGAAACATAAAGATTGAGGTATCATGAAATAGATGCTCACTGGAGACATATTAATAGACACAGTCTCCAGACAACGCTATGTAAAGATGATAAGGTCATCCCGTTTGCCGTTCATAAGCCAAACCGCCCATGGTGAAATCCGAAAGACTGATATATACGCGATAGAAGCACGAAGCTTCGCAACACTCCCTCGGTGGATGTAGCACTCTCAAGCCCTTGTGCGGGCGCTTCGACGGACGCTGCCTGTAGTAGCTGGACTGGAGCTCTGCGGCAGTTTGTTGTTTGCCTTGCTCTTCTCTGATGCGGCTGATGACGCTTCTACCGGACCCGATCTCCTGGAACGCTCTGCACCCCTCCCTCCTCTGAGCGACAAGGTACTTGTCTCTTCCTTCTCCTCGACGGTACCATTGGCGGTTGCGGTCTGCTTCCTGGACGTCCGTTTCCGTGCAGAAGCAGGTTGCGGTGCCGGCTTGGGCTCCTTTTCGGCTTCTTCGGCTTCCTCCTCTTGGTCTCCATTTGCCGCTCGTTGCGCCGAATCTGGTTCCGCCATCTCAACGTCTTCTGCCGCTTCCTCCCGTTCAGAGCTGGCTTTCTCATTCTCTTCCGCAATCTCCTCTTCTTCCTCTTCTCCGGCATCGTCCTCCGCTTCTTCCTCATCCTCATCACTGGAGACTTCTACGTAGCTCTTCGCCGTGCTGCGTCTATCGCTCTTCCTCCTGGGTTCGCGCGATGACGGCACAACCCTTTCTCCCTCTTCATCTTCCTCCTCGCTATCGTCCGCTTTTCTCCTCCTGGATTTGGGTGTCTTCACCGGCCTTTCGCTCCTCGTTTTGTCTTTCTTGACAGCTTTCTCGGTCTTCACTTTCTTGTTATTCTTCTCTCCACCATCCGTTGCTTTCCTTTTCTTGCTTTTCAGTTCCTTACGCACTAGAGGCTCAAGCTCCTCGGTGATTTCTTCATCGATCCAGACCTTGTCCGCAATCTCCTGTGCGCGCTCATGGGTCTCCAATTTTTTGAAGATTCCCGCCGGCAGCTTCGTGCTGCCCGGCCACGACTGCATACTCCAACCATGTACCTCTTCCCAAATACGGATCAGCGCTTGTGAAAGATCCGAGAGAACATAGAGCCTTTCGTCCGCTTGGGGCGTTTGCGCAATCCCATCTGCGACCCCTTTCACTCGTTGCGCGACGTGATATATGAGGGATATATTATCCGCTATCGCCACACACTTGAGATAAAACAAGATGTACTTGCTCATGACCTTTAGCGTTTCGTTGTCATTTTCGAAGTCGGGATGGTACGCCAGCAAGCTCAGCAGCCGGGCAAACACGAGCTCGAAAGTGATATCCTGCCGCAATGCCAGCGCATGCCGGCGGGCACGGATCCATGTCATGACCCCCTCCAGTATGTTATTGTCGGGTTCGTATGCGAAGAAGAACATAAGGGCATAAAACCTCTGCGGCAGCCTATTCTGGCCGAGATACTTCTTGAGTTTAGCGACGAACCCCTCCCGTATCTCTTTCTGCTTATTGTGAGTGACAAGAGCCAACTGATTGAAGTCTTCGGGCGTCAGCAAGGCGTCGAACCGACGCATACAGGAGAGCTTGATCAAAAGTTGTGCAGCCAGGAGAAGCTGCAGGTTCTTGTGAGCAAGTGGCGTGTTCTTTTTCTTCGAAGCCTCGCCAGACTCCTTGACCATCTTGTTCAGCAGTGAGTACACCGGTTTTGCATATTCCGTGATGTCCTGCTTTTCGGGCGGTAGGGATCGAAGTCGGTTGACCAGGATCTTCAAGGCCCAAGTCCGAGCGATCATATCGTCATCGGGAGATGCCATCCACTCCGACTCCGCGTCTGATGAGGTGTCGTGGGGCCTGAGCAAGACACGATTGACAGCGATATCAACGATAGCATCGGCATCGTCTTCACACGCTTGAGGGGCGAGAAGCACCAGCTGACTGATGGCCGCGAGTTTCGTGAGAAAGTGGTCGCCACCGTACTCGAAACTCTTAATGCTCTTCGCCAGTATTTCTTTCGCACGCATCTCCTTCTTGCTGTCACTATGAATAATGATAGTAATCGCATGTTTGGCAGCTTTGGGCGGCGAGCCGTAGAGAGCAAAATTCACGAAGCTCTGAACCAGCTTGCGACCGTCTTTGGCGTCCAGAGGTATCTCTTTTGGGAACTTCTTAGCAAAGCCGGAACATGCCTTCAGGTTATCCACGGCACCAGGAGAGTTTGGAGAATTGGCAGTCGGCGCGTCGTCCTCCAAAGCCTTGCACAACTCCTTGACATGAGTAGAGAACACCTTTGGGTTATTTGTGGATATCTCTTTCAAAACTTCATGGGCAGTGGCTCCCAGGCCGCCTTCGTCCGTGCGGGAATACGTGATAATGGCAGGAACATGGCTCTTATTGTAACACAGCAGGCTCACTCGGTAGACTAGGGGTATCAGAGTCTCCAGTAGAGAAGAGTTATGACTGTCTTCCAAGCGCCTACGAAGTTCTTTCTGAGACTGGTCAGTTTGCACGCAGAAAGCATGTCGTGTTCCACTCACAATAGACTTGGGGATCTTTCGATACTCGCTTTCGGGTGCCATGCAGAACCGGATGAGTTGGTAACTTCTCCTGTCGTGGGTTTCCGCAAACTTCCATAGGTCGCCAACAACGCGGGACGAGTCAGGTAGCGTCCTTCCATAGTAATCGATCAAGGCCTGAAGTTTCGTCTTAGTGTCCTTAGCCTCATTGCCTGTAACACCACCGTTGTATTCCTCGCATAGCTTGAGGAAAGTTTCCATGAACGGCGCGCCCCTCGCTTGATTTGCCTGTCTGGCGAAGAATACCTTCTTCGCTTTCTCTTCTAGGCCATTGACGAGCACCAGTTGTCGCTCAACACGAATCTTGTCCAGGTCTGCCTCAGTATAGCTGGGTTCAGTAATGCTCTGACTATCCTTGACAATTTGCGAGAGGCCATTAGCGGATGCTTTGGGCTTCATGGGAGGATAGCCGAGAGGTAAGAGCGACTCGAAGAATGTCAGGTCAACTTGCCTGGTAATCTCCAGGTCGTTGACATAGCAAGCTTCTAAGATTCTTGACGGAATGGGCCCTAGCAAGGCTGTGACTCTCTCATTGCCTTCCGCAATAGCGCCCACAGCAACGCCCCAGATCTTCCCTAATAGTTTTATACTCTCGGTATGGATTACATTCCGCTTGTCTTTTACCCTGTCGGCTAAGTTGGAGAGAACAGAACCCGGCTCGGACATGGTCCCATTACGGCCCAGTTTCTGGACGATGTCGTCGAAGTCAAAGTTCTCGATGGTCCTGACAGCCGCGAGGCGAACGCGCTCGTCGCTATCTATCAGGGTCTCCGCAAAATACCTGAGCAGCCGTTCCTCTTCTTCAGACTCAAGGCCCACGCCCCCAGCGGATGTCATCAGTATTCGACCAATGCCCGTCGCCCATGCGGCACGGATAAGCGGGGATTTGTCATGTTTACGCTGTAAGAAAGAATGGTAGGCCCCCGGATATTGTGATGAGAACGAATTGGGTGAGGTGGGCGTGGTAAGGAAATTGTACGGACGGGGCACCGAGGGGGTCAGGCTCTGTGATGGGTACGCTGCAGGATTCAGATCAGGGGGCGGAGGGGGTCCAGCCGCTCCAATTCCTGCGATCATATCTCCAAAAGTCTCCGTTGCCAGTTGTCGGAGCTGAATGTTTTCTGTACCCAGCTCTTCCTGCAGATGAGGGATGATATCTTGTAGAACGCTTGGCGCACATCTCCACAATTCCCGAAGTAATCTATGAGCCTTGTGAGCATCGTTAAGATCCTCCTCGGAAGGTCCTTTCGCGGCGTCGTCTTCGGACTCATCGTCTACGCTGCTTGCCCTCAGTCTTGATTTGTGCTTTGATAGCGCGGTTCCAAGTGAAGTGAAGTCGATGATAACAGATCGGAAGTATGTGCCCACATAACGGGCCATCTTATCCGGACAGGAGTTGCATAGATTCTTAGCCATGTTGTAAGCTGGTGGCGCCTCCTTGCGAAGCAAGGTGGACTGCTTCAAGTCTATAGGGCCACTCTTCTTTCCCTTTATAGCCCCAAGAGATATCGGGTCCGCCCACAGGAACTGCGCCATGATTACATCAACGACGTCCGAGGAGAGGGTCACAGCTTCGTCAATGAGGATTGCCAATACAGCAGTCATATGATGCTCGACATTCTTGCTCAACTCCTCCCCATTTGTCGCTTTTGAGGGTCCAGACAGAACGTCGAAACATGTTCGGAAGAGGGTCGTGGTCAGGTGTCCTGAGGAAGGGATGTCCGTTAGGAGGACAATACTTTTAACTTCGGCGAGGCACTTCAGTACGTATAGATGCTGGCCATTGTACGGGTTCGAAGGGTCTGCAAGTAGGGGGAATATCTTCACGACAATGAGAGTGAATATGTCCTAGGAAGACGTCAGTGTCGTCGAAGTTTATAGATTATCCCTTAACATGCCTTGAGCTGGGCGGCTGTGTACGGCGCATCCGGAGCACATAGCCGGAACATATCGACAATACAACACGCGGTCCACGCGCGCACGCCCGCATCTTTATGATGCAGCAGACTCTGATGGGCCAAGTCTTTTGCGACGGGCTCCAGGGACTCTCGGTCAGCTTCCTCCTGCTCCAAGCCGCGCAACTCCTCGCACAAGGCCTTCAGCCGCGTTAACAGCTCCCCCACACTAATTGGTTTTCCTGGCTTGCCGATAAGCGGCTGTTTGAACTTGAGCCTCTTCAACGAGTCCTCCTCTTCTTGTTCGACAACCTCCGCTGCGGCGCTCCGGCGACTCCGTGGCGCCATCGCGTCTCAGCGCGTGTAGTATTCAGGCAGGTGGCTGGCGGTTGTATAGGAACGGTCGCGGAAGCCGTCGCTGGGCACGGATGGACCCTCGCGGGTTTGCGGTGGCTCGAATTGAGCGTGTTGAGGGACGTGTGATGCGCGTGTGGTAGCTGAAGTGGAGCTTGGGCATATCAACTGGTGAACCTACGGAGCCCTGGAGACGCGCTTCGGCCCGTGACACGTGATGCTAGCCGGTGAAACGCACGGACCATCCAAACGGTATGCTAAGATCGGGGCGACATCCTGCTCCATGGACAGTCACCTTGCCAATACATCCCGGCGAGCTTCAAGATCGACTGTCAAACAACTGTCTCGGCTGTCAGATAACTGTCAAACTAGGTGCATTTCGATGTTACCGGCTATCAGTTCCCTTCTGGGCGAAGATGGAAACTGTGATCGATGAGAAAAACCGACACTCCTAACCGCATCCTCCGCAGGCGGAACTGCGAAATCGATATGATGGAGAGAAAACAAGCTTTCCTTCGGGTTGGTAGATACCTCTCCCACCCATATTCTGTCTCACTCACCGCGAGACTTAGCTGAAGCCAGCTTGTGTTGAGCTTCTGCAGGTGGTGTCCGCCTTTCACCACAAGCCTAACGCGAAGCGTGAGATTGTCCGATCTCTGGAAAGGCTCGTCTCTACTCTCCACGAACTATCGTCAAAACCCGGCTCGCTAGATGCGAAACTTGCTGAGTTTGCCTTTGTTCCGATTTCCCATGTGCTGAGGGCATCCAAACTAGTACCCGTCCGCGCCTTGGAACTCTGCCTCAAATGCACGTCCATTCTCCTGAGAACCGGATGGGACGGGGAGCTGTCTCCTGAGTTGACAGGACAGCTTCTTATCCTATTTACCTTCCTGGCCAACCCTTCTCCTTCAGAGAACGGACTCCCTGCTACCTCCGAGGATCTGCAAGCCAGTGCTTTCCGATGCATGGCAGAGCTACTTACAAGTGTGGCTCAAAGCGACAGAGGGCCCGAGGTGCTCACCGAGACAGCAAATATCCCCACACTCGGAAAAGCCGTATTGACCATGGTTGACAGTTTCTCGGAGGTCCGTTCTCAAGAAGTGAAGAAGGAGGCGCTTGCTGCTTTAGAAACCCTCATTTCGTGCATAACGGACGTTGACGCTCTCGCCAGTTTCCTACCTAGGATAGTCTCGTCCCTAACCAAATTACTCACCCCGAGCATCAGTAACCGACTAAACTTCCGGCTTATCGAGCGTGGGCTGGACATATTGGCTCTCGTCCTTCAGAAAACGCTTAGCGACTCGGATGCGGAACATTTCCCTAGCTCCGAGGGGAGCAGTAGGGTCGTTCGGACGATACCTTGGCTGCATGCCACCGCCGCCCAAATCCAGCTGGCCTTAGCCAACGTTTTAAGGCTCCGAACTCACGATAAGATGGAGGTCCGCCATGCGCTCCTGAATCTTTGTTTGGCCACCATTCGAGAATGCCGCAAATCCCTCTCGGAATGCAGCGGGATGGTTATTGAGACCCTGGTAACTCTTGCTGGGCGAGGTGAAGACCCTGATACGATTGAAACGGACCTCAAGGTACTTCTGTCATTAGACCAAGCACTAGCTTCGCTCTTGCGAGAGAGTCTGCATGACTGGATATTATCACTTCCTCGGCTGATGCAATCTAAAGACGACAGCAGTCGACGGCAGGTCATACTCCAGATCTCGGTGGCGCTGCGATTGCTCAATAGCGCACAAACGGATCTCTCCATGATCGATGATCTTTTGGCTCTGCACCTACGGGACAGCGTCTCAGAAGTCTTCAAAGAGTCGAAGAGCATCGGCACTGTCGCTGAATCTGTGGTGCAAACGGGCCATGCCGTTGTTGTAGGAAATACGGGCTCCACGACATTCCAGCCCCTCACTTTACGATTGAAAGGACAAGAAATCATGATGAACGAGTTCAATATGCTCCTCCGGGAGCTAGCGAAGTCTGACTCCGCGCTCGTGGTTGCGCAAGACTTGATTGACGCTGTCGACTTCGGCAGTGAAGATATGCAGATTGCTACCTTATGGCTTTCAGTCCGGCTGCTACAGTGCGTCTCTGAACGCGACGAGGCAATCGACGATTTCTTGGACTTTGGGAATTCGAACCCTCGTCATGAGCTCCTCGACCAGCTCTACTCCCTTTCGATCGAAAGGTTGACGGCCTCAGCCGCCGAAGGCGAGCCGCACTGGCATATACAAGCTCTTGCACTGGAAGTCGTCGCCTTACAAGCACAGAGGTATAAGATAGACTTCCGTGTTGAGCTGATCGAATCCCTGTATCCCGTTTTGCATCATCTAGGAAGCCCGAATCCTGGTTTACGGGCTCACGCAATGACTTGCCTCAACATCATGGCAGAGGCATGTGACTACGCCGATGCCAGCGACCTCGTAGTGTCCAACGTCGACTATATCATCAATGCCGTCGGTCTAAAGCTAAATTACCACGACATCTCACCGCAAGCTCCCCAGGTTTTGCTCATGATGCTACGGCTGTCTGGTCCGTCCCTCCTGCCGTACCTGGATGACCTGGTTGGAAGCATCTTCTCGGCTCTAGAGCGTTATCATGGCTATCCTAAATTGGTCGAGCTGCTATTTGCAGTACTGAAAGGGATGGCAGAAGAAGGAATCAAAGCGCCACAACTTGCTGTCGAAGGCCCCGCACAACAACTATCCCATTTCTCTAAAACAGAAAGTGTGGCAGATGTGGTATCCGCGCTCAAGAAGCTAAAACGTCAAGCACAGAGAGACGATGAGGAGCACGAGAAGGTCATGGAGTCCTTTCCCAGAAGACCATGGAAGGAAACACCCCATGACGCAGAAAACGAAGAGCATATGGAAGACACCTCTCAAGAAGACAACCAAGCCGTTCAACAAGCCGAACCGCAAACCCCAGCTCCCAAGACCTTCGATATCCTCCTCAAAATCTCCGAACTCACACAGCACTACCTGACCTCCTCATCTCCCACCCTCCGCAGCTCCCTCCTTTCCCTGTTGAACACCACCATTCCCGCTCTGGCCAAACACGAGAACTCGTTCCTGCCACTCATCAACACTCTCTGGCCAGTCTTGCTTCCAAGGCTCGGCGACCCAGAAGCGTACGTTGTTTCAGATGCTCTGTCTATCATGAGTATGATGTGCATCCACGCCGGAGACTTTATGAAAAGTCGCATTGAAGGATGCTGGGACGAGTTAAAGAGCATTCATAAACGGAGCATGACTTCGAAAACGGCACAAAAATCGACGGGAAAGAAGACGCTAATATCACCATCAACTAAGAGGGAATCCCTAACATCGGACTTACTCATCACACAACAAGCCCGCGATGCAAGCGGCACCGATACGATCAAATCCTACACCTCACTAGATACCTATCAACCGGAGAAATACATCGACACCCCGACGCGCATGATCCGCGAAAGCTTGATTCGCCTCCTTTGCAGCATCGCGCAGTACGTCGGCGTCCGCGAAGACTTGTTCGACGATATCGTCGACATGCTAGATCCGGTGCTCCAGAGGCAGGATGTAAAGGAGGCGCTGGAGGTGAGGAATCCGGATGCCGTATGGCTGCGGCTATTGAGGAAGAGTCGACTCTCAAGTAAGGGAAATATGGGAGGGGAAGAGATCGTCGACAAGGATTGTTTTATAGGAAGGATGCCGGTGGGGAAGCCGCAGTGGCGGTTTGTAATGGTTTAGAATGTCTCTGGGAGACTGTGTTGGAGATGGGGTTAATATGTGGATATGTAGTATGATCTTGTATTGTAATAGGCTACCTAATTGTATCTGGATAACATCACTGCTGCTCCACCTTTCGTATGGTGCCTATTGAGTCGTTCTGGAGTATTTCGCACTTAAAGTGATTTTTCCTCCAGTAAGAACAAATATCATTTACTGAAGGAGGATGCTAATGAAGTAGTCCTACTGGTGATTCGTATAGTTTAAAAAGTCTCCCGAGGAAGAGTCTGGCTTGGTAGACCTGATCTATGCTGATAGTTCTATGCTACCGTCTAGATTCACATACTGCATGTATTCAAATGCATCCAGCAATGGCTTTAATGCTACATTGACCCTTGTGAAAGGTCTGTAAGGCTTTGTAGGATACTTTTGTCTCTTGAGCTTGGTTCTATAATTTACCCTCAGTGCTGTCACAATCCTGCTCGATTCATCTATTTATACATCCAGTGTTCTCAATGCTCCCTTGACTCAGTCTTTGATCAGATGCTCGTGATTTATTGCGTCGAGCATTGCGTCTAGTATGTAACGACATCTCATGTCCAGTTCAACAAGCCTTGCACAAAACACCACGAAATCGTTTTTCACCATCTAGCGCCATCCTGGATCCCCTCACCGGATTGCCTATTATTCTATCGATGATGACGTGACTTCATCAAACATCTATACGCTCCATCCAATCCCTATTGTACACAACCCCGCACCATGCTATCCACAAGTGCTACCGACAGTAAGGATATCATACAACAACGACAGAGCCTCCAGAAATCTTGCTCGCTCATTGCTCGCTCAACGGTGAGTAGCCATCCACAGATCCCACTGCCGCTCTGAATCTAGAACCTTCCTCAACGGTGAGTAACTCCTCAACCTCCTTTTCGTTCTTCACCCTCCATCATCACGCAGACGGCCTCGTCCGCAGCTGCACACCATGCCACCCCTTGATCTCCTCCGCCAATACCGAGTTGACGAGTTTATGCTGCTTGACGACGCTGAGACCTTTGAATTTTGGCGACTCAATCTCCAAAGCATACATGGAGCCACATCCGCCGCTGATATCCTGGACCTACGCAGAGAAGGTGGTCAGTTGATATACGTCCGAGTAAGAAAGAAACACATAAAAGGTAGGCCTCTGTCAATGTGCGCACATGTGTGTGTCTTTGTGCATGAACGACCCTCAGCCCTACCCCACCAACTGGCACCGACCCCGCAAATTCTCGTATGAATAGGAGGTGGGCTGATGTCGTGCATGAGGTTGAACCAAAATTCACTGAAGCGAACCAAGACGTCTTATATTCACCGATCGGTCAGGGCCCGCGCCAGCACAGCACAGCAACCCCACTGCACTGTGAAACGGGCGCAACACCGCAACATGTCTCCTTTCGCCAACGCATCTGCTAAGAGTGCGCGTCCGCAGCCTCGCAACCCATCAAGACGACATTATAGGAGCATATTGCATACCTCGAGTTTCACAGGCTCCAGCTCCGCCTTGATCTTATCGAAGATGTGGCGCTCAGCATCGTTCAAATAGTCTGGCGGTTCGGGCGCAGTAGCGGGCTGCGAGTATGGTCTCGTGAGAAAGAAGGGTGCCGTGGTGCCACTGCCCCGCAGGAGCAACTGTCGCTGCTGCCGTCTACCGCTATCGTTGAAGCGATTTGGAGAGAACAGTCTGGAATCGGTGTGTATAGCAGCTAACGAGGCGGCGGGGTAGCGGTTGCAGCAGATATTGCGTATACGGGATGGGGTGGAAGGGAGGAGGTGGAGGTGCGGAGGTCCGCGTCGTTGGAAAGGAGTTGCGCTGCGCAACGGCAGAAGTGCTCTAGAAGGTGCCATGAGGTGCTGCTGCTTTTACGTCAATACGGTTCTTGTTGTTGGGAACGGGCGATGCCACAATTGCGTCGAGCCACAACTGTTTGATGCTTACAGATTATTTGTTTGTTTGATGCAGAAAGATTCCACTTCGGAGAGGTTCTTTCGTCATGGGTCCTAGCTTTTCCCGCTTACTTAACGTGTTCGATCACTCATCCGCCAGGATCACTCATCCGCCAGCCCCACCAAAATCACGACGCGTCTTCTCACAACACTCGCGATGCCACCTCCACAACATACTCAGCAAGCCCTAGACGAAGGTAGACTAGCTCTAGCTACTGCTGCCCTTCAAAGGGATAAAAAATTATGCGTTAATAGAGCCTCTTGTCTATATAATACTCCTCGTTCAACACTTCACGGTCGTCTTGCAGGTAGCCTACCACAAGCTACTGCTAACGCACAAAAACGAAAGCTATACCCTACAGAGGAGCAGGCCTTAGTAGATTGGATCCTAGACCTCGACCGACACGGATTTCCACCCCCGATTATCGATGTACGATGAATGGCAGACAATCTACTTGCCATATGTGGCCAAGAACCCCCTCCTCAGCCAGTTGGTGAGAAATGGGTGTCCTATTTTGTCAACCGCCAGGCAGAACTCCAGACAAAGTGGAATCGCAAGTTCCACTCACAGCACACGAGATCTGAGGATCCAGTCACGATTCGTACATGGTTCGAGCTTGTAGAGGAGACACGTCAGTTGTACGGCATCCTCGACATAGATATCTACAACTTTGATGAGACTGGCTTTATGATGGGGATTGCTACAACGTCAAAAGTCATCACGAGCTCTGAGGTAGTCGGCCGGGCAGTAACTATACAGCCAGGTGACCATGAATGGGTAATGATGATTGAGGGGATCAACACCTCTGGCTGGTCTATCCCACCTTTCATAATCCTGCTCGGAAAACTACATCAAGCAAGCTGGTATCAAGGCCTCCCACTCGACTGGGTTATTGCCATTAGCGATAATGGCTAGACGACTGATGAGCTTGGCCTTGAGTGGGTAAAGCACTTCCATCAACATACAGAGTCTTATACAGCAGGAGCCTACCGACTACTTATCCTTGATGGCCATAGCAGCCACGCTACACCTGAGTTTGACCAGTTCTGCAAAGAGAACAAGATTATCACGCTCTGTATGCCACCACATACATCGCACCTGCTACAGCCACTCGATGTTGGCTGCTTCTCATCTCTCAAACGTACATACGGAAATCAGGTAGCTGAGCTTGCATGGCAAGGCATCTTCCATATCGATAAATAAGACTTCCTACAGATATACCTAGGTATTAGAGAGACAGTTATCTCAGAGCAGAATATACTGGCTAGCTTTCGGGTGACAGAGCTAGTCCCAGCCTGTTCAGAATGCATCTTGTCGTCGTTAACAGTGGTCAGGATGCCATCTCCACCAGGGACAGCGGCCAACACTGAGGTCGTATGGATGGCAGAGACACCACATACTATTGCTCAGCTAGAGCAGCAGGCTCGACTTATCCAGGACCGCCTTCATCAGCCTTCTCAGAGTCCTACTATTCAGGCTATCCGCCAGCTTGTCAAAGGTTGTCAACTTGCAATGAATTCAGTAATGATCCTTGCAGAGGAGAATAGGAAGCTTCGATAGGCTAGTCAGTGCTGGCAGCGTAAGGAGCAGCAGCGCCGACAGTATATAGCCCGTGGAGGAGCTCTATGGGCAGAGGAAGGTCAATTGCTTGCTATAGAGGCTGAAAGGGTGCTCCAGCAGGTAGAGCAGGCGGGGCAGCCAAGTAGGCCTCGAGCACCACCAACCTGCAGCAAGTGCCACGAGCAAGGCCACAAGAGGACTCAGTGTACTACTAGATAGCACGCATCTAATAGATCAAATTTCTATATATTTTATTATGTGGTTGTGGAGCTATTGGCAGAAGATGCGTCGTGATTTTGGTGGGGCTGGCGGATGAGTGATCCTGGCGGATGAGTGATCGAACACGTTATACCGATGGGTTAGTCAGCATTGGGGAGTCAACCAGAGCACGCGTCTTTCAACATTCACTATTCCTCCCGCCTCCTCAGCTACCCTTCTTCTTGCTTGTTCTCGCTGGAGATCCTGACCTCAAACATCCCTAGGTCAGATCCACCCGCCTCATTGCCACCTCAACAACATAGCACTAGAGCAACATGATTCGCTCCTCTAACGCCCTCAGTGTTGCAACATCTGCAACAATGGGAGCCATGAGGTGACAGTGGTGGCACGGCAATCGGGAATGTCATCGGGAATGGGAGTAGCCGTCACGGCCACGATACCATTACTGTGTATAGCTGGACCCCGCAACCGCCCATTTGCACCAATCATATCCTTTCCCTGTCGAAGTACCTACAAGTACCTCTGCGTACATCACCGTGGTGGGCATAAGGTGATGATATCAAAACCGTTCTTGGTGTAACACACACCCCTCGGCTTCATCCAAGTCGAGACCGAGAGACCCTGAATGCGAGATAGCTGCGTGTCTGGGTGCCCCGCACCCCTGGATGGATGAATAATGGATTGAGGCCATCCTTATCGCGCATTATGGCGAAGCATACATGTCGTCGGGGTCCAGGGAGGATGCGCAAAGCTTATCTTCCCCTCCCACCTTGTCCAGGGTGATGAATGCAGAGTTATCAGTCCACCGGGCACACTCAAGCGGTGCAGAGTATTATGTATTGGCATCCTGCAGCGCGGTTTCAGGATCCAAGGTCTGGTTATGGCAGAAGGAGCTGGGAAAGGGATGAATTGGCGGTTACGTAGTTGTCCAACCTGGGGCAGCTTTGCTAACCGACGGCGAAGTTTGAGAGACGGAGCATGCAACAGCCATGAGAGGCAGACGTGGTCTGGCTGTTCGCTTGCTTGCCTGTCATCGTCGCACAGGGTCGATGCATTGGGTGTTGGAGGATAAGACTCGAGACCGGCATTGTCGTGTAGAGGTATGCATGCTCGGCTTCGGACTTCCTGCGCAATTGATTTTCAAGGAGGATAGCCGAATGAACTTATTGAACGCGGTTTGTATACGTGCAGAAGTGGTGCTGGGGTTCCGAAGTTCTCTTGCGTTTGGATATGATCTCGCGCTGGACGCGTGCAACGCAAGTTATCCGTCTCTCTACCTCTCACGGGGTTATGTCTCCCACCGAACAATACAAACATCAAGCCATCCCTTCAACTCCAAAATGCTTCGTTTTTCCCCTCTGCGAAGTTATTCTGCAATTCCCAATCTGGCAAACCGACCCCCCTCATATACTCAAATTACCTCGAGCCCTACCACCCAATCATCCCCCCTCAACCTCAAACAACCGCAATAAACATAAACATCAACTTCCATGACTTCAATCAACAATTCCTCGCACATCTCGGTCAAACTGCTGCAAATTCTAACAATAGCGTTGCGAGGTTCCCAGAAGTAATTGTAGAGACTGCATACCCCGCAGATCATTGGGAGTTTGGAGTTAGTAAGACAATTTGGCGCACGAGGAGGAGAGTGAAGGAGATTGTCAACACGAGGGTTCCAGCTCGAGGAGCGACTATTTGTCCAGAGGAACCTATCAGATGCCTAGAAAACAGCTACGGTATTTATTCTTCTCTGGCTTTTGGGGCTCCGCGACGAGAGCAGGATAGCAGAGCCGGCAAGGTGAATTGAGTAGAGTAGAGTAGATCATGAGCGAAGACCAAATACAATGGAAACACCCACCCTCTACTTTCTCTCCTCGCGTCCTCTTCATCCCGGATAACGACCGCCCGTCCATCAAACCTCAACTCCCATCCTTCCCTAAGTCCTCTTCTACAACCAACCATGCGACTCACCCTCGCCCTCACCCTCCTCCTCCCCTTCCTCCCCGCCCTCACAACAGCAACACCCCAACTCCCCTCCCCCTCCCTCTCCCTCCCAACCATCCTCCCCACAACCCTCGTCGCCATCCCCATCACCACCGCGCCAACCTCCCCATCTCTCCCTACCCTAACCGCCGCACCAAACACCACGCGCGCATGGACGTGGTCACGGCAAACCGGAACGACATCTCGCCGCCGGTGGACGCACTGGGAACCGATTCCCATCTTCAGCAAGAGCTGCGATTGTCCGGATGTGAAGACGGTGGCGAGGCCTTGTTGGGCGACGGATGCGTTGATGGTGAGTGTTTCGCTTTTTTTATTTATTGTCTGGGTGGTGGGATGTCAGAGGGGTGTCGAGATGGGGAGGAGAGAAGGTGACTATGGGATCTATAACAAAGAGGATAAACTACGTGATGGGAAAGAAGACTGGAAAGAAAGGGTTGCAAGGATTTATGGAAAAGGGAATAGGGTAGGGACGAGGGAGCTCTCTACCAGACATCGGCACTGGAGGTCTGGGGGCTATTAAATACTAGATAGGTATTGCTTAGTGTGAGAGTTTCAGTAGGGAGTAGACGGTTGGTCGGAGAGAGTCACCTGTACCACGAGATCCATCAGCACCACCTTCCCCCCTCCCCGGGCCCGGAACAACACAACAACAAGAAAGGTCGAAAGAAGAGGAACGAACCAGAGAAAAAAAAGAACCTACCTCTCCACAACCATACCCACCGAAGAGGCACGTTACCAGCCCAACTTGACCTCCAAGCACGAAGTCCGAAAAGACTTGGTCCAGGAAAAGGAAAAATGACCTGAAAAAAGAGTCGTACCAGCAACGAACCAAACAAAAAACTAGAGAACAATTAGCTGACCATACTTCCTCGCAGCGCTGCGAATTCGAAAACCTGCACTCCTTTGCCTGCTGGACGAGCGCGGCCTTTGGCTGCCCTTCGCCGACGCGCGTGGTACGTCTCTTTTCATTCCCCTTCCTTTCCCTTCCCATCCCTTCCCATTCCCTCCTTATCCCTCACTAACCCACCCCCCTCCAAAACAGTGCTCAACCGCCTTCCGCCCCACCCCCATAACCGGCCGCCACCCATGCGACCTAGGTCAACCTCTGCCCGTGAGTACCACCACTACTTCGCTGGGAACCTCTTCCGGAGAGGTTATTACACCCACCATTACGATTACGCCTACGCCTACGATTACGGAAATCGAGACGGAGACGGATATAGAGACAGAGACGGAGACGGAGGAGGAGTGGGAGGTGCAGACCGAGGCGCCGGTGCCGGTGGTGAGGAGGGGGCGGTGGAGGGCGGTTCCTGGTTGGGAGTAGAGGGATGGACTGGCCGGGAACCTTAGTGGTTGGAGGGTTGGAAGGGAGTGAGGAGGGAGGAAAGTGAGTCAGAGCGGGAGGAGAGGAGATTTGAGGAAGGAGAGGGGTAGATCTAGGAGGGAGTGACGGGGGAGACGGGGGAGATGGGATAGACTCCTGTGTAGAAACGGGGAGGTAGGAGATGTAGATCGTATAGACGCGTGTTTAGGATACATGGCGAGGGGGAGACGTACGTGAGATGTATATACTGCGCAAAGAGACAGACGACCAATACGTATTCTTTTTCTTTTCCTTTCTGCGAAGAAATGCTGTTCCCCTCTAATAAAAGTTTATAGGGAGGAAATTAGAGGGGAGAAAATATTGCAAGAGGGGAAGTAAGAAAGAAAGATAGACACTAGAAAAAAAGAGACTAGGAAAAAAGAGAGAAGAGAAACAGTAAAGACGGAAAAAGGACCTAAAAGAAAAAGGAAAGTAGAACAAACCGCTACGACCAGATCCACCACCTCAAAGCAAAAGACAGAAAATAAACGAAACTCGATCCAACCCTCCATTCACACCAGTAACAGTAGCACCATACCCCAGCGACCAATCTAGAGCGAACAGTACCCTAAGACCTACTACTTAACTACGCTCGAAACAGAAATACCTACAGAACAAACATGCAGGATACAAATAAATAAACATATTTATCTTTTAACGCCCCTCCATACCACCATTCCATCTCAACCCGGCAACAACTCCTCGAGGCTACAATTTGCTAAACACCCCTCCCTCTATCTGCAGTGCACCTCCATCCGCGCACTAGATCCTTTCCATCCTGATTCCTACCCACCTCCCACCTCCTTTGCAATCTCCCTGCTTTGAACTTCCCCAGTATACCCCAGAAAAGTGCAGAGGTCGTCCTTCCGGAGCCTGGTTCTACCAAGGGTTCTTGTACCGCTGGACGAAAGCAATGTAGAAGAACTACAAGACCTTAGGTTCCTACCCTCGCGGACAATCTGCTCTACCTTCAACACAGTAGCGGCAGCAAAGCCACCTACACCCACCGCCCTCATCCAACAATACCAGCCACCCATCCCAGAAAACCCCTCCCTTCCCCGCTTGCTCCTTCAATAACCTATAGAACTAGCTGCATTACCGGAAACCGGGCAGGCACCCATGGCCATAGCTTCACAGCTTCACAGCTCCATAGCTTGATAGCTTCATTTGATAGGACGGCGGCAGATGAGCAGTGCCAGGGAACCTAGGGAAGCGGGGATGAGCTTCGCATAAGAACAAAGAGCTCCTCCTCCGCAAAACCGGCATACCCAATACCACTGCTGCCCATTTGCGGGGAAAGCGAAATCAGGCCTTTGTTCTTCCAAGTACAGGATACAGCTCGGACGAGGAACGGGGATATTCGGCATCCCTTTCAATAATGACAATAATTGTCGGCTTTCTGGGCTGTTGGCGGTGTTGGAAGGATGGCTACGGAGGGGAATCCAATTATTAAACTGTACGGAGTACTGTGTTATGTGAGTGTCCGGACTTGTTCTCCTTTTCATGATCCGTAAAGGGAAGCGGGGTTGTTTCCTGAGCCCCCATCGCGTCCATGAACGCTTCCCGCCCTGCTACTGCTAGCATTCCAAAAAAGACATTCTCCTCTGTTCACCTCCGCGCCAGGAGAACATGCACCTGTCCTCGTTCCAACTTTAGGTGCGTCGCCAGATAGAGAGACGGGCATACGCAGCAGGTCGAATTCCAATGCCACAAGGGCTGGCGCGTACAGTACGAAGTATGGTATTGTGTACCCCCTTTGATATCATCCAGCAAAAGCGCCGTGGTGTTGCAGTTGCGCAGAGCATTCCTGGATGCTCTCTGATTGGCCAATTGGCCAATTGAAGAGGTGCACGTCCCACTGGTTCGAGATAAGCACAAGCACACAGCGCCGAACCTAGCCGCGAACCGTGCATTGCCCTGTTCTCGCACACGACGGCGGTCGGAGATGTGCGACCCCAGCAAGCACGGATAGAAACCGTGATAGCCTCCCGCTTCGAAAGGTGGTCGGCGCTCAGGAATTCCTTTGTTGCGGGATGCCGCCAACCAACACAAAAAGCGAACCCAAAAAAAAAGAGCCGACTCTCGGAATCCCGCAATCGGAGCTCACGCTGATGTCACCCTCTCGCCCTCTCTCAACCATTCCCTCCTTTGTTGATTCGTCAACAAAAATGAGGAAGAAAATTTTTTTTCTCTTCCATTATTGCCCAGCGTGGGATGGATGGATGCGAAGCGCGGAGCCAAGTTCAAACAATACCTGGCAGCCGCGGACACGGGATGGGATGGGATGGCGAGAAGACAAAAAGAGGCTGATGAGCTGAGAAAGAGAGAGGCAACCCTGTCATGAACCCTTGATTTGTTGAGAGATAGCCCCCCAGCCGCGCGAAACCGCGAAGGCGGCCACAAACGTTAACTGTTATCGCGTCGCCACAAACGGCTGAGCAGCGAGGCTCAAGTTCTTCTTGGTTGTTTAATAATTATGGGATGCTTCTTGGCTTGCGAGATACCCACCCGCTCCGAGGATTACTATTATTAAACGGGCGACGAACTCGGCGCACTTTGCACGCACACGCGAAACCGACATGCAAAAGTAAGGGATGACAAACTTTCCGTTGGGGACAATGGTGCCATGGTGCGAATCCGTTGCATGACGGGATACCTCCTGTGTCATAATAATAATGTGGTGTGAGATGATGCCATGCTCTGCGACGCTGCACCCAACTGCGCAGGCGTTCTAGAACCAGTGGTGAATTCTTATCGCTTGCGCAGCGCGGACTTGAAGCTGGGCGGAGGAAGCATCGATGGAAACATTCTGACGTCCGGAGAAGCGCAGTCGTGTGCTGAGACGGAGAACGGGCTCCTTATTATTTTTCAGACCAGAGGCGAACCAACGTCGACTTGAAAAATGGCAAGAGTTTTGCGAATTGCTGGAGTCGCGTCGACCTGCACTCGAAAGCAACCCCTGCGCCGATTATCCGATTAGATAATCTGCCCCGCTCCAACCCCTCGCTTCACCCTTGTCCAATATGCAACGCTGCCATAACAACACGAGGGACCTTCTGCTGCACAGAACAAGCCCCATGAAAAGCCATGCATTTTGTTGAGACGCATCGCATGCGGCCTCGCGTCCAGGCGATTCTCTGGATGCATCTCGCTAGGCGTCGAGCGTTGCGCCGCCCACGTTGTCCGGTTTGTGCCACACCCGGGAGGGTGAGTGAGAGGGAGACTCGAGAGAGCAGTCGTCCAGTGTAGGACAAAGGCCCCGAGGTACTGTGTAGAGTTGCATGGTGCCTTCGGCGCCTCAGATTTCGTTCGCACAGCAGAACGAGGAGGGGGTATCCTCAGGGTCTCCACATCCTCTCCATAGGGCGCTTGCATACTCCGTAACAACCAACTGTCGCGCCATTCATGGCTCCAGTTCCACACGGGGTGCCGAGAGACCGAGTCGCACGTACGGTGGATGCTGAGATGCGGGGAAGTCAGCTTCCTTATCTCCTTCGGCATGGCCTCCATGTTTTTCATACAGATTATTTATTGCTCTTCTCGAGATAGCATGCACCATGCATGTACATAGTGAAGACGAAGCCTCGAAACGGTAGATGACGAGACAGACCAGTCGGCTGCTTCCGAGTTGCTGACCGTCCGGATGACCTCGCTGTTGCGGACAGAGTATCGACGAGATACGCTGGCCGTCCCGAAGCATTGGCTATGGCTGCCTTGCTCCTGTTATGGCTGCAGCGTGGTGTGTCGCACCGCAGGACATCTCGGATGCCACAGCCCATGCGGAAGTGATGGGCGATAGGACAATGCCATGTGTGCCCAGCGTACGATACCCTCGGCCATTTTTATTTCCGAACGGCGCTTTATTGGACAATTGGAACTCCTACTACGCAGTAGGCGGCGCCTATGGAGACATAAGCCAGTCCAGTAACAATAACGGATCAGTGTCTATCGTACTCCGAAATGGCAGAGGCAACTTCATTATTGCTCAATTCGAGAGTCGGTCCAGGAAAAACGTCGTGCAAGCCACTCCACAATTGATGGGTGCTGTCCTCAGACTGGAGGGGGTGTTTGATAAGGAAGCACGGGCCAAGCGGTTGGATCTCCAGATTCATTTGATCTCTTCAAAAGCTCCGATCAGGGGTTAGCGAGCCTTGGAAACTGAACACTTGAGCAGGCTGCAGGCATCCGCAAGACCCACACCTCTTGATGCGAGACTGTTTTTGATAGCGGACAATTCTGTTGTTCCAGACTGAACGGAGTACTCTGTTGATTCCTTCATGGAAAACGCTGCTGCGCCGGACGTCCACAATCCTCCAACTGCATGATCGCAACTCTCATCGCACGACCAAGGAGCGGTGTGACGCACTGGAGAGGAATGGGAATGCTGACAAGCATCAGCCCGCGATCTGATGGTGGCTGCAGCAACGAGCAGCCCAAAATCGCGATTGATGAAAGGAAATGCTGTCAACCGCCTCGGTGGGCGTTTCCAGAGTTCTTTATCTCGGGCATCGACGATTGACTTCTTGGACGGCATTCGTCTGTTCCATTGCCCTGGTTGCACCCAAACCTGGCGACGTGCGGGCCCTCATTGTCGTCAACGGCGCCCGGGCTGTCCCAAGTCCGTATTGCTTTTTAACGGCACCGGTAGGCGTGCTGACCAACATCGGAGTTTCCCACTGACGAGAGCGGGAGTGAGCCAAGCTTCTTGTACTGGACAATGTCCGACGGGCCCAGCACAGCCTCTTGTACTGTAGTTGGCCGTGCCGTCGGTGGCCTGTTTCAAGCTCCTACTGTAACTCTCACGGTACTTTCGCCCTGAACGCAATGATTATTCCCAGGTCTCTGCGAAACAGGATCAATTGCATTTTCTTAGGGAATATCAGGGCGGCAAGGCTGAGCTTGCGGGCGTACGTGTTGTAAGCTGAATGCGATGAGATGAATTTTTTTTTGGGTTGACCTGTGCACGGAACGGAATAAGGCCTTCCCACGGGGGCAGAGATGTCGCTGACGTCTCCAGATTCGCAGGGCAGGCAGATACAGCCTGGGTCAACCGTCAAGAATCCTGTTCATTCTCCCGCCCTCTGCATGGGGATGAGCGAAGCGGGAAGCAAAAGGCGTCATGCGCACCTGTCGGATAATGCGGCGATGATGGACGCAGTGCGTACCTACGGAGTACTTGTTAATATTTGGCAGTGGTAGCGGGTTACTCCGGGCTCCTCTCCTCCCCTGCAGGTGCGTGGGCAGCCATGGCGGACTCGTGACTTTGAACCATGGCCAACCTTGGAACCTTGGAACCCCGCAAAAAGAGTTGTGAACCATGGCCACAGCTCCGGCCTCGCTTGGCTCCAAAAGTTGCGGACGTGTCAGGTTTGTCGAATCGCTAACAAAAACATGGTAGGGAATGAAAGGCGTTTTGAATCAGGCTTATTCTTATGGTGCTGACGTTGACTCGACTTTTTGTTTTATGTTCTTTCGTCGAGGGCGTCTTCGTCTCGTGAGAAGATCTGCGGACGAGTGAAGATTAATAAAACGAGGAGTTGTAGACCTTGTTGGCTGGAAGAGGAAGCCGCTTTTATTGCTTCGGGCGGGGTGATAGAGGAGTCTCATCGACCGTCCGCACTAGAGGCCCCTGAAGCGCGTTTGTTTCGCGAAGGACCATGGCAACTTTCGTCGCGGAGATCTACCATGCAGGATTACTGGTACTGTGATAGACTTTCTCCAGGGCTTCACGCTCCTTGACCCCATAGGTGCTTAGACGTGCCCGTATGGATCGCCATTCTGGTAGGAGATCGGTGAAATGGCTCTCGAGTGCAGGGCGCCAAGATGCATGCCGACGGAGTAAGCCAGGCTAGGGGTTGTAAATCAGGAACATGATGCCAGATGGTATGGGAATTGGCAAATGCAGTTGTATTTTCCATCGAGGACGGGTTTCCCTGCTCCGTGCTCCAGAATGGAAGCGGGTGAGAGCTAGGACGACGGATTGAAGGCAATGTCGAGAGAGCGCTTGGGGTGCTGCATACTTGCCGGTGATATTGTTAGAAAGCGGGGAACAAGATGAGGTAGCATAAGCCGTCTGCGCGTCAAGAAGCATACTCTCCTGATACTTGTAAGTTTGAGGAATTGTTGGGGTGCAGCTGAGAATGGCTAGTACGGAGCGGGGCTCTCAGGGTCCTCTACTCCGTACGCGGAGAGGAGTTTAGGAGTCTCATCTCGAGGCCGCGGTCCTCCAACACTATTTTGCGGTTGGTGAGAGGTCATCGTGGGAGTCTGGCGAGCGATTCGTGACGGTTACGTATCTGGGTTTAGGGCCCCTGCAAACAAAGTGGGACCCAAAGCCGCCGTGCACGGGCTATGACGGATGATTGGCTGATAGTGTGGACTCGAGGCCGGCCCTTGAAAATTTCGACACTGCACCCAGGGATCCTCCTTATCGGAGCCAGCCGGAGCACGAAGCCTGGAAGGGTATTGTGCTATGAGGGCCACAGGTGGATGTCATTGAGAATGGTATTTGCAGCCATCGGTGCAGGAGCAAAACAGAGAAACAATTTGCTCTGGGGAGGGAGAATGTGGGTGGGCAGTGCAAGGGTGGCCAGGGACGGATTTAGCAATGACATCATAGCACGCTTCGCTTTGAACTTGGCAGAGAGGCTCGAGCGCCTGTTTGCGAGCGAGCTTGAGCCACAGGGCACGGGGCAACTCGCCAAAAATGCGGCGTCCATGCTTTGTCGAGGCGGGCGTGGGGAGGAAAATGATTAACGACAATAGCGAAGTTGCGAGACGATGGAGGAACCAAGGGGATAAAAAGTGGAGCGAGAACAGCGGAAAGGCGAACGAGCGAAACCGCTCCGCATCGGACTCGCAGCGACTTGTGCAATCCTGTTGGGTGGAAGAAGAAAGGACGTCAACCTTATCTGCGAGTTGGTGGGTCTACACGGGGGGATGGAGTGCGACCATGTCAGCCCATGGCGGACTGATAATGATGAGTACATACGGAGTACGGAGGTACGCAGTACCTACGGGAGAAGGGATAGATAACCGTGCTTCTGTGCTGCACCTGGGCAGAAGGAGACGGTTGCGAGCATTTCCTGTTGTCCTGCTACTATTATTTGCCCGAGGGGTGGCGCTGCTCGGGCGGTGTGAATTGACGTGATACGCAAGCGGTAATCCTGAGGGGGGCGACACAGAGTATCCGGGAACGCAGCAAGAATCGATGAATAATAATAATCATGTCCAGAGTACCTCTCCAGTTACCCTCTGTCACTCTGCGTAGCCGTGTGTACCGTGTTGTGCAGCGAAGTGTGGGAACGCGTCGCCCATGATAATGAATTCTGTGATCGTCGCGGCTGTGCCCCGAATCGGTGCAAACGTCCAGACAGGCCCCCCGGTCTCGCTCGCGCCGCTCTAACAAGTCGAACGACTTGGGTCCTCTGGGTGGTGGTCTCGCCGCCCTGCAGCCCACTCACACGGTCCACCGGGACCCACAAGTCACCACCACCAACTTTGCCCACTCCCCCGTCCTCAACCGCACTCCCCTACTGAATAGTACTACTACAACTACTACCTCCTCTTCCTCTCCCCTTTCTCCTCCCCCCTTCCTCACCACCACCCTCCAATTCCTCCTTGAGGCCATTCCTAGGGCCACTCCTCCCCTCGTTTGGTCCTGCATTCTGCAGCCTCCCCCACCTGCGCCTGCGCCAGACGCCCTCCTTGGTTCCTGCCGCCTCAACGCCTTCCCGCCGCTGCTTATCAACACCACCTCCTGCCCTCCACCTTCCTCTTCGTCCCCCTTCCCACTTCCCACCTACCACCACCACAAACAAACAGCTGCCTTCGAGCTCTCTCTTCTGCTGTCGTCACCACAGTAGCCACACGCAAACCTCGAGGTCCCCTTCCTTCGAGGCCATTGTTCATTGACACTGCGTCGAGAGCCGCTTTGTCTGTTTTCCCCGAACGCCATCCGACGGCCGCTCACCGATCCGCGATACTGCCGCTTTCGCTAGCTGTGGTACCTTCCAAGCAGTTCGTCCAACCTCGCAACCTCTGATCTTCACCGATCCTTCACTGCTACACACACACGCCCTCACTCGACGTGCGTCCTGCTTCTGCTTCACGCTCTTCTTACTCATTGTAAGTCTGGTCCCGCTGTGACGCCAGCGCGTGATTTCACCCCCAATCAAGCGCTTGTATCACACTAGCTTTGTATCATCGCCACTCCTTGATAAGCCTCCTCTTAGCCCCGCCCCGCTCTGCGTTCCTGCCCCTTTGGCTAACCCTCGCCTCGACGACAGAATTTAACAACCCCACACCTTCTCTTCCCTCCCAACCCAACTCATGCTCGCCTCCCGCTAAAGACAACCTCGTCTCCGCACCCACGCTCGATCCCTCTTCGACGACAATCCTACAAAGTCGGCCGAATGCCTTATACACCTCCCACCCAGCAGTCGCCTGCCTCGTCAAAGCCTAACAGTCCCATCATCAGCCGGAGCCATTCCTACACGGATCATCGGCATCTGCAGCTAGCCCAGAAGCCTGCTCTTCCTCGATCCGTTTCCTCCACATCATACATCACCAAGCATCGACGGTCGCCCTCGACCTCTATCCAGGACACCACAGCTGCCAACACAGTGTCCAATGGCACGATAGATAACTCGTCTGAGACCACCCGGGGTCGAGGTTCGGCGATGCATGGTAGCGTTCGCCCAACTCCCTACGTGAGCAAGCGGTTGACGATGCCCCCAGGTGCCGTCACCACGCCTCCCGATTCGTCAGACGACGATGAGGAACAGCGTCGTGAGATTGGCAATCTGAAGGAGCTGCACCATGCCCTCCAAAGCATCGACGTAAGGAGGGAACGTTCACCGAACCGCGAAGAGACTCCTGACGCTGTCTCTATCGCCGCGGCACCTGGCGCTTTGTCACCCGAGGCTCGTAAGATCTCCCACTCCCGTTCCTCGAGCGAGATCATGCTGTCTGCACACGGCGTTCACCTCGACCCGAACCCCATCCAGACCAGCTCCGAAAACAGCGATGCCGAGGACGAGCTGCGGATAAAACCGCCGCTGTTGCGGAAGAAGTCTGGCGAGTTGGTGAAGCCTGCACTGCGACCTGCCTCTCGTCGGCGGCCTTCGAGCATGCCGGGCACTCCAACCTATCACAAGGCGGTGCACTTCAACGAAGACATGGAGCAGGTCAGGCACTTCCTTCGCCTAGATAAGCCCATCGCCGTCTCGGCTGGTTCCTCGCCCGTGGATACATACGACAGCGAGTCCGACTATCCCTGGGGCTACGACGATGGGTACCGTTCATCTGCCGTGGAGTGGGAGATCAAGCTTGCCAATTTCCCCGGCGACACCTTTGAGAGGAGGACGGCGCCTGTTCGGGTGGAACGCCTCTTTCTGGCATCGGATAATAAGACTCTGATTGGTACCGTGGCCGTCGCCAACATTGCCTATCACAAGGTTGTGGTGGCGCGATTCACGCTAGACTACTGGAACACTACGTCCGAAGTGGTTGCCGAGTACAATCAGGACGTTCGCAAGAAGCAGGCGAGCGACGGCTACGACCGCTTCAACTTCAGCATCAAGTTGGCTGACCAGGCGAACCTGGAGACGAAGAAACTACTCCTCTGCGTCCGCTACAATGTCAATGGCCAAGAGTACTGGGACAACAACAATCATCAGAATTATCAGATCGATTTCGTCAAGAAGGTGAAGCAGCGGGGCAACCCTAATAAGAGTTCGCATGGCTTGGGTGCCATCCCTCGCAGCCGCAACTCTCCAACTGGCCAACGGCGGCGTTCGGTTGATTCGTTCGACGATGATTTCGACCATGTTTTCGAGTCCAAGTTCCAATTCGGCTCCGGCCGGGTCAATTTGAGCGAACCCACTACCAGCTCGATCCGCTTTAGACCCAAGAGCAAGCGTGGAAACCTAGATCAGGATCTGCGCCGCAACCCTACCGGCTCGGCGTTCTCGTCGCGTTATGACTTCACTGCCTCTCTCACGGCGGCTTTGTCCAATGCCCAGAATGCCCTTGGCAGTCGAAGCGGGATAACGCAGCCCTCGACGTCGCAGGGAGGTACCGGCGGCGCCGGCATTGCACCCATCCCTGGAACGAGGCCCGATGCGTTGTCTCCAGCGAAGACAGATCTTCGGTCGGCCGAATACAACGAGTTGATCCAGAAATTTTGCTTCGTACGTTCTCCAATTCCCTCGGACAGGCAACGGCAGAACCAACACTAACTGTCGATCCAGTTTGGCACGTCGTCTGGCAAGGGCTCCTCGAAGTCTGCCCCTCGGGCAACGAGCGATTCTGTCAGCATTGTTCCTGCCGACGATAGCTCAGCATCCGGAGGCAGCCGCCAATCGTCTGCGTCGAGCAGCCCCGGTTCTCCCAATATGCCCCTGGCAGTCGATGGCGGTAGTGATCCTAAGAATCACTTTGCGTCTCGCTCAACGTCCCCTGGTCCTGTTACGGGATCGGCTCCGGAAGATCTTGCGCATTCTTCCTCTTATCAACAGTATGGTTACGGCATGCACGGTGGCATCTTTCCTGAGCGGAGCCACACTCCGCAGGCCTGTGTTTAAGGAACATCCTTTGGCGAACAGATGTGGAACGAGAATCACGAGGCTTGTTGGTCACAACGGCTACGACATCGTTTGATGAGCGGCGAGTGGAGCGGATGCGCCCGGGTGTACCAGGGTGCGGAGCGCTCACGAGTCGGATTCAACGCGGTTCGGAGCAACGTTGTGAAGGCTTGCGGTCGATATTTCCTACATCACATTCTTAGCTGTGTGCATTTTCTTACAGCATCATTCCAGGATGGTTTCTCTCCAGCTCAGCATTTCCGGATGGCATTTTCTCTCTTGCTGCATTTGTTTTCTGCGTCGGCGTTCCTAATGGATGGGTCTGGCGGAGTTGATTGGGTCATTTATATGCCACTGTTTTCCGGTCGGTTCTGGGTCAATTCCCATGGTTCTCAGGCGTCCCCACCTTTGAGTGGACGCATTATATCCTTCCTGGGCGCACTCTGACTGGATCCCTGGAGGAACGAAAAGCGTTTTCTGGTTTTCTTTGGAGGAGGGTTGGTTTTCAATCTCGGGATTCGGTCGCTGCGCCTGTATGAGTGGTAGGGTATGACGAATTGTGCACAATACAATATGACGAGTGTTATGCGTACTCCAACTGGCTGCCCTTGTGTATGCGCGTCTGTGACCAATGCTGGTGGGGTATGGGTAAGGCGATTTGGGGTGTTTGCTGTTGGCCTTGGGAAGTTCACATTTATAACAAATGCAAAAACAACCGCATAACCTGTCAGCTACCCGACCCATCTCGGGACAAATGCATCGTGACTGACGCCTCATGAGTTGTGGTCTCTTTGCGACTCTTCCTGCCAAGATGAGTGGTTATTAGCCAGTGGTCTGGATGTGGATGTACCAAATAAAGTGGGTGTAGGTGCAAACCATGTGACCGTCTCAAGTCCCCGCCCGCGCGGGCCGCTCCATAGAACCCCTGTCTGTGCACAGTACCTGGCCAGCAAGCATCCAACACTCCCAACCACCACCCCCTACTGCCTTTCCTCCCGCGCAAGAACCTCCGTGCCGTGTGCACTTAAAGAACCGACAAGATGGCCTGGGGCAGCAAACCCAAACCCGCACCTCCCAAAGTCGCCCCTCCGCGCACGGCACCCATCCCCCACGCCATCCCCAGCAGCGCCAACGGCCCCGTCATCGACGCGACGACCATAACCTCTCTCCTCGCCGTCGTGATCCTGCTTGCGAGCGCGTACTTTGCGTCCGTCCGGCTGCTGCCCAAGACGGCGACGCTCAAGACGCGCGTGCTCTTCATCTGGCACCTGTTCGACGCGCTCATCCACCTCGTCTTCGAAGGCTCCTTCCTGTACAACTGCTTCTTCGTCTCGTACTCGCTGCCGACGTCCTTTTCGGCGCAGAACCGGCACCACCCGGCCATCCGCATCCTCACGCCGCCGGACGTGTATTGGCTGGGGCGAGAGGACCGGCTGTACGGCGCGAGCTATGGCCAGGGAGTGTTTAGCAAGTTGTGGCAGGAGTATGCGAAGGCGGATCGCAGGTGGGGGGGCGTGGATTTGACGGTCGTGACGCTCGAGGTTCTGACGGTCATGGTGGGCGCGCCGTTGGCGTTGGTCGTGTGTCAGATGTTGAGGGGGGAGGAGAGGAAGGGGGGGTTGAGGAAGTGGTTTTGGATGGTCGTGTTGGCGACGGGGGAGTTGTATGGGGGTGAGTGGGGGAGGTGGTTTTCTTTGTGGTTTGGGGAGGAGGAGGAGTGACGGAAGGGAGGGGAGGATCGCAGTGGTCTTGAGGGGATGGGATGCGTTGGCATCGCTCTCTTCCCAAAGGACATGCCTTCCTGCACTCTCAGCAGCACTCCTCATTCTTCTCGCTTTTCCCCCTAGCCTTTCACAAACCCGCACGACCTAGCTCGCTGACACTTAGTGTAGGCTGGATGACATTCGGACCCGAGTGGCTGACGGGCTCCCCCAATCTCGACACCTCGAATTGGATGTATCTGTAAGTTGTTCATTCTCCTCCCCACGTGTCATTCTCTCCTCTTTCTCATTTCCCTACGTGTCACTCTCATCTCTTTGATATTGTTGTTTTCTCTCTGGGCACCTGGGCGCGCTTAGCTTGATTGGTTGGAGCGGATGCAGGTACACGTGTTTCCATACGCGGTTGCATGTGTGCATGTGCCGGGAAGTGGGTATGCACGTGGTTTGCGCCTATGCGTGCGGAATTGAGCAACGGGAAGATGGCGGGAGAGGCGGGTAGGTGCAGGCGATGCCGTTTACAGGGCTGTCTATTCATGGCGGCTCTGTGACGTCTACGGCATGCTGCATCTCGACCTCGACACTCTATCTATCTACAACATCACTCTCCGTTTGCAATCCCCACAGCACTACGCTTCTCCCTCGTCTCCATCCCCTTTCTACGTCCCAGTTTCTATCCATTCCCACCCCTGTCCCTCCCTCCCTCGTCCCCCTCCCCTTATCCTTACCTCCATGCTCATCTCACCCACATCTCCCCGATTTCTAACCCCCTTGTAACAGATGGCTCTACCTCGTCTTCTTCAACGGCCTCTGGGTCGCGTTCCCGCTCTGGATCCTGTACGAGGCGTATCGGGCGCTCGGGTCGGCCATGAGTCAGGCTGAGGTGGTGGATTTGGTGAATTATTTGAAGAAGGACGATTAGTGGGTCAATAGAATAGGGGGAAGGAAAGAAGGATGGATTTGGGTGGGGGGAATATGGAATTGGGACTGCAGCTGGGGCTTCTCTTGTAAGGGGGAAGAAAGGGAGACCGATTGTTGATGTGATGAGTCGATGGTGAGGGTGCTTTTTGGCATATGAGCGTTTTCGCGGATACCCAGTTAGCGATGTATATGAATGCTGGTTCTCAAGTCATTGATCTGGTGGTGTAAAGGAAGTGAGATTTTGTGGGGATAAGGGGTGATTGACGTGATGAGATCGGTGTGGGATAGAGAGGATGGATGAGGAGATTGATCTTATTTTGTAAGAAACGTGGCTTTGGAGAGGAAGGGGAAGCAAGTCCCTTGGGACTCCAGTGGCCCTCAGCACCCGATCGGCATTCAGGCTTGTTTTAGGTATCAAGTACAAGTGGAATTGTCTGCTGGTGTTTGATTCTCATCTACTTTCCATTACTATGCGTGTACTTTGCTTCTGTGCGTTAATGCAGTGGTATAGGTCGTCCAACAAACCAAGTTGTGCAGATGGAAAGAAATATGGTGCCGAATTCCTCAACCTCAGTCCCATCACTCTCATAAATGCTCTTACTCCCCCCTACTCCGTCTCCTCTCCCACCCTCATCACCACCACCACCACCACCACCATTAGCTCCAATTACCACTTCCCACCTCCTGACACCCCAATCCCCCCTAATTTCGTTCCCCTGGCCTTCCCCTCTCACACCTCACCTTGTCATACTTCACCTCTCCTCCCCTCCTCCTCCCCCCTCTCCTCATCCTGCCCCGGATTCACCTCCTCGTAATGCGTCCACTTGACGAACCGGAAATACGCCGCCGCCAGCGCGCCTCCCAGAAACGGCCCGAGCCAGTAGATCCAGTGGTGGCTGGGGAAACTGGCGGCCGCGACGGCGCAGCCGAAGGAGCGGGCCGGGTTGAGCGAGCCGCCTGTGTAGTTGACTCCTGCGGGATCGTGTCAGCCTTTTGCTTCGCTTTTCCTTTCCCTTTACCTCCCCGATTCGAAGAATCGGGGAGAACGGTGTTGACAAAGTCGAGGAGGCTGGTCTGGTGATTCCGTCGGGGTAGGACGAGTCCAAGGGGAGAGAAAAGAAAAAGAACCAAAACATGAAAACGAAACCAGAAGCACATACCCGCCATCATGGCCACAAACAGCGCCAACCCAATCCCCACGGGCGCAATGAACGTGTCCTTGCTCTTCTCGGCCGCGAGCATGAGCACGACAAACACCAACAAGGCCGTCATGAACATCTCGATGAACAGGCCCTGGGCGACGCTCGTCCCGGACCCGAGCCGCGTGTTGGCGGCGCCAATGTTCCCCGGGAACATGCACGAGACGAGGCCGCCGGCGACCATGCTGGCGAGGAGCTGGGCGGGGAAGAGGAAGAGGGCGCGGAGGGCGGGGAGGGTGCCGGCGAGGACCATGCCGAGTGTTACCTGGGTTGCCGTCAGTCAGTCGTTACTCAATCGATCAGATCATTTAGACCGTCCGTCCGTCAGTCGATCCGTTTGTCCGTTCCTCATCCACCACAACATAACCCCCCCAATGAACCAGAAAAGCAATAGAACACAAAAACCCAATACCAGAAAGAAAACCTACTGCGGGATTCAACAACCCCCCACTAATCCGATAAAACGCCCACACATTCACCAACAAACTGAACCCATACACGAGCGCCAGGAAGATGTTCGTCTGGTCGCTCGTGCCCCCGTTGGCGATCGATCGCTCGCCCGCCTGCGTCGCGAGCATCACGTTGGCCGCGTACGCAAAGTACAGGAACAGGAAGGTGCCGACGAATTCGCCCGAGGCGGCGATGAGGTGTTTCTGGAGGGGGGTGAGGTGTGTGGGTGGCGGGGGTCGGTGGAAGTGGTGTGGTTTCTTGTCGTGGGTCGTGGAAGAGTGGGAATGGAGGGAGGGCATGGTGGATGGATTGCGGAGGAAGGTGTTTGGGAACGGGATAAGGCTTGGATCGAGGAGAGTCGAGCAGTAAATAGATGTACAGAGAAAGTGAATATATGCTGGGACGTCGGGAAACTTCGAGCTCCTGAGTGCTAGTCAGACTTCAAATGAAACCCACAACGAGGCGTTGCCGGGCGGATGAGAGAAACAGGTAGACTTGAAAAGGACAGCAAAAATAAAATGACGTCAGGAGAAACATTGTATACCACATTCACCATGCATCATGAATGGGATAGGCAAACGTCGATGGCCAAAAAAACTCCCATGCACGTCAACGGCGGTCGTCGATGATGTGGATGGTTGTGTCTAACGCGGGATTCTGACCATTGACGATTCCACGCTTGCACTGCGTCCAATGACAGCCATATGCGTTTGGCAGCCCCGAGGGGCAATTCGGAACGGCGTATCAAGCTAACATTCAGCAGCTTGTCCCGCGGGGAGAACAAAGACATACCACATCTCCGTGCAACAACGCCAAGTTAACATGTATCCCTCTATTGAATGCGTAAACAGCTCCACGCTATGGATCATTGATCGCCTCAGAAATCCTCCTAATGCCCTCCTCAATCAAGCCCTTCGGCTGCGTAAACACCATACGGAACCATCCCGGCTCCTCCGCTCCCGCCGCCTCGCCGTGAACGAGAAATACCTTCTTCTCCATCAACTTCTTGAAAATAATGGAAGTGATGGCGTGCGGGTCTTCGGCATCGCGAACCTCTGGATGTCGCTCTGCGTACATTGTCCCGAGATTGACCCACAGGAAGAAAGCGGCGTTGACGCCGGGCTCGTAGGGGATGGAGTAGGATTTCAAGACTTTGATGGCGTAGGCGTGCGCTTCCGAGAGTCGCTGCCTGTTCTTCTCGATATATGAGTTGAGGAAGGTCCTGTCGTTCAGGATTTCCACGACGGCGTTCTCGGCCAGGGACGAGGCGACGGAGTTCAGCGAGGCGGTTCTGCACGCCGTGAGGAAGGAATTGTTGGACTGCGATAGAATGACTCCAAGACGGATGCCGTTGCCCCCGAAGTCCTTGGATATGCCCCAGAGGACGTGGACGAGCTCCGGATCAATGATGCCGGAGGTGTCGATGGAGAGAACGGAGTTGAAACCAATCGGTTCCTTGTCCAACTTATACGCCGTGTTTGGGAAGATGGAGAGAGCATAAATTTCATCGCTGATCAGATGAATCTTGTACTTCTGGCAGAACTTCATCAGCGCGATGATCGTCTCCGTAGAGTAGCAGCGTCCGAGCGGGTTATGCGGATGACACAGCATCAACGCTGGAACTTCGACACCCTTCGCTCTGGATTCGAGAAGTGCTTCTTCGTACTTTGCTACGCACTCCGGACCCAAGGGATCGAGTTTTCCATGGGCAACACGAACGACTTTCACGCCAGTCCGGTGACTAATGTCAGGAAGGAAAGCGCGGTAATATGGGCGGCCCAACAAGATTCCGTCACCTGGATTCGCCAGCGCCCAAGCGGTATGCTCGATTGCGCTCGTTACACCGTTGGTGACCATGATATTGTCCATATGTACCGGTTTTGCAGGTTGGAAATAGTCATTAAAGAAAGAAGCCAGCGCTTTTCGCACGGGCTTGGATCCAGAAGGTCCATCTCCATAAGTCAGTGCCCTGGCTGCGGGATCAATGAGTTTCTTTGAGTTGATGAAATCTCTCATCTCCTGGTGGCCAAGCGCATTTTCGGCTACTCCAAGAGATATGTAGCCATCAGGATTGGATTCGGAGTTGTAGAGGTTGGAAAGGACATTCCAGATCTCCTGTTATATTTCAGTGATGTCCCCCATTCTGCAAGGGATGTTTGAGTCACGACCGCGGAGCTATAGGGTGGCTTACAGCTTCTTCTGAGCCGACTTTATCAGCTTTGGCTCCACGGACAGAAAGTGTAGCACTCATCGCGACTCGGTTTTTGACAGCGGAGAGAAAAATGCGTTGTTGGCAACAGATCGTTGTATGGAAGTCTGTGTTGTAGACAGAAGGGCGTCCAATGAGGAAAGTCGAAGAACTGGCTCACTAATTGAGACTGATTACGTCATCCACACTATCTACTACGGCTTTCCACGTCTAAGTGAACATTTCCTCCTCTCAGTGAGATTATTGTAGCAGAGAGTTAACGCGACTTAACCAAATACTACCTAATAACACTAGAAGTAGAGCCTTGTTATATACATGTTATTATACGTCGATAGAGGCGCTACAAAGCTAGTTACAAGGCCAGCTGGGTAGTTATATTGCTGCACCTCCTAGCTGGTTGATTAGTCGCGGGGAACAGCAATGCAGAAAAATTGCAGGGGACGTATTCATTCGCATGTGGAAAAGGCGGCATATGCATCCGCACATTCGTATGGCGAATGTAGAATACTAGTAGAGCTTTGGGGGCGAATGTCCGTCGGAAGGTTTCGCCCATAGAACCCATCCGGTTGCTATTAGCAGAATGGTCGTGTGGGAGAACCGGTCATCTTTGTACCCGTATTGCTGTGTCACTCTCCGGTCAATTGTCCCCGGTTGAAAACAGTAACACGATAATCCGGGATGCGCTCCCCATAGCGAGAGCGCTCACGAATACTCGTTCTTCAACCTAGCTCTTTATTCTCGACTAGATTACACCTTAGTTCCCTCCCCCAACATGTGCCACAACGTGAATCTCCACCCACACACATCCAAATGGTACAGTCCAAATGGTACGGTCCAAATGGGATGATCCTACATGCACTTCTCGAACTTCTTCCTCATCGCAGGACGGGGTAGGTCGTATGAACCGCTCTTCCTGTTCCTCAATGCCAAACCAGGTCATCCATAAGGAGCTCCAGTGTCTTCTCTCAGGGGTCCACCATCTTCCGCGACAGATTGGAGTCGGCAGAAACGCAGTAGTGGGTCGGCTCCTCGACTTCGGAGTCCTCTCAGGAGCGAGGCATGCTCATGCGACTCTTGACTAGTCCAAAGCCGGCTACGGGCATGCATTTGGAAGCTTCGTTCCCGTCCACGGCAGAGGGTTTGAAGTCGTAGGTGGCGATCTAACCCGATATGCAGACGCCGAAAAACCGCGGATGCTGAGATGCAGCGGTGGTGAAAATCCGCTGCGAATATCTTCGTTCGAAAAGGTATAGCATGCAACCCATGCATTCTCTAAGCGGATCCGGCAGCAAAGAAGCTCAGAAAACTCCCAACCGTCAGGCCAGCCACCAAACATAAGGACATGAAGCCTCCCGCAGCCTCACGTTCTTCAGCCTCCACATATTCCACAAAGCCCATCATGCAGTTGCTGCCAATGTAGCCATTCGTGAGGCCAAAAAGAACCTGGACGATGAACAGATAGAAAGCGTCGGAACTGATCGCTGCGCCTTTTCCCCCAATGTTGCAGAGGAAGTACAAGGGGATGAAGACAAGTCTCGTCACGGACAAGATGAACAGAAGGCGCGGCTGAGAGGTAAGACTGAGGCTGGGAATAGCAGGAATGACGCGTCCGACCAGGTCCCCAATGTTCCAGAATAGGAAGGCTAGTGGAATAAATGAAGCGGGTTGAAAGAGACGAGGGGCGGAAGCTGGGTCGCGTACGCTCAGAATCTGCTGCGTGAACACAGGGAAGACCATTGTAATGGCGAAAGTAAGGAAAATAGCAGCCGCCAACCAGAAAAGACGCTTAAACAGGTACGTGAGAGGTATGGACTTGTGACTGTTATCGGAAAGCCCATGTCCATCGACGGTATCATGTGCGGCTGTGTTCTTCATGCGAACCTTGGAACTCTCGCGCGTGAGAAGATACAGAAAGGCCACGAGCGTGATGGCAGAGATACCAGTAGCCGTCAAGAAATAAGCAAATGCAGACTTGCTAGACTGCTGGGGACTGCTCGATGGGGAACTGCTCCCTGGTACAGACAGAACGGAGACGATTTGAGCGATGCAGGGAAGCACACCCGCAACTCCCTGGCCGGCCATGATTCCCTGGGTGTATTCCTCACGTCCAAATCCGGCAACGTAGGCAAAGACGCCATTCTGGCATAGACCTGTGGCGAGGCTGGCACTGAATACGGCAACCATGAGGAACGCGAAATACACTCCGGCAGACACCTCCAGAAATAGCCGTGTAGACATGGCGAGGAGGGCGAAGACGAGAATATTGATCGCGAGAGATGCTAAGATACGCTTGGGGTAGTTCGCGTGCGCTTGCAGTTTGGTCAGGATTATCATCGAGCCCAGGTTTCCGACTGTTGAAACAGATAGTTCGGCAGACTGGAAGTTACGCAGCAGCGACTCGTTGGACTTGAATCTCCGCTGAAAGTAGGGAGCAGCGGCTAAGAACATGTTCCTGTTCCGATGTCAGCATTCGAAGGCGCAGAGTAGACTCCGGATCTCTGACCATGCCCAGAGCATTGCCACTCCCATGAGAACGAAGACACTGTAGTCGATCCATGAGAACCTCTGTTCTCTCGTTTCCGAGATCTGTTCCCCTTCAGGAGTCTCCGAGCCGCCTTCCAGCGGTTCATACGAGGTGTCCCGCTGGAACAGCTGCCGAATTCGCTCCATGTTGCAAGTTGAATCTCAATAGTGGAAGGGGAACGTAGTCAGGGGAGGAGTAAGCAGCGCTTAGTACATCATGGGACGGATGGAAGTATGGGCGACCGTATAGAGTATGCCTGAGGTTGTTGTGAGCCATGCTAGCAGTTGACGCCCGCGCAGAACGGCGGGACCTGGCCGCGGTCTCCGGATCAACACGGCCCGATCTTCTCCGCCAAGACTCGGGCAAGTCCCGGCCCCCTGGTCGCTATTTGATTGCCCCTCAGCCCCGCGACCGTTGATGAATTTCTTGGGCGGAAATTTAAGAGTCACTACTCCGTACGGTCGTTGTTATTCAAACACACCCGCTTCTCTTTCGCTGCGTCGTCCAGAACTATCAATCTTTCGTTTACTAGATCGCCCACCATGGCTTCCAACGAAGATGCCGCCCCGAAGCTCTATGAGGATCCTGAGACCGGAGAGATGATCTCCAAGAGTGAGCGTACGTGCCCGTCACAATGCGCTTTTCGATCCTTGAAAAGTCGCTAACTTGGACCAGTCAAGAAGCGTCAGAAGCACCGAGAGCAACAGAAGAAGAAGGCCGAGAAGGCTGCAAATGCGCCGCTTCCCACACACTCCAAGGCCAAGGCCAAGGAACCCAGCGAAGACGACCTGAATCCAAATGTACTAGAGCCTCAATCATATCTTTTGAGGCTGCGACTGACCATACCAGCAATACTTCGAAATCCGATCAAGAGCAATCAATGCGCTCCGCGAGACCAAGAACCCTAATCCCTACCCGCACAAGTTCCATGTCAACACTCGAGTCGGCGACTTCCTGGAGAAGTATGATCATCTCAAGAAGAATGAAGTGTTAGAGGATGTAGAGATTCGCGTGGCCGTCCGAATCATGTCCATTCGATCCGCCGGAAATGCGCTGATATTCTACAACTGCAAGAGCGAGGGGCAAACAATCCAGATCTTCTGCGAGGCTACTCGCTTCTCGAGTGAAAGCGGCAGTGCAGCAGCTTTTGCAGAGCATCACAGCGTGTTCCGGAGAGGAGACTGGATTGGCGTTGTTGGTGTACCGGGAAGAACCAACCCTAAGAACCGCGACACAGGCGAGCTGAGTGTTTTCGCAAAGGATGTTGTACTCCTTGCGCCCTGCTTGCACCAACTGCCACATGGACTCAAGGACAAGGAGATTCGCTACCGCCAACGCTACCTTGATCTCATTCTGAACAACACTGCTCGCCAGACTCTCCAAACACGTTCCAAGATTATCAGCTATCTCCGTCATTACTTCGACAACAAGGGGTTCATGGAGGTTGAGACTCGTATGTCTATTGTTACTTTGTGAATTGCGGAGCCATCTAACATAATCACAGCTATGATGAACAAGATTCATGGAGGTGCCACTGCTCGTCCTTTCAAGACCTATCATAACGACCTCAACATGGAGATGTTCATGCGTGTAGCTCCCGAGCTGTATCTCAAGATGCTGATAGTCGGTGGTTTCGAGAAGGTGTACGAAATTGGCCGTGAGTAGTGCCCTAACATTGACACCAGTTTGGAAGTTAACAGTCCTACTTTACAGGCCAATTCCGCAACGAAGACATCGACCTCACCCACAACCCCGAATTCACCTCCATGGAGTTCTACTGGGCATTCGCAGACTACTACGATCTCATGGACCTAACAGAAGACCTCATCACCGGCCTCGTCCAGCACGTGACAGGCGGTCTGAAGACCACCCTCCACCGCGAAGACACAGGCACCAAGTACGAAATCAACTGGGAGCGCCCCTGGCGCCGCGTCCCCATGATCCCCACCCTCGAAGAACTCACGGGCGAGAAGTTCCCCCCGCCAGACCAATTCCATACGGACGAAACGGGCAAGTTCCTCGAAAAGGTGCTCGACAAGATGGGCCTCGAGTGCTCCGAGCCCCGCACCAATTCCCGCATGATCGACAAGCTCGTCGGCGAACTCATCGAGCCCACCTGCGTTAACCCGACCTTCATCACCGGACACCCGCAGGTCATGTCCCCGCTTGCGAAGCCCGACCGCAACACGCCCGGTCTGTGCGAGCGTTTCGAAATGTTCGCCGCGACCAAGGAACTCGCCAACGCGTATACCGAGTTGAACGACCCGGTGATCCAGCGCAAGCTGTTCCTGCAGCAGATGGAGGACAAGAAGAAGGGCGATGATGAGGCGCAGCCCATCGATGAGACGTTCTTGCATGCCATGGAGTTTGGCTTGCCGCCGACGGGCGGTTGGGGTCTGGGAATTGATCGCTTGGTCATGTTCTTGACGGACAAGTATAATATCAAGGAGGTGTTGGCGTTCCCGCTCATGAAGCCGATTGTGGAGACCAAGACGGAGGTGGCGCCGGATGGGAAGAAGGTCGAGGTTGTGTCTGTGACTTCTTGAGTGATGAGTAGAGACGAGAGGAGAAAAGCGTCCTCGGGATAGGGTATAGAGAGCTTTTGGGGAGCCAATGGGTTTATGGTTTCGCCATGATCGTGGTGAACACGCAAGATCAATGCGGACGCTTAAGATCATCTAGTCTCCATATGGACATTGGAAGCCCGTCATTGATTGGGCCTCACATTCTCAGCATCACCCCTTCTGTGATGATGCCATGCTGTGTTGTGCATGCCTTCTTCAAGCACATTGACGGCATATACAGAGTCAAGACGACTCCCAAGTTAGATGTCTGCGATCCCCTTCCCTGCCTTCCATCCACGTCTCACACCTCTCCCGCCGTTCCCCAATACACCGCCCTCGCCTTCGGAACCCTTTGGCTGAACGGCCCATCCCCTTCATCTCCGTATTCATCCTCAACCTCATCCTCATCATCGAGGTCATACTCCTCGTCGCTCTCCCCCCTATAATGCCTATAGGCATTCCTATCAAACTCATCATCCTCACTCAACTCGTCCTCGGGGTAATCATTCGCATAATACTCCTCGGCATTGGAATCCTCGTCATCCGTATCAAACTCCTTGTCCGTATCTTCATCTCCATTCCACCAGTCTTCGTCCTCTTCTGTCAAGACGATGTAGCCTATTGAGCCCTGGGGTTCGGGAAGCTTGCCGTCGGCATCGGGCATGATGACTTCTCGCACATATGTGTCGTACACGTAATCGCCGCCGGTCGAATCCACGTCCATGGCATCGGGATCCTTGCCCACCGCTGCAGCAGCAGCATCGGCGGCAGCAGCTTGCTCGGGATGACGGTCACGATACCGCCGTTTCGACGCTGCTGGTGATATCGTCTGCGGTGGCCGGACTGGTCGAGTCGGGGTGAGGCCGCTTTCCACCTCCTGGGAGAACTTTTCGAATTGGGCGAGGACTTCGGGCGAGATGTCATTGTTGGCGGTTGACGAGGGTTTAGAGGGGGCTTGGGCCTTGGGGAGGGCTGCGTGGGCGCCAGGACGCTTTCGGGGAGGAGTGGGTTGGTTGGGGGGTTCGGCGGTGCGATTGCTGGCTACTTCGGGCTGACAGGCGGACGGTTCTGGTATGCGCTGCTGCTGTGTCGCTTGTTGCAGCTCAATCTCGTGCTTCTCGAAGAGAACGACATTGCCTCCTGTGCGGGAGACATGGAAGCGGCGCGTAGGTGTCCGCGGTACAGCGGATGATGCATCGACTTGTGTCTCTACCACCGTCCGGACATGCGTGCTCGTAACAAGTCTCCAAACAACGGTTCCCTCATCGCTTTTCGAGCGCTTGCTCTCGCTTTCAGCTGTTCAACGACGCATTAGCAGCTGCGCTCTGAGAAAAATGGGCATCATTCAAAGAGTTGAACCTACGCAGATCGAGCTTGCGCTTCACACGCTTTCCTGCGGGCGAGGCGAGCAGCAATGCCTCCACAGGTTGCTCCCCTCGCTTCCGCTTCACTGATAGGGTTTGAGGGGCGTTGGCAGACATTGCGTGGAGTTGGAGAAGTGGTTGTAACACAATCAATCTATGTAAGGCGGGGATGGTGGGGAAGCCTTGTGTAACGCGCTCACGCGCCAGGACCCTTCAAATCTACTTGTATGTTCCCTTTCAGCTTGGCCAAGCCTACGTCATGTGCAAGATTGTTGTAACGCGCATGCAGCTATGTTTACAGCTTTATAATCTGGTATACACAATATACAACGCACTGTGAGCCATGTCGCGGCAGCCGCTAGAATAGATAGGCAGTAACACGTCGAAGCAAAGGATCACATAATATCTCATTTCGGTAGTACGTCCCAAACATCGATCATAGGGGTATCTAGGTAGATCCAGTAGAGCCACAAATCCATCCACTCTGTATGTCGGGGGACGCCGCCACCCAATGCAAAGCCCGAACGCCATTCCATTGACCCTCAATCCCAAGGTCAAGGACGAACGATCCTGTAGCCCAAGCTGATAGGTGATTACCTCCAACGCCGTGAAATGCCGAGAAGAGGCCCTATTCGAGTGACCACATATCATAACCATAAAACAAGATGAAAGGAGCCACGCCTAGCTGGGGCCAACGCTAGCCACGCTAGCAACACTGCTCTTGCGTGCCGCAGGCGAAGGGCCTGGAAGTTGACCGGGAAGGATATGTCGTGGACCATTGCTCGATGGACCCGCCATACTAATCGAGCTTTGTCGTTTGTTGCCCGGGTTCATGCCACTCGATCCGTCCACGCCTGCGCTTAGAGGTTGTGCAAAGCCTCCTCCTAGACCCCCTGCACTGCTAGGAAATGTTTCATTAGTGGCACTGCTGGGAGCACCCAGCATATTCAGTGCCAAGCCTCTACTTCCAACGTTTTCCGTACTGGGTGTCATGGTCCCAAAGATGGAACCACCATGTGGGCCGCCAAGCGCAGATCGAAGCATGTCTTTCATACGGATGTATTGGTATTTGTGTTTCTGGAGCACCGGATGGCTCGTTGCTAAAGGTCGAGGTCGGTGCCGTATAAGGGCCGCCATGATGGACTCTTTCTCCTCCTCTGAATCTACAGCACCAGAGGGCTCAAGGTCCTCAGGCAATGGAGCGTTGGCATCAATTGCAGCACCTGCAGCACTCTGTTAGCGATGGACGGCTTGGAGGTCTTCGTGGACACTCACGTTGTTGCTTGGCCTGGTTCTTCTTCTGATACTGTGCCAAAAGCATATCATAAGGCAGGCTCCTTCCCGGAACAGCCCGCTTCAAACCCATACTGTGACTTTTGCAGGTAAGGCTTCTGGCACAAAAACCTCCGTTTGGAAGAGCCACACCACACTGCTTCTCCACATCCACAGGTCCCTTAGGCTTCGCCGCTTTAGACTTCGGCTCGTCCTTCTTCTTCTTCTTCGCATTTGGCGCCTTTTCCGCATCAGCATCTATCTTCCTTTTCTTGCCTTTCTTCGCTCCTTCGCCCACGATAGCACCCTTACCAGCAGACTTTCGGGGAGCGCAATCGTCATCTTCTCCTTTCTCCTTGCGAAGCGCGGCATCTTTGGCCTCCTTGGCCTCCTTCTTCTTCTTGAGTTTCTCCTGCTTCTTATTCAGGCACTCGCGGATATGCTGGGCTGAAGCAGATCGGAGTATAGGGCGGCGACAGTACTTGCACTGCAGAGTATCGGGTTTGTCCTCGAGGGGGCGGCCAGTAGGGAGACCTGCGAGCATTGTCTCGTCGGCTGGGTTGACAGACTCAGTTGCGGCCTTCGGAGTTGCAGAAGAGACTTTATCCTCATCTAGAGTCGTGGTCAGGCAGGGTCCATCAAAAGGTAGGTTTATCAAAGTAGTATGGGGATTGTCCTGTGGGGACAAATGGGGGTGGTGACGTACTGAGAAGCTCACTCTCCTTCCAGTTGCCTGGAATCGAGGACTTGGGTGCGGGCTTCTTGACCTTGAGGATTATTTTCTTTCCGCCGTCCGCGACGTCGAGGGCTTTCTTCACGAGGTTGACATCGACCAGCTTCGAGCTGGGAGCCGGTGGGGGCGCTGGACGTCGTGAGCTGGTAAAGCCCGAGGGGGGAACCTGCTCTGCACTTACCTTTGCGAGCCGCGTTGCCCGCCATGATCGACGTTGTATAGGGCTGTCTCTGGTTGTCTGAGCAGCCGGAGCAAAGGAAATATTGTTCGACCGGGTCGTAGGCAATGCACTACCGCGAAGATGCGGAAGTGGTGATGGAAGGTCGTGCGACGACCGGCAGCCTGGTCGCAGACGCGGGAGCGCCAAGTGCTTGCACGTGCACCAATCAGGCGTCCTCTGATTCCCCTTAGTCATCACTACAAGCAAGAAGCTTTACAATGAAGCCAGTGGATTGCAACTCTTCTCATGGTCTTCCTTAAAGAGGCAAGTGAGCTGAGTACAGAGAGCACAGGCAGAACAGTATCGACGTCACGAACGAGACGATGTGCCACAAGCACGTTGTTCGCTATAGAACGGGAGAATGGCTCATACAATGCAAATGCCGCCGTAACACACCTTGATATCCATTCATGCAACCAACGCCAGTCCTTATACACGCCTACCCAAATCACGCTCATGTGCGTGACATGACAACCACTCGACTGCAGGCCTCGAGCATACCAACCCGCCGAATACCCGATATGCCCCTGCGAAAACCCGGCTGAGAGAAACACGCTTGAGACTCCAGAGATATGCTTAGTGGTATATGTGCCAGTAGGTCTAATGCTGGATCGAGCACAGTGTATAATCCATCGTAAACGCCCGGCCCGTGCAACGGAATCATGAAATCATTAGTCGACCATTATAGTACAGTATTCGGCAGCTCCAGGGACAGGAGCGGATGCTGCGGAAGTTCCTTGGTCGGCGCCCTATTTGCGTCCCTTAGCTTTAGTCGCTTTGGTGGCCGTGCCCCGATTTGCTTTCCGTGGTGGCTTGTATTGCTCCATGTAGCTGCAGCCGTGCATCTTCCGTCGGATAGAGTTGGTCCACCGGAGGCAGCGGTCCTTGTAGGAATCCTTGTCCACATATGTCTTATTGCGGGTAGAGACGCGTGTGGCATGTTCGTCGTCTTCGTTCTTAGCCTTCTGCTCATTGGAAAGGTGCTCCTTCATCCTGACCATATATTCAGCAATTCGATCGCGGAAAAGGGTCAGTTCCTTGCGAAGCGCCTTCTCTCGTATTCCCTTCTCGTCGAGCCAGCCTATAAGCTTGTCAAGGTCCTCCGGATCATCGTAATAGCCCCATTCCGTCGAAGAATTCAAGTGAGTCTCGCCTTCTTCCTTCTCTTTGCGCTGCGGGATTGTGAAGCCAAATTCCTGTTGGTCCTCCGTCAAGGCCGGCTCCTCCATGTTGGGTCCCAACTCGTACTGGTCGGGTCCTTGTACCCATAGACGACCATTCGCATATCCGTAGTCAGCAGTTGAGCTGCCTGGAACGCCCCCGAAAGGCATTCCATTGTGCTCGAACCAGTAGTATTTATTCAAGAAACGGTCCTTGCCCATCCATTTGCTACGTTGGACCAATGCCTCTCGAAGGTCGTCGTCCAGTTCATTGATGCTTGCCTCGCATTCCTTGAGCTCTTCCTTCTTTTTCTCGATCGCGTTCAGAAGTGCTTCCCATTCCTTCTGTTGCTTGGTCTTCGCCGCTTCCATCTTAGCTTTCTTGGCCTTCTCTTTCTTAGCCGCCTCTGACTCCCGCTTACGCTTGTTTACTTTTGTGTGACGTAGCTTGCGGTTTCCTGTCACAGGCTCCTCCCCAGATTGGGCGGCCACCTCTTCATCTTCTTTGCCGTCATCGGTGGCGGTCATGGAGACATCAGCGGCGGCCTTCACGTCAGTAGGAGATGGCGGCATGTTTGCAGGCAACTGGATCTTGCGTTCGTTATCCAGCTTGAACAACTCGTCGGCACTGTGAGAATCAGTAAACGGTGCTGTTAGAATGCTCGGGGGAGGGACCCACAGTTCTTTGCGCTTCCTTTGGAAATCAATCTTGTCCTTGCGCATACGGGTCATGTCTGTTGAGGCTTGAACAAGCGACTCTCGAAAGGCTTCCGTGAAAACAGTCAACTGCAATGCCATATCTAGAGCTTGGATGCGAAGGTTGACGTCCATGTGGATGTAGTTATGAGCGATGTTCTCCGCAGATGGGTCCTCATCGACAGGAACCAGCACCGCGAGTACTTCGTCGCATGCCGCCTTCTTGACGGGGCTGAAGGAGAGCTGGTGAAGAAGTCCAACGAGGATTGACTGCCAGCCACCGTCTCTAAAGTTCCGTGTTTTACATGCTTCGATCCAGTTAAACTCCGCGAGGAATTCCGCAGCTTTATGAACCTGCTTTGGAGGTTCAGGAGTAGGAGTCCGTTGTTTGGAGAGAGCATTTGCCTCCGATTTCCTTAAACTACTCCGCGTCGTTCGCACCGGTGGCTCTGGTTCGGGCTCCGGGCTCGCCGACTCACTTGAAGCCTCTTCCGAATCATCAGACTCATCTATCCGAGGGAGGGATACCTGTAGATTTCCTGATTTGTTAACAATCTGTGAAAGAACCGCGCAGTGGACCTCATTAAGGAGTTCACAGTCCACCTCCTCGGATGAAAAGCGTATTGCATCCACAAAGTCATCGAAGGTGAAGGAGTCAAGATAGTAGATGGAGTCATGCACGTTGAGTGTCTCCCAAATGCAGAGAAGGGAACCCATGCTCTTCATCAAGATTCCTGTTTTCTTCACAGGCGGTTCAGCACCCTTAGGGACATCGTCGGAGAAGAATTTCAACCGCGGCCGCTGGACGTCTACACGCGGTTGTTTAATTCTCAAATCCTCGATCGGGTATTTGATCGGCTCGAATGGTTTGGCCAAAGTCGGCGGCGGCCGTTGCGGTAGTGGTGCGCTAGGGGGTAGGGTCTGATATTGCATAAAATTATGCTGAAAAGGCAAGCTGATTGGCAATCCTGAGCCAGCTGGTGGCAAATGCTGGGCTATATGAGCTAGATGTGGCGGAAGTTGCTGGTGTTGCGGGAACGGATGTGGGAGATATGACATTGCTGCGGGACCGGCGCTGAAGAAAGGATGGGCCAGGTGCTGCGGTCTGGAAGGATCCGGAAAAGCGTGTACGGGTCCTCTTGCTTGGTCAGGACGGGGGGGAGGTTGGGCATTCGCCGAGTAGTTGACAAAAGCGGTATGCCGCAACGGTGCTTGGGGTCCTTGGCCATTGACCATAGTTGTGGGGCCATTAATAGGGCCCATCGGCGAGTTGTTTGAATGTCCATTGAGCGCGCTGCTGGTTGAATTTGACGCATTCACTGCCTTCTTTGCGGCGATGACAGCATCTCGGGTCTTAGCTTCCGGGACCGTAGTGGTGATATTGTATCGCTTCGCCAAATGCTCTTTGACAATCCACGGAGCTCCGTACCAAGGTTCCCGAGACACGGCACATCGCAGAAACTGTTTCAAGACGAGTTTAGAGTAGGACCTCCGATCGCGCTGCAGTTCTACCGCTTTATACCTTGTGACTTTCTCATCAGAGCCATCCAACTTCACTGAGTACGTCAAGGATCGAAACTGCTCCTCGGTGGAGGTGCCCGGAAAGACGCTTTGGAGGGTGGCACTGTCGGCAATCTGGTCAATGACCCCAGAGCGACGGCCTCCATCATGTTCGACAATGACGTGGTCCCCGATTATAAAATGTTCTCGAAAGTGCTGCGAAGAGTCAGTTCTCCTCTGATTATGATACGCTGAGATACCGCATACATCAAAAACAAGATTGACTAGAAGCGTGGTAAGCATGGGAGATCATGGACGCAAGATGATACTTCACATACCCAAATCATCCATCCGGGGAGTGTTTCTGAACTGAACGAATTGCAGTACGCGAGCGCGGAGTGCTTCTGGGAATATGCTGTCTATCTCTTTCGAAGTTTCCCTCTGCGGAGAGGTTAGGCTCAGAGTACGGTATGTTCTTAACGCGAATGATACCTCGCTCTCCACCGCCTCGAAAAATGTGTACCCTTGATGCCCAGTCGATTCGCATGTGAAGTTCTTCTATATCCGTGTCAGGACGGCGCAAAACGTGCGGTATGCTCGTGGACTTGCCTGCATATAAAAATCACGCCTAATATCAGGTCAGTGAGCCAATTCGTCTTCCAAACCGTAAAGGACATTGATATTGCCATACCTTGAGAGATATTTCTCATAATCGGTGAAGACCTCTCCTGATTCCTTTATGACATAAACCTGTTCGATGTACTCAGCCCTGGTTCCTCCGGATATCAATATGGTAACGGCTTACTTCGGTGTTGTCATCGAGGAACGGGGGGAGCGGCTCGAATTTGACTGGTTTCCTTTTGTACAAGACCTATTCTGATTAGTAGCGCTTCCATGGAGGTTTTGGACGCGTCTCCCACCATGTTGGCCGATTCCCGCTCATATGGAGAGCTATGATTCTCAGGAGTTCGGTTTCGCGTACAGTTTGCGGAGGTCTTGCGGAGGTGATGCGGAGGTGTCGCAAAGCGTGAATTGAGGAGGGCAGCAGTGGTGAGGGCCCCTTCGTGCGGCAAGGAAGCCCTTATGGCTCGCGGAGGGTCCAATCAACCCAGATAGAGGCTGTTCCCGCACCAAAGATAGCTCTCAGAAAAGTCGTCGCACACGGTGTTGGTTCCAGAGAAGCTTTCCCGACGCGTCGTCGTGCACCTGTGCGCGTGTATAGAGCAAACTCGATGAAACTGATGGTTTGTGGCGGGGCCAGGTGGAGGCGGTGTAAAAGTAAGGTCCTCGTCAAGGTAGGAGAGGAGGAAGAAGGGTCGTCAAAGAGGGTAGTGGTGGAGTGGAAGCTAGTCCTCCTTAGTCAGGCTTCCCGCGGCCTGGGCGATCCACCCCCGTCAAACAGGCAATACCTCTCCCCCTTCACAGCAATCAACGTGCACGGGATACCCCCCGTATTTGTACTCAATCTGATCGTTGGGCTCGGCAGTATTAAGGTCAACTGTCTTATTTCCGTTTTTGAATGAAGAGCTTAGTTTTGGAGGCTATATCAGAGTGGACTCTTGATGGCCCATGTCTCTGCTCCTGGGAACCCTCCCTACCAGCACTGGCCCGCTTGCATTTGGGAACTAACACGCAAGGCAAATCAGCTTCACAAGCCGCATCCAGCAACGGCGAGCAGAAATAACATTTTCAGGAATATGGCCATGTAGCAATACTGATAATACACCTCTAGGTTCGAATATAAAGTTCCACCAAGGTTGCACGCCTGCATCAACAGCTAGGGGGAACTTGCTCCTATATCCGCAGCTTGAGCGCGAGCTCTGGTATATACAAGCAGTAATTGTGAGTGTACGTCTTTGGAAAGAGAAATGAACCGAAGATTACTGTAGGAAGCCGTCCTGAAGCGTGACTTTCCCATAATTCACTGTCAAACCTGACGCCTACGACACCGCACGGATGGTTACATCCACGCCATTTCCGCAGTAGTGAAAAACAGGTAGAACGCCATGGATGTATTTTGTCTTCACGACAACTGTCAAGAATCGAAATATACTACAGAGAAACCCAACCAGCTCGCTACCACCCCAATGGCTGAATAGGAGCTGATGAACATCAGGGGTAGGAATTCCAGCCTGGACCCAAAGATCAGGCGGTGGATCAGCGAGCAGTATGCGATCAAAGGGATCGAAAGAGTAATGTAAATCAGCGAGAAACGATCGAGAAGCCATACCCTGGGATGCGGTGACCTGTAACGTAAGTTAAACAAAGGTCCGGTTGAGTGTGAGCGTGAGTACGTACGCTGGAGCTAGTCGATCAAAGACCATGAGAAATAGCACAAGCCAGAAGATGGTGTAGACTGTCTTCACAGGAAATTCCGCAGCCGTGAATAGAAGAGGAAAAAGCGACACATGGCCGGCCACTGCCAAGGGTCTGAAAGCACCCAGATACCGGCGATCTCTCAGGGCAATAAGGCTGAAGGGTATGATGACAATCAAGATCGCCTTCTCATGCACATGCCAGCCGAAGAGAAACGAGGCATAACCACAGAGGGTTACGGCGCCTACGAAACTCTCCCAGGTCGGCCTGATAAATAGGCGCAACAGAAAGGGCTAGACACGGTCAACATTGACCGATGTTAAAGATCGAGGGGAACCTACTATTTGCGCTACAAGTGTCAAGACGAAGCAAGCCAGCGGAGGCACATCAGGAAGCACGGCAAAGGACGTGTCACCCACAAGGCCTCGGGTGACGCTATTGATCGCCTCACTGTCGACCGTTAGACCGAGGTGTGGCGCCACTGTGTTATGTCAGTGACATTCAGCAACCATGGTTTAGAGCAGCGCACAGTAGATCAAGACTCGGTCCGCGAAAGAATATAACGCCCAGACATTTGGTGCCCAGTAAGCATGGCAGAGGCCCCTGGAGAATGGAAACAGGCGACGAAGAACCTGTTCTAGCTGACCCCAGAGCACGAAGGGTCCGAAAGCAACTGTAAAGACCGATGCTACGCCTAGGCCCAGTTTGATGCAGTTAAGAAGCTTGATGCTAAGGTATGGGAACGCCGAACGAGAGCTCAAGCAGTACTCCCGTAACAGGTACACGAAATAAGCCGGTGCCAGATAGAGGTAAATGTGCTTGAAGCAGAGCAGGACCGCAAAAAGAAGGCCACTTAGGAGCACAGTGGAGTTGCTACGGGCAAGCACCAAGGAGAGAACGAGGAATCCGAACAGGAATCCATTGTACTGGAAATGGATATGATCGATCAACAGCAGGCCCGGAGAAAGGAGAACCGATAGAGCGACAGCATGTGCTGTCGTCTTGGACTTGGATGTTTTCACATAACTGGTAAGTCTCAGTGGTTGTCAGATGAGGGGGAGACGGGGCTGGGTACAGATGCAAGGCGTATACCAGAACCAGCTCACTTAGGATGACAGTAGAGCGCTGGAAATACACTGTCTGCCAACTGGCATAGTTCAGAGACTTGACATTGAGAAGACGCGAGTCAACCAAAGCTGCGGCGTGAGAGAGAAGCCACTCAAAATAGGCAAAGAAAGGCGGATAGTCTAGAGTCCATTCCGAAGTTTTCTAAGGCGTGCATTAGCGCTGCTCTATAGGTTCCCTGATAGATAATCGCCCTCCTTACTTCATAGTACCATTCTTTGACAGGCAGAGAATGGGTTAGTGCCAGCCAATTCCGATGAACCTCAAAGTCTGTGGATTTGCTGCGCGGTCAAGTCAGTTGGGAGGCATGGAGGGAAACACGAAGAGGCACGGTTGACGCACTATGCAGGAAATAAAAGAACTTTCAAGGCTGTGGCCACGACGGCGCACTGCGCGATGGTCGGATACAATTCTGACATGAGAACATGGAGCGTGCGTGCGATGAAGGGGACGCGAAACAAGCAGGTGAGGGTTGAAGGTTGAGGTTCAATGCCAAGGCGTGGCTAGTAACTGGATATGTGGCGGTGCGGGACCCTCGCAAAGGCTGAGACTCGGTGCGCACAATTGATCTCCTCACAGGTCCTATTTGGTAGTTGCAGTCGTTTCCTCTCCAGCCTATGGTTGATTTGATTTTCACCAGTCGCACTGTACTGCGGTATATCATATCAGGTACGGGATACTAGAACTGGGCGCGTGCGGCACTGTTTCCCCTGGTGTAACCGCGCTCGTGTTTCTGCGAATGAGCAACGGTCACTAGCCCAGGACCAATCTGTCAAGTCCTCTTACTATATAAATCATATTCACTATATGTCCCGGCTCTCGCACAGTCTGCACTTAACCGGCGCACGTTCTGCGAGGTATGAACGGGCTACTTGTTGGGGGAGCTCAAAGAGAATCAAATGCAATAACTCTACACTACACACTACTTGGAGATGGCATTTTTACTATCAGTATGTACGGAGTACTGCATCGCGTCTCGGTCGCACGTCTTAACTGCACCCCTTTGTGCGGCGGCAACCGCTGTGCATACACACGTGTACGCATGTAGATCCGGCATCCTCACGGCTTCTGGAACAAGCGTAGGTAAGAAAGGGCTGCAGCAACCCCCTTCCTCTGCCCCTCCCCTAGATCCAGGGTCTGGTGCTGGTGGTGGTGGTTCGCTGGCCGATTCGGGACTGCCCAGGTGCAGGTGGAGGGTCGAGGTCAAAAGCGTCAACGGCGCTAGTCCCATTCGGGCACCGTCATTTGCGACTGCCTCCTGTCCTGCTCCTGGGCATCTGGGCCCTCACCCGTTCATGTTCCTCCTACGAGCCCTCCAGTTTTTCCCTCCATCCTCCATCCTCCGATCCTCATCTCCCTTCTGTGACGCCCCCTCCCCCGTCCCTCGTTATCTGCTCTATCTTTCATTAGCTTCGAGGCCCCGCTGACAAAGAACGCCTCGTCGCTCCATTCATTATTATTGTTCACTCTTTCAACCCTTTCCAACTCTCAACGCGAGGGCCCTCCAAAAACCACTCCCGCCGTCTCCGTCGACGGGTCCTACTTGATCGTTACCGTCGCTGCTGCTGCCTTCGCTCAGCTCCAAGATCATCACCGCGTCCCTGCTGAGAGAGGTCGACACGCGCTCGGATCGGCGTGGATTCGCTTTTGAGCAATTGGGCTCGAGGGTCTATTCGAGCATTCCGCACCTTGTTTGGTTACCTCTGAGCCTTCAATTCAGAATTTCCGTCTTGTGATACCCCTTGTTGTACGGCCATTGTGTTGTCCAAGTATGCCCCCTTCCCCTGACCTATCTTGCTTTCGCGCCTAACTGACCTGGAATCCTGCAGGTTATCGCACTCCGTGTTAGACGCCGTCCAGTCTCCTCAATTTACATCTGTCTTGCACCCGTCTTCGGCTGCACCGAGTACCATAATACTTCACGTCTGGGCTTAGGTGTACCGGACGTCCAACTACGTCTTCGCCACGGCTGTACTATCCCAGAACCCGCGGGACAGCTTTGTTCTGCCTCCGCATCTCCTCGCTATGCAGCAACACGATCCTGCCTCGACGGCCCCGAACGGGCCTCGCCTCCAAACCAGTTTCCAGAGGCAGATGAATGGCCATACTGGCTTCTCCCATGGGGCCTTTAACACCAACCAACCTGGTTATGCGGATAGACACCCGGAGAGATCCAATATTCCCAACATCAATACCAACAGGCTGGTGCAGAATGGCCAGAATGGCGCTGACTTGCAAACCCCTGGGACGGGATTTGACATGAATTTCACTCCGTTACTTCCATCTCAGTTGCTTCTGGGCAGTCCCTTCCAGCCGGGATCACCTTCGGCATTTGCTTCGCCGCAGTTCCAAAACTTCGCTTCGTTCACTGGCCAAAACCAGTCGCAGCCCCAGCACAACCAGCAGAATATTGGAAGCCCTGTCCAGATGCAGCAACCGCTTTCCCCCGGGCTGTACCCGAACTTGGTCTCTCCCACGGCCCTGAACGGTGGCTTCTTCGCAGGACCCCAGTCTCCTACCGGCGCATACTCTGGCTTTGGTGCTCAGGGTCTAGGCGGTCTTGGCTCATCCCTTCCTATCGCTCCCGGTCTGATCTCAGGAACGAGCCGGACCGTGTATCTGGGTAATATTCCGCCTGAGACTTCAGCCGAGGAGATTTTGGGTCATGTGCGAAGCGGTCAGATTGAGTCCGTCAGGCTGTTGCCCGACAAGAATTGTGCTTTCATATCTTTCCTCGACAGCAGCTCGGCCACCCATTTCCATTCCGACGCCATCCTTAAGAAGCTGTCTATCCGCGGCCAAGACATCAAGATCGGATGGGGAAAGCCATCCCAGGTTCCCACATCGGTTGCTCTCGCCGTTCAGCAATCTGGTGCCTCTCGTAATGTCTATCTTGGTAACCTGCCAGAAGATGTCACTGAAGACGAGCTGCGTGAGGATCTGAGCAAGTTTGGTCCTATCGATACCATCAAGATCGTTCGCGAAAAAGCTATCGGTTTCGTTCATTTCTTGTCCATTTCTAACGCTATCAAAGCTGTCGCTCAGCTTCCTCAGGAGCCCAAGTGGCAGCCGCCGAGAAGGGTCTACTACGGGAAGGATCGGTGCGCGTATGTTTCGAAGACGCAGCAGCAGAATGCTGCTCAATACTTGGGAATTGCGCCTGGTTACTCTCACATATTGAGCGGGGCTGATCGAGACTTGATCTCCAATGCACTTGCACAGCAGTCGGTTGCTGCTGCAGCAGTTGCTACGTCAGCCGGCGGCGTCAACAATCTGGGGAACAGAACCGTCTACTTGGGTAATATCCACCCCGAGACGACTATCGAGGAGATCTGCAATGTTGTACGAGGCGGTCTGTTGCACCATATCCGATATATTCCCGACAAGCATATTTGCTTCGTCACCTTCATTGACCCAACCTCGGCCGCCTCATTCTATGCTTTGAGCAACCTGCAAGGCCTGATGATTCACAACCGACGGCTTAAGATTGGCTGGGGAAAGCATTCGGGGGCCCTACCTCCTGCCATTGCCCTGGCCGTCAGCGGTGGCGCTTCCCGCAACGTTTATATCGGAAATCTTGACGAGTCCTGGACGGAGGACCGCTTGAGACAGGATTTCTCCGAATATGGTGAAATCGAACTTGTTAACACCCTCCGTGAGAAGAGCTGCGCGTTCGTCAACTTCACGAACATTGCCAATGCAATCAAGGCCATTGAGGCTGTCCGGGGTCGTGAAGAGTACAAACGGTTCAAGGTCAACTTTGGAAAAGACCGTTGCGGGAACCCTCCTCGACAGCTCAATTCCAACCAAAATCAACAGCCGCGCGCCGGTAGCGATGGCGTACAGTCACCGTCCCCTATCAACGGCCTGCAGCCTAATCGTGGCCAACCAGGACCCTCTGTTTCTCCCACCGGCTCAGGCGCCCCTGGATCTGGAGGAAGTACGAATGGCCAGTTCCCAGCCATCCAGGCACCAGCAAGCATCCTGAACACAGGCGCTAATAACCCTCTGATGATGTATCTCCAGGCGCAGCAGAACCAGCAACAACAGCAACAAGTCGAAGCGGTCATGCAGCAACAGCAACAGCAACAGCAGGCAGCACAACAGCAGGCAGCGCAACAGCAGCAGCAACAACAACAGCAGCAGCAGCAGCAGCAGCAGCAACAGTCTTTTGCGTCTCAACAAGCGGCGTTCTATGGTGCCGATATGAACTCGAACTCAAATCCCCAGCCTCACCAATCCCACACCGCACACAATAGCACCTCTAGTTTCAGCTTGATCAACGGTACCTCGAATGGCTCGGGCCCAACTACTGTCGGCGGGCTATTGGCGCCCTCCAACCTGAATGCTCGCGCCCAACACGCCCGCGCTGTGAGCCTTCCTGTGTTCACGCAAGGACCCTTCACACAGCCACTGCAGCAATCTCAAGCCCCCCAGCAAAGCTCGTTTGGCAGCCTAAGCTCCGGCATCGGTGGCTTCGGTAGTGGAAATGGTGGCTATGGCCTCGCAATTCAGGGCGATGGAGGCCTTCCCGGATGGGCTGAAGAGGATGCGGACGGTCACCACTAGACAACAGAAGGATGACACAAAGGACTTCTCTTCCACTTCTCTGTGCGATACTTCTTTGATCACTCGGCTTAGCACTCCCACTCATCTCACGAGGAGTATTCGATTTCCCGCTATATCCCTGCATTTGCCTGGTTTCGGTCTCGGTTCGGGTTATGTTACTGAGATATGTTGTTGTTCCGCTCTCGGTTGGATGGTGTCCCACTTCCTTCTGGGCGTTCCTTCCCCTGTTGTATTGTGTTTAACTAAGCTCCAGTTTTCTTTATATGGTTTTTTTCGAGACTACCTTAATAGTCAGATATTCCCTTAATAATTTACCCCCTTCGCGTTCTATGCCCACATTGAACTTTGTTTTAGTAGCACTTTCGTGTTTTGTGGAACTCGGGTTGGTGTTGCTGCCACTCCGCTTCTTTCTTTTCCCTTATTCTTTGTCTTTGCGTAGGGGGATGCATCAACAGAGTCGCTGATTGGTGGGTTGGTTGGGTGAGCGGGAGGTGGAAGGACGTTTGCAATACGCGAGTAATGTGGTAGCTGTTGGTGTTGGTGGCGGACAAGTGGCAGGCCTGGATATCGGATTCTATTGAGTGTACAGGCGTGCCAATGTAGGGAACAAGGTTCAGGTTTACATATGTGAAAGTGGACATGTCCGTCGAGGCTTCTGGAGCAGTGGGAATAGAGTAGCGGGAGGGATAGGGAATGGAAGGGCGGGAGAGCAATAATATCTCGTTCATGTTACAAGTGTATGCTTGTCTTTTCGCACGTGGTTTGTTGGGTGGTGTTAGAGGTATGGCGGGATGCGAGGCGGAGCGAAGTCTCAACAGTTCAGGGTTTGTTTAAGCGTTTGGGGACCGTTGACAAGTCTGAACTCATGTAAATCCTACGCGGTGTCCGCTATCCAGTCGAGTCTACTGTTCCAAAGAGAAAGAACCGATCAATGATTCCTGCAAGATATGAATGATAGGATTCTATGCTCCGTAGTTGCTATGGTGAGGTGCACTGCATAAAGAGCGGAAGTGCATTACTGCCCTAGAGAAGCGCATAAGTTTTAAAAGGTCAGCTTTACATACTTATAATAAGCTCTACTACGTTAGAGAGATGCCACCATCGTTCTCACAAAAATGCTATCGACCTTGGTGAGTTTTTCAATCCGTTAAAGCACATATATTTCAAGCACAAGTTGATATCTTTAATACCAGGACGGAGGTACGACGCTTGAAACCGATTTCTATAGTAGATCTATGAACATTACACCAGCGGCTGCAGATACACTTATGAATTCCTCGAGTATCAGCAACGGATGAAATTTTGCGTTCGCAGCGACATGTTGTTCACCGGGTGCATACTATACTACTCAAAGCTAATGCGCCGGTCACCTCCCTCAGACCTAAGTGCCCATGCACATAAGAGCACGAGCTAATACGGTAGGCAGGGAATTCTCAATTTGCGGTACTCAGACTCCCCTTCTCCATACTACAGTCGGCGGAGCAATTCGCACCACATGCGCACAATCGCGGCCGGACTTTGCGCTTCTCCGCCTCCCACGGACGAATGCCTGAGCGGCTCTGGCCCCATCATGACTTCCTTGATATCGAGATTCGACGACTGAGGCAGATCCAAACCTGATTGCAGCCTTTGCCATAATCCGCGAATATGTTCTTGTGCGTCTGCTACGAGCGCTTGCGTGTATTCTTCATCATCGACGACGTTGTTATGGGTTTCACTGTCGGCGTTGACGTTCTTGTATGTGATTTCCAGAATCACTCCGGGCGATCGCGTGTCCCACCTCAGTTCGCCGCCGAAGCGCCGTTCGCGCGATGCCGTGACGATGCCCACGCGCATGTGGAATGTGCCGGTATCACACCCCTTGTCCGGGTCGTACATCCGTATCAAGCTACACAGCTGTCCGTCTTGCACTTCGAATGCACGACGGAAGCTCCAGAGGCCCGTGAGCTCGAGGAAGTTGATGTGGTTCTCGGCGGAATCGGCGGGGACCTCGACGATTGCGCCTGGGGTATAAGGAGCATCGGTTCCTTGGGATACTGAAGCCTTGTGGGTGGGGTCTTTTTGCGAGGAGGGTTTCTGTATGCAACAGTACGCTCTTTCTGGGTTCACCTGATTCTCCTCAATCTCCTGGTCGTCCTGATCCGAATAACGTAGCTGAAAGATGTGCTGGTAAGAGGGCGGTTGTGCAGGTTGTCCCGGTTGTCCTTCGGACTGAGAGGGATGCAACGTGGTGGTTTGGAGGACACGGTTCCGCATAAACCAGGTTTTATAATCCACCCAATCGTAGTCCTTCCGCGTGAAAATTGTCTTGATGGAGTTGTCGATCGCCTTTGAGGTCTTGGTCGATTCCTCGAGCGTCCTGGCCGGGCTGGGAATGAAGTAGATCCTGAAACTCATGTCAGAATTGGCCTCAAATGCGTAGATGCTGTGTGGGAGTCGCGATATACTGACCCGGCATAATCCCTCCGTGGCATTGTCGAGGCTGTTGCGAAGTGTTGAGAGGGATGGGTGTCGGTCGGCCTCCGAGGGTCGCACACAGTAGCCACTTATTTGCGCGCGAATTATCTCCAAATAAAAATAATCGTAGAAATAGGGTGTTTTGAAGAAGTGAGCTGAGGGTGAGTATGAACGATTGTGGAGAAAAGAGACAATAGGAAGTGGATCTTCCCGATCGATGGGAGCGAGCCAAAGGTCGCGCGGACCCTGCTAGCTGCTGATCCAGAAAGTGCGCCTTGTATGATGTCCATGCAGCTTTTCTCGGTGCGGACTCGGTCGCATGTTCAGAATTGGGTTTCAAGGGAGGCTTTTGGTAAGTGAAGGATGGAGCTAAAATGAGGTTTGGTTGCATAACTCGGAACGCTCTCAATGAGCTCGGAACGAGTTCGCTTTGTAAGCACACCGCCCCACCAATAGTGGCGCTGCGTCGTGGCTGCACTCCTTTGCACCCGTGCATACAAGAAACATACAAAACGCACGATAACTCCGTACTATGACCCCTCAGATTTGAAAGGTTGTCCAAGGTCGCTAGGATTGTCATAGCGTAGTGCTGCTATTACGCATCAATCTGTGCCTTCAAAGTCCACCTTGAATAGCAAATGATGACAGTATGAGTACCAGGACATTGATAATCGCCCACACAAGGGGAATCCAGGTCGACATCTTGAAGTAACCGGATTGATACACGGCACCTAGTCTATGCTCATCAATCACTGTAAATGATCTCCCCGAGCAGATTTCAACTTACAGGCCTCCCACCACACTACCGGCGATAAGGCCCTCAAGCCCAGCAATGACAACATACGCGATGGGCGTTATCCATATCAGTTTCCAATTCCGCCATTGAACTACACATGCCCAGAACGCGACGACAAGATGGACGGCTCCATATAGCAGCAGAGTCCAGACGGTGGTAAAGCGCCATATGTCGGTTGGGTGGTACAAATAGTATGGTCGAACAGCTGAGACGGGGAGTGGCCAATAGAGGGATGGGAATGCTGGGGTTTCATAACCTTGGGGGGCAGCGCTCCCCACGCGCTGAATGAAACTGTAGCCATCTTTAAGCAGAACGCTTCGAAGAGTATGGTTAAGTACATACCTCATTTGACCATCTCTTCAGCTGCTTGCGGTTGGCAGACCGTTGATGGATGTTGCCTCTTTAGACTTGAATCGTGGAAGTCCCACTGTAGCTCCGCGGTCCCGGGGTTTTGCCGACAACCTCGGTTGCCAAGACGTTAGCTGAATGCTTCCCGCACTTGCTTAAGCAGACGTCAATCCAAGAGACGCGTGCTCGTTGCCGACCGTTTTGCGCATTGCAATCGCCCACAATGCCGGCGGATCGCCTACTCGCGACGCTTCTGCGATCCCTTCAGACGTATACGGATCAACAAGATACCCCTCGGTATGCTTCCCATTCTGAATCGTGTGATCCAATCTAATCCACATCAACAGCATCTTAGGAACCGCTTCCTCGCTCCTTACGACCCTCGGCAATCCTCATAACCTCAGCTTACTTACGTCACATCTTCTCACTGCGCCCGCGCTCTGGGATACCCATGATGGAGTCCAGACCCCTTTCCGAATCTTGTCCGTGTTCCATTCCGCAATAACTACGGTCATAAACTACCATAACGATGTACGGCACCATAAGGCACCAGAACTACTTCCCGGTCAAATACCCACAGGAGGAGGTCTGTCCCTGGACGACTGGGTCCGCGCGGTTGTATCAGGGGCGGACGAGCGCAGCCAACGATGGAAGCATTTGATTGTCATAGGAGGTTTGTTGATTGGGATAGGGAATTTGGAACAACAGGGCTTGGATTTATACTGGGCTTCCGGCATGAGGAGAAGAGTTGAAGGTGCTTTCGTTAAAGCCACCAATATGGCGCTTGTCGAAGTGCGAGAGCGCGCTGAAGCTGAAGGGTTAGGGGGCCACACTATCGCCCTAACCCTGAATCATGCCTTTAGCTGCCTTTCCAATGCGGAGCGCTCCCTAATTGACTACGATCGACTTCTCCCGGTTCTCATCGGCACAGCTTATTTCTCGAATGAGGGGTTTCAGTCGGCCTACTTCCTAGGTGGGCTGGATCTGGACGTTCAGACCAAGGGCGAGAGGTTGGACTGGCCTGTAAGAATGCAGTATATCTGTAATGGTTGGACGCCATGCTGACATATTAGGCACATTCTACATCTTTCCGACAGGTTCAGGGGATCATGTCACGGCCTATGGTGTCCTCTATGGGTCCATTGTCTCGACTGATCGCACATTCGGTTGAGAACGTCAGAGATCCTTTACTTGTACAGACCATGATGGACGACCTAGCCAGCTTCGCAAGGGCTTTGACAACACAATGGCGCCAGATCAAGCTTTCTCAGATTGACCCTGCCGACGAGCCGGCGTGCCTTACAGAGGAAGCACTGAATAAGACGCTTCCATTGCTGTGGAAGCTTTTGAAGGCAGCTCTATTCGCCACTACCATCATCCTGCGAGGAGTTTTCACCCGCACCATCGGTGACGGCGCACTTGCTGCGGACGCTGTCGCACCTATCCTCGCATCACAGGCCCTTCACACGCTTCGTCACCTCTACTTCATCACCTCTAGACTTGGGCCGGCCTCCTTCTCACAACATACCTTTGTCTATCTGACGGCCATTGATATACTCTCGGCCTACCCGAGGCATGCTGATAGGTTCCTCAAAGCGATAGCTCCTCAACAACTTGGTCAAATACCGCGTCACCCCCTCGACAGGATATTGGACTTGTACTTCCTCAACACGGCTGAGCACTTCTCCCTCGTCTTGTCCCCTACCACGAACGAGGAACTGCTGGTTGCTTCGGCCGTTCCCTATCTAGCATCGGGGGGGAACAACAACATGCTCCCCATATTTGAGGCTGCACATAGTGTCATGCTCTCTGTTCTTTCTGCTCCTCAATCGGCTGACATCACTGCAAAGCACCTCCCATTCTACATCGACGCACTCTTCAGCGTCTTCCCTCAAAATCTCTCCCCTCGTCAGTTCAGACTAGCTTTTAGGACCCTCATGCGAGTGACCGCCCCTCCGTCCGCCCTCTCAGCCTCTCACCCCGACTTACCGGCCACATTACTGGAACTGGTATTCCACCGCGCTCTCCACGCGCCAACAGTAGCATTACCGCCTGACGAAACCACGTTGGCGCTCCAAGGTTCCGATGCGCCTCCTCCGCCTCTGTCGGAACAAGCTGTCTTAGCGCTTACCCTTCTTGATGCCTTGCCTTACCTTTCGATACCCCTTCTCGAGGAGTGGATGCCTCTCTGCGCCCAGTTGCTCAATAGGATCGACGATGGCATGATGCGGGAAGCAGTGAGAGCGAGATTCTGGGAGGTGCTGGTTAGTGGGGAAATGGACCCGGAGAGGAGCGGAGTCGCAGTAGCTTGGTGGACGACTAGGGGCGGGAGGGAGATGGTTTTATTTGGGAGAGAAGGTGGAGAAAATGAGTCCATGATGATGAGCGGCGCATTGCCGGCGGTGGGCACGCCGCGTGAAAGTAAGCTGTGAAGACACGTCAGAAACATTTGTTCTACGAAGACATAATTCTGGGGCCGAGCATGGGTGCATTATGACCTCTGGTCTTTCCCATCTCCACAAAGCTTGGTCGGCTCTCTGCCACAGCGAGCTATGGGCTGATGATGAGGAGCAGCATGCCAGGACCCGCGGAACAGGTGGTTGCTTGCCAATTTCCTGTCTCATTCACATGGAGAAAGAGGATGATTCCCGAGGACTGGACGCAAGCGTAGTATGAAGAGAGAGGTGTTGAGGTTGGATAATGACTGTGATACCCAATGGAAGTAGAGGAGTATACGAATCAACAAAAAGAGATATACACATACTGTCTTAAGGCGGATTGCTCATATTCTCGGTGCCGTCACGAAGAGTCGCAGCTATGAGGTCGTCAAAAGAGCTATCGGAGGCCAACATCTGTTACACTAACGCCACACCACCACATCCCGTCTTGACGACGCTGCATCACCGCACCACACAACGCCGCCTTCTTAAAAGAAGAAAAAGTGCTAGTGGTGTACATCTAAGGCGGAGCCGTGCCCTGGTCTAAGGAGAAAGATTTGTGGAATCTATAAGCACCCAATATCGGGTGAGGGTCTCCATGGCCTTCTTCGCCCAACACCCAACGCCCGCTTCGCCACTACCACCACCACACTACCCCCGCCACCGCAGCCCACAACACACAGTGCCACCTTCCCCTAGCGTACAAAAATATATACACCCAGGCGGCGGCGCAGGCATACGCCTAGGGCATAAAAAATTGGCAAAAACTACAGGCACCCCGACTTTTTTTGCGGGGTCATCTGTAGAAAAGCCTCCATTCGACGTTTTTTACCCTGATATTAAGGCAGACACGCTCTCGCCACAGGAATCGAACCCGGCGTCCTCGCTTCGGGGAGATCTCTAATGCGTGAATCTTAATAGGCATTCTCCCACTCCGCTAACACGGGTTGATTTGGTGATAGGAAGGGAAAAGATTGTGGTTTATATAGGGCTCGAGGGGGATTATTGCTGTAGGAGAGTGCGGGTGCGGTGGATGATGGTGTATGGTGAGAGTGAAGGTGCGCTCTTGCCGCTGTTGTTGTTGTTGTTGCTGCTGGTACTGGTGTTTGCGTTGCTGGCTTTCACCGACTGCGAGCTTCAGTGGCAACCCACTACACGGAGATATCCGATCAGTGGGCCGATACCTCTTGTACAGATTGCCCGTTAAGTCAGAAGGGTCATGGCAAAGCATTTATCGTACAAATGGTGCGTGCTCTGCGCGTCTGGAGTTACATCTGTTGTCCACAAGGGCAACGCGACACTGACTACGTATCCTCTGTTTACCCACTAGCTTATGGCATCCGAGATAACAAGTATCCGCATAAACCTGGCTCATGATATCTCGATGCAGCCTCACCTTACCTCGACCTTCATTCGCACGATAGCCGCGCTTCTTTCAACCTCACCACCCGATAGCACTCCGGCTCCCCACCGAGGGGTAGGATGTATCCCTTCAGCAAACCGGCCTCACTGTCCGCAACAACAAGGCCGTAGCTCACACGCCGTTCCCAAACTCGCCGAGCCAGCCTTCGCCTCACTTCTGCGGTCGCCTCAGCCCGTCCCTCCTCATCTGACCACCACCTCCTCCCCGACCTCACCTCGACCTTCATTGCGTAGTACTTCAGGCCACACAAGCGTCGGTCCGTTGAAATCCAGGGAAGCATCGCAGCTCCAGTGTACACTCCTAAACAGAATGCTGCATTGTACGCAGTTATAGCTCATAACACTATCAGATCTTCTTGGATATACGTTGCGATCTAGAATAGCGAGGAAGCACAAGGTCTCTGCTCGCATGACGCGCCATGTCTTGTGTTCATGGGGTAACTGAACAGATTTGAGACTTATGAATCTCCATTGGCCACATCAAGAAGAGACTCTTTGAGTAAGCCCCGCCCATGCCCCATAACCACGCAATATCGCAAGTGCAGAAGGTACGAAATGACTCTCTCCGCAAGCGAAGAACTCTACCGAAGAGCTAAACTCTCTTTACAAATATGAATCTTCCAATTTGCATCCACCAGGACTAGGACCCCACGTGACCAACCTCAACCTGTGGAAACCATACCTTGCTTCCAGCTTCACGCTGCACTTTGGACATCTTGCATCTGCAGGGGTGGCAGGGAGGTCTGGCGACACTTTCGGGGCCACGCATCAGGTCGGCTGCCTTGGTTTCTTCATAGGTGAGGTTGGCGACAGAGGCCCTGATAAAGCCAATCTCGCAACTGATTGCATGTATAAATGAAGACCATGTAGACGGTGTACATTGAAGTCTATACATTGATCAAGTGAATATGGTACATTACCGAAACCTTTCAAACTTCTCCTCTTCCTTCATCTTCAGCTTGACCAAGTCCACGATCTTAGCGTCATATAACGCCTCCGGCGACTTGTCCCCCTTAAGTACCTCCTTCTCATGCTTAGCGGCCTCCTCCTTCGTCATGCACACCAAGTCCTTCATCTGAAGCAGCGTATTTTTCTGTCCCGGTGTGCGGTTGTCGATAAAGTCTTCACCCGGTCTCTCCCACCTAACCAGGCAAAGTCGGGTGAATAATCCGCTAATGACGCTTCGTCCATTATACACCTCTTCAATCAGATACCCGACATCGTCTTGCGTGATAGGGATCTTGAGACCCTGTGAGTCGAACCCTCTGGTCCTTGCAATCCTCTCTTCCGAGCCTTGGAGTGCGCCCAGAATGCCGTTGTACATGGCATCTCGTGACTTCGATGGCAGGTACTGATGCGGATACCCGGTTATCTCCAGAATGACGTGGTTCGCCACACAGAGCCCGAAGATAGCTGGCATAGTGCCCAAAACAGGTAAAATTCGGACTCTGAAATCTGGCAGCACACCGAGCTCTCCAACGCTTCCTTTGGCAAACTCTTCTTCGGGTAGAGGAAGAAGCTCGGCCTTTCCTGGTCCTGGTTTCTCCGTAGAATATACGACGGGAATGCCATCCTTGACTCCAAGAAGACGGAGTCGTCTCCTTGTGGACTTGGATAGCGGATCATCGGTACTGTTGGAGATGTCGCCAATGAATATCTTGGTAGGATCGGACTTGCAACCAGCGCCCATGGAAGATATTACAGGGATTTTGTTCTTGTGGCAGTAGTGCAGTAGTGCAACTTTACTGTCAATGTTATCTATGGCATCGATGACAAAATCCGGAGCCTGGCCGTTCATGGGTGCTAGCTGTAGGTCTGCTGTGGATTCGCTGAAAAGCTCGTTTCTGCAGTCGAAGTGCGTCCAAGGAGTGATTTGCTCGAGACGGCGTCTGATGCAATGGACTTTTGGAGTCCCTACATCTGCCAACGTAGCCACTGCGTGACGGTTGAGGGAAGAAAGGGTTACTTGGTCGAAGTCGATGAGCCGAAGTTTGGATACTCCGGACCGAGCCAGTGCTGCTGTGGCATGGGAACCCACTCCGCCGCAGCCGACGACAATTACGAATGCAGAACGGAGTTTCTCTAGTCCATCATCCTTCAGAAAAACTCTGTTTCTGGCTAGTTGTTCGAGAATAAGGTCTGGAGAGAGTCAGTTCCATGTTGCAGTTATATAGGGGATGAAGACACCGAACCATCATCATAGTCTCCTCGCCGAGCTCGAGCAGCGAGCTCCATACTCCGCTCATCTTCCTTGCTAGGAGCAAAAACTTGGGAGGCTGCTCCGAATTCAGTGAGCTATAAATGTCTTAGTTCGTCCCCAGGATGTATTGAGGAGTCAGGCAGAGTATACTATACCCTTAAAGGGTCATGTCATGTATCACTTACTCTTGTTGGAGTTTGGTCCTCTTCGCCTGGCTCAGGTATTGAGTCCTTCAGCTTGGCTACCCTATACTGTCGCCGCACCTCTTGAGCTCCAAGAATTGCACCTCCAACCACCACACCGGATACAATGGCTGTTGTGATCAATTGAGCACGATGAGACGACGTCGCTCGGGATATCCACGACGACATCGTGCTGATCATGCCGTATCACACGTTTTGTTATTATAGAGGGCGAAATCCCATCCTTGAGACCAATCTATATATTTCGAGAAAAACAAGAAGGTTATGTTTGAACATTAATGGCCACTCCGCGTTAGAACGGCACTGAAGAAAGCTACCAGAAACCGACGCTAGCCCCAAACAAGAGTAGCGCCGCCCCAAACCTCAAGCATTCTTCCAGCGCTTCAAGACATCCAGATGACATCGATATCTCCAGTCGCCTAAGACCACCGACCTTGTTTTCGACGCGTCCGAGACATTTTCCACGCGCTAACTGCGCGTGTGATCTTGGAGGTGCTGCGGGCTACACTTGAAGTAGTGTGAGCCATCCCATATACCCCTTCCGTCCCACAACAGCAAACCTCGCTGCAACGATTGCAATGTCGAAAGTCACATTCGCTATCATTGCGGCAGCCGCCGGCGCAGCGACCGGCGCAGCTGCGACTGCAGCATTGTACTCCACCAAGAAGGAGACCCCGACCCCTGTGACAACAACGACTACGACAACCACGACTGCTGCTCCGCCCCGACCAGTCCCTGCGCCAGCGCCCATCTCTCCTGCAGCGGCTCCTGTTAAGAGAGCCCTCGTCGATCCGAACGGCCTCTTCCAATACGGCTTCCCAGGTCCTGTAGCCGACCTCAAACCAGCCTCCTCCCTTACCTCCTCATTTGACCGTCGCACGCGAAACCCAGCATGGGTTGCCGAGCACATCACTCCCGAGTCACTCGCCCAAAACAATGCCGACCGCAAAAACAGCGTTTTCGTAGAAGACATGTCGATACCGGAGATGTTCCGCGCAAAACTGAAGGACTACTTCCGGTCGGGTTATGACCGAGGCCACCAGGTCCCGGCGGCGGACGCAAAGTGGAGTCAACAGGCCATGGATGACACATTCCTGCTGAGCAACATGTGTCCGCAGGTCGGCGATGGGTTCAATCGGGACTACTGGGCACATTTCGAGGACTTTTGCAGGCGATTGACGGGCACGTATCCTTCCGTGAGGATTGTCACAGGCCCCTTGTATCTGCCAAAGCGGGACCCGGATGGAAAGTGGAGAGTGAGCTACGAAGTCATTGGATCGCCGCCGAATGTTGCTGTGCCGACACATTTTTATAAGGTTATTTTCGGCGAGGATGGCAAAGATGGTGGAAAGGTGGCGCTGGGAGCTTTCGTCCTTCCAAACGCCGTGATTTCGAACAACAAGCCGCTGCAAGACTTTGAAGTACCTTTGGAGGTTGTGGAAAGGGCGAGCGGCTTGGAATTTGCGTCGAAGCTGGAGCCCGCGAGACGGAAGCGGCTGTGCCAGGAGGTGAACTGTTCGATCATTGTTAAGGAGTATAAGAAGAGGCAGGAAAGCTTTGGAAAGAATAACTGAGATAGCGGCCGATTTGAGAATGTTTCGACCATGTATACCATTTGTATATTCCAGCATTGTCCGTATATAGTCAGGTTCCATGCGACAAACATAGATCGGCTTGATAAAAGCATGTGTGTGCCTCCCATCTATTACTTTGTCCCCTCCGAATGCGATCGACATCGTACATATCGTACAGCTCAAGCCGACTCTCGAACACAATTGACCTTTGGCTCTGTCTTCTTTTAAACTTCGCCTCGTATCGGAAGATGCACTCCGGCCATTAAATCCCTGAACAAAAACCCATCTTTCTCATAGACTCCCGCCCTGCTGTGACTCCTTCTGTATCCTTGCCACATACTGCTTCGACACGGTATTCCACGCCTGCATATACTTCTCCATGCACGCCGTGAAGCAGGTTTCTTCGCCTTTGGAGAGGGAGGTTCCGGGCTTGGGGACGCAGCGCTCGAAGCAATGTTCGTTGAGTTTCTATTGCAGGGATCAGCTACCTTTTTGAAGCGGAATTAAAATGAATAGGATTGTAGGGTGGGTATGTACCTCGACGAGCATGCGGGCATTCTGGAGGGCAGCATCCTGCTGCACCTGACGCATGAGCTGCGTCTTTGGGTCGTTTTGGAAGGCGCTGAGGCCGGAGGCGCCTAATGAGTCCATTCTGGCGTGAATATATCTGTACGTATATCCTCGGAAGTGGAAAGATGTATGAATGTTTGAGAAACAACGTCGTCGTGGTTTTGCGGAATTCGATAATCATTGACGGAACTTTCCCCACCAGAAGCTCCGCTCCACCCCTGTCTCCGTCTTGGCACTGTCTTGCATTCCCATTGGACACCGGAAAGGCCACGCGAACTATGGGGGAACGTCTGTGAGAGAGCTCCACGCACCGCATCATCCCAAGTCCCAAGCTTGCATCTTCCTCCCCAATCCCCCGATAACTTTATGTCGCCGTCGGCTCCGGACGCCAGGCTCTGTTTCTCATAGCTCCTTTGGAACTCTTATTACTTGGGGGTTTATTCTTCTTCTATTGTTTGGGAAAGAGTAGGGCGATTGAATAGCGGGATACCGCTTCCATTCTTTCGATCTTTTGGGATTTGGAAACACGGGAGTGACAAAGAAGTGCGACTATGCTGTTCCAGCGGCCATGGACGAGCTTGTGCCTGCTGGCGGGGAGCTTGGGGCAGAGCTGGGGATTAGGATTGACTGAGCACCCGGATGTCAAGGCCATAGCGGTGGGTTGAGAGCAATTGAGCGTAGTGAGGACTACTGGCTGATGGTATTTTAGCTGCGGACCCATAGTCTTGAGCCTGTGAGTGCGATCCGACGGACCTCATTGCTTGCGACCGCTATCTGACAACTTGTACAGCCATACCTAGATTCCGACATGCAGAGCCGATGGTGGGACTTTGGCGGCGATACCATCATTCGGACAGACAAGTACATACGGCTAGCTTCCGACAAGCCTTCAAGAGATGGGTGGATCTTCTCTAGGGTACCGCTGACGGCGACGAATTGGGAAGTGCGTCAAGTTCTCATCCCTAGCGCTCGACCAGTGGGATGCTCACGCAGCTACAGATAATCGTTGAGTTCAAGATACACGGCCAGGGTAACCTCTACGGCGATGGCTTCGCACTGTGGCTCACGAAGCAGCGCGCAGTACAAGGCCCTGTGTTTGGTTCGACGGACAAATTCGAGGGTCTGGGTGTCTTCTTCGACACGTACAAGAACAACCGCCCAGGCACCGTCTTTCCCTACGTCATGGCCATGAACGGTGACGGCAATACTCCCTACGATAAAGACAACGACGGCAAAGCCAACGAGGTTGCTGGCTGCTCCGTAAGTTCACAAGTCTCCCAGCGCCCTTCTCCCACTCCGATCTGAAGTATTGCATTGTCCCCATACTAACATACCTTCCCAGGCACGCGGCATCCGCAACGCCCACATCCCCACCAAAGCGCGCCTCACCTACTTCGCCGACAAATCCCTGCGCCTGGACCTCCAATACAAAGCCGAGGACGAGTGGACCGAATGCTTCGAGATCCCCGGCTTCAAAGTCCCTCCTGTAGCGTACCTCGGGTTCTCCGCCGAAACTGGCGAACTCTCCGATAACCACGACATCATCACCGTCAAGACCAATAACCTCTACCAGCATAACACGGGGTCGAACGCGGCGCAGCAGAATGCAGGCAAGGGCGGGAGCGGCGCCAGCTATGCGAAGGTGAATAGTCATCCAGAGAAGACGAGCGGGAGCTGGAGCTGGTTCCTCTTCAAGTTTGTGCTGTTTGGATTGGCTATTACGGGGGCGTACGTTGGGTGGACGATTTATAGGTCTAGACAGAGGGTTAGGTTTTAGAAGAGCCGGATGGAGGATTGTGAGGCACGAGATCAAGATGAAGGAAAGTGCGGCGTTTCGGAGGTTATATCCTGGAGTCTAGCTGAAGCGATTCCTTTTCGGTGAGGACGGGTTGGATGCAGGTGTGCGTCGCGTGGAGGAAGCGGGGTGATGCTCGCAATGGAGATCTCGAGCGTATGACGCTGATACTGTGGCAAGATCGATTGCCAATTTTCCCTAGTTTACAAATCACTTTGAATGCATGGATATCATTACTTCACCGGATGGAACTGAATTGTTGCTCACATGGCTTTGAAGTCCTCAGATCAGCTCTCTTGGTTATCAAGCACAACACGCACAGCCTTCAGCTCCTCCCGTAAAAAGAAGCCTACACGACCAGGTTGCGCAAATTCAACTTTGGCTTTAATATGCCCCAACTGAAGTCGAGACATCATCACCGGACCAGCCAGCCAGCCAAAACAGACCAGCCCACCAACACCACCATCATCATCCATGGAACCGGTCCTCGGGGATTCCCAACCACACAACCGCCATAATGCGCTCAGATTGAAAACTACTTTTCATTGTCATCAGCAGCTCGCTGGACCTGCGACGCAGAGAACAGAACGGGTTAGGAACAGACCCCCCTCCCCAAGCAAGCAAGCCGAAGCCCGCGCGTCCGAAGAACGATGGGGTTCCGAAGGCCGTCCCAACCACATCCGTCTGCCACGCGCAGTTTGACGCCAGGGCGCTTCGACCCTTTTACCAATCTTGTCCTCATAGCGCGGGGCGGAAGAGTGCCGGTGGTCCTCCCTCGCCGACACACAAACAAACTTCCACGAATCCTCCCACGACCCAGAAGTGCAGCGGATCGGACATTCGAATGTGCGATGAATGAACCGACATGCGACGCCTTGGGAGACGTGCACTCCCTCCGCTTTCCGTTCTGTATAGTGGCTCCCGGCTAGCTAAGCCGGGGGCCCAGCCATTGGGTGTCCCTGGTGGTCATTAGGCACGTGGGGTTCCCTGAGCCGTTTTGGGGTTTGTCGTTCATTGGGATGCTGGAGGGGAGGTGTTAGCTGGGGAGTCTCTGCAGAAAGAAGGTTGGGTGATTTGATTTGGAAGAGATGGGAGCTTGTTTGAGGTCCTGCTGGTTCTACTTACTGCTGCCCGGGTTGTGGTGATGGTGGTGGTTCGTGTGTGAGGGAGAGGAGAGGAGCAGAGGATGTGGAGGTGAGGTTGACGCTGCCGCTAGCGGCGGGCGCCACAGCTTGGCGGCGCCGGACCCCCGCGTTTTCTGAGATGGGCCAATTGGAGAGCTCCCGTCGCCTGTGACGATTTTAGGGCTGAGATCTTAAATGCCTGTTTGGGTATGGTGCGAAGAGAGTCCATAGTTTGGCGAAGCAGCCACTTGACTCTGTGGTGACCAGATTCTATAACATTGCAAAAAGCCGGACGAAAAAAGCAGCAGGTGAAGGGCTTATGTTGCTTGATGCGTTTCCAATTCAACATCTACAGAGAATGGTTGAAAGGCTGCCCGACGGCCAAACAAAAAGGAATTGACCAGAGGGCGAGACAAGCAGCAACAATGCAACATCCCCTTCTTTACTCATAAGTATAGCAGAACGGTCCATCAACCGTGCTAACCAGCTCCTTAATCTTCCACACCTTGCCATCGATATTGAGGACCTCCAAATCGATTGAATCCTCCAACGACTGAGCCCTGCCGCCACCAAACATGCTCGTTCCCCCGGCAATGACTTGCTGCCTCTTGGAGAAATCTTGCACTTGCCAGATATACCAGACACGGTCGATCATGGAGTGGTGAAGCCAGAAGGCCGGGTCGCCGGGGGAGACGTAGAAGTCGGACCCAGGGTCGCCCGAGATGGTGAAGTGGCCGCCTGAGTGGACGCCGTTCTGGGCCTGCATGGTCGTCTGGAAGGTGTTGATGTTTTGAGAGGAGGTGATGAGGGAGGCGATCTTGGCCGTCGTGCAGTCGCGTTGGGTAAGGTAGTTGGACAGATCGCGCTTGATGCAGCGGGGGTTGTAGCCCATGCCGTCGCTGCGGGGGTTCCTAGGGGGTGTAGTGTCGGCCATGGCGGCCATGGGGCTGGAGGAGGTCAGAACACTCCTTTGAGTAGCTCGAAACCTAGTGTACTCACCCCAGGTTAACAGTCATGTTCTTGAAGGGACCCGACTGAATGCAGCCACCTCCGTTGCCGGCTGGCTTCAGGCCATTACTCTGGTGGGCAACCTTTGCACCTTGACCGCTCATGCTGGTGTCGCTTCCGTCGAAGATGGGAGATGTCTCCGGGCTAGATGCCCATCTGCCCCAGTCCCAGTACTGTGCATGTGTTAGACAGCTATATCTGCAAGGAAAGCGGAATGCATACCGGCTGAGTCCCGTTATACCCGCATTCCCTTCTCAGCGTCTGCTCGTAAGCCCACGTGTAGTACCTATGCCATGACAGGAAGTTGCCCTGAGAGACCTGTCAGTGCAGCTCGTTACGTGAGGAGAGCAAGTGGCACTCACAGTGCCATGGATGGTAAGGGAGTTTTTGATGTGGATGGCAACGAAGTCGTCATATCTTGTCTTTGCACCGGGATACTGCGCCTGGGGAAGTTTGGATGGCTTCTGAGTGAGGCCTGAGATTCTATGAGCCAGTGTTGATGGTTGGTAAGAGAGGCAGCTCACATAGCACTGCAGCAATATACGCCTTCTTTTCCGCCGCAGAGATGTCACCCCTATACTATTGTCAGAAACAAGAATGAAGGCCACATCGAAATACTCACCACTCCCTGCGCACTTGGAGCTTATCCTTGGTGCACGTCGTCGACTTTGCTAGCTGCGCATCGAGCGCCGGCCTTCCCTTTGTCTGGAGATCGCTTACAGCGTCCGCCGCACACAGGGCCGAAAAGAAGGAGATCGAAACCAGCAGAGCATAAAGCCCCCTCAGGGAAATGCCACCCGCCATAGTTTTTCCAGTGAATAGTTCACCGAATTCGACTCTGAACAACCGGCCATCAACAGAGTTGGAGAAGACCCGCCACTTATACTACTATCATACCGCTCCCAATAACCGCCAGAGTCTGGGCATGCCCTTGGACGGAACCTCGAGCCGCCTGTCGGCCTGTCATCCGTACAAGCTCGAGAATAGTATATAGATGAGACTGTAATCAATACTCTCGGGGAGTCCTGAGGGCAACGAAATGAGTATCAGAATCACTCTTGTGATAGGGTCGGCAGATGCATGGGTCAATCTAGACAGTGCTTGAGCTGTGGGGTAACGCAATTGGAGAAAGTGAGCATGGGTTGGCCGTTAACTTCGGCTTATAGACAATATCTGCATAGCATGGGCCTTGTCAGCACGGGTTGGAGAAGTGATCTTTCGATCGGGGAACCAACTCCCGCTCCTGGTTATGTATCTTCTCCAACAGGCCTCATGACTCCAAAGATACGCTGGACATCGGACAAGCATCTTAGGCCTGGATTTTTATACCTTGGAAGAGACGACCTACGAGAGCTTAGTTTCAGAGGACCCTCCTGCGGCGGCTTCCCCCTGCGTATTTTTCTGGACCCAAGACTCAAGCTTAATTCGTAGGACTCCCTTGAGGGCTGTGTGTTCATACAGGGTTAAGGCGGCAGGCCGGCCCCTGTGCTGGAAATCTCTACGTGGAGCACGAAATAAGGGCGATTACAGCTGCTCGAGAAGTGAACATAGAAACTCTGCAAGAACCCCATGGTTGACGCTCGTTGTCCGGATAGGCTCATAAATTTGGAAATCCTTCTGGATGCCTCCGATATGGCAAACTGGAGTCGCGCTTCTACCGTACCGATGGTGAAGATCGCCTCGTGAGCCAAAGTGAGGTCGCAAATTTTTTGTAACCGTTTATGCAGGACGTGGAATACCACGTTGTCGTCCATGAGGTTTTGATTGCAAGGTTTCGATTCGCTAACGCGTAATATCGATGCCATGCGACGCATTCTGCCGGCAGTAGTTGCAATATGCGATCCCTGTCGTCGAACATTTATTTACACCGCATCTGAATATGCCACAATGTGGCGAAGCTCATGAGCGTTGTCTGACCTTGAGTGTCCATGGGTGTTGGATACGCTGAATCCAGAAGCTGAACGGAATCTCGTCCAACGTCCCTTTGATTGTTTCTCTCATTTTGAAACCATCTGGTCTTTCTCTCCTGCCTGCCTTTTAAGCTCATATATCCAGCCTTATTTCCCAGAGATGTAGATCCTTCATCTATCCCCGCAAAAGCAGATGCAAGATTTTGCGGGGAGCAGATTGTGTGACACCAGAAGACTCCGGTAGAGGGTGTGCTTGTGGACATGTCGATGTCGTACAAGACAAGTTCTTGGGTAAGATCTTGTTTTCCGGAATCTGCGCCGACTACTTGGTCCATATCGTTCGGGTGAAAGTCTCGGTATGATGTTGGCCCACTAGCAAGCTCCTGGAAGCCTTACATATGCATGCTGCACGCCACGCAGACTCGTCACGTGCCGCATATTGGTGCCCATCGCATCTGTATAGGCCGACATGCAGCACAGATGTGCCAAATAAGATGGAATTCGCCATCGCTCTCGGACAACCGGTTGATTTGTCGCTTCCACGAGATCAGCAGGCAGTCTTTCTATACTCTCGATCCACGCGTGCGGTTCGGATTCATCTCTCCATCTCCCTTTAACGCCGCAAACGCGCTGAACACCCGGTTAGATATTGCGAGACAACAGAAGAACAGGCAAAGCCATTGACTCCTGTTATATACAGGCCAAGCTCTGCAATATGCTGCTGCTTTCTCCTCCCCACGTTGTGGGTCAAGAGCCTCCACGCACAATCAAAGAAGGGCACGCAACCATCACAACTGAGCGCATGTGCGTCATCTTTGGCTTCATTGTATTGATGATGAGGCCGATACATGTCATGATCCTGTACGTCATTGTACACTCGTTGTGGCAGCATTGACCGGTGGCTCGATATACAATTGCGCAGTGTACATTGTCGGCAGACCACGGTGGCTAGGGGTAGCACGAGTTCTGCTTATATATGGCAATCCGTTGGCGCGTGGAATAACTGCCTGACAGCTTTTTTGAGTAGAAACAGGTCCGTTGTTGTAAGTAACGGGATTTCAATGATTCGGTATGGGCCAGAGTCGTCAAACTGCTTCTTTTCATAGTTGATACCGCTTGACGGAGTGGCTGAGATCACGATGGGTCCATATCCTCTGTACTCTGGGCTCTGACCATTCGAATGTGCGGCCTGCCACAGTCAATATGTGTGGAAGGCATTCGAACTTACTTTCTGGCGTACATCCACTTCCAAACCAGAGAACCCCGCCCAACGATCTAGAAGTGCCACGGGCGCCCCCGATGCCCACCGCTGAAGAGATAACTCGACATTATCAAAGAAAGCCTGCAAGCACATGATAGAGTTTAAAGTCCCAGAGAGTACGTGGTAGAGTAGCGGTGAGAAGTCTCCCTCCGTCATGAATGTGCCATTCTTACATTCATTCCATATGATTATGAAAGTGATTCTAAGCGTCCTATGCGCCCCTTGTTCATCCAATCCTATCTCGCTTCCATTACTGTCCGTTCCAGGCCTGCCACGGCGTCTCGGACGGTCGGGCAGAAGTGCTTCCGTAGTAGTTCGCCTTCCCATACAGTCGCGGCGAAGGGGTTACTGCCCTCTATCTCTGGTTTGAGAGCATCGAAGATGCCGTCTCCCCGTCGCTCTTCGGTGTTCCAGAGGGCATCGATCTTGCGCCCATGAATCTTGGCTACCTTAGTGAGCAGTCCAAGCATGGCAATAGACGACTTCTCCGGCAGGTGCAACGATATGGTCATGAGTTGCTTGCAAAAGGCAGCTATGCGAATAGGTGGAACTTGCCGCAATGCGGTAGCGGGAAGTAAGACCGAGGTCAGAGAGCGGATGAGAAGAACTATTGTTGTTTGCACGTTGACCTTGTTTGTCGGCGATGTCTGGGTCTGTGGAGCATTAGGGTCAGGCAGATGCAGGGAATTGGCGCTGAGCTCGATGTCGGGATTGAGCGAAACTGCATGAAGCGTACGGTAGAGATGAGTGATGAAGAAGCTCAGGTCCAGCTTCAATGTTGAAGCAGCAGTAGACCCATCCTGGCCCTGCAGTAGCGCAAATGCCGTAATCACACACAGGAGCGACTCGCGAGTGAGGCTGCGTTCCGGAATGTCATCTTCATCCTCGTCTTCTTCGTTTTCTTCCTCCTCCAGGGCCGCTGATACCTCTGCTGTGTGAATGATATCTCTCAAGGCTTCCAAAATATCGCCGAAGAAGTCTTGGTTGATCAAGTGCGCGTATCTGGCGAGACCCTCCAACACCGCGCCCATCAATCTTTGCGAGCGTGCCTTCAATATGCGGAAATAAGCAACAAAGACCATTTTGAGAGTCTCAGCTTGCATCCGGTCACGCTCCTCGTGGCTCACAGTGGCGTCTGCTTCTTTCATCTCTTTCTCAATTGCCTTTTGCTCTTTCAATAGTTTCCGTTGTCGTTTTGTACGGAACTCCCGTTTCTGCTTGATCTTTTTTCCGTGATATTCATCGTCCTTGGGTTTGTCCACAGAGTTGTACGAAGCCTTCGAGCCGAATTCAGACAGAAGGCGAAGGTGCAGAAATGTATTCAGAACGCTCTCGTCAAAATCGTAATTCTTGCTCTTCATCATCTTTGTCAGCATGGTAACGGCATCCAACGAGGCGTTGCCGTCCTCGTCATTCTCGAAGAGCTTCTCCAGAGTCTCCCTGCACTTCGCAAAATCTCCATCTACCCTCTTGGTGCTTAGTTTCCCAACCAGTATTTTCAAGAGTTCGCCGCGGAAGTTGAAATGGGGCACAGCAGTCAGGAGATTGCAAGCGCAGCTGATTGCGACGGTAGCTACGCTGGCAGAAGCCTCCGAAGTCGTGGATCCACTTGACCTAGCCAGCTTGCCCAGCTGCTGCACATATGCCTGGTAGCTGGTTACGAGCTTTTGCTCGAAATTCCGAAGTTTGCGGACTTCCTTGGAGACCTTCTCGGTCATGCTATCTTCCGGAAGAGGTCGAATGCGATATCCAGGAATGAGATCCTTGAAGATTGCCGCCTGCGCTGCCAATGCAAGTTTCCTAATCGTGATATTCTCCGAAGCGGCGATGGCAGCGAGAGTCTTGAGAGACCCAATATGCTCCTCTGGATCCTCATTGATGAGGGTCGCTATCCGTGCCAGTTCCTCTTTTGCCTCAAGTATCTGTTGCTTCGCGGAAACCTTCGGCTTCTCCTCAACAACTTCTTCCGCCGCCTCGTCCTCATCTTCCTCATCAGCAGATATTTCCTCCGACTCTTCTTCCTCCTCCTCTTTTACAGCTGAAGGCGCCACAGCCGGCTGGGTCCATCCCTCCGTCGTCCTAACCGGCAGTCTCGCAATCTCCTTCTGTTTCTTCAGCTTCCTCGGCCGCTGTTCATAATCTTGCTCGAGGTCCCATTTTGCTGCGCTAGCAAGGAATTTCGAACGCGTACTCTGTGGCTCTGGAGACTCAGAGCCACTATCTTCCGGAGGGGAGAGGCGTCGCCGCTTCGCAGCTGGAATTCGAGACATTATTTGGTGGGTGATATTTACTGTATGTGTATGTATCTATAGTTGGCCGGAGGTGTCGCGAACTCCGCAAAATAATTTTGAGACTTGGCGTCGGCCCTTTGGCGGCAACTTTTCCCGACCTCCATCATTTTACACTTTCTCCACCAACGATCAGTTTGACAACTTCACACAACGAGACTCAAGATGCGCCCTCTTACAGAGGCAGAGCTGAAGACTCTGCTGGAGAAGCTGGCCACATATTGTGGTAAAGGCATTCAAAGCCTCATTGCCGATGGCACCGCAGACCGCCATGTATTCCGCATCCAGGTTTGCAGACTGCCATGCATGCAACTCGATAGCTTGACTGACACATCCTACAGAAAGATCGGGTCTACTATGTGCGAGAATCTCTAGCAAACCTTGCCACGTCTGTCAAACGCGAATCCTTGCTCTCACTCGGCACATGCTTGGGCAAGTTCACCAAGACTGGCAAATTCCGGCTGCACATCACCTCGCTATCCGTAATAGCGCCCCATGCGCGGTATAAGGTCTGGGTCAAGCCTAACGGCGAGATGCCTTTTTTGTATGGCGGAAATGTGCTGAAGGCGCACGTTGGACGTTGGAGTGAGGATTGCCCTGCACATCAAGGTGTGATTGTGCTGAGCATGAATGACACGCCTCTGGTAAATGGTTGCACCAAGATGTGTCGAATAGCCGTGATACTGACGGAATGATGATAGGGATTCGGTGTCTCCGCAAAATCCACGGCTGAAGCACGACGATTAGATCCTACCGGCGTAGTCACGTTCAGGCAGGCAGATATTGGAGAATATCTGAGAGAAGAAGATACTCTGTTCGTTACGTGATCGAATTACTTCGGGGTTATGGTAGATATACACTAGGAGGCACCACGCGTGCTTTGCACGACGTCCGCTTGCGCTGTATGAACACAGCTCCAACACTGCACAGCTAACCACGAGCTGTTCACCGGAGTAGTCAATCTCAGACGGGACTTATTATACTATCTAGGAGCGAGAAGGAAAGAACGGCGTTATGCTTCACGGAAAGGAGGGAATACCCAGGGCAAATTTGTATACACCGAATCAAACGAAGTATTACATGTGACTCGCTATCCCTCACCTTCGTGCTGATGTTTATCCTGACGGATATCCTGATAGTCCTCTAGATCAAGTCTCAGAAAAGCGACCCAATTCGATATCCCCAAACCGTTCGCGCTTCCTCAGAACGTCGCTCCTGTCCACTATCGTGATCGGTCTTGGAATGCGCCCTCCAGCTACCCCTGCCGGTTTTCTGAGTCGAGCTTGGCTCCTGGAACCACCATTCATCCACCTTTCCGAGTTGCTGTCGGTTGTACTACTCTCCGTGCTGTGTATTTTCTCGAATGGGGGACGCATATCCGTGCTTTTTATTTTTCCTTGCCTCTTCTTTCGAGCACGGTATCCTTTGGATCCGTAGTGTATCCCGCCAACCAGGGCGCCGAGGAGAGGATACAAGGGAATGTAGGAAAGCACAGTGAGCCACAATGGCCATTCCGGGCGCAGGAGGGGGAAATGGAGAAAGTAGAGCGCATATAAGGATGCCAGGCAACAAGTCAGGTACGTCGTTGGGGATTTCAGGAGTCCGCAGCCGTATCTGAACGGTGAGTTCTTATGTAGGTCTTCAGGCTTCGACATATTTCACGCTATATGGAAGGTAATGGAGGCAGAGAGCAGTGGAATCAGAGCCTAGAAAAAAGAGTCGCAGCAGTCATCTGCAGCTCGCTTGCATTCAAGTTCCCGCCAACTTTTGAACAGCCAGCTGTCACATTAACACGCAACCAGAACAATCACCTATGTGAATTCTTCCCTCGTCACAACCCACCCCTCCCTCAACCCCAAACCCCTCCTACTCCTACTCCCTCCATACTCTACACTCACTCCACCTTCCTATACCCGACCATCAGGTAGCTCTGCGCCTCCATCCTCAACAACCTCTTCGCCCTCTCCTCCCTCCCCTCCGTCACCGGCCCCCGTCCCTCACCGACAACAACAATCTGCACCTTCCACAAAAGACTCGCCCTCGTCCTCCTCCTCACCCCCTCCCCCGTCATCCACTTCCTCTCCCCCTCCCCACCCAATCTCACCCCCATCCCCCTCTTAATCCCCTCTCCCCTACCGTCCACCCCCATCCCCCTCCTCCTCCTCCTCACCCTCCGCACCTCCCTAGGCGCCATAACCCCCTTCCCCCTCTCCTTCCTCTCCCCCTTCAAATCCCACCCGTCGTACCGCATCCGCCCATCCAAGCCCGCCACCATCCGTCGTTTCCGGGTGATACTCAGGTCTGGCGGACCGGCCGCCGGTAGCGTTCTCGTCAGGAGGTCGCGTCGCGCTGCTAGTAGGTGCTGGGTGGCTTCTTTGCGGGCGCGGGTGCGGGAACGGGTGTTGGCGGCGGGGGAATTCATGTTGTTGCAGTTGTTGCTGGTCAATGGTGGTGATTATGGTGATGGTGGTGGTTTTGAGGTTATGGGATTTAGATAGATAGCAAGCCAGTTGCTGGAGAGAAGCGATGATGGGAACAGGGTAGAGGCTGGAGAGGGAAGAGATTGGAAGGACGACGGGATTATATGCTAGAGACGTCCGATTGTGCTCGAGTGACAATAGGGGATAGGAACAATAGAGGGAAGGGGTTACAATGGCATAATAGGTGCTGTCGAATGGACAATAGGAGAGTGTTGATAGTACGTGCGACTTTGGTGACGATAACATTGCGGATGGCGAGACGATAGAAAGTCATTGTTCCCTACCTGCTTAGCAATGAGCTGCCTTAGCCATTGCGCATGCCACTGATGGTGGAGCGAGGCATGATATACTGCCTGACAGTACCCCTAGGTTCACGGTCGAGGAATTCACCTTCACCTGACGCATGATCACTCACTACCAACGGCGCGAACGGTGGTACAAAGCTGTATTGGTTGCCTACGTACCGTGCACTGGAGTCTGGATACATGCTTTACGCAAACCGGACTTCGTGAAACAGACTGGCTCGGACCTGCATGAGGGCGACAAGCTCCAGCACGAACTCCTGTAGAATGACCACATTAGTAATGATATGTCCCACACTCGCTTCCCGAATATCATCCATATCCACATCTTCTCCATCGGCCGTAGCATCGTCAGCCGGTTCTTTCGGGGGAGGCTGATATTTGGAAAGCATGACCTCCACGGTCTGTGATCGTGCGGGCCGTCGGAAGCGTATCCTCCTCTTTAGGTTCGGATTATTGTTGACATCGGCGAGGTTCCCAAGGACATCTGTCATGAGATTTGTTCGGGGATGCACTTGATGTGCTGCTGGAAGTGGGGACATGGCACGTGAAGATGATCCTGCACTATTTTGACCGCCTTTCACCGGGGCTGAGGACACAGAAGAAGTAGATCGAGCAGCCATGCCCTCCTTTCTTCCACGCGGTGAGCCTGCTGGAGCCGACGCAGAGCTTTCCAAAACATGCTTGGGTATCTGGGGCGTCCAACTACCTGCAGGGGAGTCGGTGGGCCGTGGCGCTCCAACCTGGGAGGCTGAAGATTTGGCCATATCATTCAACTCATCGTATGTTCGGAAGACGTGCTTTCGGCCCGCAACGAGCTCGTCCCAGCCTTGTATATCCCCGCGCAGTGCTTCCACTTGAGCTTGGAGAGACTGTAAGCAGGCTAACAGAGGTGGTATTGCAGAAGAATCCCAGTCCGGTCGCCTACTTGCTTTCTCTAACTCCACTAGATCCCCAGCAGCGGACTGCCCAGCGTCCACGTCTGCATTCGGAAAGTGGTAGGAAGTAGGGTCCACCGATAGCCAGCCTTCAAGCCGGAGCTGAGAGCATGTTCCAAGAGTGACGATGGCTTCCGTGAGAGCCAAATTAATCTCCACATCATTCGTCAGAAACCTCAGTAGAAGATCTTGCAAGGACTTGAAAAGCGGATCTTCGGGTATCAAATAGTGCGGTTCGACATTCCGCGTGCCGCTATCCAGATCGAAATACCCCAGACCTTGCCCTGGCATTGTCGGTGGGGTCAACGCTTTCAGCGAGCAAGGATGGCTCTCTAACATACTCAACTTGTCTTTGAGATGGCTATCGTACGCTTCGTCAACGCCAGTTTCGCCAGCGAGTTCAATTGCCAGGTTCATGTAAACCTCGAGCTCCTCATTTAGGGCTCCGATAGTCCGATGGGGTTCTTTCTGATGCACATGCATCGTCTTGACCAACGAGCCGACACCATAACTGTGATGCTTGCCGAGAATGACGGTAGCCAGTTTCAATGCCGCGAGAACTGTTTGTGGATCTCTCGAATCAGTGCTACTCAAGACCAGATCCACCAGATTGAAAAGCGACGGATTCATGCGGTCGTCCTCCTTTTCCGCTGTATTGAGCATCATTAATGATTGCCGTCTCTTGATGGCGGCTGGAGACCGTGGGGTGTGAGGAGTAGCTGCATCCGTCTCCGGTAAGGCGAGTAGGTAATTAAGAATCATATGTACAAGCTCCGGATGATCGAGGATGTCTAGTATGCGCCTCAGATAGGTGAGAACAGCGACAGACGAACCGCCATCTACATCAGAAGATTCTAACAGGGAAGGGTATCTGGAACTTATCAGCATGTGAAACTGGCAAACACCATGAGATGTAAGGCCCTCACAATAACTGCTGAAGGAACAAAATCTGGAAATGATCTATTAAACTGAGTCGGACATCCGCTGATGTGCAGTGGATAAGAACGTCCTGCCAGAAGCGAAGATATGACAGAAAGGTCTCGAGATGGCTCTGAAAGTCATCGGAGAAGAAATTCTCCGCACGAGTATTAGGTAGCATTTCCGCATAGTCGGATAACCGTAGTATCAAGGGGAGCTCATCGCCTTTTCCCAGATGGAGTGTCGAGAGTTTTCTATGCATGTTAGTTACTTGATGCCGACAGGTATGACTGCACCTACCTGCTAAGCTGGCTATACAGAGCCCCAAGCCCGGTTGCCATGAGCGTTGGTAGATCGCTGTTAACAATCCACTGCTCCAGTGTCATGGACTTGGAGGCAGTCTCGAATATATAAAGTAAGCCAGTGCGTGCAAAGTCTCCAATTCTACCCTCATGGTGCACATGGTCAATGAGTTGGTAGCATAGTGGGAAGTCCTCCTTCTGTGTTACCCCGGCAAAGTCAGTCTTCTGGTTGAGAAACTTCCCATTGGTGTCCGTAGCTGCAGTGGTAAACCATATGGGTAAGATTTCTGGTTGCAGTCTGATCTTTGCGGCGATGCCGAACAGAAGCTCGACAATATCAGCCTCGATGTCCTCGCCGACGCCAATGCTGCCCGAGCCGATGGTTCGGCCTACAAAGCTCATGAGGGACGCAGCGAAGACATCGTTCTCGAGAAAGTCTTCCTCTTCACTGTCAATGAGGGCACTATACACGTTAACGGCATCTCGCACCATGCCCTCGTCATGGGATGTGGCAGCAATTTTGGAGACAGCAGTGTATATCTGCTGAGCGGCCGCGAAACTGAGGCATAGATGGGGCGCTGGCGAGCGGGCTTCATCATTCAATATGGCCGCGAGAGCCTGGAATCCGCGCCGAATGACGCTCACGGCCTCGCGATCGTTTGATAATGTTTGAGTCTTCTGCCATGTTTGAAGGATCTGATTGTAGCGCTGCCTGAAGCGTGCCAGACGCTGCTGGGGATCGCTCGACACAGCCTTCTTGGTTGAGGAGCCGCCCAACAATCTGATCCACTGATGTCCGTCAGCACATGTAGCACGTGGGGCCTGTGAACGATGCCGGTTGTACTGACGAAATCCATAACAGACGTTCTGGCGCCGGTGGGGGCTGTGTGTGGGAGGACGAGCTTCTGATGTCGCTGTCGCTCTCGCTCTCGTATTTGCCGGGAAACGAAACGCCAACCCCGAAGGCCAACAGTCGAAGCCGGTTCAGGCAGGTCTTAAAGACCAGAAACACCCACGAGGTGCAGTCCAGCGGTGCTAATGTCCGCCGAAGGATTCCTCCTCTTCCTTCGAGGCTTGTGCGGCTACCACCTGGGTATGCCTTGAGGTCGGGATAAGGTGTCTCGGGGCCGGAAGGGGCGATCGGCTAGTCCTGTTTCGGCCTTAGCACTGTTTACTTGAAACATCAGATGGAACCTTCAGGTAAACACCACCCACCATCGCCACCTTCGACTTCCACCTCGCATAATGCGGACCAAGCCGGACGTCACCTAGGCACCGCGTATACTGCATCCTTCCACGTCCGACTGTGACACCCGCTATCTACACATCTACACTTCCCAATGAGGCCATAAACTAGCGCGCCCAAGCCCTTCGGCTACATTCCGTTTACGTCTTTACGATAGAAGGCCTATTATACTCCGCACCCTGAACGGATGCGCTGTGAAGCTCGTCTCCACAGCCGTCGTCTTCTGGCCGCTCGTTGGGGTTTTAAGATCGCACCTGGAAAGCCGCAGTAGTAACGGACACGCGCAGCCACGTACTTAGGTAGTCGATGTACGTGCTAGGGAAGACTGCATAGCTGTATTCTGTCGGCACCTTTGAGGCTGTTGCGGTGCCTTCACCACTGCCTGCCTCAACTGTGCAGTCGATTACCATTTACCAAAAACAATTCAATGTTTACAAGTACAGCGACATTGGGATGTCACTTGAGACCGATAGAAGGATTGGGGCTAATACAAAAGAAGCTTAGGTTCTGCAGTACTGCCAGGCACCATCTTCGCCCCCATCCGTGTGTTCGGCGAGCCATTGAGAGATAGCCATGTTATCATGTGCCTCACGCCATATCGAGAGCGGCTCAGCAGTTGTCCATAGCTCTTTGAAACTTCCTGCTGATCCAGATGGTGGGGTAAAGCGCAAAGCCACATTCTGACGTTTCTGGTTCGAAGACGTACCGTTTGTGAGGTAGCAGTTTGCCTAGAACTGAAGTCCAACACCGGAAATTGGTGCTTGGAAATCCGCTGGTGTCGTCTTGAGAACGACAAAGGTACATCGGGAATTGTGTCAGCTCTCGGTACCTTCAACACGGCTCCAGTCAATGTAGCCGCCGAGCAAACTATAAGTCAAGCAGGTTTCCCTCACCCCAACCCTCTTTTTCAGCACTCCACCTGCACTTCCTGCTCGCTTCAACACAGCTGCCTGGGGTAGCTCGTCATTGTTTATCCCTGCTTGCGCAACAATCACCCTTCGATTCGTCTTTGAGCTGTCGTTCGAATCATCTTTCGCTATGCGATTCTCTGCCAAAAGCCTCCTCGTCGGTGCTGCATGCTTCCTTTTCGCTACGACTGCCAGCGCCCAAGATTATTGTGGGTATGATGGGCCGTGGGAGCAATCGGACCTGTCGATGACGGGCGGCCAGGGCGGCGGCGCATTCTGCGAAACCAAGTGGCAGGATGGCATCGTCATGAAGGGTGTCGAAGTTTGGGCCGACGATGGGGGTGTCATCGCCGTCCAGTTCACCTATTCAGACGGAACCCTGAGTCCTATTTGGGGCAGGACTGGTGGCTCGACCGGGCATGGCAGGATTGACTGGGATCCCGAATCAGATACAATCAAGAATGTGGTGACTTGGGGCAATGGAGTTGCCCAGTATCTTGGACGTGTTGTCATTGAGACACAATCAGGAAAGTCCCTAGATGTTGGCAGGAAACCAGAAGCCCACCAGTCGGATTGGCCGATGCCGGTACACTCCGGTATCATGCTTGCAGCATTCGGGGGTTCTGGGACCCGTATCGACAGGCTCGGCTTTATATTCCTGAAAAGCAAAGTCAAACATGTTACAGTCGATGACGTAAAATTCGAGGATACGCCAGAAGAACTCAACAAGAGGAAACAGTATGCCCACCATCTCAGCAAATCTAGCTAAAGTAGTCACTAACACCTCTCCAGGGGTATCGCAACAGAGACGGTCGACTGGGCCGACCACACCAACAATCACGATACAGCCGAAGAGACATACACTTTTGCAAAGAACGAGGGGAGAGAGGTCTGGAAAGCCTATACCATCAGATCGACCGCCAGTTTCGGCTTCAAGGAAGCTATCGAAGTATCCGGCGAACTCCTCGGCATTGGTGCCAAGAGCAACACCGAGCTCTCCTTTGGTGTCGAAACTGGGAGGGAAGAGACCAACACCTGGAGAGACACTGTCACAATCAATTACTCGATTGCGACGAAGCTGGCGCCTGGGCAGCGGGTGTACTGCAGGTCTTACTGTCAAAAGGGTACCTACGACGGGTCTTTCACGGCTACGGTTACTATGAAATTGGAGGATGGGACCGAGTTCAAATTCAAGGAGAAGGGCACCATGAAACAGCTAATGTACACCCAGGCTACTTCGGAATGCGACGATAAGCCGTTTACGGATGGGCCTGGTGCGGAACACTTTCACAGTAACAGACGCGCTGTGAAGTTCATCGCGTAGGTGGTATGACCACCACTTGGTTGTGCTGGCCATGTCTTCTCTTTTCGCCCGCCGGATGGAGTTCATTTTTCACGATGCAGGGCAGCGACATTGTGCAGAGCACATGCAGAACATGTCGTACCTTCTGCAATCTGCAGATGTACGGGATAATGGCTGCATCCTAGAGACGGCTTTCATTGTACCCATCTGTTTCACTTCTTTGTTGTATCTATATTTCCTCTGCGGTAGTATCGATTTGGCATCATCCTGCGTGTAGACAGACCGCTAAGCGAATCTAACCTGCGCTTTTTTGCAGTATGGTGTTCATATTATCATAAGGCGGAATTGCAAGACGAGAAGACTGCATTACATATAGATGCTACCCTATCAGACAAGTGAAGTAACATGAAGAGTACCACTCCCTACGGCATAATAAACAGCAAAATGGCGATTCCTTGAACGCCAGAGCGCACAGCACAGCCTTATCGATTCCATGCCTCCTTCCCAAGCATCACTCTCCACCCACTTGCTTCATGTCTGCTTCTTCGCCAAATCCAGATGCCATGCAAACACCTTCCTGAACACCTCCTTTCCTCCACTCTCAATCACATCCCCATGGCACGGCACTATCCTTTCGAAATCCCACTTGTCAATGTTCGCCACGCTCTTTGCAAAGCCCAGCCTATCCCCTGCCGAAATCCCATACCAAATTACTCTTTTCTGCACATTGCCCTTCGTGTTCATGGCCGCACCGAACAGTTTCGTGAGAATGCCGCTTGTCGCGCTCACACCGGCTTTGCTAAATTGCTCCGTGGCGGGTAAGTTGAATAGCAGGTCTGCCTGGATCAACGTCCGGGTGGGCTTGTGGTGGAAAGCGATCTCCTTGTTCGTATGCGCGGGGACGTACTCCCACTCGAATTCCCTATCAAAGTCGGCATCTACGCTCTCCACGGGCTTCGACTTGGAAAAAATGTGCGAAAAGGCTACGTCCTCGTTTCCATTCTTTTTGCGTTTTTCGGGTAGGCCTTCGGGGCCTAGGACTTTGGCGTTGGGGAAGGCTTGGTGCCAGGGGCCCAGGTAGATGTGGTGTTCGATGTCCAGGGCGGTGATGTATTTTACTTCGCCGAGCGTGGAGAGCTTGGTTTTGACTTCCGGGGTGAGTGCGATGGGGGAGAAGACGGCGAGGGTGCCGTTTTGGAGGCGCACTGGTGGGTGTTAGTAGGTACTTGTATTGCTTTGGTCGCACAATGTGGAGAGAGGAGCTGAGGATCGAAGGGAGATGTGGAGGACTTACCGACTGTACCTCTTCCGCCGATCTTTATGAGACCAAAGCGCCAGAATGGTGCGGAGAGAGTGGTGATTGTTCCGGGCACCATATCCCGGATTACCATGACTTTTGCAGGGTCTGAGGGGACGAGTTTCGAGCTCATTGCGGACCAATTGAGGATGTCGTTTATTTATCGAGTAGGGAAACTATGACTGCTGGGATGAGCTGATGAATGTTGAGTCGAAGCTGTATATGTCCTTTTGTTCGAGATGAGCGACGTCAGATCAGATAAAGAGCAGCAAGGTCCAGAATGTTGCATGTGAATATATCATATCGATAACGCGACAGGGAGCCTTGTCCCCCTGCAGGTGTTAGGGACCACCCCCATAAGCACTGGCAGCAGTGCCACTCAGACACAGAGACCACGGACTGTTCTTGTAAATATTCTTGCTTGAATTTTGCAGTCTTAATTCCGTGCAATCTAAAAGCATGCGCAGCCTACCCTCCCAGCTGCAGATCCCCACACAAATTACCCTCTTTGAAACCGGTAACTTAGAGCTTCTTGTTTTGCTTGAAGAAGCTCTTAAACGGCCAATAACCGGTTGCTCTCGGAGTCTATGGGGCTTCCATAGTAAGTGGCACCCATTACCCTATGGTGCTGACTTACTGTGTACTGTGTAAGGGGAGGTCGGCCTGTCTACGCGATTCAGGTAGCGTTGAACTCACGCCCAAGGTCAGCTTCGCTCGGCTAGTTGCCTGCCTTCATCGCTTCCAAATTCCATTTAACACTTAACGGCTTCCTACACTGGACACTTCAACGCTCATTACATTGACCGCTCTTTGAATTCTGGCTGGTATGAGTGCAAGTGCGAACGGCGCAGCCTCATCGGTCGGGGTGTCATGAATAGGACGGGGCGTGGCTGTTGCCTATGCAGGCGTTTTGACGATGGAGCTACATAATGAGAACCTTGGAATGCCCTCGGGTGGCTGAGCTGCAACATCGTATGATGAGGGGCGCTATCTAGCTGGCGCACACCTCGTATATAAGAGAAAACGATAAGTCCTAACCCATCCACCGTCAAGAGTCCCCTAGCGTATCATCAATGCAATGGTCGCGGTCGTATACAGTACACTCCCGCAAGACACCACAGACACTACACCAAGTCAACATAGGTTGTATATCATCCAGCCATCGCCGGATAATAATCTTAACGCAAAAATCAGATCCACTCGGCAAAAGACATTTAGCGGCACAAAGTTCGCGCTCCGCTCATTCGCCATTCTCACTACGACGATTCTCTTTTCTAACATAGGTTGGCTGGTCTGGGCAATCAAGCGATATGGTATCAAGGACGGCTTCGGCACCGTTCAGCAAGGTAGTTGCGCTACGTCTAAGAGGCTGAATCTTGGGTTCCATTTGTGGCTCAATGCGACCTCTACCATCTTACTTGCCGGCAGCAATACGTTCATGCAAACGTTTAGTTCGCCTACGAGAAAAGAGATAGATCGCGCGCATGGAAAGGGGAAATGGCTTCACGTCGGCGTTGTGAGCTTTCGCAACCTTTGGCATGTTTCTTGGAAAAAGGTTATTATTTGCCTTATCCTGGTTTTGAGTTCTGCTCCTCTTCACTTGTTGTAAGTGTTCTATATTGCTGCGTTTCTGAAGAGTCTGTAAGCTAACGTTTCGTTCAGGTACAATTCGTTGGTTTTCCAGGTAGGATAAAAGCCGAAGTTTCTGATGTACAAGGACTGAGGTTTTCCGCGTTACAGTCTCTATCAACAAGCCGTTACGATTGGGCAGTAGTGACCGAGACGTTTCTTACAGGAGCTCCATTCGATGAAACGTTCTCTTTCGCCAACCGCGAAATTGCAGAATCCGAGATGCGCGACTTCGCCGAACTTCAAAGCTGGGTGAAGTCCTACGAGCGCATTGAGAATGGCGAGTGTTTACGCACTTATGGCAATGGATTTCAGACAACGCGACGCCATGTAGCCCTGGTTTCGAGTGAATCCAACAGCAACACCTCTATATTGGCATATGGAACCACATACGGAGCCTCGGAGACAACTAACGGCTGGGTTTGCTCATCTGATGACTGGTGCAACACCGCGCTTCTAAACCCTGCTACATGGTCAGTCTACGACCACCCTATCTCTTACTGCTTGAGCGAGAGGATACCGGAAGCGTGCTCTGTCAAGTTCAGCTTTGAGATCATGAAGATCCTCATTGCATTCAACGCCATTAAGCTCGTTGTTATGGTGTATGTCTTGTGGCGATTTGACGCCGAGGACCTTATTGCGACTACTGGTGATGCTGTTGCATCGTTTCTAAAGTCTGAAGACCCAACAACCCACCACATGTGTTTGGCAAACAAGAGAAATTTACGGGTCTTTTGGAATTGGCCAAGGACCCCAAAACCGTATCCGAACAACACCAAGCGATGGCATCTAGCCGTATCCAAGACGCGATGGCTGGTATTCATCATCTCGTAAGTAACCTTCCTCCATATCCAAGTTACGTCGTCTAACAACGCCTGATACAGCTTGGCAGCATGTATCGGGCTCGTAACCATTTTTTTGGTTATGGGGATCGTATACCTACGAGAAAAAAGTCCTGGCATATCTTTAACAGGACTCTGGAAAATGGGAATCGGTACCATTAACGCCAACGCTCTTGTCTGGGTTTTAGACGAAGGCTTCATCAACACGGTCATAGCGGCAAACGTTCCGCAGCTGTTCCTGGCTGCCCTTTGGATCCTTCACAACAGCATCGTATGCCCGATGTTTTCAGCTGTGGATTGGGATTCCTTCTCCTTTCATCCAAAGACCTTGATGGTCGCCTCGCCCGCGGGAAAGCAGAGGGGTACGTGGCTGCTTGGGGCGCCCCTACTGTACGGCGGTCCTTTGGTCATACTACACATCCTCACCCACTGGATTGTCTCGCAGTCTATCTTCGTGGTGCAAGCGGAAACGTACGACAGATATGGTGGTTTGCTCCCGGATGACACCGTTTCAAACTGTGGATATTCACCCATCGCTATCATATTCACGCTTGTTCTTGGCCTGCTGATTTTTGCCATCACCGTGGCTTTAGGGTTGAGGAAGTTTAGCAAAGGCGGTGCTCCTGTTGTTTCGACTTGTACTGCGGCTATCAGCGCAGCGTGTCATCCAGGGATTGCTCTGAACGAAGAGGCAGTGTATAACGACTTCATGTGGGCAGAAGTTGGAGCTGGATGGACTCCGGTCGGACATTGCTCTTTGATTTCCGGGGATATCTTAATGTCTTACCCTGGATATGCAAGGAAGCCAGTTGAGGGCCGATTGTACGCTTAGGATGAATTTGAAACCTGCACTAGGAATCACTGAATGTAGACAATGTGAGGTTGTCAAGCCTCAGTGGAAACAGTGCGAAGTATTGTCTTACGATCAGACGCCGTCTCTTCCACCACTCATTGAAATAACCCTACTCTAGCACCATGGTCAGGTTCTATTTGACCCTTATATTGGTAATTGTCAAGAGACGACGCTCATAACGCATGCTCACAATTCCAAATATTTTCAGTAGAAGTTACGGCACGATCGCTGTGCACAAATCTTCGTTTTGCTCATGTCGTCCCGTCAGTCTTTTGGTCGGCGATCTGGGGAGTCAATGCGGAAGGACTCCGAAGCTTTCGTTCGATGCTATTGGGAAGCGCTGAGGGATGGCTTCGAGGCTTGTTGAGTCGTAACCGATCGGCCTTTTACATGATACCATCAGGGCAAACCCTTCTAGGAACGCTGCCCTGCTCGTCAGCCGTCTCTTCACCGTGCATTCTCAGCACTGAGTTCGGCCATCAAGCCTCCCACGTCTCTTTTCTTGGCGTCTTCGTCCAGTTTATGCTGGATGAATCTGCTCATATCTTGCACCTTTTGCAGCGCAATATTGGTGCAGTTGAGCAAAGCCAGTGGATCCACGGTAGCACCGCCATATTTAGCAATCTGGCAAACCTCGCCATGTCGGTTCATTGTGACGATTATCTCAGCCTGTCGGACCTGCTCTTCGGCTAAAGTAGCATCCACCAGGAAGATCTCCCCCTCTTCATAGTATGAAAATGTGACGCAGAGAGGCTGGTGAAGGATCGAGAGTGGTATGGGTTCGCGTTCCCTTTCGCTGAGCACAATGGCCTTCTCTCCTTCTACAACTACGTCTGGTCTCCGGAAGTGTTGCAGTGCCGCCATCACTGCAATACAGGAAGCATCAATAAGGCCACCGTCATGGTCAATGATATGAACATCGGCTCTAAGAGCGAAGCACTTCAGACCGGCGATTATACAGAGTGATTCCGTGTCGAGCGCATTGGAGCGACGGATGGCTTTTTCAAGGATGCGCGAAAGGATGACTTCGGCATCTGTGGGCCTGGGAGCTCAGTTAGGTGTCTCGAGCCGTCATGGGAGCGGTGAGTATGCGTACCGTCCGACTTCAAATGCTGGAGATGCCATGGGAGAGAACTCGGTCACGATCTGGAAGATGCCATCGAACTTGCGCTCAGGTAGGGGCGTCGTCACCTCCACTGATATCCGTGCAATTACTCTGGGCAGGGTCAGAGAAGAATAAATCATACACCGGCCGTTGAATCACCTCGTCTTTCCGAGCTCAACGTCCGCAACTCCATATTCGTCTCCAAAGTTGAGCTTTAGCGGCCGAAAAGCGTCAAAAGCGCGGCCATCAAGCCGTATATTCTCCTGGAGCGCTTGTTGTATAAACGTCCGCTCATTGACGGATATCTCCGCCTCTCGAGGCATCTTCCGCAGCACGTTACGACTTGTTGTGATTTCGTAGCTCACTTCTCTCCTCGGGACAAATGGCGGGGCTTCGGCGAAACTCTTTACCGACAGATCTCTTGGCGGATCCTCTTGAGCAACGCTCGGAGATCTCCCTCAACGTCAACACCACCTGAAGTCCACGACACCGATCCCTACAACCGTTGCCGTAACAATGACGACCGCTCATAGACCGACTTTTGATCCAGCCAGGGGAAAGGAAGCCCAACGCGGACCCGCCTACCATCAGCGACTTCTCCCTGCCTACACTCTCCTCAAACACAGGCAACCTGGTCAGGGCGGTGCCGCGGACACTACTAAACGCGACCTTCGGGCAGAGCTGCTAGAAGCCGAGGCGCGCCACTTTGCGAAGAAGAATGGTACCTACGTTTCGGAAGAACAGACCTCTACAGACGCAAAAGCTGCTCCTAAACGAGCGATCGATGAAGTATCACAAGCCGAAGAGAGGGCTACAGATGGGGATGAGGCAAAACGGCGGCGGGTGGAGATGTTAGAAAAGTATAGGGAGATCGATGCAGACGAAAGCAGCGAAAGTAGTGAGAGTAGCGACGAAGAGTGCGTATTGCCTTCCCCCTGACGCATTATCTGGCTGACGATCAGTAGGGACGATGAAGATGACGAAGATGAGACTGTTGCACTCATGCGCGAACTTGAGAAAATCAAAAAGGAACGCGCCGAAGCCAAGGCGAAAGAGGTATGCTATCTCGAAATCAACTCTCAAGTTCCATCATTGACCGTAACCCAGGAAGCAGAGCGCGCAGCGAAGGAGGCGGAACAGCGGGAGGTGGACATTGCACGGGGTAACCCCCTTCTGAATCCTCGTGACTTCACTATCAAGCGTCGATGGGACGACGATGTTGTGTTCAAGAATCAAGCCCGTGGCACTGAGGATCGGGGCAAGAAGAAAGAATTCATCAACGACATGCTGCGATCTGACTTCCACAAGAAGTTTATGGTGAGTGAATCTTACAACTTCCTTGAAGGTTCTGAACTAATCCCGCGATAGTCAAGATACGTCCGATGAAGCCGTCCGAGTTTCCTTATGTAGAACGCCCACCCGGAGAGGCGAGGCTATGCATCATGGGATGCTATTCATTTGCTCCTATCCGATGTCTAAGACGCGGGAGGACCGGTGATGCAAGTTGATCCTTACTCGATTACCAAATATCTATCCGCCTCGGGAACAGCTCTACATCTCGCGGCTCTTGTCCACATCAAAGAATGGTTCGACTGTGGGCTGGCTATCGGAATGTGGATTGCAGACTTTGGCGCAAAGCGGAGGACGGACGGCAGGAGTAGTCTGTATGGGACGGGAACTAGTATACTCGGGCACATGGAGACGGGCAGGTGCCTGCTCTCCCGTCATGGTATACCATAGTGGTATCCAGCCAAACCCTTAAAGGTCGTCTCAGGAGCATTAGGTGTGTGGCGGTAGCAGAGGCCTATATCACCCGACAGTGAGTTGCTCCCACGTATACCAGCCAACGCAGGTCCCCTTGCTTGGTAATCTAGTCTCCGTACGGTCCATTCTCTACGGTAGTTCTCGGGGCAGAACGACGACATCGGTCTGCGGACATAGCGGATACCATTGAGATGCTATCATACAGAAGCATAATCACAGACGTCATTTTCCTTAGCTTTTAGTGCCGCTCGAATCTCTGGAACTGAAGCTTCTCACGCACCTCGTCTCACTCCTCTCCACGCACTCGGCTCCATCTATCCTTTGCCCTGACTCTATCTTCACAATTTCCAAACTACAACGCCTGGCTCCGTCAACCGCAGCTCTCCTGCCATCGACCCCTCAGACGTCATTTCAGGCCGTCTCCGCCATGACAGTCCGATGATCCATTTGCAGGCGTCCAGGAGACGTAAGGCTCGGACGCCATGAGGTTTCGGCAACAAGCCAGCACCTTTTCCACAGAACTGACTGTACTACGGCCTGGAATACGGGCCGTCGGCGTGCGAGTTTCCCGGACGGTGCCAGGGTCTATGGGTATAAACCTGGGGAAAGGAGTGTTTTGTGGAGAACTACGGTGTGCCCTTTTTGGTGTCTGGTTCTTCTTCTCGACTCTCCCACGTTTCTAACGGAAACAACTTTGACTCCTCACTCTTCGCAACAATTACTCACCACGGTACGTACATCAGCGCAAGATATGAAGGCTTGTACAGATTCCCGTTTTACTAAATCGTAAAAGGAAGCGCAATTGCTATGTGCATTGATGTTTGAAGCTTATTAGAAACTTCACGTGCGTAAACGATGAAGACACTTGTTCCGTCAATCTCGAGTCTGAAAGATAGATGAGCTGAGTTTTTGTTGCACTATATATTCTTAAAATTCTTCACGACAGGCTTTTTCTTTTGGCCTGATATTTCGATACTACAATATTTTTTATTGAATTGATTGGCTCACGCGAGATCAGCTGGTCTCGCGTTCTCACGCTCTCCCGAGGTCGCATCTATTCTCGTATTTTTCTTCGCATCAATCGCAAGCCACCCGCAGGGGTCCGCCCCTTTTCACAGACCGCGACAGCAATACGAGCCACAAGGGCGCCATTCCCACGCAACTGTCACAGCCATGCCCTCTCTTTTCTCATCCTCGCGCGACCTGGGCGCCAGCAGACCACAATGGCCTCCGCCGTGGACATAATCACCTACATCGGTATTCCTCTCGCCGTTCTCGGTGTCCTCCCAACCATATACACATGTCTCAAGAGCTTCTTCACCCTGCGCGAAGTCACGAAGACGTTGCAGCGAAATGGCGTCACGGCGATAACGCGCAGCGCGTTGCTTTCCGGGATCGTCGAGATTGAGATTCAGCGCCGCAGCATCATCCCCCTCGATCGCTCGCATCCGAAGTATTTCGCCCTGCGGGAGCAGCACAGTAGCTTGAAGGGCGGGTCGTGGACTTTATTCTACTGGAAAGAGCTGGTGATTGGGGTGAAGAGTTACCGGCTGCAGTACCATGACCAGTTGTCGCAGCCACAGGCGGAGGTACAATTTGAAGCGCTCATAGCGTTTTTGTTGGATAGAGGCGCGATGCCGAGGAAGGAGGGGTGGGCTGATTTAAGGAGTGCAGGGCTTTGGACACCTGCTGGGACGAGGTTGTTGGTGAGCCCGGTGTCGAATGAGGATGTGTTGACTGTGGCTTTGAGTGACGACTCGGATGGAATCCTCAGTTTGAGCCTGAACTGGAAGGCGGAGTGGGATCGAGGGGGAAAGGATAGCCTGCCACCATACTGGGCGAAGATTCAACCGCCTCTGAAGAAGGAGGATGTTTTTGCGAAGATGGAAGAGGAGTCGCGAGCAGGGGCTGAGTCTGATGATCAGAATGAGGTGGAGGCCAAAGGTGGCTTTTTGGATGATGACAGCGCTGACGGCGAACTGGAGAAGGATTCTGCCGTTCGAGTGAGGATCTCCGCAGCGGGTCTTCAAGAAGGACACCCTGAAGATGATCCCAAGACCAAACTGCCGCTCTTCCATATCCGCTCCGAACCCTCCTTTGCCGACTCTACCGCTGGTTTCTGGTTTTGCTGCGCTGTTACTGCTTTGAAGGCCTCTGACGGCGGACTTTGGGCATTTTGCATCCCCGAAGACGTCGTTGCACTCGCTCGAAGAGAGAGTGTTCCATGTGGAGTCATGGTCTTGCTAGGTGCCATGACAGACGATGAGGTGCCTGCCTGGCGTACACCGTACGACGAGCAGGCCGAGAGCTTTGAGAGGCACGTAAAGTTCGCAGAGAGGAGTCGACAAATGGCTGAGGAGAATCGCTTGCCCCCAGCTGAGCGCGAAAAGGCGAGGAGGAAACGTATGGCACAAGAAGCGACGGATTTCCATAATGAGTCCCAGAGACGGATGCGGAGGCTGCAGCAACGGTACGAAGCTGAAGTGCTGGAAGCTTTGCAAAGTCAACGACTCTCGATATCCATCGTTGCAGAAGCGAATCGGAAATGGCTCGTCAAGAGATTCGACCTTCCCGACACGCTCAGTAGTCGAGACCTGCTTCAACAAGTGTTGTACGGAATGGTCCAAAATGCATCGTTTGCGAAGCGGCTTGCTGCGATGTTGGATTCGTGGAAAAGTTGGAGTCAGTCCGGAGGCATGACGAAGGGCCATTACCTCGACATCAAGCAAGATAATGCGGCGTTCGCATTGGCTAGTTTTGTTCTGGATGCTATAAGAAGCACTGTCAATGAGCCGACCGGCAGTGTGGTTGGGGATCTGCAAGAGTGCCTGAGGATGTGGAACAAGGTTCGTTTGGGCTGATATTGGCTCTATCGCAGGTTGATCGACTGAATGTGGGTATCTTATATCGTAGGCAGTTGGAGCTCAATGAGACGAAACAGGAATAGTATTCGACGTAAACATATCGAAGACTGCCCTTGTAGGGTATTCTTATTACCTGTGATCGTCCATATCGCTAGGTTGACTGAAAAGCCTGTCGGGATTTATTTTGATTGGTTCTGACTCTCGACTGAAGTCGAATTGAGTGAAGTTCCATTGATGAATTTGGCCGTACAACTTGAGGATCCAGGTATGGTACCAGTGCAACGGCTCCTGTGGCTCATGTCAGCCACGTGGGGTCAAGCTAACCTTAAAACGACGAACTGAGACTTGGCACTGACCATCTATCGAACGTCATCCCCAGTTGCACCAGCTTTCTCGCTCCAATTATTCGTCTTCATGATTCCTGGACCACTTTCGCTTGACTATGCACGCCGTATAGCCTAAGGCCGATGCCACGGACGATACCCTCCCTCACCCTTTCCTCCCTATACGCAAAATGTCCTCCAACTCCACCGAACGGACACCGTTGATATCATCCTTGTCGCAGGGTTCGGCTTCTAGCACACAAGTCCCACAGAAGCCACAACGGAGCGTAACATTCAACCCTACGGTATTTTCGAGTAGCCCCAGACAGTTTTCGGTCGCCGAAACCACCGAGTCCTCGTCATACCCAGCCAGCCATGGCGGACCTCCAGTGTTATCGACCCTCAACAATAAATTGAGGAGAAGAAATAGCTCCGGTGCCCCTGCATGGCCACCGCCTGCGCCTCTTCCGAAGTTGGGGCCCCAGCGTACGACGAGAACTGCACAGAAGCTAAAGCTCTTACCTGATACAGCGCTGGGAGAGGGGGCGGAGGACGAGGAGAGTGGTCGGGATGTCTATGTACAGTACACTCGCATCAAAGATCCAACAGCGCGAAGAGATGCTGCACGCCTTGGAAAGGCAGACCGTGAACGGTTACCGAGGGTAACGGCATATTGTACAGCCGATACTTACCGGCTGGATGACCTCATGCGCTACTTGAAGGGCAAGGCGAGGCTTAGAGGAGCGCAGCCTAAGCGGTTTGATGAATGCATCTATTCTCCATACAACTACGGCCGTAGAGGGGCAGAGGAAGTGGTGAGCACAGCAGTTCAGGATGGTTGGTCCACAGAGCGCCCAAGGAGGTTTTCGGACAGTGCAATAGAAGTCGATGTTCAAAGCGAAAGACGAAGGGAAGATCTTATCGACCTACAAGAAGGGGAGGGCGCAATTAACGAGATAGAAGACGGAGAGGCCTCATCTCGACCGCATCGACCCTCACAGACGCACTCAGATTCCGACCCTAGCTTGAGCACCGCAGACTTTGATACCATTGTGCACACACCGGAGGTGTTTCTGTTCGAGTATGGCACCATTGTCATATGGGGTATGAGCGTTCAAGAAGAGCAACGGTTTCTCAAGGAGATCGCCAAGTTCGAGGTGGATAAGCTGGCGAAGAGCGATGTCGAAACGGAAGAGTTCAACTTTTACTATACACGCGAATACCAGGCGCGTATCTACAACGACTTCATTAGTTTAAGGGACAAGAAGAATTACATGACCAAACTGGCCATCAGCCATGCCTTGTCGCAGAGCGTAAAGACGTCCTTGTATGAGGCCCTATTGGACGACACTATCGAGAAGACGAAGGACATTCCCCAACAGATATCAAACACCGGAAAGGTTGACCTGAATAAGAAGCAGATCAACATGCGAATTGGGGAGCTGTTCATATTACGGATCAAGATCCATCTTCAGGGGTCTGTGCTAGATGCACCGGAACTTATGTGGGCTGAGCCGCAGCTGGATCCTATATATCAAGCTGTCCGCAGTTACCTTGAGATGGATCAGCGCGTCCGACTCCTAACAGAGCGCCTAGACGTCATAGGGGACCTGCTCAGTGTGCTCAAGGACCAGCTCACAGTGACACATGTGAGTAAATTTTTTTTCGGAATGTTATGCTGAACCAAACTAACTTTGTTAGGGCGAACTCCTTGAGTGGGTTGTCATCTTCTTGATCTTCGTGGAGGTCGTCGTGGCGGTTATCAATATCGTCGTTGACCTCCAAGCGGCTGGCGGTTGATGCACTTTCGGCGGCTTGTATCTACTCCCAATGCTTCTCTTGTATTGTATTATGTATGGGAACTAGAGGCCACCAGCTCCAAATTGTGTATATACTCTTCGGGAGAACGGAGCTGGTTGCTACAAGGGATTATTACCTAGTCGGCGGTGTTCTTGGGTCCATGGATGGCTCACATGGACGAAACAGCAGCGCATGTGCGCTCTTTGGTAGAAATTGCCCCTGTCGTGCCGGGCACGATCGTTGTGCTACGTAGTCACTTGCTTGTGAGTGGCATGACTTGATTACATTGATAAATGTACACATTTTCATCAATCGGTCATAATGAAAGCAAATACCTTACTATCTGCCGTGTGCATCGTCTACTTGAGACCTCATCCGGTCTAGCTTATAGCGGGGTGGGTGGACGTGCCAAGAGCGCCCCGGGCCGGCTCGCGGATTCCCGTGGATGCTCCTGTCCCCATTTTCAGGACGCCCTTTCGCAGTCACACCCACCGATGACCGTTGAGCACGCTTCTTCCTATTCTTTCGCCCAGATGAGCCGGCCCCGATGAGTTGGAACCTGCTTGAGCGATTCATAGAGTCGGACCACTTCAACCAAGACCCCTCGCTGACTGTGGCCTATCTCTCGTGAGTGTCCACACGAACTCTCCCGCTGGTTACCGCATCGCGTCGCCTGCACGGCCACATTTCACATTCACAGCTCGCTGACTTTTACCTTTGTTGCAGGCGCTATGCAGACCATGTCGGTATCCACTATGTCCTATGCTCCAAGCTTCGCCATTTTGCCTACGAAGAGATCGAGTTTTTCCTCCCACAGTACGCAGACCGCTATCCTTCATATCCGCCCAACCGTCGCTGATCCTATTAGGTTATGCCACCTTCTTATCAGCATCGACAATGAGTCTATGGCACTTGAAGAGTTCATAATAGATCTGTGTGAGGAGTCCGTGAATGGAGCTCTTCTGGTGCGCAGGGCATGGCTCGTCGACGACTGGGCGCTAATAAATATCCCAGACCTTCTGGCTCTTCCAGACCTATCTGCACGACCTCTCCAGCGACCCAAGCTCCAACGCCTTCAAAACATGTCGGCGGATCTACAACAAAGTCCAGCGCATTGTGTTTGGCTCGTCGGAGCCTCAGCGCAGAGAGAAGATTAAGGAAAACATCCTTCCCGTCACGGTTCTCTCCAGCTTGGTTGTTGCTAGTATAGCGGCACCTTTTCTTCCAAGACATGCCGGACCGCTGGCCATCGCGCAGGCTCGCAAGCCCCGTCCGGTAGAGGATATGATATCCGATAATGTGCAGACTCACCGGATAGGCCGCAGTAATACCGTAGCTGCTGGCTCGCCACGACCAAGGAGACCGCGGACGGATCAAGGCCACTCGGACCCCGAGGACCAGGCATCATCAAAATCTCGCACGCCTCGTATCAGAGAACCGCATAGTCCCAAAGAAATGCGATGGAAAGCGGTACGGCCGACGCAACCTGATCGGATACCGTCTGCGCAAGAAAGATCCTCGTTACTTGCAGCTGGTCCTGAAGCTCGTTTGAGTTCATCTTCTCTCCCCGATTTCAGCAGTCGTGGAACCTCCAACCTACCGACTCCACCAGCCACTGCGGGACTAGGACCCCTACAAGCCTCACGCAGACATACGCATACTTCTAGACCCCTGACTCCCAACGTCTTAACCCGGAAGCAGAAAATTAGGCTTCTCCGGTCGAACTACTTCCGAAACGAAACGCAGTTCCTCAGCGCCTTGGAAGACATCTCCAATCGGTTGGTAGTTGTGCCCAAGCCAGCCCGCCTCAGTGCTCTGCGAGCCGAGCTCGCCCTGATAGACCAGGATTTGCCGACAGAAGTAGATATCCCTGTGATTTTGCCTGCTACCCTCCCCGATGGCGTAGCCTCACGCAGCCAACACCATCGCATAGTCCGAATAAATCCCGCCGAAGCCACGAGTCTTAACAGCGCAGAGAGAGTGCCATATCTCCTCATGGTTGAGGTCTTAAAGGAGGACTTCGACTTTGATCCTGATAGTGAACAGAATCAACAGCTTCTAGAGAAGCTGATGATGGAGAAGGGGACCACAAGGCGACGGCTCTTTGACATTACCAACGCAGAGCATTCAGCCTATGTCCGAACGCCGCCGGGTGGAGCTGACAGTGTTTTTGAGCCAGCAAACGGTGATCTCAGTAGTAAATCGCTGATCACAGACACGACTGATGATGACATTGCTGCAAGCATGTCTCGGGTTTCGTTACCGAGCTCTTCCACGGTCACAGCAAAAGCGCCTGCACCTCGGTCCTCGAGTGGTGCGAACACCATGTCTTCCCTAGCAACCGTTTCCACACCAAGGACATCGGACATGGAGATCAGCAGGTCGAACAGCCCTGGCGCTCGCAAACTCCCGCTTCCTTCAAGTCGCACTCAAGGTGCTGACCAGCCTGATTTTTCTGCGCTCGCAACGCACATGCGAACCGCGGCTCAGATGCTGGCGCAACTTGAGGCGAGTAGCTCGAAACGGCCAAAGTCCGAAGTGGCTGCCATCAAAGCTAAAATCATCGCAAGCATGCAATCTTTGGAGGAGCAAAGTTTCCTTGCGGAGGATGCGACACCGACCTTCGACTCCATCATAGCAGATACTGACCCGGCGCTGATCACGGCTGATCCGGAGGCAATCGAGGATGGCGTAACGGTTGCAGCAAACCCGGGCGCTGGCGCGGCGCGCATGGAGAACGACCTCAAGACTGGAGGCATGCAGAGGAACGGCGATCGAGACGACCCAAGCGCAGCGACCTTTGGAGAGGAGTGGAGCTCGAAGAAGGAACGTATTCGAAGGTCATCCCCATATGGTCACATGAAGAACTGGGACATCATCAGTGTCATAGTCAAGACTGGAGCAGACCTTCGACAGGAAGCATTCGCTTGCCAGTTAATACAAGTCTGTGCGAAGATATGGGAGGACGCGGACGTCCCCGTGTGGACTAAACGTATGCGAATCCTGGTCACCGGGGAGTCTTCTGGACTCATCGAGACAATCACCAACGGTGTCTCTTTGCACTCCTTGAAGCGTAGCCTTACGTTAGCAAGCATTGCTGCAGGGACTAATCCGAGGAAACGGATTGCGACTCTGAAAGACCATTTTGTGAAAACATTCGGCGATCCGGAGTCCGAAACGTACATCGCTGGTGTAGACGCTTTCACGCGTTCGTTAGCGGCCTACAGCATCATCTCCTACGTGCTGCAGTTGAAGGATCGACATAATGGTAATCTGCTGATCGACAACATGGGCCATATCATACACATCGATTTCGGCTTTATGCTGTCGAACTCTCCGGGTTCTATGGGGTTTGAGGCAGCTCCCTTTAAGCTTACGCAGGAATACGTTGATGTGTTGGGCGGCTTGACCTCGCCTTCCTTTGACCAATTCAAGACGTTATGCAAGAGAGCCTTTCTGGCGTTGCGCAAAGACGCGGAACGGTTGATCATGTTAGTGGACATGATGGGTAAGCAGAGTAGGATGCCTTGCTTTGCTGCTGGACCTGCCGGCGTCACCAATTCCTTGCGAGCAAGGTTGATGTTGCATCTCAGCAAGGAAGAGGCGGAAGCCTTCGTTGAAGAGCTGATCGCGAAGAGCGTAGGAAGCTATTATACCCGACTGTGAGTAATCTTGCATTGATGTGTATATAGTCTGACAACATTCTCCAGTTACGACACTTTCCAGTACCGCACACAGGGCATCTACTGATTTCCGTCTGCTGTTCTTCACATTACCGTTTGCGCGTTACCCAAGACCCGCGCAGTTCGATTGGGCATTGGTTAGGCATTTTTGGCATCAATAATGGTGTTCTCGTTTATCTGCTATGATGATGGCATTGGGGCGCGGAACGGTGGACATACCATTTGCTTGTTGATCTCAAGACAGGGTGTGGGAGTGCGCATTGGATGAATGATGATGGCTGAAAGATGTGCATTACCACTGGCGTATAAAAGGTAAATATCTATCTTCGGGAACCAAGCGACATAGTGTCAACAGCTTAGTTGAACCACCCCACATAACTTCGCAGTCGAATTCCGAGGCGTGGTACCTCCAAGTGGTGTGAAATGGGTAATTGGGTGTCGGACTAACCAAGGGGATGATATCTGTAAGCTACCCATCATACCACATTGTCCACGAGTGACAAAACATCCTTTTCCTCGCGGGCTGCAGCCATCCCGGTCGCCATCCGATGCTCCGATGACGATCAATGTCTGAGCTAGGATTATTCGGACGTTTCTCGTCCGGACATTACCAATCTATGTCCTCGGCTAGAAAGTTCCACACTCGCACGATACCTACCACAGCAGTAGGTATTACCGCATGTGTGCGGCCCTGGTGCAACCTGCCTATCATGTCGTGAAATAACAGGGCGAGCTTCTAAAAATGGGTTCCTACCGAATCCCGGTGTACTTGTACTTGTACACCTTGCACGCCCTGAGATGGATTTATAAGGTATTGGCTTGGTAATCGCCTACCGAATCGTGGTGTACACCTTGCACCCCCTGAGATGGATATATGAGGGATTGGCTTGGTAATCGCCGAGTTGTCACTTGAACCACCTTTCATTGAAGCCATCTCTTCCAGTTATGGCTGATCAACGAAACATCGTAATCGTTGGTGGCTCCATAGCCGGCCTAAACTCGACACACTATATCCTGAGGCACATTCTACCCTCACTCAAGGCAAAGCACAGCGTCAAATACCATGTGTACCTCATCAACTCATCGTCCGACTGGTTCTTCCGGATTGCTTCTCCCAGAATCGCGGCATCCACCGATCGAATGCCTGTCGAGAAAGCGCTCTTCAACATCCCTGAAGCTTTCAAACAGTATTCTACAAACGACTTCACCTTCATCGAAGCGACCGTCACAAGCCTCGATCCCTCGGCACGAACAGTTACCTTCAAGAACCCGGCGGCTTCGGACGATGAGCACCTTCCCTATCATGCCATCATCATAGCCACAGGAAGCCACACCCACGACCCCGTCTTCTCCATGACCTCCACCACCGACGTCCTTCTCTCTGCTATTCGCACCCGTAATGAGAAGGTTGCCTCGGCCAAGGACATCGTCATTGCCGGCGGCGGTCCCACGGCCGTCGAATACGCTGCCGAAATCGCTGAGCACCTCAACGGCAAGCCAGGGTGGTTCAGTGACGCTCCCCGCAAAGTCAACATCACCCTCATCACAGCGGGATCGCAACTACTACCCGTCCTCCGCCCTGCAATTGCGAAGATCGCCGAGCAGAAGTTGAAGCGACTCGGCGTGGACGTCGTCTACGAAACCCGCGTGGAAGAAACCTCGATCTCCGCAGAAGGCCGGACAACCATTCGTCTCTCCAAAGGCCAAACCCTCGAAGCCGACCTCTTCGTCCCGGCCTACGGCGTCGTTCCCAACTCCTCCTTCCTCCCATCCTCCCTCCTCAACGAAGCCGGGTACCTGAAAACGAACAAGCAGACCCTGCGCGTCGACGCCGCCGGTCCCCGCGTCTACGCTCTTGGGGACGTGGGAGATTACTCGCGGAACTCGGGGCCGGATATCGCTGACGCGTTGCCTGCTCTCATGATCAATCTCAAGCGGGATCTCCTTTCCTACGACCCTGCGAAGCCGGATAAGAAACCAGAGGGGAAGGATCGGATTTATACTCCTAATCTGAAGGAGACGCAGTTTGTGCCGATAGGTACTGGAGGCGGGGTGGGCGCCATGTTTGGTTGGAAGGCACCGGGCTGGCTTGTTTGGCTATTCAAGGGGAGGGATATGATGGTGGGGTTTGCGGGACCCCTTGTGACTGGGGACAGGTTGAAGAAGGAGTTTCAGTGGAAGGGAGACGAGGTTGTTGCTTGACTGTTTGTAACGGGAGAGTAGAGTAGTGCCGGGGCTGCAGTCGGTTGCAGATCGAGTTGGGCTTGGAAGCGAAGCTGAGTGGATTCTGTGATCCAAACTGTTCAGAACAGTTTATTAATTGATCTCATTTCTCCTCTAGCGCCGACGTCTCCTCCGTGAACATCGACTCCTTGGTGGAGGAAGTAAACCTCACAGGCGAAGGAACACCTCTCTAATCCGAGCAAATTCCTCTGGAACACGACTCGGATTTCCTCCGGCTACCGTGTGAGAAACTCTAGCCATTTATTTCGCTGGTTAACCTTTGCTCGTGCCTGCTGAGACGCTCGACGTACCTATGTAATCACATGCATCAAATGGCTTGAATCCGTAAAGGACCGACCCAACCTCGTCCCCCCGCCCCGCTACGACGACAAAATGACAACCAAACGAACAGACCTCCTTCTTTGCCCAAACCAGAAAATCAGAAACAGCGCAAACGTGTACATATATTGCAAAGCTTCTCACTCGTTTTCGGTATATGCAATGGGGATATCCTGCCAAGCCACAGTCACATACCCTTGTCAGATCTGAGATACCAGGAGAGTGCCGTCGACGTATGTCCCGGAGTGCCCACAGACTAGTTGAATTCTGAATTCTGGATCCTGCCTCTCTTCGACAAAAGAGTACGACTCACGGAAACGGTTTCCCTCGACATCTGAGATTTTCTATATATTGCAACGATCAGCAAGAAACATATCAACATCCACTGCACCCTCTACACGACCGGATTTACAATCACCCACTCGTCATGGACTCACGCGCGAACTGCGTCACGCAGAATCCAGCATGGCTCTTCGCGCCGGGACCTAGCAGACAAACACAAACGGCATCTTCACTGCCAGTTGCCCCACCAGTTCAACATCAACATCCGCGGCCCAACAAATTAAAGCGTCGACGCCTGAGAAGCGATGTAGACGACAATCGTCCCTTCCAAACACCCCTGCCTAAGAAGCGTATACGCGTAAATTGCAGTGTGTGGCGCCCCGCTGCGGTGACTAGGGTAGCGAGTCGGAAAGGCAAGGAACGAGCGTGGGATCTTGAGGGTGAGGATGGGGAGTTGGGTGGTTGGCTTGATGGTTGGAAGTGCGATGGGGCTGTGGATGAGGATGGGGGTATGGGTGGAGATGGAGATGGGAGCGAGGAGGAGGAGGAGGATTTGGTGATTTATACGGCGCCGGCTGTGGAGATGGAGGGGACCAGGGATGCGGAATCGGTTGAGGAGGATGATAAGGTTGCTATGGTTATGAAGCTGGATGTAGGTGTGGATTTGAGGGCGATGGATATTGACGCAGATACAGATCCTGGCGCTATGGATCCGTTTGGTAAGGGGGCTGTCGTGGCTGTGGATATCGGCAGTGGAACCGATGGCATTATGGGGCCCGCTCCAATCTCGGATTCGAAAGGTATTATGGATTTGGAAACTACTGCCGAACCGGCGTAGGAAGGTTTTCTAGAGTTACCAACAGATCCGGGATTCATCACCGGTCCCGCTATACATCATCGGGGAATCAGGGCAGAAGGAAGTCGTGAGCGATGTGGTATCGTCAAGTTGTGAAAGTAGAGATGCGGATCCTTATCTACTGTAGAAGATTGTGGCTTAGTTCACACGAGGAAGGCTAAAACGCTCATTGATTAATTTAGGAAAGTTTTTGATAACGTGGAATGGTGTCTACCTATGCGAGTCCGCATACGTGCGCTGAGAACGGTGATTACAGCGATAGTAAGATCCATTCCCAAGGGTTATTACGTCTCGAACTCTGTTGCTGCAGATGAGGTGTTCGAACCACCAGTTGAGCAGTGTGGGAGACGGTTGCGAGCGATCGCCGCTTTCGAGCAATTGTACATCTATTCCAACAGGAGAAGTGCGAGTCACGAGCAAGTATTATAGACCGCGAAATCAATCACTAAAGGATAACGGTGCGTATTACGGAAATAAGGGTACATAGAGTTGGTGCGAGAATACCAGTCCAGAACGTGTTCGGAGCCGTTGGGGTAGAGGCAGCTGCTATGCCGACCTCCGGAGCCCTCCCGCTGTCAACGCTAGTACTGGAGTTTGTATGTTGATTGGCGCCTTCTTTCAAACAGGTGGAGTCTTGGGTATATCTGTTTTAGCACAGGCATCCAACGTCTAGAGCTCCAAATTGTCTAATTTGTTGCGTCTTGTTTGCTGCAGTAGTTAGCTCTCTGTATCCATGCTAGTGGCACGATGCAACGAACATACGTAGTAAATTCTTACTACTTTCTAACTGTATATGTACAATTTCGGAAACGACTAGTAGAGGAAGAAAATAGTGTATCAAGTGTACAGTTAACACAGCGCTATATTTTCCTGTCCATCTCAATGAGCTAGATTTCTCTTGCTACATATCACTCAATTTCTTCTTCCGCTTAGCTCTACGCTGCGTCTGGCTTGTCGTCTTCGTGTAACATTCGCCAACGACGTACAACACCCCTCCGACTTTCAACGGAGTGAATGTTCTCTGATCCGACTGATACAGTCCGAGAACTTGACCCCATAGAGAGGACACTTTTAGCTTTCCAGGCCTTGAGGCGGCATGCCCTTGTGTTTGAAGACCGGAGCCGTCAAGCTGCGTTTCGAGGTTGATATCAGGAAGTGGCTATTTCTTCAGCTTCGTGATTGCGTGACAACAGAGTGTCCTTCTGTCCGGTGGATCACATCTCTTGTCATCCGTCTCCATGACGAGGTCGTCAAGGCGGGTCTGTCGCCAACCATCAAGGCCCCTCCCTCCATCTGAAAAAACATTTCTCCTCTTGTCTTCGTTATCAACTCACCCTCACCCCCTCGACCCCTTCCCCCTCTCCCTCCTCTCCGCCTCCGCCTCCTCCCACAACACCTTGAGCGTCGGCATATGATTCTCCACGTACTCGGCCAACGTCTTCAGCACCCTATTCGGCGTCCTATGCGCATGCGGCGGCCGCTTCGAAACATCGCTTAGTCCAATAAGCGGCACCGTCTTGGCCAGATCCTCCTGCGCGAGCGACTTCATCGGGCTGAAGTCTTTCCAGTAGGGCTGGCGCTCGACGTAGTCTTGGTGGATGACGCGGGAGCGGTCGATGGTGACTTGGAACCATTTTGTTTGCAGCTTGCCCTTTTGTTGGAGTTCGGATTCGAAGGGGAGGGGTGCTTCTTTTTTCTTTGATATCGTTGGTGATGATGATGATGATGATGTAGAGGAAGTGGTGGTATTGTTGTCGTCCGGCAGTGGCGGAGTAAGCAGTGGACTCGCTTCCAACATGTCGTCGATGCCGTCCTTGACTGGCTGTTGCGATGGCGGCGGGGTCTGCGTCTCCGAGTCTATATCTTCGTCGCCGAGCTTTGCGCCCTCGAGAGCGCCGGTCGAGAAGTGGTCGGGCACGACTTTCTCGAGGGCGAAGCGGATGGGCGAGGCGTCGAGGGCTCGTTGGGCGGCTTCGGCGGTGCTGAAGATGGCTAGGGCGCTGTTGGCGGCTGGGTTGTGGTATTCATACTGCGAAATGGAAGGAAGAAATTAGTCAATTGTCAAGTTTTGTAGGTACCAGGGAGATATCGAGGTGGTGTCGTGGTATACTCACGCGAAGCGACTTGTAGGTACTAATCTCCCCAAACTGCTGCAGCACTTTGTAGATCTCTCGACTCTCGGAAAGGTTGGCGGGACGCGGCTGGATGCGCAGATGGACGGAGCGGGTAGCCAGGAGCTGGGATGCGGCTCTGCGAGCGGAGGACATGCTCGACAAGGAGGGAATGTGAGATTCCAGAGTTGAGGATGCGGTCCCAAGTCCAAAAAAGTTCCGAAGTTGGTTCCGGATTCCGGGGTCAAAGTACGAGATCACGTGGTTTGCCCGATGAGACGTCAACTGGTACACGAACTGCAGTGCGACGTGACGATCTTGACTGGAAAGAATTGTAGGGCAGCATAGTCGGAAGATACAGGCTTGTCTAATGATATTGTCTATATATTAAGGCTGCGACGCACTAGTCGCCTCTAGTGACCTCGCTCCCGAAGCGCTCCAGGCCCAACCTGTTTGTTTTCCAAATACTCTAGACGCCGTCCTATGATATTCTAGACAGCGATCATATGTACATCAGCTGTCCGAAAAAATTCCTACCACGGCCTGTGCGGCCTCCAGGGGTATATGGATAGTAGATGGTATACCGCGCCAGAAGCAAACCCAAAACGAACCCAAACGCCTTTGCAATGCTCCCATGCTTCCAAATCTCATCAAATAGCCGCACCACATTACAACAGTTTACTTCTTTTTTGATGTCTTCAATCTCCTCCGCATGCGAACCTTCTTCACGACGGCGGCGCCCCTGCATAACCGGTCTCCGGCTCTCCGGAAGCTGAGCGGGAACACGGATCGGTCCTCGGAGTCGGCGGAGGTGTAGTCCATGTCTATGCCCTCGTCGTCTCTGCATCTCGACGAAGGGCGAGGCGATGGAGACGAGGGCGTTTCGCAGACGTTGCATTGGTCCGTCTCCTCTATCATTCTTGCCACCAGCTTCGACATAGTCTCTAGATGCGAGGGACTGCGATGTTTTCTCGTATTGGTTTGGCGCTGCAGCCGGAGCGAGGCGGTCGCAATCCGTGAGTAGGTAGGTCGCTCTGCGGCACCGGTATGGGTGGCAGTGTCGTACGGGAACACGCTGGAATTCGAGTTGACGGCTTGATCGCGTAGCGATTGTCGGTCGAGGTCGTCTGCGAGGTCGCCCACTGACGGCTTGGGAGTCGGTGGCCTTGAGAAATCCTCAGACAGCACGGTGGAGGGTGAGACATTCATCGTGGTCCGCTCGAGCTTCTGGGCAGCTGGCGGGCGTCGTTCGAAGGAGAAGTCCCGAAACATGATGGTGGCTGCCATGGTTGGCAAATGACGGTGATGGTGGAGAGGTGCCTGGTTTCTTTGACTGGAGCTAGCACGGCAGTCTCATGTGGTGTCCGTCTCGTCCCGTCTGCCGTCAAAGAGTGGCAGACAAAGTAGCAGTAGTGGTGGGCAGCAGCGGTCCATTTGGGCTGGCGGCGGGCGGGACGAGCTAGCAAAAAGAGAGGAAGAAAGAAAAGGGCCCCGTCACGCCCGTCTGGTCGGTTGGCGGGCGTGGCGGACGCATGGCGGGCGCATGGCGGTTTCCCAGGTCAGTGTCACTGGTCCCCGTCCGGCGGTAAGGCCGAGAGAGGCATAGCTCGTGTCTCGCTAGCACCGTGGCGTCCGCGGGCTGTCTCGCCTGAGTCGCTGCACCCGGCGATTTTGATCCCCAAGGTTTCGCGTGTTCACAGCCGGCTGGGTTGTCTGCCTCTTTTTCCATCTTTTTAACGTTTTGGGTGACAAGCCACGCGTAACCATTGGTCGCAGAGCGCCAATCATGTTCAGTATTTTTGGCTGCCGTGTCTCGTCTTTCTTCTGAGCACTGCAGTAGATGACAGCACGGCAGTCAGTAGTTATCAGCACGCTAGAACCTGCATGGAAGCTTTATGGAAGCTTGGCAGCACCGATCCCTGGACCTGGACCTCACCCTTCCAGTAATCAACAATCGACATCATCAATCTCCTTCCCTGCCCTTATCACCACCACACATCAGCCGACTACTACTGCTGCCGTGGGCGCCGGCCTCGACCTAATGCCCCTTTCCCGCAAATCACCCTCTGCAGCCTAGATCCACAGCCTGGAGAACACCTTCGTACAGGTCAGCGCTGGGCGGACGCAACCTGGAACAGCCTCTGGTCCTTCGTCAATGCATCATCACCAACTACAGCCGTGGTCCACAAAGCTTCCACCGTCGAGGGAATATCCTGCCACTAGGGGTCGCGTACGAGTACAGTTGCCCAGCCAATCATTGCAACCCAACTCTCCGTTCGCCTTCATTTTCCATTTCAACCGTTCCCCTCTGATGGAGCCCTCCTTTGCATTGACGCCACTCGCTTTCCCATACCCGCAACGCAATTCAAAGACCCGGTTGTCGACGCATGGTTGCCATGCAACCCTAATACTCTGACTGCCGAGTCACGGCTTTTCTTGTGTGTCTGCTCCACTGCACCGGGCTCCCTCGTTTTATTCGTTCCTGCTTCCATCCTCCTGCCATGACACTCTGCGCGGCCTGTCGCAGCATCACCGTATCTGCACTGTCAAGTGAACTGGAACATGTCCCTCTCTGGTGGTGGGAGTTGAATAGCCGGGCCAAGCCACGTGGTATGGTGCACCATGTTGATGCTCGACAGCTACCGCTATCAGCCACTGCTGGTTGCCCATTGTGCCGTTTGATAGTAGCCGCAATCTTGCAAGATGCCGAGCAAAGGTTCTCAGACCAGGATCCCCAAATTCACCGAGAAGCCAGTAGCGCATTGGCTAGTCGTTTGAGTAGCAGCCCCATCTACCTCCGACCGAACACTGATCCACTCAAACAATCATTCCCGCAGGATGACGTGCCAGGTGCACCCTATGTGAGGGGGTTCAAGGTTTTCGTGCCGACCGTACGCAATGTCTTGGTTGGCCAGATCCGATTGTTTACGCTCAAAGGTATCTATCTCCTGAGGAAAGAATGATCTCGTCGGCTGATTCCACGTAGATAGCCCCGCCGCAAGGAGTTGTGACATTGTCGGTCGCCCTCCGTTGCCAGCCTCAGACTCGCCAGCCGCCTTTGAACTCATCCATCAATGGCTGACGCGTTGTCTGAGAGACCATGACGCGTGTAAGGAATCGTTTTCTGGAGCGGACATTGATGAATCCAAGCCCTCAGTCTTGCCGACAAGAGTGGTTCATGTTGGAAATCCCGACCAGGGCCTTCCTCCACGGCTATGTCTGACTGGGGGAAAGAGAGATCACTATGTCGCATTCTCACATTGCTGGGGTCGTAATAAACCGCCTCTTATGACTACCGCTTCTACCCTCCAGGAACGTATGGCTGGCATCCCCTGGAACGAGATCCCAAAGCTATATCAAGATGCTATTGTAGCCACCCATCGTCTCGGTTTCAAGTACATTTGGATTGACAGTCTTTGCATCATTCAGGACTCAAAGGAAGACTGGCTGAACGAATCCCGACACATGGGCACTGTGTACGAAAACGCTCGTCTCACGATCGCTGCCTCCCATGCAGCTGACTCCAGCGAATCCTGTTTTCCCACGCGTCCTAGGAATCCTGATGCGGTGGAGTTGCCATATTTCACTCAGTCCGGAGACCATGCAGGCTCCATGTTTGCCACCTGGATGCCCGCCGACTACGCATCCATTACTCCTGACGGGAGCGTTCTGGACTCTCGAGCATGGGCAACCCAGGAGTGGCTTCTTTCCCGTCGTATGATCTTCTTCACTGCAGCCTCGGTCGTGTGGTCGTGCAAGTCGCTCTGTCAACTTGAAACTGGCGGTTGCTTCCATTCGACCGCCCGCAATGCCCGTTGGAAGGCCATCGTCGAGAAATATTCCGCTCGCGCTCTCACTTTGGCCAGCGACCGCCTGATTGCTCTGGAGGGCCTCCGGACGGAGATGGGGAAGAAAAGGAAGGGGGACACGTATTGCTTCGGGTTGTGGAAACATCAAATGCCCGAGCAGTTGCTGTGGTACTGCCGTCAGCCTGCAGAAAGACGCAAAAGCCCGCTGGACCTGCCAACATGGACTTGGGCAAGCACCATGCACGGCGTACGCTTCATTGTGATGAAGCATCCAAAGAATGCATGTGGAGGCATCAAATTTGATGAGCCCAACAAGACACTCATTGTTCGTGGCGTTCTCCGCCGCACCACCTTGACCCCTTGCGATCCCAATAGCTTTCAGCATAGCGATGGTTCACTCCCCTTCTTTCCTAAACTGGCAGAAATGCTTGAACATGAGATACCCTCCCATATGTTATTCACTCTTTGCATCGACAACGAGATCATAGGGAAAGCGGTCATTGACGAAGGGCTGCCGCTTGACGACACTGACATTTACGCACTTTACCTAGTCAGCGCAAAGATTCATATCCGTCATCTCACAGGCGGCAAAACCACGTTCCACCAGCAGTGGGTCTTGTTGCTGCGCCGCTTGGATCAGTTTGCTGAGGTGTACGAGCGGATAGGTGCGGGACTCCTCGTCAGTGCAACGCCGTTGTTTACGGACCAGTCTCCGACGCAGGTTTACATACGTTAATACGTCTCTTCGCCATTTTGCTCCGCCATCTCTTTCACCTTCAAAAAGAATGGCCTGAAAGACTACGAGCTCGCTTACCCAACCATGTGCGGGATGCTGCTTTGTCCCCACGCGAGGCTAATGCGATCTATATCGCCGCTTGGTTTGATGCGGTCAGCCGTCTCAAACAACGAGAATCATTGCTGCAAAACAGGGCTTTTTCAATCTGGGGTCTTTGTCAAGCGCAATAATGGGCTCATTTCCAGGTGGCCCTCTTGCAGCCATGGCTGTTTGCGGCAGTTGGAGGCTGGGCAACAAAGACATCACAACTGCAGCACGGCAACAAAGAGAGAAACAAGTCATTTTCCTTGCATGCACCGCACCTTAATCTCTTTCTTTCCATTTCCTTCTATATTCCGAGTGCGCTCACCTTTCTTCAGGTCAGCCATCATCCCCACTGTCACGCAGGAAAACCAGCAGCATCTTGCACTTTAACAATCACTTCATCTCGACAAGATGGATTTCATGAAAGGGTTTGCACGATTCTTCGGTTCAAGTCCATCGCAGAATCCCGAACCGGCCCTCCGAGACGAACCAGCGCTTCCAGGTGAAAAGCGCAGACGGAGCGATTCCGACAATCAGCCACGGAAGATCAGAAGGTTGTCCGAAGGACATTCTGAGACGCTTTATTCTCCGCGGGACTATAGAACGCCCATTGCGGACCCTTCAGGAGGAGGCCATGCGGGAGAAGGGAGGCGCATTCAACGTCCGCAGGGCACGGCGCGCCGTGGAAGGCTGAGGACGGTGCCAGACGCATCCCGTATGCGCATGAGGGCCACGAAAGGGGCAGCGCCGCCCCGTGACCAAACTCCCGAAGAGGGACTTCAAGAGGAAATCCAGAGACGGATTGCGGCGGAGGCTCTCCAGCACGTCCCTAGCTCTCCACCTCCTCAACCTCAACGTCGTCGTAAACCAAAGCCTTTAGCGACGGAAACCCGCGCACAGCCTGCGCCTGCCGGACCCAGTCTTACTGCAAAGACTACTGCGCGCGCCTCCACGGAAACCGACTCCGAATCCGAAATGGAGGAAGTCGAAACATCCATCTGGGATACCATGCCCAACGACATCGCTAGCGAGCTCGCGGCCAGCAAGAACCGCACCGAAGCCGGACAAGCCATTCGCGAAAGCCTTAGGGACCAGACCGGCCAAGCTGAGCCGCTCTACGCGCTTCGTGACGCTGAAATACGAGACACGCATTGGCAGGTCATGGATCGGATTCAGCGCTTCGCGATAAAATACTTTGGCTTTGATTTTCCGCAGACGGAGGAGAATGAGCCGAAATTGAACACGGCGTTCGCTCAAATGCGGGAGGAGACGGTCACGCTGATTGGGTGTGTGGCTTCCGGAGGACCTGAGGGTAGTCAAGGGTGGAAGGATTTATTCTATGACAGTGTGAAGAGGAAAGCGCTAGTCTGCGCGATTATCGGGAATATCGTCACGGAACAGGTGATCCAGCATTCCTTCTTTGGGGGCAGTAAGACAGATGAGGATGCGTTGGACGGAATCATGAGGGACAATACTAGGTTGGATGGTGAGCAACGCCGTCTCTCTACCCCTTTTCCCCTAACCCATGTTCAAAAACCAATATCATGCTAACAGAGATGTTATAGGCTTCGATCGCAACGCCCTCTACGCCGAGTACATCGCGCAGGCTCTCGATTTCACTCCGGGCGAATCTCTAACCCTCCCCACCCACTTCCACCAGCACGTCGTCGCCGTTGTCGCCACCCTCCTCGTCCACCTCACTGCCGTGGACGCACGCAATGTCCGCACGGCAGAACACCGCGTGTCCGAGCAAATCCGCGACCTCTACAAACTCGTCGCCTACGCCGGCATCCTATCTCTCTTCATGCGTCTAGATCCACAGGCTGTGTACTACGTGACTCCCACCTTCAAAGAGCAGCACTTTGAAGCCGAACACATGGACGCCTACAACCGAGCCGTCATGGAAGCCACGAACCCCCGCGAACGTATGTTCCCGGACGACTGGGACCAGCGGGAAATCGCTCGTGCCAAGAACGACGAGCCGCTCACGCAGATGATCCTCATGAACGGCATCACGGTCTATCGACGCGGTGGCTGGGAGGATCCCGACATCAGCGAGCCGTGGGATGAGGGTGTCGTGTATCAGCCCGGGATGGAGCATCGGGGCATCAGGAGCAGGCAACTGACGCAGGCGTGGGTGTTTTGTAGATGGGGACGGCCTAGGCGGTTTGTCAAGGGGCAGCCGGCGGATCGGAAGGAGGTGCATGGGGCGCAGTGGCGGGATCCGGGGTCTGTCGAGTTTGAGGATGTGGTTGCGGAGGCGAAGGGAGGGGAACGGGGTGAGGAGGGCGAGACGCTGAGGGGGAGGAGGAAGGAGAAGGAGAGGGTCGGGGAGGGGAGAAGGGAGAAGGGGAAAGGGAAGGCGAGGGCATAAGGGTGGTGGTGAGGTATTGGGGAGATGGGGAGGCGATGTGCTGGGCTGATTTTCCATTCTTTTCCTTACCAGATGTCTAGAGATCATTTACATTAGAGGGGTGTACTTAGGTCGGTTTCAATGTACTGCGGTTTCATCTTAACATTTCTTTGTACACAAGAGTGTAGGTTTGGATCTGTATACTTCATAGTGTTCCACACCCACGCAGAGTTTCACTCTATGCAACGGGTGCTTCACTTGCCTGCCGCACCTTTGTGTACATTTGCGTCCTACATAACCAGTTCACTCTGATTGGAACCTTTTGGGTCGACGTTCGTTCATCCATGGGCATATCTTACGGCTAGTCTACTTCAAGCCTAGCGTCCGTTACTCTACGCCAAGCCTTCTCCAACAAGGACCCTGCCCCACTCCTCTTTTCCCATCCCAAAAAAAGTTCCCCAGCTCCATTTCACACTTCACATCCCTCCCTCCCTCCTGCACAACCTCCCGCCATCTCAAACAAACCGAAGATGGACGCCACCGCCCTCCTCCTCCGCCAGGGCTGGCGCGGCACCGGCCACTCCCTCGACACGACGAACCGCGGTATCAAGAAACCGCTGCTCATCAGCCACAAGCGCGACACGCTGGGCCTCGGCAAGAAGAAGGCCGCGCACAATGTCGACGATCAGTGGTGGATGCGCGCGTTTGACGAGAGTCTGCGGAGTATTGGGTCCGGGGCGGAGAGCACGTTGGCGCAGGTGAGGAAGCAGGGGATTAATAGGGGTGGGTTGTATGGTTTTTTTGTGAGGGGGGAGGGGCTTAGGGGGACGATTGGGGTTTCTGAGAGTACGGCGGCGGCGGATAGATCAGGGTCGGGGTCGAAGGCGGAGGGGGAGAAGGGGAAGACGCTGGATTTGGCTGGTGATTCGGTTGCTGGATCCAAGTCTGAGAAGAAGCGGAAGCGGGAAGATAAAGCGACGGAGGAAGGAAATCGGAAACGCAGGAAGGAGGAGAAGAAGGACAGGAAGTCTACCACGAGCCGGGAGAGTACGCGAGAGGAGCGCATGACCGAGTCAAAAACCGTCAAGATCCACGTCGAGGAAACAGAAGTGGCAATCAACACCATCGAGCGGAAATCCAAAAAGCAAAGCAAGCGCAGTAGAAAGGAAAACGAGCGCGAGTCTACAGCGACTAGCACGTCGGACACCTCTTCTGAAAGCACCAGCAAGACCGAAAAGAGGAAGGAAAAGAAGAAGAAGAAGGAGAAACAGAAGTCTCCCGAAACCGCAGACCGAAATTTAGACCTCTCACCCGAAGCCTACCAAGCCATAACCGCAAAACTCTCCAAACTCACGTCCGAAGAGAAAGCGCAGTACGAAGAGCGCGCACGAGCTAAGAAGCAGACGCTCGAACAATACGTCCTCCGTCGCATACAGAAGAAGGATGAGAAGAAGAGAGAATCATCAGCGGAAGTGAAGATACAGAAGCGGAAGAAAGGGAGGGAATTGCTGGTGGAAAGTAAACGGGTTAGTGTTGTGGAGGTAACGGCATAGGGCGCTGGTCGATGATAACTCGGTTTCAGAATAGGGTTGGATTCGTGTTTGAATTGCATCGCAAAGGGCATAGCATTGGCGTTGAGGGATCTTAGCCAGTTCCATTCGCGAAATGAGAAATATTTTGGATTACAAGCAGGACTACTCTATCAAAACACATCTTCACCCGTAACCTTGGAAGCACCCTCTTTCAACGCCTCCGTGACCGACCTCACGCAAACACCCCAACCAAAATCGACTAACTCCCATTACACACACCCACCACCTCTCTTTCCCCCTTTCCATCGCTCACTCCTTCACATCCCCGCCCTGCCGCTCAAAATCCAAGGCCTCCTCTCCCAAAACTCATCTCTGATGATATCAACATGCTCAATCACGATCCTCGCTTTCGTCCTCTTCTTCCGATCTTTCTCCCTCTGCGTACGACTCCATTCCTTGGGTCGCCCCGTGTCTTCCTCTTGGGACTGGGTCCCAGCCGCCCAGCCACCGGATTCGCTGTTAAGATTTCGTTTGGGGCCTTTGGCAGGTTTGGATTTGGCTTGTTTTCCTTTAGGGAGGATGAATGTGCTGCTCGCGGTGCTGGGCGTTGTGTCTAGCGAGGCTGTTGCGGCTGCGGAGGACACGCCACGCGAGGGATGTCGTGGCGGCGTCCGTGGACGCGTACCTTCTCCCTTTCCCTCAAACCTTGCCAGCGAGGGCGATACGTCCGGCTCGGTACGAACGGGGGCCTGGTCTTCACGCTCGCGGCGCTCGCGGGGAGGCGGACTCGGCAGCTCCTTCATCGTCGTGAGGGGCGGACTGTGTCTACTTCCCTTCGACGGCATCGGCGGACCCTCGTTATAGCTGTCTTCCTTGTTGAGCATGCCGAGAGATCTCTGGCTTTGGATCGAGAGTTTCCGCGGTTTGTTGTTTGCTGGGATCGAGGACATACGGAGGGGGATGATGGGGGGTTGGGATTCCAGGATGCTGAGGCTGGGGCTTCGGTGCTTGAGTTTTGGTCGCGATGATGAGGGGCCTGGTGCTGTGGTTGGTGGTGGTGGGGGTTGCGCTGTTGTGGGGAGGGAGGTGGATGCGGAGTGGGATTGAGGTTGGGCGGGATTGGATTTTGTGCGTGATGGAAAGGTGCCTGAGGGGATGGGGGAGGGTTGTGGGCTCGTGTTTATATGCGCTGTAGGGTCCGGAGGCGTAAGTGATGGTGGTGGTTTCGTGCTAGGTTTGAGGGTGGGTGGAGGGAGAGGGATTGGTGTTAGGATCGGTAGTTTGTGGTTATGGCTCATCGTCGATGTCCCGTTGGGTGGTGGAGAAACGGGGATAAAGGTCTGTGGATATTGAGGCCTCGCTGTTGACATCAATGGGGGTGACGGAGGTGGAGATGGTGTGGAAGATAGGAAGGTTGGGCCTCGGGGGTTACCATCCGAGGACGAGCGAGATATTCTAGCCGGATCCATATAGGAGGGTGCGGCGGGTTGGGATAGTGGGCGAACGATGGCTCTTTGTGGTCGAGGATGGGAGAGCGGAGGTGTGGACTGCGCTACGGTCTGAGGGAGTGGTGATGGCTCTGCCGAAGGAGGGAAGAACTGTGAGGCTTAGCATATGCAGTGCCTTGAAGCGAGAGGATGTCATATTACATCTCGGTACATCACACTTCCTTTCTTGAAGATCTCAGGCTCATTGTTGTAATTGATGCCGAACCGAGAGAAGAGAATCTCGTTTTTGTCGGACGAGACTGTGCCAGATAGCTCTTGCTCAGCTGCACGAGGGTCCAATCCACCCCTCTTCACTAGAGCCCAGAAGGTGGTATTGTAGAGGTTGTTGATATGGCCTATGCTATGTCAGTAAGTGTATATCTTGGATCCCCGAGGACGATATGAGAGACAGTCATGCGGGGAAAAGTCGGTAGCTAATGCTATACTGATATGAAACACACTGACAGTCAACCTGTCGCCAACTCATATAGTCTCTTAAGTTCCGATCGCTGGGGTAGCAGACCGCGCGCCCATCAAACGAAGGCAAAGGAGGCGTCAACGGTTCCTCGAAGTAGTTGGGCCAGAGATAGATATAATAAGCCGAAAAGGTAGACACAATCGTTGTCGTCAACTTGCTAAAAATAATTATCAGCACTGTAGCGCCGAGTAGGACGGGACAGCCGACGATCTGTGGGGATGGGGCGAAGAAGAATCGTTTGTCCGTGATTACCTCGCTCTGCGCTCGAAAAGGACGCAGTCCTTATGAAAGACGAAACTGTGTAACGTATCAGCTTTGGCTGCTTCGAAACCCAACCACTACATGCAGATATGCGGACGTGCAGCTCAGCATCAGCGAGTGCTGATTCTTGTCGATCTCGCAATATCTTTCTAACATGGTCGATACGCTGAGGTGAGATGCGTACCTGTATTCATCGCTGTTCCCGTAGGCGAGACACAGGTCAGGCAGCTCTTTCATGACGGCCTCAGCCGCTGCATTCATGAGATCCAGAGCTCGCCGGTCATTCGGTTTCGTGAAATTGTATCTAGCGGTAAACCTGTCCAAGGAGGCGTCCAATCAGTAAAGGTTTCTTCCGGTACGCCTAGGAGGTCACTGCGACGAATCAACCGGGCTGTGTTGTTGGCCTGAGGTGTTCCCAAACCCAGGGCCATGCTCGCGAACCAAATCTTCTAAGACGGCATGAGAAATGACGGAATGAGAGCAACATACTTGGTGAAGCCTCTCCCATCGATGCGGATTACGATCCAAGTATTGGCCAGTAGACTATCCGGCTGCTCAAAGGAGCGCACATATTCGTATCTAACACCTCGTCAGTCATCCCCCTGTAGAAATCGCACTCACCACACATGGAGCTGCGAAAGCTCTAGGATACATACTTTGAATTAGCCATTAAGCTTTATTACTCAAGATAACCCGCGATTCCAGGCCGGCGTCGGACAGCATGGCTCGCGAAAGAGAAAAAAAGTTTGTAGGAGGCTAAGTCTGCGACGGATTGTGGAGTTGAATGTTCGAGGCTGGCGGAAGTCACGGGTTATGCCGCGCCCATATGCTTACCGCACCGCACAAGCATAAAGAAGGGTTTCAGATGGCGATAATCATGCATCTAGGAAATGCATGCAGGAGACGCCCTGCAGAGATGCGGGACAACTCAAAATTGCGTATATATCTGCGCAGGGGGAACAAAATTCGGGAGTTCGCCTAGCGACTCCTCGATGTCGAAAAGGAGCCCTGGAGGCGATAGGTTGAACTCGTGCTTGCGCCACGTAGTCTATATGGTTTGAACGGTGTGCTTCACCGACGTTGATACCGCTTCTATATGATTTAAAATACAACAAAGTCAGATATGCCATCATTTACCGTTTGCGCCCAATTCCATACATTTCCCATTTCGATGGTGCTGTGTGCAAAGCCCGCCAAATAATGAAAACCTCGTACGCCGTTGATGAACGCCTCGCTATGCAAAGGCCGCAGATCAAAAGTGGCTCGAATTCGAGCATCTAGTATGAGTCTTGCTTTGTGTCTTTTTTCGGTGTTGCGATGGGTGTGGACGCTGCTCGAACCCTTCCTGGGTCTCCCTGCGGTGGGTCTGCCAAGTCCACATTGTCTATCCCTTCAACGATACCATCGGTCCTCGCTTCGAGAGGTGTTATGACTTCATCATCATACCCTTCTTCATCTTCCTCATCCCCATCGTCCTCATAATACTCGCCATCATCATCGTCCTCGACGCTTTCGGTGATGGACTCTTCAAGTCCGCCATTGTCGTCCACAGAATCTCGGGATATATAGCTAGCTTCCAGATCTTCTCCAATCTCGGATCCTTCGTCTTCGCTCTGGATGCTTCCTGCTTCTGTTGTTACATCGCCATCTTCCTCCTCGCTATCGGTAAAGTCATGGACGTCCAGAGGCTTATCGCGCCAGTAATTGAAGTCGGTAAACTCCTCTCCGCCAGCAGGCACTAAGAGACCTACTGGCGGGAAGAAATGGTCCACAATCTCGCGCATGCTGGCGTATCCGGTTTTATAGCTGTTAAGCGATAGGACATCTAAACTGACTTCAGCGTTGGAATTGATTGTGAATATCCTCGTCGATGGTATGTTTACTGAGCGATAACTTAGCGCATCGGTAAGTCGGTTACCGAAGCCGGCGTAAAAGGGTGTCTGCCCCGGTGGCTTATTGAATAAATCTTTGATATCTCTCAGACAAGACATCTTAAAAACCTCGGGTTTTCGAAGATATATCTCACGGCGTAAAGCAGCAATTGTGCGATCCGGGCTCATGATCACAGGACCTTTTGGTAGGTGATAGCCTTCCTGCACGACGCCATTCAGGTAAGCCCTGGTCGTATCAGCTTGTCCAACCGACCGACTTGTGAGATATAGGATGTTGTAGCCGTTGTTGACAATCTCTGTGTATAACTTTGCGACGCCAAGATGTGTCCAATCCCGGCCGATCATATTGAGAACATGCCCGAGCGCATCGGACTTTGTGATGGTGCCATCGATGTCGGAGATAACAATTGGGGTATCATGTTTCCACAGATACATATATGCATTACAGGTTGAGCGGTTCACCGTGAAGCTCATGGAGTTGGACCCCGGGTTGAGTTTCAAGGCTTTGAGCTGGTCGCTAGTCAGGCGGAGTGTCTTCGCATAGTTCTTATTTTCAGTGCTGTTCAAGCCAGGGGAATTCGTGGGTGAGGACAGCCCAATCGCGCTATCGGAGTCTCTTCGATAGTGGTGAGTGTATTCGGCAGTTGTGTCACTCCGTGCATCATCGCTATGATATCCGGGGTCAGACACGGCGTCGGTCGAGCGCAAGGCATCCTCGTTCAACATGCTCAGAGCTGCCTTCTGACTTGCGGCCGCCTTTGCCTCCTCGCTGCTGTAGATCCATAGATTCCCGTCTTCATCTGCTCCGATCAATGCGCCTATGTCATAATTACCTTCCAGCTCATCCGCTAGAATCTTCCTTGCCACCACTTCGGCGCGCAGGGCCTCTTCTTCACTCGATTTATACCCCGTCATGTCTAGTTTCAGATCGCCCGTGTCAGTAACCTCGTTCGGGATGTTCGAGACGAGAAGCTTTTTCGACAGATTGATAGCTCTAGCCATGGCTTCAGCGGGAGAGACGGGCGGCGGGCTGGCTGAGCGCGCCGAAGCCCTGTTCCATGCAGTCGCCTTCTCCTTGCTGACCTGGAGTGGCCCATTCTCCTTCACGCTGAATGGTTCTCCCAGCCGAGCCTTGGACGTAGGAAGAACATGATCAGTGTGCGAACGCGGCATGTACACACCTGACCAGTCCCCCGACATAGGCCTGGTGAGCATCGGATTCCGGTGGAGAGGTTCGGTCGGGGTATCGGAGCCCGATAACCTCCCTCTGCTGCTTTTATCGACATCGTCTAAATCGAGAGGTTCCATTTCGGACGCTGGTCGGTTCGGGGGGTTCTCTAGGGGCTTCTGCTCCGGACTGGAGACCGGAGAAGAGAGTGGTGAGGTCTGGAGGTCCTTGGGTATATTGGCCGAAGTTTCGAAGACAAAGAAAGCCTCCCCACCTTCTCCAAGCTTCATAGCATAATCCTGTCGCACATCGTTCACCCTGAATTCAACCTGCGCATCATCAGCAGAGGATCGTCATGCTCGCCTGGCATGACTGTACCTTCTTATCCGAGGGTCGTAGCAGCTGGAATTTACCGAATCGTACGTGAAATGGCGAACAAGCCAGTGTGCCTGCTCAGCGTAAGCTCACGAATGGGAACATGGACAACGGACTGAAACTTACCATCTTCTTGCTCCACTACGATGACATCGATGGCACCGCTCAACGTCGCGGGATTGATGGAGTTCCAACCCTTCGAGACTGTGCCGGTTATGGATCGTACGTACTGCATTGCCTGTTTCTGCCGTACTGAGAGAGCTCCGAGAGCTGGCAGGTGCTGCTCGGAGCTGCTGCCGATGGGAAAGCTGGTGGAGGGTTCGGGATGGGTGTGGGAAGTTCAATCTGGTCGCGCAAGATATCGGGGGAGGGTCGTACGATGGTAATGCCGGACAAATACGCGCGCAGCGAAGGGCAGAGTGAGTGAGCGGAAGTGGGCGTCAGTGAACTTGTGTGTGTTGCGCATCGGCTGCGGCATCACCCATCTGTCAACCGGTGGATCCCGTCGTCAGCCGCACGTGAACATTGCCAAGCACCGAAGCTCCAAAAGGCCAGCCCTGGTGGGTCTCCCGCCGTCTCCCGCAACACTGCTACCCGACGATTTTCCGACACGAGAACCTGGGACCTGCAGTCACCAAAGCCGCCGCTGTTCAGCAAAGACGGGCCTCGTCGTCACCTTGCTCCTCATGCTGTACAGATGCTCTCAGAAGATCCCATTGCCCTCTCCTGGGCTCCCCATGTCTTCGACGTGGAGAGCCTCGTTTTCCAGTCCCAAGACTGGCTGAAGACTATCATCGTCGCCTCCGCACTTTTCTGGCACGTCTCTTCTGGACCTCTTACTGTGCATTGCGCTGACATTCTCTGACTATTAGGTTTGCATACCGCTCATATCAGGTGCTCTCGAAACCGGCCGAAGAACTCATCGCTCTTTTAGGCTTGGAGGTCCCGGTCGCACCCATCGTGTCCCTCGCGGGAATCAGGTGTGATGGCGTGCTCCTACACTGGAAGCCACCGGAGCAGCGCACATCTGTACTCAAATACGTTATCCGTATCAATGGGATTGATAGTCAGTCCACCTGTACACCAGAACCCTTCGTCGTACTCATGCTTCTCCAGTTGGCGATATCTCTCCCCAGGAGACCTCCGTCACCATTGAGAATCTACAACCTGACCATCAATATGTCATGCGAATCGTGACCGTCAACTCTGCTGCTTTTCATGCTCCAAGTACCCCGATTCGCGTCCGTACGCTTCCCTCTAGCACTGGCTTGTTCTATGGCCCTGCTCCGAACAAGGACTCCGCCGAAGAGGCCGGCGATGGCGATTACACGCCCACTCCCATCATTCGACCGGCAAAGATCCTGCAAGAAGTAGCTGCACCCGCTCATACCCCTCCCGTCATGACGAGAGAGCATAGTAACAGTACATCGCGTGTGCGTCGGGCCGATGCAGGTCGACGCAACTCACCCGCATCTCAGACTGTAGACCAAGCTCGATCCGTTCTGGAAACGGACGACTCTACGGAGACTATCAAACAATTGACCGAAAAGCTGGATGCCTTGCGGCGGGATATCGAAGATGTCGAAAGGCAAATACAGGACGAGGAGGACGAGTTTCGAGCACAAAAGGCTAGCTTGACCGAGAAGCGTGACGACAAGAAAGCCGCTCTCAAAGAGAAGGAAGATACAAGCCATGAGCTGCGCAAAAAGGTCGCGAGCTTGGAGAGGTCGAATGCGTCGGCACAAGCACGACGTGCTCAACAAGAAAGATTGCTCCGTCAAAAGGAAGCTGATCGCCAGAAGCTCAAAGACGATGTGGCGCGGTGGACGCGAGAGGCGGGAGAGCTACGGGCTGCAGCCGACAACATTGAGAAAGAGCGTGCCAACGTTCAGGCTGAGGGAGAAGCGCGACTGCAAGCCTTGAGGGTAAAATACGAAGAGGAGATGCAGACCAACAAGAGTCTTGAAGAAGCCATCCGGGAAAAGGGCACGCAAATCAAGGCGCTCGAGAGAGAGAGGGAAAGACTTGAGGAGGCTGAACCTGGAGGTGAGGTGCAAGAGGGCGGTGATATTGCTGATGGCGAAGAGGATAGACAGTGGTTTGAGAAGTTTTCAGTTCTACAGCAGAGCTATGCTCAAGCTTGGAATCAGCTATGTCAAGCTGAGCGGATCCACAACGAGACAACGACTAGGTTGCATTTCTTGCAGCAACGCCGTTTGAGCCAACCGCAGCCCTTCTCAACTACGCAGACTCAAGAGCCTCATGGTCGGAAGAACAGCCAACGCTCACGACCCGTTAGCTTACGGGAGCCTTTCTCTTCTGCTGCACCGGGCGGGTTTGTGCACACTTCTGCTCCTCCCTTCAACAGCTCCGCTACGAGTATCTCCCCGACGTTCCCCAACTCCGGATTATATTTCAACATCAATAACGGCATGACTTTACCTTCGCCTAACAGCCAGAACCTTGCCTTCTCCCAAGCGGATCTCGAAAGTTTCTCAGCGGGAGCGCCCATGAGCCCAACTGCGGGTGCGCTCTTGCCTTCCGGATTGCTTGGTGACGATTCCGGCTTGACTGATGCCGAAGACGACGAGAGCGATCATGGCCCCCCTCAGCCAACAGACCCCTCGCCTCATCTCCGCCATGTGCTACCGGGGTTGGGGGCACCGGGAACCTTTGAATATGTGCAGAGTCCGAGCTCCCCCGTATCAGTTCAGAGTCGCTCGCCAAGTCTGTTTGCGAGCCCTCGTGAGAGCGTTGGGCAGTTAGGGTATTTTGCTTCGACCGACAACGTTGGCGATAGTGATCGGAGGTCAATACGGTCAACGTCAAGCTCTTTCAAGAATCTTCAGCCGACCACTCGCTTCGGTAGTCTGTTCAACAGGCAGCGGGGTAAGACATTGTCGGATCAAGGCCCGCCGCTAGGCTCTCTAAAGGCATCTCAAAGCCAATCTTTGCCTCGACAAGAGGCTGGGGATCTTGGTCCAATTGGGACCCAACGACGTCGCGGAAGTCACTCTGAAGGAGCATGGTATAATTCTTTTCTGCGGAACTCTAAGACTCAGCCTCCCGAGGCATCAAGCAGTCCTAAGCACGTGGCCACGCGAAAACGCCCTTTCAATATCTTTGGCTCGAAGAGTGGAGAGCCGTGGCCCTCTTCTTCGCTAGGCGCTGAAGAACGACCGACATCTCCGCGACCGGGGTCTACCAAGTCGGGCGAAGTTAGCTTGCTTCCAAGACCATCGACTGAAACTCACACGCGCTTCGGATGGCCAGGTTCGTCGGATGCCTTTGCTGGTCTCCGAAATAGCCCACTCGGCGTTGACTGGAGTATAAACAATACGACATCATGGTCTAGATTGGGCTCCAGGCGTCCGTCCCTTCAGCAAGGCTCTACTTTGAGTCTGGTCAATGACGACCTTCTACAAGGCGGGATACCCGACTTCTCCTCCACCACCAAGTCGCCAACACAAGCGCCTATCGGAACGCGTCCTCAGTCCTCCACTTCTCAACTGCCTCAGACTGGGCCTATCCCCCCAACGCCTCCAAAAGCACTCAACCCCGCAGCGCCAAACTTTAAGAGCATATTCACGCGAAGCGAGAAGTCGGAAGAAGACCGGGCGGAGAAGGCAAGAAAGGCTGCCGAAAAGGCGGCCGAGAAAGAGGCCAAGAAGGTCGAAAGGAAGGAAGAGAAGAAGGCCAAGGCTGAGAAGGCTGAAAAGACGAGCCGCAAGGACAAGCAGAATGCACAGGAGCCATCTAACAGTGATTCCCCGACCCATGTCTACTCGCTGGATCCGCGGCGATCACGGGATACACGCTCCGTTTCCACCATTGATGTATCTGAAGCTTCGCCCCGTGGATCCCTAGAAAGGACTGTGTCCATGACATCTTCAGAAGCTCCCACTGGAAGAGAAACGTTTATGCAGAAGCTTTCGCGTAAGAGCAGCTCCAGCCAGTTTCTGCAATTTGGCAAGGGGAAGTCCTCCCTTTTCTCAAAGAAGTCCAATGACGTCGCAGCCTCACATGAGGTGGAAGATGACGGAATGCTCAACGTGGTGCGTAGCGGGGAAAGCAGCGCCGCCAACAGTCCGTCAATTGGCACACCGAGAGACCGCAGCAGTGCGTTGAGCTGGAGCTCAATCAAACGAATGGGTAAGAGAGGGGAGAAGACGCCAAGCTTGCATGAGAGCATCGCGAGCGAGACCGCTGGCGAAGAGAGTGAGGACGCGAGGGAGAGCGTGAAATAGGGGGTGTGCGAATATGTGTCATTCAATAGTGCTTGGATCTGTGCATCGTCATCACGGGGCAATGCCAAAAGGCTTGAAGGGCGTGGAGAATCGTTTTGATTCTTTGATCTACAGCATGGGAGGAAGTGCACAACTGCTGCTCTGATGATCATAGACTGAGGGAGAATACCTACTTATCTCTTCTGGCCGGCCTGACAACTCTCCAGCCACCGTATCCGATTGAACCTTCCTACAGGCTTCATCAGTAGCTTTCTTTATACTCTCATTGCTAGTACTAGTAGGTCAGATACGAACAACGGGACCATTGCCGTATACAACTGGTCATCTCCCCAAGCGATCTCTCAATACTTTCCCCTGCTTACTTCCCAAATGTTTGAATATGTGAAGTTAGGCTAATAAGCTTTTTATAGCTGCCATCTATTGTTGAGCTCGCGTGCGGGCATTCATCTTTGGGCTCCCGCCGAGCCGCAGCCGTGCCAAGCCTCCTCCGCCGCTCACCTCAATTCACCACCCGCCATCAACCTCAACACCGCACCATGGCTTCCCCCGCGGCCGACGCACCAAACGGCATGTCGACGCCCCCGACCACGGCGTCTGGCGGTGCCAACGCCAGCCCGCCTACCGCCTCATCCACCCAACCGAACCCCCAATCCCAACCACAACCATCGCAATCCCAGCTCTCCAACGGCGTATCCCAGAACGGCCTCCAACCTCCCCCCTCCCACCCTCTCACCTCGATGCAAGACGACGGCCTCGGCAAGCGGCCCCAAGATGCGCGCACCATGCACCTCATCCTCGCGAAACTCGGCGTCCATTCCTACACGGAGCGCGTCCCTCTCCAAATCATGGATTTCGCGTACCGGTACACGTCCGGCATCCTGTCCGACGCCCTGGCGTACGAACCCCCTCAACCTGGCGGCTCGGGGCCCTCGAGCAAGAAAGCCGCGGCGCAGAACGCGGACGAGAGCAGCGTGAGCCTGAACGCGGTGCGGACGGCCATCGCGGCGCGGGCGGCGAATCAGTTCAGTCCGGCGCTGCCCAAGGAGTTCATGATGGAGATTGCGACGGAGAGGAATCGGATTGCGCTGCCGAGGGTGGAGAGGGAGTTTGGGATTCGGTTACCGCCGGAGCGGTACTGCTTTACGGGTGTAGGGTGGGATTTGAAGGAGAAGTGGGAGGAGGAAGAGGAGGTGGAGATGGATGAGGCGGAGGACGGGCAGGAGGGGATGAGTGGGGGCCCTGTGGGTGGGCAGATGGGGGATACGGTTATGGGTGGGATGGAGGAGGATGAGGAGATGGATGAGGATGAGTTTGAGGAGGTGATGGGTGTAGGGAAAGAAGATGCGCAGTAAGGATGCGGTCGATGATTGATATTTTGGGAGGTCGTTTGGGGCCGCCTCGTTTGAGCCATCTATCTGGATTTTTAGGGTTTGCCTGAGCATTGCAGCAGGCCTTCTAGGGTTCAGGCGTTCTAGGACTCTTGCATAGTCACGCGGCGTTGGGAATGGAGCCCAATGATAAAGGGCATCTGGAATTATATACCACAGGGGGGTTTCATGTTTCCATTTACCTCTTCGCTAGGTCCACATACATTGATTTCGTGCTTCAGATATAATACACTGAACAGGCGGCATCGCTCCGCCTCCGCAGCCCTGACTAGTAATACAGTGTATTTAACGTACATAACCCCCTCAAAGGCGCTCGTAGAGGGAACGCAATCCACATACAAATGGAGGATCCCCATGCCACCAGAAACCCAACCATAACAAAGGATAAGAACGCCATGCCATGCAGGATATGCAACCCTCTCGTTCCTCTTCCCACCACCCGCTACCTCCCCCTAGGCCCCCTCCCCTCCTTCATCCTCTCCTCCAGCCTCCTCATCTCCTCCACCTCCTCGGGCTGCGGAATCCCCCAATACTCTCTATGTTTGCGCATCGCCTCGGCCTCCTTCTTCGCCCTCTCCTCCTTCGCCCGTTTCCGCTCCCCCGCAAGCCGGAACCATTCTGCGCGCGCTTTGTCCATTTCGTCGGGGCCTTGGTAGGATAGCAGGCACGAGTTCATGGCGAGCTTTTGGGCGCGGCAGGCCCAGACGGAGGTTAAGGTGCGGCCGTTTGCGCAGTCTGCGAAGGCTGGGAGAAGAGGGTTAGTAGAAGTTACGTTGAGCGTGGGAAGGGGGAGGGGAGGGTGTAGAAAGATGGTTGTGTTTTTATAAGCGCTTAGGTTGCTGGAAAGACCGGGACACACCTTTTATCTCCTCCGCGCACTTTGCCCGAACATTCTTGTAATAAATCTCTCGGACTTGTTGTTCCTGCGCTGCTGACAATGGTGTCGGGTTCGTGGGTACTCTTAAGCCTGGGATCCCGGTTTCTCTGCTATCTTGGGACATGGATGTGCCTTTCTCTGTGGATATTGAGGTATCGGTTTTGGATGAAGGGGTGGCCAGGGCCATGCTCGTGAGAGCGCAGAAGGGAGGGGGAGGATTCGGCGCGGAGATTGAGGTGTGTGTGGTCGTGGTTCCGTTTGGGAGATGTACCAACGTCGGGCGAGATATGTGATTGCGAATTCGAGATTCTTTGCTAGGATACCACGGGAAAGCCAATTGTTCCTTGACGGGTCGACGCAAGTCTAGCTGCAGAGTTGCGCGAGCTTCCAGCACTGCCGTCTTTTCGGAGCTGTGAGATGTCATTCGAGATTGAGTTGTGATTGGGAGCGGGTCACGCAAGGCGTGTGATACGGAACAGGCAGGGCTGGGCGCATCGGAGGTTTGGAGTATCAGATGCCGCTGCAAGATGGGCCGAGGCAGTGAGGGGGAGCTACTCTTTTCTTCGGAATCCTGCACTTTGCTCCTTGGAACATACACCATACTATATAGACGCCGAGAAAGTTGCAGGTATGCTTACGATTCATATTTAAGTCATGGAAATAGGGTTGATTATACTGACGTCCACCTAAGTTGTTCTAACAAACGGCCGCACAATTCAAACCCCACGATGAAGATTGCAAATCGCACATTTATAATCTCTGGCGGCGCCTCTGGCCTTGGTCTCGCCACGGCACGCGAACTACACAATGCCGGCGCATACGTCTCCCTGCTGGACCTTAACGCAGACAACGGTGCAAAAGTTGCCTCGGAGCTGGGCTCCCGTGCCAAATTCTTCGAGGTCGATGTCTCATCAACAGATTCCATTGCCGCTGCAATCAAAGGAACGGTGGAATGGGTCAAGGAGACGGGCAAGGAGATCGGAGGCGTCGTTGCGGGTGCTGGGGTTGGTCTTCCTGGACTCATCATCGACAAGAAGAACGAGCCGCTGGCGATTGAGAGCATTGATTTCGTGCTGAATATCAATCTGCGTGGAACCCTGGATTTGATTAGGCAGGCGTTGCCGTATATGACGACTGCGACACCCGAGGGCGAGGTGGGCGAGCGGGGTGTTATCATCATGATTGCCAGCTCTGCTGCCTTCGACGGGCAGATGGGTCAGGTCGCGTATGCGGCTAGCAAGGGAGCGGTTGCTTCGTTGACTCTACCGCTTGCGAGAGATTTGTCGAAGTATGGCATCCGTGCAGTGACCATTGCGCCGGCGCTATTCGATTCGGCGATGACGAAGATGTTGGGGAAGAAGGTCAAGCAGAGCTTGTATAACGCTATGGAGTTCCCGAAGAGGGCCGGTCAGCCAGATGAGTTTGCCCGCTTGGTCAAGGAGTGCGTGGAGAATGTCATGCTGAACGGAACCGTGCTGCGGTTGGATGGTGCCATGAGGATGCCTGCCCGGTTGTAGGTTAAGCCGGAAGAGTCGTGTATCTGTATGATGTATGTAGCTGGATGAGGAACATAAGGACTGGGCATCCAGATATCCAACCAGGCGTGGAGATCGACCCCTCCCTCTCCTCATTTCTTCCTCTGCCTAATCTTGAACTTGACGCCATCCTTGTTCACGCCACCGACCGAACCGTTCATCTTCGCCCGTTGCATCTCCAGCTCCTGCTCAGCCGCCATCAACTCCCTCTCCCTCTTCTTCACAGCTTCCAAATGTATCTCCATTCTCTCTTGTGTCCGCTCTCTTCGCTTCTGCAAAGCCCTCTTCTCTTTCTCCTCCCGCAACTTCGCCTCCAGCTGCTTCTTGGTCAACTTCTTCGGCTTCTCTTCTTCCTCTTCCTCCTCCTCCGCATCATCTCGTGCCTTCCTTTGCCTCTTTTCTCTGTCTGGCCACTCGCCGCCCTTTCCAAACCAGTCGTCAGGCTTAAATTTCCGCTGTTCCTCTTTTCCCTCCACAAATACCGTGTGCCCTGCCCTCTTGCCCTCATGTTCCCTTCCCAGTGGCACCACCTGCTTCCCTTCTAACAGAATCTTCTCTTCCAGTTTTTGCCGTTCTTTCCGCACCATCTGCAGCATCGTCCGTATGTATCCCGCATCCTGTGTTTTGAGTAGCTTGACGACTTCCATGGACAACGGCTTATTCCCTCGATCGGCTATTTTGCGGCCTGCGGAGTCGACTTTCGAGGACATCATTCCCTATATCCTTCGTCAGCCCAGCTATTCGAAATATCTAGGCAACCCTAGATATGAAGTTAGGGCGGACGTACAAAAGAGAACTCATCCGGATTCCTCTCCAACGCCTTCTGCTTTAAGAGTTTTAATCTCTTCTTCTTCTCCTTGTGATCCGCTGCGCGCAGCTTATAATCCTGTAGCATAGTCCGTTAGCAAGCCAATCGCATTCTTCCAGATGAGACACGCACTTTTTTCTTTTCCAAAAGCCCCCATTTCTCGCGCTCAAGCGGCTGAGCGCGCTCCTTGTGGTTGCGGCGCTGGACCGCATTGCGCATGGACGACATGGTGTGCAGGTGTCGCTACGCTGGGGGTTCTCTGATCACCGGAGGTTCAAGGGGACCGTATGACAGTTTGGAGTAGTGGAGTAGAGCGGTGGGTCGTGAATGTGCTTGTACATATGGAAATTTTGGTGTTCGAGCATATCGATAAGATTCGCCAAGACGTTTAAGGTCTAGCCGGTTTAGGATGAAGGACAACTAGGTGAAAAGCAACCTGGAAACACCCCAGTGCAATTGTCCTACCATATCCTACATCCTCATCAAACCGCGTCCAGATCTTACATAAGGATGCCACTGCGAAGAACTCCACCTCCAATATGGCTGCATTGAGCACAGTGTCTCGTTACCTAGTGCTGGATCATGGGCCGAGCAAAGTGAACGTATACCTATATGCGCCAACCAGTGGCAATATCACGCTTCTATGTTGCAGGTCGTACTGTCAAGCAAACAGTTTAAATCCATGATATCAACACACTTGCCTCGATTCTCGAATCGTACACTCAGTCACCCTTGAGCGGAAGTGGCTGAAAGCTTATGACGAGAGAAGAATTGGCAAGGCTTATTTCCACTGACAGCCGAGTATTGGAGCCTCACTTGCCCAGTACAAGTACTATTCTATACAGGCACCAACCACCAAAAGTAGCCTACAGAAATCCTCCTTCGAGAAGTGCCAATATCTCCGAGAGCACGAAGATCCCTAATGGAAACCTATCGTGAGGATGGCCTGCAGCTGATGCCTTACCTTTCTCATTGTATTGGTTCCCAGCACCTGTTAATGTGTCTACCGGTAGAACAACAGCAAAGTCAATCGCTACTTCCATCACGTTATCGTGAATCGGCAAGGGACATCTTCAGCGACATAATAAGCCGCTTTCCGGATTGGAAAACAAAAGTTCTCGCGCGAGATAGTGTCAGCAAATATATTATAGGTGCGTCAATCGGTATGAAGTGTCAGCGCAGCATTCCCCCACTCATTGGCTATGGCGACAACGCTTGGGGACTAAGTCAAAAAAAAGGTGCAGCGAGCCATGGGAATGTAAGTCTAGAGCCGTGCTCGCGATAAATAACTATGTATAAGAGCTTGGTCTCCGCTCTCGAGTTGGTTGGGAAAATTCCCCTCAGTGCCAGTTTTCACTCCGCATCAAGGATGAAAGAACGAAAAGAAGCCCAGGCGCATCTCGAAAGCAAAACATCCGACCTTGACGATGGCCATTCCGATACGTTGGTGTCCCAGAGGGGCGGAACGACCAACGACACCCGCGATATGCTTCGCATGGGCAAGCAACAAGTGACCCGAAGAAATTTCAAGCATGCAACAATTCTTGGGTTCTGCATGGTGATCCTATCGACTTGGGAAGCCATTTTATCTACTGCTGTGTTCTCTTTAAGTAATGGCGGAACAGCAGGGCTGATATGGGGCTATCTTATCGTCATGGTTGGGTTTGGTTTCGTTGTGGCTTCACTGGCTGAGATGGCATCGATGTAAGTGCACTTCGCATTGAAGAAGAATCTACTTATTCTATGAGCCTAATTCGAGCAGGGCGCCTACATCGGGTGGTCAGTATCACTGGGTCAGCGAATTCGCACCTCCCACCTGCCAGAAGTTCCTGAGCTATCTCGTCGGCTGGCTAGGCGTCCTAGGCTGGCAGACTGCAGCTGCAACAGTCTCGTATCTGGCTGGGAAACAAATACAAGGTCTCATCGCCTTGAATAACTCGTCCTATATTCCAAAAGCATGGCACGGGACGCTCCTCATTTGGGCTGTTCTAGCTGTTTGCTGGGTCTTCAACACATTTTTCTCCAAAAGACTTCCTCTGGTGGAAGGCGTCATTGTTGTTCTCCACGTCGTCGGCTTTTTCGCCGTCATCATACCTCTCTGGGTCATGAGTGACAGAAGCACCAGCAATACCGCCGATGTGTTTTCGCTTTTCCAGGACAACATGATGTGGGGTAATGTGCCACTGTCAACGATAGTCGGTCTCACGGGCGCCGCTAGCTCTTTCGTCGGAATCGAAGCAGCAGCTCACATGAGTGAGGAAGTCCGCGATGCCGCCCATGTCGTCCCTAGGGCAATGATGTGGACGTGGCTGGGCAATGGATTGCTTGGTTGGATCATGGCGATTACTTTCTGTTTCTGTGTCGGCGACACGATGGCTGTTTTGACAACACCGCTTGGGACTCCCTTCATTCAGGTCTTCTTGGACACGACAAAGTCAGTAGCCGGGGCTACCGTTTTGACTGTCATGATGCTGGTTATTGCGATTTTCGCATGCGTTGCAGTCATGGCGGCGAATTCGCGCCAGCTGTTCGCCTTCGCTCGTGATAAAGGCGTTCCATTCTCAAGCGTCTTCAGCAAGGTAGGGGTTTGGTAACCTTTTACCTCCATGTCACTCTAACTCGATTCCAGGTTTCACTTACGTCCGAAGTGCCCGTAAACTCCATTTACATGACACTTCTATTCGTCGGTCTCCTATCCCTCATCAACCTGGGTTCCAGCGTTGCATACATGCAAGTTATTTCGCTCGGCACCGCCGCCATGTTGACATCCTACCTCATTTCCATCGGATGCGTCGCTTTGAAAAGACTACGCGGCGAACCGCTTCTGGCATCGAGGTTCCACTTGGGCAAAAGTGGTCCTGCCATCAATATTGTCTCCATTCTATTTCTGATCTTCCTGTTGGTATTCTGCTTCTTCCCAGTAGCTCCTCACCCCGACGTGCAGGATATGAACTGGGCAGCACTGGGTTATGGTATAGTTGTTCTTTTCGCGGTTGCCTATTATTTGGTCCGTGGGCGGCTTGTCTATGTTGGGCCGGTGGAGTATGTCCTGAAGGAGTGAATAGGAGCATCCAGGATCCCTTTAACTATAAGGAAAACGGAACTGCGGAAAGAGATTACGCAGGCATTGAGATGATACGGCGCGTAGGAGCTGCGGATAGATCCCTTCTACAAGGATCTTGCGGAGTTTGCGCCCTGGAGAACTCCATCCATTCTGGTACCTGCAGTGCGTGGCCTGTTGCGTGAACCACGGTGTTGCGCCCACGAGTACATATCACAAGCCCAAATACAAATGGAACGGCATGGTTCGTTTCTTAGACAATCTCTGTATCCCATAGATTTGCGTTAGTCAGATATAAGTTATGTGAGCCCTCCATGTCAGTGAAAAGGTCAGCATGTAAAGGCTGACGTGCACCTGAGCGCCACACCCGATGACTGAGAAAACAAATCAGATACGCCCGACGACAAGGCCGCAGATAACAACTGTATATGCCCCGTTAGAAAAAATCGGCCGGCAAAAGTATTGAATACATAGATACCCCAGCTTTCCTCGTTCCATTCCCAGGTTTACAGTCCTCCCCGTCTCCAGGCAGTTGCAAGTTCCGCAGCTCGGCTTGGCCTTGACTTCAAACAGTAGGTTTTTACGCCTTTCAAGCATACTTTGTTGTGTTGATTGCGGGTACTCTTTGCGGGTACGCCGTACGCCTTGTTCGGATTGCATCCTGCAGTCTGGAACGAGCTTGCGGGTATGGCGTCCGGGTGGTGTCCGTCGGGCGAAAAGGACTACGTCACGGGCGTAAATGGAACTGTGCCTACTGGATGAGCACGTGCTGTGCCCGAAATGATTGTGCTTGATTGTCGGGGTCTTTGATATTTTGCTCAGAAAAATACCTATATGGTCAATCATAGCATTCAGTATCCTAGGGAAGCAGCTGAAAGATGAACACTGTTAGGATTTGTTAATTTACTCCACCCTGGGACACCTGGCACGGTCAGTCAACCTCGATCACATCCTAGAATATCGGATACCACTGCTTGAATGTCCGATGCACGCCAACAGAGAAGGAATCTTTTGAAACGCGGCGGCCTCATTTGCCGGTCGAAAGCAACATCGGACTGCATGTTTCTATTCCTTTAGACGATTCCCAAGTTGTGTCTTAGGATCAGGGAAAGGCGCAGCCTGGGATACTGTTCCTGATGTTCGCCTTAATATGTAGGAGGTCGAGACCATGTAGGGAGTTGGGAGCGGAGAAGTTGAAATGAAGTCTCTATATCTGTTCTTTTGAGACTATCCGGTCTTTTCTATATATAAGCCTAGACCTTTCCTTCCTATCACTATCAACTCATCCGTTGATTTCGTGTTTCATTCAATACAGTCAACACACATACTTCGATCACCACTTCGCTCTTTACATATAGAACTTCCGGCATATTATTAATTATTCCTTTCCACCTATTCTACCTCCCTCAACTGTTAAGCTCAATGCACTTCTCCCTCTTTACCAGAGGGCTCCTGCTCTCCTTAGCAGCCCTCGTCCTCGCCGAAGACAACTGCGACGCTCGCCCCGACGAAGCCCCATTTGCCCCTGGCCGAGTCGGAGGTGTGGCCTTCCCCGACCCCGCCGATGACAAAGTAACTTGCGTAAGCCGCTGGAAGAGCGGCGAAGTCATCGTCGGCATGGAAGCATGGTCGACGCGGACGCAAATCACGGGCATCAAATTCAAGTTCGACCGCACGGGGTGGACTGGCGTCATGGGGACGACGGTCCAGGGCCGGTCGTGGTATGCGAAACGCGGGGAGTGGGCTGCCGACCAACCAGTTCGTGGGTGCTACTCAAATATTGAATCTCTGTTTTTACTAGTGCGTGGCTAATAGGGCTGTAGGAGTTGAGGTTTGGAACAAGAAATCCAAAGTCTTCAACGGGCCCGGCAGAATCCGAATCTTCAAAGAGGGCACGGATGAAATACTCTTCGAAGTCGGCATCGGCGACTCCGAGATCGAAGGCGACAAGCTCAATGATATCGACCAAGGGATAGGAATAATTCTCGGTGCAAAGACAAGGTCTGCTGAGCACCTCCACACGATCGAATTCAAGTTTTTAAAGTCCAAGGTCGTCAAGACGCAGCTCACGGCAATCAATGTCGTCGAGAACCTGGACGATTGGAACAACGAACAAAGAGGGATCGAGACGGTCAGTCTGGCGGAAACGTACTACAAGAACCACAATCCCATCGGCGGACCTAATCAAACCTACACATTCACGAATACCATCAAGAAGAGTGAGAGCAAGATAATTACCCAACAATACACCAACTCCTGGACGGCTGGCATCGAAGTCACCGTCGGAGGCAAGGTTGGCATCCCCTTCGTGGCGGAGGGTGAGATCAGCGCGAATACGAAATTCGAATATCAGCGCCAGAACATGGGCTCCACGGCCATGTCCTACACGTACGATAAGGATCTGACAAATACCCAAGGGAGTGGCGTCACGGCCAATATGCTGCCGCCTCAGAGGGCCGCTCACTGCCAGTTCGATGCCGTCTCGGGGACTTTCGATAGCGCTTATTCTGGGACTATCGAAGCTACGTTGGCGGATGGCACTAAGTATAGTTACTTCACGGATGGGGATATTCACTCGGTTGGGTGGGCGAAGACGAGCAGCTCCTGCGAGGAGATGGATATCAAAGACGTGCCGGAGGACGTTGCGGAGGGACAGACAGCGGATACGCGCAAGCGTGCTGTGGAATTCCATGTGTAGTGTGCGCCTTTCTCGTTTTTCTTGACGTTTTATGGATTGAGCACTCTTATGAGGGAGAGCAACTACAGCTCCCCAGGTCCTCCGATACGTCCCTCTCAGTTTCTTTGGTCTGTTCTGCTTTAGTTTCCTTTTTCGTAATCAATAGACTCACACTTACTGTGTTAATACTCGATACTAGGCATAATTCTCGCCTCAGGACATGTGGATAGACTTCGCATTGCATAAAACTCGAAGTTGGACCTCTTACATGACTTGGTGAAATTGTGCTCGGGGACTACACTCGGCGATCTGTAACCTAAGGCAAGAGTAGACAGTACATAAAAGTGCATGTCCGATACTATCCCAGTATGGAAACATGAATACTATTTAGGATTCTGATGTTCCTCGTTTGCAGGTCGACAGTGTCCGAATATCGGACAATCTTGTATGGCTGCGGTTGTTATCAATGAGTTTTACCTTCAACCTTTCTCAGGATTTGGCGCCTAACCATTCAGCTTTGACCATTCCGAACTTGACTGACGATTCTTAACAGTTGAATTGAACATCGAACTTGCTACTCCACATGTTTCCACCAGAGAGCGTCGAGCAACCACTTCTGCGCGTTTCGAAGTGGGGAGATACATTCAGGAATGAACAAGTACCAGTCACTGTCCTCATTCGTGGATAATGAATTCATCACCTTTGTAGACTCGTAGTACTCTGGATAAAAGCCGCTGTATTGCCAGTCAATGATGCCGGTGACGCGGCATTGGCCTCTTTCAAGCTTCACCATAATGTTGGCAGGGCGGAGATCGTTGTGGCTGAGAACATGCTTCTGCGACAGGGGCGGGGAAAGTCGTCGAAGGGTTTCGATATAGATTGGGCTTCCGAAATGGGGATTGGAGAATTGCCAATTGTCGAAATCCTCTGTAGTCCAAATAGGCTCCTTCGTGCGCCGAACATGCCTCCTCAGATCCTGGCAACCTTCCCCTGCCACTCCTCCAAGTGGCATGTTGTCAGGACGAGTTAAAGACCGTAGATCTATGAATATATCGTTCAGCTGTTCCTGGACTGAACGCTTGAGGGAGTCGTCTAAATTCGGCCAGACTGTTCCAAGTGTCGTGCCAGGCACAAGAGACATGAAGAGGAGGAAGCATTCACCAAGACGTACAAGGCCGAGTGACCTTGGCGCAGGAATGCTGGGTGTATGTTCCTCAAGGTATCGCAGGGTTGTGTATTCGGTGAAATCATCCATCTTCAGTATAATCTTGAGAGCAACACCAGGACTGCATTTGAGGACGATTTTGTGGTTGCCAAGCTTAGGCTTCCAGACGACTTCGCTCTGCTCAACCAGTCTGCGGACGCTGTGCGCAAGGGACGATTCATCATCATCGCTTTCAATAAGGCTTCGAACGGATTCAGAGAGCGGGAACACGACTGCGGCTGACACATTTCCGTAAAGAAATTGTCGAACATCGTCAGGATACCGTGGGGCCTCCACTTTTGCAAGCTTTCAAGGGGGTTCATTTTTATTACAACCTGCAGCGCGTCAGAAGATCGATATCTTGAGAAACTGGAGCATATGGATGCGAAGCCCACGAACCTTCGGCTTTTCGGTCAGCAAGCCGACTTGAATACGTAGAGGGGATCTTAGAAGCCAGATCTACTTCGGGGTCCGCTTCGAAGGCTTTTTGCAATTTTCTCAACACCATACGATTCAATTGACAAGCTGGAGATTCAGTTGGAGGGTTGTCGGTGTCTGCTCCCTGCGTTGGAGGATCCATGGCGTCTGATTCATGCGATAGAAGTTTTAACCTCTAGTTGAATTCCCTCAGTTGTTGTTTAATTAGGGGCTGTTCAGTTTGGCCATTAAGGATCTCTCGCACGGGCTTTTCAGCTGTAATGGTGTTGTAATGTAGTATAATTTGGCGACTGTTTAGTCTGTTGGCCTATTAAGGAGTAATTTTGCGATCCTAGGCTGCCCCTATCTGTAATGGGCGGACTGTTTAGTTATCTTTTGTTGCTCAGCCCCTATTAAGGAGTAATTTTCTTCGACCGCGCCTAAATCCCTGTACCCCTCTAACCGCCTGCCTTACTAGGTATAACGTGCTCAGGATCTTGCCTATTAGAAAGGACTCCTTAAGGGTAGTACTTTGTAATGGGCAAAATCGCAGGATTGTACATTCTGCACGCTATACTGTATCTGGCGCGTCAAAAACTCCATTAGAGATACTGCCGGCAGCTGAAAAGCCCGTGCGAGAGATCCTTAATGGCCAAACTGAACACCCCCTTAGCATTCACGTCAGCGCTAGTGTAATTTCCTTATCGCAGGCGCGCACAAGCTACAAAGTACTAATATTACAGCTAAATATTAGACTGCGTTAGGCGCTTAACCTCTAAAAGAGTGCTGAAGGTTCTATTGCAATTTTTGTAAGGCGCAATCGCTCCGTGATCGCTCTGCTCTAATTGTGGCTAGAAATATGCTCGGTTCGTCGTCATGGGACTCCGTAGAATGAGATGCTATAAGGAGAAGGATATTGATAACAGATTCATCCTTGAAGTGGCGAGAGCATTACTTTAATAACGTTAGGATGAAGTGAACTTCGGAAAGTAGTGGATTATCGAATCTTTGAACGCTCTTGCTATCTTCCAGAATGCGTCATCAGCTCCTTCGTCTCCTGGCTTGTAATTCCGTCGCGACGTCCAAGTGGTCAGTTCTCTCGCCCTTTGAGTCGACAAATTTCGATATTAAAGCCTCCGCCACTATCACGCCAATCGTAGACGATTCCACCGCAGCGAGTTTGCTCATTGCGGACATTCTGCGCCCAACTCAGCCTTGAAGTATTGCTCCAATTTTATTTACCAAACCAAACACTCACCACATACCCTAATACTCACAGGAAACAGCGCGATGATACGATATACTCAAAGCCAAAGAATACAAACATTGCGTGATGGCTGACACCTGACTCTTCTCCGCATCCTCCTTGCAACCCACATTGTTTCCCTCACCCATAGAAGGACAGTGCAAAATACCGGCCCCTTTGCCGTCGTTCAGGTACTGGCAGTTCTCTTCGGCAAACAGGGTCATAGTGAATGTTCCATGCGGCCATGGTGGGTTGTTGATTGCGTCGCGGTCGGACCATCGTGTAGCTTTGTCGTCGAGGACTGGGTTTTCGCATCCATCGGCTTGCGAGCCGACCGAAGTCTCGAAGAAGGTCCAGGAGTTGTAGTAGTCATCATCGTCGTTGACGTGTCTTATGATAATAGAGACGGCTTTGCTTGGAGTCGGAGTTGGAGTCGGGTCCGAGGCAGGAGTGGATGTCTCCGAGGGTTGTTCTTTGGTGCTGGAGGGAGGCTCTTGCGTCGACGGAGGTAGTTCCTCTGGGGAAGTAGTGCCACCTTCGCTCGATGAAGATACAAATGATGTTTGAAGCGTAGTCGGGGTCTGACCGGTCGACGATGGTGGAGAGGTCGAGGATGCAGGGGCACTCTCACCTGGGGCACTAGGCAGGGAGCAGGAGCCGCCCCCCTGGCGCTTCATTATGCTCTCGTACTCCTTCCACTCTTCCTCGTCCGCATCAGTTACTTTCCTCCCTCTAAGCAGACGTATTTCGTTTCCGTCCCCTGAATTTGACCGTCTGGGCAGAGTTCTCATCGGCAGGATCTGGTTGGGGAATGGAAACCACCTATCTCTATAACGGTGCATTGGATTGGCTTCGAACCATAGCTCTATTCCTGCGACTTGAGTATCGCAGCTACCGTCTGCTCGGCCCAGCCACGCAGCGACAGGATCGTACTGGATTAAAACCTTTCCAAATGGGTAGTCCAAATCTGGGTCGGGGAACATGGCCACGTAAGGGATAATGAGTGTATCAGTGCGCCCAAGAACATCTTTTAACAGGTCTTGAATCTTGCCGACTTCGTAAGGGTACTCTAGGTCGTTATGGCTAGGGTTTGCTGGAGCCTGCCGTCTGTATGGAGTGATGATAAAAGCACGCACTTTATTTTCGGGGATATTCTCGAAGTCTCCCCCAGCTCCCGTAAATGCAGTAAGCCCTTGCGGGACTCCAGCGTCGCCGTAACGAAGGCTGTCCAGGATCTGTGTTTGGAGATTCTGTGGCGTGACCATCGTGGGTCCTTCCCAAATGTGTGTCATAAACATTCGTTTGCGAGAGATGACAATGACGGATGTGCAGCCATACAGGTTGATAAGACTCCAAGTGTTGGGTAAGTTATCGAGTGGGAAAGTGAAACCGGTAGTTGTGATGGGAGCTTGTCCGTGGGCAAGATTGTTCGGACTGAGAGCAATCTGTGTAAGAAGCCACGAATCGACGTCGCCTGCCAAGTAGAAGTACAGAAGTCAGCGAAGATCTTTAATGGAGCTGAGAGAGTTGATAGCCAATCCTCGTAAAGTGTGGGCATTCCCGCCAACCGTGAATAAGTAGCCTTTAGCTTTCCAGCTAAGAATCACTGTGATTTCAAGGCTACCCATCCACGACCGCTTCCACTTTAAATAACTTCACATGCTTTGTATTGGGAGTACGAACCTTGCCAATCCTCATCTCTAGGGTTTGTGAGGCCTCGTTTCAGAAGATTGTTGCTTGGAACTGTCTCCTTTGGTAAGAGTTCCCTCGTTTCGGCAGCTGGAGTATCATCATCTAATCCCGTCACCGTCGGAGCTGGCAGATATAAAACGCCATTGGAAGCCTTAGAGTATTTGCCGAGATCAGGAGCATCAGTCGGTAATTTGCGATTGTTCGCATTGCAGCCAGCACAGTCCTGGGCGCAAATCCGATACGTGGTTGTTGTCGACGTCACAGTCGACACTGACGTAACACCCGTAGCACCGCATCTTGTGATAGGTGCTTTGCAGACGGTCGTGCATGCATTTTTTTCCGCTCGCTTACTTGGCCCTCCCAGAGTGGTAGTCGCGATCGCGGTACAGCCAATGTTGCAGTTACTGACTGTCTGCGGGGTACATGAAGAGGATGATGATGATTTGGACTGGGTCGAGGTGGGCTCTTCTGACGCTGAGTCCGAGACAGAGGGTTTCGTGTCCTCGTTTGGATCCACTTCGTTAAGGGCATTGACCATTGGCTTCAGATCATCTTGTAAATGCTTGACTGTCTCCACTGCACTCGTCGTTCCCTTGATAATCCCATCCTTGACTTTATTGGTAGTGTCAATAACACATGTTACAAGCGAGAAAGCCGTCTTAAACAGGTTTCCAAGAAAGCCACGCTTCTCCAGTATCTGGTTTGCGACTGGTTCTGGTCCACTTCGATGGCGTCTTCCTGATTTGCACGGCTCCACTCCGTTGGTAGGCTTTGGAAGTTTTCCCAAGAATTCGGTGGCCTTAGGAAGGACGTTATTGAGTTCATTCATCACAGCAGTGATCTCAAGCGCGTCAGGATGGTCGATCCAGCTTTGTATAAGCGGGAATATGCCTGCGATAACCATAGACAAGTCTGAAGCGCTGGATTGAATTTCACTCCCAGTAGAATAAAGAGTTGTAGAAGGGTTTGGCGGCAGGGTGATTCCAGGTGGAAGAATTATTCCATCAGAAGCTGCGGTCTCGCTGATTCGAGGAGGTAGTATGCCCGAATTAGTGCTTGAAGGGCCATTGGTGATCGATTCTGTGTTGAAGTCTTGTGCAGTGGAAGAAGCTCTGGTGCTCAATGTCACCGAGTCAGTCGGTACAACGCTTGAATTAGTTAAGGATGGGGAGACCGTGCCAGTTGGGATTGAGCTTAAGTCGGAAGATGAGAGCTTGTGTGTTGGATTTAGAATCGAATTGAAGGGCAGGAATGACTCTGTACTGGTCCCCGGTAGTGGAGCGTTCGTATCTGAAGGCGAGAGAGTTTCTGTGACTGTGCCAGTAAAGATCGATGTCCCGGTCCCAAGGAGTACAGTTGAAGTTACTGAATCAGTAAACACAGTACTGCTGTTCGCTGGAATGGGGAATGGAGGTGAGCTCCGAGAGGATGCATTGGTGCCACCGGTCCCAATAGCACTCTGTGCGGTTACCAGAAAGGAGTGTAAGAGGATAAAGGGAACTGCTCTCCCCCCACGAAGCGCCTTCATGGTGACAAGCGGATTTTGAAAGACTGGAGAGAAGAGTACAGCTATACTCCCTTCTATCGATGAAATAAAAATCTGTAAGCGGGTGAGGCAGAAAGACGATGTGTGTATGTATTTTGACACTCCAATATCTCAATCTGAGCTCAATGGTGGACGAGCTTATATAGTCTAACCAATGATGGTTATGTAATTGGACCATAGGCTTCTTGATATAACTATCCTGACTTGTTCCCGCTGTTCCAAAATCGACTCCGCCCTCCGGCGTAGCTGCAAGATTGTTGAAACCCGTGCAAGTAGCCGCCAGATACATTGGCATCGGGATTGGATGCTTCTACAGTTCCTGCATCCCCGAGGTCCGCTCCGCCTTGCGGCACAGCTACGATATGGTTGCAACATGTGGCGTAGCTGCAATATGATTGAAACATGCGGCAAGTAGTCGACAGATGCAGACTAAATCTGCGGTTGGACGTTTCCGGTATTCTTGCGTCCGCTCCGCTTCGCAGCATAGCTACGAGGTAATTGAAATACATATGTGGCGTAGCTGCAAGCGCGCGGATGGATGAATTGAACCATGCAGTAGTCGACAGATTTAGATCAAAATCGGGGTTGGATCCATCTACTGCCTCTGCATCCGCTCTGCCCTGCGGCACGAAACTGAATGAATGTCACGCCTATCCGGCGGATCCTCTTTCCCGATTGGGTTCGGCGCGCATACATAAGCTCCCCTCCCGACGGTTTCAATCCACCATCCGATTTCTCCATTTCTATGAGAACATGCCAGAAGAACTTCTAAGAGGCACGCAGCACAGCCTTACATTTGCTCAAATTCAGAATCGAACCGATGCATTACTTGCAACGTTTCTGAACGCCTGTGGGAATAACGATGCCGCCCTTGCGTTACAACTGGCGCCCAATCGCGATGCCGGTGCATTGACGTTTGGACTCAACAGGGCCATAGGTGGAAGTCATCTTGATCTCGCACGCCAGTTGCTGGGAGCGGGAGCGAAATGGGACGCACAAACAGTAAGACTGGCGTCCAGATCGCTGGACGCAGTGAAATTACTCGTGGAGTGTGGTTTCGACGTCAACACTGGTTTAGTCGCGGGTGGTACGCTCCTTCCGTAAGTGTTATACTTCTTCTTCGCTAGCGCGGCACTCATCATAGTCAGTAAGGTGGTGGGGCACAATGATGAACCTTGCGTTCGATATCTCCTGGAACGCGGAGCGAATCCCAACCTTGGCCCTCCATCGATTAAAAATGGGCCCCTTTATCTGATTCATCCGATACCCAATTCAGGTTGGGCTCTGAATGCGGCAGCCGCTTTTAGCACGCCAGAGATATTTGCTCTCCTGCTTTCCTATGGTGCCGATATCTCAAATGCTATACCGCTCCATTACGCAGTTAGAACATCACCTAAAGAAGTACCCGGCAGCCGAATTCCGATGCTAGAGTATCTGGTTGGATTGGGACTTGATATCAATGCTATGGACGATGCAGATGATGGCCTCGGACAGCATGGAACACCTCTCCAGCACGCTGTGACGTGGAGACGGGTGGAGGAAGCCAAGTGGCTGCTGGACAGAGGGGCAGATCCCGATAAGAAAAACCCATGGGGGATCTCGGCGAGAGATCAAGTAAAGAGATTGCCACCCAGCCACGAACTTGCGATCCTTTTGTCGACTAGTCAGACGGAACGACCATCTGAAGAACAGTAGAGAGACCCGAAACCAACGGTTTCGACATTAACGAATGGAAAGAATTTTGACTAATTAACGTACCGTACGGAGGAGGGGGAGCGCTCCTGATTAGTCTGCCGTACCCTTTGGTACAACAACGGAAGTAAACGGACCATAACATACCTGTTTTTTAAGCAATTACACAGACTTACCTCTTGTGTCTCTTAAAATTTGGCTACAACTAGTAATTGGCGCTAGTCTTCTGACTGTACTGTACTGTACTGTACTGCAGCTGTATTGTACGAAGTGGGATGACTGTACGTCCTGACGGAGCCCTTCACTAAGTACGAACTCTACATACGGGTGGGTGTAAATACTAACGAAAGCGCTGCCCGAAACTGTCCATGTCCGGAGGCCCCATTTCCCGGTTCTATTCTCGCATGCGATACCACTTGTATCAAGAATGGCATGTATAATGAAAGGAATCGGCAAGGGGACATGTTGCTTCAATCAGTTCAAGCAAGCCATCCTCAAACACAACCGCATCGATGTCAGATTACTACGGACTGATCATGGGCATAACTACTAAACCTCCGCCCCTTTAACCTCAGCCTTCGCCGTGCCTTTCTCACCTTCTCCCTCGACAAGGATACCTCCCTCCTTCCTGTCCAACGCTATGCCCGCACTCTCAATCTCCCTCCTCTTCTCCGTCCTCACATGCATCCAGACGAGCAGCGCGGTCCATATAGCCATGGCAATACTGACGGCAATCATGGCCCACATACCGCGGGTGAAATAGGGAGCGTTCTTGGCGCCATAGAAGACTATGGACCACCTGTACGCCACCTATTAGCAACCAAACCTTGAAGAGAGGTAGACCGAGAGGGAAACAGAAGATACATACCAAGCATTGATAGCATTACTCCCCATATTCATACTCGCGATAACGACCGCGCGCAGACTGTCTTCCTCGTACCTCAAGACATCGTTCGCCCATGCGAAAAAGGTAGCTTGACAAGCATACACGCTACCGGCCCAGTAGTACATGGCAAATACCACGGGCGTGGTATCCCTATACGCAAGAATGACAGCACTAGTTATGACGCCCGTGATACCGATCCAGTAGCCAACGAGATACCGCTTCCCGCCCATGAAGTCCGTGAGCGTTGCCCAGAAGAGCGTGGAAACGATACCGACGGCGGGAATACCGGTGGGATAGTTGTTCAGCTGCGCGACGGTGTACTTGTTCTTGGGATGCGATTTCATGTACAGTGCCAGAAGCGCGTTGGTGGAAAAAGATTCGGTCTCTCCGGCAATAATCCAGAGTACGACGAAGAAGTACCAGTACCAAGTGCTGAGGCAGTGTTTGAGGAAGGTCCAGGAAATCGGGGTGCGCTCCGAAACCTCGGGTACGCGGGACATGGCGAGTGACTTTTCCTCTGCGGTAAGGTAGGGGGCGCGTGTACGGCGCGGTGTATCTGGGAACAACAGGAAGCCATAGATTGCGACTGGGAGGGTGATGATGCCGTCGATGATGAAGAGCCAGCGCCAGCCGGAGAGGCCGTGGCGGCCGTGCATGCTCTTGTGAATGCCGGTTTGGATGAAGCCGCCGATCATGGTGCCGGCGAGGCCGGAGGCCGTGAAGATGCCGCTTCGCTTGCCGAGTTCTTTCTCCGTGTACCAGCTTCCGAGGATGTAGTGGGTTCCTACGAAGGTGGAGGCTTCGAAGATGGCCTGCGATGCATTAGTCATGTTGACAGTGGGTGAAGAAATGAAGGAAGATTTACTTGGAAGAAACGAATTGCCATGATACCTCCTGGACTATGGGTTCCGGCTGTAGCCATCGTCAAGCCTGCCCATGCTACCTGTCTCGTATCAGTTCTGTGTTACTCGCTCATTCATCCCGGGGCCTACCATGCATGCGGGAAAGAAGTACCGCGGTTTGATGTAGTACAGAGCGATGTTACAAGGAACTAGAAGCAGGATTTATCAACAAAATTCTCCAATTTGGAATACTACCACAATCACCTTGTCCGATTGTATACCCCACTGTAAACACAGTGTTGATTTGGTTGAGTTGATTGCCCTTGAAATTCAGCTCTTCTTTCATCCCTAAACAGATCGTCAGCAAAATATCCACAGCAGCTTGATTTTAGTATTGCCTACCAGAGACATAAGCATTATTTAGATTCGTCCTGTCCAGATAATTCAGGAAATACATCAGACAGCAGAACGTCAAGATGAAGAAATCCAGCTTTTGCACCAGTTTCCTCTCTCCGGGGAGGCTCTGGTCCCCTCGGAGGTATTGAAGGAACTTGGAAGCCATGACCAGAAGAATAAGGCAGCAGCTGATTCTCCCACAAAGGAGAAAGGAGAGTCCTGCACTTGAATATCAATGCAATGTCAGGTTGCAGTTGTTTGCTGGAATATTATCGAGTCAACTTATATGAAGCTCGGACCCTCCACCCTAGCTACCCCCGTAAGACCCGAACAAGCAAGAGATTGCCCTGCCACGGCTATCCCCTCATTATCTTGCCCTTATCCTCGGATCAACAACACGGTGGGGTCAATCCTCGACGATCACGAGCGGGATCCTGCGCCGACACCTGGGCCGAGAGGCCGTAAGACCCCTCAAAAGCCTGCCGACCCTAGCCACGATGCTGTGGTGGTGGAGATAGCAGGAGCATGCCGACTCGGACAACTCGGAAAAGGGGCGCGAGTTCGGAACTCAATGTCCGCTCTATTATCTATCTTGGTTCCTGATAGCTATAGATACCTGCCAGGTACCTGAACATTTGTTGAGAAGTACCGTGATATCGCCACCTTGAACATGTCATCCGCAAATTGGGAAGAGGTCGCCCGCAAGAAGCGCGAGGACCTATTCGCACGCATTCCCGCGGATTACCGCATTCAGAACCCCCCGCCTGAGGACCAGCTCGACGTTACAGTATGGCCTCGGGAATCCGGATGGTTTTCTGAGAAAGAGTTGGAGATAACGGAGAGTACGGCTACGTCTATACTCCAAAAGATTGCGACCAAGGAATGGACGGCCGAGGAGGTTACTCGTGCATTCTGCAAGCGCGCTGCAGCGGCGCACCAGCTGGTTCGTGATACCCTACGTCGTGAAACATCAAGCCAAGCAGTAGAAAGCTAAGTATCCGTAACCAGACAAACTGCCTCTCGGAAATCTTCTTCGAGGAAGGCATCAAGCAAGCAAAAGCCCTAGATGAACACCTCCGAACAACCGGCCAAGTAATCGGACCCCTCCACGGCCTCCCTATCTCCCTCAAAGACAACTTCAACGTCGTGGGATATGACAGCACCCTCGGTTTCACCTCGCTCGTAGGCAAACCAGCAACCTACAATGCCACACTCGTAGACATGCTAGAGAGGCTCGGCGCAGTCCGCTACTGTAAAACCAACGTCCCAACCGCAATGATGATTGTACGTCCACTACCACGTGACGACTCCTCCACAACTGACCCAATCCAGGCCGAAACAGTGAACAATACTTTCGGCCGGACCGTGAATCCTCGAAACCGCCTGCTCACCTCGGGCGGCTCCTCAGGCGGCGAGGCCGCCCTGATCGTCTTCAAAGGCAGCCCCTTGGGCATCGGGACGGACATCGGAGGCTCCCTCCGCATTCCAGCTGCATGCACCGGCATCTTCACTCTCCGCCCCTCGTTTGGTAGATTCACGACGCAGCGATGCAAGTCTGGTCTCGCAGGCCAGGAAGCGGTTGCGAGTGTGAATGGGCCGATGGCGAGGACGTTTGAGGATATCGTTTTCTACTCAAAGACGATTGTCGATGCGAAGCCGTGGCTCGTGGATCCGAAGTGCGTTCCTATCCCCTGGAGAACCGTGGAACCGAAGCAGAAGCTGAAGATTGCCGTGTTGTGGAATGATGGGGTGGTGGTTCCGACACCTCCGGTGATGAGGGCGATGAAAGAGACGGTTGAGAAATTGCGGAGCGCGGGGCATGAGTTGGTTGAGTGGGATCCGGTCCTGCACGTTCAAGCGCTCGAGTTTCTGGTAAGTATATCGGCATTGCCAGAGCTTTATGATACGCATCGATCTGATTGCGATTACCAATTAGGGCCGCATGTTCGTCGCCGACGGCGGGAAGAGCGTACGATCGCTCCTAGCACCCACACGGGAGCCCTTCCGACCGGAAATGGCGCCCTACGAGCAGGCTCCCGAGCTAGGAACCTTCGACATGTGGCAACTACAGCTCGCGCGTTCCGAGCTCCAGAGGCAATATCTGGAACAGTGGCAATCTTACGGCGAGCTTGATGCTATTCTGTGTAAGCCTCTGCAAAACCATGAGATATAATGATAGAGCTGACCCACGATCAGGCCCTACAACACCATACGCCACGGTCGAGCACGGCAACTTCAAATACGTCGGATACACAGGTGTCTACAATGTGGTGGACTACTCCGCCGTCACGTTTCCCTGCGGCATAACTGCGGACAAGGAGAAGGACCAGTATCCAGCAGACTACGTGCCGCTCAGCGATTTGTGTAAACAGGTGCACGATAACTGTATGTTTGACCCATATTCCCTCGATTTGTCTCATTGCTAATTCGCCGTAGATAATGCTGAGATTGTCCATGGCATGCCGGTCGGTCTTCAATTAGTCGCGAAGAGACTTGAAGAGGAGAAGGTGCTTGCCATGACCGAGACGGTGCTGAAGGCTATTGCCGCTATTCAGTAGATGAAGCGGTTTCCGTTTCTTTCCTTCTTCCGTGCGCTTTCTGGACATGGTATAGACTCATGCATTTCAGCAAGCGAGCATTGAGCATTGAGCATTGAGGAGCATATTTCACTGGCTTTATTGTCCATTCGTGGCCACATACCAGGAACTGGGCATGTGGCCTCGAGTGTAAATACAATCTGCGTACCAGCGTCGTGAGACGATGTTAGTATACCCAGATTTGCAGTACGTGAGATTCGTCACCTAAGCTATAGATAACTCATGGTGGTTATTAAGATGTGCGTGTGTGAAAATGGGATTGAGTTATTAAGCTCTGCCGCTACAAGCAACCAGCAGTGACAAATCCATATCATATTCCCTTCTTCTTCAACAGCGAGTCTACTCCCAGCTTAGCGTCCAGCTCTTCCTCCACGCACCTCCACTCGTCACATTCTTCAACCCACTTATCTCCAACACACCCCTCTCCTCATCGAACCGCACACTCCCTGCTCCACCACCACCACCAAGCTCCTTCCCATCCAACTTGACCCGTCCAATCCTTTCGAGCCCCATAACAGTAACATTAGCCAACGCATTAGTATCCCTATACTCCCCTTCCACAGCAACCTCCAACCTCCCCTCACAAACCCTAAACCTCACAACCAACGTCTCCGCCGGCTCCAAACTCTCCCCATCATCCTGATAAACCTCGCCCCTCGCCTCTCCCGCCTTATCCAACGCCACAAGCAAACTCCACGGGTTCCGCCTCGACTCCGTAGTCGTGTACCCAGGCTCTTGCGTAGCAAGCACGCTACCTCCACGAATGAACACAGGGATATGGCCCAGCGGCGCGGAAATGGTTTTATTCTCTCCCGGCGCAGCGGAGACGGGAGTCTGCGTGTACCAATCATACCATACCTCCCCATCTGCGACGCCCGGGAAGACGCCTTTGACGGTATCGACGTGGGGCTCCAAGACCGGTGTAACGAGGATCGATGGGCCGAGGAGGAACTGCGTATCTACGGCTTTCAACTGCGGGTCGTTGGGGAATTCCCAGGCGAGGGCGCGCATGACGGTGTCGCCCTTGGTATGCGCGTGGTGGAATAAAGTGTAGATGTAGGGGAGCAGGAAGTAGCGGATGTGCATTGCCTTTCTGGAGGCGTCGGCGACGGCGGCCCAGCGGAAGGGTTCTTGGGGGATGGCGGAGAGGACGTTGTGGTTGCGGTAGAAGGGGAAGAAGGCCGAGAGTTGCATCCAGCGGGAGCAGAGCTCGAGGTCCGTGTTGCCGTTGAAGCCGCTGTGGTATCGTGTCAGTATTGTACTTATTTTAGGAATCATTGTGCTCTTTTATGGGTAGGTGGTGGGCTACAGGCGGACCAGCAGAACTTACCAAGTATCTACGCCAAACATAGGAATGCCGAACATGGAGAACGACAGGGCTTGCGGAATCGAGAAGTACATGTAGTACCACTTGGAAGCATTATCACCTCCCCAGTGGCCCGACCACTTTCCAGACCCAGGGAAGGTGGACCGACCAATGATGAAGGGACGTTTGCCCGGGAAGACGGAGAGGAGGCCTTGGTATGTTGCATTGAGGAGCTGGTGGCTGAGATGAATGTTAGTGAAGTCTTGACAGTAGGAATCGTCAGCCGGCCTACCCATAGATATTGTGGACGTCGTATTCTTCCACACCGTTTGCGTGTGTGGCATTTGGAGATACTGCATGCACAGCGAGGTCTCCCTGGACATGGTTAATCACGTAGGGCGGATGATCGACGTTCCTGGCTCCAGGCGTCGGTGTTGTGCGCAGATAAGACGTCGACGTAGAGCTGCCAGCCGCGGTGGAGGTCTTCTCTGCTGCCTGACTGGAAGCCGCTGAAGACGCCGAGGCGGCTTCAGTAGAATTTGTAACATTGAAGCCCTCGGGGTATTCATAGATGCCGTTTCCTGCCTCGCCTGGGAGCGAGAAGGGAGGGTGTACCGGATTCAACGTGAGATTGTTGGAGCCGCAGGATCCGACGCAGAAGCTGGAGACTTCGTTCATGTCGATCCAGAAGCCGCTGTATGGGACTTCTTTGTGCCACAGGACCCTGTGAAGATCAGAGACCGATTGCGAGGATGACGATGGAGACTTACATCTCATTCACCCACCAAGATACGCCATTCTCCGATAGGAAGTCGGGAAAGACTGTGTATCCAGGCCAGACAGCGCCGATGTATTGGCTGCCGTCAGGGTTCATCAGGAAGGAGCCCGATTCATTACCCCTGGTGTATGTGTCGTAGGCATCACTTCCATTGGTCGGATTGGGAATATAGATCGCGGCGTCCACAATGGGAACGAAGTGCTGATGATTTGCGTGAAGCTTTTCGAAGAATTCCTTGACACCGGATCGCGGGAAAGTCACGGGATCCAGGGTGAAGTCACGGTATTGGTCCATATAGTCAATATCCAACCAAATGGCTTCTGAGGGTCTCTATTAGTATTATACCTTAAAATGCGGAAAGTGGCAACTCACCCAGTGGTATATTGAAGGCCCTCATTGTATCGATGATCTCAATCGAGTCAGCACAGGCGGCAGCAATATCATGCTTACACTCACCTCCTGCGTCTCCGTCCAGTTCCTATAACCCCATCGACACTGATGGTAGCCCAAGGCCCAGTAAGCTTGCATGCCGGGAAGGCCCGTTGCGGAAAATTGGTGCTGCTTGATTACGTCCTGCTGAGTTGGCCCGTCATAGAAAAACAGGTCAACGCTTCCACCCAGCAGACGCCACGTCAAGCTTTCATTTCTTAGAAGCACTTCTTGTCCATGGATGTTTCTCAGATACACTCCGTGAGAATACGACTCCCAGCCGGTGCCTCCACCACCGCGAGTCTCATTCTTCTTGCCGTGAGACGGTCTGTTGTTGGTTTTATTGCCTCCCCTTTCGAAGTATCTAGTTTCCAAATAGAATGGATGACTGCCATACAGGTTCGTGTCGATAGGATCTCCCACGTCTGCTGCATAAATCGTAGCCGTGAGATTGTTGTTCAGTCTTAGGCCGTGGATCCGTTCGCCAAGTCCATATAAGTTGTAATCGTTAGGAAGACTCGTAACAAATTCGATGAATTGATCTTCGTAGACCAGCTTGGTATTTTCTGTAGAGAAGATGACGTCGCCTGTTGACTGTCGTGTGACACTAAACCAGAAAGATGGCTCATTTTCCCCTGTAAGCGGTTAAACCATGTACATAGGTTTCGATTCCGGTATCGACTCACAAACGAACTTCAGGTCAAGATCCTTGTAGGTGGTCTCTAGCTTGGGCCGTGGTATCAAATCCTCCGGGATTAGGTAATGAGAGGCATTGTTTTGACCCTGCAGCTGAAGATTAGCTCAGTTTCACCAATGCAGTGCATTCCGCAGTCAGAACTCATACAATATTTGCAGGGCTGATGTTGATAGCCAGCCTGTTGGCGGCCTGATATTCCACTTTCAGGTTGAGCACTTCGACGTCGTTCCCGTAAACATTGCAGCTCTCTCCAGCCAGAGTCAGAACTGCAGTCAAGCCACGCTCGTTTTCCAGAACTTGCGAGGCCTTGTATCCAGGACAAACGTCCTGCGCATCCAGAGCGGCGGGGTCCTGGATATTGGGCAGTAAGTTGGCGCCTTCATCTGCAGAGGCCGGTATGGTGAAAATAGGGCGGACGGTGGTTGGAGTGCCATTGATGGTTGTTACAACGGCAGACGAGGGGTTCGGAGTTGCACTCTTGAAGGATGCAGTGACTTGTCCACTTGCCAATCCCAGCAAACATGAGGCTGCAAAGATTGAAGACACAGCCATCACGATCTGGATGTTGACCCGCGGACCGATGAAACCACCCAATGACGGTTTTAAGAGTTCGCAAACTTCCGACGGGAACCAAAGATCGCGAAGCAAGCGTCAATTGAAGATATGGGATCCTGCGCTCTCGCACCACCGTGACGACAACGTGCCTTTTATATACGTTCACGAATGCGAGCTACGACGAAAGCAAGACGCCCAAATATCCCCGCAGCCTGCCCACCAAGGAAAACATGACGATTCTCCGAAGCTGTCAAACAGGGCATTACAGACATGGCGCATAAGCGGGACACGAGCATCGGGCTCTGGGGATTTGCGCTGTCGAACGAACAGCCGGAAGGAACTCGGAGGTTTGACGATCCAGGGGTTGATCTGAGGTATGCTTCCCTGGTATGGGTAAGACAGGGGCAACGTCCTTGCAGAAGCGGGGTCCTGCGTCACCCGGCAGGTGGATGAAGGTCGTCGATCTTTTCCAGCTGCCTTATAGGGATAGGTTTCGCTGAGCTTATTCCCCCAGAAAAGCGGAACCTTCAGGCACAACCTGAGATGATCTCGGTGTTTCTCCGTCTCCATCTCTGCATACTTCGCCAGCCATAGATTGAGAGAAGGGACAAGAGATTGCTCGTAACAGAATGTCCGCTCGCTTGTATCGAAGCTCTTGGGCAGTCGGTGGACAAAAGTGTTGTGATGCATGATGTGAACGTTCGAACATCGTGGTGGGCCCGAGTATTCATTGATGTGCGCCATCCTCGGCGATCCGACTTCAACCTCGGTGTTTGGAATCAATGATGCCAGTACTGTTCAGATCCACTCAGATTCAGGACGAATCCTTCCACGATCAAAGACGGCAGAGGAAATCTTTGATAATGCGCCGAAGCTTCAGGAAAGCTTGTTCACAACACTATGCCGATAACCATCCCCGCGATCCGTCCGCCTTGGCATGCTACTAGCAGTGCAAGCGCATTCTTGTTTTGGCCTCACCTGTCCACCTGCGCCCATAACTGTTTTCCGCTTCTCCTCTTCTGCCCGGATTCATCGCGGCGTGTCCGACGAGGAGCTATATATTGTATTGGGCCACCGAGACAAGCTATGCGAGGAGTGTGATGCATCACCCCTGCCACGGTTGTCGAGGGCTGGTAGTTGCTCAGCATCAACATCCCCCATGTTCTGTATGCGCCCCAAATTGACGAAAGTCCCTTCAGGAGTGAGAGCCGAGACAGGTGAAAAGCTCAACTCCCCGCGTGTGAGAGCTTCCGGTGATATCTCGTATTCCTCGAAGCGATATCGCTGGCGCGCAACAGTCCGCTGAGGAACCACAATTGGAGGCTTATATGTCGAGTTTGGGATGGGCCATTCATGATTACCCTCGAGCTCCAGAAGCTCTATAGATTCGAGTTCACCCGGCTTCTGTGGGGCATCGAGTTCTAGTTCCCCGTGCGAGCGACGCCCGATGAGTCGTTTGCGATCGTCTGATGCTGATCTAGGCCGTTGGAGGCTTGATGGTGTTGTAGATGTGAGAGAAGGCGCACTCCTAATAGAAGGTTTTCGACGTCGTCTACGCCATAACCAGCATGCAATGCCTATGGTTGCAGAGACGAGTGCCACAATACCGATGCCAATCCCGACAGCTCCTGCAGTGCCGAGCTGATTGAGATGGTCTCCAGTGGCTGGAAGAGTTGCCGTAGGAGAGACGGAAGTAGACGATGGGGATGCGACATCGCTTTCGCAGCACGGACTGCAGACCTTGTTCCGACAGACCCAGTCATTGTCGCAGTCCTCGTTCGTGAAACATGCCGCTCCTAGACAATGTCCTCTCCACGTGCAGGGTTGGTAAGTTGTAGTTGAAATGGAAGCAGTTGTAGTTCGAATCGGCGCAAGCCCGATTGGGGAGGTGGTCGTCATTGTGTTCCGAAATCAACTGCCAGTGCGCCAGTGGCAGTTAGTCTCAAGTGGCCTTGGACGATAGCAAACACTAACTCACTGTTTCGGATACTGGGCGTATAAAAGAAATGAGCCAGATGGCTTCCCGGATGTCAGTGACTGCTTGCGTTCCTTCTGGGATATTGACATTTTCAAGGTGGGCCTTGCGAACACAAGGCGGAGAGAGCCGAATATAATCACTGCTCTTTGCTCCAGTAGCTGAGACAATGGCGCCCTTGGAAGGACCTGGAGCGTTGGCAGCTGAACGCCTATAAGGCTTGAGGGAGCTCGTATCGACCAATGCGTGCGGTTGGTTGCTGAGGCTGAGCTGCCGCGTTCGGGTGGCTTAAAGTTAAGAAGAAGAAGAACCGTTGCGAAATTTACAGCATGATTAGGAGACAAACAGGTCTCTATAAAGGAAGTTCTATGTCCTTGCAACCCGCCTTATTAGAGTCTTGCTGGGGCAAGTAGCCGGATGGCTAGCTAGATGTATGTCTAGGCCTTCAATTCAGTATAACGTTCAACACATCACTTGAATCAGTGCATGTTGGTATTGATACGTCTCAATAAACTCCTTCGCTGAAAGATGAATTGATATCGCTGTACCACGTATTGGGTGCTAAGGACTCCACAGTGACTAGGTTGTCTCCTGAAAGGCTGGAGTTGGCTTGAAAAAGCTATCAGCTTGTCGAAACTGGGTGCCGTCAAAGATGGTTTCCCAAAGCCATGACGGCCTCATCCTTTTCGCTTCTGTGAGAGAAGCACGAAATGGAGACATACCAAAACCCCGTACTCAGAACTCTCTTCGGCCCTGTCTCCCCGCAATGACGGGAAGGCCCCATCCTTCCCGTCTCCACAGATCTGGAGTACCTGCCAAGCCGGCTCCCACGCTACCCTATCGATAAGACCTGGCCTCTCCTCTTCTACGTCATGCCGTCATCACGAGTAGACCAATGGGGTGCCGTGAGACGGAAAGCAAAACCACCCCGCAGCTCTCTTCCGTTCCACAGTGAGTGGGCTGCATACGCAAGCTGTTAATACGGACTCGTGCCCTCCTTTCCCCTCCCCTCTCATCACAGCGTCTTTGTGGATGCTCTCACCGCGATTCCTCATTCCCAGAAGCTTCGCCTGTGGATTCGGTGCTCTTCGACGCAATCGAACTTGGCCCCGTCGTTTCGAATCCACCCCACTTCGATCTTCGTTTCATACCGGCTTGAAGGCAATGGCGAAAGAGTTCAGGCTCGAAGGGATCAGCTCCCTCGATTTGAAGGACGGAGATAAGCAGGAGGTGGAGGTTGCGGGTGTTGAGGGGGGCAAGGTCTTGATTTCCAAGATCGGGGGGAAGCTGCATGCTACGTCGACAAGGTGCACGCACTATGGGGCGCCCCTGGTGAAGGGAGTCCTTACACCAGAAGGAAGGCTGACATGTCCCTGGCATGGAGGTGAGGAGACTGACAACCGTGATTGTGCCTGGATCTGACGTGAGGTAGCATGTTTCAAAATCGCCACTGGAGACATAGAAGACGCTCCGGCCCTGGATCCCCTCGTCGTTTACGAACTTATCGAGAAGAACAGCGCTCTTTATATCAAGACGGACGAGGAGACCATCAAGGACAACAAGAGAGCCCTCAACATCAAATGCTCGGTCGTGAGCGATGAAAAGGTTCTGGTCATTGGCGGTGGAAGCGGCACAATCGGGGTCATTGAAGGCTTGAGAGGTGGCGGGTACAAGGGCCAGATCACCGTCATTTCAAAGGAGGGCTATCGACCCATTGACCGTACCAAGCTCAGCAAGGCTCTGCTTACCGATCTCTCCAAATTGGCATGGAGACAGCCCGAGTTTTACAAAGATGCGTCCATTGAGATTGTCGACGATGAGGTCAAATCCGTTGATTTTTCAAGCAAAAAAGTCTCGACGAATTCGGGCAAGACGTACGAGTACACCAAGTTGGTGTTGGCAACCGGTGGAACCCCCAGATGGCTCCCACTTGAGGGATTGAAAGGGGATCTAGGGAATGTGTTTGTTCTCCGTTCGATACCCAATGCACAGGATATTCTGAAGGCGGTTGGTGACAACCACAAGAAGATTGTTGTGATTGGAAGCTCGTTCATTGGAATGGAAGTGGCAAACTGCCTCGCAGGGAAGGAGAATGATGTGACGGTCGTGGGCATGGAGTCAGGTATGTTGAATTATGGGCAGGCTCTGCGACGGCTACTGACTACTGTATAGAGCCAATGGAGCGTATCATGGGAACGAAGGTGGGGAGAATCTTCCGCGGCCTTCTCGAGAAGAACGGAGTCAAGTTCTACATGAACGCAAGCGTGAAGAAGGCCACTCCTAAAGATGGCGATCCCTCCAAGGTCGGGGCAGTTCACCTCGAGAACGGACCTGTGCTGGAGGCCGATCTTGTCATTGAGGGTGTTGGAGTCGCACCGGCAACAGAGTACCTCAAAGACGTGCCAGGGCTCGAGCTCCAAAAAGACGGGTCTCTCAAGACAAACGAGTCGTATGAGGTCGAGGGATTGACGGACGTGTATGCCATTGGAGACATCGCAACGTACCCTTACCACGGGCCCGGAGGCAATGGCAAGCCCATCCGCATCGAGCATTGGAACGTTGCGCAGAACCAAGGCCGGTCCGTAGCGAACTCGATCAACAACCCGGGTGCCAAACCGAAGCCATTCATCCCGGTTTTCTGGTCTGCGCTGGGACAGCAATTGCGCTACTGTGGCAACACTGTTGGCGGCTACGACGACGTGGTCATCACGGGGGAGCCGGAGAAGGAGCAGCCGTCGTTTGTGGCATACTACACGCTGGGCGAGACGGTGGTTGCAATGGCATCGATGATGAAGGATCCGTACATGACCAAGAGCGCGGAGCTGATGAAGCGAGGCAAGATGCCGACCAAGTCGGAGCTGCAGCATGGAGTGGACATTATGTCGTTGGATGTGCCTGCTGAGATTCAGATGTGAGGCGTGTGCTTGACTGGAATAGCAATGGGAACCTCCGGTCAACCGACCTTATGGCAGATAGTGGATAGCGAAGACATTGAAAATGCAGAATAATCGTGGAACAGAAGAAGCATGATCACGTGAATGGTGGTTGACGACGCGCATCCCGAGGTCCATGATGCTGCGCGTCAACGACTCTGGGCGATGAAGGCACTCATCAGATCATCGGACAAGGATGGGCTGCCACAACCGTTTTCCGCGTAGGGCATCACTTCGATGGTACTTGTCCCCTTCGGACACAGGCGGCGCAGCAGTCGTGATTGTATTCGACTCGTCGAGCGCTCAGACTCTCATCAGAGTCATCATCAACGGCCAAACCGGTGCCAAACAAGCCCTGTGCGCCCCCAGAAAAAAGTGGCCGACCACCAGACGGCGATGAGACGAGCAGCGCGGAGTCGTTGGCTGACAGCTCACCACGTCGCTGTTGTTGTTGCTGGGGCAGCTGGGGGAGAAGCTGGGACGATGGGAGGCCGTGTCTGCGGCCGCAAGGACGCGTCCGGGCGCGTTGATGATGGATGCTAATGAGGCTGCTGAGTGAATGAGGGATTGTACTCGGTAGGTGCACAATTGTATGTCCGAAGTGAGAGGCTCATTGTTCAATTGCTCTAGAGGCCGTCGGGGGTCGGGGGGTGTGATGTAAGAGACGTGATGGCGAGGACCGAGGGCGAGCAGGTGGAGAGAGGATATATCCTCACATCTCATGGATTGTCATCTGGCGCATAAAGTCGCAATTTGCCCGCCCCCTGTCCATCTGCGGTTTTGAAACGGGCCAAGCAACAGGGGCCCCAAATCTCCTTTTCTCTGTTGAGCATAGCGCCCGGCCCTCCAAGTGGGCTTTATTTGGTGCCCCTGGAAAGGAAGAAAAAGACGTCCTGGAGCAGAGAGGGAGAGAGAGAGCACACGAAATAATGAGAAAGTGCTGGGCCTCCTGGGTTACTGTTCTGCAAAACAGCTTGTACTTGTATAGACTATCTATTGTTGTCTCCCCTGTGTGAATTGATGCGTTGGATGCCGATACCATCTGTCCCCTTCCATCTCTCCCTGAATACACTACGGCCAGTCCTTACTTGTACCATCGACAAGCCCTGGCCCAAAGCGAGATTGCCCTGTCGCCCGCTGCCCGCCCGCCCGTTTCTCTCTCTCGACTCCCTCGCTCTCTCTCTCTTTGCGCCAACAGCCCTCAGCCGCCGCCTCCTCCGGCTCCACTCCACACCACTCCAACGCCCACGAGCCTTTGCTGTGCGAGGTGGAAGCGTGGCCTTTCCATCTCATCTTCCTTGAGAGCATCAGCAGCTCCTCCAGCTACCGTCGCTTCCGTCCCATCGTCGGCCCCTGCATGTGAATGCCCGTCAACCCTGGATCCACCTTCACCCTTCACCGACAACCCTTCTTCCACCGCCAGAAGCTCGCCGCTCCACTCTCCCCTCCCGCTCCCGCGCCCCAAGAGGGCCTCAATCTCGACGGCGGCTTTCCACCTCCCTTTTAACGCGTTGAGCCTTCGTCGCAATTGTTGCGCGTTGCGCGCTGCTTGCGACTCGTCGCCCACGCCGCCCGTCGCGCCTGCCGTCCATCCAGATCGTATGTTTTGTTGCGCCTGCCTCCTTGTGCAACCCCCAGCGCACACGCTCTCCCACGACCCGCTCTGCACCACCTAACACAATCGCACAGCCAGACGGGTACAGAGGTACAGGTACAGGTACAGGTACTCCGTACACCTGCCTTCACTCCCCTCCTCCAGAGCGTGCACCAACCCGTCGACCCTCCTCGCCCTCCGCACCTCGATAACGCCGCAGGAGAATGTCTTCAGCCGCCGTGCAGCAATCCAGCGGGCCCGCCATCTCACCCAGATCCTATCAACCCCAACAGTCATCATCCCATGCCCAGAGCCAGTATTATACACAGCAATCGCCCCCAGCCGCCTCGCCCTCCTCCTCCTCGCGACCCTCGCGCCGGCCCAGCGGCAATGGCGCTTCCCTCAACGCACCTACATCTCCCCACGCACAACACTCCCCTGGTGTAGCAGCCACCTCCAATCCGAATAGTCCTCGTCCCTTACCCAACGTTGCTCACCCTTCGCCCACAATGACGACCTCGGCCGCCACCAACTCCTTCGCGACCGGAGCACCTATGCCACCTCCGCGCACATCGTCACAACGCAACACACCAGCCGACAGGATAAGAGACGACGGCTCAACCGCAGCAGCAAGCGCTGCTCAATCACGTCGGAAAGGAAAGGAGAGCCCCCGTCATCACGGAAGCTCAAGCAGATCCAAAACGTCGCCCGGTCAGCCTTCTCACAGTCGGTCGGCCACAGCCATTGGTGAGCCGGCCGCAGGTACAACCCTACCCCGTGAAGAAAGCACCGTCATAAACAGGATTGTGGTCGCAGACCCGCAAGAGGATCTCGCCCGTGCTGAGGCCAGATTGGCCGAGGCAAGACCGGTTACCAGCGGCGCCGACGTCACCCCAATAACGGGCTTAGGTTTGGTGGGCAGCGAGGGCGTCGATGATGGCGGACGAGGAGCAGGCAAGAGCCGGCAAGACCACCCAAAGACGGAGCGAAGGTCCAAGTTTGGCAATTACATCCTAGGCCAAACGCTCGGAGAGGGCGAGTTTGGCAAGGTCAAGATAGGCTGGAAAAAGGACAGCAGTGTCGAGGTTGCTATCAAGTTGATCAAGCGAGAGAGTCTGGGGTCTCAAAGCCGCTTACAGAAGATCTATCGCGAGATCCATATCCTACGGGGGCTCGATCACCCCAACATTGTCCGCTTGCACGAAATGGTCGAGACGGAGCGCCACATTGGCATAATATTAGAGTATGCTTCCGGGGGCGAGTTGTTCGACTACATCCTGAATCATCGATATCTCAAGGACGGCGCAGCGCGCCGCTTGTTCGCACAGCTGGTCTCTGGCGTTGGCTATTTGCACAAGAAGGGCATCGTACACCGCGATCTGAAGCTGGAAAATCTACTGCTGGACCGCAATCGTAACATCATCATCACCGACTTCGGCTTCGCGAATACCTTCGATCCCAATGACGAGCTCAGCGAGGAGATTGAATATAACCTAGGAAACAAAGAATACATCAAGTCTTTAGGACTGGATGGTCCCGATGGCGTCCGGAGAGGCGATCTGATGCAGACGAGCTGCGGTAGCCCCTGCTATGCTGCTCCCGAGCTTGTCGTGAGCGATTCGCTCTATACCGGACGCAAAGTGGACGTGTGGAGTTGCGGTGTGATCTTGGTACGTTGACCAGTGGAGCATGTCCGAATCCGTCACTAATCACTTCGTTAGTATGCCATGTTGGCCGGCTATCTACCCTTTGACGATGACCCAGCCAACCCAGAGGGTGATAACATCAATCTTCTGTATAAGTACATCGTATCCACTCCCCTCACATTCCCCGAATACGTCACACCTCACGCAAGAGATCTTCTCAAGCGTATCCTTGTCCCGGATCCCCGGAAGCGTGCCGACCTGTTCGAAGTAGCCCGGCATAGCTGGCTCAGCGAATATGCCCATGTGGTCAGCTTCATCACTTCAAGTACGGCCACTCCAAATGATATTGCCAAGACTACAATCCTTCCGAGTATGGCATCTGCTCTTGATGCATCTGCACATGCTAATGTTATAATAGAAGAGGAAGTCCCCACGCTCGCACGTAGTGCCTCAGTACGAGAACCGACGAAGCCTCACAGCGCGGTCGCGCCTGTGGGAGGGCTCACAGCGAAGCGCGAGCAAATCAATCGCAATGAGCCAAGCGAAAAGTCGAAATCGAGCCGTGACAACAAGAGGCGCACCGTACAAGTTGAATATGTGGCGCCTCAGTCACAGACCGCTCGTGGAGAGGCTTCTCCACCCACCGCTGCGGCGGGATCATCCAAGTCACGTGGCAAAGAACAGGGTTATGTGGAGGCTCCAGCAGCCGATGGATACCAAGCTCCAAGCGCTCCTGGTCGTCAAGGCCGCCCTGCCGCTGCAACGGATGCTGCCACCACGCGACCAACCAGGGAGACACAGAGATCTATATCCGACTATGCCTTTGCAAACGTCCCTGCTACATCGGCAGCACGACCCTCTACTGGGGGAACTCTAAGTGGGCGTTTGCCATCCAGAGGCAATTCGTACGGCCAGCCTGCGGTAGCAACGGTTGCACAGACGAACGCGGAGGGCCGTTTTTCGCAGCCTAAGGGCAAGCAGTACCACATATCCGCGCCCATGGCTCAGCAAGAAGGTCCGATCGGCGAACCCTCAATTGGACAGCCGAGCACACATAGAGTCCCCGCCCAACCGGAGGCACAACCTCCCAACTACAAGGGTCATAGACGTTCGAATACAGTCAGCGAGACGATCGGTAGGGTCACGTCGATGTTCACTGGCCGGCAACATGCAGACTCAGCACACTCGACTCATGTCCCGAACAAGATCCAGAAATCATATCCACCCGTTAGCATGGTTCCCATTTCCCAAGACGAGCCACCAAGAAAGTCGCAGGAATCGTCACGACGTACCTCGTTTGGTTTCAGCCGGAAGAATACCGATCAGTCGGGAAACAAATCCACAAGACGGTTCTCCCTCCTGCCTTCGTCACTATCGAGAACGTTCATGGGACACCGGGAAAGCTTGCCACCTTCGAGCTCCCATTCTGCGGTCGACAGGCGTACATCTGCCGCTCCTGCTGCACGCAAACGCACCACCTCGCGCCCGGGGATGAACTATCCCGACAGTCGTTCGCCAAGCCAGAGCACCACGAGAAGCGAGAGACCTGGCTTCTACGATGGGGCGCATGAGAGCGGCTCAAGGATCCGTGCAGGCTCGTCTTCAGCCCCGGCCCAGCAGACACAGTTCAGCTACTCGACTCTGATCGGCGACGAGAAGTTCCCCGGTCCGACGCAACCTCATCCCTCGCAGAAACCTCAAGCATACCGCCACCCCAACGACTCGGATGCATCCCAGCGTGTGATGCGCGGCGGCCAACAGCAGCAGAGGCCGCAGTATCCGGCCGGATTTGACAGCTCCGAATGTGTACCCCCGGCCACGACTCCGCAGCGCGAACGTCCTGGTGTGCTGCAGAAGCATAGGAAGTTTGCGGATGCGTACGAGGATAAGGGACATCATGCGGGCAGCTCAGGGAGCGCGAAGCGGGTGATGGACATATTTAGGAGGCTGGGGAGGCAGAGGACGAAGGAGGATCGGTGATGAGAGATGGATATTGTGTGGAGAGGTAGTGTAAGATATTTGCCCGAGTAGGGGGTGGGAGGCATGGTGAGATGGTGGGTAGTTGAGTGAGGGGACGTGCAACTGGCAGCGCAGGCGAGGAAAGAGGAGCGAATTGTGGGATCCGTTTTGCTGCTTTGCATTAGCCGGCGTTTTTCCTGGGTTTTTCTTATATTCCGGGAGTTCCCCTTGTTTTCGGCATTCCATGTCGCCATTAACTGTACCGCCTGGGATTGCTTTTTTCTGACCAAGGAAGGGATTGAGCGAGCGAGGAATGGTTTCCAGCGTTTGTAGTTTTCATGTGGGTAGTTTTGATAGTATATCTTAATTTTTATTACTGCTGGGCATGAGAAGTGGAGTTGTTCTGAATGAATGGACGGGGATCTATCTGTTGTTCATGTGCTTCTAGCGTGAATATATTGAAGAGACGGGAGATGGGAATGAGAGATGCTGTACCTGTTTGCCTACAACTACTTGTAGTAAGAAAGGGCATCGAGCTGGGAAACTATGTTGTTTGATGCTGCGCTATTCTAAACACAGGAGTCCTCGGCTTCGGTCCCGAATAGCACTAGCGTCGCTGACCAGGGGCCCCGCAGGTAACGATGTCATCGATCCACTCGCGATCGTCGGTCTCTTAAGCTTTCCCGTCGTCCAAGTCACATTCAAACCTTTAACACTTTTTCCGAACCTCAAGACTTACGACTCTTTCTTTTTGTTCTTCTTTCATTTCGAGGAAAAGTTCGAGAAAAACGAGCCAGCGTAGAGCGCGTCTGCTCTGTTTCCGTGCTTAGTCGTTTCAGCGACCCGTTGCTTTGTTTGTCTGTCCGGTTTGCGGATTTCGGGGAAGGAAGTTGGGGATTGAGAGGATCTGGGTCTTGTTTGTTTGAGGGAAGGAAAGTCATAAGACAAGAAAGAGAGGGAAGGGAAGGCAGGAACGGGAAGATTGGGATTGGAACGGGATGGTTTTGCGGTGGTATGTTGAGTGTTTCGTGTTCTCCTTTTCTTCGTTGGCTGCTTGGTCGAGTGATATCTCTTCGTCTTTTCCTTTTTGCGCTGCTTGCCTACTTTCTCCCCTTCCTCCTCCGGGGCCAATTGCCCTGCACACAGGCCGGGTCGTTAGGCGACTCGCAAGGAAGATGGGGAGAGGAGGGGAATCCATATTTATTCAATCGCCATCTTCCACAGGGGAAAGGGATCGATCAGGCTAACGAATAGAATAGGTATCAAGCGAAGCTCAGGTCGGCGCCGGTGCTGACGCAGAGTGTAACGACGGCAGTATGTGGACGTTCTTTTCAGAGTTCCACCTCCCTTCCCTAGATTGCACACGTACTTTTCCCAGCAGCTCTGCTTCTTATATTAGAGCTCGTTCATGCGGCGAGACACTTGGGCATAACTCACGCATCTGTCACTTCGCTTCGCGATTCATCGTAGCCTTTTTGTCTCCGTAGCGTCTCCATAACGGGTTCGTTACGCTCAGCACTCACTGACTTGGGACGTTAGATTCTCTTCGCAGCGGGGGACGTGCTCTCGCAGCAGGCGGTCGAGAAGGCCGGATGGGAGAGGCATAGTCTGGCCAGGACGGGCCGTATGGCTGCGTATGGAGGCTGTATGTCTTTTTTCTCTGTTCTCCTTTTTCATCATTGCCCCTCGGTTCCCCATGATCGCACCCCTCTGGCGTCGTCGTTTCCTCTCCATCCCCAAACCCCAAATCCATTAACTCACACACTCACACAGTAATCTTCGGCCCCGCCGCCACCCACTGGTACCGCATCCTCAACTCGCGCATCACCCTCTCCAGCGCCCCCCGCAGCATCGCCGCACGCATCGCAGCGGACCAATTCGTCTTCGCGCCCGTCAACCTCGCGCTGTTCCTCTCGAGTATGTCGTACCTCGAGGGCGGGGACCCGAAGGAGAAGCTAAGAAGGGCCTGGCTGCCCGGGTACGTGAATAATTGCCTGCTGTGGCCGTGGGTGCAGGCGGTGAATTTCAGCGTCGTGCCGTTGGAGCATCGGGTTTTGGTTGTGAATTGTGTTGCGCTGGGTGAGTGGGAAGTTTCGTTTTTTTGGTGATGTATTTTTGTTCTTCTCTTTCCTTTTTTCCCCTCGAGTTTCCTTATTCCGTCGTCATACTTTTTTTATTGTCGAGCATGAGAGGTATGGATATGCTGCAAAAACGGGAAGGGAGAAGACGAAGAGGAAGCAGGAAGCGGGAAGATTTCGAAGAGGTATCCGTTGATGACTTGGGCACGAAAAAGCAAGGTGACGGCCGGCATAGCCTCGAAACCTGTAGGAGCCGAAAGTGTGTCTGGGCTCACGGAGTGATCGCGTTAAACTACTGGAAAGTAACCCAAACACTAACGGATCTCCCTAGGATGGAACTGCTACCTCAGCTACCTCAACAGCTCCGGCGGCAGCGCCTCCGACACCCAGGCTCCGCGTGTGAAGAAAGCGTAGCACTGTCGGTCAGTTGTGCAGCGTTTAGCTACCTGGGAATGGAATAGAGGTGGAGTGGGGTAAAGAAAAAGGGGGGGGGGGGGGGGTGCTCTTTTATCGAGAGCATGAGCGGAAAAGGATGAATTTGGAGCTATGGGCGAAGAGGGGTTGGGAAAAGACTGGGTCGGATGACTGCTATGTTCGCTGCGGACGAGAAGGGAGGTTGGGTAGGAAGAAGGGAGAGGAGGAAAGTAGGAAGTGAAGGGGGGGAGACACAAGAGAATAGATGGTTGATAGTGACAAGGATACGGGGTAGACCAGCAGACACATGTACGTACTCTCCGTTCTCGAAAAGGCACACAATAGAGAAACTACTCGCTTGATAACAGCGCGATGTCTAGTTTCTCCGTCTACACTTTTGTACATGCGATACAGTACGTCTATCTACAAATTCATCCACGCATCCATCCATGCTTATTCAACTGGAAATCGCATTCTTGTACATCGAACGTAGGAATTAAGGATAAAACCATAAACTAAATACCTCCCAACGTCTTTCGGGAGATGTGAGACTCCACTGCTTTCTGCAGCTCCTGGAGCTTGTTGAATAGATACTGGGGAGGAATGGCTTTTGAAGTCGTCACAGAGCCGAGATGGACAACCAGCAAGTGGCTAAAGGGCGCAAATCAACTTGGTGTAACATTGACAAATGGTATATCGCGCAGGACTACAAAAAGTTTCAAGAATGAGATCAATCAATCCATCATCCTCAGGGGCCTTCCCCTCCTACCCACACCGCCGTCAGGGGCAATACGGATGGCGATATGATCTGATCTGATATCATCTCATCCAAACTTCCCTCTCTACCCATTTGCCAGATCCAGGACGTAAATGAAAGCATGGAGAAAAAAAACACAAAACCATTAAAAATTGCGCCATGAACGCCCAAGAAGCTCTGGTTCCTCCGCCTGTGTCTTTCCCCAGACAGAGACGCCCAGACCAGAGCCATGCTCGCAAAAACATTACAAATAAAAACAGCCATCCAATCTAATCAATCTCCATCCTCTGGTTCGGCGCCGGGCCGCTCACATACGGCATCTCGGTCGCGTCATGCTTCGCGCGATCAATCTTCTTCTCAGTCAAGTGCGGCTTGAGCCCCTTGTTGAAGTTGTGCGTGCAAATACACGCAATTACGATTGTTGCAAGGAGTAACAGGATCGTCAGGACGGCAAAACTCGTCAAGCTCTTTCGGGCCGGCTTGTAATCCTGCTGGCGATTGAGGTCGGCGACGTACATGCGGACGAGCTTGAAAAGGAAGTAGGCGAGGGCGATGAAGTAGACGATGATGATGGCAATCATGCCAGCGATGGATTCGCGCCGCACCCACCAGGCGGCGAGGAAGAGGAGGACGAAGGTGATGGCCAGGGCGGCGGCGGTGAGGCCTTGCTCGACGGTTGTGGTGTTGTCGACCACGACGAGGAACTGGATGGTGAAGGCGAGGAAGAAGAAGAAATCGAATTTCAGGAGGGCGATGTAGATCTACGGTTCGAGTCAGTCCTACTTCTGGGCCCAACTGAAGTTGGCAGCCGTACCTGATAGTTGAGATACCTCCTCTTCATGCGAACATCTGCGCTGATGTGCTTGTAAATGGTCCACGCGAACTCATCGTACAACTTCCATGCGAGGAAGGCGAAAATGACGGTGAAAAGACCCATCAGCACGGGCAAGGCGACGAGCATGGGTCTGATGCTGTCCCAAAAGTGCAGCTTGATGAACCGCTGGTCATCTAGCGTCCTAATCGCATCTTTGATCTGATCGAACTGAATGCCTGCATAGAGAAGGATTCCGCCGTTATACATGACAAGGCCGATGATTTGAATCGTGTTCTTCATTCTCAGCGCATCGTAGACAAGTAATAGTTGGTATATGTATCCGAACATGAACACGGCAAGGTATGTCGGGATCGTCCGCGTCTCGGTGACATGCTCTGGAATCTTTTCTCGCAATCCTGCTTGGAACTTGGCAAAGACATATCTGCCACGAGTTAGTGCGCTGTTTGGGAAAGACACCTGGGCCGATCAGACGTACGCTTCAAGCACGAGAGCGATGATAGCCTGCAAGCATGCAGCTATCATGTAGGACCAAGTCCACTTTGTATTCGGGATATACATTCTGCGGGAGCGTCGTACTGGCGGCGGAAGCTGGGTGGGGAAGCCCTGGCGGTCGTGGTATCCGCCGGGCTGCGTGTCGAGGGGAGGCGAAGCGTAGGGAGGATAACTGTAGTCGGAGGGGAAGTAGTTCCTGTCCAGAGGCTGGCCTCCAAGGAGGGAGGTTCGGGCCTCGTGTCGAGAAATTTTGATGGAGTTGTCAGCCGCAAGCTGGCGGCTGGGGCTGTCGTGATAAGAGGGGGTGCCGAGCGGTCAGTAGGTTTCCACTGTGGCGGCGACGGTGTCACGGGCAGCGGGTGTGGGTGGAACAGCAGGTGAGACGGGTGTGAAGCAGTTCACAACTTGGCCTTGGGGCCTCTTGGTTGCGCAGCGGAGAGTCTTCTGAAACCTGGACCGTGCGGCCGAGGAGCCGAATCAGTCGCGGCGACAGGGGCTGCGGGACGAGCGATTGGTGCTGGGGATGGAAAACAACGAAAGCGTGATGAATTCAGCAAGTGAGCGAGCAGCGGGAGGACGGAGGATGGTGGCCGACTTGGTGAACTGCACGCCTTGGTCGTCGTGCAGCCGTCGCACTGTTGAATAGTCGTTGGTGTCGAGGTCGCCGAACAATACTCGGTAACAGCCAACGGACCGACTGGTTTGCGGGCAATCCAGGCACCGCCCAGGGTCTGATAGAATAGAATCGGGGTCTGGAGGGTCCTCGGGATTCTGCTTGCGGGGTGGCGCTAGTCGTGTGCTGCCTCGCTGTCTGGGGAGGAGAGGGAGGGTAGAGACAGACAGCCCTCTCACCAGGTGCAAGCAAATAGAGAGCGCGACAATGCCGACGCAGGAGAAGAAGGAGAAGGGGGGAGGAGTGAGGATGGGAGGAATGCGAGACAACAACAACAACGACAATGCTGAAGGGGGCTTTTTCTGCCCTGTGGCTTTGCACATGTGGCTGGTCTTGACCACGCCTATCTGGGCATGGTTCAAAGCACAGCCCACAGCACGGCCACGCACTCTCCTTGAATAAGCTAGCGTCGGCTAGCTCCATGTGGCGCAGCCCACCCCTCGGCCCACTTTCTCTGTCCTCTCCCCACAAGCTCGTCCAGGAACATCGGATCATTCCACCGCGACGGCGCGCGCAGAACATGGCTTCACGTACGTAAATTCCCCGCTTTTGGCTCCTCCCATTGTATCCACAAGTAACACAACAGGCTGACGGCTGTGCAGCGCAAGATCTCCTGGCGCGTGCGGCCGCCGACGGCACTTTCGACACCGAAGACCCGTCAGTGCCCCATCCCGCATGAAGCTTGATGCTCTCCTGCTACGACTCCAAGCGTCACAACTAACTCCTACCGTAGGGACGCGTGGCCGAGGACACTGAAGTACATACTACATCGCCTAGACGAGGTCCGTCCAATCCCCTCTCTCTGTGTTTGTTGTGCGCCTACCGCTAACCAGCAAACAGAACTTCAATAGCTTCCCCAAGCCTGTAGTACCTTCCAATGCGAGATCCCACTCACCGCTCTCCAATGCCGCGTCAGCAGGTTCAAGTCAACAATCGCACACTTCTGACAAGGAAAATGCGCCGCCAGCTACACTTCCTCGCGTTCCCAACTCCGCCTTCTCGGGCACACCTCCGCCTTCGCAGCCCGAATCACCTAACTTCCCCGAAGAATGGATAACCCTCTGCGACGCCATCCGGACCTCTCTCACGAAGAACTTCTCAAAGTACCCGCCTCACACGCTCCAGCGCCTCGCCGAGCTCGTCCTGGAACCCAAAAAGCATTACCGCTTCCTCCCTCCGTACCTCCGCGCGCTCGACCGCGTCGTGTCCGTCACCTCCTCCACAACCATCTTCCCCTTCCCGCATGCTACTCTACCTACCACAGCCGGGTTCCTAAACGGAACAATAACACCACCGCAAAGTACCCTCGGTTCCGACGAGTCGCTCGGCGGCGCCCTCCTCACACCTATACCCTGGCTGGCAAACCGCCAAGCTACCGCAGAGTCGACGGAAATGGTGGACGCGCCAAGAAGCGCTGGACGCATCGAGACGGTCGCCGTGGTGAATGGACAGCTCATTTCACAAGACGATGCAAACAGCGCATTGTCGAATCCTACTCAGGATCACCCGAAGAGCCCGCCTCTGGAACACATGGAGAGCGATCAGCAAGGGGCTGGAGACACAGTGCAGGAGGAAGAGCACCAGCAGCAGGAAGAGGAGGAAACCCCGCATGCGAGGGGCCCAGAGGAAATTGGGATGGAGGATACGGGGCCTCAGAGGGGTAGCACGCCCGGCAGATTGGATTTTGAGGGCGCGGTCGGGAAGCCGAGGAGTCCGAGGAGGAGTCCTGACAAGAATGGGGAGGGGGAGACGAAGGATCAGGACATGGGAGATGGGGAAGAATTGAAGAATGAGACGGTTAGCGAGCAGGAGAAAATGGAAGAGGATGCTATTTTACAAGCAGATGTCAAGGACCATGAGATGCAAGAGGTTGGACAGGGAAAGGCGGATAAGGAAAAGGAAGAGGGAGATGAAAATGCGGCAGCGGAGGCGATGTAGCATGAGCCTCCGCTGGTTCGGACAAGGTGTAGGGCGTTCTAGGGGAAAAGTACGGGTTGGTTTGGTTCGCATGTGGGCTATTTGGGGCTTGGGTTTGGGCTAAGGTATCAAGATATTCAAATAGATGTTACAAACTACGGAACCTCGATTGAGGAATCCTATTATCAAGGCTTCACAACGTCTACATGGGCCGCACGGAATATGGTTTCTATCAGAGGTATTTCCATTCATTACAAGGAGATATATAGCTAGCCACACAGGCAGACAGACAGACAGGGTGGATATAGGACACGACACGCTAATGCACATACAATAACACCAAGAACATCAAGGAACAGCAAAAGACCTAGGAGTAGGGAGACGGCGTCCTCCAGTTGCGGTACAGGCAGGAGCAGGGGCCCGAAGTATCCTGCGCGGTGAATGCCTGAGCGATGGGCTCTCCGCTGGGGACTTTGCGGCACGAGGGTACGTTTTCGCCGCCGTAGACGACTTGCTCGATGCGCACGGCTGTGAGGGGAGTTCAAGGGTTAGCTCGTGACCGTGTTTCAAGATGGAGATGCAGACTTTGGTGACCAGCGGAACGGGGGAAAACTCACCAAAAGGCCAAACAGGGGATTTGGGATCTCCATCCGGCTCCCCCTTCTGTGTGTTCGGATACGATCGCTCCATCTTCGTGTAGAGGGACGCTTGCAATGACGTGGACGCAAAGTCGCACTCGACCTTTGCGTCGTCGTCTTTCAGGATGGACTGGGCCGGAGTGACCTTCTTGGCCTGGCTCAGCTGGAAGCGATACCGTTCCTTCTCGTTGCCTGCATCCAGGAGCTCCAGGTCCGCGTTCTTGAAGGATATCGAGAAGGGGTTGTCGCCGTCGGACGAGATCCGGTATTTGCCCTTGGAGGGCGAGGAGATGACCCAGTTGAAGGTGGCGACGGATTTGACGGGGTCGGTGTTGTAGATGGTGTCGGGGTGGCAGGTCCAGGTTAGGGGATTCGAGGTGCAGTTTGTTTGGATCGTGTCGAGGAAGGTGACCATGGAGTAGGAGCCGACGGGGAAATCGGGGGAGAGGGACGCTGGAGATGGCAGAGGATCGGCCGGTCTGTTGTTGGGACCTGCGGTGCTGGAAGCTTGCGAGCTGGCGAGGGTCTGAGAGTTGGAGCTGCTATCAACGGGTCAATAAACTGGCGTTGGGCCTCGATTCAAAGGAATAACTCACTCATCTGAGCCCTTCTTCTTCAATCCCACGGCAAGGCCAACTGCCAGTGCTATTATCGCAGCAATGGCAATGGCTATGATTATGAGTATCTTCTTCCATCCTCCCGGTTTGGTGATTTGCCGGTTGTTCCTGAAAACGGCGAACTTCTCCCCATCCGACCACACGCTGTACGAATACCCGCTGGAATTCTGGCTTTGACCCTCACTGCTGTCTCGTGGCTCGATGACGGTTACGGCCGGAGTGGTCTTTCGCACCACCGAGTTCCTCTTGTGCGGATCGCTGCCCAGAACTGCCGAAAGGCGATGTCCGGCTGGTGTTGATATTCGCTTCGCCGGCGGTTCGGAGGGGGATTGTTGGCTGGTCGAACGGGGCCAGATGCCCATGATGGCGCTGGGAGACGCGCTCTCTCCGTCGGTGTCTCGTCAAAGGTTGTGCGGCGATCTGACCTCCTTTTGATGGTTGCGCGGGCAATCGCTGGCCTCGTTGTTATGGTGCAAAAAACCGCATGCTACCTCAGCATGTTTATGGAACTCAAACGGATGACGGCGACGACAGCTGACGAGAGAAAGTGGGATGAAGCCGAGAACAAAAGTCGTGCTTCTTCCTCAACCGAAGGTGCATGCCATGGAGACTGGCGGACATGCACGTGGAGGCCATGGCGTTAATGGGGCGACTATCACGAACGAGTGCTGGCTTGACTCGAAGCACCAATTGAAGAAGCTCGGTAGAGAAGATGGCGCAATGTGGGTCGCTGCTTTGGGGAAGTTGACCGCTCCGACGGCTCAGGGGTGCAGATTATTGGGCGGCGGCCATGCTTGTTTGGTGAAGGACCAATTCCGACATCCAAAAGGGGTAAGGCATTTTCCGTAGTTTCCGTCCGTATCTTGCACAGCCGTGGACGAGACCGTCGTCAAAAGCAATGGTCGGTCGTAGCGAAAGCCGAGAGACATCGGACATCGACGGGTGGGTGCTTGTGAGGAGGGGGAGAAAAAGAAGAGGTGAGGTTGACCTCCAGGGCTTTCATGTTTCAAACGCCGTGTCACGAGCGCGTGGACCCTGGCGGCAACCCCACCCGGTTCCTGAATCCCCGCATCACCACCCCGATACCTGCCAAGCCTCATCTTCACCACCACGAAAATCATAGGTATTGCTCGAATGATGACGGCACAAGTGGTGAGGGCAAACGCTTCATTCCACTGATGAGTATCCCCGCATTCCCCGCCGATGGATCGCAATCGGGTTGAGATTGATCCTCACTTTCACGGTTCACCTCGCGCGGTCCCATTTCTGGATTTCACCACACGCGACGCGACTTCACCTTCATCTTCACCTTCACCTTCATACACATCATACGCACTCCCGACTCCAGTTCTCATGTTCACTTCCAGAACCTTTATTCTCCCTCTTCGCGTCCGCTCCATTCCATCTCTTCCAATTTTATCGTCTTAACCGCCTACTCCTGTTGTGAACATTACTGCCCTTTCTTTTTTCGTTCTTCGCCGTTATCCCGCATGTCTGCAGGGCGCGTTATTGTGCCTCTGCGTCGGGGCTCCGATGGCGATCCCACTCATCGACCGGACAAGCCCACGTTCACTCAGGCGGACCCCAGAAACTACCTCGAAAAACTGGCAACGTTGTGGATGCAGGCTCGAGGAGAAAGGCTCCCTGGCATCAGCTATGTTCTCGAGCGTCTCCCCGAAGGTTATGCCGTGTTCGGACGACCACGACCTGGTGAACCTAGTCACGTCGACTTCTATCTCTATGGGCACCCCGAGCACAAGAAATTCGATTCACCGAACCGGTTCTATCCGCATTTCGAACATCTCATGAATCACGGAACTAACATCGGATGCCCCTGTACTGTTTGCAATGGTACGACAAGACTTCCTATTAACGGCTCTCCAGCAGCTTCAAGGACAGGGACCTCAGGCTTGCAACCTAGCGGGCCTTCTCGGCCGGGGAAAAGCAAACTGAAACCCACTCCAGGTCTGGACGTCAGCCGGGTTGATGAACAGGGCAATCCGGACGTATACCGGCAATTCATTGATAAACTGGAGCGTGAACACTCCCTAGACGAAGCCATCACCGAGCCATTGAGTATGGATTGGCGAGCGGAGCAAGAGTGTCTGCCCAAGATGCTAGAAAAAGTGAAGGACGATCCGCAATACCTGCCTCGCGCCGGAGAGATAGTCCTGTTCGTACGTGAACTGCCGAAGCACACTACTATCGTCCGAAACCCTAAGACCGGGCACTTCCAGCTCTATGACCAGGCCAACAAGGCCTTCATCGGCAACCCTCAGTGGCAGGCAGGTCTAGTGGGACAGACACCTGTCGAGCAGACTGTCATCGACGACTTGGTGGAGGAGGGAGGTTCGGAGAAGCAGTGGAACGTGGCCTACAGTGGCGTCAGGGTGGAGCCTCTGCCTAATCTCAACAGCCCTGACAAGAGTCTGTCAAAGCACCACAGATACGTGCCGCTCCACTACACGAGGCCGTTTATACTATGGAAAGACTATCTTGCCAGCATCCCAGAGGAAGAATGGCATCCAACTATCCATAACGCGATCACGGCCGCGGCAACCATGTCTCTGATTGGCAAATACCGCTTCAGGGGAACATGGCCTGAGGCGTGGATCTATTGCCACGGTATCTTCATCGGACATGAGATGCTTGCCGTCGGAGATGCTGCGAGAGTGCGTCCTAGGGACCCGGATTCTCTATGTACAGACGTCATGATCATCTCCAGTATCCGACTCAAGCTCACGAACTTGGATCTAGCCTCGGGAAATGATTATGACGAGATGCGCCCTTATAATATTGAAGCCTTCATCTTCGGCAAGGCATACACAACCGAGCCGTCGCGATCCTTGAAGGAGTGGCTCTCTTTCAACGACGAAGACGATTGCCCTGAGATTATTCGCAGATATAGCGCCCACCACCCACTACATCCTCCTGGAAAGGAAATGATGATACCGTTTCCGAGGGTCCTGGGCAGAGTCTACGATGTAGACTCAATGCGCCTTTGGCTGCAGCCTTCTGATTCGGAGGGAGTCAATATTGTTCCCCTTCTCGACGCTGGTAGACAAGGCGTCCTGGAAGCTCGCGACTTCGCAAGAAAGCATGATCGGCGAATCGCGGAGTCACCGGGTTCCAGTTGGTGGTGGGCCGACAGCCGGGCAGAAGCTCTGGACCTGCACACGGTCAATGGGCACGAGGTCAGCAAGTACGACACGGAGCGCAAACCCAAGGAATGGCGCAGTCAGATCAAGGCCATACTCGAGGCGGAGGGAGAGCGGGACCGCGTGGAGCAGAGGGAGGCGCTACAGGGGCAGCGCAGTCTGAGAGCATTTAAGGCGGGCCCATTACAACTACAGCCGACTCGGGATCACAACATGACAGTCGGTGGTCTCTCGACAGCAGGTCCCAGCAGCGCGTCTGGTAGCTCGAGCTCGAAGAGGCCTAGCAATGTGATGGATCTTAGTGGCGAGGACGACGAAGAGGAAGACTCGAGACACAGAGAGTACTCGGTCGTCAGCCCGAGGGATGAGCAGAAGATGAAGAAGTCAAGGATTGCGGTCGTTATCAACCCGCGGAACACTTGAGGAAAGGTCATGGACATGACATGGGCGGATGGAGCAGGCCATCACTGTTTACTGCCGGCATAGTTGTCACTAGAACACTGGAGGGTTCCATCATGTCTGATCAAGTGGCGGGGAGGCGCAAGACATAATGGGCTGTGTAAAATAGCGTTGTCGTGCGTCATATGTGTAGAATATGCGTTACAGCCAAGCTCTACTTGAAGCATTCTTGTGTTGTAGTCAAATGCGCCGACCATGTATCCAACATACAGAGGCGGTGGGGGGTTGTTCAGTTGGACGGAGAAAGAGCCAGTACTGTCTGCACGGTGGGATGATAAAGAGCCATGCTGGTTTTTCGCTAGTATATGCGGGAATGAAGATTGTAAGAAATGGGTGAATTCATCGACCCTACTTGTAGATTCTATCAACACAAAACCCTTCTTGACGAGACTATATGCGAAAGCGATGAGATGGGACTCGTAGCTGCCGCATTGCACGTTATCTGCATTGGACGACGTGATTAGAGAGTTCAATGGTGCTTGTTGAATGTTTTCGTCCTCTGGGTTCTGGGTTCGCAGGGAAGGAGTTCCCAGTTGGGGGAGTGAGTATACATACTGCATTGGCTTTCGACATCTGAGACATAATATGAAGAGACAGCTGGCGCGGCACTTGGGCAATCATGGACCAAAGTGGATCCGGATTGCCTGTCGGTGAAGCACGCCCAAGGGAGTGGGGGCGTGGCTGCGTGGCTGCGCCCAGGAGGAAGCCACAGCTCAGCTGCTGTCCTAATTATTATTTATTGATTGACAGACGAACCTTGGAAGCATCCAGAGCCCTTTATAAGGCCATCACTCGCTCCACCAATTTCTCTCGCGATAGCAACTCGTTTCTCTAACACAGTAATTCTTCACCCACGTTCAATTGTTCAACCCCACCAATCATACCCCCTTGTTATTCATTCCACAACCCCGCTTCCATCATGGACGCCATCAAGGAGACCGTCAACACCGCCATCGGAGCCATCACCGGCGACAAGACCACCGCCCGCGAGCCCTCAGATCAACAATTGCAACAAGTGCGAGCCAAGTACGAGAAAGCCGGCCAAGAGCAAGTCTTCGCCTTCTACGACAAACTCTCCTCCGCCGAGAAGGCGGCCCTCTTCGAACAATTGTCCGACTTCGATCCCGAATACATCAATGAGCTCGCTGACAAGGCGCTGCATCCGCCGAAGACGGAGGCTACGGAGTCGACGCTCGAACCGCTGAGCCCCAGTGCGACATGCTCGGTGCTTGATTCCAAGGAGGAGGATCTGAAGAGATGGTACGAGCAGGGGTTGGACTTGATTGCGGAGAACAAAGTCGCTGTCGTGTTGATGGCTGGTGGGCAGGGGACACGGTTGGGTAGCAGTGCGCCTAAGGGATGCTATGATATCGGGCTGCCCAGCAAGAAGTCTCTGTTTCAACTGCAGGGAGAGAGGATTGCGAAGGTGGAGGAGCTGGCGAGGAAGAAGTCTGGCAAGGCGGATGTTACCGTGCCCTGGTACGTCATGACCAGTGGGCCTACAAGGGGACCGACGCAGAAGTTCTTCGAGGAGAATGGATACTTTGGGCTCAAGAAGGAGAATGTTGTCATCTTCGAGCAGGGCGTCTTGCCCTGTATCTCGAACGACGGCAAGATTCTGCTGGAGAGCAAGTCCAAGGTCGCCGTCGCGCCCGATGGCAACGGAGGCCTCTACCTTGCCCTCGTCAAGTCCGGCGTCGTCGCGGACATGGGCAAGCGCGGCATCCAGCACATCCACGCCTACTGCGTCGACAACTGCCTCGTCAAGGTCGCGGACCCGACTTTCATCGGCTTCTCCGCCTCCAAAAACGTCGACATCGCCACCAAGGTCGTCCGCAAGCGCAATGCAAAGGAATCGGTTGGCCTCATCCTGCAGAAGAACGGCCGTCCGGACGTGGTCGAGTACTCCGAGATCAGCGCCGAGGACGCCGAAGCAAAGGACCCCAATGACCCCGAGCTGCTGAAGTTCCGTGCCGCCAACATTGTCAACCATTACTATTCGTACAGCTTCCTGGAGAGTATCCCGCAGTGGGTGAAGAAGCTACCGCACCACGTCGCGCGCAAGAAGATCCCCTACGTTAACACGGAGAATGGAGAGACCATAAAGCCCGAGAAGCCCAACGGTATCAAGCTCGAGCAGTTCGTCTTTGATTGCTTCCCCTTCCTGACGCTCGACAAGTTTGCGTGCATGGAGGTCAAGCGTGAGGACGAGTTCTCGCCGCTCAAGAATGCGCCCGGGACGGGTGAGGACGACCCGGATACGAGCAAGAAGGATATCATGGCGCAGGGTGCCAAGTGGCTGCAGGCCGCGGGTGCCGTCATTGTCAGCGAGAACGGGGAGGGTGTCGAGGTGTCGCCGTTGCTTTCCTACGTAAGTATCCTAGTTACTCTGTCCCGTAGGATACTATGTTGATGCTAATCTTTTGTTAGGGCGGCGAGGGCCTCGAGTTCGTCAAGGCCCGCACCATCAAGGCGCCCGCGTATATCTACAAGCTGGAGGGAGAGGCTTAGACAGCCCTTGTCTGCAGTCGTTTTTGGGACGAAAATGAGGAAGTCTGGGAATTATGTCTTAGATGGAAGCGGGGGAATCCTGATAGGAGAGCTTGTTCGTGAACTTCGCGCAATGATGCGAAGCACCAACACTGCCTAGAGGGATTCAAACAGTGGTAATGGAGGGTGGTACGACAGCAGAGTAGGCAGGGAGCTTGCATGCTTGAATGCTTGTCTTAATGCAGGAACATGGGACGGACGGCACGTGCCAAGGGGATACTTTTATAGAGATCCTTCTATCAAGCAAGATTCTGATTGACAAACGGGCGTACACGAAGATAGGCGCACGCGCTCCTGGGACTCCTGATATAACCTACCTACTGTGGTATGGCTAGTCTCGTTGGTCCTTGATCAGTGAGCACCAACCTTGAATGCAGGGCGAAGGTCACGTGTTCCGACCTTCACGTCCCTTTCCGATTTGAGTGCGGATATCCTTTAGAGGCGAAAGCGGAGGTGCAGGTGACGGTCAATGTAATAAAGCACTTGCCCTCATGCATGCATATCATAGGCAAACGCTGCAGCCACACAATACGATAGTCGAGTCCAAACGACAGTGGCATACCATATAATAAGTAGTGTAGATACGACGTGGCACTCTGGTAGCTATTACCAACCGTACTGTCCGGCACCAAGTCGAGAGCAATCTATCCTCGGTCGACAAAATCGTGGGCCATCCGATTATTCTTTCCCACCTTCCTATGGTGCGCTTTTCACAGGGCGCGTCATTGTCATAGGCCTCGGGAAAGTGTGTGGCAGTGGAGTATGGGGGCGTAGAAATAAGGGCCCTCGGAAAGCAGACCCGTACCCGTCAGGCGCAGGCGCTGCACAGCTCAAGTGCTGCAGGTGCGCAGGTGAGGGGTGCAGGGACCAGCCCCCGAAAGAATCCTTTTTTGCCTGGCAGCAGGCCCTCCCTCCCTCCCCCTTCGCTCCACCACACGGTCCATTATATACCGCATCACGCCCGCACCCTTTCTTGTTGGAGGACGGTCGCAGCTGTTGTCGCTGAGGGAAGGTTTGGAAGTCTGATTGTACGTGAGCGCCCTGCACTCTCGCTACCCCGCCTACCCACACCCTTTCTCCTCCCCGTGCGCGCCGCCCTACGCGCAGTCAGTCACCGCTCCCTGCGCTGCGGAACCCCTCCCCTCCCTCGAGTCCACCCGCTATGAGACACGTTCCACTGACCCGGCTTGCGCAGGTGAAGGATAGGAACAGTCGTCGAAGTAATCGAAGAGGTACTGCGCGCCCTCCCTTCCTCTATCGCTCTCTACACCGCTCGAGGCCATCGTCGCCACCTTCCGAGCGCATTTCAAACCTCGTCGTTGCCCCCAGCTAGTTTTCTCTCACCCCTCGCTCGCCACCCCTTTTTCCGCAACGACATCCATATCATATACTCATACCGCTCTCACAGATATCTGCGGAGGAATTCATCATGTCTTCTCTTTCTCGCCGAGCGTGCTTTAAGTGCGGAAATATCGGGCACTACGCCGGTATGTTGCCTATGTACCATCCATGACCACGGTTGCGGTATCGCAATGCGATGCGCTTGGAACCAATGTCGCAAGACGTTGCCTCTGACCGCGTGCTCATTGTAGCGCAATCGCCGTCATGGTGGAACGGTGATTGCGAGATTGTGCGACTGACGACATTGTGCAGAGGTGTGCTCGTCTTCCGAAAGGCTTTGCTATAACTGTGAGTGATATTCTGTTCCTTCTCGGCGCAATGCAAAGACTGACTCAATATGTAGGCAAGCAGCCAGGACATGAGTCTAACGGATGCCCGCATCCGCGCACTACTGAGAGTACGTTGCACAGCTCTACTTGCGATCCTCTGACCGCTGCCTCTCGTTGCCCGTTGCCTTCCTGGCCGTTCTACAGCTATCGCCGTTTGCGAAAGCCGGCCCTTCACGCTCGATCGCGAACCTCAGTACCCGTGAGGCGCAAGGCATTGGGCAACGAGAGTGCAGCGAATCGTTGCTTGGATACCATGAGACGTTGCAGCCGTTCACTTGCTAATTATCCCGCAGCGAAGCAGTGCTATCACTGCCAGGGACTTGGGCATGTCCAGGCCGATTGCCCGACTCTTCGTCTGAGCGGTGGTGCTACCAGCGGTCGCTGCTATAGCTGCGGCCTCGCTGGACATTTGGCCCGCAATTGCCCCAACCCGGGGGCTGGTATGGGCCGCGGAGCTGGTCCCGCTCGTGGTGGTTATGGTGGCTTCAGGGGAGGTTACGCTGGCGGGCCTCGCCCGGCCACTTGCTACAAGTGCGGAGGACCGAACCATTTTGCTCGCGATTGCCAGGCCCAGGCCATGAAGTGCTATGCCTGCGGCAAGTTGGGTATGTGTGGTGACAAATCCTTCGCCATGGCTTCCTCTGACCTAGACTAGGACACATCTCCCGCGATTGCACTGCTCCTAACGGAGGCCCGCTCAACACTGCAGGCAAGACGTGCTACCGATGCGGCGAGACTGGCCACATTTCCCGCGACTGCACTCAGACCGAGGTCAATGGCGATGCGAACGCTTCTGCCGCTGTTGCGCCCCCTGCGGCCGCGACTGCCGTTGCTTAGATCAGTACCTGAGATTATAACAGTCGGTTGATTGATTCCATGCAATGCCAATCCTTCCATGCGGATCACGTCTTTGATCAGCCAACTTCCTGATTACTGTTTTCGTCCCTCTCCTTGGCTTTTTTGAGTATCTGACTTCACAATCGTTTCTTCGAGCACCTGCATGCCTGATACCCGGCACAACCTCTTTTACGCAATTCACGACTTACTAGCACAACTACCTGACTTCAAGCACGCACGTTTCTTCACGACATCCTTTACGCATATACCCCGGACTTCACAAACCGACCCAGACCAACGTTATATCCCTTTCTAAAGCAAAAATGTAAAACTAAAGTGAAAAATAACGAGTACGGGAGTAAGGCAAATAACCTCATTTTCGGTCTCCGATCGGCTTTCGTTACTTCCATCCAGAGTCTTTTTGGATGGGAATGGTAGGACTACCATACGGAACGGAGAACGAGTTTGACGCCTTTGTCCATCGTTTGATTCTCGAGCGGCGGCAACAGCGGAGATGGCGGCAACATGGGAAGTATCCGAAAACAGAAAAAGTGAAAAAAAAAAAAAAAAAAGTTGGAAAAAGAACTAAACCGAACTAAAACGAACAAAGGGTATCGACGATTTGAGAACTGGGAGAGCGGGCGTGCGTACGAGATGGATGGCAAGGCTCGAGTATGGGGGAAAAGCGCATTGGAGGTATCGCATGGAGAAATGCAGTGGGTTGGTGGCAACTGTGAGTGTGGTTTGTTTGTGTGGTAGGGTTGCGTCGGGATTTGTCTGGTTTTGTTTGGCTGTTGAATTGTATAGACGAGTTGGTCTTTTTGAGAGCATTCGGGCGTGTGAGTGGTGTGTTGTAGGTGATGTGGTGTGATGTGCTTTTTACGATGGTGGTGATGGTGGTGGTCCTTGGGGAGTCAGGCGTTTCCTTGAGGGCGCAGGTATCTTCGAAGTGGTGAATTTATATACCCCGGGTCGGTCTTTTTGAGTTGACATGCTTTACAGGTAACATCTTTGGAAAGAATCAACCACTCATTCATCCATTTTTCCAATCTTTATTCCAGAGACACTCTGCAAATGGACGAATGACGGCAATGTGCCACACGATGCAGCACGCTACCCGTTCTCTCTCCTGTTGTCTATGGAGTTACTGTACGGTGGTGCATCTGTGCTTGTCATCGTCTATACGTCCTCACAGGCCGTATCAGGACCGTGAGGAGGATTGATTGAAGTGCAGCGATGCACGTGGTCCCGCGTCTCGACGTCCGGAGCGCGTTGCGCGTTCTTGCCTGCGGAGGCAGGAGAGAAGGGGTGCGTGGCTTCCGTTCTTGTCCACCTGCATAGCTCTCAGCAGTCAGTGGGGAGCAGGCTTCGTTTCTCTTCCCGGTTTCTTTCTGCGTTCTTCCTCCTCCTCCTTCTTTTACCTTTCCTCTTCTCTGGGGTTCTCGTCTATCGTCTTTGCTACGCTCGTTCGAGTCGTGCTTTTATCGTCAGCTGGGTTTAGTTAGTATTTGCTATTTAAGTCAACGTTTCGGTGGCCACGGTGAGTCGTGGGTGGGTATTTGCTCTGTTTAGGAGCAAAGAGAGGAGATACCTGGGCGGCGAGTGGACGGTATGGCGCCTTCGAGCGTGGCTAGCGACGATCCTGATAATGATGTATGTATGGTCCTGTGCTAATCTGAAGAGGAAGACAGAGAAGGCAAAGAGTCGGTCGGAGTTGGAATTGATTGGGGGTCGATTACCAGACTACAAATCACTGACGGTTGCACAGGACGGCTTCATCGTGGACATCGACGCCATCCAGGCACACGGCATCGGCGCCGTGGATATCGCAAAACTGAAGGCGAATGGGTATTACACGATTGCTGTACGTCTACAACTGGTTCCAGGTTGTCTGGTATGGTTGGTATGTGGGTTGTGCTGATTGATGGATAATAGGCTGTCCACGCGGCTACTCGACGGACGCTGTTGAAGATCAAGGGGTTCAGTGAGATCAAGGTGGAGAAGGTGAAGGATGCTATTGCAAAGTGTCAGGTATGATTTCATCCCGGCTCTTCCACATACGCATTCGGTGTGGTGATACGAATCTGATGTGAATAGCCTGCTGGAGGGGGTTTCCAAACAGCTCAGGAGCTGGGACAGCAGCGGAAGCGCGTCATGAAGATCTCGACGGGGAGTAAGCAGTTCGACAGTATTCTCGGAGGGTAAGTCCGAATCTCGGTCAACTGCAAGTTGGGGCTCGGGAATTCTGACTTGCTACAGTGGATTCCAGACCATGAGCATCAGTGAGGTGTTTGGAGAGTTTCGTTGCGGCAAGACGCAGTTGTCGCATACAATGTCGGTGATTGCTCAACTGCCTAAAGATCTGGGTGGTGCGGAGGGAAAAGTGGCGTATATCGGTATGGTAACTCCTACAAGATACCAACCGTCTCTCTGCTCGGACGGGCTGACAAGTCGCAGACACAGAAGGCACCTTCCGACCCGAAAGGATCGCCCAAATCGCAGAGCGTTTCGGCGTCGATCCGGAGACTGGTAAGGACCCGTTCAATCCCCTTCTGCTAGGCAGGTGTTTCTCTGACGACCTCTCAGCGCAGGAGAACATCACCTACGCGCGAGCCGTCAACTCGGAGCACCAACTCGAGCTCCTCAACAAAGTCGCAGAGTTCTTCGTCAGCAACGAGTACCGTCTCCTCATCGTCGACAGCATCATGGCCCTCTTCCGCGTCGACTATGTCGGGAGGGGGGAACTGAACGAGAGGCAGCAGAAGTTGAATCAGTTCTTGTCCAAGTTGACGCATGTCGCTGAGGGTATGGATGATCTCCTCACTTCCCCTCACCGCTTCTTTTCCCTTCATTGATAAGCAAAAAAGCTGACCATCTGTCTCTTTACAGAATTCAACGTCGCCGTCCTCATGACCAACCAAGTCCAAAGCGACCCCGGCGCCAGCGCTCTCTTCGCCGGCGCAGACGGCAGGAAGCCCGTCGGCGGACATATCCTGGCGCACGCTTCGGCGACGAGGATCCTGCTCCGCAAGGGGAGGGGTGAGGAGCGCGTGGCTAAGATTCAGGATTCCCCTGGTGAGTCGGAAGTGTCACCGTAGAAGGTGATAAGGTAGTGGAGTATGGGCTGACTGCAGAGTTAGATATGCCGGAGAAGGAGGCTACGTATATTATTACGAATGGGGGCATCAATGATCCGGAGAAGGTTTGAGGGGGGAGTGTGATGGGTATCCAGGGATGATGGGATCTAGGAATGGTGGGCGAGGGAGTCATGTTGGTGCGATTAACTTCAATGATCTGGCAAATGTGGGCGGGATGATGTACCTGCGGTGTGCAGGACGTTCAAAGGCAGTCGAGAGAATTCTTTGGTGCGGCCTTCCAAAACATATCCATGTCGCAGAGCAATCAATCTGTCCAGGTAAACAGTGAGGGCGTCATTCATCTTCCACAGGCCAGAGGAGGCACAAGAACACGTAGTTCAGCAGAAGCTGGGTATCATGTTTCCTTTCCGCTGCCTCTCCGTTATATATATTTTCCAGACAATCCCATACCGGCCCATGCCAGCCCATACTCACCCATCCCAACCAACCCATATAACCCCAGACGAAAAAACCAAAAAGTATCATTGACAAAGGGGTATCTCAACAAAAAGCCGCAATGGAATGAGACCCATCAAACTCCTCCTCCTTCTAGCCCTACGACGCCCCCTTGAACCAATCCGCACTCGCATCAACCATGAAATTCGTGATATTGAACTCATTCCCACCTGCATTCCCGAGTTCTGTCCCAGCACCACCACCAGTACCACCAGTACCATCTCCTCCCGCACCGTTATTCCCATCCCCATGCAACCTCATTCCCTCACCAGCACCACCATACACCGACGACGTCTGCCCCGTACCTCCATCCACAGCCATGGACACCGGCAGCCGCGGCATATTGAAAAAGTCGAATACATCCAGGTACTCGAACTCGCTTGGTCCCGGTGTCCTTGTTGTATACGCACTAGGCGCCGCACTCGCAGGTCGCGTGCCTGCTCCTCCTGTTCCCCCTCCACCTGATCCTCCTCCACCTCCACCAACCCTCGGCTGCCTACTAATCAAAAACTCCAGATCAAAAGCACACCTCCTCATATCCGCCAGGATCCTCACACTCCCCGGCGTCTCCCTCTCCCTCTCCCTCTCGCTGCCCACTCCTTCCCCTCCACCTGCTCTGCCACTACCATTACCACCGCCACTGCCGCCGGCCCCACCGCCCACCTCACGCCGACTCTCCTCATACTCGTGCAGCACGCGCGTCAGCAGCTCCGCATACCGATTCGCGACGTCCCACCAGCGGCCCATGTCCCGCAGCGTGGCGACGAGGAGGTGGATGCTGGGGTCGACGTGGTGCGCGATGGTGCTGCCGTGCACGAGCAGGACGCGCGCGGCGACCCAGACGGAGAAGGCGAACGGCGGGCCGAGTTTGCTCAGTAAGGTTGCAGGGGGAGGCGAGGAGGAGGCGCTGGTGGTGGTGGAGTTGGAGGACGAAGGCGAGGGCGAGCGCACGCAGGTGCAGAGGGAGACGAGGGATTCGACGGCTGAGAGGCAGCGTTGGGATGCGCTGAAAGAGGGGGTGAAGATGGGGGAGCGGTGGGTCGGGTAGGCGGCTGAGGAGTGCAGGCGGATTACGGTTCTGGTTCGCTGTTAGATCTACAGTATGTCCGCATGTTGTGTCAAGAATGGTTCGGTCGTACGTGTGGAAAGCTGCATGCAGCATCACCAACCCCGAGTTCAACGCCTTGGCCCCAGTCATTGAGAAGATCCTCAAAGAGTTACCGTACTCGGCGGGAAGTTGGTATTTCCACTCTTCGATGGCGCGGTCCAGCTCCTTATACTCCCGTTGCCACCTTTCCACATCCGCCAACTTGGAAATATCTACGGGCCTCTTCAAAAACGCGTGGACCCTGCTCAAGATGCCCAAAATCTCTATATAATAGGAGAAGGTGCCCAAGTTCTCCGGCCGATTCATGTTGTAATCTGAGCGGCTGGGCGTGCGGAACCAGCGCGTCTCGACGGGAACGTTGCGGGCAAAGAGGTCGTCGCGGCAGGGAAGGCGGCGGTCGATTTCCGCGTCGTCGAGGGCGAAAGAGAAAGCGGTTGCGACGGTGGCGTAGCGGTCGAGAAGGTAGATCATCCAGAAGAGGCGGCGGCGGGATTCTTCTTCGATCCAGGATTGGGGTTCAGGGAGGACGATGGCGCGGAGGGTGTAGACTGGGGGTGTTAGCAGCGGCTCGTATCGTGAAGCTCAAAAGGCAGCAAAGTGGCTTACTGCAACTGGTCAGCATGGGAGTTCATTTAGAGCACGCCCGGATCACACACCTAGAGGCATATTGAGGGGCTATCAAAGGAGAATGCGTCTCCATGGACAGTCCCAGCTGGACGACAGATCGGGTAATCAATGCCAGCAGATTCCAGCCTGGAGGGCCATTGGAGGAACCTATAACGTCCAGGGCAAGAATAACGAGAGCCTGCAACGACTTGACCGAGCTATTTTCAATGCCATAAAGGAGAACCTGCTCTTTTGAGTGTTTGTGATAGTGGCTCCTCTTCTCCGCGTTCAACCGTGGGTCCTGCGAGAACTTCAACGTCGTCGCTACTATGGCGTGCAGTACGATTCGGTCCGCCTCGTCCAATGTGGCCTCGCCAAAGAGCGAGTTCAAGGTTGTCTGGCGATGCAATATGGGGCACCAGGGGTATATGTGCTTGAAGAAGAGGTCCACCAAGCCGTACAATAGGTCGTAAGGAGGGAAGTCGTCGTCGGCATGGCCAATGGAAGCATGATTGAACGCGACGGATAACTGGGCAGGCGCAAAGCCGTTGCCGTGAGCGTAGGGATCGCGCTGCAAGTGTCCCAATGGGTGGTGCAGCTCCTCGGTGGGAGCATGGTACCCATTTATTGGTTGAGTGTGCGTCGCTTCATGTAACCCGCCGGCCAAGCTGGAGTGGACAGTATGCTGTGGAGGGAAACCGGATGGTTTCTGAAGGAAGAGGGCAGTTTCTGGTCGGGGGATATGCGTGGTCTGCAGTATTGGGGGAGCGCGGAAGACGGAGCCGTCGTGAACGGGAGAGGTTACTACTCCATCCCAACTATCCCACTCGCTCTCTCCGCATGCTCTTCCCCAGCCATTTTGTTCCCCCTTCCGCTCCCTCCGCCCAAGAATCTGCTCGGCCTCAGGCCCAGTATGATTGTCGTCGACGGCGGGGTGGTTATGGTTCCGGTTCGACGACAGTTGATTTATCTGCTTTTGTTGTAGCCCGATGGCAGCTTCAAGCTTGTCTTAAAGATCTGTCAGCTCCCCAGGGCACTGTACGCAATTGCGATTCTCATCACTCACCCAGGCGTGCTTCGAGCTCCCTCCCGTAGCCGGCACGCAGACCTGGCTTCTTCCGCGGCAGGTAGATGCACTGGGAGCGATTCTTCATACACCAACCGCATGCCGGTTGGCTACGGTCGCATTTGACCTTGCGCTGCTTGCACGTCTCGCAGCTCACGGAGAGGGGCCGTTTGCGCTTCGCTGCGCCAGTCTGGCTGCGGGAGATGTCGTCACCACTCGAGGCGTCGCCGGCGCTCCACTGATCATGGTCATTGTCATCGTCGGCGCGTGGAGAATGCCGAGAGGGTTTCGAGTTGGTATCTGGGCTGACATAGGCCTTGACGGCATGCTGGCTGTGGGAGGTGTCCATGTTGGAGAGATCCAAAAGGTGCTAGCTAGTGGGGAGCGAGATCTGGCGTCGGCGTAGTAATGTCCGAGCCGCGGCTAAATAACCCCTCACAGTTCCTCCGCACACGAGTACAGAAGGCGAGGAGGAGTTGTATAGATATATTAGCACTTGAAACCGACTTTGTAGGGCCCTTATTATGTACGGAGTAGACAAGGTAATAATTGAAGCTGTAGCTTTCTAATAACCTAAACAGCTTGCTAGCAGTAAGCTTGCGACGCGCAGGTAATCGAATCTACAAAAAAGGAAGTGCACATGTACTCCGTACAGCGGCGTTCACTTTGGCGGCAAGGGAGAAAGCCGCAGCGCCCCTACTACGCCTCCCCGTCCTCCCGTTTTATTATAAGCAAGGCATGCTAACTTAGAACGCCCCAGTATAACCGCCAAACAGGACTCCAAATCCTCCCTTATAAACAAAAAGGAAAATGCCCCTCTTTCTATTTGGGAAAGCCTCCAAACCCCAGCCAACTTTTTTTGGACTGCACACCTCAAACCCCAACAAGCTATTTCAGAACCCTTAGGCCGCCCTCATCGCATCTGCTGCCCATGGGCAGCCGACCCGGGGACGCAGTGATATGCGCAGAACCGGCGTGGGCGATCAATCCTGGCACTTCACTCGCCACATCTGACCGCCTTGTCTCACTCCCGTGCAACCCTCCCGAGAACGACAGCCGCTCGCACAACATCTCCAGCTGTCGAGATCCACTTCTTCCTTTGCGTGTCTTTGGCCACTGCTCGCGGAGAGATAAGCCGAGGGGAGCACTAGCTTCCACCATTGGCACCCTCAGCGGTGTTTGCTGCCCACCATGTCACCAAGTATATAGGACTGTTGCTCCACTCCCATCAGCTCACCCACTGTGTCTCATTATCTAACTTCTTTCTCCGTCACCCCGCCGCATTAGCTTTTGATTCGTAGCCTTCTCTCTCCTTTTTGCACAATGCCTTCGTCTACCGTAGAGGTTGCTGCTGTGCGCGCCTTTCCCACCATCAAGCATGTCCGCACCTTTCTCACACAGGGACCCGGCTCCGGCGGCGACTATCACAATGTACACGGAGGCCATTGGCTGATAGACAGCAAGATATCGACGCCCATGTCGCAGTATGAGACCTACAGGAAGTCGCGGACCAGTTGGGGGATCAATGTCCTGGGCTCTTTCTGCGTCGAGCTTGAAGCTTCAGATGGGACGAAAGGGTTTGCTACAGGGTTTGGAGGACCTCCAGCATGCTGGCTGGTCCAGGAGCACTTTGAAAGGTTTCTGATAGGTCAAGGTAATACAGTTGGCCCCTTATCTTTATATTCAAAGCAAACGTCTTGTACCCATGACCATAACTCCTCTCAATCTACCGCCTAGTGACTTGTCATCACCACTCCCCTGTTTACCAATGTCTAACACCAGCTCCTAAAGATCCCCGTAATAGCAACCACCTGTTCGAACAAATGTACCGCGCTTCTCTCTTCTACGGCCGGAAAGGACTTCCCCTGGCTACTATTTCCGTCATCGATCTGGCCCTCTGGGATCTGCTTGGCCATATACGCAACGAACCCGTCTACAAGCTGATTGGAGGCTCCACTCGTGATTCCCTCTCCTTCTATTGCACCGGCCCCGCTCCTCTCGCAGCAAAAGAAATGGGCTTTTTCGGAGCAAAAGTCCCTCTTCCCTATGGGCCAGGCGAGGGCCAAGAAGGGTTCAAGAGGAATGTCGAATTTCTTCGAAAACATAGAAAAGACGTCGGCCCTGACTTTCCCCTGATGGTGGACTGCTACATGAGCCTGAACGTCAGCTACACCATTGACCTGGTTGCTGCGACGAAAGACCTGAATCTGAATTGGTGGGAAGAATGCCTTTCCCCGGATGACGTATCGGGTCAGGCACTTCTGAAACGCGCCCATCCGACCGTCAAGTTCACGACGGGCGAGCACGAGTACTCGCGCTATGGATTTAGGCAGCTAATCGAGGGACGAAATGTTGACATTCTGCAGCCCGACGTCATGTGGGTAGGCGGACTCACTGAGCTCCTCAAGATATCTGCACATGCGGCTGCGTACGATATCCCCGTTGTACCTCATGCAAGCGGACCGTACTCGTACCACTTTGTTGTCTCTCAGCAGCATTCACCATTCCAGGAGTATCTAGCGAACAGTCCGGATGGGAAGAGTGTGATGCCCGTTTTCGGGAGTCTCTTCTTGAACGAGCCCGTTCCGACAGGAGGGGTACTAGATGTGAAAGAGCTGGATAGGCCGGGCTTTGGTCTGATAGTGAATCCACAGGCTGGACTCATTGATGCAAAAGGTATCCTCAATCCTAGGATTGAGAGACCGTTGGCGACGGTTGGAAGGGAGGCACAGGGTGATGAGACGAATGGACACGCATGATTGGTTGAAAGTTTGATACTCCTAGGGGGGCATTTCAAATGGCTACGGGAAGGGCTGCATTGGGAAAAGGGTACGAAGTAATGGGCCTGGAGATTGTTTTTTCATCGTCAATTCCGGCCAAGCATAGGGGCACTATAGTCACTTGATCACTCCGCAGTTCATACCTCCCCAGCGGCCCCTCCCGGTTCCCAGAAATTCAAAGGAAATGGCTTGACTGAGATAAAGAAACAGGGCAGTGATGGATGGCCACTGGTGCTTTCGACATATCGATATCACCAGACGCCTATCGCTAGATTGGGCCTAGCGCAACGGCGCGGCACCTCAATTGTCGTCATCCTTCCCCCGCTGCCAACACTAACGTGTATTCCAGACTCCTTACTCCTCCCTGAGAGTAGTTCCCCAGAACACACGTACGAGCGTCCGTCCCAGTCAGCTCTGTATGGCTACTACCGAGGCCGGCCTTGGCTTTTCCCAACCGTCTCCACGCCCTCATGCGTCAGTCGGGAGGCCAGCAAACCAAAGGCCAGCTCGGCCACCCGGCCACCCGGCCATCTCCACCGTGGCCCGCTTATTACCACAGTACTGAAGCTCCTTCTCCCTCTGCAAAAGGTAGTTCACATGGTACAACTCTCTTGAGGGCCTGCCGATTCCGTTCCAATTCAACTTTGACATCAATGCTCTCCTAAGGCCTATCTTCTTCTCCATATCGACTTCTTTCCTTCCCTTTTATTCTTCTCTTTCTCCTTCTCATCCTTCCTCGACCATCTCATCTGTGCCCGTCTCCACCTTTTCCAGTATCCTCGGGCCCCCTCACAGCTCACCACGTCATCCTACGAATTGGCATCGAGCCATCAACAATACAGCGAATTGCGTGTGTACTGCTACCAATAGAACCCCAGCTCTCCTTCGCGGCTCTAGCATCCAACCTATTCGTTCGCCCATCGCCATGAGCTTCCTCAACATACCTCCAGAGACTGTGAACCCAGAAGAAGACGAGGGCCATGATCGCTCTCACTCCACCACTGGCTTCGAAAACATCCTGCCAGCCTCAATATCCCGAATGGATCGATCCCTATCACCGATTCCAGGACTGGACAGTTCCGTCACAGAAAGTCTCCTCTTCGACTTTGCCCGTTCGCGATCCGAGAGTCCCAAAATTCCCGAGCGCAGAGACAGCAAGGTGTCCGCCCCCGAGGCGAATGTCGAGCTGTTTACGCCCATCTCTGGATGGGCCCATTTCTCCCTGGTTGCGAAGCAGCGCGATGCATTGCGTTTGGAGGTCAAGGAACGGGAGCTTGCCGCGGCGCGGGCAGATGCTTCGCTGGCTTCGCTGAGACGGTTAGCTTTTAGGTTGGCGGCGAATATATGTGTCAAGGAGAAGAGGATTGAGAGACTCAAGCAGAGTTTGCAGGAGGGAGAGCAGAGGACAAGGCAGACTTTACAGATTCTGGAGACTGCTTCGAGGTTGACGCGGCAATGTAGGTCCCGATTTGGCTGAGGTTCGAACCGTACTAATTCCGGCTTTTGCTTAGACGCCTCACCAAACCTCAAGACTCGGAAACGTTCCAAGAAGAAACGGCTCTCGAAGACCGCATCATCACACCCGCTCGGGCACGAAGGCCTACAATCAGGACCGCAGGATACTACACAAGCAAACGACCTGACTGGGTTGTGGGACTATGTTGGACTTCCATATAGCGGAGACTACATGCATGTGTTCGACGAACAAATGGAACACGCCCGTTGCGAAATAGAGCAGGCTCTCATCGCATGCCGAGACCGCGTTGAGGCATTGCAGTCTGAGTGTTTGCGAAGCAAGCAAAAGGCCAAAACGCTTCAGAACAGCCAAAAAGCTGCCAATGAAGAGATGGACGGATATCGGTTGCGTATAATCAGCTTGGAGAAGCACAAAGCAGACAGTGACAGTACCATCCGTTCGGTGCGATCTCAGCTTTTCGAGGCGCAGAAGTCGGAGAACGAGCTAAAGTCCCAACTCGACAAGAAAAGCGAAGCGCTTAAGGAGCTCGAAGAGACGAAGGCGGCCGGTTCTGACGAAATCGGATTTCTGCACAAGTCTCACGCCGAGCTCGACGAGACGCTTCTCGAACGTCAGAATATCATAAGCACGCTGGAAACAAGCATCAATGAGCTGGAAGACGAAGCCACTCTGCTGAAGAAGAAAATCAACGAGTCAGAGGAGCGCCAAATTTGTGACCATGACGGGAGCCGCTCGAGATTGGAAGGGATCGCGGGAAACAAGAGGGATGCCGTGAGCATACTGGAGCAAAAAGTGGCGTCTTTGGAGGGCCAAATCCAGAAATATACGGAAAAGATCAAATCCTTGCGGACGGAAGGATCTCTCCTGCGCGACGGTCTCAAGACCTCTGAGAATCTGCGCAAGCAGGCTGAGAATGAACTGGAAGTCGTCCGACGCGAGAGTCTTTCCTATCAAGGTGCTGGAGATGAGGCGGGTAAAGAGTTCGAGAACAACGAATACGTGGGCAAGCTAGAACAAAGCGTAGGATCGTTGGAGCAACAGCTCAAAGAGACCTCCGACAAACTCCATTCAGCTAACCAGGAAGCGGAATTTCTCCGTGACGACCTGAAAGCCTCCGAAGAGCTGAGAAAAGAGGCAGAGGCTGCACTGGCGAAAGTGCGAAATCATAGCGCCGACATCGAGACGCTCGAGAATAAGCTAGCCGTTGCAAAGGACGCCATCAAGCACCTTCAACTGGAGCTAGAGCGTACCCAACTCGTCAAGGCGGCCCAGGAGCAAACGCTCAGGAAGACGCAAGAGAAGCTACAGAAGGAGACTGAAAATAAGGATAGGACAGAGGCCGAACTCAAGGTCTTGACCACCTTTCACGAGAATCTACGAACCGACCTGCACAGAAACCATGAGAAGCTGGCTGGTGCGCATCAGAGTATGTCCAAGCTGGAGGAGGAGATTAAGGAACTGCGGCACGAGAAATCGTCGCTGAAAATGGAGTTGGAGGACATGACAAAAGTGACTGAGACGTTGCGAGGAGATTTGGGCACCCATGGCGATCGCTCTGCTTCTCTTGAGAAGACTATCCTCGACCTTCGTGAAGAAGTGAAGAGGTTGGAAGCGTCGCAGTCAAATCTGCAAACAGAAGTGAATCGAGCCAATGAGGCTCAGGATAGTTTACAGGGGGCCTACAAGACTGTCCGACAGGAGTTGCAAGAGGCCAAAAATGCGACGGAGTCACTTCAGGCTTCTCTGAACTACGCTCAAGACTCCAAGGCCAAGATTGAGCAGGAACTCCAGACTGCCATCTCCCAACTCAAGGAGTCCGAAAAGGAGAATATGTCGCTCAAGCAAGGAGTCCGTGTAGCGGAAGGCTCGATGAGCGAGCTGCGTGAGCAGATTCGGACAGTTCAGAACGAGCTCGATCGGTCCAGGAAGGAGAATTCTTCGCTGCGAGAACGAATCACCGAGACCCAGCGGGCAAATTCTGAACTATACATGGATGTTCAGAGTTCAAAGAACGAGGTACTAGCCATGGAGGTGGCCATGGACGAGTTACGAAAGGAGCTCGAGTCCGCTGAACAGGAAAAGTCGGATCTGCAGCGGGAGGTTCAACGGCTTGGGCAGTTGAACGACGAAGCAAAGCAGAGTTTACAAGCTCTTCTCGAATTGGAAAAGCGGGCCGCTATCGAGAGCGAGAAGGAAGAGCAGGCGAACCTCGAGCAGATTGCCGTGCTGACCTGGTCCATTGTCGAACTCCAGGACCAGCTGGAAGAAGCCCGCGATTCGGAAGATAGGAGGAAGTATCTACTGTCCGAGTTCCAGGATCGCCTAATCCAGTCTAACAAGTCAGAGAATGAGCTGCAAGAGCGAATCATCCAGATGGAACGCGCGAAAAAGGGCGTTGACGAGCATTTAAAGCATGTCCTGGCAGCGAAAGCAGAGGCTTTGGCACGGTCCGAGGCTATAGAGAAGGAGTACAAGAATAAAGTCGCGACTCTGGAAACCTCGTTGACAAAAGCCCAGGAAGAGTTGCACACATCGCAATCATGCGCGTCAGATATGCGTAAAGAGCTCCATGAGTTACGCACCTGCAAGGCCGAAATGGGCGGCCGCCTCCAGGAGCTGTCAACCCACAACGACAGAATCGAAACAGATCTCCACCACGCGCAAACGCGCCTCGCGGAAACGGGATCCGAGACCAAGATCGCGACAGCCAAGTTTCAAAAGGCCGAATCGAAAATTGAAACCCTGCAGCAGAAATGCAAGAACTACGTCGTGAGGGAGGAGGAGATGGGCCAGCGCCTCGCCGCCACGGAGGCGCAACTCAAAGCCGTAAAGGAGAGCAATGAGCGTTTAAGCGGCTTCCTGGAGAAGATGGAGCGGGATGTGGGGATTGCGGAGGAGGCGGCGCAAGTGAGCGAAACGCGGCTTGTTGAGTTGGTCAAGGAGTCGGAAGGGAAGCTCGCTGCGCTCGAAGAAATCAAGGGCGAATATAAGAATCGACTCTCTACCCAAGTAAAGGAGCTCGATACCCTCAGAAATGAGAATGCATCCCTGCGCAGCAAACTCGAGGAACAAAGCGCACATCTCTCTACGCTCGAATCCAAGGAACAGCGACTTTTGTCCAGCCTCAGCGGCAAGGACGCCGAGATCGCCGGACTCAGCGCCAGTCGTACCGAGTTCGTGCAGAGCCTAAAGGAATTGGAGGAAGAAGTTAATACGCTAAGGAAGGACAAACATGCGCTGGAGGAAGTTCTCGTCAGGCTTAGGGCGGAGACCCAGCAATTGCAGTCTCTAAGTGAGGAATCCAAGCCAGCGGGGCAGCATGTTAGAGGTATAAAACGGGACAGTGTTGTGCAACCCTATGGTGAAGGGGAACAGGAGGAAACCGACGACAGAATGGAGGGAGAAGGAGTCGTCGTGGCCGGGCCCGGAAAGCCCCTTAGTAGGAAGCACGATTTGGAGGGGATTCCGCCGCCGTGAGTTCTTCCTTCAGCTGTGATTAAGACGGACTTTACTAACACATTTCACAGACAAAAGCAACACGCCGTCCTGCAAAAGCGGGCTCCGACTACCCCCAGCTCATCCGCCACACCGTCATTCCTTACTGCCCAAAGTACTCCCGGAACGACAGCAACAACGACACCGCCGGAGGAGCCACGAACCCCACGCACCTCCCAACCGTTCCGCCCGCCCTCCTCCTCGTCCTCCTCGCGCGTTTCACCCACACATTCCCTGCCCCTCCTTGAAGAACGCCGCTCTCAAGAAACCCAAGCCGAAGCACCAGACGACGTTCCAGTCCCTCACTCTCCATCCCCACCTCGATCCCCCAAACCACATCCCCGACCCACCCGCTTCTACTCCTCCCTATCTAACCCCCAACCACCACCTTCGTCTGGCTCCGCGTCCCAACTTCCAACAACTACCACCACAACCACGCAAACCGCTCCCTATGGACCTCAGCAGAGCACCACCAGCACCGGCACCAGCATCGCCAGCGTCAGCACGAGGAGCAGCATCTTCGGAAGTCGACATACGCTGCGGCGGCCGTCGACCAGGAGGACGAGTGCGGGAGGGGGTTGGGGTGGGATGAGGAGGTTATTTGGTCTCGGCGGAGGGGAAAGGAGGGAGAGAGGAAGTAGGTAGGTGGAGGGTAGGGGGTAGGGGGTAAGGGAGAGTATCCTTTTATTTCTCAATAGAACTAGTGCGGGTTCGAAAATTTGCACGTCCGACTGAACGGCCAGTGTATAGCCGGACTTCGTAGTTCTTTGCTTTTGGTTGGCGGTAGGTTTCTGTTGCCATTCGGTCTTGGGAGGGATGCTGATTCGGTCTGGGTTGGTCCTTGGTCGTTGGTTGCATTATGGTATTGGTGGTGGACGTCCTTCATAGGAGCCATAATCTCCTTCCTCTTCGCATCCATTATTATGTCTACGAAAAGTCAAGCAAGCGTACTGTATGTAAAAGCTATAGCCTCCATCACTCACGCATATATCAGCATATGGCACATTCATGTTACGAACCAATTGACAAATGCCGTCACTCTGAACCGTCATGAGAGAATCGAGCCAATTAATTCCCCTGACGGACCATGAAGAAGGAAATTCCCATTCAGTTGCCTTACCCGCTCGCAGACTCGCTGGCTAAATAACCTGAGATCATCGTCTCATGCCCACAGGGCAGACAGAGGTGCGCAGGTCACTCAGGAACCGCCCCGACTCCGACCATTTGATCCCTAATACCTCCTCTCGTACTCGTAATCCCCACCGCCACCATACCCTCCACCTTGCTGATAGCCCGACCCATACCCTCCAGAGCCGCCGTATTCATCTTCGTCGCGGCGCCGCTCCCCACCATACGACTCCTCCTGGTACCCACCACCAGCGCCATAACCACCAGACGCTCCATACCCTCCACCTCCCGAGCCATAACCACCGGAACCATACTCCTGCCGTCCACTTCCATATTCTTCACGCCCATATTCCTCACGGCCACCGCTATATCCGCCCCCATAACCACCACCCTGGCCCTCACCGTACCTCCTCTCCTCCCCATACGCACTCTGATACCCTCCACTCCTCTGCCCTCCATATCCACCTGAGTACTCACCCGACCTCCTCCTCGGGCTCGGACTCTTCTTCTTGCGCTCCTTGGACCTCGAGCGGGACCTACGACGACCATAGTCGCCGCCATATCCACCACTTCCGCCGCCACCACGACGGTTATACTCGTCGTCCGAGTCCTCGTCTTGCTTCTTGTACTTCTTCTTCTCTTCCTTCTCGCGCTTCTTCTGCTCTTTCTTGCGGCGCTTCTCGTAGTCGTCTTCGTCGTTGGACTCTTCTTCTTCAGAGTACTCGCGGCCATACTTGTCCTTCTTGCCGTGTTTCCTGCCAGAGTGTTAGCATAGCCACAGCGGGTTCGAAAATGGAGGGACCCACTTCTTCTCCTCCTTGTAGTACTCCCCACGACCATCGAATCCCTCGCGCTTGTCTTCCGATCGCCACTCGTCACCACGCTCATACCTGCGCTCTTCATGCCTCTCATATCCTCCAGATCCGGCATACCCCGTCGTCTCGACCGTCTGCTGATACCCGTACGAGCCCGCTCTCTCGTCGCGCTCATATCTCGAAAACTCCTCCTTACGCCCACCACTCGGATACTGCGTCTCGCGATACTCCGCCTGGCCGTATCGCTCCGAATCATCCCGGGACTTCTTCTTATGATGTCCCGACTCCGAGTACGACTGGGTATACGACCCTTCCTCTCCATACTTCTCGCTCTTCTTACTCTTCTTCTCCTCGCCGCCGAATGCATCGCCTAGAAGGCTTCCTCCAATGGCCCCAACAAGCCCACCGACGATACCGCCAATGGCACCCCCGCCGACCGCCTCACCGGCAATCTTGCCAGCCTCTTTGCTGACCTTCTGGAAGGGGTCGTTCTTCCCGCCCTTCCCACCAGTCATGCCGGAGAAGGAGTTCGCCATACCGAGAGGCTTGCCGCAGCCGTGGCCCTTATCGTGTACGCCCGGCTTGTGGTTACGTCCGTTCTGCACGCCGTCGCGGCTCAGCTTGTCGCGCAGGTCGTCTTTGGCACGCTCAGAGAGGCTATTCCACCAGTTCTCCACGGTGCGGAACATGATGGCGCGGCCCTCAGCAGCCCCATCTTCCCCATAGCGGTAAAGCGCAGGGTGGTGGAACACTCCATTGATGATGCGATGGATGGTGCGCTCAGCATCAACACGTTCATCGTCCCAGCACTGCACAATCTGCGGGACGGCCCACTTCAGGACTTCAGATGCGACGCGTCCGGCAGGTTCGTTGAGCACGTTGCTGAAATGGTCCTTGGACAACATGCTGTGCGTGGGGTCGGTGGAGTAGTCATCGTTGAAGACGATGTGCTGCGCCTGGCGAGAGCTCTGGATGACTTCCGAAGAGCCAGTCTCCAACTCCGTCTTAACCTGGTCGATGATGGGGAGAACATAGGGAGCGAGAAGGCTGAAAACGAAGACGTTCAGCTGCTCCTGAAGGTTTTCGAGAAGCTCGGGCAGAATGGGGATCTTCTCGATGAACTCGGAAATGCCCTGCATAACCTCGTCATGGAACTCCATGATAGGATAGATCTGCTTGACGAGTTCGTCCAACTGCTGGGTGAAGGCCTCAGGCTCTTTCGGGCTGATGTGCATGTTGCCCATAGCGGCAGCGCTGGCGTTGTTTTCGAGTTCATCAGCTTTGCCAGCTTCGTCTTTCCCGCCAAAGACACCCTCAGGCAGTTGGGCGAGGAGTTCTTTGATCTGGCTTTTATTCTTCTTCCTGCCGGCATCGGAAATGGCACCCTCGAGCTCTTGAATTTCCGATTGGGTAGCTTTATCAGAGAGCTCTCCCATAACGCTGTGCAAGAAGTCGACACCACCAAAAGTACCGGTGACAACAGGATAGACAGGACCACGAGCGCCCTGCACACGGAACTGGGCATTGCGGCCCACATGGGGAAAGACATTATGCTCGCCCAGCTCAATCAGTGCAAGCTCAGTGTAGTTGGAGTGGGCCGAGTAGTCCTCCAGACAGTGGCAAGCGGTCCCAAGGAGTCGCAGAGCCTCGTAGAAGTCAGGGCCACGTCCTCCAGAGCGGCGTCCAAGGTCGATACATTGACGAAGCAGGTTCCGGACCATGCCTGCAGAGGTGGTAATACCAAGGTCTTCCGATGCGATATAATTCTTCAGTCCATTCCGTTCGTCGACACTCAGTTCGCGTCTCTCGTCCACGGGTCCACGCAGGCGACGATCATATTGGCGGGCATCGACATTATCGGCATAGTCCTGCAGTTGTTAGTATGGAGCCGATGCCACATAACAGATATACTGACCTTCGGATTGTCGATGTGCTCCTCCGGTCTGTAGCAGCCGAGACGCTCTCGTGTGACTTCAAATTCCTTGGTTCCGTAGCCAAAGCTCAAGAAGCCCAAGACCCAAAGCAAGATACGAATAGCCTCCGCAGAGACAAACTTGACGGTTCCAACCTAACACGAATATTAGCACCCCATTCAAACCAGAATCATTCCCTCACTCGAGCTCTCCAGGAGACAAACCTACATCAACAGCCTGCGAATAGTCCCCTACACTAATCAGCCTATACTCACTACCACAACAAGGTACAGGTACTCACTCAGCCAATTCCCAAAATAAACCCTCTTGACGTCCATCTTACTAAACTTCTTCCCCGTCCTCGAGGAAATCAGCAAAGTCAGCAGCGTATCCTCGATATCCCCGTGTCTCCAGTTCTGCCCCTCAATCTTCGCCATCGACGCGATGTTTCCCGCGCCAAAGGCGGCGGTCGGCCGGGCCCAGAAGATGAGGAGGATGAGGCATGGGAGGAGGAGGTTGCTGCTGCTGAAAGGGAGTTTGGGAGGTGGCATGGTGCCGGAGTGCTTAGCTATAGGTGAGAAACTCTGGAAAGTTTGGAGAAGCTTGGGTTATTGAGGAAGAGGCGATTTGGTGAGGGGGAATGGAAAGGGGAGCTGCTGTTAGAGTAGTGCGGTAAAGCTTGTTTCAGCTAACGCCGAGCTGATGGTGGGGCGAGGGGACGTTGATGCTGGCGAGGGGTCGTACGATGACATAATGAGGGGATTTTGTTGTCCAGCGCTCAGCCACTTGCGGCGCAGAGATGTGGCGCTGTGGCTGGTGAATTTTAGTGCACGTGACCTTCAGCGCAACCTTGGACATAAGCCTAGGGCGTAAGGGCCCATTTCGGAAGCCTCCCCGTCCGAAGCCTCTTCCGCTTGTCTCGGTAGATAGATGGACGCCAACCAAAACTGCTGCAACTCAAAGCCAGACGGGAAAATTCAGCGATGACATTTCCCACCTCGCTACCAAGTGGGTAGCGCTGGCTAGACTCATCCGCCAAACCTCTGAATTATATATATATATATCTAAAATCCCCCTTCACGTGCGTTTCACCTCCAACCAATCAACTTAATCTCTAAAATGCGTGGCATCGCGACAAGCCTGTGCGAATAATCAAATCTCAACGATCGGAACCAGACAAACAGTCGGAGAGCATCCAGGATAATTGTACTCGCAGCTCCTGTCGCAGAGGGGGACGATAGATTAGGGGACCCACCCTGCTTGCGCCCGCCTTTCCCCGAAGTTCACCCTGGGGAGTTATAGCCCCTGGGACCTATATGTGATAATTACGAGGCGACCCTACACTGGGCTCTTGATAAAGGACTGGACGCGCCAGCGTGCCCTCGTCTGTGGGCAGCGTACGTATACGTACCCACCTTGACCCTTTATTATCTTCTCGCTCAGTTCCCCCCTCTTCTTTTCTAAGAATAGGAATGCCCAACGTACGCGATGGGGGGCCCTGGGAAATCTAAATTTCATATCTCAGGGCGAGAAGCGCAATCAATACCGAAGGTTGATCCCTGGGGGGGTTCTCAACAGGCTCGCTGCAAGTAGTCGGATGGAGGTGCAGTGTTGCATGGGCTGTTGCATTATGCTGCTGCAACGAGGCGATGGCATCTTGTTGATGGTCGAGCGTTTTGACAGTGGACAGTGACGTGCCAAAGGAGCCGGTGGTAGTAGTGGTCCTGCGACAATCATGTGCGCGAGGCGCGAGGGATGGACGACGCAAGGCTATAGCACAGACAGAGGCCCACTGGCGGAACCGTCGTGGCGGGAACTGGAATTGCGGGAGTACTTGGGCAGGATGCAGCTGGCCGAGAGGGGGTCACTGCGGCCGGAGGGTCCACTGTGCACATGATGGACAAGAAATGTTGCTCAACCCAAGGTACATTGGGAGACGACCGAACAGGCATGCGAGGCGGAAATGTGATTCCCCCCCATGGCAGGCTTCCAGGACCGATTCGACGTGGAGATAACGAAAGAGGGCAAACAGAGCAGACCCAAGCGACATGGTGTAATGCTGTACCATTTCTCTGTGATGCAGATATGGCCTGACGTCCGCTGTTAGTAACCATGATAGTAACTGCCAACCCTAATTTGAACATGTCAAAAAACTTTGTTTACATTTGTGCCTGTTCTTGGGCATAAATGACAACCCAAGAGACCTAGGTACTCCGCGTGAGGCGTACGAACTGCCCAAAAGGGAGACTCCTGTTGTGTTACGTTTGCTTCTGCGCTGTAACATGATTTCCCACTGGCAAGGGAAAGCCCTGATGTGCGTGCGACTTCGCGAGAGGAGATCTAGGCCCAAGGGGGGTTTGTACCTGTCGGTATCTCCTCAGGGTTCCGCAAAGTCCCGCCAGATGGGAGTGACAGCTGCAGGTTGCCCAACTGCTCCCGTCTCACTGCGTTTAATGTGTAGCTGTCATTGCCTTCTCCGGTTCATGGCCGTGCAAGGCTGCAGATGACTGGTCAGCGACACCATTATCATTGCTACACTACCTCTCACCATTGCAACTTTACCAGAGTCAGTTGGCGCGGAGAATTTCGACCCGATCGGCTCAGGCGGAGATCAAACTAGGAATGTCCAAAAGCTTGGGTAGACGAACTCGTCCTCAAAGATGCGCCTAACCTGCTCCAACACAAAAGACTCCACTTTGCCAACATTCTTGAGGACTTGTTTGCCGTCACCTTTTCCGCCGATTTCACTCTCGACCTTGATGTGCTCGAGAAGTCCGCCAATCCGGGGTCGTTGACTGTCCCGCTGATGTGGAAAGGGCGAATCGGCTTGCAAGGAGTCGTCATTTGCCTCAGCGCCCACCAGTGCATGGGCATCCTCGGGGGACAAGAAGCAGAAATGTGCTCTTTTCTTGATGTACGCCAGGATGGCCACACCGTTAAAGGTTAGCCCGGAGATGTTCAACTTGAGCGGTATGCCCACGAAGCTCGGCATCGGATAATCAAGTAATATCTCTGCTGTGAGCGATAATTTGATGTCCCCAGAGTACTGTACATGCGCTACTACTTGGACATCCTCCGGGCTTTTTTCGCGCATGCGAGGTGGTGAGACAGATGGTGTGCCAGCAGAGCCATCGTCCGAGTGTGGCCCGGTGGAATCCGCAACCGAGTTCCTTCTTGAAGGATTGATTTGTTGGTGCTGAGAGGAGGGTCTTGTGCTGGGGTCCGGATTCGACTGGGGAGTTAATGTCAGAGAGCCAAATGACGCGACGTTGCGGAGACGCATGTTGGTAGGCGTTGTCGGGCGGCCATGGAGATAGTCCGGCCATCCTTGAAGTTGAGCTCCCGCAACAGCCGCCAGAGGGGTAGTAGATCCAGACAGTCCTGCGCTAAGTGGAAGGTGAAAGTAATTGATGTTTGAAGTGCCTCCAGGAATCCCGGGGGTTGATGCTCTGGGTAGGAGAGGATTACCAATTTGGTCGGGCAACGCGAGCGACGAGCGCAACCCAGGTGCTCCGGTGACGTAGGGAGGTGCTGATCGCGAAGGAAGTGAAGGCGTGGGAGGCCCTTCGGCATCCCGAGCGGCTCTCTCGGTCGACTCTTTACGGCGGTCCTTCACGGTGCGGGGAGGGAGTTCATTACGCTGGTCACGTTGCTCGTCGGGACAAGGATCCTCTCGGTCCTCGCCATCTGGGTAATCTTCATCTTCCTCGTAAAAGTCTGGTAGAGGGTCGCAGATATCTTTGATTTCAATTTCAGGAGGCACGCTGCCAAAGTCGAACGAATGAACGTGGACGGATCGGATAAAACGAGGCAACGTTATCTGCTGGAATCGGTCGTGAATGAAGGCTCGAATCGTCTCGGCACGAGCAATGCCGTCGGCCCCGCCGGTGAGCGTCTCCCAGTTGATGTCGATGGACATCGGTATCTGACACGGAGTGTTGTGGTTAAACGGAGGAGGATGTCATGGTAGCCTCCTGGGGACCGCCAGCAAGCGAACCGAGCTCGCGTGGAAGAGGTTGAGGTGCCGCGCAACACCACCCGTGACCCCTCGACCCCCCATATCAAATCCTGAACGCTCTCCCCATGCCCCTTCTCAGATTGATCAAGGGTCACGACATGGATTTGTACGGAGTAGAAACCAGTTCGCAGCCCCTTGCCGGACGCCGCGCGGAAAGCGATCCACGCAAGCCGCCATCTCGAGTTCTCAGGTCACGTTCTCAGCAAGAAAGCTTCTACCTAGGTAGTCTATCGGGGAAGCACCCAAATAAAGAAACGCGAAGCAAAGCAGAGCCGCATGCCGCGTGCATATGTACTCACTATGTAGTATGTAGCTGGCTAACTAAAACCTGCAGACAGATTGCGCGACGAACGAGAGCCCTGGTGAAAGGCAACGTGCAAGCGAAACGAGGCGCATCTATCGACGCGGCTAGGGTAGGGGTCCGCGGCGGTAGACGCTGCGTGCATGGTACTTATACTGTCGCAAGGCAGATTTATTAAAAACGGCCATGGGCGACTTTGATGCGGGACATGGGTCGACTTCTTCACACAAGTCCGCCTCCGAGGCCAGGCCGTGCAGGGTTTTGCTCACTGCTACGGAGTACATACAGTACACCCAAGGGCCCGCGTACAGTAGGTAGTGGAGTGGAGTCATGGGCTCCCTTGTAGCAACGTTGGTGATATTGCTGCGGGGGTCTTCCTTCAACCCAACCCCAGAAGGCAGCCAGAAAGTCCTTCTGGAAGCAGGGGAGTGCAGGTCAGCAGCGTCGAGGCCAATCGAGCTATATCAGGTTTGATATATACACGCCTCACACTCGGCTATATGGAGATCACAACGTCCCATATACAAGTGGCCTCGCCGCAGTAACGCATGAAACGAGATATGACTTACATATATGTGGCCCTGGGTGATGCTATAGCCCCTCTATTTAACACTCTTGGGTGTCTGCACGTTTGTAAGATGACTTCTCCGCTGGATAAGACGCATCGATATCGAATCGTTCGTGAGCGGTGCAGTGGCTAGCGGCCCGTTCCAGCAGGAGCGGGAGGATCGTCAGCGGGCGTTCGTCTGACGCTTTTTCCGTGATGCAGCTCAACAGTGATTTCCAGGTTCGCGAGCGTCGCCTTGCCCAAGGGATCTGGCTTGGGCTGCATGGCAGAGATAGTATACCGCCCCTGGACGTCCTATCACGCCGCAGCCCAGGACACCCACCCCATCTCCCGTCACAGTCCACTCTCCCTAGACGCAGGTGCCAGGATTGCAATTCTTGGACAGTGCAGCCAATATCGATAACGAATGAGGCTGTCGTGACTTTGGTATAAGGTGATTTGAGGTAGTTTATACCGTGCCAGTCAACGGGACAGGGCCATATGCAGCCTGTTGGGGCGATTGGCGAGAAACGGTGGTGCATATCTGCAGCCTTAAGTTTGTCAACGGGCAGGTAGATCAGCGGGAGGTGATTGGTGTGAGTGACATGGTACTGACGAGCTGCACAGGAGGTGACGGACGGGCCTTGTTGGGCAAGCAACGGCGCACTTACGAAACAGTGCTTCCCTTGTGGAAGCCGTCTCAGGCGCCCACACATTAATTCGACTCGGTATACTTGTCTCTCCTTCCATGTACCGTATCCCGGCCCTATCTGGCATGAGGGCTCCCTGTGAAATGGCGGAGCAGCTGAGAAAAAGGAAAATGAAGCAGATGGAGAGAGATAGGATGGACATCTCTCCCGGGTATGAAATGCAAAGAAATGAGTCCCAAGTGAGTAACAGGAAAAAGTGCACAGCAGGATGCCGAGTGCTATGCAAAACCGGCCTGTATCCAAACGCCAGGCTCACGCCAGGCTCATGGTGCCTCGACGGCGAGTCCAATGCCTAGCCAACGCCTGCACTTTTGTCCGTGACGCCATGAAATGCAGTCTGTCGTGCCCAGAGTCCCGCCTGCGGAGGCTGATAGCGCCTCGGGACTGTGAATTTTCGAAGGAGGTATCGTGCTCGAAAGCAACTACATGCGATTCCACGATTGACACCCGTTTGCATGCCACCGGCCGTCATAGGGTGTCGTCCGGATAAAGTCTGCGGTGGCACACTGCAAAGGCATTTGTCAGACCATGTGATGCGCGAGCGGGCCGGGTGGGACCGATGGCGATAAGCTGGAATGCGTACCTGTCAGTGATCACAGTCGTCACATTTCTCGTCGTGTTTGATGTCCTTGACGTTGAGAGTGCCGCAGTCGGTGCCTCTTGACGTTGCGCAGGGCGCCTTCTCTACATGCTTATGGCCACAGCTGTAGTGATGGACGACTTTGGTACACATGTTGGCCAGCGAACAGGCTGCCGACGAGGGAGAGGGTGGCACTGGGCGTCCACAGTGGGCGCGGCGTTTGCGATGCGCAGGGCGTCGTTGAGGTGTCGAAGTGGGGGTGGTGAAGTGAATAGCTCCGGGGCTTCTGATTGGCGGATATGGACCCTTCAGAACTTCGAGCGTTGTCTTGCAACAATGACGGCAGACAGTATGGCAGTGGGTTGAAAGGCAGACAACAACAGCAGAGAGCGAATGGGTAGTTGTTCCAGGACAGGGAGGAATTGTCTTGAGGCGAGCGAGCTGTCTGTGATGCAGGCCTCTCTGGCGGAGTGGTGGAGAGGTGGAGAGGAGAGGTGGAGTTCAGAGTTGAGGAATTGGCAGGCAAGGAGTCGTCGGAACAGGATTTGGTCGGGGCCGTGGGGTGACTTTTATAAGAGAAGCATCGCCGCGAGCCCGACGAGGCGGTCGCGTCCTGTCAAGCGTCAAGCAGCTAGATTACTGCCGCTGTTTGCAACTTTGCGTGCGACGGCTGCAGTCTTCTACAGCCGTTGAATCCGTGCGAAGGCACGGCGCGGATTCGCGCCTAGTCCACCACCAGCACCACCAGGGCCATCTCGGGCGTGCCAGGGGTCCCGGCCTATCGAGCCGCAGGCTTTGGCATACACAGGCCGGAGGAGACATGGGGGGGAATAATGGCAGACATGGACCGTACTGCGGCGGGCCCCGGAGACATGATCGTGTTGGCTGCAGCTTTTACCAATAAGCACGCCCTCTCCAGGCGCAAGCGCGAGCTTGCTACTTGTAGCTTTTGCCCCTCGCTGCTATGTATTCACACCCCAGCGGCCAGAGGGAACAACGCTGTTGAGTGGAAAGACGCACATCTCTGGCTTCTGAACCTCGGACTCTGCTCTGTCACGGGCCTTCACATGGGCGGGTACTACTGGTTGATGAGTTGCCGTTGAATATCAAACGCGGAGCTCCGAGAGATGCCATGGGAGCCCCAACACTAGTAGAGCTACCTCCTATTAGCCGGGGGTTCCGCAAACGCTGTGCTTCCGACGAGACTCAAAGACAGCCTACGGGCAGATCGCCAACGGGAGTAGTAAAGCCTGCCCGCAGCCCTGTCAAGATTCATAGGTACTAGCGGCAGGACGTCTCATCAGCCCTGTGCGGCGTTTGCAAATGGCTTGTCTGCCACTCCGTACAAGCTGTCCGCTTTCCAGTCCTGGGAAGAAGCCGAGGGTCGCAGCTTGGAAAGAATGACCCCCATCTCGATGGGAAGCGCAAAGTTCACAGTTGACAGTCACAGTGTTGCTCCCTGGATCATGCGGAGGGGCGCCGGCGGGCTTGGTCGTGGAAATTTCTTTGCAGTGCGACATTGCGCTGCGGTGTGAGGGTCATTGCCGGGCGCATGGCACCCATGTTGCCGCCGTGACCTCTGTGCCGACCGTTTGAGGAAGTCAAATCGAAATGGGCGCGTTGCGCAGACTCCCGTCGGGGTGCAACGTGTCGTGGACGACAACCTGAACCCTTGCATCGCATCCGCTCTTCATGTCGTATACTGATGGGTAACAGACACACGCAGCACATCGTCAGTCGGTCAGGTGCTCTGCTCGCGGAAACAGCAGCGTTGGGCAAACGGCCCTTTGGGCACCGCCAGCTGCCAGGGACCCGTCGTCGCAACCCTTGGGAAGGTTGGCTGATATCGCAAAAGGCGCGACGGCAATGGGAGGTTGGAAAGCTCTGGCGATCTGGCTTGCACGACGGTAGACGCAGTGTGTCTCCTGTGCTGGCCGGGAGCGCAGGCACGGCAATCGGGTGGCTGCTGGTGGAGAAGTGGCAGTAGGGCTTGTGGTGAATGGCGTTGGTACTGCACTGTGTCGTTGGTCTTCTCACATCTGTCAAGTTTCGGTCCTCTCTCAGAGAAGCGGATGCCCAGGTGGTGCCCAGGTGCCAAGGTGCATTCCAACGTACGCTAGTCCGCTTACGTCGCTAGCGCTTCGGCCCGCCGCAGATCCCTGACAGCTGCGGGCAGACCACCCGTGGACCAAAAATCGTTCGACACCTCCAACCACCTGCACCAACCTTTCTTTTTCTGGACGGACAAAGAAACAGAGCCGGCGCCGTGCCGCTCCCAAGCACCCATCGTCGACCGCCATGCTCCCTCCCCATCCTCGTTGCCGCGCTCATGGCACGCCTCTCACGCTTCCACCGGCTGTGCCGCCCAGATAGAGTTCAACAAGTCGACTCGTAACTGGGTCGTGGCTGCTAAACATTCCAGATCTGGCTTCCCCACATGTCCGGCTTGTCATTGAAACGCCCTCTCCACAGACAGCATCGCCCATCACTCCAACAAAAGCTTCGCGCTGCCGAGCCCTCTAGCGACATCGACCACGTTTGAGAGGAAAGGAAGATCTGCCTCGAGCAAGGCTCATCCCCTGTGCAGCGCGCTCTCCTCAACGGCAAAGGTGCGGGGTGTGCCGTACGGACTGAGGGTCCGTGACGTGAGACTGTGGGGGTAGAGGACCAGCGAACCCTCCTCCATCGCTGTGACCACCCCTCTGTCATAGCCCCGTCTATCGTGATCATCTGCGTCTCCGTCGACTATCTTCAATCCAACATGAGTGGTGGCGAAGGATCTGACATCTGGATGGCAGCGTTCTAGGCCATCACGCGCAAACACCCATCCTCCACTTCTCGAGACCGTCAGCCAGCTGCATCCGCCCTCAGCCCGCCCCTCAGAACAGACGCCAGCCATGCCGACCCATTCCCGAAACAGAAGGATTGCGCTTGGTCCCTCCCCGATGAGCTGTACCCCACTTCCACATGGTGAAGACACTCGGAACATTTATACAAGCACTACACAGTACTCCGTACAACAAGTGCTGTGAGCTGAGCTTCAGGAGGACGCTCTCTACTATCATGCTTTGGTGTGAAATTCCTTCTACGCTCATTTTTCAGCAGAAACCCCAAGACTATCCCTCCATCGCTGACTGCAAAGCCGCACGACACTTGCGCCAAATCAAACCAGCAGAATACAGATATTCCGTAAACTTTTCGCAACCAACAAGCCCCATCGCTGTGTCGAATGCACTATTTGCCGCCCCGCCCAGGCGTGCCTCCTTAGCCTCGCCGTCCTCGTGTGCTTGCCCGTCTCGAGCTCTCTACGATCATCCCACCTTGCAAGGGCCCAGCGCTAACTCTTCACCATTACTGTGCCAAGCTATCAAAACGGTAGCGGGCGGCCCCTTGTGCATGCACACCACGCGCTTGAATCACATCTCAAACGAAGCGGCGTACGCCAGGCAAAGCAGCGAATCGGCATGAGCAGGCGTTGGAACGAGCAGTCACGCTCTTGCTCGCCTCCTGCGGGTAATCTGCCTTGGTAAGGAAAAGAAAAGGGTAAGGGATGAGCAACGCTTGCTTAGGAGAGCCGATTGGTCTGTTCTAGTAAGCCACGGCTTCATGGCGCTGACGTGGGTGAGTACCTCATTTTGCACGTTGTTCGAAACTGTGCAAGAAATCAAGTTCATCCATATTCTCACGCACAACCATCGCAGTTTTCCGTGCGGTACTCCGTGGGAAATGGACCATGACATTCGGGGCTGGCCGAACTGCTCCTTTGCACGCTCATATGCATATTGAATATCAACAACCCAGAGGCGTTCTACTCAGCGGTTTGCCCGTCACCAGCCCTTCTCAGAGAACAGTTTCTAGCCATCTACATATCTTATCAGACCGTCTTCCCAACATTCCAATCTTCAACAGCCGTCCAACCGACTTGAAGAACGGTACTGAGACATGAGACACAAGCAACACCTAGCTCCTCCTTCTCTCAGATATTAACAAAAACTCCCAGAGGCCTCCTGCGCCTCTCCAATCCAAGCAAGGTCAACGTCAATGACGGGAATCGCACTTCTGAGAACGTCGTCCTGGCGTAAACAATACTACCTACCTAGACTTCCATCCGATCCAAAATGGGCATCACTCACAGCGATAGTTAGCACCGGGGTTCGACCTAGGGCGACACCAGCACATTGTCCCATCCCTCATGTAGCAGCTCAGCTCCCTACGCCGTCTACAAAGCCTCTCTCTCTGCGGCGCTGCCACTCTAGGAATCGCCCGCTCGATATGCATGCAATTATGAACCCAAACGTGCCCTTCGATAAGTGGCTAGCTTCTTTTCTCTCTCTCTGCTGTAGATGAGCAAACTTCAGGCTACGTTTACCTCGGGCAAGCGCTCCGTCTGGCATTTCCGGATGCTCGACACGAACTCCAAGCTCGATTCTCGCCGCATCGTCAGGTGTTTGTTATTTCAAGTCCAAAGGCCAGGCCGAACGTCCTCACATAGAATGTGATTTCAGTTGTGAACACCCTGATTTCGTCTTCCGTTTTTTCAATTGGGTCATGTTTCGACTTCCTTTGTAGACTATCAGCATCATTTCTACCGGCGTTTCCCCTTCCAAAGTTACAGTCATCGATTGATCCACTCTGGCAATGCAAAGACGAAATGTGCATGCATAGCATCAAGGTATGTTATATTCCTATCTCATGAAAACCGCCGCAAGGCTAACTTCTCTGGCATCTTCCGCTCCGATCTTCCTTCCCATTATTTTGTTGCTTGCTTGTAATTCCACTCAATAATACATTTTTCTCCCCACCTGCACTCATCTGTCCTTGTTTGTAATCCCCCTCAATAAGCCACCATCTTGTTCAACCCATCCAATTCACGCTCGTAATTCCTATGCTGGGAAATCGCATACCCATACGCGCTCAAGAAGTCCTTCGCCCCTTTCATCATATTCACGGCCTCCTTGAATCCATGCGGCTGCACCTCCGCTACCGTCACGACACCGTAACTCTCCACCACCTCGGCAGAGGTCGAGAACTGCATGCCCGGGATATCGCACGCCTCGCGGACAAACTGGACGGCCTCACCCGTAGCGCCAATGGCTTTGAGGTGCCCAAACGCTTCCCTTACCCAGTGCACGGCGCGTCCGTTCTTGCGGAGAGTGGCAATGGATTGGGCGCCGCCCGGTATGAAGACGCTGTCGAAGAGCGTGGAGCGCATGCCTTCGAGATGGTGGTCTGGCTGGACGCCGCCCGTCTTGCTGCCCTTTTCCTCACCGGCAGCCCAGATCTTGTTGCGTCGAACACCGATAGTAAAAGGGAGCGCACCGGCGGCAGAGAGAGCGGCGCGAATGCCATTGTACGCGATCGGGTCGTAGCCATCTGCAATGATGATGGCAACCATACGCGTGGCGATCGTTGGAGTCGAAGGGGCATAGTCGACCTGCGAGAGACCCTTCGCCTTCTTGTTGTGCTTCGGCCGCTTAGCCTTCTGTGGTACTCCACCGCCGACCATTTCGGCGACGCTCTGAGCCAGAGTGAGGTCAATCTCCGCCAGACGGTCGACCATGCGCTCGTAGACGACATGATCGTCGCAGTGGTCAAGCTCAAAGCCCAGGGCGTTGGTGAGATGCAACTTCTCGTGGGGGGAGAGCGAGTTGTAAAACAGTTCAGCCTGGCTGATATGTTCTCTGAACTTCTTGCTCTGGGTCCTGGCCTTGATGCCTGCGATCTTCGCGGGGTAGTCGACGTATGCGCCGTCTTCGGGTTTTGTGGGAGGCACTGCAGAATAGCGGTTGGGCCAGTAGTTCACCTTGCCCTTGGTGATGGTGTGACGCATGGAACCGTCACGGTTGTGGTTCATGACGGGGCACACAGGACGGTTGATAGGAAGCTCTTCGAAGTTAACACCCAGTCTGCTGATCTGGGTGTCGAAGTAGGAGAAGTTGCGACCTTGGAGAAGGGGGTCATCAGAAAAGCCGATACCTGGGACAACGTGCGAGGTACAGAAGGCAATCTGCTCGACCTGCGAGAAGAACTCGTCCGGGTTGCGGTTCAGCTCCAAAGTACCAATGTACCGTATGGGGACGAGCTCCTCAGGCCACACTTTGGTGGCATCAAGGATGTCAAAATCGAAATCATGCTCCTTGGCTTCCGGGATAACCTGAATACCAAACTTCCACTTGGGATAGGAGCCGCTGTCGATGGCCTGCCAGAGGTCCTTACGGTGGAAGTCAGGGTCCTGACCAGCAATCTTCAAGGCCTCGTCCCAGACAAGGCTGTGTACGCCCAACTCGGGTGTCCAGATGAACTTGCAGAAGTGCCTCTCTCCCTTGTCGTTGGTGAGGGTGAAGGTGTTTACCCCGAAACCCTGCTGCATGCGCCAACTTCTGGGGATTGCCCTGTCCGACATGGTCCACATGAACATATGCGTTGCCTCGGGATGCATGTACTGGAAGTCCCAGAAGTTGTTATGTGCGGACTGTGCCTGAGGGATTTCACAATCAGGCTCCGGCTTTCCGGCGTGAATGACGTCGGGGAACTTGATCGCATCTTGAATAAAGAACACGGGAATGTTGTTGCCGACAATGTCCCAGTTGCCCTCTTCGGTGTAGAACTTGACGGCAAAGCCCCGAACATCGCGGACGGTGTCGGCGGAGCCACGGCTACCCAAGACAGTGGAGAAGCGTACGAAGACGGGTGTCTCGCGAGACGTGTCTGTGAGGACGCCGGCAGAGGTCACGTCTGCGGCAGATTCCTGGAGGGTGAATTTTCCGAAGGCACCGGCGCCTCTGGCGTGGACGACACGTTCGGGGATGCGCTCATGGTCAAATCGCATGATCTGATATTATCAATTGCTATTCCTTCAAGCATCTAGAAGGAGGAGTTTCACCTTCTCGCGTGCGAACGGATCCTCCAAAAGAAGAGGGCCATTCTTGTCGTCCGTCACCGCCTTCAACCATTCATCCGTATTGTGCTGCTTAACGCCATAATCAGAGGTGATTGTCGAGTTTCCATCATGCACGTCCTTGGTGACACTCGACAGCTGCTCGACCTTCTTGGAGCGCTCCCCGGACACTGCCTCCTTGGTCCTGTCTGCGACGTGGGCTAGTATGGACGACGCCATGATTCGAATTGAAAAGGAATACAATGGAGAAGGACCCAGGAGGGGAGGGGTTGAGGGGACTGTGTTGCTACTTGTAGTGCGGGGGCTCTTTCTGCATAATTTCCATGACATCACCCCTCGGTGTTTCCTTCCCTCACTGGACACGACCCGTGGACCGTGGACGCGTACTTACTACAGTACTGTATGTACAAAGCAAGCCTGCTTAACACGTGCCAAGGATAGCGGGTTTGCATGGATATTTTTCCATGACGAGGTTATGAGACTTCTGGAATCGCCATCTCGATCGGAAGTTTGGATGCCTTTTGGCCCGTCGCACTCCGCAATGCTGTGGTATCACTGCCAATCCACCAGGCCACGAATCGCATCGGTGAAGTATCCCGCCAAGTCGATTCTGCATATGAATGTCTCAACCGAGCGCGAGCCAGAACAAAAATGTTTGTAATCGCAGCTTTGAGGAGGCGAAGATCAGATGGAGCTTTACCAATGACGTAGTTACAATTTCCGTTTCGAGCCTAGCGCAAGTACGTTCCATGTTAGCCACTAACAGTTCCTTGATGGAACATTCCCACGCCCGGATAGATCACCGTCCTCATCATTCGTCCCGACCCCTGGATTTTACTGACTTGATCCGCTGTGCTGAGGGAGCGAGAAGATACGGTCAATGGCGGAAATTCTGAATCCGAAGCAACCGGGTTTGGGAAGACTTTTCTGAACTGACAGTCAGTGGAAGTGCTACCGAGGAGAAGCTGAGAAGCATTCACAATATACGCGACTATCGTAGAATTTTTAGCGCATAAATCTTGTTGTCCTACGAAAGAACGATAGAGATGACGGCTCCCTGAGGACATGTAAGGCAAGGTCTTGACAAAACCGACTCAGTGCGATCTCCGGCTGTTTACACCCTTCACTGGCCCCTCTTCACGGCTCTACATACTCGTAGCACAAAATGCCACCCACAATGTCCATAACGTCAGCAATAGTCCTATTCGGCGAGTTCCCCTTCATGTCCAGCACATGGTTCAAAGTAGTCGTGGTTCCAGGGTCACCAGGGGCGCCTGTCGGTTTCCTGAATCGCTCACATCAGTCAAACGTCTAGATGAAGACCTTGAAGTGGCTTACGGGATATTTGATGGCCGAGCCGGAAAGCCGACCTGGTTATCAGGCATGATGTTCGTTCCACCGATCTCCTTGGTGCGCGCTGCTTTATCCTTGGCTTGCCAGTCCGCCCATATTTTGTCGAGCCAGGTGTGGTGCAGGTAGAAGAGAGGATCTCCGGGGCTGGAGACACCGTTTTGCATCTACAGTCCATGTCACTATCCATTCACCTAGTTTCAATGTGGGCACTGGGTACTACTGACCTGGCCTCCCACACCCCCGTGACCTCCACCATGCGGCTGCGCCTCAATGCAATTCCATGCTCCCGTCCACGTCGTCTGCTGCAGACACTGATTCACATTCGCTGCCGAGCTTCCCTGGCTAGCGGAGTTGCTAATCTTGCGGTCGATACAATGGTCGGTGATCTGGTACCCCGGACCCAACCGATTCGTATAGTTCTTAAAAGGTCCCGTTGTGATGCAGTTATTGCGGCCCGAGCCGTCGCCGCCGAACCCGTATACCGGGTCGAAGATGGTGGCCGAGGTGAATTTGCCGGCGTCGAGTTGCTCTTGCCAGTAGCTGCATGAAAGACGGCATTAGCGTTGGGGGCCTGGGAAGTGGGGATATGGAAGATACGTACGGCTGGTGGCCAGTGTAGCCACATTCATTTCGCAGAGCGTCTTCATGCGCTTGCATGAGGAGGCGGTGGAAGGGGAGGAAAGCGCCCTAGACAGAAGTCAACCACACGAACCCTAAATCCGGAATAACCTCCAATACTTGAGAGCTTCTTACCACATGGTGCGTCATATATGCTTGGAGCGCGTGAACTGCCTGGAGTTCATCGAATCTCGTTTTACCGACTCCGAGATTGAGTTTTGCGGGTTTCTGCATGAGACAAAGCTCGGCGTTGATATACTCGAGCTTCTGCGAGTTGCTTAGAGTGTGCCTGTGGTATACTTAGCAATTGTTGACCCGGATTCCCGAGTGAGATATACCATGCTCTGCGTTTTCCCTTCGTCGTGCAGGCTGATAGGGCCTCAGTGACAAAACACAGGAGTGCAACTGCGCGAAATAGCGGTGCCATTGTGGACAAAGGCTCTGAGCGTAGATCTGTAGTCCTACATCGAAGCAATGTCAAGCCTACTTATACTTTCATCTTGTCATCAATTGTTCGAATAGACTTTCATCGAAAACTCGGGTCCCAAACATAGTCTGATGCTGTACTCCTTCAGTAATATGCACATACTATGTGAATAAACTTAATCTTACTTTCACCTCCTGTCAACAGTAACGTCTAGTCGAACGGTTCTATGGAGCGGCATCGGAGTAGCGAATCAGTGGTAGACAGGCCGGAACAAACCCGGCTACAGTGTGCAGGTTAGATTACCCCCGCAGCTGACGGCAGAGTCCCTGCAGTTGTTGCATATGTCACCCAGCAAGCTGTATGATCTATCTGACACCTTGCAGATGCGGATTTGGGGGCTGGATCGGGAGGATAGTTGGGGATAGTCGATATTATTGAGCTGGTGGAGGGGAGTAGGACTTTGACGTGGGAAATTGATGTGGATTGAAGACTGTGGATCGCCCCGATATGTTACATTCTACATGGCCACTCAGAAAACATGAAGTAGAGCAGTGAACAGTGGACGACTGGCCTAAGCAAAGACGCACCTCTGGGTAAAGGTCCTTTCCCGCCGCTGGTACGTTACAAACTCTACCTACGAGCAGCTTGACCGATATATACATGGGTTCTATATATAGAACATCGCTCCTTTAATGAGGGAAAGAAGTCAGAATGCGACGGATAGAGCAACTTCCTGTTATTATGTTCCTAATAAATATCTTCGCGTAAGTAATCGTGAGTGCAAACATCTTTGACTTTGCCATCAGATTTCTGTAATAGAATATGTACAGATCATGATTGATACGTGGTGTACAATATTTTGCATGAGCAGTGACGCCTGAAGCCTCGTTTAGGGTGTGTGAAAGTTAACTATTGGTCGGTGTGACTGCATTGGTAAAGAGAACAATGATATCTCAACATCTGGGTCCTAGTCAGTCTCCGTTATAAAAAATGACAACATTATCGTAGGTTAGAACGAATACAGAAGCTTTAAGCGTCTACTTTGGAGAGCATTGAGGAATCCTCGTCCAGTACCCGGGGCTCGGTGCATATCAGCTACCTGCGCTAAACCTTTCTGGGATCGGAGTGCCACAATGCCGAACATCAGTCATCTCAATGGATAGATCATCTAGGTCTCTTTGCCCACTTCTTTCTCAGGTAAGTTATATGCTTTGTGCTTATGAGAGATAGTATTAAATGCTACTTTTCTTTTCGTAAACATGATCTTCCTTTCTCTCATTAACGTTCAACTTGGAATCTTGCTTTTCCGTCGGAGTACTCGAACTTTTGCTGACGGGGACCATCTCATTATCGCATCGTACGCCTACTTCTGTAATTACCTTGCAGAAGCGCGTTTTTCCTATCTTATCATCTATCACCTCTTATTAATGCCGGATTGCTTTATGATGCTCTCCTCATTTTCTCGTTCGACCCTAAGCTTACAGCGGCTCAGAGTTATAGGCATCCCGCGACCTGTATTCACAGCAAACATTTCTCCCATATCAAATGATGAGCGCCGAACCCCATTTCCTCGTTCTCGGAGCGGGCGTTATCGGCCTCACAACCGCACTGGTCCTGCGCGAACAGTATCCCACTTCCAACATCACCGTTGTCGCTAAGCATTTCCCTGGCGACCGCTCCATCGAGTACACCTCGCCCTGGGCAGGCGCTAATTGGTGCTCTTTCGCCAATGACAATGGGCCCCTAGAAAGGTACGATGAGGTTACGTTTCGAAGGTTCGAAGAAATATTGGAAAAGGAGGGTCCTGAGTGTGGATTGGGGAGGATGGGAATGTGGGGAGTTTGGGATAGGTGAGTCAATGCAAATTTGCTCATATTTGTACACCGACCATGGCCACAAACTAACATTAAACCCTCTTTGTCTAGCCCAGTTGAAGACACGGACCTCCTGACGCCCCAGACGGGCAAGATCTGGTATGAAGAACTGGTTGGCGGTATCACGCCCTTGAGTGAAAAGGATTTACCTACCGGCGCAGTGTTTGGCATCGATGTCAAGAGCACATTTCGAATAAATACGCAAGTTTACCTCCAGTGGTAAGTTTTACTCAACAGTATAGACCGTGGCCCTTTATTGAATACGCGTTCCAGGCTCCAAGCTCGCGCCTTGAACAAGAACATTTCACTGATACGCCGCCATTACCCATCCCTCACCTCTCTTCTCTCCTCCTTCCCCAACACCACAGCCCTTTTCAACTGTTCTGCCCTGGGCTCCCTGTCCCTCACCGACGTCCGCGACACTTCCCTGTACCCAACACGCGGCCAAACTGTCCTGGTCGCAGAACCCGAGGTCCCCATTCCACGCATGTATATCCGCAGTCCCAAACGCTCGGACCCAGACTGCGCCTACGTTTTCCCGAGGCCTCTGGGTGGTGGCGTTATTCTCGGCGGGAGCAGGGAGGAAGGCGATTGGAATGGCGAACCGGATATGGCGCTGGCGGAAAAAATCATGAAGAGTTGCTGTGAATTGTGTCCTGAGTTGGGACCGAGGTGGCAGGATCTGCAGGTGATAAGTCATAATGTTGGATTGAGACGTAGGTTCCTTTCGTAGAATCTCTTCTCTTTTCTGGTGTTCGGCTCGCAAACCGCAACTTGACACGCTCAATCGGACACTGACATGGTTCTGCCAGCTTCTCGCAAAGGCGGCGTACGCGTCGAGCTCGAGAGATGGAGTAATGGCGTGCCTGTAGTACACAATTACGGGCACTCAGGAGCGGGGTACCAGTCTTCGTGGTAAGCTTACCGGTGATGATCGACCCTAATCTACTGTTCGCTGACGTGCGATCAGGGGAACTGCTGAACGAGCAGTTGAGCTTGTTAAAGAGGCCTTGGCCGCCAGGGCCAAGTTATAACTTTACTTATTCTGTAAATGCATATTTGACCGGTTCGGTGTAGTATGGGGTTGAGACTTTAGATTGTGGGTTCCGCACACGATCCATCTCGCTCATCTCGTATAAAATCTGGACCGGCATTATGAATGAAATCGGAACAATGCAATACAACTCCCACGTACTCTCACTCCCCATTATACGCATCCATCATCTACAGAACTTTAAAAAAGCACAGCGTCGCCAACCATGTTCCCCGCAACACCCTCACACCTCAATACGTACATTCTGCTCACAAGCCCAACCAGGCTGTCGACAACATAAATGATGTATGCAGCCCAAGAAACTCTCGGTGTGTACCTGACATATTCTTAGCAAGCTGCCACGTGCGTCGGCGGGGGAATTTGGGATAATATGGGAGTTATTTCAGGCTGGCATGTGCTCTTCAAGTTTGGAGAACCCCTACCCGGCAGTTATTTCTCCACGCACGTGCGGAGGGAGCACAGCAGATGCGATGCATTCAGCCCAACGAAAACGTGCAGCACTTGAAACACACTAGACGGTGCAGAAATATGCTTATGTGGTTGACGCAAACAGTGAGAGATATGCAATTTTCAAGAATCAGAGCAGATCGGGTTGACCTTCAGACGAGACTTGCCCTCCTGAAGGTCAGCGCAGTGTGAGCAAAACTACTGGTAGACATAGCAGAAAGGCCCGGCGGTGGTTGAGAACAACTGGTTGCTCGGAATACCGTCCTTGCCCGCCGGTGCGGTGACATCCAGCCACTGCTTGTCCGTGGGCTTACCGCGAGCGCTGTTCGGGTTCATCCAGTTGGTTCCACCTAGAGACATGGTTAGATGTGCATCTCCTAGAAAACTGGACCAGAACTCACCTTCATAGGAGTTTATCCTGGTCTTCATCTGGCTCTCCTGGTAGCTCTGCCACATCCACCAGTGCCTATCGACCTGGCCGTGGTGAAGCCAGAAGACAGGCTCGCCAGGGCTAACATACACGTCACCTCCAGGGTCGCCCCAGATGGAAAAGTGGCCTGCGCCGTGAATCGCTGACTTCTGAGGAGTGTCGTTCTGCAGCGTGTCCTGAAATTTGCCGAGGGCGGTGTTGCTGGTGATATGCGCTGCCAGTTCGGCGGGCCGGAGGACGCTTTGCGTATAGTAGTTGTTGACGTCGCGGCGGAGGCAGCGGGGGTTGTTGCCGTAGCCGTCACGCGATGGGTTGTTGGGGATGCGGAGAGCGGGGTCCATGGTTGGCATCAAGGGGCCGAGTGTGATGTTGTGGCTGTTGCAGATTAGAGACACGATCGAGAGATACAAGTCGGTTTTACTAACCCAGCGAATGGTCCAGTCTTGACGCAACCGCCACCAGGGCCAGGAGGAATGTTCATCATGCCGCGGCCATGCTGGACGGCTTCTCCATTACCACCCATACTCCACTCATCCCCGTTGAAGATGGGAGAGGTCGTGAGGTCAGCGTACTTTCCCCAATTCCAGTACGGTTGGTAGCCCTTGTAGTCGCACTCAGTGCGCAGTGCTGTTTCGTAGGCCCTGTGACAATCATGTCAGATCAAAGTCCATATGGAAGGTGGTATGGTCAACCATACCAAATGTAGTACCGATGCCAGTGCAGGAAATTCGCAGTGCTGTGCACCGATGGAGTCATATTCATATGCACAACGACGAAATCGTCATATCGGTTTTTGGCTCCCGGATACTTCCCAGCAGGTAGCTTGCTTGGTTTCGACATTATGCACTTGACTGCTCGAATGTATTCTTTCCTCTCATCTTTCGTCAAGTCCCCACTGTGTCTTCGTAAGCGGCGTGCTAGTGTAAGGAAGGGGAAATAATGAGCTTACTATTCTTTCCTGATAGCAACAGTGTCCTTGGTGCAGCCAGCGCTACGAGTCATACCATCCGATAAGGTACCTTCAAGGGCTCTCAGAGAGTTGGCTAGAGCCTGCTTCTGGATGTCGTCGATGGTAAGAGCTTGTCTTTTCCCAAAAGGCCAGGCATTGGCGCCCGAAAAGACACACAGTGATGCCACGAGGGCATTCACCACTAGGTTTCCAGCCATGACTGCTGGACTCCCGATGTTCCTATGCTGCCCAGAAGGAATCCGTACTGCCTTTCGGCCAGCCCCTCGGCTTTATATGTATCAGTCACCGGGGAGTCCTATTCTCAGAGGGAAGGATCCTGAAGGCTTGGCTGGTGACATTGCTTATATATTTTAGATAGCGTGCACGATGAGATGCAGCCCTTACCGCCCCGTTGTATATGAGAGGTGTATTGGAGGAAGGGTGGGGAAGTAAACTCCTTGCTATGGGCGATGAGCTAACTGATTCGGAAAACCATCATACGCTTGATTGAGGGTAGTCAGCTGGGTGGCCAATGGAGATGAAGGAGGTGTATATACGTGTTTGCAATTGAGGCTGATAAGATGTCCCACATTCTTTGGACGGGGGTGTTTTAGGTACACTGACCACGGTGGGGATGGCGTGCGCGTGTCCTCTTACAACCAACGTACCAGAACAAAGTACTCCTACAGAAAAATTTTATGTCCAATAAGTAGATTGCCTGACTTGGCATAGCCTCTGTGAACTGTACATATTCTGTGAGCATGCCAGGAGTCAGTGAAATTATCTTGCTAGCCAAATAACTCTTGTCAAAAAACCCCTGAGAGATATGGATCGGCCAGAAAGAGTATGAAGTCCCAATCCTTTCTTCGGTCAAACTACAAGTTATTCGGGGCCGATTGTCAGTGTAAGTTGTCGATGGCTCGTCAGATGCAAGACCTGATCAATGTTGTCGTTGACAAGACGTTGGAAGAAGCAATATCTCAGTAGAAAGGAATGAAAAAAGGCTGTGATGACGGCAGCATAAACGGAAGAGAGACCAATGAGATATCAAGAAAGTCAGACTTGAATGGTCAGCAAGGAAGTGCCAATATAGCTTAAATGAACTCTCGGCTTCGGTGACCGTGGTATCATTCTACCGGGCGTAGATCTCCAATGCAAAGACGAACTGAGATGAAAACAGATTACGCACGAGAAAACTCGTGCGCGGGAATTTGTTTATAAGTGCCGGCTTCTATCCGGGATATGGATTGAGACCTGTACCCCAGATCACGTGGGTGGGGTCAATTGGAGGTTTACTTCGTCTTCCCCAACACCCGGCAGTATGTGTCGGACAGGCCCCACAACCAGACACACGGTGAAGCTGTGATCATACCGGAAATAGGACCGGAAGGAACCCGAATCCAGACTGATTGAATCTGTCACTTCCGGAATAGCTGGCTTGTTTGCTACCACGATATCCATCGATAGGAGCTGGGCAGCTGGGATATCAATCAGTTCACTTTGGACACTGAGGGATGCCACAAATTTTGTTGGAAGTGTGAGGCATCGGGGATATCTGTGCGATATGATCTTGCTTTTCGCATGCAAAATGCCATCGTAAGCAAAACAGGCCAGACGGACCGGTCATTTGAACGGTGGATGAGCGACTGAGGAAGTAAATAGCTGAACAACATGAGCTCATTGGCCACTTCCAAACTGGCAAGAGGTGACCATGCTGAGGGTGGCAAGCACATCTTATCAATGATGGGGTGAGTGAGCGTTGCCGTGTGCTTCGTGGAGCGACCAATGTGTCAGCTGTTTTAAACGGACTGAGGCTTCCACAGCTGTGTACGTCTTGCCCGGTATCTCGAGGGTGTTTACTCTTGATTTAACGATATAGCCACAGATTGTGCCCATGCGCCTGAAAGAGAGGACTCACCTTGCAATCCCCGGATAGACAACAAATCCAAATAATGAGTCTATCCAGCCGTAATCGCACTACGGGATGGGATGAGGAAAAATGATGAGGCTACTTCTTTCACGGAGTATCCGTTGGAAGGCCAACTCAGGGGCGTAGGGCTTCAGGGTACCCTGTGGTAACCCCCCGGCGAGATCGCGTGGGCATCTCGATAGGAAGACCGATTTGTTCACTCGCATGGAGGACCGCACAGCTGTGGCGTTGTTGCCCCTAACCGATGGACGGGTAGACGGGATTTTAGGGGGCCGGGGAAGCAGAGCCGGCGGGTCGTGGAGACAAGTGAATTCTTCTCGAACATTGCGCTCGGGTTCCGTGCGGGTTAGGAGCCGTGCAGCATAGGATAGGGGATGAATACTGTGGTATGTACCTCGGCATGAAAGAGAATTTTTCCTGGTGGGTGGAGTTTGTAATGATCAGAACGTCGCAAAACTAGTCAGTGCGGCGAAATGAGCAGGTCCGTGAAGAGAGTTGTGCAATCGCATAACTATGCTTCGCAACTTACTTGTAAAACTGAGGGAGCGAAATTAAGTTCAAAACTAAAGGGAACTTTTCAAAACTGAAGATTGAACGGCGAAGGGATTTCAGCAGTCCGATGAGCGGTGGGGAGAGGACTGTGAGTAGGACTCATGAAGGTGACGTTGTTCCTGCAGATGCAGACAGGTTCATTCAGGGGCTGCATAATAAGGAAGCACCAAGCTCGATGGGGAGCGTAATTGAGGAGCTCCAAGCACGTGACAACGCGTTCAAGCATTGCAAGGTCGAAGCATCCTCCAAGGTCCGCAACTTTGCCAAGTTGCCTACAACCTTCCGGCTATCACTAGCAGACTTGGCACCGGAAAGAATGGAGCAGATCGAGATGTCAAACAGCACCTCCGATTCTGAGAGTCAGCTCGAACTTTTTTTTCCTTGCGTTTCTACCTTCGAGTTCGGGATTCCAACAAACTCGCCGAAGATTAGGCAGCAGAAAAACGAATTCGATGCTTGCTTTTCGTTTGCCACTCAGGGGCACACGGCAGAGGATATTCACGTCAGGTGTTCCTTCCAGAGCCCGTCGCTGGCTGTGGCACTGCGGCGTAGCCTGCTCTTATTACCCAGGGTACTGGACACATATCGTTTGGCCCAAGCTCCCAGGAGCTCTCGGAGCGAAGAGCTCGCGGTACGGAAGAGAGACGAAGCCGGGAGCAATCTAGGTATCTTTCGACGTTGTTTTGTACGGAGTACGGAATACCTGATAGCTGCTTTGATATGGGCGCTAGACGGACGACTTCAATTCCGTTCGTCAACTTTCCCATCCATCTCGTCGTCTGTCCCTTTGTCCTTTCCAAAGCATCAAGAAAGTTTTGCCATCTCCGCGCCTTGTTGGCCGTCTTCCGGCTCGTGTTACGGCCCAGTCACAGCCCCTTGCACTCCTTGTGCAGCCCGTGGTCTGAGCACGCCCTGGCTGACTCTCCTTTGACTCCTTCGGGTGAAGTTCCCCATGTGATTTCGCGTTGGGCGTGTCACAGCTTCGGGCTACTTTACGCGTCCAATAACGCGTCGATTTTTCACCGTGCCCATGTCGCTGCTGTGATTGCGGCCTCCTGACGGGCGTGCGTATATAACCAGCCGTGTAGTCCGACTGTCTGCCGCTTGGTCTGCCTCCTAGCGCCTTTTTCCTGCCTTACGGAATCTCTGCCTAACACCTCGCCCGTTGTCGACCGTGCTAGCGTGTGCATTTGCACAACTCGTTGCCTGTGCCAGGGGTTGTATAAATACTTCCGAGCACCCTATTACAAGAACCCTCTTGCCTCTCACCCGGGATACCCCCATCAGAATCCATCATGTTTTCATCAAGACAAACCAGATATCGAGGCGAAAGCTTCTCCCAGAACCGGGCAACCAAGTCCAAGTCACATAAAAGAACTCTTTCATTGCGGGATACTTCGAAGGTGGAAAAGCTTGCCCAGCAAGCACAGGCCTCCTCACCACACTCCAATCAGACTTCTCCCAGTATCGGCAGGTAAGTCTGATGGACTCCATCAATGAGGTACCGATGGACTGACGATGACCCAGTGCTATCATAACCATATGTGTCGGCCGTGAGCAACGCCTCTTTGCGGCTCATGAAGATGTCCTCTGCCACTCACCCTACTTCATATCCGCCTGCCGAGACCAGTTCTTTCAGACATCTAACAAGCGTATCGACCTACCGGAGGAGGAGCCCGAAGTCTTCTCGTCTATGCTCGAGTACCTCTACAAGGGCGACTATTACCCCCGCCTGGAATTCAACAAACGGAGGAACAGTTGGGGCCTCGAAGATGGCGGCAACAGCAACGGCACCAGTGAGGCTGTGATTCAAACCTCGTTTGGTCCTGTCCTGAAAGACACTATGCTCTACTGTGCCGCCGAGCGATACGGACTCCCGGAGCTCAAGAAGCTTGCTCTTCGCAAACAAGGACTCCAGTCTGGTGTTCAATGCAGCACCATTCTCACGTCTGCTCGCTTCGCATATGCTAACACTCCGGACAATGACTCCAAGCTACGAGCACATTACCTCGCTCTCATCATCCGAGCTCGCCACACCTTCAAGCGCAGCGGCACAATGCAGCAAGAGATGGAGAATGGCGGAAAGCTCTTCTTTGACCTCTTCGTCGCTATGGTCAACCACATGGACGACCTTGCTCAGAAGACCCCTCGCTAAACGTCTCGACGATCGATAGGACTGTCGCTGTCGACTGTCATTCTCGCATGAGCCACCATCTCCCCTTACCTACAGCCTGTTGACGGAGTCTGGTCTACGTCCTCCAGGCTACAACTCTCTCCCCTCCATCCGCTCATCATCCACCACGACTCATCATCACACATCATGTTGCTCAACCTTCCCCCTTATACCCAGTTCGTCTCCACTCCATCTCGAGCGAACAAGCGTTCTGTTACACAGTTACTGCCGATCAGGAAATCGCCTTCACTTCTTGTACCATACATTTCCCTCGATCAGCCTTCCGGCTACGAACCCATACTCTCGAGGCTACACCTTTTTGTCTTTCCTGCAAGGCGTTAACGGCTGATCTCATCTATACACATATACCATTCTGGCAGTCATTTTCGCCAACCCCTTGTACAATATTAATAATCCCCTTTCTTATCTTTCTCCGGCATGTCTCATGGTTTTCCTTCCTCGGTCTGGGCGGAACGAAACGGCTGTGGTATCGGATCATCTTTCCTTGCGCTATCTCATCTAGCTATCTGATTCCTCAGTTCCTTTTTTTCTCTCCTTCCCTTCAGGCTGGCAAACGAAAATCGTAGAACGCGGCTATGCCGCGGCAGTGGGACGCTGCGTCTATTCTTATTCCGTATTCCTTCCTCTTGCTTTTCTCTTTCTCGCTGTTCCCTGGCTTTTTCCGCAACGCTATTCTTATTGCGAGGGATCGGACACAAATTGCACAGCTCCGATCGAAGAAAGAGCGTCTAGACTGTTTTTTTAATCCGCTCGAGCGTTGGGGATCCTTGGACTGGGTTGGGATGGGTGGTTGCATTTTCGATACCTTTTGACATGATGAAATTGATTCTTGTGTGGTGGTAACGCTCTAGTTTCTGCTCGTGAACGTGAAGCATGCTACGTGATCCAAAGTTATCAGCTATTACTTGTAGACGCTACAACGGGGCCATCAGTGAAGGTATCACAAGCAGCCTATGACGCCCCAAATCTGGCCCAATCAATTCCTGCCCACGCCTTCAGCGGCCGTGGCTTTGTCATTGGCAGTCACCTGAATCAGACCAGCACTCAATGTCGCCACTTATTCCTCATGCGCTACCAACACAGTCCAGTCACCCGCATACAATGGGCAAAACCCGGCCAACGAGACCGGCGGCCGTCGATCGGTGAGTTGCAGTCAGCGGAACGATAATCAACAAAGAAAGAGTCCGCTGGAGGGACTTCCGCTTCCGTATCTCGGATGTGAGAGTGAGGTGGCGACATCAAGAATGTGGTGGGTGGCATGTATTGGTGTGGCGACTTGGGGGCTGAATAATTGTTCGAGAGAAAAGGCTTTGGCTAGGTCACATCCTGTTAACTTCGTGATGTGCTGACGGTGATATGAGTCACCAATTGCGAAAGCTGTTGCCTACGGTCAAGGCAGAAGCACAGCGTGGACAGCACCCAAGGGAAGGGCTGATGGCAATTACGAGGGAGATGACGCCTCTCGGACCCGGGACGTGGCCTCGAAGGATTGCAAGCCTGTACCTGTATTGGTCGTGTGGTCTATGTCTTGAAGGCAACGCCAAGGCAAATGTAGGGGACATTGTGATGAATTACAAACACACCGTGTGCCCTTCTTATGAAGGCAGATTCTAGATCACCAAAGGAAGCGAGTTGCACTACTAAATCTAGTGCTTTTATTTGGCGTTCACTTATCTCTGTTGAACAGGATGGTATGGAAGCGTGGCGGCGGAGCTCATCTAGGCCTTTCAATGTCCTCCTGATATCCAGGCTCCCGTCTTACCATGCAAGAACTGACGCCTAACTGCAACAAAAGCATTCGACATCGTCAGAAAGACCACCTCGCAAGGCAAAGGAACGTAGTTTTGCCATGTGCAAGATGCTCTCGTTCATGAGAGTATGCATCTTAGCAAATCTTATATGCGGCCCCGGAGGTCCGCAAGGTATCCAGCTTTCTGGTAGGTTGTATACATATACACACGGTGGCACATGAAAAGCGCAGAGCCCTCATACCCCGGTGCCCGGAAAAGCGCCTTTCTTGTTCAGCACAACCATGGAGTGTTCCCTGGAGATGTATCCCTTTATGAAGCCCTAAGAGCTGTTAGCTTGTATTCATGGGAGGGACGCAGTAATACTGAAGATGGAACAGGCGACGGGGCAATGGATAAAGGCCGCGTAGGTACACTGTGGATGGTGCGGGGCTTGTGGAACTGCCAAAGATTACATACCTTGTATATCTGGTTTGCAAGTATGCACTCGACCTCCTCGTCCTCGATCACCTGGCCATTCGCCTGCCCTCCCGTTCGCATGCGCAGCGCAGCTGCAAAATGTGACAATGGTATCCTACTCCTTCGTACTCGGTCCGCTTCGGTCTGACCTTCTTTCAGCTCTTCGAAGCCGGCAGCGAGAAACACCTTGCGCAGGAGATTCCGGACGGCTACATCGCGGCCTCTTTCAAGGGTTAGGTATATCCGACGCTTGACAAACTCGTCCTCAGCGTCCACCAAGGCTCGGTCAAATCCAGCTAGGTCCCCAGTTTTGATACAAGCTACCAGGGGCCCAAAGATCCGTTTGAGGCGTGGATAAGACGAGAGCAGTGCTTGAGTAGGAATATTGTGTGTGGTTATCAGGCGACATGGTATTAGATAAGTCAAGATCAACCTGGGCATGGGTCAATTATGAAGCAGCATCCTTATCGAACAAGCTCACTCTTGGTTTTTCGTTGAATCGGGGAGGCAAAGATCCCAAGCTTGGGTCAAGCACTTTTCGGCCTGTAGGTTCCGTCAGCTCAGTAAATACCCTCTAATCGCTCTTCATATCGGGCCACTGACTCTCTCATAGTTCTCTTGCAGAAACGCGAGAACCCCAACATAGTAGTTGTATGTCACTCTATGCGATGCCGGAAATTGTTGGAAGGGAGGCAGGTCGGATTGCGCTTCGACTGACCTAACGATGTTCTTGGACAAGCTTACGTTTTTGAGCTGTTTAAAAGTTAAAGTATGGTTCCTTCAAACGTACTGTAATCATACCTTGAAGTAAGTTTTGAATTGGAGATTGGCCACATAATACGTTCCCCATTTTCGTGATGAATTCAAATCTGGGTTCCTATCGAGGTATCAGTACAGCGCGTACGAACTGAGACACAGAACTTACCTGTCTCCCGAGCACAGGGCAAACATTCTGTTGTAAACACGAGCTGTGTCCTCGAGCTTCTCACTTCGCGGGACATTGCTGCTCACGATGTCATCTTGGAATACAGAGTTGGAGGTCGTGGCCCCTTTGGTTTTGGAAATTTGCTCATCCGCCTTGATGGCAAGCTTTCTTAGATGATTCGCGGTAAAGTACATGGCAATGAGAGCCCAAGGAGGCATTGCTCCATCCTGTAGGTGCTTCATGAACGCATTTACGAGCTCTTTCCAAGCATCATACACATCTATGCAGTGTCGGTCTCCAAGCCTGCCTTGATTCGAGGCCTCTTCTGCTCTGAGAATTGCGCCTACAGCCCTCCAGTACTTCACGAAGATATCAGTCCATGCGGCCAACTCGTCGTACTTGGTCAGCTCGGCTTTCTTGGCTTTGTTTGTGTATTTCAGAGCGCTGCGTATTTCCGGTTCGACCTGGTGCTCGTTCGAAGCACGATGAAAGTCATATAATCGAGCGGGATCATCTCGAGGAGCGACTGGGCTGAGGAGAGCGGCGATGGTATATGCGTCGCCATTCGCGTGTGCTATTCTGAAAGGTTCGAGTGCTCTCTGCATGGCGAATTGCGGTTACACATTCAAGCCATTAGTTGCCGGTTTTGGACAAGGTTGGACGAGGACAGATTCGATTATTAGGGCATGCCGTTGCGATTGCGCGTTGTTATTGCATCCTGTGAAGCTCGCGGGGTTGAAGTTGGTCGTTCATGGTTTCTGATTGGCGAGGCCCGAAGCGGACTAGCGCCTCGCACGATTGAATAGCGAACCCAAAATCCTCACCTTCCGACCGTCAACCTCGACAAACACTAACCAGCCAGCAGCCAGCAAGGTGAGTTTTTGATATTACTGTGTATGGTTGTTTTTCTAACTTGCATGTAGATGGGTAAGCATTCACCTCCTTTCCAGCCTCCCGCGCAGCCCTGCAATTGCAATCCAATCCTGAGAGGCCGAATCTCGTCGCGACCCGCGAATCGATATCATGGCCGTATGGACAACTGGGGATTGTGAGGAGGAATAGATTATTTCAGGACTGGCATGACGAGCGTGGGAGATGGACTGAGGATTTCAAAAGGCGTGATAGACTTGGACAATATCGCACGTTCCTCGCACCCACGACGAACCCACCTGAATGAACCATGGCACACGACACGGCTCGGATTACTGAGTCCTCTCATTTTGGAAAGCAATCGCAGGCACTGGGCAACAGGATTGAGCGAGGATAATAGGTACTGACGGTGTGTTAGGTCGTCTTCACGAGTACCAGGTCATCGGCCGCCATCTGCCCACCGAGGCCAACCCGACCCCTAAGCTCTACCGCATGCGCATCTTTGCGCCTAACGATGTGGTCGCTAAGTCGAGGTTCTGGTACTTCCTCGGCAAGCTCAGGAAGATCAAGAAGGCGAACGGCGAGATCGTCTCCCTGAACGAGGTGTGTCATCCTGAGCTCTTCTACCACCTCATTTTGCTGATGACCTTCAGATCCACGAGAAGCGTCCCGAAAAGGTCAAGAACTTTGGCATCTGGATCCGCTACGACTCTCGCTCAGGAACCCACAACATGTACAAGGAGTACCGTGAGATGTCCCGCACCGATGCGGTCCACGCCCTGTACCAGGATATGGCTGCCCGCCACCGGGCCCGTTTCCGATCCATCCACGTACGTCCACCGAGACGTCGGACGCAAGTTCATATGCTAACCCAGTCTGCAGATCCTCAAGGTCGTTGAGGTCACCAAGACTGCCGACATCCGCCGCCCATACATCAAGCAGCTCCTGGAGAAGAACCTCAAGTTCCCTCTGCCCCACCGTGTCAACAAGACCACCAGCAAGAAGATCTTTGCTGCCCGCCGACCTTCGACTTTCTTCTAAGCGTGTTTTCCTTCTGTGGAGTGCAAACTGGATGGGCCCGGATGATATGGCTTTTGGGGGTTCTTCTGCATGGCTTCAAGGATGAAGTATACTAGGCACGAATCAAAATCCCTAAAATGTTCAATCCAAATCAGGCGAAAAGGGCGTGGTGAGAGGGTGTGACGGCACAAATGTGTGTCGGGACGGAATACCCGAGTCCTAGAGCACCAGCGCATGGCCACCATGTGGGTGAGATAGCAATGAAGAAATGATTGCTGACGACTCGATTCGTTTTCGTTTCAGTTCGACCATGGACACCATGCCTCAGAAACCTTCTAAATCTTCGGCTTGGCTACAGGACCTCCCTTGGCTCTAACATCGATTGGCATCCACCACGGATATGCTAAGACATTTGTGTTCTCCATGGTACCCGTGAACTTGGGAGGTCTCTTCTGCAAGAAAGACTCAACTCCTTCCATGTTATCCCTATTCCATGTCAGTATGGCTAATTCAGCGTAGTGATCGATATGAGACGACTTACGGAGTCTGGAATAGCTCATAAATAACCCTAGAATCCAACAAATGCTGGCCCTCTGCGCTCCCAGCATCACGATACATAAGCTCCTTCATAAGAAACGTGCTCACCGTACTCGTATTCCTCGCCACCTCCTCCGCAATCTCGAGCGCCTTGGGCAGCACCTCCTCAGGCCTCTCCATCGTATACGCGAACAAATCGCGGAACACGGGATCGCTAGCCAGATACGTCTGGCCCGTGGTGACGGCCTGCATGGCGCGCGAGTGGCCGATGAGCCGGGGCAGGAAGAAGGACGAGCAGGCTTCCATGATGAGGCCGCGGCGGGCGAAGACGAAGCCGATTTTTGCACCCTTGTAGGCGACGCGGATGTTCATGGGGAGCGTCATGGTGATGCCGATGCCGACGGCGGAGCCTTGCAGGGCGCCGATGGTGGGCTTGCGGCAGTGGTGGATGGCGAGGGTTACGCGGCCGCCGCTGCGTGGAGTGGTTTGGTTAGTATTTTCTCCCTTCACGGCGTTGTTGGGCATGTGGCCTGCGAAGCTGGAGGGTGGGGGGTAGGATATGTGTGAAATGTGAAGAGGGCATACCCATCCCTATGCTCATTTGCCGCCTCATCCGTCTTCCTGAAACCAATCTCCAGATCTGCGCCTGCGCAGAAGATGCGTCCGTGGCCCGTAACTACGATAACACGCACGCGGTCATCAATGTTGAACATGCTGTACGCCTGCTCGATCTCCAGCATCATGGTGTTCGTGAAGGCATTGTTGTTCTTGGGGCGATATAGCGTGAGGATGATGATGGAGGGGTCCTTTTCGTAGTGCTGGGTTTTTATCTGCGTGAAGGGGAGGTCATTGTAGGATTTGGGGAGTGTGATGTTGGGGTTGGGGCTCGCCATTGAATTATTGTTAGTGAGGGGAGGTGGAGGAGGTGGAACTGGATTTCAGGAGGCTGGGGGAGGATAAGTCGAGGAGAGTTAGTCGAAGGGATCAAGCTACATCTCAATGTCCAGCGGACCTGTGCCGCTTCATGTTCATCTACTGCTTGTTGGAAGTGGAGAGTCGGGAATGCTGAGATGAGCCGAGGTTGGGAGTTCTGCTTGGCGACAGTGAGCCACTGACGACGCCGAGTCGAAGTTAATGAGTCTGTTGGGAACAGTATGACTGTCCCATATTTTGCCGTTTCGGTCCACGGTAGGAGAAAGGAAATCAGATGAGAAGAGCGGAAAGTGAAGCTTAAGAGAAAAGCGCCATAACCAATGCAGTGACGCCGTTGCCTTAGACGCATTTCATGCCCTTTCCCAAGCTCCTCAATGTGGTATCATTAATATACAGCTCCATCAGTGGTTATATCCACCCTCTGCAAAAGCTCGCGCCATTTCTCTTGCGATCCCTAACCTTAATACCCTGATGACATCGCTCCCTTTCGCGTCTTTGTCGAACCCCTTTCTCCAATCCCAGGCCCTCTTTGCGTCATCGACTGTACCACCTTTTACCAGCACCGTGCTGCTATCTGTGCTCTGCCCTTCGATAGAGCCAAAGTCGGTGCTGCCGATTAGAGAGTATTGACTGGAAGCCGTAGTCAAATTGGAAGTAGACTTCTGCATTAGGGAACGAGACGACGGCGCTCGACCATCGTGGGCTGCCGTGAGGGTCGTGGAGAGCACTTCTTCGCACTGTGCGCGAATCATGCTCGGAGCCGTGTCCAGGTCTTCCACTGCTGCCAAAAGCGAGTACAAGTGTTCCAGAGTGAGTGTGCGTTTGCTCTGATTGACAAAAAGGAGGGCTTCCCCGAGAAGAGGAAGCAACACATCCACCTGCACCACAGTCTCCACTTCGGGGTCGTAAAGCCCTCCTCGAATACTGGAAGCTGCACTGGAGATGATGACCATCAAAGCGTTGGCTGCGGCACGTTTCCTAGCCATAGGTCTATGTGCTGGCTTCTGTCCGTCAGTTGCGAGAATGCACTCATCCCGAAGATCATAGAACCTCCGAATCGTGGCGTAACCACTGAGGTGGTTCGACAGCATATGTGCAGCATCTGCGTCCAATGACGCAAGCTTCGTGAGCGTCTGCTTTGGTGACATTATCAGGGCTTTGAGGCTCTCGTCAAGCTCGGCGGACGGCGGATATGCTATGGATTTTACCAAGCAGTGAGCCACGAGCACGCGGAGGACCTCTTGTATCTTGCCCGTCTGATGTGCACGTGCATAATACAATAGCGTGTCGCCGTAATTCTGCGTGCTGTTCCGAAGACGCTCGGCATAACTCTGCGGCATGGTTAGAGTGAGGTTCGGAACGTTTCGACATTGGGCTTACCAGCGCGATATTTCGGGCATGTTTAATCAGGCCCATGCTGTGACACAGTTGGGTAATCTTGTCAACGCGTTCTGACGAGTCAAGCTTGAGGTCGCGGAGAATAGTGTCGATCCGTGAGTCTCGACGCTGATGGTCATCTAGTCGTTCCAGAACTCTGACTGCCATTTCCCAACCCTCCCGTACGGTCTTGTCGTCCGCAGTGCGGAAAACGTCTCTTGAAGCCAATTGATCCGCGTATGAGATCAACAAGTCGTCCTTGGAAAGGCCTGTCCGTGGCTGCTCATTGTTGTAACTGAGCACCATAAGGTCGCTTTCATCGAACTGGTCCATGATGCCACCTGGACGGCGGAACCAGTCTCCACTACTGGCCACTTCTGCCACAGCAGATGCCAAAAGTAAAGACCAGCTACGTAAAATGTGCAATGCTCCTTCGATATTGCCATCAAGGACGCATGCTAAGGCAACTTCCACGCGGTCTGTGGGATCGATACCGAACTCCTCCTCCTTGCTCTCGACAACAGCTGCAAAGGAGGCCGCCAGGCGATCACAGTAGGCCTTTATCGGTGTCACATCCACGTCACGCACCCTTTGCGAGGACCGCGCCACGGAACGGCGGCTCGCAGCAAATGACCCTTGCGGTATATCCTCCTCATCCCCATTCCACCAAACCGTGAGCCCTATCACAGCCTCCAACCAATCTCCAGCTGCTGCCATGATATCCTCTTCTCCGCCCAAGAGCAGTCGATACAGCCGGCTCAAATTCTCGTATATGGACCAGGGCACTCTGCTCTCAGCTTTGCGACTGGCGACACTTAGGTTGAAGTCATTTTGGGATTGAGACAGCCCAAAGTGTTGGGCTTCGAAATTTTGCGAGATACTGTGCCGACTTTGGCTGCTTCCCTCGGCGTATTCCTGTAGATCTTTCATAGCCAGTTGTACTCGTTTTCTAAATATACTCCATTCGTGACCCCTGATATCCCAGTCGTCAGATGCTACAGCAGGGCATTCGTGGAGGAGCTCTATTGCCGCGTGTACAACCTGATTTGTGTTATAGAGATGGTCGCCACTATAGCCATCGTCTCCTAGCCCATCGGCTGCGGCTGTTTCTGCCACAGCGAAATTTGCACCTTTGAGCAACCTTAGGGCGTCCGCAAAGTTGCCTCGTACCACGGAGAACAGGACTGCATCCCAAAACGCCTCGTGGGCCGAGTACCCTTCCTTCTCTCGCATAACCAAGGCAACTTCAGATAGAGCTGGCGTGAATTTGTTCAGCCAGTCCAGTAAAACGCGCGGGATGGGAGTATAGCGTGCGGGTTCCGACCGCCGGGCCACAAGGGACAACGACGATTGTTGATCTTGATGAAGAATGGGGGTAGGATGATGGATACTGAGAAGAAGACTCGTTAATTCATGTGCGTCGATTAAGGACTGATCTCTGGTTGCATTTGCCGAAACTTCCAACACAGCCAGCAGCTCTCGAGAAGCTTCACAGAGCAGTGCGGTCCGGCGTTCTGGAGCATCCGAAATGAAGGACTCATGCAACTTTTCTAGCAGCTCTTCAATCGCCAGGATCACGTCATCGGGCTCTCGCAAAGTCGGTCGCTCAACATTGGAGGTAAGGCCTTTGGCCATGTTGGTTAGATCGTACTGCGATTGCTTGACTCCAGCTCGGACCATCGGAGCAACTAGAACATCGTCCGTGAGACTGTTTCGAGACATTATCGATTGAGAAAGCCGAGGATTGCCGCGCGACCGAATGTCATAGTGCTGACCGTGTAAAGCATCTTCCTCGTCCTCGGCCATATCATCCTCCTCCTCCTCTTCCTCTTCCCCCTCCTGGGCGTCGTCCTCCATGTCCTCGTCTGCCTCCTCGGAGCCCTCTGCATCTTCGTCATCCTCCTCATCATCCGGAGGACTGCTGGGAACGCGGAAGCCACTGGTGGTCTTCCCACGCTGGGAAGTTGGTCGCGGTGACGTGGGTGCGTGGAAGAGACCACTCCCGACGCCGGTTAACTCGGTTTTGGGAGGAGAGCTGTTGAAGTCGGTTCGGTTGAAATTGAAGCTCCCGGGGTTGGAGGGATTCAAACGGGTAATGCCAAAGTTGAGACGAGCCGGTGGTGGACCTGCTGGAGTGGAGGATGGTACAAAGGATAACGAGCGTCCTGGTGGAGGCCCTGCTGGGGTAGTGGAAGGGCCATTGCGATCGGGAGAAATGGTCGCGTCGCGAAACATTGCGGTAGAGCTCCGGTGAGGCTCCAACAGTTCTCCCGTGCGCGTCGTCTTGAATCGATGCGCGTTCTTCGGTAGTTGGTCGATAAAACGGGTTTCCGACGGTGCACTTGAGCTTCGGGAAGCTACGCGCGTCTTTCAATCGCCCCGAAGAAGACGAGGGTGTAAAGAGCTGAAGAGACAACTGCTTAAACAGACCATCACGAGAAACAAATGCGGCCTTGACGAACCCCAATCTCGCGGCCAAACTATTCTCCGCACATCCGAGAGAGCGGCTTGGCGTCGAGTTCCCTCATTTGCTTGGCATGCTTCTCTCTTCCACGCGGTTTTGCCACACGGGGACTGGATGCTGTGTCATCATACCCGAGTGGGTACCATTATCATTCTGTGCTACGCCCTGGGTACCAAAAAAAACGGAGTTCTCACGTCGCCTTTCCCAAGGACCCAAAGACCGTCGAAACGTTGGCAGCCCGTCAGCCCAACAATGAGGCCTGCTTATGTATCGCCAGCGTCGCTGCGGCTTGGGTCCGCGAGGAGGTGTCCTTGTGCCGAATCAGATGTTGCGCCCGCAGTCCTAGCCCCCCCATGTTCCATATTCGGACTTCATACATGATACCACGCGCATTTCGCCCATGTCTTCAATATATCTGCACCGGACTACGAGGGCACAACGCTCGCAACGGCGGATCGCTGCAGGGGCGTCTTCTTGTTTGGTGATGATTAAGGTACACTGTGCAGGGATGCGCAGCTGATGATGAAGACTGACCACGAGCGAACGCCCACTGACATGGCTGGAGTTGGCTCGCCCGAACCTGTTGGCAAAAAACGCCGCTGCCGTCGCCTAGCGGCGCCGCCTTGGGACTGACTGCCTATGACATATACAGATGATGCCCCTGCTCAGGCTGCTCTGCCCGCAAACGTCCCATTCATACACGCCTTGTTGTCTCTGCCCTACTGCAACTCCACCCACTGTTCGTTTTCGTTTCTCACGGCGTTGACTGCGACCTATGTCGGATTCTGATCGCGCCGCTTCTTAAGCACTTTGCCGTTCGTTCACTTTTCGAGGGCTTGCGCTCCGAGCCATGGTGCACAAGCAGGGCATCTGGGCGAAAACAAAGACCGGCAGCAAGGCTGGCTTCGATAAACTGTACGGATGGGTGGACAAACTCGGGCCCCCGATAAACAGGCTCTCAAACAAAGTGGGCGCTGAAGCTTTTTGGCCGACAACTCTAGACAAGGAAAGCGACAAGGCCGCCAGGATTCTGAGGAGCTTCTGCAGTATGCCAACCTTCGCGAGTAGGTGCGAAGACTTGCTAACTAGCAATAGAGGATGGCTTCTACGTCGAAGAGGAGACCCCAAACACAGATGGCCCGAAATCGAAGCAGAAGGTGGTCAAGAAGATCCCGCCAGAGGTACGTCCCTTGGCCCTGCTTGCCTGTAGAGTGCGCGCATATTTCACCTGTTTGCGCCGCTTGCGCAAATAGTGCATACAATTACGGCAAGACGCCTCAGGCTTTATGAACGTTGGGCAGGGACCTTGATACTAACCGCAACCTTTGCAGGTGATCAAGAATGCCAAGGGACTCGCTGTTTTCACGGTTATGCGAACGGGGCTGTGGGTTTCCGGCGCCGGAGGCAGTGGAATACTCATTGGCCGCAAAGAGGACGGGACGTGGTCTCCACCGTCGGGCATCATGCTCCATACCGCAGGGTTAGGCTTCTTAGCAGGAGTGGACATATACGATTGCGTGGTCGTCATCAACACCCAGAAAGCCCTCGAAGCCTTCTCCAAGATACGATGCACGTTGGGGGGCGAGATCAGCGCTGTTGCAGGTCCTGTTGGCGTAGGAGGCATGCTAGAGACTGAGCTTCACAAGCGTCAAGCACCAATCTTCACCTACCTGAAGTCGCGGGGCCTTTACGCAGGAGTACAGGTCGATGGAACGATCATCATTGAACGGACAGACGAGAACGAGAGATTCTATGGCGAGCGCATTGGTGTCAAGGAAATTTTGGCTGGCAAAGTCCGACATGCCCCGTACGAGACACGGAGGCTTTTAGAGACCCTCAGAGCCGCCCAGGGGGATACCGACTTTGACCAGTCCCTGCTACCTGACGAGGCACCCCCCGCAGACTTTGAAGTTGAGAGCGAGAAAAAGGTATTTGGAGTACCAAACAGTGAGGATCCAGATCCTTTCGGAGTGTTGGCTCTGGAACAAGCGGGGCTCGAGATCAGAGAAGCCGGCACTCGGAGAAGGCCGACAAGCGAGCAGTTCGAATTCAAACCTAGTCCAACTAGTCCTATATACACGACATTCCGGCATAGCATGGATCGCTCGACCATGGAGGCAAGAAGCAGAAGATCAAGCTGGCGGACAAGCGCTATGAGCAGTATCGCGGAGAGCCGTCAAAGTATAATGGTAGATTCAGAGACTCAAACGGACCTTGAAACTCCTTCGTCGCCACAAGAGAACTCAAACCTGCCACCCACACCTGGACCGCCGTCGAGTAGTGGGATGAGAGACATACCAGAAGAAAAGAGCATAGACGATGCGAGGAGAGCAAGCGCTTCCCAGACAGATGATATCAAGGACGAGCCCCATCCAAAGATCTCAGTTGAAACAGCAGCAGAGGAAGAGGAAGAACGGGCACTCACGTCAGAAAAGGGATATGAAGATGATAACAACAAAGCAACAAGCGTCGACGATATGAAAGACATATCGACTTTCAATTCAAACTCATCATCGGGGTTCGTTGATGAACACCTCGACGACGATGCGGACGACGATGTGGAACTGGTAGAGCCGGTTACATATCTGCAAGCTTCCGCTCCGCAAATGGTCACCCGCGCACGCATCGTCACTGTTCCGAAACCTGTCCCTCCGAAGCTACCGCCCCGAAGCCCGCTTCGCAAGCGACATTCTGATAACTCGAACTTCTCCAGCGAGGGCAACACACCTGGCGAATCACGCGATATGGCCTGCGGCCCTTCTCCTGACCATCCAGGGTCGCCGCCAACGCCCTCGCTTCGAAATGATGCGTCATCCGGTTATTCGTCTCATGAGAGCGTATCCTCGATGGAAGCATTGGGACCGACCGATCATCAGCCAGTGGCGAAAGGCAAACTGAACGCCTTACAAAAACAAGAGGACAACGCATTCATTTCTGCGCCTTCGTCCCCGCCTAGGCAAGTACCAGGCAGCTTCCATTGAGGGAAGTGCTTTTAATGATCCGACGTTTTGTGGGAGGGATCAGTGAGTTCCACTGAACATTATTTTGTGTCACGAGGATATCTGTATTTGGGTAAGATTACTTCTGGCCCTCAAGCTCCCTTGGGTATGGCGTATGGCATTTAATGACTTATTATGGTATCATGTATATGCTTATGAAAGGCGCATTTGGAGGATTTTGGTCTAGTGAACCTCGTGCTGGTATGTGGCCATGGTATGTATGAGGTGTGGTATCCCACAGGTGCGAATCACGAATAGTCAACAGTATTGTTTATTACATATATATATATATATACTTTTTTTTTGCTTTCATCGAGAGGGTTACAATCCTGATTGTGAGTGCAGACGAATATATGCACTGAAGCAAATCCAGACCAGCCACGACTGCGCCACACTAACCTAACTTTGCCAAAGAGGTCCATGCTCAAAAAGTTCCAACATTGAACATCAACCGCCCGAAAATATCACCACACATCATCCCGAAGCGCACACCTACTCCCGCCCGGAAAAATAACACCCCCATACGCCGAGGGTTTCAACGCACACACGAAATCCCATGGCCTCGAACAAAGCAGCCAAACGGCCACCAAAAACCGTCTCCGGCTTCGCAATCCTCCCGCTCACCCTCCCCTCCCTCCCCAGCCTCCCATCCCAATGCAACGATGCGAAACACTACCTCTACATAAAACCGCACGAGCCCTCTCATCCGGACCCAGACGCGGACCGCAGCCTCTTCATCTCCAACGTCCCCTTCGACGCCAACGAAGCGAATCTGCGGACGCTGTTTGCGGAGCAGTTCGGCGGGCTGAGGGTCGAGAGGGTGGAATTCGATGGCTCCGTGCCGGCGGCGCCGAGTTGGAAGCGGTATAAACATGCGCCTGTGGTTTCAATGGCAGCAGGGTCTTCAGGCAGGGGGAGGAAGAGGAAGAGGGATGAGGAGGTTGTTGCGGAGGGGGTGGTAGAAGATGAGGAGAGCGCGTTACCACGGGTGTGGAAGGGGGAGTTGAGGCCGAGTGGAGCGTGTGCCGTCGTGGTGTTTGTCGATAAGGCGAGCGCGAGGGGGGCGTGGAAGGAGGTTCGCGCGGCTGTGAAGGAGGGGAGGGAAATCAGATGGGTGGGTGGGGAGGTGGTGTTGGGTGTGCAACGTAGGTGGCTCCCTTTTATTCTTCGTCTTCTCGGATTTTCTTGACGTCGACCCTGGTGATGGACTTAGCTGGTGCTAACAGATTCAACTGCAGGCTACAAACAACACCACGCGCTAACCTTCCCCGCCAAACCCCTCTTGCAATCCAGCATAAACGCCTACCTCTCCCAATTCACCGCCGCCGAAACTGCACGCAACCGCCTGCGCCTCAAAGCGCGCTCCGTCCCCGACGAAGACGGCTTCATCACCGTTACAAGAGGCGGTCGCGCGGGCCCCGCACGGCTCGAGGACGCGGAGAGGAAGCAGAAGGAGCTGGAGGAGAGGAGGAAGAAGAACGGGGTGAAAGATGACTTTTATCGGTTTCAGACGAGGGAGAAGAGGAAGGAGAGGGAGGTGGAGTTGCGGAAGGCGTTTGAGAAGGATAGGGAGAGGGTCGAGGAGATGAGGAGGAGGAGGGGGAAGGTTAGGGTTATGGAGTAGGCTGGGGAGATGCAACAGGGAGGATACCCTTCTGAAAAGAGTTTCTTTTGCCTTTTGGGCTGTGGAAATGGTATGCACTTGAGCACCAGCGATATGTCATGACATGTGGTCTTCTTGTAACTGGCTCTATTATCTATGCACAGGCTCCAGGGACTGCCAAAGCGTCGTTCCGCTTTGACAACATCTCGCAACTTGATCCCCTTCCAAGGGCGACCGGAGCGTCTCACGGGCTCTTACAACTAGGTAGGCCCTTTTCATGTACGATGAATTGCGAGTTTCACAAAGCGGCTGTCCCATTCCGACAGAGCAGTTGGGCGTGGCAGTCATATGGCATACGCCACGACTACTTTGATCGTGCCTCCGTCATCGCATTATATCACGCCTTAACACGGAACGCCACTCATGTCAAAAGTATAATCTACGAAATTGCGTTGCATTCATTGACCAAGTAATCTAACCTACAGAAGAAATTGCAAGGAAATGTTTAGTCGAACGTGGAAAGCCGTGGTAGATCCCCCTCAGCATTTTTTTTTTCTTCTTCTTTTCTTATTAACACTTTGGATGCCCTAAACATAGGGAGCGATCCGGCGAGCCCCTGCGGTGGCGATCATTGCAAACGGTAATCTTCTGCTGACAGCAAGCCGACCCTTGCTTGGGCGAGGGCTTCGTATGCACCTTCTCCCAGACGAGCGACGGCAGACCGTTGGGGAAGGTTTCACTGGCCTTGAGCGAGTGACACTCCCAGTACATCTGGCCTTCGGTGAGATGGAGGATGCGGTTGCAGAGGAGACGCTCCATGAGTACCCAGGCGCGTGTATCCCAGGCGAAGCCGGCGGATTGCCAGACCTTCTGGAGGTGGCTGGGCGTGGACGGCGATGTGGATGATGATGATGCTTCGGAAGTCATGTCAGTCGATATGACAGATTCGTTGGCGTGGCCGACGACGATGGTTATGAGGGCGTTGCGGTAGGTCGATGCCATCTGGGCGCATTCCTGTTGTTTGTCCGCCTCCGAGTCCTGGATTACGCAGAGCGAGTCGACCCAGATGTAGCGTAGGCCCATATGTTCTGCTGCCGTGATGGCGTCGTTGAGCTGCGTGGAAAGCATGGGTCGCGGAATCAGGCAAAGGTCGGTCTCCAGCATCGCAGAGGATAGGGTAAGGTCGTCATCGCCCCAGGTATAGTTGAGCGCGGCATACTCGACAGGACCGGCCAACTCGGCGGTGTCAATGAGTCGAATGCTCTGTAGTCTATCCGCACCGTTGTCCGCCTCATCAGGCCGGATATCCAGTAGGCGAGTGGGTAGTTTGCCGGCCTCGGGTGAGCGTGAATGGCAGGATTCATGGCCGTGGGTACACTTGTCAAGCCACTCCTTCAGCTGTACCGGCGATGGGTTTGGCTGGGGTATTTGCGACAGCGGCAAGACACCAGGGCTGGTTACCTCATCAAGTCCCTTGTTGAATTCTTCCTTGAGGAATTGTTGCACCATGTCCAGCTCTTCATGCGGTGCTGGGAAGGACGCTTGCTCGTTCGCCCACGCCAGACAACACGCCGCAGGCGTGAAGATTAGTGCCAACTCGGCTGCTGTGGGACGTTCGCTGGGCTCCATCCTCAGTGTGGACTGAATCGTCTGTAGGGCTACCAGCTCCTTTGCGTTGGTTGCCTGGTCCGTGAAGGTGCACAGCCAACCGTGCAAGCCAGCAAGATCCTGCCAGTAATACTTGCCATGGCGTCCGGAGAACTGCTTCCGGAACTCTAGCGTTTGAGTTCCGCTCCTGTCCAGTGCAGTAACCAGCATCTCAATGAAGACACATCCCAGACTCCAAATATCGGCGGCTTGATCGCGCTTCACACCCGATGGAATTTCCGGTGCGCAGTAGCGGCGAGTTAGTGGCGCGGTATCCTCCTGCTGATCGGTAAATGAGCTGACACCGAAGTCGCTCAGGATTACATGCGGCATCTCCCCGTTGTTGTGCATGACCAAGATGTTCTGCGGTTTGATGTCGCCATGTGTGATTACGGGGCGCTGCTCGTGGAGGTACCTGATCGACGAAACCAGGCATCCGAACATGTTCAAGACCGTGTCCAGTAGGCCAACAGGTCTCTGTATCTCCCCAGTCTGCATGCGCTGGAGCCATACGGCTAGCGTCGTGTCTGCGACAGGTGTGAGAAGGATCGAGACCTTCTCATCCTTGGCATAGGCACCGAGGAAACGGATAATATGGGGATGGCGGAGCTTCTGAAGAACACCGACTTCCTTCTTGAGCTCTTCAATCGCCGACTCTTCGCGGTTCTTCAGTGTCTTGCGACTGATCCTGAGCTTTGTATCTTGATGGACGACTTCATCGACTGTACTGAAGCCACCAGCACCAAGGAGCTTGACACTTAGGAAGGACTGCGACTCCAGGTAGGGGTCCCCTGGTGAGGCAGATCTTCTATCTTCGAGTAGCGTGTTGACGTCTGAATACCACAGGGAGCCATTACCGGCTCCCTTGCTCGTTGGATCACCTTCCAGCGCCTTTTCATGAAGGACCATCTAAACCTATCAGTTATGTTCAGGAGGATTCTAGATGTTGAAATTACCTTTTGTTTGAAGTCTACCGTTTCACTAACAATGCCACTGTGATCATCATCAAGGTTCTGCACCTACGCCAGAGTCAGTATCGGCCATCTAATGCATGGAGGGAAAGGGACGTACCGCAGACTGATTCTCGTGTGAGTGATGGCACGTGTAAGGCATCAGGCCTTGTGTTACGGGTGGAAGTAATGGTGGGGGAGGAAGAGAGGGCCCTGGGATCAGCGATACCGTGGTGTTCAAACCATCGTCACAGCAACTCTCGAGCGAAGGTAGGATGGTTGCCTCAGAGGCACCCACGTTCTTCTCCAGCCGGCACGCATCCTGAGTGAACGTTGAGCACCGCTCTTCCTTACCCTGATCCAATCCCACCTCTTGTAGCACCAGGTTCATACCAGATACTTCTCCGACCTTGAAGCACTCTTCGTCTGCGAGCTGGCACCCAGAAGGCTCCCCTGAACTCTGGTTTGAGCCAGATGCGGGCACAGCGTCCGATAGCTGGGTCGAAAGGTATTGGTATTGGCCGAATCCGCCGAAGGGATTGTAGCCGTTGCTGCCATCACCGCCTTCGTCCTGCTTGCCGCCCGAATAGTCTTGCCCATCAGGTCGGCCGCTGGACGGACCCTCACCGCCCTGGAAACTATCGGGGGCATTGTTGTCATCGCCGCTATCATCGTCGCCCTCATCTGGGGATTGGTCGTCTTCTGGATCCTTCCAGTCTAGCATGCACTTCCCGTTCGCAAAGTGCTCTGCGATATGATCGATTCTGTCCTGCCTGGACTCGAACCGGTGAGTGCAGAATCCACAGTGGCGGGGGAAAGTGGAGTCGGTACGGATCAGGGAGTCCTTCTCATAGTCTTCAAAATTCATGCCTGGGTGAATGTTCCCAAAATGCTATTACCGTCAGCAACATGTAATGCGAGACGCGTACCAAGGCTCTCCGCAACTGCACACCACCCTGCAATTCCTCCATCTGTCCTGAGCCTCCCGACTGTTAAATCGAGCCTGGAAAACAGCAGGACAGAGGAAGCGCAGGCGCGTGTTCAGTCGGATCAGATGAGAGGCAGTATAGACCGATACAATACTTACCTGTTTGAAGTGATATCGTCTAAAGCATGGCTTCACCTTGTCAACCCCCTGGCTGATGCACAAGCTACATTTCCACGACACAGCAGGATACCCCTCTTCCTCGTTTCGCTTCCAGTCGCACTTCCGCCCGTATCGTTTGCCGCATTTCCGGGTGCACTGGAAGATTTTGTTCGGATCCCGGCGGAGAAGGTCGGGATCATTGGTGGGTGTGCATCCTTTCTTCCCACCACGCAGAGGCGATGTGGTGCTGTCGCAAGTGCGGCTGAGGGTAGTTGCCTCAAACTGAGTTTGGTTCTGAGTGTCGTCGAGTTGTGGCGACTGTGTCAAGCTGGTCTGTGACTTGTAGGCAGAGTCATGACCTGCAATCCCATGCTTCAACATTTGACCGAACCACGCCCTGATGGCAGCAGCCGGTTCCCCTGTTAACTGGCTTAAAGACTCGATGTGCCGGTCACTACATTATGACGAGGTAAGCGTCACGTTCTGAAGCGATGATAAACTGTGAACAGGAGGCGGCTACATACCTTGGGAGCACGTTGTATTTGCTGAACCAGGTAGCGCACACATCAGCCGCCTGGTCGTTAAGGCCGACCTCCACAATACTTGAGGCGGATGACAGAAGAGGGGATGTGAAGTTGCTGTTGCACCCTGCACCTTGATGCCGCTTCCGCTGGGGAGCATCTTGCGTATCGATCTGCAGCGGACGCTTCATAGAATTCACTGGATATGTGCCGAATATCTGTGATGGAGAGGTAAAGTCAAGTTGACTGAATGTTGAACCTGACGCCAAGGTATTATCCATCGTCTGCACAGCATCAGTTCCTTGCTTGCTGGGAGATGCCATGAAGACCTTACCTGGTTCAGTGTGGGGTTCTGATACGCTTCTGTATTCATCGAAGCGAAAGAGGAATCAAACTGGCTATAAGCCGTGTCGACACCCTCATCGAACAGAAAGAAGTCCGTGTCGGTATTACCCTCGGACAGGTTAGGCATCGCAGTGTTGGCGAAATTCATGTTACTGAAGTCCATTCCAAACTGGAAGCCTGCGTAGTTCTGGTTCTCCATTGAGACTAAAGTTCTTGACGCTGGACGGGTGTTTGGTTGGGGGGAAGGTCAAAATCGCGCCCTTTCAGACGAGGGCCAGAAGGTGTTTACGGATTAAGAGTGACTCAGGATGAGTGCTTGCTTAAAGCCAAGTGGGATAGGGCGCCCTTCCGAGCGTTGGTGAAGGGCGCGCAGGGCTAAGCGGGGTTTTCTGACGGGCTGCAGCTGGGGTTTCACCGGGGTATAAATGAGAGACGACGTGATTGGCATAAAGGTGCCTTCGTCTAGGTATACACCATAATAAGCCTTGAAGCTTAGGTTACCAACGAGCTGGTCAAACTGGAGCTATTCCGTCATGAAGGCGGAGTGAACAGGTATCTGAACGTGCGGAGGAAGCGCAGAGGGTTATCATCCACCTGGACCTGGAAAGTGGCAGTGCTACCGAATACGAAACATACGATGCGCCAAGAGATTGGACGAACAACCCCAATCGCGATCGAACAGAGGACAACACTTCTTCCCAGCAGTTACTTCTGCTCCGAGAACCCAAAATCGAAACAAGTTCTGGTATTTGCAGAAGCCCAGGAGGATGATATTTCTCGCGAGCCCAGTACAGCCTCTAGCCTGGTGCTGCAGTGTGGAAGATCTGAGGTCGCTCGACTCTTGAAATTTATGCTGACATACACTGCTAATACAAGTACAGCGTGAACCTGGGTAATTTGAAAAGGGCGGTCAAGGCATTTGGAGTTCAATGCATGGAAGAGGGATGTGATCGTGGCTGTGCCTCACTAACCGTGGCTGTGTACGGAATGAGCAGCCAATAGCCTTTCTCAAAATTTGCACCTATACAAGTACAAGCAAGCGCAACAAACGTCAATGCAGGATACGCCTGGATCCCAAAGAACTCCAGATAGTGCATATGCTATGGTACAAACAACGCTCGACTTTTACTTGGTATACGTCTTCTGCAGGTGCTTCGCGATAGTGGTCAACTGGATGTTGCTGGTTCCCTCGTAGATGGCGCCGATCTTGCTGTCACGGAAGTACTTCTCTGCAAGGCCTTCCCTGACGAAACCCATACCTCCCATCCACTCAACAGCCAAGCTAGAGACCTTGCCAGCAACCTGCGAAGCGTAGAGCTTAGCCATGGCCGCATCCATGACGAAATCTTCGCCGGCCTCCTTCTTGCGGGCCGCGTTATAGACAAGCGCACGGGCAGCTTGGATTTCGGTCCAAGCCTGTGCCATCTGGTGCTGCATGCCCTGGAACTCGCCGATAAGTTGGCCGAACTGCTTGCGGTCATTCCACGCATAGCTGATCTGTGTCAGTACGGGTTGAAAGACCAAACACAGTCAATTCCTGCTTACCCAGCGGCATTCTCAAAGGCACCCAGGGACAATCCAGTCATCTGCGCGGCAATACCGATTCGACCCTCGTTCAAGAGACCAATAGCGTACTTGTATCCTTCGAATTCGTTTCCAAGAAGGTTCTCCTTTGGAATCTCGACATCATCGAAGTTGAGCACGCAGGTGCTGCTGGCCTTGATACCGAGCTTCTTCTCCTTCTTCGCGATGGAGAAGCCTGGGGTTCCCTTCTCGATGATGAAAGCTGTGATGCCCTTGTACTTCCTGCTCGGATCTAGGTTGGCGAACACAATGAAGAAATTCGCCTCCTTGCTGTTAGTGATCCACATCTTGTTGCCATTGATTTTGTAGCCGTTCTCAGTGCGCGTGGCTTTCGTGGCCAGAGCAAAGGCATCGGATCCGGAGACCGGCTCCGAAAGACAGAAGGAACCTGTGACCGTTGGCAAAATCCATACATAGGGTTTGGGGACATTCGGACTGACCAACAGTGTTAGTGGCAAGCTTGGGCAACCACTTTCTCTTCAGTTGCTCAGAGCCCCACTTCAGAATGGCGGTGTTGACCAAGGTGTTGTGAACATCGCACATAACACTGACGCTGGGGTCGACACGCGCCAGCTCCTCAATGGCGATAATGGCAGAGGTGAAGTTCATGCCAGAGCCACCAAAATCCTCTGGAATCTCAATGCCCATAAGACCCTGCTCGAACAGCTGCTCCACAACAGTGGGATCCATCTCCTCTGCCTCATCCATTTCGCGAACCTTTGGGAGAATGGCTTCCTGAGCGAACTTGGACACCGAGTCGGCCATCAACGTTTCGGTCTCGGACAGATGCGTGATAGGTGTCGGCGGGATATCAGAGAGGTCGGCTTCACGTCGCGGGGCGGTCGCTGAGAGGCATCGTATTCTGAAGGTGCACTATTAGCATTCAATTGCAAGAGTCCCCTCCTTCTGCCGTGGAGGACATGTGAACGTACTGCTGCGGGGCGGACCTGGCCAAAGCAGGTCGCACCTGGCGGGAACATACAGCGGCAGACCGGGCAAGTGGTCGCAGAGCTCGAGCAATCGTAGCCATGGTATCCAAATTCGCACAAACTGAAGCAGAGCAGTGGAGCTTAGAAGTTCTCGCCAGCAAGAAGGTATGATGTCGGAAGTCGCGTGGCTCGGCTGGTGCAGGGTGGGTTAAGCCGAGGCTCGATCAGGACCGCTGTTTTCCGATCAGATCCAACGCACGTGCGAATCTCGAGATATCCGCAACTTTGAACATCAGTTGATCGCGGAGGAGCCACCTGCATACAATGATAATCAATCAAAGCCCGTGCGGGTATGTCAGCGTCATATCCCATGGTCATCCAACGCAGCGCACACCCTATCCTAGTGCACAAGTGTGGTGGACATCATATCGGACGCACGCAGTCTCACGGGCATGGGGAAGTGCATTCAGTGCCCGTATGTGAGTCGTTGAGCAATTGTTTGGTCTAACTGCGGCCGTGGCCTTCTTGAGCCAGATGAACATGTACAATTGGCTCATTTGGCCATCTAAATCACTTCTCCATTCAATGTCCTCAGGCTCGTCCTATTCGGTCACTTGTTTTCCTATTTTATCGAAGCCTGCACAGGCTTCCTCCGCGTGGTCAGATAGACTAGTTAGTTTTTATACTCAGCGGCTTCCTTGGTTACATTATCACACATTCCAGCAGCGGCCCCAAGGATGGAGGAATGCGTAGCGTATAGAAACGGTTCGCGGGCAACTTGCATTGTCTTGAGCTCCTTGACCAAGTCAGGCCGTAAGAGTAGAGCCTGGATAAATTGTCAAAAGTAATCGTACACATCCGTCAGAGTCCGCTTTATGCAGAACCGTACTCTGTCAACCACTCTTTCTGGGAAAAATGCCCGCCGCGAAATAGTGGTAGGGAATGCGCAGCGCGTCGTTGGCATAGGTAATTCGAAGCAAAGAGGTGAGCGAGTGTACGATTGCTTTCTTGTCGGAATCTATGTCGGAATTAGGAAAGTCTCTGGGATTCTTGCAATAGAAGGGTGGCTGAAGATCCCTGAAGAACCTCTGCTGGAAGAGTGGCCACAGGGCATCCATGGATTCTCAAAGTTGGGCAATCAGTGCGTGGAATTCGGAGCGAATTGATCATCAGTAATTGTAATGGTCGTCGTGGTCCTGAGAATCACCTCGATGATGACATGATGACATTGGAAATGAAAAATCCTTCGGATAGCCTCAAGGAGTCGTCGGTAGCCTGCGGTCGGTGTAGAGAAGGGGGTCTTCGTTTATTCGTATACGGTAAGCGTTGATGCAAAGCGATAGGGCGGGGAAAAAGAGCGACATCGGCTATGCAACAACCTTGCATCGTCGCAGCTTAAGTTACCAAGTAATGATAGCCCTTCACAGGATACTCCGCCCTTCCAGCGAGACAACATGCACAACATGCAGCTTTTGCACGAGATATTGGCTGAACCGGCCGCGGAAGACTTGGGACCATTATGCTATTCGTGATGGAGAAGGGATGTCGACTGAACATTGAGATACTATGTAGGTATTTATTGTAGGGGCCCTTACGTTCAGGTTTATTTTCCAGCTAAGAGGAGCTGCGTCAGTATTGTGAGGCGCTGCCAGAATTCACCTCCCAGCAGAGAACCGTACATGTCGCATGGAGATGCCGTATGAAAAACTTTTACGAGGTCCCAGGTTCTAGCAGGCATTTTCTCGCGATTGAATGACTGAGGCCAACCGCGGCCGAGGGCACCCCTAGAATGGGTGGTAAACCAACTAAATCATCCAGCTCCAATTTCTTTCCCGGCCGTCGCAAAGATGGCAGACGACAATCCTACTATTTCTACTCTGGCGACAATGACAGCCGCATGCCGACTAATCACGCCATTTCTCCACAGTCCATAGTCATGCGAAGAATCTGGCCTTCTCTATCTGGGGAACACAAGTTCCCTAGACCATAGACCTCTCCACAAGTCGCGCCTCATTGGCCAACTCAGGGAGTCAGACAACCCACGCCCTCAACCTGCCAAGGCCCATTTCTCAGCACACGCCCTACACCATCTCTGCATGTCGCGACCACTCCAACTTTCGTGCAGGTGACTCAGAGTCCGGAACAAGGCACTTATAAACTAGACGGATCCAGATTCCAGCCATGCAAATCGCTCCTCCATCTCGTCGACGACAAAAGACGCTTGGTGTTACGTTTGACGCGTCTATCGAACGCATTTGAACCAGCTCTTTCGGGCCTTCACTAAAACGGCCGGAACCCCAACGTCTTTGTTTCTATTAACGGCGACGTCTCCCGCTAGCGCCCGGCTGGGAACGTCAAAGGTGGACCTACCTTATTATTTACGATGACGGCGCGCTCCTGCGCACTAGCAGATGTGCAGTCGCAAACAATTGGGAACCAAATTGAAACCAAGATGCGGACCCTAGCATCCTGCGGAAAGCCTGCGATTGAGATTGAGCTCGGTGGCAGCCATGGAGTGCACGGGAAATGGGTTACCAGCTACTCCACCATGGACACCATCAAAGGGACGGTTTCCGTAGTAGCGCCCCATGATACCCCCTTCGAAGATATTGAGATTGCCTTCGTAGGTATGTTAGCATCTCCTCCTGCACTCGCTCTATCGTGTCGTGTCGCGTGAGCTCACATTCACACCAGGTACAATTCAAGTCTACGTCGATAGAGCAACTCCCACACCATCCATCACCGGTCGCACAGAGGCCACTCATCGATTCCTAACGCAGAAGCAACCCATCGAAAACACCGAATTCCCTTACCCGCGGAAGCTGCTCGCAAACAAGAAATACGTCTTCCCATTCACTTTCACGGTTCCAGCTCAGCTGCTCCCCAAGGCATGTTCGCACAACGTGTCAAGCGACGCCGTCCGCCACAACCACTTGATGCTCCCGCCAAGCATGGGCGATCCGGACGTCGCTGGATTCGGCACAACGCTGTTGGACGACCTCGCGCCGGAGATGACCAAGGTCGTCTACATGATCCGGGTGCGCATACTCCAAGAAGGGAAATCGTTCCCCTTGCTGGTGGAGAAAACGAAGAAGGTCCGCGTCAAGCCAGCTTTCGAGGAGCAACCACCCCTCACGGTCAGCAACGACGACGCAGAGTACCGCCTGCGCCACGAAAAATCCATCAAAAAGGGGCTCTTCAAGGGCAAACTGGGAACCCTGACCGCCGAAAGCGCTCAACCGAAACCCCTCGTCATCCCCGGCGCACGCTCAACGAACAACTGCCGCATCACCACCATGGCCAAACTCTTCTTACGTTTCGATCCCGCCGACGAATCCCACGACCCACCATCCCTCGGCTCCGTGAAGAGCAAAATCAAAGTAACGACGTACTACGCGTCAGCACCCCGAAAGGACTTTCCCATACGTTCTGCCCTGGCATACGACGTAGCGCAAGGGGTCTACCAAACGACCCTCCCCCTCTCGACTCTCTGCATCGCATCCGCCAAATGGACAAAGCACTCCTCCGACTCAAATCCCAACCCCTTCCCCCGCCGGGACTCGTGCCTCTCGGATCGCTCAAGCCTCTCCCACACCTCGCTCTCGGCCTGCAACATCCCCACCCCCGCGCAAGACTACAAGGGAGGAATCTTCTACACAGCCGCCATCCTCGTCCCCATCGCCCTCCCACTGAACAAAAATTTCCTCCCTACCTTCCACAGCTGTCTCGTTTCCCGCGTCTACGTCCTCAGCCTGCAACTCTCCTTGTCCACGCCCGGCTCCTCGGCCATCGTGGGCAGCTCGACGATGAGTCTCCGGGTGCCGGTGCAGATATGCGCCGAGGGCAGCGATGAGGGGATGGCGAATGCGAGGGTTCGGGCGGCGGAGGAGAGGGTCGGGGAGGAGATGGTGGAGGAGGAGGTATTCATGAGGGCGATGAGTTTGGGGCTGCCGCCGAGTGTGGGGGGAGGAGGGGGAGTGGAGGAGGAGCCGCCTGAGTATGGGGCTGTGAGGAGTGTGGGGAGGTATAGGACGACGGTTACGGTTGTGACGTGAAAAGACATTTTGATATCCGTGCGGTAATGTGTCCTTTTTCTTCTTTGCTTTTTCTTTCGGAATATTTTGCATTTGTGATCGGGATTGGGTGGATAAATGAAAGAACGATTAGAAAGAGTACGCGAGGACATTGGAATGAATTGGCGAGTCGCCGCTGGGAAGGAGGAAATTCCGTATGAATTGGAAGGGAGATGAAGATTGGAAGGGAGACGGAGACCAGAATCGACGGACAAAACATTGATACCCTTATTGTACATAGACGTACCGTTACCTCTGTCCCCCAACTGGACTATTTTCCAACAAAATGGTAAAACTTACTATATGGCGAATACAGACTAATCAAAACATCAAATCTCTACACACACTACAAGTCCATCACCCACTATGCTCAGGACGGTCTATAACTGGCCGGATGCTAATCTCCAAGTCCCGAGATTGGCGCTCCAGCATCGGGAACCAGACATAAAATCCAAAATCAAACTCCATGGAGATGTCCAGTAGGTCAAAAAGAAAGGAAAGAAAGACATCAATCACTGCTGCACAACCTTGGGAAACAGATACTATCCCGTCCCACGAAATGCGTCTAGCGTCTTGGCACAGTGACACACTCCGCGCCCCTGATTGGTCAAGGCGCCACCGCAACCTTCATTCCACAAGTTTTTAAGTTGCCCAATTCGGCGATGTTGTGTCGAGGGATTGCAAACGGATTGCCGCGTTGGAGAGCAAAGGAGCAATGGATACGATTGAGAAGGACATTCTGAAGAGAGAAGGAGAGGAGGCAGAGAAGGGCGATTTGAGGGAAGGACGGGACGTTGAAAAAGGTGAGGTCGCTGGTTCAGAGGGTGCTGGTGTCTGTGGTAAGTTTTCTATGTTCCACGTTCCGTGGTCATGGTTGCTTGAGAAATATACCTACTATTGAGGCTAAATCGCGCATAGGTGACAATGAGGGAGACGACGGCTACGTGGCGCCTCTACGGGGACTGTCGTTTCTGGACCGGTTCCTGGTGGTGTGGATAGTACTCGCCATCGCCATTGGGATTATCCTTGGGAATACGGTTGATTCGGTTGGGCCGGCGTTGCAGAAGGGGGAGTTTGTTGGTGTTAGTGTGCCGATAGGTGAGTATGATCATGCCCATTATTGAATTTTTCGACGTCACAGGATCTCCTGCCTTTGTTCATACTGTTGGGACGGTGGTCATTTCGACAGACGCTGATATAAATGCAGCAATCGGCTTGCTAGTCATGATGTACCCCATCCTCTGCAAAGTCCGCTACGAAACCCTCCACCTCCTTTTCCAATCGCGAGGCCTCTGGACCCAGATCCTCATCTCCTTCGTGCTCAACTGGATAGTAGCGCCGCTCTTCATGGTCGCACTGGCATGGGCTTTCCTCCCGGATCGCCAGGACCTCCGCGAAGGCCTCATCTTCGTGGGAATCGCGAGATGCATTGCCATGGTCTTGATCTGGAACGAGCTGGCCAAGGGAGACAGCAACTACTGCGCGGTACTGGTCGCTTTCAACTCGATCCTACAGATCGTGCTGTTTGCGCCATTCGCCGTTTTCTACGTCCAGGTGGTCAGCCATGGGGAGAAGACGGACGTGTCGTACGAGAAGGTGGCGCAGAGTGTAGGAGTCTTCCTCGGGATACCACTCGGCGCGGCCGTCCTCACAAGACTGACACTGAAGACCCTTATCGGAGAGGAAAAGTACCAGAAGCACTTCATCCGGTACATTGCGCCGTGGTCCTTGATCGGGCTGCTCTACACCATTATTGTCCTGTTCGCAAGCCAGGGGGCCAATGTTGTTCGGCAGATTACCGATGTGTTGCGGGTCTGCGCGCCGTTGTTGGTGTATTTCCTCGTCATCTTCACAAGTACCGTTTGGTTCTGCTGGAAGATGGGTTACGGCTATCGGGTCAGCTGTACGCAGAGTTTTACCGCGGCTAGTAACAATTTCGAGCTGGCAATCGCGGTCGTGGTCGCCGTTTACGGTGCTGGTAGTGGGCAGGCTTTGGCGAGTACTGTAGGTCCGCTGATCGAGGTACCGGTTCTAGTGGCTCTCGTGTATGTATTGAGATACGTGCAGAGGAGGTGGGCGTGGAAGGGCTGAGCTTGCGAGTTATGATTGTCATAGATCTGAGCGACATGGACATGAATCCACGAGATAGAAGCAATCTACATCAACATGCTTCTACACACTGCATGGATCCGTAGGAGGGTGTGCTCATGACTGTAGTATATCTGGAAGCAGATGGGATATCGAAATCGAGGCGCACCTGGACATGTTGCGGCTGATCGGTCATCGGTGAGGGCAAGCAAAGCTTGGTGTTGAAGGAGTCTGCCATGCGGCGGCGGCCCAACCTGTCGGAACGGGACATGGTGGGATCGCGGGAATGGCGTGGGGGGCCGTTGGAGGTTTCGACCGAATTTGCGGCACTAGATTGATGGGCCACCAGAAATCAGGACGCTGGTCGGATAGATAGCTGGTGGTTCTATCACGGTTGTCCACGTATATGTTCACACCGCCAGTCCCCGTGGTCAATCTCGCTCTATTGCTCGCTTTCGATGCTGACAGGATAAAGTCCCCACAGGAAACCGTTCAACTTTTAGCGCTCCATTATTGGGGCCTCGTGTCACCTGTGGACTCGTTAACCAGTTTCACGCTCTCACGAGATGCAGAGGATCCATCAGCATTCGCCTTGCAAAGTGGAAAGGGATCAAAGAGCATGGAACATGGGTCGCCGTCTGCAAGTACAGTAGATATTGGAAGTTGAAGATGCCCAGCCACACGAGCATCCTTAGTCAGCAGACCTCATCACGTGCTCAGAAGAAGCCCTATTGGGAAGCTACGAAGCGCTGCGACTTCCTTCCATTGTCGACCAAATTGGGAAAATTCGGTTGCATCACGACTGTGCCGCAATCCATGGATCTCTCAACCCCTCAACGTTTCCCCGAGACGTCAGCTTTCCATCGTTCCTTCACCCCCCTTCTCCCTTTGTTTCATTCACCACGACCCTTGGGCTATATGGCATTCGCTAAGAACAGGGTGCCTACACACGACAAGTGACAAGAACGGCGAAGCCTGAAAGCGTACGACGCGTCCAACTCTGCTTACGGCACCTTCAAAGACAAGTTGCTCCGTCCGCATCACCGATCCCCCTCGCAGGACTCGATTGTCACAGCCCAGAGCTGGTTTGTTCAAGCGCCCTAACACTCGCCGACCCGCATCCACCCTTTGCAGGACAGACGTCTGAGGGACAAGAGTCGCAAGATGGTCTCAGTCATGCGCTTGTGAGGGCATTATTTCCAGCCGCCGCAAGAGTCAAGAGGCAGCTTCGCAAGAGAGGGAAAACAGCTATGTCTTGTCATGGGGGGAAGACGCTTTTTGCAGACGGGCCGACTCAGCATTTCCAACCCAGCGGTTCCAGCCCTCTCCGACAGTTTGGTCCGGCCGGGGCACAGGCTGTCTGGTCTTAGCGAGGGACCGTGTTTCACCTCAAATTGTGAATCATGGGCAACTCTGCTTGCCTTGCAGCGCGATTCGACGCCTTGTTCCCCAAGAATTAATAATGGCCCCGCACTTCTCGCTGTCGACCAGCACCACCCCGTGTCGTCTCGCAATAATCGCATAGGTAGGTAGGAGGTAGGCAGCATACCTGCCTCGACGGCTCCCAGCCTGGCCGCGGTGATTGCCAAAACTAAGGGGGACGATCCCTTCAGGGCAACGATGCATGGAGCGAAGAAAACACGAGCCACATCGACGGCGACTGGTCTGCTACACGGCGCGTTTTCCAGGAGCGGAAGGTTGGATTCAATGCCAGCCCAAATACGGCCTCGTACCAATCACAGCACGCCTTGGCGGGGGAAAGTCCACAGCCAGCCTGCGACACCACCCACGAAGGAGTCAGGCATGGAGAAACTATTTGCGCAACATCACACGCTATATGCCATGTTCCCGTCTGGAAGTGTGCAGACAGACAGTTTCCCGGGAACTGGTCGCGCCTGGCATGCACCTTCGGTACTAACATTGTGCTACCTCGCGATAGATGTACTATGGAGCAGCCTGCCTTGTCTGCCTTCTTCCAACAGGATGGACTCTGGACAGGCAAAGCCGGCAACAAGAAATCCCCTTAGCAGTGCCCGGATGGGGACAGACGGCAACTAGCTCCAGCCTAGCGGAGCTCGGTTCGGCTGGGTATCCGCTGGGGCACCGCTCTGTTGGAAAACAGAAGAGACTGACTCCGCCGGGCGCTGTGATGATGCTCAGGTGTTCCATCTCCTCTCCAGGGAGAAGGACGCTGCCGGGCTGAAGCTGAAGGTCCCCATCTGTTCGATACGGGTGGGCTGGAGGGATTGGAGGAAGGGAGTTCGTTGCGGGGCTTGCGCGAATGGAAGAGCGAAGAGTGGCTCGTTGGACGAAACATTTTGGGGTTTGCGCCGGCCGCCGTCGTCATGCACCCCAGCTCTTCCTCGCATGCAAGCGACGAGGGAGGCTTTGCAGCTGGACTGGCCAATCCTTTCCCCCTGGACCCAGGCCGGCTCGTGGTCGACGGCGTGTCTGCGCTACTCGCGAGTCGCGACTCATGTCGCCGATACCGAATTCTTACCAAACACCCGGGTCACCCTTCTCGCATAGAGAAACACTGCGTTGACTGCTCCGTACCTACGTGGGAAAAAAAGTGCGAAGAAGGGGAGACAGCCTCCAACAAAACTGGGGGATGAGGGGGACTTCTGGGTCGCACCGGACTCATTGTCGTCGTTGCACGGGGTCGTTTTGGAGGGGACGCGGCGGCAGCGGGAATATCATGGCCAAGGGCGACGATAGGCGGGCAGGGAGGTTTGGTCTTGCACTGGGCGTTGTGGTGTATCCAAGCAGCCGGACTTTTTGCCATAACCACTCCGAGGCGAGTTAATGAGTGTGGCAGGTCGGCTGCGGAATGATGGGCGCAGAGAGATGTGCAAGACAGAGGTAAGCTGGCTGACCTTTGTCATTTCCACACTGGGCCCTTCACCGAGGGAACGTCCTGTCAGCAGCTCGGCTCCGGGGCGCATCAAAGGCAGCGCTGTGACTGCCACTGCCATGAGCGAGCAGCGCATCTCATGGGGATTCAGGTAGTAAGTAGTAGACTGCAGTTAGGAAGGGGCGGGCATTACGGAGTACTGTGTACACGGTACGGAGTTACGTACAAGTACGCAGTACAGCAGCAGTGGGAGAGAGGGGACGGCGAGGGGGGCTTGGCTGGGCGGCTCGTCACCTCGTGGACCACGCTGCTGGTGCAGGCGGGCGACCCAAACCCGGCGGGTCGGTAAGCCAAGGCCCGGTTTTGGAGGTGCTCCGAATCGCAGCGGCAGGAATTAATAGCACGCCCGTTAATGCGATGGTTCCCGCCCGCCTTCCTGTCGGTGTGGGTGTGTGTGTGTCCTTGGAGGAGGCCCTTGGATGATGATGCTCCTTGTTGGACACACCGGGCCTCGTGCTACAGCCTGGCACAGCATGGATGGATGGATCAATGCTCTCTCATCCCACCCTCACGCTCACGACTCCCGCCCCGCAGGTCCTGACTATCCTGGCTATCCTGGCCCGTCCTGGCTGCTCCCTGAAGTCTCAAGCCGCTGTCGTGGAAGCACACCCCAGTCGCTTTTTTAGCTTGCTGAATGCGCGCCAGCCCCAGCTCCAGCACCCGTGGCCGTGTCCATCATAAAACCTCCGGGCGCCCCCCTTCATCCTCTCCCGCCCTGCTCTCCGGCAACCACCACTCTCCCCGTCCGCTCCTCTCCCACACCCCTCGGCCTTCCGTCGTGCGCGCTTCTCCCTCAGTACCCAACAGAATATTGCCCATCGCCTGCTTCCCGCCTGGTCCAACCTACCGCTCGCTGCGACGCCCGGACGACCAACTCCCGCTGAGGGTGAGGTGTGGGTACCCTGACGTCCCATGACCGCTGGCCTCGACAGATAGCTACACTTCTGCCTTCCCATCGCCTGTACTGGAACGTCGAATTCCGTCTTCCCGCTCCGCACGCGTCTTATGAAAAGCAGAACGGCCCAATCCGCAGCTCAGATGGTCACCATGGCCTCGAATGGGTGCGTACAGCTGCGTCCCCGCTTTTCCGTGCGACCCTCGACCCCTTCTCGCTCGCCAGCAATTCCACGCTGCCCAAGCCCTCTCGACTGACCTTTGCAGAGTTGCCGTACCTGCCTCGACCGCAAATTACATGGAATTCGGTAGACTGTATCATGGCTACCGGCGTGGCATGTACATGTACCCCTGCGATGAGGTGAGCAAGTGTCCCCGTGGGCCCCTCCCCTCCTCCTCGCCCGCCGCACCGAGTCCACCCTCGACCAGCCTCTCTAACATGGGATGCGTTGCCCCAGGCCGAAAAGGATCGCATGGACATCTACCACAAATTGTTCCTCGTCGCACGGAGAGACAAGCTCCATTCCGCGCCCGTGCCCACCGACGCGACTTGGGGCCAGCCCCGCATCCTAGACCTGGGCTGTGGGACAGGCATCTGGGCCATTGACATGGCAGAGTAAGTCGCCTTCCGCAATCTGCAGTGCGCCCCAACTCCGCTAACCCCGTTGTGCTTGCAGCGTATATTTACACGCCGAGGTGCGCTCCTCCTTTGTGCTTCGAAAGGCAACCCCCCAGCTAATATGTGTGCGCCCAGGTGATTGGCATAGATCTAGCAAATATTCAGCCAGAGAAGTAAGCTTCCCACTCGCTGAACCCAAGCGCCTCGCAATTCCTAATGCCTTCTCTCCAGAATCCCGCCAAATCTGAGATTCCGCGTGCCACGCGATTACGAGAGCCTCTGGACGCTCGGCGAAGATTCCTTTGACCTAATACACCTGCGTATGGCGTGTGGAAGCGTCTCCAGCTGGCCGGAGCTCTATCACAAAATCATCACGTATGTTGGCTTGGTTTCCCTGCTCACCCAACTTCGCGCAAAGGCTAAACCCTCGCAGACATCTAAAGCCCGGCCAGGGATGGATAGAGCAGGTCGAGATTGACCTGAAGCCGCGTTGTACCGATGGAACGCTTCCCCCGGACAGCCCGGTTGTGAAGTGGTACGAATATTTGGTGGATGCTACGCAACGGTCGGAGCGCCCTATCGCATACAACCAGAATACCCGAGAGCTGTTGGAAACGGCCGGCTTCATTGACATCCACGAGGAGGTCATTCGCGCACCCTTCAATTCGTGGCCCAACGATCCGCACCAAAAGGAGATTGGCCGTTGGTACAACTTGGGTCTGACCGAGGGCCTGGAAGCACTGAGTTTCGGTCCATTGGGTCGCGTTTTCCGCTGGGATGTGGATCAGCACATTAAGCCGTTCCTCGAGACTGTGCGGCAACAGATATGTAACAGGAAAATTCATGCGTACAACAACATGTAAGTCGCGTGCCTAGGCGCCATACCATTCCTTCTCCATGATACCGCTTAGATGCTGACGTATGCTTTGCCTAGACACATTTGGCGGGCACGACGGCCCCAGTAATTGACCATTACCCAGAACCTCGTACTACCTGCGACCAAGGTCGTATTCCATTGTCGGCTTCGCTCGAGCCAAAGGCCCTCCTCCACCCCAGTTCTTAGCACGCTAGTCGTGACATGGTTCGGTCCAGTCTACATTCCTGGCTAAGGTCAATGCTGTCGACACTCTTGCCGGAGCAGTTTCCTCCCGCTGAGGTTCCAGGTGTCGAATATCAATGGAGTGCTACCGCAGCATTTCCTTGTCGATCTTGGTGCAATCGCGTCCGGATCACCGTCCTGCCGCCCTCGCTACGATCGTCACGCTTGAATCTCATATGACCGGTCCTCGGAACGGTCCTCGTCTTTCTCAGTTCCTCTTCGATGATTCTTTCATGCTCTACAAGGAGTTAGTTTCGTGGGCCAAAACGGGATCATGTTCAGCGTTTGCGCGTTAGGAGGCGTTTTGTGCGGTTTCGGGTGGCGAGGCATTCTGCCACTATCCATGCCTTCTTCTTGCTCTTGTACCTCGGTGGTGTGCTTGACAGCCAGAGCTTGACACATGCAGAAAGAGACGGCCTTTTGCGCGAGATGCGTCTGTGTTTGGGGTCGCAACGTACACTATCATCTTCTCCCGAGTTTCCTCTTAACCAGCCGTCATGTTGCGCATGCTTCATCTTGTTTCTGGGGATGCCAGGACGACTGCCTCATGCTGTCCTTTTTCCCTTCGTCTGGCGTCGATGGCATGCATCTGTCTTCCCAACGGATCGGCGTCGCATGCCGTTTTCCTTTCTGAATGATGGGGCGCACATTTCTCCAGATTCGCGCAGTGAACCGATGGCACCGAGCGGAGATTGGCTTGCGGTGCAGAGGGGCCGAACCGCCGCAGAGCGGAAGCGGGGTCGTTTCGGTATCCGAGATTGAGGTGCGATTTCTTCCTGCAGCTATATAATGCGACAGTATACCCGCCTTCGAATATAAGAGGATTCTTGCAAACGCATTTTTTGTAACTCCGTCGTATGTACATGGGTTTAGGAAGTCTGACCTAGCTTTTTAGCAATTTATTATTCCCTGCGTCAGCAGGCGGCGTATGTTGCGTCCGGACACGCAGCAATAAGGATGGATCGGGTACGAACTGCACCAGCAGCAGCAGCAGCAACGGTTTCCCTTTTAGATAGTGTGTATTCAAACAGCCTCGGACGGTCCGACCAGCCCTTTGGTAGCCACGCTTTGCTGGTACTGGTCGCTCGCGTTCTTTCCCGGGTTCAGGCCTTCATCCCGGCTCCGGCTCAGCAGGAGGACGGACGGACCCTGTGCAGCGGTGCAGCAGCAACGGGGTTGGCAATTGGCAATTGGCAAAAAGAACTTGCAATATTGTCCGTCGGATATGCGTGCAGCGAGGAAGAGTCGGTGGCAAAATAGGTGTGGTGTTTTTGTAAGTGCTTGGAGGATGCTATATGAATTGATATTGCACTTGGTACGTAAAGGGATGGGATGGGGTCTGCAGGATCTCTTGGGATCTCTTGGGATTTTTTTTAATTTTTTTTCCAGCGGAGGAAGAGGAGGTGTGTTGTCCTTCCCACGGGGTTATTATGTTTTATTAGAGACCTGGTGGAGCGGGATTGGGTGCTTAGTCATGACCTTCTCCTAATAAAACTTGCGAAGGACCATCTTCGACTTGCTTCCCTTTTGCACGTCATGCTCAGTCCATACCACCATCACAGCCAGGCAAGTCCACCCTGACCTTAAGGTATTTCATCCTTCTCATTCCTCCCGTCATACCTTTCCATCTTCTTTTTTTTGGATTCCATTGCATGATGACAAACGCTGGGGCCATATGAGGTCTTTCCCCCTTCCTTCCTCTTTTCCAGGGGGCGTTGGGGAGAGAGACTGGTGCTTTCAAAACCAGCATGTTTTATAATCTTCTCACCTTGTCTGAATCCGAATCTTGGGTATCTGGGAGTATCGGTGGATTTGGATGTGCATGTGGGGTTTGATACTTGATGCTGATGCTTGATAGGTTTGTTTGGGTCGTGGCGGGAAGCGGCTGGATGTGTATCTTCAGAGGTATTTACATGTGCCATCTTTCGGCCTTCTAGGTTTCTTGTATGTTCAACTGACGTGGATAACAGAACCTTTGTGCAGGAGACTTCAGTGTCTTGAACGAGTTTTGAACGCGCCAGCTTGTACAGGTCTTTGAAATTAAAGGCGAGACTCGTTTCCAAGGTTCTAGAAGCTAAGTCTAACCGCAAATGGCTAGCTACAAGAGTTTATTGTAGCTCTCAGCACACAGTCCGCTCAACTAGTCACTGCTGAGTTGAGACGAAATGGACGCCAAATCGCGAACCAAGAAAGCTCCCCTCCATTGAGGGACGTACACGGCGTCACACGGAAGATACCGCAGCACAGCCTTTCCCCGACCTGCTCCTCGAACCAATCAAATGAGAACCAAGATGTACCCCGCGTCACCAGAACCTGAAGACCGCGAGACTTGTTAACGCAACAAAGCTTAGCCGATTGTGTTTGCAGAGTACGAGGCCCGACAAAGGCAGATCACGCGTTGATCGCCGATACTGCATGTGCCATGGACGAGGCCGCCACGGCTCGCCGACCAGGTTCGTATACATATCTGGAGTGTTGCTGGCCATGGACCGGCGTCGACATCCACCGCGTTCGTTTCCAGACGATGCGTGGGGCTTTCCACGCAACGGTGCCTACTAGTATACGACGGTTGTCCTGGATGAAGCACGAGTACGGCGTTGCAGGTGCACTGTAGGGAACTCGCCATCGGAACACAGCAGGTACAGCTATCGATCAGCGTTGCGCAACACTTCGCCAGCAGCGCGATACGGCCTTCTAAAAGTCGCATTCGCTTCTCTGGCCATCTCCATGTCCTTGCGAGTCTGATCTCGCTCGCCAGCCCTTCCCACTCTCGCAACACGCTGTCAACCACCGCACAAGATCCAGCATGGCATCCAACAGCACAGCGACCGACTCTGCGGAATCGAGAAAGGAGACAAACACGGCCATAGCCATTGTCCTCCCCTCCATCTTCGCCATCGTCTTATTCATGATACTGGCAGTGTATGGGCTATCTCCCTCATGAATACTAACTGAAGGAGCCTGCACTAACCAGCCGCTCGCGCGCTTAGAACCTATCTCCTCCCCAGAATGTCGGCCAGAGAAACCCAGACCGCAAAGGAAGAACGCAAGAAGAAGCGCATGGACAGACTGGACGAGAGCATCAAGGCGCAATCCTACGCCGAGTGGACGAAGAGGCGCAAACCAGATGATGGCGCGGCCACGTTACATCCGGTGTGGTAGGGCACCTCTACGCTACCGGTCAATGGCTTGCAGCTGCTAATGATTACCACCAGTGTTATATGCCTGGAGGAAGTGGATGAAAGCGCTCGGATACGGCCGCTGCGCTGTCTGCATGTTTTCCACCAGGCCTGCTTGGACGATTGGTTCGCGAGGTGGAATGAGTACTGTCCGCTCTGCCATGCTCCGATCTTGTCGGGGGTAAGGGAGGTGAAGAGAAAGTATCCGGAGCCGCCGCCGCCTGTGGCGTTTATGGTGTGAGTGATAGGGGAGGGAGCTAGTGACCGAGGGTGGGTTATCTTGCTGGCGGAGGCTAATGAGTATGATATGGGTACGAGGGAAGAGGTGGCATGGAAGCGAAGAAGGCTTTCCAAGAGGTCGTGCCCAGGCGGAGGGAAGGGTGTTGTCACGTGATTACGCGTAGGCTCGAAGGTCTTCCTCCCCAAGATTGAACGCATTGGCTCCGCAATCGTGGGGATATGGGAATCCTGGATTCGGATGGGATTCGTACAAGCTGCTAACCCGGTTTTGGTCTAGGAGGAGGGTTCGAGATGGGTGGGTCTCGAGGCTTTTTGAGCGTTGGGCAATGACGCGGATGGGGATGCGTGGCATGTATAGTCATTAGATACTGGAATGAGTGCTGCACGGTGGATAGCTGATTCCAATTCATGATACCCCCGAAGACTACAAAAGTAGACGGTACGCGTGGTGAGTCGCAGCGTGCATGATTCGAAGAGGCAACATGATGTCTTCCTCGGTCCTGAATTTCGGAGAGGGAAGAAGCACTCAACTTGACGGCATGGATACCTGCTCGGTGCTCGGTGGACATGGCCCTGTACGCGATCTGTATGCCCCGGCTATTTGGTGAAGAAGGAAAAACGGTATGTACCAGTACTACCATACTATGTATACAGTTCGTTTTCAGTTAAGATGTGTGGGGTTGTTCCGTTGGGAGGCAGTGCAGGTGGATGCCGAATATGCCGAATCCCGTTTTCTCGTTAGCGCTTTCGGCATGGGTAGATCCCGCTGGTGTTCCGGCCGGCCGTTCCAGGCCTTTGCAGGGAGAGAGGGTGTTCTGGAAGGGGCCTGCGGGATGTGCGATCTAGGTAGGCGAGGTTCTGGCTATAGAGGGCCTATGACGCGGACTGCAGCTTCATTGAAGGGGGCACACGCGGTAGTTTTGGAATGCGCAATTGGAAGTCGGGGAGCGCGAGAGAAGAGGTGAGTGTGTTCACTTAAAAATAATCATATAGGGTAGGTCTGCCGAAATGGTCATGGATGCCGGGAAGGGGTTAGCGCCATCGAGATCTTGGGAATATCACGCCACTTGCGCGCAAAGGACTGAGGGAGAAAGAAGAACGATCCATGGATGGCCTGATACTCCAAGCCAGAAACGTCGCAGGGAACTGAGCAAGAGGCAGAGAAAACCGCGAGAGGAAAGGAAAAAGGGTGTGTGCATGCTGCCGTTTGCTAACTGGAAATCAAGGGTCTTGAGCTGCTTTTTGGCGTGGAATCCTCGTCTAACTGGAATCGACTACTGTGTAGGCTGCACGCCCAAGCAACGAGCTGGTCTGCAGCAAGAGCCCAGAACGTTCCTGAGGGAAACACATTGCCGCCAGTCGGCTCCCTACCAGCACCTCCGCCTGACGGCCATAAGAATAGCCATCTGGGATTCATTCCTCTCTCTCTCTCTCTCTACCAAAGCGGAGAGAAAACCTTCCTCTCCAGCCTGGGGACACTGGGACCTAAATAAATAATCAGTCGTCGTTGTTCCGCAGTCGCCACCGCACCACCACTCGTTCCTGTAAGACCCGACCATTTCCACCAACCACCCGGCTTTGCATCGCCTGACCTCTCAGCGCTCGACTGTGCCTCGAAAGTGTGGGCCCATCACATCGGCTCCCCCTCGCCGATATCTCCTGATCTTCACCTGAGAATCCTGAGACGACTGCCCCTACCGCCCTGACCTCAGTGACCTGACCGAACCGTCGCCATGGCCGTCAACTGGAATGCCTTCCTCACTGACGAAGGCCTCACTCTCCCTGATGAACAGTGGTCCGATTTCCAACAGACATCAACCGATCCCTTCTTTCTTTCGCAGCAGCAAATGCCAAAGCCAACTCCAACCCGCAAGCCCGCCGCAGACGGAGGCGACCTGACGGGCTTCGACCCTCTGTTCATCGGCCCCAATTTCGCAGACTCGCTCTTCAATAATCCAAACGACTACTTTCTCAGCGACCTCGAGATTCTGCAGCCGTTCGGTGACACCCTCGCTGGAGAGACCACCTCGGAATCCTCCCCGGAACCTACCTCTGGAGTCTCGTTGACGGGACCCTTCACTCAGACGGACGTGCCGTCGTCGTTGTCGCGGACACCAGCGTCGGCGTCGACGGGTCTGGATCAGTCACCTCAGATGGGCAACCTCCAGCAGCAACAAAGACGCAACGTGTCGCGGGCACAACCCTTCGCTAACCCCGCCTATGAGTCCATGTTCCCTCACAGCCTGAACTTGGGATTTGTAGAAGGGCTCTCCTTCCCCAACGGAACGACCGGAAATGCCAACCCGTCCGATTCCAACGAGAAGAGCTTCAACGAAGAGACTACTATCAAGAGGAGTAAAAATAAGCCGGACATCTTATCTGCATGCTGGACATCGCCACTCTGCCCCAACAATAGTACCGATACCGATGACCCTCCACCGAATCCCTCCAATTGCGGAGGCGGCTGTGCTCCCTTCCTCTTTGCCCCCGACGACAATCTGCGCACACCCACCATCGACAACTCCATCAACGAGCCCCAGGAAGTCATAGCCGAAGACGGCATCGTCGAGATCCAACCCCGTCCCAAGAAGCGCTCAGAAAGCGAATCCTCCTCCTCCGAACCCACAGGCCGCCACTTCCCCAATCCCAACGCCTCCCCCAGGACCAATTCCAACTCAAACTCCACCAAAACCACCTCGAACCCCAACGACACCCGCCTGAAAACCGAATCCTCCGAAAACCCCTCACCCCAACAACAACCTTCCCAAGCCTCAGCAACCGCAGACGACGCCTCCAAGCCGAAACCGCGCCGCCGCCTCCCGCACAACCAGGTCGAGCGCAAGTACCGCGAATCCCTCAACACGCAACTCGAGTCCCTACGGCGCGTCGTGCCCGCCCTGCAGCAGCCGCCGCGGCCCGCCTGCCCGGACGGCGCCGACATTGAAGATCTCCCGGCTCCCAGCAAACCCAGCAAGGCCGTCATCCTGGCCAGCGCGACGGCGCACATCAAGCAGCTGGAGAAGGAGAACAAGACGGTTCAGGAGGAGAATCAGTTGCTCAGGGCGCGGATCAAGGCGTTGCAGGCGCTGGTCAAGTGCGAGGATTGTAGTCTCATGCAGTATGTCATGGATTTGAAGATTAATCCGGGTCAGGGCGGTGTGGGGGGTGTGGGGGGTGGGCAGCAGCAGATGGTGCCGCAGGCGAAGTGTGCGTCGTAGGGGTTGAAGGGGGAGGGAAGGGTCCGGTTTGGAGTCTTTGGAATGGAATCTGTTTGTGCGGTTCTTTCATGTCTGGTTGATTGAACGGGCATTTGGAGAGGCGTTTTGTGGCGCACTGCATGGGAGAGAAAGGGAAGACACCTTGCCTTCTCTTTCTCCCTTTCCCCTTTCTACTGTGGATCTCTCGCGTACGCGTCGGCTCCTCCTTCTATACAGCGACCGATGGGTATACGGGCACTTTCTTACTAATGACGACGGCGTTCTTGAGGGGTTCAAGCAGGCATTGGACATGCCCACATCAATGGGTACTTGGGCAAGGGGAAATGCATCGCGGAAGATGCGATGTGATGGGTGTATCTCTCTACTACGTCCTTCTACTTTTTTCCCTTCCCACTGTCTCAGGTGAGGGTTGTGGGACGGTGGGGAATAGATGAATGAATGAATTGCAGCTTGCTTTGGTTTTTGTGCCTGAAACATGCCTATGCTGCATTCATTGTATCTGGATGTTGATTAGATTCCATCGAGAGATGGTGATTATATATAGAGTCTATCGAGCGTTCATTTGACTCTATGAGCAGATAGGAAGGAAGGAAAGAAGAAGGACGATAACAAATTGTCGGTTTTGCTCCTTGTACCCCTCTCGCCTCTCCCTACGTAGCACAAGTGCCAGGGACGAAGCTTTCTCTAGATACTGTATACCGACTCTCTGGCCCGTCGTTGAATTCCATGACGGGCCGCGTCCTTGCTCAGTAGACTTCTAGGGCAGTGTGGTGGTGCGATAGCAATACCCCCTCCCCGTTCCGAGTCTTGCTCGTTCGCTGGTTAGGAATAACTAACTGTTCGGGCGGTTCCGGGGCTTATTACCCTAAGTAAGGCTGTGGATAGATCTATCGATCACGCCACATGGCATTCTCAGCGCATAGCACTATCGGATCCTTTCCTAAGCAACCAAAACAAGCAGTAAACTGTGTCCATCTGATTAGCAAGAAACTGGCAATTCTGCACGCCAAAAAAAGGGCCTAGCATAGGGTGAACGTCTCATCGTACGGTCGGTGATCTGCGCAACGCTTGGCGAGGCCGGACTGAGATGGTGGTTGCGTTTTCGTGTCGGACGGATGCTGTCACGCCATTGTGATGAGCGGCTCTGGATGTTGTTAAGCGGCGATGTCGATGTTCTCGGGGTTTGGGGGTCGGTGGGAGTAGTGGAGTGGGTTGAGGGTTGGTATAAATAACAGGATTGGTTTGCAAGTGGATTGTGGGATCTTGTGATATCAATTCATCGGATTCATTATACCTGTACCTGTCTGTGTACGATAACTACGGCTTCGCTTTGAGAGTACCGGAACCGTGAACTCGCAGAACCCACTATGACCATCGAGCATCTACTACAGCACACCAACCAAATCCACCATCGCCGCCAGATCAGCGACAACGACAATGGCAGATATAACACAAACCCCCCTCTTCGTCTCGCTCTTCACGCCCTCGCCATCAAAGGCAACAAAGTCGCCACACCAACAAGCCGATCAGCCAGGGACAGAAAGGGGCACCGTCCAAAAAGAGACGCACCATCACCCTCATCATCACCATCAACACCACCATCTGCGCATGGGAGCCTCGTCGATAGTAGACATGTTATTCACGCCGCCCCTGCCGACGTACCTGCGCAAGGAATCTAGCGCTAAAGCGACGAGCTCTAGAACCACGGAGGGAGAGCAACCGATGGTAGATGTACGAGAGGAGAAAGAGGAGGAGAAGCAGAAAGAGAAGGACGGACAAAAAGAATATCGCAATCGCACACAGCAGCTTCCACATCCCGCACCCCCATTTCTCGCACCTGCATCGCCGCTCGCAAGACACAAGGACGGACGTGGAGAGGGGTAGGACAGAGGGCATGGCGCTTGCGTGGTGCTGAGCCGTTTCTTCTTAGCTCTTTGAGATATTCTTCTTCTCTTCATGGTTTTGGCTTTTTGTGAGATACCACTGCTGGAAGTTACGATCTATTTGGTGCTTAGCAAGAGATGTGGATTAATTTAGGTTCAATGCTTCTCTAGTTTTCAAGCATGAAGTGTAAAACAGGGAGTCTTAGATAGGGTAATGGATTCCCACTCACCGAGCATGATTACACAGCCAGGGGAGGCTCGATCTTTGCAATCGAAGCCTGTCCGCTCTAATATCCAGAGGAATCAATTGTCGTGTCCAGCAGCATATTCTTCAAAATCCTCGCCGCAGCCGCAGACTGTGCAACCGCACCCTCCACATCCTTCACACTCGTGAAACTCACCAACAGTTTCCCCGTCATCAGTTCCTCCGTGATACGATCCCCACATGTGACCTGCATCTCCTTTTCGCCAACGATCCCTTGACCTTGCTTTGCCGGCATCGCCCACGGCGTGCTATAATACGCCCACTTGTCCCCACCGCATGGAATCCAATATCGCCAACTGATATCCGTCCCATCGTTCGAGACGCCCTTGGGTAAAAAGCTCGACGGCACCGTCAACTCCGGGTCCAGATTTCCATAGTCGACTCGACCGGAGAGGACGCGGCATGCGGGTACCAGCAATGTCTTGTCCGAGGAGCGTAGTACGAGGATGCAGCAGTCGTAGAGGTCCATGCCCGTGAGTGGCGAGCCCATGAGCCAGGCCACGCTCGAAAGAAGGGTGTCGCCGATGACGCACACGATGGAGAGTTTGACGGTGGATCCGGGAGTGGCGTCGTGTGCAAGCTGGAGGTGATCGAGGAATTCGAAGTCCCCGCGGGCCAAGTAGTCTCTGATGATGGTAGGATCGTCTGCATCCTCTTTATAGCTATAAGCTCCGCGAGGATGATTAAGAACCTGGTGCTTGGAGATTGCGACAGATAATCCGAGCAGCCGCAGACTCAACTGCGAGGGTCGCTGCTTACCCGTGACGGCTGGCGTGATGATACGCTCCATATCGTCGGTTCGCCGGGCAAAATGGAAGAAAATGGAACGCAGTGAAAGCCACAACACCTGGAAGGCCAGCCAGATATGGAAACAAACTACGGGCTCCTTGGACAGCTGTGCGTAGGTGGCAACAAGAGAACAGCCACAGATAACCGAGCCCATGGCCCAAATAGTACTCCAAAGGCGGCTCTTTCGATGGTTGGTGGGAACGTCAAAGAGAACCTTACGCTCTCCGCCTATGACCTGGGGGTTGGGAAGTTTTCCTTGGACAATATCGATGCACTTGCTCTGAAGGCTTGAATGTGATGCTCTACCCAGACTAATGAGCTGAAGAATAGTCGCAGAGACGAAAAAGTATGCCCAAGTAAGTCCGGTAATCCAGTATATGTGATGGGAGCCGTAGTAATATAGCAGGAACATCTCCACGAACTTTGCCAGGCTCAGAAAGGTGTAGAACCAGTCAGCCTTGATTTGGAAGCGATGGACTGGTGCCCATTGCGGGTCTCGCATATAACAATGTGCCTGAAGATGCTGCCCAGGCTCCAGAACTGTGCAAGAGCGTAACGGGCCGGCTGTCCACTCATCGAAGGCGTACACTTCTTCGAATGCGTCGCAATCCTGACTTTTTGGAGTTCCTTTGTCCTAGTGACAGTTAAGACCATTCTTTCTCCAACCAAACGACGTACCTTGCTCCACTCCACCATTACACCCATAGCCTCGCCAGTCATTCGCCTGCCATTCGCCTTCTTATCAAGTCGCCTACCATAGCCGACTGCATTGTCGGACCCTTTCGTCCTCACACCAATCGTTTCACGGAGCCATGCAGGCGTGCAAGCCGATACACAGGCTTTCAAAGTGAACATCGATCCAAAGCAGCTCATGGCCGCCCAAGGTAAACCACAAGCACCACGAGTCCCCAAAGCAAGCGACTCGGCCGTTGATCCGCCAATGAGAGCGGTGAGGGCCGCGATCTCCACGAGTCCGCTGCCGATTCCTAAGTTCTGGTCGTCTGCCATGGTCATGTATTTCAGTAGAGCTGTCCAGGAAGCCGTTACGCCGGAGAAAGGTGCCCGTTCAGCCTTGCACGCGTCGGCTTCCGGCTGCACATTGCCCCGCAAAGGATTCCGTAGCCCGCTTGTGGTTGGCTCGTATTGAAGTATAGCTCGTATTTTCTCCATCGCGGTAGTGCACTTCTGCGATGTTGATGAGAGAACGCATCTTCGTGAGGGTAGATTTGGGCATTTAAAAGCTTACTGCAAGTGTGTGGCCAGCAGGGCGTGGTGATCCAGCTCCGCCAAGGGGGCCGGTGAAAGCACCCAAGCATGATGGCTGCACATCAAGGCAGATTATTCTACGTGACTGGTGTACAGTATGACGTGAGTCCAATGGTTCCAGTTTATAGTCTTAGGTGCAGCCTGCGGCATATTCTACCACGACAAATAGAGCAAATAGAGCAAGTAGAGCAAATAGGGACCGTCACGGCAAGAGATTAGTCATAGGACCTGAAGTCCCGGAGGAAGGGCATAACAATCATTGCAGGCTACAGTTTCCTATATTGGCTAGTGGTTGTGTTTCGCAGTGAAAACCCTCCCAATCTGGCGCGTAGAAATTGGAACTGCCCCGCCTCTGCCACAACCCCGCAACGGGCACTGGCCGCTCATGCTGCAGCGTATTCACGTCTGCAGACTGTACAGCCTACGGTTGGCCCAATTAGCAATCACTTACTTTTTGGTCACGGTAGTTCACAGTACGGGCAGATAATTTTTTGTCGTCCTGGCGGACCTAAAAGCTAGGCTAGCCTTTAGTTCCTCTCGACCTAGAGTACTCACCTGTGCGCATTTACTAACAAGAAGAGAAGAGCAAATTTAAGATTTTATTGCTAGGAATGTTCTGCGATGTAATTAGCGAAATAACATAAGCAAGTCTAGATAGGATAAAAATCCCCACCTTCTAAAAAACGTAGTGTAGTAAGTGGGAAAGTTACTATTACAAGGGAGGGCAAACAGAGGTTTTTGGTGAAGGTTGGGTTTGTGCATGGGTGACATTTGGGCTGGTGGAATTCCACCTTCTAAGGAGAGTATCGTAGTAAGGGGAAGAATTACTATTACAAGATCGGTAGAAGAAAGCTTCTTGGTGCGGAGCAGGTTTGTGTACGGGTCAGACTTGGATTGTATTATGACACCAGATTCCCTCCTCCATATCACATGTCCCTGCATCCATTCTCAAACCAAACGGCCTGCAATCGCTAGGTACCGCAGATATAAACACCCCTTGCAATTGCCCAAATCATGTAGAAGGCTGGACCTTACACTGCGGTCCCACGCCTTCAAGTAGGCCTCATCCCGGCAGCTCGAGGGAGCAAATTCACCAATCAATCCTCCCCAATCCAGCCATCGAAGCCACGCCTTCAAGTAGGCTTGATCCCAGTAGCCTGGAACAGAAGATAGACCAGACCAAGCATGACGTTGACAGTCGGATCTCCGTATCTTCAATCTTCGTCTCGACATCGTAGGGAATTGGCGGGGAGAACAGCATCTTCGGGCCCGATGAGTCTGGAAGCGGCTCGTTGGCTGGGGAGGCCAACTTGAGGAAGACGGTATGCTCCCAGGTGGAGATGAAACCGTAACTAGCCTTGTGGATGCGCATGTACTCGGTCATGTTCTCTAGACGTCGTGGTCAACTCGAATTCGAGAGTAGGACCATAGGGGAGACATTGACATACCTAGAATTTCTGTGACCTGGGTTGATATCCCGTTCTCAGAAGCTGAGGCTAGGGCAGCCATATTGACGTCAGAAGGAAGCCGCATATCCCCAAGCAACACGCGGCGATTCGGTGTATCGATATCATCCAATGTATACCTGAAGATAAAGTCTGGATGCTTCTTCTTAGGGTCTGCTCCCCGGACAGTGAAGGCGTCACCACCCAGCACTTCTAGTGAATCTGGGCTTCCCCGCAACACATCAAAGCAAGCAGCGCCCGGAAGCGCCAGGTGGTAGAGAGCAATGCGGAAAAGTCCGCGGTGGCAACCAAAGGGGTGTCTATCGACCATCCTCTGCTGCGCCACCAGGGTGAGTCCTACGGGGATCTCCTTGGTGCGTCCCATGGCCGCCTTCAATTCGATGGAGAGGAACCATTCCGCTACTGAGGTGATGAAGCCCTCCCATGGCACTAGACGGTCTGACTTGATGCCCTCAGGAGTGGATGCGGGGGGGGCGGATTCGAGCGGCTGAATAGAGTACCGAGGTGACGGGAGCCTCATGTGAAGAAGACTCTCCGCATTCGTGCCAACTCGTACCTCGATTGGCGTAGGTTGGTCTACCCGCAGAGTGAGTCCTCAATCTCTAATTGCGGCAACACCAGGATGTGATACTTACAAGACATGATACACACAATGGCTGGGGACCGAAAAGTGATGGTTGCGAGAGTGTACCGGGCAGCAGATTTGGTTGAGGTTTCGGGTGGAGTGGGGTGTTCTTATATCAAAGTTGGAAGGTGCGGTGAGGCACCAGCGACAGTCGCACCCACCGTCCCGTTTGCCTGCCAAGCGTTCTTGTCCTCCTGTGAAAGTGGAAAGCCCCAGGCGCATGGAGTAGCTCTGGAGGTCTACCTGGGTAGTACCTACATTCTCTTTTGAGAGTGCGAACATGTGTCGGGTTCTCCTCCGCGTCGTAGAAGCCAAGAAGAACATCAGTGACGCAGACATATCAATGTCGCGTAAACAAACAATGCCAACTTACCTCACTCTCCACAACCCGCGCACAACCACAACAGAACGCCATACCGCTGACACCCTCTCACATCGACAAGACGATGGATGCAGTTGAAGCGCACAGTGCGGAGCTTCAGGGTGATGCCCACATCGCTCCCTCGGACGACCGAAAGAAGTGCTCATTCGAGGGCCGGATTATTACGTGCGAGGACGGTTCCTCCTGGAAGATCGCTGCACCAGTGTCGTCCCCGAGGTACCAGCGTGTGAATTCTCCGTGTGAAGCCACACAGGTCTACACATGCATCTGCGTCGAAGATCCAACTGGCAACCATGACGGGCTGGAAGCTGTCGTAAAAGTCAAGTATCAGTACGGACACGCCGTTATTTTATTCGACTCTCACTGACATGACGTAGGATCAGGGGTAGTCGCCCGAGCATCGTCGAATACGAGCATCTGGTCGAGGAGTTTGAACGGAAAGCAAAGAAAATGAAAAGATCCGGAAGTAGCCGCCAGAAACCTCGAGCTTGCGCGCTACTGGCTCCATGCCACCACCAACCCGGTCGAGATTCCTAATCAGTCTGGCATCAATGAAGTACGAGCTCTCCGGTATCTGAGCCAGAAGAATTGTCCTTATACTCCCCACTACCTCGGATATTCATGCCTCACGCTAGAAGAAGGGGTCGATCATGAGGGCATTGTCGGCGGGTATGCTTTCTTCATCATTATGACAAAGGTCCCCGGGCAGCCACTCCTGTCCGTATTCTTGAACCTTTCTGCCTCAGAGCGGGAGGAGGTCCGTCAGGCCTTCAAAGAAGCAATCACGTAAGCTTTGATTTTAAATGTCTTTCCGGCTATTACTGATCTGCGACCAGTGAGTTCCATGCTCTGGGTATGGTTCACCGAGATGCCGGGATGCGAAATCTGCTTTGGGACCGGGAGTCGCGGAAATGGTAAGTACAATTCCCGAACTCCTTGCAATTGTGATTCACATCGTTGAACCTTTGCGAAGCTACATCATCGACTTCGAAGAGCACGAGATATACAGAACCCCTTATATCACAGAATTCGGAGACTACCTCTACGAGCGCTGGGAGCTGTCAGATTCTCAATATAGCAGTTTCAGCAGGGAAACTAGTACGGAGAGTTGAGACGAAATGGCGCGGGAAGCGATGCTTGCAAGGAGGTCACGCAACAATAATGGCAGGAGAGTATCTGGGAGGACATGGGCAGGGTACCTATGCTGCGGGTTCTAGCAGAGAACATTGACGAAGACTTGACGTTGAGCGCAGCTGATGCTTGCGGACCACATGAGTATGCATGTTGGGATTCCAGGATCTGGCTAAAATTGGGAGGTTTGGTTAGGTTGCTCTAGAGCAACATCATATCGTCATGAAGAGGCTAGACGTATAAAGTGCATGAAAATGATGCATCTCGATTGTCTCGCTAGCCTTTGGGAGCTATGAGAAACGGTGTTGTGATACTCACTCACTTATTGCGCCGAATTGAAACTCCATGACATAGTCCAAACAGTCTCAGCAGCATGCTATTCGTATTCCTGTCCTTCCAGATTTTTCACCCAAGTGTAGACTAACATCTAGGGCGTGCCCTTCTAGACTCTACACAGACAATGCAGCTTATGCATGTGCCTTGCTGTGCAAGGCGAGACAAGCTTGACGGTAACATTTGAAGGGACAGTAAACGACGCGGTGTAGCAGTCAATAAGCAGCTACTTCCCCTTAAGTAAGGCGGCAGCACAAAGTGTCTCTGGACTGCCGATTCGTTGGTTGACCGTGATCTGCTGGGCTCAAATCTCAAAGCGCCGGGCTAAGGGTTCTGACGATGGGTGTCGCGATAACTCGCCTGTACAATCTGAAACTATGTAGGCTATTTCGGAGAGACCGCTAAGGGTTTTGGGGTGGATCAATGAGGGGAAGCTAATACCGTTACCAGTTGAAGTGGAAGACCCACAGAGGACCACCAGGGACGGGAAATGGGGACCCTCACCGAAGGACTAGAGCAACACATAGAACTAAATGTGTAAGCATTACCCATCAACACGAAAACCCGATTACAGGCAATGCACCGTTCGTGAAAAGATGTATTGCATGCATTATACACTAGTGGTAGTAGTCCCTAGTAGTTCCCCTGCTCATCCTTCCTTCTGGATGCCGACTAGATTCCTATTGCACACTATTCTCTATGGTAAATGAGGTCTTATTCTTGAAGATCAATCACGAGAGTGGTATTGCAGAGGGGTAGTCTATGGTGATTCCGACTTGAGGATTTGGTTGTGATGTCACTTCAAGGACCCTTGCAGAGAGCAATTGGACTATCCTGAAAGGATGGCTTAGAACGTGAGAGTGGAAATGTTGGATACACCAGGGAGCATTAAGCGTCCCGGGACCCATTGACGGACGGCCACAGTTTTAGAACGTCTTTCCAGTAATACGTGGGGTTTCCTGCAATAAAAGCGTTTCGATTCCTTTCTTCCTAATGTGGACGTCGGATATCCTGTCTTGAATGAGATCTATGATATTTTGAAGGAGTGGTTATAGGATCGCATGGTTTCGGCCTGCATCTGGGGGTTGACCTCCACAGTTGGCAGGTTCTGGCTCAACAACCGTGGAGCTTAGTAGTAGCATGGGAGCTCCGTGGTTGTGAAGAGGGCAGCAAACCATAACGCTTGCTTCTACTTGATTCACAAAAGGAAGGTTGTGGAAACTGTACAAACGCAGTGAAACCAACCCGGTTATGCGATGACGGACATATCGCATTTGTGCAGTCGCCGCAACCATAATCGCAGGCACGGAGTATGATATCAGATACTAGTGCCAGGAAAAGTGTTTTCACACGTACTAAAGCCTTGTTTTCATACAGAGGATTAGAAAGTGGCGCTCTGTACAAGCCAATGACACCAGTTGACTGGCAACGTCGTTATATTCTCCCTACCAGAGTTGATTATGGCAGAGGCTATATTGGAAGCAGCCAGATTGGGATCAACCGCCAAGGCCCGTCATTGACATATGTCTTGCGTGTTCTCAATAAGGTATGTGCAAACATCGCCTAGGTGTTGTGATGCCGTTCATTCACTCCCACCGATTATGCGCTAGTCCCAACCGAGTTAGTTCAACGCGATATTTACACTCCCCAACAGGCGGCAGCCTTAGTATTTCCTTTCCAACCCAAATAAAACAACCTCGAACTCACTCCACCGCAACAACCCGCACCAGAAGCTTTCTCGGTTGCCTTTTCGGACCACCACAGCAGTTGAGAGTTTCCCGCACCCTCAAACTCAAACAAGTTTACACCGACAACCCGCTTCTCGTGTGCAACGATCGTCATGAGCAATCCTGAAGACGAGACCGAAACCGCGATGAGCGAGTCAGAGGAAGAGGCAGACAAAGGCCTCCTAGGCGCATGCTTTAGTCTCAAGGATGGCTCAATGTGGCAGGTTGTTGAGCCATTGTCTGAACTGAAGTATCAGCGAAACATTTCGCCGTTCGAGGCTCGACAGGTCTTTACGTGCGTTCTTCGTAAAGACCCAGCTCACAGGTACACTGGCATACAAGAGGCTGTTGTAAAGGTGAAGTACCAGTAAGTACAACTTCACGCGAGTGTGTTTCCTTGCTGAAAACCTAGGATTCGCGGAACACAGGACACCATCAGCGAGTACGAAGATGACATTAGAATGTGGGCGCTCGCAGTGGAGGAATCTCCAGACAACGAACGCTTTGCCGACAATCTAGCCGATGCTCAGGAAGGCCTTAGGGCTGCTATAGAGCCACGCTACACGCCTCACTGCTACACCATTAACGAGGTGCAAGCACTCAAGCATCTAACTGCAGAGGGTTGTGCCTATACCCCGCAGTTCCTAGGATTCACTTTATACACTGTAGATGATGAAATCGACGAGATTGCAATGCCCGGTGGCTACATTGCTTTCCTCGTCATGACGAAACTACCGGGCCGGTCGAAGTCTTACGATTACGAGTATTGGAAGCTCCCGCGCTGTGAAAAGGAAATAGCCAGGGAGGCGTTCAAGGTGGCTCTGACGTGAGTACTTGTCAAACCTTCCCCCCCCGGGGCGATGCTGAACATTGGTAGAAACGTCTGGGCGCTCGGTATCGACCCTCGTGACCGCGCTACACGGAATATCATGTGGGATGAGGAAAGCAAGAAATGGTAAAGTCACGAGCTCTTTTGAGGCTTCCCCCGGCCCTTTGGGAGGAAGCTAACTTCAGAGCAGTTACATTGTCGACTTTGAAGACTACGAGGTCATAGACCTTGAAAAGCCGGAAGAGATGCCGTCATTCGGTGACTGGGTTTACCAAAGTTGGGGTCTAAAACCATTTTTTGGAAACATGGAATATGAGTAGGAATGATAGAGAGAGGACAAGAAATCGGTATTGCGACCAGCCGGGCGCTCATACTGTGTATATCCACTGGCACGACCTTGTCTTCTCATTGGTGCAAGCTCTCCTAGCGTGCACTGTATGATTAGCGGCGGGATGACGTACATAGATGGTCCAACGCTGACACGACTGTTAACCGGCCAACAAACACACATTTTCCACTTCACCCACTCTATAACTTGAGCATGGTTCCACTTGTGAATCGTGATTTGTTTCTACGATGGCGCTCGAACTCCTAGGTCTCGCCGCCATCCCAACAGCCATCGGCACCAGCGTCGGTGCCGCAGAAGCCATCCGCCAACAGGACGTCCTCGACGAAGAAGCCGAATCCGATGAACGCCAACATCCATTCCACCTAGACGTATACTGCGATGCGCAATCTCGCAAACGCGATGAGGTGCACGGAAGCATGGTAGTTCTGAAAGACGGCAAGGTACGCTTCCACCAACACAAGCAATCGCGAATGCGTATGTACTGATCTGGAAGTGACAAGCTCCGCCTCTGGCCCCAAGATCCGAAAACAAAGCTCCCGAAACCGCATCCCGATGGGTCGCCGGCACCGCATCCATTCACGGGGTTTTACTACCCCTTCCCGGTAGACGAACTCCCGAACAGACCCATTCCGGCGGTGCCAGTGCTGGGTTTGGTCAGCACCGTTCCTCCTGATCCCAAACACTCGTTTTCCTCCAATTCCAGGTCTGGAAAGCCAAAATTGAACTGGGTATATGTGGATAAGCATACAAGAGAAGTGAGGTATGGACCGCGAACTGAAGCAAGGCAGCACATCATTGGGCCGTGGGACTGGACAGAGGAAGACGAGCAGGGACTCACGCTCGGTGGGGAGGAGAGCTTGGTTGTTGTCGAGGAGGAGAAGGGCGGGTATGGCTGGGCGATCTACTATGACCAGGAAGATAACAGGTTGAAGAAGTACGAGGTCGGAAAGACAAAGCGCGTACTGCGATGCAGTCTCGAGCGAAGAGTGATTGACGAAGAAGATGTGGTCTAGCCTCGAGTCACGCAGGTATGGCGATTCTATGTCCTGCCTCTCTCCCCTCCCTGCTCACGTCCCGGATGGATGGGCTTTCGCCCACTCCTCCACCTCCCTCTGCTCCTCCGCATGTATCTTCTCCATCTCGCCTTTCTCATGGTAGAACGCCTTCCCAGGACATCCCCCCTCCCCACACCCCGTAACCTCAAACAACCAACTACTCTCCCTACACACCCTCGCACTCCCAAACCCCTTGGTCACCCACCTCCCATCCTCCACCTCGCCCACCTCCAAACTATCATCCGCATTACACAAGATGACCTGTCTCAGATAATCCCAACAATGCGGCCAATACCCATGATGCTCCCCGACATCGACCAGCGCATGCGGCCTCCCCTCCTGCAGCGCCTGCACCACGCTGCGCAACTTCGCCAAACAGTCCAGCTGGTGGAACATGGCCAACCCGGCTTTCCGTGTTTTGCCATCCGCGCGGCCGAGCGAGGTGTACACGACGCCGTGGCTCTTGCCCTGCAGCTCCGCCCAGAAGTAGTCGTACGCGCCGAAGATATTCGAGAATTCGTAGTTGGGCTGCAGGATCGTGGTGTGTGTTTGGTAGCAGGTGTAGTTCCTGCCGTGTTCGCTGAAGTGGAACCCTTTGTGGGGGAGCGGGTGGGATCTGGAGTTTGGGTGATGGTGGGGGATGCGGTTGGGGGGACCGTTGAAGAGGAGGAAGAAGTTGATGAGGAGGGAGAGGAGGAAGAGGAGGATGAGAACGCTGAACCAGCGGTCGAAGGTGGTTTCTTCATAGGGATTCCAGGCTGGGGGACGCGTGTCGGAGTTGGGGGTGGCGCTGTCGTCGTCGTCATCATCTTCTTCTTCTTTGGATGCTTGTTCTGCGTCGGTGGAGGGCAGTCGCAGGTATCGAAATCGCAAGCTCTTGAAGAGTGTTACGAGTGGGTTTCTCTCTTTCCACCTCGACCACGGGGAGTCCCGGTGCGCCGAGCGCGAGGTGGGCAGCTCATCGACATCGTCGTGGTAAGGCGACGGCAGATTCAGGACCTCCTGATGCGCTGGGTCCAAGTCCATGCTCCCCCCGCTAGAATCCGGATCCCGACTCTCCGCCGTGGATACTCGCACTTCAGTGTTCAGGAGGGAAGGTCGCATCTCTTAGCCTAACGGATTCGATAGCTCCGGTGATTTAGTTCCGCTTCTAGGGACATTTCTATCCCAAGCCCAGAATACAGCATCTCACGAATGGCGCATCCGCTATTCACATCCACTTTGGGACACTTGCTGCGGGTGGGTACATTGTTCATGGTTATGCTTTTGGACTCTCTCTTTGTTTGCTACGTACGGGACCGCCATTCATTCCGCGGCCGCTTGTCTACACGTGCGTTCCAGCGATGGAGGCAAAATAAAATGAAGCTTTCGACTTTGGTTCTTCAGGCTCGGTCGGTACCCGCGGCGCATTAAGGTGCTGTGTTGATGGTGGTAGCTAGCCAGGTCGATGGGGGGCCGTGGAATACAGTAACTCCCAAATGGGAATAGCGTATCCGTCTCTTATCCGTATCCATGGATGCAATTGCCCACTGAGCTAACTGTATACCACTGTGTTTTCCCACCATCCCATTCCCCTAAAACGCAGGCGGTCCATTTCCATCTCGAGAACAATCTTTTCAACTCATAGAATCTGCCATCCACAACTCCATCGACGTGTTAACACCAACGCCCCTACCTACCTTCCTATAATTAGTCCAGCCCCGGCCCCCAAATCAGCAAATCGACGAAAAAGCTCGGCGCGATCAGCAACGCCCAACAAGACACCCACGTGGGTCGCGGGTCGCGGGTCGGGGCGGGGAGCAGGGATGCCGGATGCGGTTGGGTGGAGCAGTGAGCACCCAGGAGCGAGCTTCTGCGCAGGGTCGATGGATCATCATATTTATTCATCCTGAGAGGATATACTCCGTAGAATCTATACTCCGTAGAATCTATACTCCGTAGAATCTATACTCCGTAGAATAGATCTGCGATTTTTCCGCAAGTGATGGAAATGTCGCGCAGGCACTACTGTGTACTAGAGAGGGAGAATCGATGATAATGGACAGGACGGAAGACGGATATAGATACTCTGATGAAGGGGTGCAAGGGTTAAAGGGTGTTGATTCGGTGGGAGAGTCGATGGATTATTATATTCATCCTCAGAGGATATAGAATAGATCTGCGATTCTTCCGCGAGTGATGGAAATGCGTCGCAGGCACTATTAGGGAGGGAGAATCGATGATGGAACAGGACGGAAGACGGATATAGATACCTCTACCTAGGTAGCCCCCCCTCCACTCCAACGTAAATACTTAAGCAAGGACCCTATCTATGGGAAAGAAGCACCAAACAGCACCGTACTCCGTACGACCTTTAAAATTCCGATAGGTACAAAACTATGCTGTTCAACTGTCTAAATCACGCAGGACCTTGACTAGCGAGCGCCATTATTCCGTAGCACTACACCAAACCCCGTGGCAAGAAGGACTACCACTACTACATCGAACATCCACACCGACAACTTTTCGATGGACAGGAATACGTCTACTCCACTATCCCACCCTACCCAAGTAGTCTACCCAGAAGCACATGTACGCTGCAAGCACAACGATATCCAGCCATCTAGCCACCACCATTCACCATCATCGCTTCCCGCATATTTCCGTATTTTATATTCCCGGTTCGAAACGAACGAACATGGGAAAACGTGCCAGTCCGAAACTCGAAACTCGAAACAACATGAGACTCGCCCCATAACATAATCGGGTCAGAGCTCACGTCTCACGGAAGCCAGCGACCCGGTCATAGATGGCCCCGTTCGAAACATTCAAATGTCCGATCATCTGGGAGATTTTATGAAACAGGAACGTCATTTCATGCAAGCGGCCGACATCCTCAGACAAGGGAGATGAAAGGAGTCCGCCTATATGGATCCTACATATAACATGTTGCGTATAGCTATGATAAGGCACATGCGTTACGGCACATGGCGGAGCACAGCGCACTTGAATCCCGTAGACATTTCCATTTGTATCAAGTTCATCTTTTGCAGATAGCTAATACGCAATGCGCAAAAAGGCGCTGCTAGCCCGCCTCGCTCAGTCGCGCACAAAATGGGTATATTCACCATACGTCGTCATCCCTCGATAGCTTGCTCAAACACATTCCATTATGCACCGTTGGAACGAGTCGCATTGCATGTGCATATCATCATCACCCTCGCGCAAGTTAGCGTGTATCCACCCCAAAAGTGGACACATCGCATCGTTGTACTGATAGGTAGCGCGAGAATGACAGGCAGAGAGAAAAACAGAAAGAAAGAGAGAGAAACAAGTGAAAAGGCAAAAAGATAGACATTCACCAAACTCCGTATCCCGAATGCACCTTGGAACCCCGAGAGCATGCAGTCGAACAAAAGGAGAAAACAATGGCGCCCTCCATCCGAGACTCCAAAAACCGATGCATCGTTAGTGTAGTGGTGTGAGGACGCTCAAAGGCGCCCATCAGAGCATTCTGTCAATCAATCGATCCTCCCCTATGCAAATTGCCGCTATCGTGTTCATCTTCGTTGGTCGAAATCGCATTCATCAACTCGGCCGTGAGTGGCATAGTGACATAGACTAGCGAGTCGCGCCACAACCGGCTTTGATCTCGCGCTTCATGGCTTCAAGCGACTGGTGCATCTTCATGAGCTCCGACCTCTGAGCCTCGGTCGGGGGTGTGGATGACTCCGCCAGACTCCAGTAAAGTTCCTCGTACTTCTTGTAGTACTGCTGAAACTTCTGGGACAGCTCAACGGTTCGGCGGAAACTCAAGGGCTCAGCGGGCGAAGTGGCAGTAGAGGACGAGTCGGCGGGGGAGAGTTGGTTATTGTTGTTATGGACGGGGTGCTGGGAAACGCGGCTGGTGTCGATGTTGGTGACCTTGCGGATCTTGTTGGTCGGGGTGTTGGCGGCGGAAGAGTCATCGGACTTGCGTTTGAGCGAGTTCGCCGAGCCGGTGCTGGAAGCGGCGCCGCGGCTGTTCATGCTCGTAGGAGTATCAGCGGGGGTGGGCCGCTCGACGCGAGCGTGCTTGACCGACAAGTTGTTGCGGGCTTCGCCCTCGGCGTCATCGGCCTTGCGCTTGAGGGGGCGATCGGAGGATGAGGAGCTGGACGAGGTCTTGGCTGGCGAGGGGGTGCCCGAGAGCGCCTTGTGGACAGGGTGGTTCCGTTCGAAGTCGCTAGCATTGATAGGCGGAGAAGCAGAGAGCGGGGAGGGGTTCTTCGGTTTGGTGTTGACGGGCACCGCGGGCCTGGTCGGGCGCGCGACGAAGGACTTGCGCGCAGATTGCTCGGGGCCCTTGTTTGGTTTGTGCAGCTTCGTCGGCTTCTGCGTGGGCTGCTCCTTTGCCTTGGAGGTCTGCGCGGGTGGCTCCTTCGGCTTGGTGGATTGCCCGGCCTGCTCCTTAAGCTTGCTAACCTGCGGGGTTCGCTCCTTTGGCTTGGTGGAGGTGACCGGGGGCGTAGCGGTGGGCTTGCCAGCATCATCCTTCTTGACAGGTACGAGCACCTTTCTCTGGCGAATGATGGGAGCCATGGTGTCGGTGGAGGGCGTTTGAGGATGGGCGGGTGCGGTAGGGTGGTTGATGGCAGGCGAGTTGGACGAGAGGTTGGGAGTTGGCTTGGGTCGGAGCGCGGCGGAGGAGTTGGAGGGGGAAGGGGAGGAAGAGGAGTCGGCGTTTGGCCTTCCGGCCTCTCTTATTGTCCTTGATGGCGGCTTCTCTCTCACCGCATTCTTCACCTTCACTTCGGCGGGGTGTCTAGGCTCCTTCGACCTCTTCACCTCCCTTGCAGACTCCTTCTCCTCGGTCCTTTTCTTGGAGGCGGCAGGCTTCTTATCGTTGAGCTTCGGCATCTTCTGGAGCGGTGTGGCCGGCTTCGGGTCAGGTGCCTTGATGTTCAGCTGCGACAGACATTTTCCCTGTCCACGCTCCTCCACAGGAAGCAGAATCTGCCAGAGCTTGTCGTCCTTTGCGAGCCTCAGGCGGTCAAACGACTTGATGGCATTGTTGATGGCGCGCTCTCTGTCCTCTGGGTTCTTGTAAGCGAACTTCCACGGGTTGAGTTCCCGGTAGGCCTTGTCGGTCAGCTGCCACCTCTCCGAGGACTGTCTGGCAAGCTTGTTCAGTAATTCACGCACGTTGGCGACCGTGGTTCGGCATGTCTCCGCCAGGTAGGTGTCGGTGGCAGGCTGGATTGCGAGGAGGTGGATCAGAGGCACACGCAGAGCACGGAGCAAGAGGTCGTGGCTATCGGTGGGCTGTGAGGTGGGAGGCTTGACCATGGGCGAAGGGGGAGCACTGAGGAGCGGCGAGGCGGTGGAGGAAGGCGCGAGGTGTGCGGGCTTGAAGCCTTTGGAAGGGAAGCGGCGATGGCCGGGGGTGTGGATGGGGGTAGCATCACCGACAATGGTTCTGTGTGAAGTGTCAGTCAGGCGGGTTCCGAGCAGCAGCGGCAACGAAGGATGCGAGAGGCATACTTGTTGGCTTCCTTGAACTCGGAGATGGCGGCCATGCTGCTCTTGAGCTGCTCCAGAGCGACATCCACGCCGGCAGTTGTCTCCTCGGCCTTCTGTACGGCAAGACTGTGGCTGATGAGGCCGGCGAACTCGAGATCGCGGTCGGAGGCGGACGAGGTGGGCTGGTAGAGCTCATGACGATATCGCTCGGGCGAGGTTTGGAGGGGATGGGTCTTGTCTCCGAATCGTAGGTGCTATGGGGGAAGTGGTTGTCAGCCAGGGTTGCTCTTGCCCATCTATCTAATGTCCATTCCTCACGACCAACAACACCAACAACAGCAACACAATGCGAGCAACAGAGCAGTAAGGTGGGAATCTGGGATCGGGGCACGTACAGGTGTGCGGCCAAAGACTACGGTGATTTTCCCGTTCCTCGCAGTATCCAGAAGCTCGTCGAGTAAGTCGGTGGGGAGGTCGAGTTGCATGGCCTGCATCGAAGGGTGGTTGGCAGCATCTCTGCAAGCCAGGTCGCCATCTGGAGCACTGACGAGGGCAATGGGACCCTGAGGTTGAGCGGCGGCGGCCATTTGGATGGATCTGGCGGGATTGTGCTGATCGAGGCGGATCCCTTGGAGATAATCGCACCAGACCGACGTCAGGGAAACGGGTGATGATGCATTGGAGACAGCAGCTGGGCATGCAGCAGCAAGCACACAACGCAGCGAGCAAACGTGGGTGATTCACAGGCGCCGTGGTGAGGTGGCAGGTGAGGCTCTTCTGGTGTGAAAGTGAGCAGCAGTTTGGTGAGTGAATTGAGGGAGGAGTGCAGGTGTGGCAGAGGGAACGAGGAGCAGCAACAGCAGCAGTGGAGGCGGGCTGGTCTTCCCGGGCTGGGTCTCGGAGGAGGAGCCCGTCAGACCAGGTGCAGCGCAGGTCAGACAGCGTCCGAGCGTCTCTGGCTAACTGCTGGACCGAAGTGGTGCTGGTGGTGCGCACGGCCAAGTCCAAGGTACGGCTCTGAAACGATTGGCTGTCATGGGGAGAGAGATGACGAAGGGCGGGGGGCAGGGAGCATTCTGGGACAAAGCAATTCACAATACTAATCCTCAGATGGGGGAGTGGGAGAGGACTGCGTTGAGCGGAGGGATGGATGGATGGGGTGAAGGAGAAGGTCCCCACTGCTTCTCCGCTTGCCGGCTTCGAGGGGCATAGGCTGGACCCCGACGATGAGAGGACGAGAGGACGAGAGGGGAGCTCGAGCTTGCTGCTTTGGCCTGATGCAGGTGCCCATACCTACTACCCTACCGAGTACGGAGTACTAACCCACCTAATAACCCAGCGACTGCAGCGATTGCAGCCATTGCAGTGATTACTGTGCACCGGTCGGGTGCAACGGTGCGAGAGCAATTGCTCCTCATTCCACCTGTTACTGTGCACATGGAAGCCCTTTTTGTTAAGCAGTGAGCAGCGCCCTTTTGGCGACTGCTGACGGACCCGACGTGGCTCGAGGAGCGGAGGACCTCAGTCCCCCCAAACCAGGGATCACGCTGTGTAATGGATCGTTGATGACGAGAGAGAGAGCGCGACAGAGAAGGCGGCGGATGGTGGATGGGGGGCGTGGCAGGGCTGCTTTTGCTGGGCCCGGAGCGGGCTGCTGCTCCTGCTCCTCATTCTGGAACCCGGGCTGGCTGTGCCTCTGTTGGGCGCCGGCTGGCACGCACCCCGCCCTCGATACAGGAGATGGCTGGCAGACGGGACTGCCGCAGCCCGTCCTGGACTCGGAAGAAGAGAACGCAGGGCGGCGGCGTGGTTCATCTGATGTGGTTGTCTCTCTCCGAACTTCTCTCTCTCCCACGCCCACGCCCTGATTCTCCTCTCCACCAGGGCAGACGCCTCGCCCCGATCGACAGGGAACGCCATCTGCGCCACAGCTTCAGCCACAACTAACCCGTATCGGGATATCCTGGGCTATTCCTGGCTCATTCCCCGCAGCGGAACCTCCATCCGCCAGGGAGGACAGGCACACCGTGGGAGGAGGGAAACCGTGGGAGGAGGGAAACCGCCGATCCCATAATCTCATATCCCATAGCGACCGCATCATGGACAACACGGAGGAGATGGATGCTATGGAACAGAGGCTTGCTCCTTTCGTAGCTGCTCTGTCATGTGGCCGGATGGTTGGTTTACTCACTCTCAATGGGATTATCGTGTATGCCCCCACAGCCCCTGCAACTCCCACGCGGCAGCCCATCCCAACCCCCACCCCTCGATTGAATCACTCACAATGCAAACATAACAGCAACAGCAACAGCAGCAGCAGTAGAAATCGAACGAAAGGGAAACAGGCAACACACCATGATCCGGCCGTGAGGATGCGCTCGTTACGCTGCTAAGCATCGAGTAACGAAACCTGCATCCGCCCTCTCCAGATCGAGTTGCTCGTGCTGCCAGTCCAGGCCGTCCCTGGCTCCCGCTCCAGAAACCGAACGCTGACCTGCATGCGCCACCACGGCAACCCTCATCCTCCCGTCGTTTGTTCGCATTCCCACTCTCCCCCTCATCCCATCTCAATATTCATCACAAGAGTGATGTACAAAAACCACGCTCACGCTGTCAAGGCATCTCTCGATTTCGGCCCACGTCGCCCATCTCCCCCTCCTCATCTGCCTATCACCCCGGCTTTTGGAACTGCAACTCACCCACCTCACCCCCCGGACCCCGTACCTGGCCATATTAAATACAGCCGTTGTTGACCTTGTTTGTCCCTGGTCCCCGTCGGGCACCCTTCGCGGGGTACATAGATGAAGTACCATCTCGCATTGTACCACCACCCAGAACGCTGAGCATAGTCACCCGATCACCTGGCCGTCTCCTCTCGTGCTAGCACCGGTTGCACAGAGGAGCCCACCAAAACAATGTGGTGGTGGTGGTGGTGGTGGTGGTGGTGCTGATGCGGGCAATGGTTCCCGCTTGGGCGAGGAAAGCTGACTGGGAGATGTTAAATGACCTACCACTAATTAATAGATGCCCTACCACTAAGTCACCTGCGCGGTCGGGAACAGCCTCTAAGTGGCTGCAGCCCCTGCCTTAACTAAGCGCTCGGCATCCTTGGCAAGGAACATAAACATTTACCCTCTCTTCTGTAACTTTTAACCCTCCTAGCTCTAAAATTTAGGAAATAACCTCTTAAAATTTTAACTACGTTAGAAAGAGCAGCTTCGAAATATCTATTCTACTTCTTAATACCTTAAAATTTACCTTGCAGCAAGTGCGTTGCGGCGGCGCGAAGGTAGTAAGTTAGTAGTAGGGCATTTATTAATTAGTGGTAGGGCATTTAACAACTCCCAAGCTGACTAGAGCGTCGCACCGAGTCTAGTCTAGTTGCCATGTGAGAGCCCGGGCCCACCAAAACGTACGATTGCTACTGTCCGAATTCGCAATCTGTGTCTCGGAGACATGATGGAATGAGAGAAAGAGGAGGAGAACAGAAAACGGCCTCACGGTTCGCCCATGCTCATGCCCTGCTCGAGAAAAATGTTCTCTGCAGCCAACGGTCTTGCATCCCGCTTCTGGCGGCCCTGACATATACTCGATATATCCTCGATTTATTGCTTCGCATCTCCCTCACGCCTCCCCCGCAACCCGCCCAAATCTGAACCCAACCACCAGCATGCACTGGACACACTAAATGTATTAAGTACACAGGTACTAACCCCTCCTCGCGGGCGCTTTCCCCTCGGCGAGGCTGCTCAACCCCAGATTTCCAATCACTGCACAGTAATACCTAGGTGCCTACTAATAAACTAGAACCCGCACCTTCCGACGGCTTTTATCTATAGCACCTGCGATATTGCTTTCCCTTGCCAGGCCCGTCGTTCCCCCCTTCCATTATTTTATTTCCCCTTCCCTTTCGCTTCCGACGTTTCGGATCTTCGCCTCAGATGAGAATGTTCCTGACTTCATTTCGGAAACCGGAACAGAGGGAAACCATCATCACATTACTTGTATTTGTTGTAAGGACGCTCATCAATTTCGACGAGATGAGGAGTTGTCGTCACCCACCCTCCCACACTGACTGACTGCGCATCAGATGCAGAGATTGGAGAGTGCTTCCCCCAACTCGACATGACGCAGACTGGAGATTTTCTTCGCCGGGCAGGAGATTGGGAAATCTCCGGTTTGTCTCGCATCCTATACGGAGTACCTAGGTGTTTCATTTTTTTCCGCGCCATATCGATGAGAAGGAAAATTTCACCGCACTCCGCATTCATATTATATTCCCACCGGTAGGAGGAACGGCCTGCATCGCCCTTTCCATCCCTCACCACAAATGGAGAATTCCATTCCTTCCTTTGCAGGTTCCTGGTACCACCCATCCCATCCTAACGACCGCAATCATATTTGTTCCCACCCTACCCCTCCATTACATACAGGCGTGCATACATACAAGCCTACATACATGAGGCATACAGAGATGCATACATATACCACAGTACCTGCACCACACTCCGCATCCGGGAAAAATATCGACATCTATGTGCAGGGGTGGGTGAGAACCGTACGGCTCTATTTTTGGCTCAGATGGCAGAAGAGCGGACATGCTCACCGCCTGCCTGCCTCGACCCCCTCAAAGTCGGGGACGACTCTGCAGCCGATTGAGAAAATACAGTACTCCATCTGAATAGCTAGCTAGATTTGTGTAGCCCACTGTCTACTAAAGTGAAAACCCATCCCATAGCTACAGAACAAGAGGAGAGCAAAAAAAGAGAAGAAAGAAGGAAGGAACCTTGGAAGGAATATGCACAGACACTACACTGACTGTACTGTGTATGTACACTGACGGTATCTGCGGCTAATGGCGGACGTACAGTGTAATCATGACTTCCTCTTATCTGTCTGGTTCCAATCAATCCAATCCAATCCAATCCAATCCGTTCGAGTCTGCCTAGAATACCACAACAGATCCATCCAATAGCTAGATTCAGCAGCCTGGACAAACAACGGCAGAGGCCCCTGCACGAAAATCCCCAAGCACGGGCGTGGTAATGTCGAGTTTAGTTGCACAATCGGGAATGGAAAATAGGCTACGCCTATCCACGCCTCCAAAGTCAAGGCAGTAGGAAAAGGAATAAATATATTTTGCCCACACACCAACTCTACGCCGTTCCGATGAGAAAAACCCACACCGCCCAATGCAAATCCTCCCTCGAATCCAGACGTGCGCAGATGCTCAGACGCCACCGAATGCACAAAAACGGCTTCCTTCTGGGTAGACCAGGCAGACAAGAGGTTGACACCGCCGTCTGACTCCCATTCTCAGATATTCCATTTCATCACCATGCTCGTCATGCCCTTGCGTAGCCTCTCAATTCATCTGACCCTCCTGTCCCTCAACTGCGATGACAGAAGCTCCAGAGATGACCAGATACCGCCACTTCTAGAGACCCGCCGCGTCCAGCTCCTCGGGCGTCTTGTGCCTCGCCAGCACCAGCCTCTTGAACTCGGCCGGATCCTTGTCCCAGAGCTCTGCCGCCTGACCGTTGAGCGGCGACGCACTAACCACCGGAAAAGTCAGCAATCGCGTTTTTCCCCTGGGAGATGAACACCCGAAAAGATATGTCGAAAACTCACTTATTCGGCTCCCCCAGCAGACTCTGCAAACTCAACAGCACACTCCCCACACTAATCACCGCACTCCACCTATCCTTCAGGATATCCAGACAGATCCTCCCCGAGAAATCCACGTTCGGGTGGTAGATGGGCGTGCGGAACAGCACCGTGGGGGCCTTGTACGGATACTCGGGGCTGAACTCCATGCTGAGCTTGAAGACGAGGCCGTCGTAGGGCGTATCGGCGGGGCCGGTGATGGTGGCGGTCCAGAGCGAGAGGTTCGAGTCGGAGGGGAAGGCCGAGATGCCGGGCGTGGGGTGAGTGAGGAGGTCCATGAGTTCCTTCTGGAGGCTGGGGAGGGTGTTAGCTAGAAGGAGTGTGAGGGGAGGGGAAGACGTACCGCTGAGCTACAGTGTTGCTAGCCATGTTGACTGTGGGGGTAGGGAGGCTCGTAGCGTGGAGTCCTGGGTTGGATGTGCTGTACTGTGTTGCGTACTCTTGCTGCGCCTGCACGAAAGCACTGCCTGAAAGAGCGAAAGAGGCGTGAAGCGGTAATGGTCGCAAGCTATCGTGTAACGCGGGAAGAAGCGATCCAACTAGACCTTCCGCCCGTCACGTCTCGCGAACTGAAGAAGGCCGAAAGAATCGAAGCAGCGAGAGGAAAACCCTCGAGAAGCTCGCAAAACGGGATGAAGCAGCAGATCCACAGCCACGACCTCGCTTTGGAAGACTGCAGAAAAGGCTCCTTAGCCTTCGCTAGTCAATATGAATCAAGATCGTCAAGCCCAGAGCAGTCGCAGTCGCAGAAAATGGAACGATATCGTTATCCTGTCGTGTAGTGTTTATGTTTACACAAGGTGGGTCGCCAGCCCGTGGGAACGGGTAACGCCTCAGCGGCCCGTGCACGTGGCGCGTTAACGCGGCCGCCACGATCGTCAGGGTCCAGGGACCCGGGCGATCAACTTTCTGATACAATTGCCAGAGCTGCGTCCGAATATTCGAAGACGGGTGGACCGCACCGCACAGCTCGCGGTCGATACATGACTTCTGGGCTCAGTGATGCGTCTTGTTTCATTTTTGTTGTAGAAAGGCGATTGCCTACAATACACTTCGATCACAGCTCCTCGAACACAAACTGAACACGCTCGTTGGCTTGATCCATCAATGTCGAATGCACAGCTCCTACTGTAGGAACTAAGGAAGAATGAAAGGTGTCCACTGATACGAAGAATGTTAGACCGGAGGATTAGCACCCCTGGGGACCGTCCATAGTCCCCTTGAATAGAGATAATGCCACCCCACCAGCGCTCCCGAGACAATGATACTTCAGCAGAAGAATTCCTGAACATTCCCCCCCAAACGCCACGCTATGCAAGCCCAAAGACCCCTGCCATGTGAATGTATTCCCGAACCCTTCCCATTCTCCACGTCCATTCATCCCCTCCGCCCACTCCATCACCTCTCACCTCCCCACGACCCTCCCCAAAGCCCTCACACCCCCAACCACTGCCCTCGCAACCAACAACCCAGGTCCAGGAATCGCCACCACTCCCGCCCCACCCCCAAGCACCTTCCCCTTCCCATGAAGAATCGCGAACCGGAGCAACACCTCCAAACACGTCACCAACAACGAAAACATAATCAGGATGATGATGATCCAGGTAATCCTCGTCATTTTCTTGTCTGCAATGGAGTCGCTCAGGATCTCGCCGAGGTCGAGGAACACTTTGCACCGCTCGTTGAGGACCTGGATACGCGGCTGGATTTCGAGGTACTCACGGATAGCCGTGTAAAGCGGGTGGAGGGTGGGTTCTGCATCCCAGAAGAAGTTGGGAGTGTCGAGCATGTTGGACGCTGCGATACGAATCAGCAAAACTAGTCTTTACTCCAACCCCAGAAGTGAGGAAAACGGATAACTCACAGAGATTCACCTCCACCCTACTCGTATACAACTGCCCCACCATCCTGACCACCTCACTCCTCCCCATGCCCAACTTCCCCGTCAACGCCAACCTCGTCGGGATATACTTCGCTCGAGCCATGGTGCGATTCATCCTCTCTTCGAACAGACTCAACTTGGTGCTCTGAGCAATCGCATGGCTCATCGCAAGCTTAATCATATGATCCCCGCTCTTCAAAGTAATCATATCGTTGTACACCCTCGGCCGCGGAATCTCCGCATTGTACTCGAAATGGAATTCCTCCGTCTCAAAATCCGCTTCGTTGAGCGGCCTGGTCGCAAGACTGACTCCCGTCGCCGACGTCGAAAACGTCAAATCCGCAAGGATATCCTTCTCCTGCCTCTCCGTGAAATTCCAAAACACAACCACCCCGTACGAGAACACAAACATCTCTCCAAAGCTCAGCGCATTAGGCGCAATCCTAGGCGCCGGATGCGCCAGCTCCGAAGAATCCATTCGTGACTGCTGCCCTCCTTTTCGTCTATCGTTCGGGCTCCCAAGAGGAGACTCTTCGTCCTGACCTCTAACGCCGTACTCTCCCTCATCCTCAAAATACCCCTCATGATACTCAATCAACTCATTCCTCTCAATCTCCTCATCCAGCATCGTCTTTCCCCCCGGACTCTTCAGCGCAGGACTACTCCGCACCCTATACCCATCCATGCCCGGCAAAAGCGGTAAATGGTACGCCGTATACAAACAATCATCATACAGCTTCGTCCGCGCCCCATGCTGCGTCTTGACAAACTCGGCCGTACTCTTCATCTTGTACGCCTGCGCCGTGCAGTACGCCGTCACGCGCGACAGCTTCTCCGCTCGCTGCGGCTTGGGCAACCGCTCCGCGTAGCTCTTATCTTTCAACCCGCCTTTCGCCGTGCGCCTAGCGAGTTCCTCGTCTTTAGGTGGGCCCCGCTCCTCCTCTTCGTCAAACTCGCCCTTCTCATCTTCCACGCCGCCCTCCGTTTCCGGAAGCAGGACTAACTTCTCGCTCAACTTGCTCGTCCGCGTCGGTATATACTGTGGTGCCAGACGACCGGACAGCTTGGGCTCGAGCGGATGCCGCCCGCTGGGTGTGCGGGTGTGGTTCGAGGGGCGGGCACCTGGGGGTCCGCGGCGCTGCTGGGAGGGGATGTCCGAGGCGTATTGGAGGATGTTGTCTACGGAGATTAATTTGGCGTTGGGGCGAGGTATTGATGGGCGGGCGCCGGGGCGAGCGTCTCGACTATCCGTCATCTGGAGATCTATAATGAGAATTGTTGGCTCGGAGGTATAGGAGTATACGATTTACCAACACCGTTGGGCCCCGTTTGCCCTTCACACCTTTTCCTGAGGTTGACATTGTTACTGGAGTCAGTATACCCGGTGAGCAGAGCTCACAATTGACCTCGTTGTGGCTGCGGTCAAGAGCGTTCACAGTCCGAAGTTCGAACGCGAGAGCGACGATGCGTGGACGTCATTGCTTGGCAAAGCCGTTGGGTTTATTCTGCCATCACCACCAGAACAGTGTAAATCACAAAACGAGATTTGGAAAGCTCCTATGTTTTAGCCGGTTGAATGCCTCTAATACGGAAACTGAAGCCGCCCGAATACGGCCCACGGGAATACACTACCTGATGCTAGCAACCCAAACACCATGCTATGAAAACAAAGGACGAGCGTCTCGCCAGAACGACAAGGAGGACCCAAATGACAGGAAAAGCGCTGGTCAGAAGCACCATAACACTCCATCCGTTAGCGCTCTCATTTTCAGGATTCGGCGGATTCCACTTGCGCTCCAGCCCTTCATTACCGCAACCGGCTCCTAGAAATGGAATAAAAGAACAGATGGGTATTAGACAATAGAGAAAAGAAAATCCGAGTGGAGCCCCAATCACCGGTCAAAGTCTCTTCCCCGGCACAAAGATGAACAGACAGCACACAGCTGCATCCACGAGGAGAAAGCCCGCCAACATCACCAAAGACCGTTTATTCAGCGTCTTCCTCACAAACGGCTCCCGGATGCGATAAAAATCCATGAGTGTGTACTCGCTGAGGCCAATGAGCGCCAGGATCGGGTCAAGCATGTATTGATGAGTGAAGATGAAGTAAAGCGCGATCGTGAAGGGGAGGATGAGCTGTGGACGTTAGTTCGCTGACGTGCAGATTAAGACTTTGCAATGTGAACATACCCAGCACCTTGTAGCCCTTGATTTGTTGAGGAAGATAAGAATGAAAGAAGCCCACATAGCCGCGAAGAAACTGATCAAGCCGACGATAAGGCGGATCATCATGCTCTGCGGCACGAGGTTGCCGAGACCCTTGCTCTGCAGGAATCCAGGAAAGGCGTCGCGCTCCATGGCTTGGAAAACATAGTCTTTGGCGGCGTCAAACAATTCCGGATCGCTCCTCTGCTCGGGGCCTTCGATGGCATCCTGTACCTCATGGAGAATGCTTTGCGGAATGATAATCTCTCGCTCGGATCCCGGAAGAAGATAGGTATACAGAATCTTCTCCGCAGACGCCCTCAGATCCTCCCTCTTAGGGACATTATCCCCAGACGAGTTCTGGCCCGGCGAGCTCGAATCCTCTCCTGGTGAACTGGTATCCATCGTCATGAAGCTAGGGCGTGGCGGACGCTCGTGACCAGGCGTCGAGTGATGGGAATAGTCATCCTGGCTATTATGCGGGGAGTGCTGCCGACTCCCATGATCCGACCGAAGGAACGCGGAGAGTCTCTGGTCCGACACATTGCCCTTCTCTCCCGATGGCCCCTCGCCCGCACCTTCTGGGAAGAAGGAGGATTGCTTGCTGTTCTTCTCCATCTCGGGGGTGTCTTCAATGACGGAACGATGTAGACGGCGTACATAGAGTCGGCAAAGTTGGAGGTGCTGGGATACGTCGAGCCTATACCGTAAGCTTGGAAACCTGGTTCCCAATATCCTCCCACACACTTACCAGAAATCCAGGTAGTCGACGGAGCGCTGCTGATCACGCATGTAGATGTAGAAGGAGAACAGATCCAGAGGGGCCACAGTCTGGCGGCTCAGCACCTCGGACAGATTTGGAAAGCGGTGCCTCTGCCCAGGTTCTCGTGGGGGCATTGAATCTCCCATGGTGACAGTCGGTGCAGCACTGTGCCGCAGGTCTCCTGAAGCGTTGCGCCGATGTTGCCGACTCCTCTACGCGGGTGTCCAAGGTAGCCAGTCCTCCTGAGCAGACTCCAATTGTCGTGATGCGCTGTCCTCCAGTGAATGGTGTCCTTCAGCTCCCGATCCGCAGCGCAATACTTTCAGCCTTCGGTGTCCCTGTTCCTCAATCCTCCTGCAAATCAAGATCCGATGAGCGAGCGACGTCGAAATCAAAGATATCGAAGCGAGCGACGAGAAGAAGACGTTGAAGTTGAAGCAGTCTCACTCGTTTGCTCGTCAGTCGCGGTGAGGCCAGGAAACGAACCCCCCAGTCTTGGCGCGACGAGTGGGTTTCTGGCAGCGGGTGGCTGAGGTTGGCGTGAGAGCGACCCAAAACATCCACAAGGAAGTATGCGGGGCGTTAGCGAGCAGGCTGATGGACAGTCCTGTAGCTTCCGCTAGTATCTAGCGAAAGAACCGCTCTTGCGGTGACAGTAGCGAGGGAGGGAATAACCTGGGCCTTATGTCGTCTTTGTCCGGTGTCATCAGCAGGATGCTGGGTGGTCAGAGTTCGCAAACTTGGAATTGTCAGGGCATTCAGGCACCCGGTCGCTGCGATTGGGCCCAGCTTGGCTGGCTGAAACGGGGAAGGTGTGGAAAATCACGTGATTGTGCGGCACAGCTACCACCTCCACCGTCGATAAATGCAGCAGTCTTTTAACAGATGAGACGTTCGAATGGAATTTCCACAGATATAGGGTTAGGAGAAGTGTATTGCATATATTTCGGCCCCAACAGCACAGCAACGCACGATATCAAAACCAACGTTCAGCTGTAGGCACCAGCAAAAGCAAGGCCCCCTTAGGCACCGAGAACTCATAAATAAACCTGAGCCCCAGTGGTCCAGTTAATCATACTCCCCACCAGAAGATCCTTAATCAGACACTCAGATCGTCCTCAGCAGCATGTCCGACACCAACCCCGCCTCTATTGAACTTCCCGCGGATTTCCTCCGCACCCCAGGCCCAAAAGTCACCAAAGAGACCATTGACTTCAAAGCCGCCGGTCTCCGCGAATACGAAGACTACTATGCCGTTGTCCTCGACGGCGTGCTCTCAGAAGAAGAATGCAACACCCTCGTGTCCGCCGTCGATGCCAGCGTCGACGGAAGGTGGGAGCGCGCCATGATCAACTCGTGGAATGGGTCGCAGCGGATGAGGGAGGATATTCGGAAGTGCGGACGGGTGATTGTGGATGATAGGGACCTGATGAGGAGGTTGTGGGCTAGGGTTGAGGGGGCGGTGCCGGAGCTCGAGCGACTGGTTAACTGGGCTAATATTACGGGAATGGGGCCGGCGAGTAGAGGTGAGGTATGGGCGATGACGAGACTGAATGAGAGGGCGAGGTTCCTCAAGTATGTGGGTGGCGAGTATTTTAAACGTAAGTCGTTCCCCAGTTCAATGGAAAGCGACGATTGACGAGCGTAGCGCACGGAGACGGGCAATATCAGACTGAAGACGGGTTCGAACGATCCTATTTCACCCTCCATCTTTATCTAAATGACGGCGCTGGCAAGGACGGTGCAGAGCCTCTAGAGGGTGGGGCGACCGTTTTCCACAGTCACTGTGATAAAGACCTGAAAGTGGAACCGAAGGTCGGCAGGGTCCTCCTTTTCCAGCAGCGTTGCCTTATCCATTCCGGCGAAGACGTCGTGAAAGGGACGAAACTGACCATGCGGACGGATATCATGTATGCGAGGAAGCCCAACGACAGGCCAAGGGAATCTGAGAAGGCGAGCGAATCTGAGAGCGCGAGGGAACCCGAGGACAAAGCGAACCAACCCAGCAACAACGCCGAAGAACCCACTTCCAACGGCCTCATCTCAGCAGGCAAGAAACTCTTCCGCAATCCATTTCATTAGCAGTATCCTTTGCCCTTTCCATAGCCCAGTATGCACTCACCTGCAAAAACAAAAAGGTTGAACGGCCCGCCTCACCAGAGTAATCGGAATCGAATGATACCCTTCCCTCTTTCACCCTCTACCCCCCAAGAATGGAGAGAGGAAAAGCTACTGGAGGTCAAGCACGCTGCGTATTGCACTATGATGTCGCTCCCTCTTGAGAGGAAGCACACAATCTTCGCACCGACTCCCATAGGGAACAACTCCCCTCAGCTCAGACACTCGCAAGGAGTACCATTGCTTCATGAAGCGCCCTGGACTTTCTGATGCCGAATGCAGACGTGAGTCACGCCAGGCCCTCACGGGCAGTGGCGCCAGAGCTCGCCGAAGAGGCAAGATGGCGGTGAAGATAAAGTGAAGATTACTCCGAATTTCTCATTTGCATGATCGGGACAACTGTGCACGGAGGCGCAGCGTCTGTCTGGAAGCAAAGAAACGCAGCATTGGTGAGGCGGGCCGTTGAGAGAAGAAAAGAGGAGCTCAGGTGGGGAGCTGGGAGTTTTCTGCCTTCGGCGCTGAGAAGTAAATCCGTGCCGGCCTTGGCATCATCCACCCGGTTTGTAGGGGCAGCTAGAGAACCCGTTAACGTTTGTCCATCTGGCAGCACCAGGTCAGGTAGCACTGCTAAGAATTGTGTTGCTGAGTTTGAAGCAAGATGTGCTTTGCATTGCTTTCAGTTGTACTAAAGAATGCTGAAGGGGATGAAGTACTGCCCATGCCTAGATTACTCATGGATCCACATCCACGTACCCAACAAACCCGCTATGCTTTTATGACATGGTATCTAGAAAACAGGAAACAAAATCGACCCTTGATATATGCGTAACCTTAAAACAGACATCTCAGAGACAACGCCAGGTTAGCTTTCCCCGTGAAGCCAACGCCAATGTGCCAATGCCCGTGGGTACTGGACCATTCCAAGGGATAAAAAAGCGAAGATCAAATATGCCTGGGCGCCATGCTCGCTGCTGTAGTAGAACCAGAAAAGCCAGGATCCAAGTTGGGAATTGCCGGATCCAAAGAATCAAGGAAACATAACGCTTCAGAGGCAAAGCGCTAACGAAAACGATAAGAAGAGACGTGGCGCCATCACAAGGGTATCCTACGCAGGGTAACGTCTTGATAAACCGAGCAATCGCGGTAAAGGTATGATGGCTGATTACTGTTCCGGCCGGGCCAAAGGAGAAATCGAAGGCGAGCCTTTCGCTGGAGAGGGTGGAGTAGCTACGGGCGCAGTTGCCTCCGCAGCCTGCGGTTGCGCAGACGGGGCGAGCGGAGCCTGAATGTCCGCTACCGAAGAGGAAGCTTCTGTTGGAGCCGCAGTCGGGGCCTCTGCATCTTCCTCTGGTATAGGCGCACAATAGGTCTTAAGAACGTGCTTCAACGCGGGTCGCCGAATCGGCTTGGACAAGAAGAAATCCATTCCGGAGTCATAGCACTCGCGAATGTTGCTGTCCTCAGAATACTGTATGATCATCAGTGATGTTCGTGTTGTTCGGAGGTATAACACTCACTGCAGTAAGTGCGACGATAGGAGCCGAGAACCCCGATTGCCGGATCAACCGCGTAGACTGAAGACCATCCAGGTTCGGCATTTGAACGTCCATGAAAATGAGATTGTAAGGGCTGTGGTGCTCCATACTCTCCTTGACCTTGTCGACCGCCTCCTGGCCGTCTTTGGCAACAGTAACATCGTACACATCTTCAAGTTTCAGCATACGTAAAACGACTTCTTGGTTGGTCTTATTGTCTTCGGCGACCAAGACCTTAATTTTGTCGCCGCGCTTCGTTGCCTCTGCTTCAACTCGTTGCATGGCTGCCGATTGGGAGTTTGGTGACTCTAGGGGAGTCGTCGAGGCGAAGAAGGGCTGGCTCAGGCCAATCAGGCGAGGTTTTGAATCTGTCTCAAATGCTACGGGCCCGCTGACAGTAGTCGCCGGAAGAGGATTGCTCAAGGTGGAATGGATCGACTGTCCCGAGAGCGCATCATCACTCATTCGTCGATGCCTTGTCTCGTCAAATGAGCTAGGCCGGCTGAGAGGTGGGTTTGCTTCCCCGAGTATGTTAACGTTGCTTGAACTCGCGGTGCTGTCGGCCCGGCTAGCGAGGTGCCTGAGCGGGATGGACATGGTGAAGACACTTCCGTGTCCGACTTCACTCTTCAAGTGGATCGTCCCTTTCATCAAACCGGCAAGTTGTGAGCAGATACTCAGTCCTAGACCCGTACCACCATACTTCTTACTCAGGCCCAAGTCGCCTTGAACAAAAGGTTCAAAAATCTTGTCATGGAGATTCTCAGGGATCCCCGGACCGGTATCCTCGACCTCAAACTCGAAAGACAACCACCTGCCGGGTGGGGGTGTTGGCGCCCTTTCCTGAGCGAAAATGTGGGAGTACGCTCCATACTTATCGTATGCGTTGATTACATTGGCCGTCCCGAAATGACTGGGAGAGGAAACAGTGGCGGAGCCTACCTCTGATATTGAGTTCCTGATCCGGTGTTTGGAGTTACGCGTGGAGCTTTGCCTGGACTGCAACGAGGCTTTGCGACTATTGGGCGGGATAGCTTCGCCGACACAACGGATGGTGACAGTCACTGAACCGCCAGGCGGTGTGAACTTGAGACTATTAGAGACCAGATTGATGACGACCTGGAGGATTCGGTGTTGATCTCCGTAAAGAACCATGTCTTTCAGTCGGCCAAGTCCGTACGGTCCTAGGTCTCCTTCTCCTATCAGCCTGCCGTTCTCATCTGCGTTGGCCTCATAGGGGCCTTCGTATTTGATCCGCAGATCAATTTCACCTTCCTTAGCCTGTCGATCGAAGATGGCAGCGACCTGGGTGCTCACGTCCCTGAGTCGAAACTCTTTCTCATCCAGACTCAAGGATTGACCAGGTACTTGGTTTTTACTAGAATGGAGTTAGGGGAATGCGTATCTCTCAGGAGTGTGCATGGCTTACCTGAAAGTCAAGAGATCGGTGAGTAAGTTTAGCAGCAAATCACCACTCTTGTAAATGATTCCGAGGGATCGCTTTATCTTGACAGGATCATCTTCAGACATACAAACGGCGCACATGCCTAGGATACCGTTGAGGGGCGTCTTCAGTTCATGAGAGATATTGGCAATGAACAGAGTCTTGCTTTCGTTGGCAGCCTCTGCGGCCTTCTTACTTTGCTCTAGTTCAGCAGTTCGTTGCTGGACTCTTTCCTCCAATCTCTCATACTGCATCATCAGCTCATCAGTCATCTCGTTGAAGGTTTTGGTGAGGTCGGTCAGTTCGTCATGGATGAAATGTTTGCGATCTTTCACTTTGCTCGGGATGCGGAACTGGCGTCTCCGCTCCTCCTCCCGCTTTTCGGCTTTGCTCGCTTTGCGATTTCGGCGATAGTGTATGATGCTGTCGAGAAAGCCTTCTTTACGGGCCAATGCAGCATCGTGGTCGTCACCGTCATGCTGGGAACTGACACTGTCGTCTTCAAACACGTGCGGGGCCACAGTCTTTCTGGTGGCATCGCGTAATCTCCTGATAGGCCTGCTGGAATAGTGCGCTACGGGGAAGGCTATCAAGAGCATTGCGCCGAGAGTCCCAAAAACGCAAGCTATGATGATGTTTCGAAGGTGATTGATGGGCGCCCACACCTCCCCATGCTGTTGCTCAACCACTAGAATCCAATGGACCATGTCTGAACGGATATTTGCATAGCCCACTGCAACGTTTTGGCCCTCTTCGTTGTGGGTGTGGATGAGACTTCCGGAGTTGTTCGTCTCTCCGGTCGACCTGGTGAAGCCTTCTTTGACAGCCGGATATTGGTTCCAGTCGAGTGGCCGTGCGTTTTGAGCAAAGCCATAAGAATCGTGTCTCGCTGCCGGATCATTTCGACGAGTCGGAGGGAGAACCAACCTGACATCGGCGCTGTGCGGTGGTTGGGGGTTCGGAGAGGTGTACAGGTAACCCTCGGGAAAAGAGTTGAATTGGTTGTCTGGGCCAAAGAGCATGGTAAGGCCTGTGTTGTGTAATCCCTCCCCAGAATTCACCACGTCGGCAATGAGATGGGCATCAAGAACCGCCGTGACCCATCCGAGGGTCTCGATGCTGGAGGTGTTGTTTATAATGGGCATGGTGATGGACAGCAGACTAAAGGTATCATTGATGAAATAAGGTCCACAGAGAAGGGGATGATCTACGTTGACTGTTCTTCCTTGCCAGACTCCAGTAGTAATGTTGGCGGTTGCGTTAAGGGGTGCGGAAGAGACAGTGAGGTTTGGATACAAGTCGGGAATGAAGCCATAGTTGGAGTCGCCCAGGGTTGCTATCTGTCCGTCAGGGGTGGTGTAGGGCAGAGGGACGGATTTGTGTACGTCGGAGGTAGAGCTGACGACGGGACCTCGTGATGGATCTTGCGGATAGATGCGGGCTTGGATGACGAGATAGCCAGCTCCAGCACTTGCGAAGACGGTTTGCAAATCATCAAAGCTCCTAGACCAGTTTTGTTCGGTATTATTCCCCTCGTAGTACCGCTTTAGAGCCGCCTGGATGGAAAGGCGCGTACTGAGACCCCTCACAGTGGATTGCATCAGGAGCATGTTTGAAGAGAGCTGGGCAGCCTTGAGGGTCGCAGTGAGAGAGAGGCGCGAGGCTCGAATTGAGAGGACGAAGTTATGATTTGATACCCATGTTGCTATGGCCACAATGGCGAGACCAATCATTGAGGCTAGCAAAACGAGCAAGGCCAACTGTTCGCGGATGGGGATGCGCATTTTGACCATAACTGAGCAGCGCTAGAGCGTCAGTGGCCGCGGCGAAGACAGATATAGAGGGTCGAGAAACGAGCGATGTTCGAGTCGCAGGACGTCGGGGTCGCTAACGGGGGATGGCCACGGCACTGAGGCGGTTGAGCGAGGCGGCCAGCGACCAGAAGTCGAGGAGAAGGTGACGTTGTCCACGTCCCATACCGCAGTGGGGTGCTGGGGATGCCCCAAGACACGAAGCGAGGACAGAGTGTGAGGGCGGCGCAAATCGATGGAGGAGAGAGTTGTGAGAGATGTCGACGAGGCAGGCTAGTAGCGAGGGCTGCAGGGTGATTACGGTGGACGGAATTAAGGGTTGGAGGAAAGCAATCTATGCGCAAAGAGAGGACGAGCGTGTGCTCTTTTGGAAGGTTGAAAGGGTTTTTTTGCAGCGAGGGCAGCGGAAGGGCTGTATACCCGTCCGATCGAGAGTTTCAGGGACGAGAGGAGTGTCGATCGAGATGTTGTCCTAATCCATCACCCGTTCGCCGAGCGCTGCTAGCTCCGCTGGTCTCTGGCCAGGCCCTCTCCGCCAAGCTGCAATGGCCCAGAACGGTCTGAAGCGGCTCGCTTAAAGCCCGCCCTGACTTGGCACCCGTCCGGCAACTCCCGCCTGCACTCCCTCCTCCTCCACCTCCAGCTTCCTCCGCCTCTCTCTCTCCCGTTCATAAGTCCTTCGCAGACTGGCTACCTTGTTTGTCCTTTGCTAATCATGTCCTGCGAGACACTGATGGCAAACAAATAAATCTCACTTCCACGTACACGACTTGGGCAGCACAAACACTTAACCCCGCCTCGGATGGTGACCTTCGTGGGGCCATACTCCCAACGCCGAACTGGTCTATGGTTCCACAGAGCAGTACAGCTACTGCAATCAATATCCTCAGGTAATAACTCGTGGTGAGGACATGCCGAAATCATGGAAAATGATCCATCCCCTCATCGTTCCTTATGCACGTGACATCGCGCATCTTCGCCTCTTTTTTACCTGTGCCGCGTCACGCGTCAAAGCACTCATTTTGCTGTTAGCTATCACACAATCAAGACCCTTCCAAACTCGCATGCAACGACATTCTGGCATTCTTTGTTGACCATGTCTCATCCTAGATCCGCCTCTAGGACTCCGGAGGCTACTTCCATGCCAATGGAGCATGAAGCTTGCACCACCAAACCCTCCTGTCATCGAAGAGTCTGCTCACTCCTCCATGTGCTAGGATTTTTTTATTTCCTTGTCCATACTTACAACCCGAACCAAGCCTCCGACTGGTCCAAATGCGAGGGAACGGAATGGCCTGGAGCCCGTCTCAGCGAGCTACAATTGCAGCGGAAGGAATCCACTTACCAACACCCTGCGCCCAAATGCCCTGCACATTCGGCCCAAAGTCATCCGTGCGGTAGTTCCTCTCAGGCGTATCAGGCTTGGACGAAGTGGGCGTCTCGCTCACTCCGAAAACGTTGGTCCATTGCTTAACCGTCTCGCGGTAGTTATTCGGCGAGAGTGTGCTATCCGTCGAACCGTGCCAGAACTGCATCCGAGGCCGGGTGCCATTATATCCCGGATACATTGATCGGACAACATCGCCCCACTTCTGAGCGGTAGCTGTGCTCTGTCCGCCCGAGCATGTGTTGTTCCAAGCAGCAACCTGGCCGCTGGACGAAACGAAGCAGCCGGCCGGCACGCCCGAGTAGAGCGAGACGGCAGTGATCAGGTCTGGATATGTCGCCGCAAGGACGTTGCTCATCATCGCTTGATTTGTCAACATTTCCATCTCCCTTCCCATCGTCATAGGGACCTACCTCCCGACGACCCGCCCGTAACAAACACTCTCCCAGGATCGATCTTGTATTGTGCAATCGCGTACTTGATCATGTTTGCAATGGCATTCGAGTCTCCACCGCCGTCATGGGATAGCGAGGCTTTGCTGGACACATCCCAGCATTCCGTCGTCGAACTCGGCCACACAGTGATATATCCCTTCCTATCCGAGCCTTGCTTCCATGGGATCTTTGCATTCTGGAAGTATTTCTGCGCAGACGACTGGCAAGAGTGGATCGCCACGACGAGTGCATCGCTCTTCAAGTTGTCTGGCTTATACACCCACCTGGACAGCCATTAGCACATGGTAGGATAGATGGGGAGTATCACGCTTACATCTGTGGCTTTGCACGTGCATTGCCTCCATAGTTTGGTACCTGCGTCAACTGCGCAGCAAAAGCCGCTGAACCCAGCATCAACACGGTAACAAGGTTATGGAACATCATATTTGAGGCAACTAACGAACAGTCCGGTATGCCATCAGGAAACATCTTTCCTTTGTTCTTCACCACATCATATTTATTCGCTGGTGTAAAGTCCATTGGCGAGTGGGTCTCCTCTCATAGGTGGAAGATTTGATCAGCGAATAGTCCACAACCATTCATGAGGCACCATAGAGGATACGAATAAGGACTCTGCAGTAAAGAGGTTGACTGCATTAGGCTAAACGGCAGGGATGCGTAATCAAGCTTTTCAACCAAGCATTTACGGATGGAGGTTGATATTGATGGCACATACCCCAGTCATTCTCCATGCTGATCCTCCATGCGCTCCCCACATGGCTTTTTTAATATTTGACAGTACAAATGTAAGAGCCAACGGATTGTCTGTCATTGATTCGACTGCCACAATTCCAATGTCTTTATTGCGAGTTTCCTGTCAAACCTCCGCTTCCCGGGGGCTCAAGCCCAAACCCTACGCACAATGCCTAATACTATGTTTCCCAAATTACAGGTTCACTACCGCCACTTTAATCCCCGGATCATAAGCCGATCTCATATTCGGTACTCTTCGGTCGAAAGGTACTCTTAGTGGAGGATCTCGTGGCCATCATTTACGATTCCCGCGCTTGTGGAGAACTCTCCGGTAGACGCAGTCCCTTCGTCTGGACCGTCACCAGATTGCGGAGACCTAACTATCACTGAACACATCGAACGGGTGACGCCTGCTTTTGGATTCCGGTAAAGGGGTGCCTGTGTTTCCTTAGCTTCAGAGGAAAATAAGGCCACTATCTCCTCGACACCCAGTTACTTGCAATTGGAAGGTTGAGCCCACTGACTTGTCCAGGTCCGATACTGGACATCAAAAAAGGCGAGACATGTGGCGCCTACTCGCAGCCACCGTAGGCTTTCTCACTCAGCAAGCCTCTGCCCACGGCGGTGCTGCAAACTACACAGTTGGAGACATCTGGTAACCTCACTCCTCCAAAATCCCACATATCCCCTCAATTCTTCTGACCTAACAAAACATCCAGGTACCCAGGGTGCGTCCTCCTCTCCTCTCTCCTCTCTTCTCTCTCGTTCCCAACCCTTCTCTAACACTGCCCCGTCCGCTTCCCAGCTACGACCCCTACGCCGGCTCCTGGCAAGACACAGACCCCACCATCCCCCAACGCAAATGGATCACCAACGAGCCCATCTTCGAAACCACCAACCACTCCCTCGCCTGCAACTTCCCCGGCACCCCCGCCCGCGCCTCCATCCCGTTCCCCGCCGGCTCTAACATCTCCGCCATGTACAACACGTGGGTGCACACTGTCGGCCCTATGATCGCATGGATGACGCACTGCACAAACGACGATTGCGCGACCTTCGACCCCGTCGCCTCAAACGCGGATTGGTTCAAGATTGGCGAAAAGGGCTTGCTCGAGGGGGATATCCTGACGGGCTCGTGGTTCCAGAAGGAGTTTAGTCGGTGGGATGGCAGTCCGAGCGTGTGGACGGAGCGGGTGCCCGAGTCGTTGCGGCCGGGCGCGTATCTCATTAGACATGAGATTGTGAGTTTGCATAGTGAGCATAGGCCTCAATTCTATCCGGAATGTCTTCAGGTGAGGGTTACGGGGCAGGGGAACGCTTTTCCGGGGAAGGAATACATGGCTAAGATTCCTGGTGTGTGGAGTATGGACCGTGAGTTATCCTTTGACAATGTGGTGGTGGGGAGAGAGGGAATGGGGCGCTGATGCTGGACAGAACCAGAGATCAATATGAATCCGTATGATCCGGAGACGGGTAGTAAGACGGTATGTTGTACCTTGTCTTGGGTTTTCATCTTGACTCGGCTGGCTGACGGTTTTGTGATAGGAGTATAAGATTCCCGGGCCGCCGGTTTGGACTGGTTGAGATGGATTGAGGTTTTGAATCGCGTGTGTTGTCCAAAGAATCGATCATTGGGAAATGAGATTCTTCATGCCTTCATGGCCGCATGCAGGCTTTCTTTCTCTAGTGACACGTGTGCTCTATATCTATTCCAGGATACTCGACGGTGTGGTATGGAGTCGGATAGAACGCAGTGCGTTCCTGAACAGCTTTTCGCGGCTCACTGATCACGGTAAGCATACACTGACTTGGTCCAACAGGCGGAGATATACTATCGAATACTAATAGATATAAATAGTCTTTCATCTAAATAGGTAAGAGGGAAAGAAAAAGAAGGAGAAGGAGAAGGAGAAGGAGAAGGAGAAGGAGAAGCATGCCTCCCATCCTCACTCCCACCTCCTCACCCCTTTCACCCAAACCCCCAACCACCTCCACACCCCCTATCCCAGATTCGTGCAAACGGGCCCAAACTTCCTACTCGTCAACGGCTGCGGGAAAATGCCCGCATCAATCAACCGAAACGCATCCCACTCCGGCGCCTGCTCGGTCTTGAAATTCCACCACACCCACCCTTGCGTCTTCTTCTCAAACGCATCCAGTTGCGCCTCGATGTACCCCCTCGTATCGTCCCGGTACCACTGCGGCCACTGGCTCAAATCCCTCAGCCACCCGCAGTCCCCAACCTTCGAGCTGCCCGGGAACGTGCCGTCGTAGCGGGCCCCGCGGCCAAAGCCGTTGAGATACTTTGCGCAGTCCGTCATTGCACCCGTCCACTCGCCGACAAAAGTCCACTTGTCGGCGCCGCTGTACGAGTCGGCGTTATTGCACACTTGCTGCCGGTGCTGCCAGGGTTGCCTGGCGACCCCCTCGTTGGAGAAGACCTGGTACTCGTGGTGGTCGATGACGACGTTTTGGGCGTTTCCGTCCTGGGGCGTGAGGAACCCGTTCCACGACCTCGGCTGCTTGAAGCCGTCGTGCAGGATCACGGGCGTGTCCGACACGTCGCGCACCTGGCCGAAGCCGTCGCGGTAGAATTGCCTGGTGGCGCCCTCGTCGACGCTGCCGATGAGTGGCTCGTTGAGGAGCTGGATGCCGATGACGACGTCCTGGTATGAGGGCCGCGCATACTTGTCCGAGATCTTCTTGAGGACTTGCAGCGTCTGCCTCACCGTGTCGCCTCTTGTCCATTGCGGGTTGTCGGTCCTCTGGCCCGAGTTGTCGAAACCGTTCTGCGAGCCTGGCGCGCCGTGGAGGTCGATGATGATCTTCAGTCCCACGGAACGTGCCCAGTCGATTGCAGCGTCCAGGTATGGAGCGGCTCCCTGCACGTACGGCGCTCCGAACGTGTCGTACGCCCAGTAGCCGATCGGTATGCGCACGACATTGAAGCCAGACTGAGCGATCTTGTTGAAGTCGTGCCACGTCGCCCACGTGTCCCAATGTCTGCGCAAGATCTGCAACGCCGCGTCGTGGCCTAGCTTCTCACCGAGCGTGTACTCGTCGACGATGTCTCCGCGGTTGAGATTGTCGAAGAGCGAGGGTGTAATCCAGCTGGGAGAGAAGTGAGCAGGCGTTGGACTGAAGTAGGAATAGAAGTTCTTACGGCTCCAAGACTAGCCAGCCACCGATATTGACGCCTGTGGTAGAGTGTTAGGGCACTTGCTAGCTGGGAGTAGGTCATGGCTTGCGTACCTCTGAGCTTCTCAGAGCCCCAGTTGAACGACACGCCTCGTTTGTCTCTGGGGAAAGTTAGCTCGGCATGCTGGAAATGAGTCTGAAAACGCTGTTCGAAAGATGTGCATATCTCGGTGCCAGAGGTGAGAAACAAACTTACAACGAGGGCGCCGCGAGCGCAGTTCCCAGCAGCAGCACGCCTGATAGCAGGCGTGTGAGTATCATCTTACGTTACAGCCGGCGACTGTAGCGATAGATGGAGTAGCAACGCGGTTACAGTGTTTGCGTGAACGGAATGTAAATATAAACGGAATGGCAAACAGAGCACATGTGCATGCAAATATCGATGCTAAAGAATGCGAATTAAGTTGAGATATTAACCCCTTGCGTTGGTCCAGAACAAAAATCACCGACAACGTTGAAAAGGCTTAGAGGCTGGGAAGAGGAGCCCCGGAAGGCGGGGGCACGAATGGGGAAGGAGAGAGTGTGTGGGTACTGTTCTGTTGATGTTGAATTAAAAAGGTTCAGGGGTCAGGGATGGGACTTGCAGACGGAGAGCCCAACGCGGCGAGATATGACTTGACAGAAGGGTCCAGTAAAGACTCGACCAAGGAGAGGATAAATGGAAAAAATGCAGCTTAAAAGAAAGCAGTCAATGAGGCACAGCTGGAATTTTGTAGAGCTAGATGGCGTGCACGCTGCGCCCGTGGCGTGTTAGCGCGCCAGGAGATTTGCGTCCATGACAGTCTCCGTTCGTCCATCGTGCCTCTATCTGTGTAGCTCCACCGTAGATGATGATCAACAGCCATGTTTGTTGGCGGAAGGTTTGTTCATGGCTAGTGCGAGGCGTCAGCTGCTGGGAATAGCGGCTATGGGCCGAATGCCACATGCGCGATGCTAGGGTAGATTGATGCTGGTGATGCTTACTTACAGAAGCATGGTGTGAAGTTGAACGACGGTGATGGATGTGCCAAGCGCATCGGCCAGGGAAACGTCCAATGGAAACCGAGAAGCGTTACCAGTCCGTTTTCCTGGAAATTCGCTTTTTGTGTTGTAACTGGTTGGACGCTTCTGGGGCGGCCGGATCCATCTCTGCCGAAGATCATCCGCTTCATTCACAAGTACATTCCGCTCTGCCTGGTAGTTGTGAATGGGTAGCGGCACATGTTTAGCCACTTCCTAGAGTGCGTGATCTCTTTCCATCTCTCGTTTCCACACTCTCCTTACAACCTCTCCGGGTTTGGCGTCTACCTCATGTCGAATCAGTCAAATGGGGGCGAAAATGGGCTGGTTGACAATGTTGAGGGCGGCGAAAACCAAATGCAACCTTCCTGCAGAGACCTTCAAGGGTCTTCTCTCGGGGTCTGCTCACTCGTCGTTTGCCGACTGAAGAAGGGGTCAGGGTCCTCTGGATGATTGGAGGGTTTGTCAGATACATAAAGTAGGGTGGCGAGACTACTATATATGAGGCACAGCATGCATATCGTCAGGTCGGCTGCGCATGTGCTCAGTCAGACGGTGAGGGGCGAGGCGTACTGGTTGCTATGGAGCCATGCTTGTGAGAGGATGAAGGGGAAGACAGAGCGACTCAAGAAGGAAGGTGAGGTTGAGACAAGGTTGTGGCGCGGGTGAGGTGGTGGTGGCGTTCCTTTTCCAGGGGGTTACCACGAGGCAAGCGCAACTGCAGATGCCGGGAACTCCACACATAGCAGGTCCTACACAGTGAATACCGAGCCATCAGCAAGCATCACGCTCACCATTAGCCGCCTTCATTCCGATATGTTCGATTAAGGGCCTTCTGTGTATTTCATACTACTTCCTGTCTTGACGCCAGTCCTATCGTGCCTGGACTGAAAATGGATCATACGATCGTGCCGCTATAATGTGGAAAAAGAGAAACCTGTACTTCCTTGCTTGTGGTGTGGTTTCCAACGCCGCACAAACACCGTAAAACCGTGCTTATGACGCGACCTGTGCAATGTCAGCAGGGATGCACATTCCAAAGCCGAGTTACCCTACCTCTGAGATATGCTGCCTCTCAATGACCGACTTCTGCTCCTCATTCCGTCCTACGCGCCAGTAGACATCTGCATAGTCCTGGCAATTCATCGCTGACAAGAAAGCCGGGTCGTGCGTGATTACGATCAATTGGAAGTTGGCCTGCTTCCTTCGAATGTTGATAATCTCGGCCAAAGCTTTCGCCAACCCCTCAATGTTCTGTTTATCAAGGTTCGTTGTGGGCTCATCTAGCGCGATTAGTCCGCAGTTGGTACCAAAGCACTCGGCGAGAGCAAGTCGAATAACAATGCTGGCTAGGACTTTTTGTCCGGCGCTGCACCGTCCTCGCATATCCATTTCCACGCCCTGCTTCACCATGACTACGCGATAGTTGTAGTTCCGGTTGCCCTTGGCCGCCTCGCTGTCAGAGCGAATGCGAATGGTGTCCACATCGGTGCCCTGATATGCCGGTTTCCAGAGATCCTCTATAATGCGGTTGATTTCTTCCATCTTCAGGGCGTGATATTTCATGATGGCCTTGTCCAGAGCGCCTCCATAACGGCCCAAGTCATCCACAGCAGCCTTCGTGGTCTCAACCTTGATGTGGGCTTCCCGGTATTTGTACGCTGCATCTTTGTACTCAGTCTCCCACTCCTCCAGAAGTTCTCTGAGATTGTCATCTTTTGACTTGATGGCTCCGTGCAAGCTAGCGCGCTGAGTGCTCAGCTTCGACCATTCGTTCTGCCACCTTTTCCCTTCGCGCTCGTAGCGCTCCTTGTCTTGTTCCGCATTCTGTGCTTCCAACTCCTGGATTTCTGCCTGCAGCGTCTGGAGAGATCGCTTGGCCTTCCGATATCTGATGTTGTCACCGATACAGCGTTTCGTGTTTTCCGTGTCGCGCACAGTGTCCTCAATTCTTTTGAGCTCCCTAGTAACTTGTACCATTTCTTGTTCGATGCGTGCTATTTCGCTTTCGAGGTGCTCAATTTCCCTCTGAGCCCTGGCCAGTTGATTGGGACCACCCCTATCAATATAGGCATTGATGTCTTGTTCCACATCAGAAAGTTGCCGAACTGTATCTGACAACTTGGTGGCCTCATCTTGTAGGCGTTGTACCTGTTCGTTGCCCCGCCTGTTGATGTCGTCGTACTTTGCCTGGGCTTGTTCAATCTCAGGGACAAGCTCTTGGAGGTCCTTGTCAATACTCCGGATCGCTTCCCGCTGCTCATTGTTTTGTGACTTCAACTCATCGATGCGCTCGCTTAAGGCGCGCTTCTCCTTCAGTTTCGATTGAGCGCTATGCAGGTCGGCGTTGATATCGCGCACCCGAAGTTCCAATGCATTGATTGTACTTCGTAGTTTGTCCCTTTCCGCGATAAGACGGTTGGCGGATGCTCTCATATTGCGCGTTTCGTCGCCAATCTTCTTCAGATCCTCCTGGACAGCATCAATACCCCTTGACGAGCCTGCCGCCTTCTGTTTCTCGGTAAGATCTTGGATTTTCCTTTCCAGCTCCTGGGTCTGATTGTAGTAATTCGCAAGAGACTGCACATCCTTAGATATTGAGTCTACTTCCATTTTTGAGTTCTTCAAATGATCAATTGCAGTGTCGTGCTCTTCCAGCTCGTGATGGATGGCGTCGCGTTGCGAGATTAGCTCGTTGAGTTCCGCTTGAAGGGCTGGAAGTTCTGTATTCCGCAAACTGATCGCCAGCTCGTACTTTGGCTTTGCATTGCGTACCATCGTAAGCTCCTCTTCCAAGGCATCGACGTCCGCATCGTCTTTTTTTGATTTGGCTGCGTCGATGAGCTTCCGTAAGTGGGAGAGAAATCCTGCTTTCGTGAACCTCTCAGCCTTGTCTTCTTTCAGAGACCTTCGGCAAAGACGGCACTGGTTATCCTCTACTGCGACCTTCAGGCACGACTCCATGTACTGAATGTTTGCCTGGAACATGGCGGAGTCACTGGTCGCCACTTCGTATTGCTCTTCGAGCTCCTGGAGTGTCTCTTCGAAGTCGGAGATATCATCTTTACGGAGCGCTTTCAAAACTATGTCTTCATACTCTTTCAGCTGTTTCCTTTTCTTGTTCTGCTCGGACTCTAGGTTATTGATCTTGAAAGTGACTTTCGCGAGATTGGCTTGTGCGATATCTCGCCTTGATTCGGCCTCTTTCACTTCCGCGCTTTTCTGTGCCACCACCCGTTGAAATGCGGCTTCCAGAGTCGCAGGGTCCCAGTCAGGATCAACAAGTCTGGCTATGCGATCTCCATGAACTTTCTTCATCGTCTGCAGGCCATGTTTGGCTCCCTTTAGTTCATCTTGGGCGAACTCGATCTGAGCGGTATCACGCGCGAGTCTCGTAGCATCTACCATCTCGGCCTCTAGATGCTCCTTCCTCTCATCGAGCGAGCGCATGGCAACTTCAGCCTCCTGGACGCGTTCATCATAGCGCTGGCTAACAGTCTCTGCGTTGGCGGATGTCAATCTCTGCTCCGTGTCCTTTTTCTTCTCCAATAGCGTCGCTTCACCGCCTTCGTCAATATGGATTTGATCCATGTTCCGCTGAAGGTCCGCTATTCGCCTCTCATTCGCGGTGATTTGCGAACGAGCCATGTCCTTCCTCTGAGCCAAAGCGGATTTGCGATCGTTAAGCCGGTTCAAAATTCCCTGGGCCTTCTTTAACTCTTCCTGAACTTCCTGTCGCGCGCGATTGACAGACTTGTCTTGGTCCCGTGACGTCTTTCCGATAATCTCAAGGAAGTCCCTAATCTGCTTGTCCGTGATATCATATTCGAAGCCGCGAATGCCGTGGCGCTTCGCCGCCTCTTTGACCAGGTTCTCACGCTTGCGCAGCTGACGTTCATACTGCTCCTTCTCCGCCTGAAATTTACCGATATCACCCTGCTTACTGCCTAAAGAAGCCCGCTGGTTGTCTAGGTCGTGTTTAAGGGTGGAATATTGGCCGCGGAGTTCCTCTTGTTGACTCGCATACAGGGAGACCCTCTCCTCATACTGATCCAGCATAGACTGAAGTTCTTCGTCAGACTCAGCCATCTGCTTCAGGGTGTGTTCCAGCTCAGCTGCGCTTTCCTGGTTGGCTTGTAGCGTGATACGTTTCCCGTTCAGCTGCGCCACAATCTGCTCAAACCTGGAAGCATGATCAAATGCCTCCTTCGCATTTTGCTCTGCGATGTCGATCTTTTCGTCTATCTCTGCTACCTCAGCCCGTAGAACCTCGATCTCGTCAAAGAGCTCCGTTGATCGTTTCTCGCTGCGGTCTCCCTTCTCCTTATCCGCTTTGGCATGACTTTCAATGATCTTCAGTTTTGCCAGTTCTTCGTTCTGCTTCTTCCGCAAGATCTTAATGTTGTCGATCGCCTTGGTGTACTTCAAGGCTTCGAAGATTTCATCGAATCGCTTCTTCAGAACAGAGGGCTCGCTCATAGGCCAGAGACTGTCATCTTGGTGGCAGAAAATAACGTATTCGAGGATGGCTTTGGAGACGCCCAAATATTGAGGTATAAGCTGATCTAGCTCAGCTACCCGTGTGGATATGGACTGCTTCTCGCCGTCCTTGAGTAATAAAAGAGTGCCATCGAGGGTTTTCTGAGTCCTCGTGGTCTTTTTGACAGTGAGCTGTAGTCGTCGCGTTGCAACGAAACGAGCATTGGAGGTGGATTTGAACGATATCCTGACCAGCGCCAGGACCTCTTTCTCTCCCGCCAGCTGCGTACAGATTAGCAATCTCACCGCTCAAGGAAGTAAGACTCTATGGAAAGGATGATCTACCTTGGGGTCGTGGATGAAAGCTCCACCGGTCTTGCTGTTTGGAGGGAGCTCACCAGTCGTTGCATATTTCAGGCACTCGATGATTGTCTGCAGTAAAATTCAGTCACGTTTCACTCTCAGGCGGAACACTCTTACCGTCTTCCCAGATCCATTCCAGCCGACTATCAGAGTAAGAGGTGCGTGAAACTGGATGGTTTCGGCCTTCTGGTGTCCGAATGAACGGACACTGCAAGGGTGAGTCTTCAGCTCATTTGTCACAAGGATGAAGAGACCAACCCAAGAATCGACAGCTTCTCTATTTTGGCTGGCGATACGTATCAGCAACAGGTGCGAGCGGAAATGGGGACGTGTAATGGGAGAGGTGCATACACCTTCATGTTCATTAGCGGAGTGCCTTGACATGCTAGACGTCGCTAGATACGTACATTCTGTCAATCTAGGGAACCCTTCATGAGCTCCATACAATGTTTCCGCCTCTCCAGGAATTGTTGGTCATCCGATGTCTGAACGATGGACGGTCGCCACGCTCACATGGAGAGACACGACAAGCGTCGCGCCAAGCCAAGGCACCAGTCTTTGAGGAGAACGCGCGCTATCACGTGATTCTCAAGACCCTATATAAGCCCAAGAGCTGTGCACCCTACCCGTCCCCCGCACAGGCTGCGCTCCCACACACACGCGGAACTTGCCATGGAAATAATGAACGCCACCTCTTTACCAACCGACGTTTGTGCCCCGCGTTATTCCTAGTAGTAGGTAGCTAGGTAGCGCATCCTCCTTGAAGATGGACTCGCTGACAAGTGTTCCCCAAACGCAGGCACCGCCCAACCTAGGTGCCATCGCCGATCGTCCACCCGACGGCGTTGTGCCACCGTTCACCGCGGAGATGGACCTCGGTATCGAATCGGGTCATAATAATACGGGACCAGTCTCTGGGGCTCAAGCTAGTTTTCCCCTTTATGCTTCGAACCCGCCAATGTCGACCCTCCCGTACGACATGACCGCTATGACATCATCGGCTGGAGCCCCATCCGGGGTGCCGTTCACACTGGGCCCGGACACTGGTCTCCAAGGAATTAGGGCGGAACCCCATACAAGTAATCCACGTTCAAGTACTGTCATGCTTAGCGAGTTCACCAAGCGACGCCATTGGCAGCGCGATGTACTCCAGGAAATGCGCGACCTCCTGCACGTATTGAAGCCTGATGGGGAGATATTGTACGTGTCGCCGTCTTGCAAGACTCTCACCGGATGGGAAGACTCGCAGCTGGTTGGACGTATTGTCAATGACTTTATACATCCGGATGATGCCGCACTTTACGTCCAGGAATTCACAGACGCCAAGAAGTCCGGCAACCCTCTTCGCTTTTTCTATCGATTCAAAAAGGCGGACGAGTCCTGGGCCATTTTTGAACTGCATGGCCATCCGCTTCTGACTACCAACCCGACAGCGCCCTTCGGTCAGCAGCCAGCCCTGCGATGCACCGGCTTTTTCATGATGTCCAGGCCATACCCGACGAAGAACGCTGAGCTGCTTGACTCGTTTCTGGAACACAAGATAGAAAACGAAAGACTTCTGAGACGAATCGCCGAGTTGAAAAAGGAGGAGCAAGAAGAACTAGAGGCTGAAGACTCCCAATGGAGAAGCCAGGCCGATACCTACTCCTCTCTTGCGCCTTCGGAGCCCCACGAATCAACCGCGACTCCCGCGCACAATGCAATGCCACCCCCAGCAAAGCCTGCGATGTCAAACACGGCTCTGACAAGGCAGAATCTGGATGAGGCATCGGTGACGAGCAAACCCGATAGTATAGACGATAAGATGGCACGTTATGAGGGCACCTCGCACATTGAGACCATTGAAATGCTCACCGGGCTGCACTATGGTGATGGAGAAAGATCCAAGGGCATCAGCACTGGGGCTGCCAGTCCCGTGCTCATCCGCGGAGATGTGGGCATCCAGTACTCGGTAGATCGTGATACGAAATCTCTGCCCGACAAGAAGAAGAAGGTGAAGAGAACAGCTGAATATGTCTGCCGTGAGTGCGGAGTATTGCAGTCTCCCGAATGGAGGAAGGGACCTAGTGGACCCAAAACCCTTTGCAATGCATGCGGATGTGAGTAAATCACTGGTCATTGCGCTAGACCCGTCTGACATTTAACAGTACGCTGGTCGAAGGAGAAGAAAAAGATGGAGGGGGGAAACCAGGAGGCAGGCCAGGGTCAGTCCCAGTCGCAGAGCCAAGGTAAGAGACAGAATAAGGAACAGAATAACAAGGATAGCAGAAACTAACAATGGGGCACAAGATGAGAATACAACTCGGAGCCAAGATATGCCGGTTGCTGGACATCCGCAAGCTTTTCCCATCCAACCTACGGAGTTGTGAGCCTAGCCCTTGATGGGGAACCGTTAATATTCTTTCAAGGTCGCAACTACGTCTTCGGTATCTCCCAAACGTCGTTCGAGCGCTCGGCAAAGTAGAAGATGCAGCAGTCCTCTTCGGATCGCACCTACTTGCTGGCCCAACCTTGATATAAGTGGTGGGGTTCTTGGTGGTTTCGCATGGGTTAGTTATATTCATAGAGGGCGTTGGGGGAACATTACCGTCAAGGGGGCGCATTGTTGGCTCAACTCTTGCCCATTCTCTTCCGTTTCTATCGCTTCCGAGTACATATTTGGGAATGGGTCAAGGTGGTTTGCCGACGGCTTTCGGCCTTACAGGACTGCAAGGATATTGGGAAATTGTTTTATAGACGTTGTTCAGGTTAGACATGCTGGGACGGTTACAGGTTTACGATGGGTATCATCGTGGGTATCAGGGCTATAAAGAATACATTAGGCATTTTCGCTATTGATAATAGCCTTCTGGTGTGACGAAACACTGGGCGAGAGTTCAAGTATAACGACTTGCAGCATCGTGAAACATGGATCGGAGCACTCACCCATCCCTCTCTGTACCTCCCAGCCCCGCCGAGCCATCATACTGCCTCCTCCCACGTCCGACTGAACAACCCCATGTACTTCTAATCCAAGTTAGAATACGTATTTCGAGAAATCCAATTGGCTATACTCTAGTTACGCCACTTAGGCACGGTGTTTTACGGCTGGTTATACCTAGAGGGAGGCGTAGAAAGGGCTAATTAGAAGGTCAATAACCCCTACGGGCACGGTCGTGTTCAGTCGGACGTGAAAAGAGGCAGTAAAGTAGATTGCGAGCCGAACCGTCGACCGATCTCACTAATCAACCAATGGCGACAGAAATCCACGCCTATTTATCCAAAGACCCTGGTGTGACATATATGACCCCGCCTTTTCAACGTCAGTACCTTTGGAGTGATGCTTAATCCCTCTGGGACGACAATTTCGATACCTCTCGGCGTGCGGAACTGTTGAATTCAAAAGTGGAAAACCCTCCGACAACTCGCAAGCTCTTTAAGTCCAATTCCCCCGAAGAATACTGGGACGTACGGATTGAGGGAAATAGAAGGAAAAATGGGCGTCAACATGCTCCGGCTTGCTGCAATTGCACTAGCAGCGATAAGCGCTGTACAGGCTGCGAATTCCTGTCCTGCGGTGCGGAGTGAAGGAGAGCCGCAAGGGCAGATCAAGAATGTCAATGGAAGTGAGTTATAACATCTTTTCATTTTCAAGAGAGGACGAGCGATTGTGCAGTAGATATTTTGAGAAGAGATCACCTCTCCCCTATAATGCTGATGCATCATCGTAATTGAACTTGGGAAAGCGAAGACTAACTGCACCTAGCTCAAATATATCACACATATCCTGCTGGCGGACCCAAAGCATCGAGGGATAATACCAAAGCTATCCTCTACGTATCTGATATCTTCGGCCTCCCTCTTCTTCAAAACAAAGTGTACGTCGCAAACTCCCCATCCCAACATTGCCAAACCGCTGGACCGCCCGACCGCTATTGCAACTGAATTACCTTCCCTTCTCCAAAATCGATCCCAAAAGTAACCCCTCCACCAGCCTCGCAGACTCCCTAACCCAGACCTCCTACCCCGTCATCTTCCCCGACCTCTTCTCCGGCGACGCCTACCCCGTCACCACTCCCGACCACCCTGCCCCCGACCTCACCGAATGGATCGCCCGCCACCCCCCGGCCGCCGTCGACGCCATCCTCGACAAAACAATCGCCTACATGCGCTCCGAACTCGGCGTCACGAAAATCGGCGCCGTGGGCTATTGCTTCGGAGGCAAGTATGTGCCGCGGCATATGGCGGAGGGCAAGGGGATCGATGTCGGGTTCATTGCGCATCCGAGTGGGTTGGAGGATGGCGAGATTAAGGCGATTGCTGGGCCGATTAGTGTGGCTGCTGGACGTGAGTTTCTCCCTTTTCCTTTTCCGTTTCTGCTTTCCCAATGTTGGGATTTGGCATGGATGAGTGAGTGGCTTTGGATAGGATAGACCAACTAAGGGAGGATGATAGAACTCGATGGTACTTTCAACGCCGCTGCGCGTCGTAATGCCGAGGATATCCTCACGGGCATGAATGCCGTTTTCCAGACGGTGCTGTATTCGCAGGCGCCGCATGGGTTCGCGGTACGCGTGAATATGAGTGCGCCGGCGGAGAAGTTTGCAAAGGAGGGGGCTTTTTTGCAGGCCGTGAAGTGGTTTGATGCGTGGCTTTAGGTGCGGAGGTGGGTTGAAGGATATGGATGGAATGAAGTGGTGATCCTTCGTGATTGATGCTCGATCTCTATAGACGCACGGAAGTCCTATGATATATGGTAAGGTTGAGATGATGGCTGCGATGCATTAGGGTTGGTTGATGCGTTGTACCTCCATCAAGATTGTCTTTGTTTCAGACCCGCCAATTATTGAAGGTGTACAGACGGTATAGGCCGGTGCAAGAAGCTCTGATTCGGTAATGAACTGATTGATGGTTGATTGTGATGAAGGAAGAGTAGTGATGGAGAAAACGACTTAGAAAACTTCGTCTAGACTTCAACATGTCCGGCGGGGTATTCTTCGTCGTTTTTAGAGCATGTGCGTCATCGTGGAACTCCGGCGTTTACAGCAGAATCCTCGATTTTCTCAGAGCTCCCCGGGCCCCAATCTAAATTTCCGCACCGTTCCGACGGAGGAACAAGTGGCCATACCGCTACAGGAGCCTGTAGACCCTCCTTCTAGCGTCATGCACCCTGGTGGCATCCTGTTCTGACTCCATCCGAGTCTCCCTTTAATCGGAGTGATGCAGCTATGCCGATGTAGCTGTTAGTCAACCAGAGAAATCCTCCATGGTGACGTCGACTCTTGTCGTTCGTAGATCCGGACTTCCTATCTCCTTCTCTTCACTCACTTCCCCGCGAAGTCCCCCCTCCTCTCCACATTCCCCTCCACATGCCTCCTCAACGCCGCCCAGCGAGCCTCCGTCCCCCTCCCCGCACTCAACTGCACCAAATTCGCATTGAACCTCTCCCTCTCCATCCTCTCCAGCTTCTCCTTCCTCTTCATCGCTCCGGGCCTACTCTTCATACTCTTCAACCCTCCCCCCCTCACCCTCACCTTCGCCTGCCCAACCACGACTTCCACCCCATTCCCCCCGTCCGCACCGCTGCCACCATCTCGCGCACCTTCAATCTCGGGTAATGCATCGGCGAGCGATTCGAGATTCGCAACGAGTTTCTTGTTCGGACGTCTCCGCTTCGGGGTCTTGCTTCCGGATTTCTCGATCCGGGATACAAACGACGAATGCTTTATAGCCTTCTTATCTCGCTTGCTCGTCGGGAAGTGGAAGTCGCCGCCGTCGCCCTCCTCGTGGTCGAGCGTAGAGGGGGTGGGTTTGGATTTGGATATCGGGGCGCTGAGCGGGAGGGGTGGTCTTGGGCGCACGGCGGCGGCTTTGGCGCGGAGGGAACTGCGTTTTTTGGTGGGTGCCTGAATGGAACGTCAGTATCATTTCGGACTGAAGACTAGGAGGAATTGTACCATGTGGGTGGGTGTGAGGTGTGTTGCGGAATGGTTTGAAAGATGGCGTAGAAATAACTATGGTCCGTATGTCGCACGGGCCAGTTCCGCTCAGTGAACTCGAAAACGAAGGTGTCGTCACTGTGGGAAGATCGAGGTCTGCAGCAAAAATGGTGCGACACGTCGACTCTGGACAAAAGAAAGATACAGTGCTAAGTCAATTTCGCGCCTGGTGTCGTTTTGCTACCAAGTGCATTTACACCATGAGTACAGAAAGCAAAAAAGGAAAAAATAATGTCGCTTCTGTGGATCGAACACAGTACCTCCAGATCGGCATTCGTTTAGAACCGAAGTTTGCAGTAGCAGGGCTTCCCCCACACTGATTGCTTCAGTCTGGCGCTCTCCCAAGTGAGCTAAAGCGACTTGTAATTTGATGGATTTTGCTTCTCATAAAAAGCTCATATGCTCCTTCAATGTTCTGTGGTATCAACAGGGGTTGGGCACGAGCAATGGAACCGCGGAGAAATAGCCAAGGCCTGGCCTGAGTCAAGTTGTATGCATATTACTTGTGCGAAAAATAATTTATATCTTCTGCGACTGCAGAATACTAAGATTATCTAAGGCACATGCTGTACGAAACGCTGACAAATGCCGCTGCCCAGGTTTCCCTAGGCTTCTGCGCCGCACACGTCACGCGGGTGGCGAATATCGCAGCGGAGCCACGAGAATATTAACTTAAAGTAGTTAGAATTTCAAGTCGCTCTAGCTCACTTGGGAGAGCGCCAGACTGAAGAAATCAGTATACACAGTAGGGAAAACTCTGCTACTGCAAGCTTCGGTTCTAAAAGAATGCCATTCCTTTGGTGTCCCTCCGTCCCCACTTGCGACACTGACAGACGCAGGACGATACTCGCCATCTGCTCCACTTGCAAACAGCGACGTTTCACCCTACAGTGTAGCGCTCACTCGAGCTAAAGCGACTTTTGATTTCATAATAACATTTAAGGCATTTACCGAATTTATAATCACCTAGACGCCATGCCGTACAGACCCGTCCGCATAGATGATAGTACATAACCATTCCATTCTCCTCAAATCCCAGCCTTCTCCCATTCGCCCCCTATCCCAAAGCCTTTGCTCAACCACCAAATCCCAAAATCTCATTCGCCCTCTCCAACACCTCCCTCTGCCCCCTCGCCAACCCATCTTCCCCACTATCCCACTCCTTCAACCCCATAGCCCTACAGCCTTCCACACCCACCAAACCCTCCATATCCTCCACCCGAACCCTCCCCACATGCTCGCTCTCACCAACCCCACCGCCAAAGTCCGGACTAGGCGTGCCTCGAATGAACGTTTCTCGCTGTTTTACCAAGCCCTTAGCATTCCCCTCCGTAAGCGGACACGCGGGGATATACAGCACACTGGAATCCGACTGTCCCGCGTGCTTCTGATCGACGGCGTGAATGGTGTCGCAGTGCCACGCTACGTAGTCCCCAGGACGGACGCGCGGGACGTGGACCATTGTGTTCTGGAGGTGCAGATGGGGGTGGAAGACGGGGGAGAGTTCTTGACCGTGGCCGGGGGTGGCGCCTTGGAGGGCGGATGTGACGGGCAATTCCAGTTGCCAGTTGTCTTCGGAGAGGAAGTCGCTGATGTTCGAGAGGGATTCTGATGTTGACTGGGTGGACGGCTCCGCGAGGCCTTTGCGGGGCGTGAAGAAGGGGCGGAGGAGATAGTACGCCGTTGCTTTCGCTAGAAGGGGATTCACCAGCAGCGTCCCTTCGAACGGTCCGGTCTTGGACATGGAAAGCCAACCCTGGTACATGCGGAACATGGAGCAGGCGCCCACGCCCTGGTGCAGGTCCGACACCACGGGTAGCCGGCACTCGGCCTCCCAAGGGTCGAACTTCTCCCACTGGCCCTTCCAAATGTCCTCATACACGCCTCCGAGACCATAGCCGCGCTCGTCCCAGCGCTCGACGCTTCCCCCATCGACGTGAGGTCCTAGGGCGAACTTGGCGTCGCCGGGGAGGCGCATGCGGAGGCGGTCGGCGTAACTGGTGGGATGTTGGGTTGAGATTGGAGCGGAAGGGGAGCTGTGCCAGTAGGACATAAGGAAGCGCTGGGTTTTGAGCAAGTTGGGGTGGGCGCGGGCGAGGATTTGGGGACGGGACCAGTAGAGTTCAAAGACTTGGGGATTGTCTGGTGGGAAGGCTGCTATAGAGTTAACACAGAAATACTAGGACTGCTTGGGGGTTGTATACCCTTTGTCTGGGGGTTCCGCCGTATGTATTCCCTAAGGTCCTCCTTCCACTTCAACGCTTCCTCTTCCGAAACCACTCCCCTTACAACCGCCACTCCTCTGCTCTTCAGCGCCGCATTGAAGTCTTCGGAAGCACTGTCCAGGTCTCTGAAGTCTATCTCCGGGATAACTTTCGATCCTAACTCGACTATGTGAGGGATCTCTTCGCGCAGGTCTCGAAGCAGCCGGTTCCACGACTCTTGTACTTTGTCTTCATGGCCGCGAATGAGGCGCTGCTTCAAGGCGGCGTATTCGGGTCCTAGAGGCTTGAAGTCTTGTCCAGATAGGGATACAAAAGCGTCTGATATGTCCCCCGCGCGCTTCTGAGCTTGTGTGGCCGCAGTGCGGAGCTGTGTTCGCGGAAGTTTAGATCCACTATTCCGGAGACATCGAGCGGACGTGGATAACATGATGAATGAAAGCCTCTCAAGACTCGCTGATCAATCTGGAACGGTTGTGTGGCTCCCGGAACGATTGAGTCTACCCATTTTATAAATCCTCGTCGGCGAAGGAAAGTGTCTCAATTCCGATTGACACGGATCTGCGAATTCCAACGTTCCGACCAGCTCCAAAGAGATCTGGGGTTGAGGGGTTGCGGGAAGCTCTCGAAATGGGTATAGCTCCCTTCCCCGCCACATTGCTGGTGTCCTGTGGCGCAGACTCGACTTTGCACTCTTCAGAAACCGTTCCGACACGGCGAAAATGGGTTCCGACGTTCGAATCAAAGGAGGAGGAACGTCTTCATGATCAGCGGTCCAAGGTCGGAATGACGAAGAACTCGTGTAAACTTGCCTCGCCCAGTCCTCCCAGCCACCCCCGCTTCTATTCCCATATTCTCGTACCCAGCTTGATCCTCTCAGAGCCCTCAGAGAGCCACAGACTGCACGGCAATGACCTTCAGCCTTGGGATAAAAGGGCAGGCAGAATCGACGGCCCGTTTTCCCATTCACCGCTTTCCAGCTCCCACCCCCAGGGCGCGGCAGAAAGCGCCAATTCTCCATGCTCAGCGGTTGATGCTGCGCAGCGCTTCTCCGCCTCATGCCCACAGGCGGGGTATTGCAGTCTGGTGATGCTTCTTGGGTGACTTGGGCGTGCGGGTCGACGGATCTGATGTGTTCTCCAGCATACCACATGTGTCGCAGAGCCTGAACTAGGCGTCAATTAACCCTCTTGTCGACGCGTTAAGACGGCCGCGGCGGGACGCGCTCCGGTTGCAATGTGGGACGGTTGCGAAGATATATGAGGCTGGCCCGCATGGAGGCATTTCTGCACTGAATCTCCTCTTCTCCCCTACTTCTTTTTTCTATTTCCCTCCTCTTCATAACATTCACAATGGGCGAAGCATACTTGCCAAAGGATTTCCTGTGGGGTTTTGCAACAGCGAGGTACGTTGTACAGCAGGTCCCCCACCATTCGGATCCCCTCCCTCCGATGAATGTCCATAACACAACGAAAGCCGTGCTAACAACGAGCACATAGTTATCAGATCGAAGGTGCCCCCCACGAGGACGGCCGAGCAGACTCCATCTGGGACACCTTTTGCCGCATCCCCGGCAAGATTGCCGGCGCCGGCTCCGGCGATGTGGCCTGCGACTCGTACCACAGAACCGCAGAAGACATTGCCCTCTTGAAGGAAACTGGAGCCAAGTCCTACCGTTTCTCGCTCTCCTGGTCACGCATCATTCCCCTCGGTGGTCGCAACGATCCCGTCAACGAGAAGGGTCTGCAGCACTATGTCAAGTTCGTCGATGACCTGCGTGCTGCCGGCATCGAGCCCCTCATCACCCTGTTCCACTGGGATCTGCCGGATAACCTGCACAAGCGATATGGCGGCATGCTCAACAAGGACGAGTTCGTAAAGGACTTTGAGAACTACGCAAGAGTCTGCTTCAAGGCTTTTGGCTCCAAGGTCAAATTCTGGATCACCTTCAATGAGCCCTGGTGCAGCTCCGTGCTCGGTTATGGCACGGGTCTCTTCGCGCCTGGACGGACCAGTGACCGGAGTATCAGCCCTGAAGGTGACAGCAGCACCGAGCCCTGGATTGTTGGCCATTCCCTCATAGTTGCGCATGGTGCTGCTGTGAAGGCATATAGGGATGACTTCAAGGCCAAGGATGGCGGTCAGATTGGCATTACTCTGAATGGTGAGTTTCCGTTCTGTATTGATGCAAGAGGCACGATCTATCCGTTGTGAATTCTTCGTGGACGCATCAAGCCAGCAGCCAAGATTTATCACGAACACAACCGGGTGTTCCATCCCGCGGTTTCTGCAGACAGCATCGAAGCTCAGTTCGCCGGGTCGGTGTCGAGCACCTCTCACTGCGATATCAGGAACCCTTCAAAGACACATCGGAGCCTGGGATGTTGTGGACTCATCACACGCTGTTAAATCACGCTGCTGTGGACTCCATCAGGGCTTAGTTCGCCAGACTGGTTTTGGAATATCAGACCCTGGTAGAGCCGGCTTCAGTCTGTGCAACAAAAGCTGGCTGACCAACCCTCTGGTGGAGGCATCAGAGAGCGGTAATTCACGCTCTGGTGGACTCAGCGAGGGGCATTCAACCAGAATGTTCTTGAAGAACAGAGCCGGAGAGACCAGACGGCTGTTGAAGATCTGAGCGTGATAGACCATGGTGCTGTTGGATGAATCAGAGCGATCAAGCGAACAATCCGGCTCCCCGGACAAGGTTGTCGCTGGAGTGAACCGGTCCACTGCTGGGATGAGTGCGTGGTACAGCATGACCTTGACGGACGCAGGCCATGCTTTGTAAACCATACTCGTGTCTTCCACTTCAGAACCGCGGGAGGGACCAGCCTGTTCTCAGACATACCGCACTGGCCCATTCGGACCTTACCATTGATGGCGACGTACCTGTACTTTCTAGCTGTTCACATTAGCAACATACTCACCTCCCGATCATTTGCTAACCATTTCACAGGCGACTGGACCGAGCCCTGGGACCCCGAAGACCCGGCGGACGTCGAAGCCTGCACACGCAAAATCGAATTCGCCATCTCCTGGTTCGCCGACCCCATCTACTTTGGCCACTACCCGGCCTCGATGCGCAAGCAGCTCGGCTCGCGCCTGCCAGAATTCACCCCCGAGGAGGTCGCCCTCGTCAAAGGCAGCAACGACTTCTACGGCATGAACCACTACTGCGCGCACTACATCAAGCACAAAGAGGGTGAACCCGACATCAACGACCACGCCGGCCACCTGGAAATCCTCCAGCAGAACAAAGCTGGTGAATGGATCGGGCCAGAGACGCAATCGACCTGGCTGCGTCCCTACCCTCTTGGGTTCAGGAAACTGATCAAGTGGCTCAGCGACAGGTATGGCGGACCGACGTTCTATGTCACGGAGAATGGAACCAGTCTAAAGGGGGAGAGCCAGCTGCCGCTGGAGCAGCTGCTGGATGATGAGTTTAGGTGCGAGTATTTCAGGGGGTATATTCGGGCGTTGGCGGAGGCGCATGCCCAGGACGGGGTCGATGTTAGGGGGTATTCGGCTTGGAGTCTGCTTGAGTGAGTGCTCTTTTCCCTTCTGTCCCTCTTTGGGTGATGATCATTTCTTCCCTTTCCTCCCTGTCGGAGGGATGGGATGTTGGGAGATAAATCGCCGCTCGTGCGGTGTTTGGATAGGTTTATGTCTCCAGTGTATGCGCACCCGGAGCTGAACTTCATCGCCACCGGAGAGGTTTTCGAACCTTCTCTCTCTTTGGCGTCACGCGCCCGGAGCTGAAACTTCGTCGCCACCGCTGGTAATGGCTATGTCCTTCCAACATCCCATCTCAGCTCCTGCACAAGCGGAGCTGAAACCGCATCGGCCACCAAATATGGTGTTCACCAAACCTTCCTTTCGTCCCATTTTTTCCGGTGGCATTTTCTCCTCTCTTCCTTCAATTTTTCCTGCCTCTGCCGTAGCAAGTCGCATCCATTTGCACACGACACTAACATTTCGTGCTTTGTAGTAACTTTGAATGGGCCGAAGGCTACGAAACCCGCTTCGGCGTCACCTACGTCGACTACGAGGGCGGACAGAAGCGGTACCCCAAGAAGAGCGCAAAGGAGATTGGCGAGATTTTCGAAAAGTACATCAAAAAGGAGTAGTATGCTCGTCTCTGATGGGCATACACAGTATTGGTATCGTGTCTAGATGTGACGCAGACTGTAGTGACCAGTGATGGAAATCACGGAGGGCAGAAACTCGACGGAGCTGTGGAGGAGCATCGTCGTAACGAAGGATGTATGGAATTGAATGGATCCGGTCACATGAGCTGGGTGATATCCGTGGATGCTGTTGGGAATTTCCCAGCCGCTTTATTCTAGCGTCCTCGGTAGAAACTTCGATAGTCTGATCAGTTTCGATCCACCCTTCCCATACACGGTGATAGGCTTCCTTCTAGCTCCGCTTTTCCGCGCATGTGGACGGGGACAAGCAGGAAAATTCGTATCGCATTCGCAAATGATCATGAACTTTGTCTCCCAGCCGTACCGTCCTTGCCTTGAATTATTGGTGAACGAACCCAGTGGCGGCCAGAGTCAGTAGACAGTGCAGTAAAGTATATTGTCGATCAAAGCTTCTGTAGACTGGAACTCAGTACTGGCCAGTAGTAGCCCTGGAACGCCTGATGAAAGCGCACTGCTAGCGGGGTCAGCGCATACGCAAGGTTGACTTTGAGCACGGCCTTTTTGTTGATGACAGCTGCTGTGTGGAGCGAAACTCTGGAATTTTTGCGGAATCCGGTTTTCCCGATTTGCCTCCCTCTTTCCAAGCACCACGCGGTTGCGGGCGCCGGCCATCATTCAGGTACCAACAATTCTCGCCCGTCGTCATCCCAGGCAATCCGGGTCCATGGGATGCCGTGCCTTGCCGCGACGATGGATACCTCGTTCCGAAAATAATCAGCCCATGTCCCACAGATCGATCGTTCTCCAGATGAGGTCTCCAAGCCTCTCGCGTGCAGCATACCACGCGATCATCTCAACAAAAAAGTCTCGATCCTAAACTTTGAAGAGATTGATGAAGCCGGGATCTTCCCCGACTCCCCTCCATCGCTTGCGAATGGCGAAAGCAAATCACCGACTAGCACGAAGCTAGAAACCCCTCCCGAACCCGGGCTCCAATCCTTCGCGATGGCGATGCACCTGCGCAAGCGGCCGCGCGCACGTGTTGAGCCGACGCTTGCCTGAGTCGCCGACCTGGCCGATCTTCTTTTGGAGATGATGGTGACGGACTAGAAGAGTGTTCCCCCTGCCATGGCGCCGCTAGAGAGTTTAAAGTTTGGACGGACGAGTTTCATGATAATGGGGGCCATCGGCTGCGCAGCCATGATTCTATGGTGCCTGGAGCTTGTGATGGTTTTGATAAATGGCATGGAGCACTGGGCAAAGGTTTGAGGTCGGAGGCGTCGGGGGGATCTGGGGTAGGTCGATGGATGGGATCGCGTGGTGTTTCTGGATGTGACGTTGGATGCTTCGCCTTGAATGATGGGGCTGGAGCAGCAAGAAGGCCGGGGAAGTGGCTATTGCTGGTGACAATCTATACCTAGATGCACCTGTGCGACCTTTTGGTCGTGTTCCACCGTGAAGGTCATTTGCATATTCATTCAACAAGGCATACATGCTGGAGCTGAGCTTCGCCGTCCATTGGCAAAAGAGCCACTTCGGGTTCTGTGTCTGCAGTGGTTGGTGAATGCATTCCATCGGCGATGCCGATGATGCCGATGCTCCCTCAATGCAGGGCCGCTCCACTCTTTCGGGAAGTATCCCTCTTGGGGAAATGGCTTGTCTCCTGGTAAGTAGTGCATTAGTTTCGTTACACAAACTGCAAAACTACCGGCAGCATGCAAATGCGCAACGAAGCTTGGTGCGTCGAAGGGTTATTCTGTGGAGAAGGTGTCACAAGGATAGGAATGGAAAGGCGAGATGGGAAATGTGGCCCAGGTGACAGACCATCGTGAAACGGGAGATGACTGCGAAACACATTTGACAGTCGAAGCAGCAGAAGCGCTCTGGACGAATGATTTGTTGGGTATGCCGCTGCTCGATGTGCGAGCTCAAAACTCTCGCGGCTGTGCTCCGATCAATGCTCAGCTTGAGGAAGAACGCTGGGAGAAGCTTCTTTCCTTTCGTCGCTGAAGCCATTTGTTGAAGCCCTCAAGCCCCAGAGTGGCCCGTATCCAATCGATAAAGTCGGAATGATAAGTCCGCAGGAGTGGCTACTCCCGATCTCGTAAAAAATGGTGCCTGTACGGGCAGGTGGCGCCAGAAATAACTCGACGCCATCCAGATTCCAGAGCATGGTTTTGGTAGGCGAATTCCCCAGGCCTGGGTTCTCACCGATTTTACTTTCATGATCGACGACTAGCGAGCATCCAACCGTTTCAACCCTGCATCCATCACACGCTGGCCTCTGCAAGTTGCGGAAAATGTGTTGCGCAAAGCTGGATTTCCCCACCGCCAATTGCGCCATCCAGGAGTGGACTGGCATCGTCATTCCACCTGTGCACATTGACTTGGTGCTCCAAGGTTCTGTTGGACACCACCCGCTTGCAGCGCTCTATTATGATGCTCAGGTGGTTATGCAAATCGAGACAATCGTGGATACTGCAGTTCGCGGAATGTGAAAGAGAATCGAGTACGGGGTGCTCGGAAGACTTCCGAAGATGGAGAGGTTTCAGTACCAGCTTAGTCTCCCCTCGCTCTTTGAGTACAAGGCGAGGTAAGCGGAGGTGGACGGCTGAACGCGTCGTCAACTTGATTGGGTAAAAGCTGTTGAACAAGTGAGCTATTCCGTGAGACGAAGATTAGTAATACCTGATGACTACGGTGAATTGTCTGCATAGACTACCCATCTCCGCCTAGAAAGTTGCATGTATCACAGTATTGTGAGGAAGGCGGATCCAAGAGCACGTGGGTAGCAGTGGGGCTCCCCTAGCCGCGTCCTCTAGTGGTTAATCCAGTGACGCTGCACAACAGTAGTAGTGGGTGACGGAAAAAAGGTGAAGTAAAAAATCACCTGCAGGTTCGGGTATATCAACACGCAATTATAACGGTCCTGGCCGACCATGCGCAAGCTGGAGACGAGGGCTCGAGGGCCGACCGGTTATCTCGTTCCCTCCCTCCTCGTGGCTCCCTGGCTTGAGTCCTGGGACATACAGGGGCAGGTGCTGCGCAGGACAAATCGGAGCTTTCATGGTGCAAAGCAATTTTGCCTCTGAACAAGCGACCCTGTCATCCTTGATGCAGTGTGGTTGTTTCGGGTCGTGGTGAGCCTGGTTCAGGGGTGAGGGTGAGGAAACTGCGACAGTGTTGCTCAGGCCAACGGCTTGTGGGACGGCAGCGAGGTTATGGTTCACCCAAAGGGGCTTCCAGGAACAGATATCTGGCGAAGGCGTGTCATAGTGCTGGATGGATGGTGGGAAGGGGAGAAAATGCGACATGAGGCCAGAAGCTCCTTGCCACTTGGGCCACGATGGCACGATTGTGGTGGAGCAAGTACACAGCACAGTCCGGAGCACAAGGAGGGAGAAAGGAGCGAGAAGGAGAGAGGCCTTTGTTGACTGCCCCACATTGGCATCAAAATAAAGTTTGGTCGGTCGGACCCTGGCCCCTGTCCAACCACGTGGTTGCAGCTCGTCCGGGCCCGACTGGACTTTCGCTCTCCCGGTCACCCGTGATCCGTCCGTCTTCCCCCCTTCACTGCTGGCCTCTGCTCGTGTTTGCTCACGGTTCACCACCGCCAACCACCCTCTGCGCCCCGTAGCCATCCAACGCCAACGCCATGGCTCTCCCTCTCCCAACGACCAACCCAGCCCGCCGCCGGTGGCCCTTGCCTCCCAGCTGTCTCGCGGACCTCGGGACGCGCCGCAGAGGTCAGAGGTCAACAATTCTACTACACTAGATCTGGTTTGATAGGTCGCTTACAGAGGAAGAAATAACTTCTGCCACGCTCCTATCTCCCTATCTCATCACCGATAACCTGTCGACGGGACACGCTCCGCCACCGGCCTGCCAAGTCCTAATACGCTCCAGCACTCGAGCAAGCGAAATGGACGTGATGAGCGTCACCAGCCGTGGCTTTGGATTAGACCCTCATCGTATCGAAACGGGAAGTGGACCGAACTGGAGCTTTTTACCTTCTGTGCACACTGCACACTCGCCCTCGCTACCCTAAAGTGTTGCTCTGCCGCAACCGTGTGGCTAGTGGGTTCATAGTCGCGTACTTCCAAAGAGGGACGGCGTACCTACTACATCCTACACAGCATGTGGTCAGAGCACAGCCTCCCCAGGTCCGCGTATTTTGAATTTCTTCCCCCCCGACGTCAGTAGATTCGCTGGAGACGTGCCAGCATCTATGTACCTATTGCCTTTATGGTCCAGGTATCTAGTGGTCTACTACAGTATGGTACTAACACCCTTCGCCTCATAGCCCTCGGCGAGTTCGCTTCATCATGCTGAAACCTATCCCCGCAGACCGCCGCTGGCCGCTGCCTCTGGCGTCTGTGCGCGTCCGCCGATTTGGGAAGAACATGCAGCCATCCAGCGGGGGTTAAAGCCAAGGAATACCACTAGCGGACTGGCCATGGCATCGGCCTCCTGCTCTGAAGGATGGATTGCGAGCACCTGGCTGGGCATAGGTACCAAGTACACTCCAACTAGTCTCGCACTGTGGGCCAGATTCACAGACCTCCCTCTGTTCCGCCCTCGCCAGCAATAGTCTCACATCACCCTGCTTGCTCTGTGATTATTTTATTACCCCGTCCCTTTCCCAGCTCCGCTCCGCTCCAATTGACTGCCGATTTACCCTTCCTACCCTTTCCTACTTCTCCATCGTCAAACACGGGCCTCTCTGGACGCTGACAGATCGTCGTCACCCACTTGTATTTTGGAGACGGCCCGCCTCCCATGACTTCAGTACTCCAATACCGCGACCCCATCAGCTATCGAAGTCACGACCTCGTGCATTCGACCAGCTTCACTGCCCCGCCCATGGCAACCTTCAAAAAGTCTCCACCTGCCGATGGCGGTTTCTCCTCGGATTCGTCCAAGAAGCCCGAGACTCCCGGTGCCAAACGCCGCCCCTCAAGAGCTGGTACCCGCAGTGTGAGCACCCTCAGCGCGGCCCAGTTGGAGCGGAAACGCGCAAACGATCGCGAGGCACAGCGAGCCATCCGTCAGCGGACAAAGGACCATATCGCCGACCTCGAACGCCAAATCCAGGAACTCACCGCCCAACGAGATACTGCCATCTCCCCAAAGATGGACGAGTTGATGCGGCGCAACCAAGAGTTGGAACAGGAAAATGCCCTTCTTCGCTCACGATTGTCCCATGCAGTGGCCGCCTTGGGAGTCCCAGAGCAGGGCCCAGGTACGTTACCTCCCGTCTTCTCTCTGGTCAAGGAATGGAGATCTTCAAGGTTTTCTGCCCATCTTTACGGGCTGTGGGACCACGCCAAATCTGGACTTGCTGCCATCTGCGCGCGGAACAAGTTGCATCTCTTTGACCACTTTAGAGCATTCTGCGCGTGAAACACGGGAGATAATGCTAACGAAATGTAGATGGCAGCGGACTCCTTTCAGCAACTGGCGGAGCGCCATCCCCAAGCGACCGCATCCACATGCTAAGCCAACCGAGACCGTCCACTAGCACACCTCGAAGTATGCACGCAGTCCCGGACATGGCAACTCCAGTATCCCAACCCGCACATTGGGCGCCTTCCCATACATACCCAGCCAACGTCTCTTCTCCTCATATTCACGGCACGCCAACCATGGTCGAGGTTCCAGTGGCATCCGATGCAGTACCCTGGCCACAGCCCCGTTCCCAATCATCCCATCAGCCAGGCACAATGCCGATGCCAGATCAGCCTCTACAAGCACTGGACTCGACAGCAATGTCGTATCCAAATCCCTATGGCATGGACAACAATGCGCGGTCACTCTCTTACCCCTTCGAGAATCCTCAGCTCGTCACTTCACAACCCATGCAGGCGGCGGGCTACAGTACACCGACGTCTGCTCGATCGCCTCATCCTTCCGACTTCCAACGGCACCATATGTCCCTGAGTGCATATCCGCCAGGACCGCATCCAGCAGCTCAACAGCCTCAACAGCAAGGCGCTCAGACGCCATACTCGGCATTTCCTCCACAGGCCCACCAGAGCTTTGTCCCTCAAGCCAGCCACCCTGGAGACATGCAGCCATTGATGGCGCCGCACCCGCAGGCACCGCCGATGGCCGAGCCGAGCCACATGATGTATCAACAATACCCGCCGAATATCAAGGTGGATCAGCCACACTACCCGCCGAACATGAAGCTTGACCATCACTGATTGTCTCGTCGTCTTTCGTAGGTCGCCTCGAAATCCTGCAGCGGCGCCCCGCAGGTGCAAAGAGTAGCGGTGAGCGACGCCGAATCCGCCTCGGAGCGGCTCGCTGCCTGGCTACCAACCCGGAGTATCTCGACAGCTGGTGCTCGAAAAAGAGGATACTGCTGAAGCTACGACCGAGGTGTATGACCCCTTCCTGTTTCCCTTGTTGACGGTGAGGCGGTAATGATGGGTCTTCGGAGAGATCATTGGCTTCTGGCCAGACGGCAGCAGCCCAGTGCTCATAGCCCGCGGATCCCCGCCGCAATTCGCAACACCTGAAATATGCTTCATTAGTACTCAGGAGAGTCACCGCACCGGGAAAAGAATCAACTCTATCATGGCCTCACTTGTGACTTTCTCGTTGCATGGCCTGTATTGTTTGTGGGGATACTTTGGCTCGCCGCTTCGGGATACCGATTGCAGCAAGCTGTCAGCAGAGCTCCCTCGTCACGGAAAGTTCGGCCGTGCGGCACAGACGAAGTGTCGACGTCTGTCCTCGTACAGGATGCTGTCAGATGTGACATTTCTCTGCCGTTTGCATTCTTTTTCGACTCGATAATCTTCACCGACTTTTCTCGCTTTGTATATGTACGTTTTGTCACACTGGGTGTAGGTGTAGGTGTAAGTACGGAGTACGGCACGGCACAAGCGCCTAATTGGTTTTTGGGAGTCTGGAGCGTTGCGTCTTTGCTAGATACCACACTCGTCGTTATCATTGCATATCGCATTGGATGATTGCATTTTCAGTCGAATCCTATCATACTATGATCACAGCACTTTTGTCCTTTCACCCTTTGCATTGTTTCCACCAAGCTCAGCATCACAGGATTTTCCCGCAGGCGGACAATAACCCCCTTAACGCCGAACTATGGCCGCCCGGCATCGACCGCATCGGCAAGAACAGCGCCCATATCACACGCTCTCGGTTCAAACCAAACCCGGCCAAGCAACATTTCCAGTCCCTTGGCGACGCAACGCCCCAGGCTCGCACGGCCGTCAAAACGGCACGGACCCCTCGGTGCCACGCCACGCCACGCGACACACGAGGCGAGCGAACCGGAGACCCGGTGCCGAAGTGGGGAGCCAATCAGGGGTAGGAAAACGGGTAAGGGGAGAACAATTGCAATTTCGCAATTGTGGGAGTGCGGCTGGAAGTGTAGGAGGAGGAAGAGGAAGCAACTGAAAATAGATCGTGCGTCATGCGTGGGTTGGTTGGGTCGGGACTGCACGTGTGGGTGAGCGAGCGAGTGGAGTGGAGTGCGGGTAGAGGGCGGAAGGATTGCGGACTGTGGCTTTTTGGCGGTGGGGCATTTTCTGGATGGGTTCTGGAAGGAAGTGGGTGGGCTATTATCTGGAGGGAAGGGAAGGGATAGGGGATGAGAGGGTTGGTACCCAAGACATGTTTGTGAAGCTGATGAACAGGATATCCCTACTTCCTCCAAAAGCGTTGAGCGGAGTGACTGCGAGGATTCTCCGCTCTGCCACGGAGTATGATTCTTTGTCTTCAGACAGTGCAGGCATAGACTCATGGACAGCCTCATCCTATCGTTCCCCTACTTCACCAGCACGAGGCACCCCTCCGAGGCGCCTCTATACGAATTCCGCCTTGCCAAGCTACGCTGCCCGTGATGCGGTCGCTCCTCGCCTCCATTATTGTTCCAACTCAAAACCTTCTTCTTTGCAACATCAGGCAGCTTTGGCCGTTGCGGCCTGCTGCGCTCGGATCTGTGCAAGAAGCTCCGGATACTGAGCGGTGGGAAATGTCAGCAAAACCCACGTGGGAGGCCTCAGAGCGGATTCGGAATGTCGGGACCGGAAGAGAATCCGAGCGGAGATATGACAGGGGAAGAAATGCGAAAAGGCATGCAAGAGACCCAAAGAGGAACATGCTGCTTGAGAAAAAGCGGTGCCGCACGAGCGCCCCATGGAGCTGCGACAGCAACATGAAACGCATGGACGACAGCGCTCGAGCACGAGCACAAGCACGCGAGAGGAAAGCGGAAACGCACACACGCAATGAGCCGCGCTGACGTGAGGCCCATGAAACAAACATGGAACCAGAGTAAAGTTGTAACAACAACGAAAAGTGGAACTCACCCATCTCTCCCCCACATCCGGATGACTCTTGACCCTATTCATCAACGTCGCCTCGCCCAGATGCCCCCACCTGCCCTTCACAAACGTAAACTCGACGTCGTCCCTCCTCTTGCTCCTCGCCTCGTCCCTCAACCTCAACACGCTCTCCGGCACGTCCATGGCTTCAAATTTGGCATCGTAACTCACGCCCTGGAAAAACGGCACCGAGTAGCGAGGCCCTTCGCCCCGTCGTGGACTGAGGACGCGGTGCGTCGTCGACGCGCATACGCCGTCGGTGAGGGCTTCCATGCCTTGGCCGATGGCTACCACGAGGGTCCCAGGGATGGGTTTACAATCGACCCACTCGCCGCGTGCGTTCTGCGCCTGTAGTCCCGGTTGATCACTCGCCTGGAGGAGATAGCTGCTCAACATGCTATCCTTGTGAGGTCCGACGCCTTGCCTCTTGATCTCCCACTTCTTCCTCTCCTCGTCACTAGCCCCTGCAGGTAAATCCTCGACGTCGACTTCGGGGTACTTTACGATTTTGAGTTTGTGCTGCTGGTCCTCGTCGAAGAATTTGTCAAAGGCGGTGGGTGGCAGGCCGATGGCTTCGGCGATGAGAGAGGTGAAGAGGGTCGAGATGCCTGACATGCGCGACATGTAGTCTTCAAAGACGGGGCGGAAGTTGGGGAGGTGGGTGGGTGAGGGCCACTGGTTGGGGGCGAGGAGGTTGTGGTAGAGAGGTGCGTCGGGCCCGGGGAGGGGGTGTGGCGTCGAGAGGTCGAGTTGTTCGCGGTGGTCCGGGTTGTGGGCGGTGGTTTCGTTGTCGAGCTGAAGGGGGTGTGTTAATGAATGATCCTGTGGGAGATGAGGATGGAGAAGGAAAGGGAACATTATAAACGGCAGTGGCCAAATAGCTCCTTTAGGCATGCTTGATTCGTGTCCAGTAATGTTTGGTGGAAATCCAAAGTGCAATAAATATGCCCCTTTCTGAACAATATCTCTTCTCCAAATTCCAAAGATCGTCATTCTGTCCCAACTTGCAAAGCCAGATCATGCAATATAAAAAGGATCACAAACAAGAAAAGCTGGCCAATCTAAAAAAAAGAAAAGAAAAGAGACAAGATGAAAGAAATGCATCAACGTATCCGGAGTATACTCACCCTACTCCACCCCAAAAAGCTCTTCTGATTCTTCATCTCAATCTTCTCCTTCTCCTCGAGCGGCAACTCCTCGAAGAACTCATTGCACTCGCGAATCACATCCTCGATCAGCGCGTCGGGGATCCCAGTCTCGCTGAGATAGAGGAATCCGACGTTGAGCAGAGCATCGCGGAGCTGTGACAGGAATTGCGGTTTCGTTTCTGGATCCAGGGCCTGCGAGAGGGGCAGGATGGGGATTTCGGTGAAGGTCTGGAGTGGTGGGGAGGAGGACATTGTCGAGGTGATGGACGGTCGATGCTTGCGGCGGGGTCTTGTTCTCTTGTATTTCCGCCCTTACTTTGCTCTTCTTGATTATCGTCGTCGAAATACGGCCTTTTGATCTGTTGTTATCTTGTTATAACTGTGGAAGATGTTGTTGCGCTCGGTCCGATGCGCGCAGGCGGTTCCGGCACAGTAATCATCCACAGCATATATATATAGATGGTGCCTGAAAGCGGGGCAATCGCGTCATACAAGCTGTATTCCGAGAAGGCGAGCGATAGCGGGGAGCTGCTAGGGGTGCGTTAATCGTTAAAGTTGTGAAAGGGGAAGTGGTCTGCAGCCTCGGTATCGAGATGCTTCTGAAAGTGGAGGTTATGTGTTGCCGTAGGAGAGGGGTAGTTGTTGGTTAGCAAAAGAGGAGCTGGACAGGCGAGGAAGGGTGCAGTAAGCTCTAGCCCTGCTATGAGGAGCAAGGCGCATGCTAGGAGAACGAGAATCCTTAATTTTCTGCATATTAACGCTGCGATTATACATGAGGAGACGATGCTACTGGAGGCGATATGAGAGTTGCGTGATGATGAAGGGCTATCGAGAGCAGGTAGACGGTAACGTACATGCTAACACAGTAGACTTAGAGGCAAAGCAGAAGTAAGGGAGCAAATTTCGATTCTTGCAAAACGTGTCTTTCTCTCTGACTACCCTCGCCTGCCCAGATGAGGCGGTCTCCATCGACACAAAATTCTGGCAAACGGTAGTGCCGCCCAACCAGGCTGTCCGCGGACAACCACTCCCGCGGCGTCGCACAAGGCGCAATTTGGTGAATTCCCACAACTCGGAGACGAGATACGTTGTACCACGCGAGCCCGCGGTCAGTGCGGACGGGTGCAAAAATGCCCGAACGATTATTTAAATCAGGGCCCCGTATTTCAAGTCCGGAGTCCGAGCGCGACTACGGACGTACATAGATACAACCTGCATGGTGGTACAAGAACGGCCTTGCAGATGTTTGAGGGCCGTGCTTGTCTTGAGTATAGTTAGGTCGCGGGTGAATACTGAGATGGGAGCCGAAGGAGCAGACCGGCGGGTAAAATTACCACACGGATGTGTTGTTAAGAGGGAGGAATATGTGAGCCTCTTATAGGTATGTATACAATCTCAGGTGCCACGGACAGGTCGATCAGAATGCATTGGGGGTATTATTCAAGAACAAGTATTGTATGCACAACCAGATGGGCAAGAAGGAGAGACAAATCGTGAGAGAGAATGTAGAGCGCGTGGGTGTTCAAGACGCCAGGAAGTCATAATAGGTATCAGTAAGAGAGTCCTAAGGAGATAGTCGTCGAACAAGATTCCTTAGTTGGAGGCACAAATATAAAATGCCCCGTCGTTTCCATCCACCAGAACATTACCGAGAATCATAGGCTTAACCTGTCTGACTTTGCATTCAGTCCTCGTCTTGCTCCTGACCGCAAGACCCATCTCCCCCTCTTTCATCGCTTCTCAGGGGCATAGTATGTAGGCTGCCCTTGGCTGGATTCTCCCACACCGCTGGAGTAGCTTGGAGGAGCCGCGTTACCGAAGCCAATCTGGCTTATGGGACCAGCAGTCTGATTCACCGAAGGAACGTCATTTTTCCCGCTTCCCTGCTGAAACTCCTGCGGTATATCACCCCCATCGCCGCCCCCTACGACGACCTCGCCGCCACCAGTGACCCTGCCTACGACCATTCCCTTTGCAACTGCCTTGATGACCGCGCGTCTCGAGACGCCAGTTACGTCAATATACACGAGCCCCACGTTCTTGATCCCGCCTGTTAGATCATTGGCGATACTGCCAGCTTCGGGACCGTACTTATGACCCACGACACTGCTCGCCGCAGCGCTACCGGTCGACAGAAGAGTCTTGCCCGAGTAGGCGATGCCGTCTGCGACCGTGGAAAAGGCAATCATGGACTTGTTGAGCAGGCCCGGCTTATATTCGGTGTTAGGGGTACCATCTGGGTTCACGCTCTTTGAGTGCTTCGCCTTCTTGCCAGCCATGTTTGCGCCGATGTTCTGGGCTACTCTAGACACAGAGCCCACAGTCTTAGCGGAGAACCCTGCAACGCCGCTGGTGAATGTATTGATTTTGCGCACGTGCTCGTGAGTGGTAGGCTTGAACTCCATTGGCTTTTCGTTTGGTTTCGTCCTTTGCATGAAACTGTTCGCTCCAGACACTAGCATGTTGCTCAGGTAACTCGAACCAGTCACGATGAGGCGTGAAGCGGCGGCCGCGTTCTGCACCAGACCGGAATTCTGATATGCGGGATGTCTTGCCATACGGAGGTAATCTTCTTCCATGGGTTTCACGTCGATTCGTTTACCGTCAGCGGAGACCGTGATCTCAACGGGGGCTACCTTTGGAGTTAGCAATAATTTACGAGCAACAGCATCGAGAAACTTACTCTTCGAACCAGGCTTGATCCTTGGGTCCTCGACGATTTGAGCACCTCCTGTCAACTCCCCTACTACGCTGCCATTGTCCTCGTCAACGAGAACAATCTCGCCATGCTTGCTGGATCCGACATAACCCTCTCCTGGTGCGTAGTCGGCAGGGTTATATGGCTTCACTGCACCTTTCTCGTTCGGCGCAGGAGGCTGTGCCCGCTCCAGAAACGCTGTGCATTGAGCCAAGATCGTCTCAAATGTGTCCACGTCCTCCTGTGTGACCTTATCGGGCCCAGTGCCTAGTGGGGGAAACTCGATTCGCGTAAAGGCGCCGCTATCGGGTCCCAGATCCCACCGAGGGATTAGGTAGCTGCGTGGAGGCTTGTGATAGATCTGGGTGGTCGCAGGGAGAGGGAGGTCAAGCTCGGGAGGCAGATTGAGGTGGAGGTAGAAGTCCTCCTCAGGTGCCTCGGTATCCCCTCGCGTGTTGCTGGGGTCTGCGAAGGGTGAGTTCGTGGGGACCATCAGAAGTGATAGTGTCTGAGGTCCCGACGGCGTCAGCGAAGTTTCTTCGCCCTGCTGGATATGGTACGCCTTGATGCCATTTATAGAGTACAAAAGACGGGGATCGCTATGGCTGGCCATGTTTGCGCGGGAAGAAAAGTAGTTGTAGGGGTGGACTCCTGCGCTGGTGGATCGATGCAAAGAGAGGAAGCAGCCGTGAAGGTGGACTGAGCTAAGTCAAAGTGAGGCAAATGAGTGAGGTTGAGGGTAGGAGGACAATGAGGGATGAGGCCTATTTTCAGTTCAAGGACGGTGTCTGTCGCTCCCACGTCCGACTTGATTGCGCGCTTAACCGCGTTACGTCAGTCGTCGCAGCCCTCAGAGCCCCGCCTTTCCACATACAGAGAATAAATGTGGCTGCGCTTTGCCACGCCGCCACATTTGGGGCACGGCCACGGTTTACCTCACAAAGGGTCTGGTGAGGTAGAAGTACATTTCACAGAACCTTTTACACTTCTAACCATACATGTATCGCGCAGAGAACGTGGCCCAATCGCTAAGTGCTTGTCGTTGTACCAAATATGACCATTATGGAAGTTTGCCGTTTCCTCAAACTTCTCCTTCTGGTCAATCTACCAATGCATGCGATCTCCACACAGACCTGGAGTTAACTTGAAGGTCAACTTGTAGCAATGAACAATTTAATGTAGGCTCCCGAATAGTTGGGCATATTTCCTCCCAAGGCATTCCGTTGAGCTCACTCGCTTCATTTAGTATTCACTATCAGTAATTTGTCGTGGGGCCACCAACGATTAATATACAAGTAGAAAGGAAAGTTGGTTGTTGAACGAATATGGTTAGTCGTGCTTGGCGCAATTCCTAATCGATGAAACTCCAACCCGCTAGCCATCTTTCACTTCGCATCCTCTCCATTTCCACAAAATCAATATGGCGGCTGTTTCGGTCATAGAATTACTGCGCCAGCAGATATCCACATGCGAGGCTCAACTGGCGTCGCTCCGCCAGCAACTTGCAGAGGCAGAGCATCTCCATAGGCAGCAGCAGCAAGGACTGCAGCTCAAGCGGATGGAAGAACAAACGCGGCATAACACAGCATCAACATCGCTGGTACATGACATGAGCTATGGGATTCATGATGATTTCCGCTCCGAGATCTTTGCCGCTTTATCTCACCCTGAAGAGGAGAACGTCCCTCCTAGAAGATGGCCGCTGGAGAACTCCGAATACAAGCGTTATGGTCGTCAGTTGATTATGCCCGAGATAGGCTTGCAAGGTACTCCCATTGCGGTTTAATAAGCTTTCACAATTCACTACCGTTCGAATCAACTGACTTAGCTCGCGAATGCAGGCCAACTTCGTCTCAAGCAAGCCTCAGTCCTTATTGTGGGAGTAGGCGGCTTAGGGTGTCCAGCTGCTGCCTATTTGGTCGGCGCAGGAGTTGGAACTGTGGGCCTGATAGACGGCGATGTTGTCGAAGAGTCGAATCTGCACCGCCAAATTCTACATTCTACTGCAAGAGTAGGAATGACGAAGGTTGACAGTGCGATTGTGGCACTGAGCTCGTAAGAAGAAGCATCATATGTCAACTCTCCCAGCTCTCTAATTCAATTTGTCAGACTGAATCCCAACGTAAACCTCGTGGCACACCCAGCAAGACTTACCCCTGAATCTTCCCTTAGTATTATGCAAGACTACGACCTGGTGCTGGACTGCACCGATAATCCGGCTTCACGCTACCTAATCTCGGACACTTGCGTCCTGCTCGGGAAGCCGCTCGTCTCAGCATCGGCCTTACGTACTGAAGGCCAACTGATGGTGCTAAACAACCCTCCCCTCCCTCCTGGAGGTGCCAACGGTGGGCCTTGTTATCGATGTATCTTTCCCAAACCACCGGCTTTTGAGACCGTGGTCTCGTGCGGCGAGGGCGGCATCTTAGGCCCAGTGGTAGGGACCATGGGCGTACTCCAAGCACTCGAGACCATCAAAGTCCTTAGCCGTGGCGTCAAAGGGCTTGCCGCTAATGGTACCACATCACCGGAACCTCCCACTCTGACAATGTTCTCTGCGTATGGCAGTCCCATGTTCCGCACCATACGTCTTCGAGGGAGACGACAAACGTGCGCTTCTTGTGGAGCAAAAGCAACCGTAACACCCGAAGCGCTGAAATCAGGGAGCCTAGATTATGCACTGTTTTGCGGCTCGGTCGCTCCCGTGGATGCCCTTACCGCGAACGAGCGGATTTCCGTGGACAACTATGCGAAGATCAGGACGGAAGCGAATCCGTTCACAGGATCACAGCCAAGTAACGATAGTCATATCCTCATTGATGTTCGGGAAGGAGTGCAATTCGATCTCTGTAGCCTCGAAGGCAGTGTCAATATTCCTTTCTCGGAGATTTCGCGGACTCCGCTTAAGCCTATGAGGGAGGATGTTGCTGGAAATCACGATGCCACACCCGAAGAGGGCTGGGTTGCCGCACTGAGATCACATCCTGAGAAACCTATATTTGTGATCTGCAGGCTGGGCAATGATTCACAGCTTACGGTTAAGAAGATGAAGGCGCTGGGTCTGGATAATGGAGGAAAAAGGTGGATTGGCGATATCAAGGGTGGTCTAAGAGCTTGGAGGGAAAATGTGGATCAAGATTTTCCCGATTACTGAATCGTAAGTCTACCACTGTTCAACCAGCCGTCCAACCATGTCAAGCACGCACAGGGAACACACAAAGGAAAGCCACATAACTCTATCAACGCCAAGGAAAGATATGGTCGCTCTAGTATGAACATTTGCCACAATAGCCACATGAGTCGGCTGAGCAAGCCGTGAAGTCTCTATCATCGTCGTCCGAGTCACTATCCAGAGGCCTGTCATCATCCTTGCACTCAACATTGTCGTCGCGCAACGCAGGACGTTCGCCATCCGAGAATTCCGAATCGGCATCTTTGCCCTCTGCTCTACCAGCCCACTCTTCCTTCAACACAAGCGGCAGTGCAGGAGACCCCTCCCCGTGTTGTGTATGAATCTCGAGACGATCTGGTCCGGGGCAATAAACGTCTAGCAACCCTCTGGCATCGTTCTTCGCGATGTCAATAAGCTTGTGAAGGAGAATGGCTAGGCGCTGCAGAGCGGCCTTATTCTCTATCTCCCATCGTCGAAGAGAGTCCGTCAACTTCAGCGTCTTGATATCGTCCGGCCGGAACAACCCTGCCCCATCGTGGTAGGCGACGATGAAGTTGGGAATTTGCTTGAGGTAGAGCATCGGAAGGAGGTCAGTCATGTCGATTTCTTTCTTGTACTTTCCCGATCGCGTCTTCAGATCGAAGATGGATGATTGTGGAATCTCTTGCCCTCCGGTCTTGATTCGAAGGGAGTCACCTCCGTCAATGATTTGGACGTCATGAGAAACGGATGTAACTCGTAAAGCCTCCGCAAGGTCATCATCAGCAGCTGGTTTCACATCCGCGATCGCAGACTCCGGCGCTGAGTCATCGGATTTCGACGGACGGAAATATCCATCGCATTCGAACCGAACAATACACTTGAGACCACCGAACATATACTGGATCATCCGTTGATGTGTTTCGGAGCCTTTCACGTCTGCCTCCCAAGTGGTATAGGCGTCCGGGAATGTGTGTCCAAATCCTCTGATGTCTCTGATGAGTTCTTTTGGAGAGTTCTCTTGGCGAGCGAAGAAGACAGTGTTTCCGATTAGTTCCACTTTGAAGCGAAATGGCTTATCAACATGTCGGACGAACCGAAGCAGATGCCCAAGCGTGCTTCCGCAGGCGAAGATGTTGATACTGGAGGTCGGGTATCCAGGAGCATATTTGAGGATTGTTCGGACTGCAGGCTCGGTGGGATGCACCGGGAATCTTGCAGCATTGGGATCCCGGAAAAACTCGCCTTCATCCTCGCGGAGTTGTTGAGGGCCATGCGGTGGAGTCCACAAGGGAGGTTTGCCTGATATCGCCGGTCACTGCTGAAATCCATTTATACGGCCGCACCGACAATACGTACCAGGGACCACAATGGTTGGACTTGCCTCGTTCGTCCAAGTGTAAGAGGCAATATATGCGCACTCCGTGATCTCGGGATTCTCCACAGCGCCATCTGGGTTGGTGAGGTCGCTGTTGCTTATGGTTGTTATCAGGCCTCCCAAAGGATCTTTGGATAGATCGGGCTTGGGATATTTGTGGCGATTATTGATGCGAGAGTATCCGCCTCTACCTCCTCTGCTCCCGGAACCGCCCCGTCTGCTGGAGCCGGATCGCCCTGTGAAGGCCATTGCGAAAGACGGATTCGCTGACGAACCTTTGAGTTGGGAACTTCGAAGGACTTGGAACGAAACACTGCAGAATAAACTTCCTGGATTAGAGATCGCTAAAACAAGGGCATGAAGAGATCAGGATACCAAAAGGCAGAATATTTGTATCGAATTGTTGCCTTGAGAGATTGCGGCACGGTTTGGGCGACAACACATGGCGCAGGGCGGCTTGTCGTAGATTGCAAGGCTGATTGGAAGACAAGAGAATGGAATCGATGTTTCTGAAAACCCACGGAACTCCCTCAAACTCAAACATTTTCCTTTAAATCCGAAGAGTTATTTCAATATCTCCCCTTCTTACTTGTGTCACAATCCCAACCTTTCTGAAAACCTACCGACTCCCTCAAACTCAAATTTTCGCTTTTCAAAACGAAGAGTTATTTCATTATCTCCTCTTCTCATTTGTATCACTATTCCAATCTACGTACTTCCTCCCTTTGTGATGGCTGATCAAGACGAGGGTGGGAAGCGTCTTGTCCGGCTGACGAAGCTCTTCAACGGGGTTATCAATGGCCATCGCGAACTGAAGAGCATCGCTGATGGAGCTCGATTCTTGGAGGCCTTGTATGCTCAAGAGAGTGCCACCAACTGCGTGGAGCGTATCGTTGCCGCCCAAGGAGGAATTAGCGCTGTCGCCAAAGCCTTCCGCCTGTCAAGAGAAAGCGACTTCCTTAATGGTCCCGCCACTTCCACTCTTCGTTATCTTGCGGACCCCTCTTTGAAGCAGCTATACGGCGGAACCTTCTTACATCGTATCATTGAAGCAATCGTCGAGCCCCCTACTTTCTGGAACACGCTCTGTGAATCTCATTTTGCTGGCAGTCTGTCTCAGGCCGCGACTCATGCCTTTGCTTGGCTTCTTCTGGAAATTTTATCTGCCCCCGCAGTGGAAGGATTCCCGGATGTACGAAGCGTTGCTGAACAAGTGACCAGCAATGAATCGTTGATCAATGCATCTATCCTGGAGACGCGAAACCTTGGTCACAAGATCAAACACTTGCTCGAACGAACGTCCAAAAACTCCTCAGAAGGTCCAGGTGGGCGTCACGACAACGACTTCGCTGACTTCCGCAAGATTAAGATTCTGCCTACTCCAGATGAGTTCGCTTCGGTGGAGAGACCGTTCTATCGACGAGCTGATGCGATCAAGGAGGTCGAGCCTGAGGAACGCGGCCTGTTGCACTTGGATAACCAATTTCGCTTGTTGCGAGAAGACCTTCTGGGTGAGTTGCGAAATGATTTCCAGATTGCTGTTGGTCAGAAAAGAGGCAGACGTAAACTGGTATTGGATGGCCTCCGGTTCGTCGGGCTCGACTGCGGGACCGAGACCAGGCGGAAGTTTTGCTCTCTGCAGCTTCTGTGTGGTAACGATATCCCCCAGATTGCGCGGCATTCCGACCCAGCAGCTAGAAAGAAGGTTCTTGCGGAAAACAAGAACTTGATAAAGCATCAGGCGTTTGGCTGTCTCATCTCGGAGGGAGCGGTTCTTGCCTTTGCGAACGTCGAGAGAGACGAGGATATGCTTTCGCAGAAGCCTCCTATCATTGTCCTTCGCATCCAAGACTCGCATTCCCTCAGCAAGGTACTCCAGACTACCAAAACTTCGGCAGAATTGCGTTTCGTACAAGTAGATACCGCCGTTTTTGCATACGAACCGATTCTCAGATGCCTTCAGAGAATGACTGAATTACCCATGAAGGAGCAGTTATTAGACTTGGAATCAAGGTCAAGCGAGGCACCTTCTCCGGTTGTCCCGCCAAGAGTCATAACGTGGATCCGAGATCGATGGCGAACCGGCCTCCAGAGCACGCTCTCCACTCCGAAAGCGATACAGCTTGACGCCGCTCAGGCTGAGTCTCTCATCACAGGGCTGAGCAAGCGACTCAGTCTCATCCAAGGCCCTCCTGGTGAGTTTTAGACAATTCTGAACGAAAGACGGTAAATCTGACCCCTATAGGGACTGGCAAATCCTTTATTGGCGCATTGATCGCTAAGACGTTGGTCAGCTATACGACCGAGAATATCCTCGTCCTAACGTACACCAACCATGCCCTTGACCAGTTTCTCGAAGACCTACTTGATATTGGCATTCCACCAGATCGTATCGTTCGACTCGGCCCGAGGTATACAACAAGGACGAAGCCCCTCAGCATCTCTGAACAACAGAATACATACAGAATGAAACCAAATACTTACAATATGATACAGGACGTAAGGTCACAGGCGGAGAGCTACCACGAAGCTCTGATGAAAAAGACTCAAGCCTTCAAGAGGTTCAGAGCAACGGACGCAAATATTCTTGATTACTTGGAGCTATCCGAAGATTCGGAGTACTTCGATGCCTTCACAGTTCCAGAGGCAGGTGATGGTATGATTCAGGTCCAGAGACGTGGCAAGAAAATGGACAAACTCTACTTGATCAAGCGTTGGATTGCTGGGCAGCAAGCTGGTGTGTTCGAAGCAAGTGCTCGAAGAGATTTTCCTGCGATTTGGAGCTTACCAAAGGATGCGCGCTCCCGGCTCGTGGAGCGATGGGTAATGGAGCTCATCCAAGAGCATGTCTCCGAGATCAGCAATCTTGCACAGAAATACGACCAGTGTCAGACACGCCTAGAGCAACTTTTCAACGAGAAGACGGCCTCTATCATTTCTCAGAAGAGGATCATCGGGTGTACCACGACGGCCGCTGCCAAGTACGCAGAAATGCTTCAAAAAGCGGCTCCAGGCATTGTTCTTGTTGAGGAGGCCGGCGAAGTACTCGAAAGCCACTTGCTTACCGCTTTGACGCCAAACACCAAACAGCTTGTTCTCATTGGGGACCATAAACAGCTGCGCCCCAAGGTGAGCAATTTCCAGCTTACCATAGAAAAGGGGGACGGTTACGATCTGAACATGTCTTTGTTCGAAAGGCTGATCACCGCCGGCGTGCCGCATACTACCCTTATGCAGCAGCACAGAATGCGCCCGGAGATATCGTCGCTGGTCAGAAACCTGACGTACCCGGAGTTGGAGGACGCACCAAAAACTCTCAACAGACCCCACCTCCGAGGTCTTCAAGACAATGTTATTTTCCTCTCGCATGACCATCCTGAGCTCAACGCTGAGCGGATTGCGGATCGGCGAGACCAAGGGGCCAACATCAGCAAGGAAAACCAGTACGAGGTTGACATGGCGCTCAAATGTGTCCGATACTTAGGCCAGCAAGGATACGGCACAGACAAGATTGTGATTCTCACACCCTATTTGGGTCAACTGTTTCTCTTGATGAAAACATTGTCGAATGAAAACGATCCCGTACTCAATGATCTGGATTCTTTCGAGCTCATTCGGGCTGGTTTGATGTCGCCTGCTGCTGCAGATGTCGGCAAGCAGAAGATCAGGATATCCACGATAGGTATGTGTTAGTTGCAGACATCTGTGAACCACTGTTACACGTTCTCCCACCGACAGCCGTGCTGACATCATGCTCAGATAACTATCAGGGTGAAGAAAGTGACATTGTCATCGCATCTCTAACCAGAAGCAATGACGCTGGCGAAATTGGATTCATGGCGTCGCCACAGCGCGTCAATGTGCTTCTTTCAAGAGCAAAGAACGCGTTGATCATGATTGGTAACGCGAACACCTTCATGACTAGCCGTAAGGGGAAGGAAGTTTGGATACCTCTGATGGAGCAGCTCAAACGAGAGGGTCATGTATACGACGGGTTGCCCGTCAAATGCGAACGCCATCCCGACAGAAAAGCTCTGCTCACTTCCAAAGAGCAATTCGATGTCGTTTGTCCAGATGGGGGCTGCTCTGAGCCTTGGTATGTCTGTGATAATTTTACCAACATGTGGGCCTGCTAACACAATGCAGTGGTGTCATGTTGAGTTGTGGGCAGCACGTCTGCCCTCACCGGTGTCATCAATTGCAGGATCACTCTAAGATGAAGTGCGAAGCGATCGTCACCACTAAATGCCCTCAGGATCACCATATCAAGAGAAGATGTCACGACCTTGCAGCCGGTTTGTGTCGTAGGTGTGAGGCTGATGCTCGCGAAACGGAGAGAAAGCGGCAGAGAGATTTCCTGTTAGACCAAGAGCGTCAGGCCAAGCAGGCGCAGTATGCGAAGAGATTGGCTGAAATTCAGGATGAGATTGCTCACGAGAAAAGAGTGTTGAAAGATAGAAGAGAGCATCAAGAACGCCTGAATAGCCTGGCACAGCAGGAGAAGGACCTAGAGGAGTTGAAGAAGAGGAGCAGAGCGGAGATGAACTCGTCAACCTCGCAACAACGCCAACCAGTTTCGAGCTCTTTAGAGGGACCTAATGGCAATAGCGACAAGAACCCTGCAGCCACCAGTCAGTCAAGCTCTGTAGATGGAACCACTTTGGGCCTCGATGTCCCGACACCAGCGTCGCCTGGGTCTTCTTTGCCCAGCAAGTGGGACCACAGCGAGTCAAAGGATGAGTGGGAGGCCCAGAAGAAGCTCGAAGGCGCGGAGAACGAAGCATTGGATAAGTTGATGGACATGATAGGTAAGACGCATGTTGACATTTGCGGGCATCGCACTCATTTCTTTTGCAGGGCTTGAGTCAGTGAAACAACAGTTCCTCGATATCAAAGCGAAAGTGGACATGCTCGTCAGACAAGGTGTCTCTCTTCAAAACGAAAGACTAGGGGCGGCTTTATTGGGAAATCCTGGGACAGGTAAGGAGACAGCTCTGATGCACTTACTCAATTCTCATACACTCCTGCAGGCAAGACAACGGTCGCACGTCTATACGCAAAATTCCTCTCCAAAGTTGGTGCACTCCCTGGAGACTTCTTCTTCGAGACCTCTGGGGCTTCACTGGCTAACGAAGGTGTCACTGCTTGCAAGGACCATATACAGAAGATCCTGGAAGAAGGCGGAGGTGTTTTCTTCATCGACGAAGCCTACCAGCTTGTTTCCGGAAATAGTTACGGAGGCGCAGCCGTCCTGGATTACCTTTTGGCGGAAATCGAGAACTTGACTGGCAAGATTGTGTTCGTCCTTGCGGGTTACCAGAAACAGATGGAAGCATTCTTCGCCCACAATCCGGGAATACCAAGCCGGATCCCTATTGAGATGAAGTTTGAAGATTACAACGATGGGGAACTTCAGCGCATTTTGTGTCACTACATCAACGCCAGGTACAAGGGACAGATGAAAGTAGAGGATGGTTTCGGTGGCCTCTTCATCCGAATCGTAGCCCGTAGAATTGGTAGAGGTCGGGGCCGCGAAGGATTCGGAAATGCTAGTGAAGTGCAAAACGTTCTCGCTCGTATTACCGAACGACAGGCAAAGCGCTTACGCAAAGAGAGGAGGGCTGGCCTACAACCGGTCGATAATCTTCTCACCAGACAGGACCTCATTGGACCAGAGCCGGCATCCGTGTTAAGGGACAACGCTGCGTGGAATGAACTCCAAAAATTGATTGGTTTGAAGGCTGTTAAAGAGTCCGTCCAGGTTCTTCTTGATAGCATCCAATACAACTACCAGCGAGAGCTTGAGGAGAAGCCCCTCGTCCAATACTCGCTCAACAAATGCTTTATTGGATCGCCTGGTACGGGTAAAACCTCGGTAGCAAAGTTGTATGGACGCATACTGGCTGACATTGGCTTACTGTCAAACGGTGAAGGTGAGCAGCATATTTTAATTGAGTGAATAAGCGTGCTAACATGTTCTGCTCCCGCAGTCATTGTCAAGAACCCAGCAGACTTTGTCGGCAGCGTTTTAGGGCAATCTGAAACCAACACAAAAGGAATATTGGCGTCGACTGTAGGCAAAGTGCTCATAATTGATGAAGCTTATATGCTTGCTGGTACTTCCGTCGCAGATCCATACAAAACAGCTGTTATTGACACCATTGTTGCCGAAGTTCAAAGCACTCCGGGAGAAGATCGTTGTGTCCTCCTGCTTGGATACAAGGAACAGATGGAGGAAATGTTCCGCGATGTCAACCCTGGGCTGGCAAGGCGTTTCCCTCTGGACTCGGCGTTTGTATTTGAGGATTTTGACGACGACGAACTGCGCAAGATACTGGATCTGAAACTCCGAAACATTGGCTTCAATGCAACTGATCAGGCCAAAAACGTTGCGATGGAAGTTCTCAAGCACGCCCGCAATCGGCCAAATTTCGGAAATGCTGGCGAAGTGGATATCATCTTGGACAGAGCAAAAGGTCTTCATCAGAAGCACCTGTCCTTGGGCAAGGTGAAGGCTCCTGATACGTTTGAAGCGATTGACTTCGACCCGGAACACGACCGGGGAGAACGAGCAGCAACAAACCTACCTCAGCTATTCCATGATGTGGTGGGGTGTGAAGAACTTATCAAACAGCTCCAAGGATATCAGACCACGGCTGCAAATATGAAGGCTCTCGGCATGGATCCTCGCGAGCAGATACCGTTCAACTTCCTCTTCAAAGGACCTCCTGGTAGGTTTTCAGTCCTCAACTGTTGAATATATGTGATATTAACGGCACCAGGCACTGGCAAGACCACAACCGCGCAAAAGATGGGCAAGGTCTTCTACGACATGGGCCTACTAGCACAAGCAAAAGTCGTGAACTGCTCTGCAACTGACTTGATTGGCCAATACGTCGGACAGACGGGCCCTAAAGTTCAGAAGCTTCTCGAAACGGCTTTGGGTAAAGTCCTGTTCATTGATGAAGCTTATCGACTGGCAGAAGGCGGCTTTGCGACTGAAGCTATGGACGAACTGGTCGACTGTCTTACGAAGCCGAAGTACGCCCAAAAGCTTGTCACTATTCTCGCTGGATACGATGAAGCCATGGATCGTCTTATGTCTGTCAACCCGGGTTTGTCGAGCCGCTTTCCCGAGTCCGTCATTTTCAAGCATATGGAACCAGAGACTTGTTTGGAGCTGTTAGTCAAGCTCCTTGACGGTTTGAAAAAGAAACAGAAGGCGGCGTTCAATATCTCCATAGTGACTCCTCCTTCGGCCGACCAGAAGGAGCGGATCCTCGAACTGTTTCAACAATTGTCGCAATCCGCTTCTTGGGGAAACGCAAGAGATGTAAAGTCCCTCGCTAAGGCCATGTTTGGCACTCTGATATCGACACCAATCCAGCCTGGCGCAGAGCTGATTCTCACGGAGGCCATTATTATCAACGCCATGGAGGCCATGCTTGACGAACGAACTCGTCGTAACGAAGCTGTAGGTACAACGCGGCACACTCCGCACTCGGGACTGCTACAAATCTCGCAGCAGCAGCAGCAGCAAAAGGCACAGCCTGCTTCCTCTTCGAAAATTTCGGTGGAAATTAGTGCACCATCAGCTCCCACGCAGGATTCCATGGAGAAGCCGCGGGAAGCCGGCGTATCATTGGCCACGAACACTGAGAAGCAGAATGTGCAAGGTCCAAATGATCGCGATCCAAAACGGGATGCCGGTGTCTCAGACGCAGTATGGCACCAACTGTCTCTGGACAAACAAGCCGCAATCGCACGCGAAAAGGAGTTCCAACGCCTCCAAGCGGAGAGACTCCGCGAAGAACAGCGCCTCGGCGATCTAGAGCGAGCCGAGAAGGCTGCAGCAGAAGAGAAAGAGAGACGCCGTCTTGAACAGGAGCGCATTCGGCTGGAGTTGGAACGGAGAGAGCGTGAGGAGTTGCTGGCAGCGATGGAGCGTGAGCGAGAAAAGGAGAGGAAGGCGAAGGAGATGTTGAAGGCTTTGGGCAGGTGTCCTGTGGGCTTTGAGTGGATTAAGCAGAGTTCGGGGTATAGGTGTGCGGGCGGGAGTCATTTTATGAGTGATAAGCAGTTGGGCTTGTAGTTGCATATTTGGGAAGAAACTCTAAGGACGGGAAGGTTGCAGAAAGGGAAGTAGGAAGTACTTAAGAGTGCTGTTTCACACTGTGTAGTCGAGAGAAATCTATCGAATGGATATCCTCCCCTCATTCCAGCACCGTATGATTATGGAGGCGGGAAAGATGGAGGTACAACTGCAATTCAAGCCGGTCTAGTTAAACAAAACCCTCCGGGACTAATAACGGAAGAATCAATCTTTCTGCATCCTCATCCTAGCCTACCGTCCCAATCCCCTCGCTTTGACCCTACTCCTCGTCCGGCCCGCAATTGGACTCAACTTCGGCGCGGTATAACCCTTTTCTTCCTACCACCCTTTGCCGCCTTATTCGCGGGCGGAGGCGGTGTTGTAGGCGCATTACCCTCACCAGCATTTCCAGCTCCTGCATCTCCGCCGGCGTCTCCTACACCCTCAAGAACTAAAGTCGCACTCGCAACTTTCCTTCTCTTCGAAGCTCTCGATTCTGTGCCTGTACTTCGTTTACTTTTCCCTCTCCCTTTCCCCTTTGAAGCCTTCTGCCCGGTACCCTCACTATCGTTGTCTTCGTCCTCATCAGAGGGAGCATATTCGAGCTTACTTCTCCTCCTCTTATCCCCACTCTTCCTTCCACCTCTTCCTTTCTTCCGAGGCGCGTCACCGAGATCGTCATCATCACCGCCGCCGAGTAGATCGGCGTCATCCTCGTCTGAGTCTTCTTCCGGCTCATATTTATACAAGGGATCTGCCGTTGCTTTTCCCCCGGTGCTGCGACGAGCTTTCTTACTGATGGGTGGTTTGAGAATGGGTTCTACTTTGATAAATTCTTCTGCTACAGGAGCAGGGGTGGCGGGAGGTTCCTGCTTCACCACTGGTTCTGCAGCTTCCTCCCTAAGCTCCCACTTCGGTCGCGGGGGTGCCATGGGCTCTGGCTCCTGCGCTGGAATAGGGGTATGGTCAAGGAGCGACTCGGACTCTTCAACATTGTGCTTGAGCGCCGGAAGTACTGGTGTTGTGTCCATTCGAGCTTTCTTCCGAGGGAGTGGTTCTTCCGCCACTGCGTCGTTCTCTTTTCTCTTTAGCTCATTTTTAGAACGAGGAGATGGGGATACTGTGGGTAGGTGTTGTGCAAGCACAGAAGCTGCAGGTGGTTTAGTGTCGGTCGCTGAAGCAGGAGGTACTACGGTTTCTTCCTGGTGTACCGTCTGTCGAACCTTGATAGTTACCACTTCCTGCGTCATCTCCTGGACGGTCTCCTCTTCCTCAACATGTTCCCCCTCAAGCTGCTCCTGGATGAGATCATGCACGGAGGAAGAACAAGACGTTGATGTCGACGCCGTGCTACTCCTTTCCCTGCTCCTCTGCTTTGCCGTAGCTTTCGCGTCGATCTCAATATCGCACTTCCGCCCCATTGCATTGGGACTTTGCGCGTCCTGGGTTGGAGGATTCAGCTGACTCCCTTGAGATGAATGTGACATTTGGTTAGAGATTCCTAGATCCCCAAACATAGCTCCGAGACCCGGTAACGTGAACGTTTTAGTCCGGTCAGCAGCACCCGATGGGGGAGTTGGAAAATTCGAACTCGGATTCTCGTCTACGACGATGGTTATGCTCTTCAGGATGGATTTGGCGGTGGGCGATACGCTCTGCTGCTTTACATCTTGAGGCTTGGCATGTCTCTTTTTTGGCGATGAAGATGCTGGGGGTGTCAACTGAGCAGCCATGTTGGCGTCGTCAATCCGGAACTGCTCTCCCGAAGAACACTGGATTTTGCCGTTCAAGTTCCTCCTATCGGATTTAGGAGGAGTCTGAGGGAATGAGGTCAAGGTCGTCTTCTTCTCCTCAGAAATATCCTTCATCGATACCTCAATGGCCGGAGTCCGCAAAACTGAGACGTTTTGCTGCAGCTCATCAATCTTCTTCAGGAAGTCCTGTCTCAGTTCTGCAATGTGCTCCTCCACATCGAACTGTCTCCAGAAACCGTATTCGTAGTCCTTTTGCACGATGTCCGTGAGCCAATGCTGAGGAATCCAGGTGTGTTTCATTTCTTTTGCGTTCTTCCATCCCAACGCGGCTTTGATATCGTTCTCGTTGTCGAAAAGTTCAAGGGATGGCGCGAGGATTGGAGCCTTCTCTTTTTGTCTCAGACGGAGCCAATCAATCGCTCGCTGGACCTTAGTCAAGAGAGCAGTCTTTTCGTAACTTTCCGTAGACAGATTCTCCACCTTGGTCAAGTCCCTCTCCAACCCTTCAATCTCCCGCTGCAGCAAGGTCTCCCACTTCTCCTGTGCAACCAGAACCGCACCATCGATGTACAACTTCTTCCTTCGCTGCTTCTCTCTCGCAGCAGGTCCCAGTTTGACTCTCAACCTCTGCTCCGCCTCCTTCTCCCTCTGCACGGCCACTACAACGCCTGCTTTCCCCTTCTTACACTCCTCTTTCTCCCTGCCCTCGGTATGCTGGAAATCCTCCTCCGCAAAACTTCTTTCGGGCCATCCAGGATTCGGCACCTGTTCAAACCTTGCGACCTGCTTGGGCCCCTCTCCCACCTTCAACCACTCCCCCCTCTTCTCCGGCCAAACCCACCACCTCGTCACAAACCTTCCCCCACTCCAAACCGGTACTTCAGGCACATGTTCGAAAACCTCTCTCCTCCCACCAAGTGAATCCAACGTATCCTCCAAATCCTCCCTCGTCTGCACCTGCTGCCTCTCATCCGTGAACTCGCCCATCACCCAGCCGACTTTGCGATCAAGGAGTCTGGCCAGCCGGACGGAACCACCGATGGATAAATCGTCCAAGGCGGCGGGCATGCGGACATTGAGGGACGTTAGGCGGGAGAAGTGCAGGGCATACCGGGTCCAGAAGCGCTGCCATCCGAGCGATTCACGCGTGTATGCTGCTGTCCTAGCTAAATAGTGCAGAGGTGGGATTCCCGTCTGTGGATCCTCAAGATCGGAATCGGAAGAGTAGGCATGTGCGTTTCTGCCCGTAGGAGGGGCGCAGGGAGAGGCGGAGTGGGGTGCCAGGTTTGCGTACTCGGACTGGGTTCTGTTGAATTTGGATGCTAGGGTGGATTTGTTGGCCATTTTCTGTTTCCTTTGGGCGGCGCCTTTCGTGTGGTGTAGAGATTTGCCGGATAGGGGTTGCCGTTGGGTGAGAAAGGGACAGTCTCCGCCTTGCGCAGGAGAGGGAACCCGGTGTCTGTTAATTTTTCCTTGAAGGCCCGAGCCCCAAGGACATGGGACTTGCGGACAAGAAGCATGTGGTCGTCTCAAAGGCTGCATGATCTCGATCTCCTCCAATCGCTTCTCGTCCAAGGGGTTGCGCAGGTCGTAGTAGATACTCAAGGTATCGATATCTCCAACCACAAGCCCCAGATTGGCGTCGAAGTCCTTCCTCAACCACTCTCTCCACTTCCTCTCGTCGTACGGCCAGCCCCAGTAACAGCTCGAAGTCCCAGTTTTCCGGCGTCCGATTAGGACATGCACGGGAATCTCCGCCTTACGCAAATACCCGAAATGTTTCGCGATGCGCTCGAGGTACTTTTCATCGTCCATAATCATCTTCTTGAACGCCCTGTCTACCCTCTGCTCCACCTCCTCGGGCACCATCAGTGCATCCCAATCAAACACCGGCCGCCAGTTGAACCGCTTTTTTAGAAACGTATAAATTTCCGTAAAGTCCTCGTCGGCAGTAAAGTCCCTATATCTTGATCCCGCACCCTCCTCATATCCCCATTCGGTCGCCTCATCCCTCATCTGCACCAATGCCAAGGGATCGACGGGATCATTACTCCTATTCTGTGGCTCCGGCCCCAGCGCATATAGCTTCGGTTCGGCGTCACGCAGGTCGTACAACTTCTTCAACATCTGCGGCAAAGTATTCGTCCGGTTGCGATCCGCAAGGTCGAGTTCTTCGGGAGTAGGCTTGAGGAGGAAAGGGGACTCTGGGAGGCGGCGGCGTTCGACGAAGTCGTGGACATTCAAAGGACAGTATTCTGCATCTTGGGTCATGTAGGCGAGGCGGGACTGTTCAGTCAGGAGGCAACAGTAGTCTCTGGAGAAGTCGTAGTTGGGGTCGTGCCTGGGGAGAAAGGGGTAATCAGTTCCGCTAGTGCGGCTGTAGAATGTGTTGCTTTGTTGTTTGTAGAGGGCGTCGAGGTGGAGGTTGTCCTGGGTGGCTTTTTCTTGTTTGGCTTCAAGGGCGAGGTAGCGGTTGGTGGGTTTGGTGTAAAGGGTCTCTTTGGGTGACTCCGTGAGTGGTTCCTTTTTCTCCAACTGGGCAAGGTATTCGGTAAAGTGCACTGCCCTCTGCACGTTTCCCTCAATCTCGTCGTCGGTGACAAAAGCTACCTTCTCCTCAAGCAGTGGTGGCCTAATCGGAAATGTCTGTACCCAAGCTCCCAAATCAATCCCGACCTTTTTAATGGACGGCTTGAGCTCATGCAACTTTTCCAAGAACTGAGGTAGATAGTCAAAGTACTGCCTCAGTTCAAGCGTCCTCACCGTCTCTGGCGCATTCTGCGTAATCCGGAGTATCGGTTTGCAGATTTCTTGGTGCGCGTACATTCCTTGCAGAGGCTGCTCCGTCCAATAGTGGCTGTCTGCCCCGCATGGAGCGCGGATGGAGAGGGTCTGTAGTTGTGAACATATTGGTAGAACGGTGCTGAAGGGGTCGTTTCCTTCGTCTTTGAGCACTTTCAGGCTAAGCGGCCCCGGTGTATGCTTCAAGGTATGGACAACATTCGCCAGGCCCAGCCACTTCAACCTCTTCAAGATATTCGGCTGTTCATTCGATGTTGAATACTTGGAGTCGGTATTTCGTAGCAGATGAGCGATACCATGCCAATCCACCTCACCCAGATCATCGGTCAAAGGCGACTGCCCCTCGAACGTCTGTATGGCACTGAGACCCAGCGCTTCCAGCGCAGGCAGCTCTTCGCAGACCCACTTCAAGTCTTCCCTTGTCATCCATCGCGCCAGCGCGATCCTCTTGACACAACCTCTCGTATCGTCATTTATCCTCTCCCGGAACATCTTCCACCTCCTCGACGGGCTGGGATAGCTTGACCATTGTCCGGCATTGGTTCGGTATCCTCTTTCTCTGTCCCAAAACAGTCGACGCTTCCTCTTATCGTCCTCTTGGTAGGTGGAGTCCGTCCCATGCCAGTCCCAGTATGTGAAGGGTTCGTAGAAGGCGTTGTTCTTGACGTAGGGCTTGTGTCGCTCCTGGCCACCTGTCGCGATATCGTAGGCGAAGACAGCTTCTCTACCAGCAAAATTGAAGATGCGGTCTTTGATGTTGTCATTCAGATTGGCGAATGATACCTGGCGCTTCGCAGCTGCCATAATGGACTGGAATGGAAAGGGAAGAAAAGATAAGGTGAATGTAGAAAAGATCTGTTAAAGGAAGCAAACGAATTTCCGCATGGAGAAGTTACAAGAGGAAGAAGAAGTATGGAACGAGACAAAAGAATTGGCAAGTGAACCAACTCCATACCTGACGTTCACCTTCACCATCTTTCTTTGTTGTTCACCGGCCAGTGCCAAACAGGTGGATGCAGCTTCATCCGGCAACAAATACAAAGAACCAAAGATGCGCAAGGCGAACTATGATATTACCCTTTGTATCCATGCTTGTGGTGGCTGGAGCCACAATGGTATGTGTCAACCCTCCAAGACCTTGGTGTATGGGGGAGTGCCCAGGTGGTGCAGGTGGGCTCTTGGAGGCCAGCATTCCAGGGTATCTAGTTAGGAACGCATGCATATAATCTCTCTGGAATGTGATGACCGTTTAGCAAAAGTACAATTCTGTAGCGCATGCCAAGTACGAGTTCTCCGTACGGACATGACCAGATCCCGAGTTCGTCCCGAGGTCCTTTCAGTCCGTCACGTGCATACTCGAAAAGAGCGGCGCCTGGGTGCGCAGGCGGATCAATAGGGCAAAGCTACTTGCGACCGAGGTTTGAATGAGGACAGAGCCGCTCTTATACCTCCAAGTCAAGTAGTACAGCCAAGCCCAAGACGCTTACGACAGATTGAGTTTTGATGCGGTGAGGAGAGATGAGAAGGAGGACATGTAATCCCCAGACCAAGGGACTGAATAAATCAAATTGAGGATATCGAGCTTGCAGTCTCCCCAGACTGAACCGTTGACAATGAGACACCAATGAAGTCGTCTTAGCAGCCAGTGCCTCAAGAACTAGACTGGTCCATTACTTATCGCAGGGAATCCGATCACGGCCCCCTTGCTGAACCATATAACCATACATGAACAAATTGACCGTTGCTCACTTCTGCATCATCAGCTGAACGAATTCGTTATCTGGTTTGACAGGTCAGCTTCTCCCTTCGCCCAGGGTCTAGTGGTTACACGCACAGTCGATTCGTCCATCACCATCCTGATCCGCCTCCCGGATCATCTCGTCCACCTCGTCGTCAGTCAGCTTCTCGCCAATGGAGGTCATGACGTGGCGCAGCTCGGCGGCGGAGATGAAGCCGTTGTTGTCGCGATCGAAAACCTTGAATGCCTCCCGAATCTCCTCCTCAGAGTCGGTGTCCTTCATCTTGCGGGCCATCATTGTGAGAAATTCTATGATAGGGTCAGCATGCAGGTGGCTGACTATTGCAATGGAACCATACCGGGGAAGTCAATGGTGCCATTGTTGTCAGCATCCACCTCGTTGATCATGTCTTGGAGCTCGGATTCGCTGGGGTTTTGACCAAGGGAGCGCATGACCGTGCCCAACTCCTTCGTGGTGATCTGACCTGCAATCCATTACCATCAGTAACATGCTGCGAGGCTATATGTTGGCGGCAATGTTGTGAAATGTAAAAGGGGCCGGGGTTGCGTGTCTGCCATCCAAAACGTATACGGATAGGTGTAGCTCGTGGGAACGTTTGGGCGTGTGACGACGTTAGGGAGCGAGGATACGTACCATCTCCATCTTTGTCCTAACAAAACATGTCAGCAAGAAGTCGAGGAGAATGTGAGGACGACACCGCTAGGCAGCAGCGGATTACCGAAATCCAGAAGGGCAAGGGGCACTTACAAACAGAGAGAAGGCCTCCTTGAACTCGGAGACTTGCTCCTCAGTAAGAGAATCAGCCTGGAGAGGTCAGTCAGCTTGTGCGGCGCGAGGGGGTTGCTGGGCCAATGTGATGATTTCCTGGAGGGCGGGGTATGGAGCGGGCATTCGGCGGGGAGGAGCACACGCACCATTGCTGTTGTGGATAGCGGCGCAATGAAACTAGAGGGAGAGTTTCTCGTCGGGGACGGTGTACGCTGTCGTTTCTGGTAGAAGGTGCTGTTTTGGGGGGAGGGGGGGAGTGGAGAAGCTCAAGGCGCAGGTTGTGAATGCGGCTGGCCCAGGCGGGGGGTGAGGAGTGAAATGAATGGCGGGCTGATATGTGTCCCCGCTCTCCCCTGTTGGGTTGCGCTCCTGCCGCCTAAATGCTCCGTTCCGTACCGCTAAAGGCCACTAATTAGTAACCATTTCTGGGCCTTGGGACAGCCAGGGCCGCATCAATGCCCCAAAACCTCAAGACACCTCGAACCAGCATCAAGACCGCTCACGCCTCCACCGCTAGACCGCTGCTGCAGCTCGACCGGCCATGGTATAGTTGCTATCCTACCATTCCTTTTACCCTGCGCCATGTGGCGCGACCGGACAAATCTGTACGCCTTCTCCGCTACTGTTTGACCCCTACAGCTACACACATGCTGACGTAGCTTCAATAGCTATATTTCCTACCGGCAGTCGTACTCACACCACCCTGCGAAGAGAACTCGCTATGGAGGCCGCGCTTCCAATGGCTTCGGCGACAGCGGGAGCGTCTCTGAGGAGCGGTTGGGTCTCATGTCCGGCGGAGGATTCGAGGATGACGGCGATGCGGTGATAGAGATGGACCTACTACCGCCACGGTGGCTTGATATCCAGGACGAAGTCACCGAGTACCTCGCCGAAATCGCAAAGCAGACACGCAAACTCGAGCAGCTGCACCAGAAGCATGTACTTCCAGGGTTCGACGACGAAGACGTCAAGAAGCGTGAGGAGCGCGAGATTGAGCAATTGACGCAGACCATCACTCGCGGGTTCCAGAAGTGTCAGAAGGCAATCAAGAGGATCGAGGCCATGGTGCGGGAGGCAAAGCAGCAGGGTAGCATCAATCAAGGCGAGGAGATAATGGCGCGCAATCTCAAGATATCGTTGGCAACGCGGGTGGGCGACGTCAGCGCCATGTTCCGCAAGAAGCAGGCGGCATACCTAAAGAGTACGCATGTCCAATGTTACTGTCAAAGAGACAAACTAACTTGGCATAGAACTACGTGATCTTGGAGGCTTCACATCACCCTTCCGCTCTGCCACACCCGTCCAGAATCCCTACAACGACCCGGCTCTGCAGGAGTCTGATGCCGACCGATCATTCTCACAATCCACACTCCTCCAAACCAAACAACAGCGCCTCCGCCATGACCCCAACGAGGCCATGATTGCACAGCGCGAACGCGAAATCGAGGACATTGCCCAAGGCATCATCGAGCTAGCGAACATCTTCCAGGAGCTGCAAACCATGGTTATCGATCAAGGAAGCATGCTCGACCGAATTGACTACAATGTGGAACGCATGGCAACGGATGTAAAGGAGGCTGACAAAGAGCTCAAAGTAGCATCTGGTTATCAACGTCGAAGTATCAAGCGGAAGATCATGCTCCTGCTTGCGATATTGATCGCCGGCGTCTTCATCCTGTTGTCCCTGAAACTGAGTCGCAAGGGAACCAGCACCCCTGCCCCTGCCCCAGTCACGCCTCCTCGTGATGCTCTGATGGAGGCTTCTTTCCTGACTACAAGACGGCCGCGTACAACTGCAGGCTCGGTAACGATGCCATCAAGACGGGATTGGCATAGGCGGAAGAGACGGCTATGGCAGGAAGCTGGTGGAGATCCCTCGTTTGGTGAACCACCAGCTGTATTTGTATAGTATTTTTCGACAGAGCGCGTGAGCGAATCATGACTCTAATGAAACGTAGAGACATTATTCACATGTAGACAGTTGCTGGTTTTGTTGGAAAGCCGTTTTACCGCTGTGTGCTATGTAATTCTATCTGGATTGTTTCCCAATCACGATGTCAGCTTGTGCCATTTCGGATAAGTTTTATCCTTGCAATACGATAGCTTCAGGAAGGAGGAATAGTGCTTGACAAAAACTAATGTCCGCTTACGTAATGAGAAGGGGCCATATAACGTCCACGGGTCCCATCCTCCGTCAGATGCATTTACAAGGCACTGTCAAACGGCGTCAAAAAATATTTTCCACAGCAACGACCGAAAGGGAAAAACAGATCCATCCTCCTCAATTTACGAACCTCGACCCTACACAACCTCCACAATAACCCAGAGACCAATTCCTTTTGTTCCAGCTCTTGGAAAATGTCCTCCCCCAACGACATCCTCATCACCCCGGTCACCAACCCGGAAACCGACCTCCCAGGAGTCTTCAACTGCATCGCCCAGTCCTTCGGCGCCCAAATCCAGGAAACCCTCTGGCTAGCCGTCAACCCATCCTACGATACGCCCCAAGGCCGCCAACGCGGGATCCACCACCTCCAGCATCGCTACGAGCACGTGACGCGCAACCGCGACGGGGATCCCAACACCGTGTTTATCAAAGCGACGGTGCGCGCCGAACCGGGCGATGAGAATAGTCCGGGGGGCCTCGATGCCGACGGCAGAAAGATTGTCGGAATGGCCATCTGGCAGCAAGCTTCTTTTGTCGAGGGCTACGGCGACGTGCCCAGCACCGTGTATCCGGAGGAGGACCTCGAGGACCTGGATCCGAGGGAGGCGCGGTTTGCAAGGCAGATGTTCGCGTCCATGTGGAGGCGACGGGTCGAGGTTGCTAGGGAGAAGGCCGAGGCTGCTGTGGAAGGGGATGATGGTGGGGTGCCCGCGATTTTCGTGCTGGATATGTGCGCTGTGGATCCTGGGTATCAGAGGCGGGGGATTGCGAAGGGGTTGGTTAGATGGGGGTTGGAGGAGGCGCGGAGGAGGGGGGGTTTGGAGTGTACGACTGAGGCGACTGTTATGGGTTTGGGGGTGTATAAGAGGGAGGGGTTTAGGGAAGAGGAGGGGAATGATGGAGCCTTGGTGTATGAGGTTGATGAGGAGTTTAGGGATAGGCGGCTGTTGCCGGTCGTGTTTTTGAGAACGGGTGGGGGGAGCTAGAGCATAGGGATCGGGTGGGAGCGAATACTGTGTATCGTTGGCGGGAAGTGGTTGATGAAGTTAGAAGGCACTTGTTGGCGAAGTCGTTTCGGACCGCTCGCGTACAAGCAGGGCATTCGCGCAAGAACAAAGTCACGACCTTGTATTGCTTAGCACGAAACAACTCGCAGGTCGTCCGAGTACCACACCATGCAGTTCCCTCCAACAACGTCTCTCTCAAACCTACCTTCGTCCCCTCAAGCCACTTCTGAGTTCCACACTCGCTAAAGCCCATTACGAGCCAAGGCAGCATTCACCTCCTCCAGTTTGAACTCATATTCCCTCCCATCCCCCAATCCCCTCTTATCCCCATTGATGCACTTAGTCTCATACATGCGTCTAGCGAACCTCTGCTCCTTATCAGGGTTCGCAGTGCGGTACGCCTTCTTTAGGTTCTCCCAGCCTTGATCGGACCCGATGTCTTCGGCGACCCCATGGCCCGTTCCGGAGAGGCAGACGATTCTCTCCGTGGGTGGGGCGCGACCTTCGAGAGTGACGACGTGGACCCAGTTGTCGCCGAAGTCGTAGGTGTATTCGATTGCTTTGTCTGAAGGTGGAGGGCAAACTCCATGTTAGCAGACGCACTGCTTCAATAACTGGAGCCTCGCCAATACAGTGCGGCGTAGTGCGGTTCAGTGCATGACATATCCTATGACCTCCGAGGCTTGAGAAGAGTAGAGTAGCTGGAAGAAGAGTTACTCACCCGCAAACCCCTTCTCTCCCCACAATTCATACACCTTCGTCCTATCACTCCTCCTCTCCTCGGTCCTCGGATGCCTCCTCCTCCCCTCATGCATCCTATCGATCTTGTATCCCCTAACATACTCCTCCGGCTTATGCACCACCCTCACAATATACTCCCTCGGATCCTCGAACCCCAACATCCCATCCCCACGCATATCCATCTTCATCCCCTGCTCCATATACTCCGCCGCCGTCGGCGGCTCAAACGCCGGATCCAGCACAGCGAAGTCGTACGCATGGGTCCCCGCCCAGCCAAACGCGATCTGCAGCGCTTTATGCAGCGTTTCGAGCGTCGCAGTGGCGGGCACGGAGAGCGTGCGAATGACGGGTGGGTTGACGATGTATTGGGGGCAGAGATGAAACTTCAGGACGAAATTCTGGCGCTTGCAGTGCGGTTTATCCTCGGCCCAGGCCGCGGATTGACACTCGCGGTTGCAGTAGAAGGCGCTCTTGCAGCGGGAGCATTGCGAGAGGTTGGACCCTTCGGGGAGCGAGGAGGCGGAGATGCCGCAGTGGCCGCAGGTGCGGTCAGATGGGGTCGTGGAGGAATTGGGAGTGGACATTTTGGCAATGGCTTGATTTGGGTGATAAAAATGGGGACAAAGCGTGGACAAGCCAACGGATTCTAGTCACGGTGGTGGTGGGGACGAACTGGGTGAAAACACCAAAAGGGGTGGTATTTATACGTGTGTATGGTTAAGCGAAGTCTTGAGAACATCAATTGGGCAGGTACTAGGCTTGCAGCTGTGGCTGAGCTTGAGATGGGTTTGGAAAAGATTCAAGAATCATTTATGGAAGATTCTATGGATAGTATTCTGGCTGGAGGCATGTCGGGGCTTCCAGAATGGCACGGGAGACCGTCCTCATCTCAGTGATGTCCATACTGCCTGTTGTGCGGAGGGTGTGAGCCTTACACTTCAACTGCCCAAAACGGGTTAGCTACGTTCTAGCCGAGGCTTGGGCTTGGATAAAGCCTGGATGGAGTGGGAGGATCTATATCATGTTTGGATTATGTTTGGATCATGTTTGGATCATGTTTGGATCATGATTGGGATGAGGGTTGGACTAGACTTCGAACATGTGTAACGCTATGCTGGTATCCCAAGCCTGCAAGTACCCTAACGATGTTGCAAAAGTTCAGTGTCCCCCGTCGTGTGTGGTTGAATACATTATTGTCGTTGTATTGCAATATAAATGCATTGTAAACGTCTTCTAAAAGCCTCTGAAAGGGGTTTGAAAACCGACCCTTCATGCATTAGAGACAAGGCCAACGGTAATCTACATTATCTGTCAAAGAAATTCGGAGCTAAATAAACGCTTTATACATCCCAATTGAGTGTTGTGCCTAAAATCTGGGTTTCTAAGTACTCAGGTAACCGTAAAAGAGTGAATGTAAAGCGGGAGGATCCCAAGTGCAATTCTATTCGTACAGCTGCACTCGCACCGCGGAGTTCCTCACGACCATATCTCAAATCAAAACATAAAAGGTAACTAAACTCCAGGTTACGTACACAAGTAGAACGATCCAGATACATTTAGATACATCTAGACAGGTCTTGACCAATCTCTCGCATCGTCCTCGAGTTTCACGGTAGGCTACGGTTGGAGTCCAGTCCCAATTGACCCTATTGGTGATAACTTCCCCCTCTCTCCTGCTAGGCCATAGAGAGGTCGTTGTGGCCTCCTTGTTAGCCAGTTCCCCTGAGCGCCAAGAGACGAAGTGTGAATCACGTGATATTGACCCAGGACTAGCTGCGCATGCAACTGGCACGCTGGATAGGAATACATTATCGATTAAGTCTAGGGAGTTTCCATTGAGAAAGTCTAGGCACAGGTATGCGCGGCGTTTGCATTGTGTTGTACACCATTTTACCCTCACTCTTACCCAGCTCACTATCAAGCGATTGTGCGCCCGGGCGGATGCTATGTAATCGGAAAGTGCTCGACCGCATTTGCAGCGCAAGAGTTAGGATCTAGCATACTTTGGGAGCGCAGTAGCCATTGTGTCGCCAAATGGTTGGTCCAATATGGTATTCACATTTCACAGTGTAGTCCAAGGGAAAGAGCGGCAGACCGAAAGAAGGAAGAAGCTGTTGTCCGTACATCCACGACCAATCTAGAGGCATTGGTATGGGTCGATTGCCGCTGACAAAGGGGTGGACGCAACGCCATCGGGCATCTTTGCAGTCTGAATATGAGAAGTCGACCTAAACATCTTGGCAATAAGCAGTAGGTAAGGGGGAGATGCATCCAGTGAAGGTAGGCATAAACCTCTAGCTTTTCAATTGCCCAACCCCGTATAAGAAGTATGATTTGTAAAATGCAACAGGTATCTCGCTAATGCCAATCCGCTTGCGCATGCTCTCTAGATCATGTACACATTTTCCCACCACTTAGGTATCATTATCATTCGTCTGAAGACGAGATTTCGAGTAAATGCCATAGTCAAACGCCGCGCATGCTGGGATAGGAATCCGGTCCTCTCTAAGTTAACCAAAACTGAAGGAACAATTGGGGAGTTGGTAAGCTAAAAATTGGCTCCAATGAGGAACAAAATACCCAACAGTGGTTTAATGCCCACTTGACTCCAGCTCTTTGATGTATTTCACGAAAGCTTTCTTGTGTACCTGAAAGAGTTAGATTATGCAGGTCCACTAGGGTTTCATCAAGAACTTACCATGCCGGCATATTGACCATCGCGTAACACGCAAATATATCGTAGCCCCAGCTTGACAAAACACTCATAGACCAGGTCCATCGGCGAATGGATGTCCAATGAGACAGGCGCTGGGTCGATATAAGGAGTGAAATCCGTCGGATCTTCCGTCTCCTCGTTCTGCTCGGCACCTGTCTCACGGCCAGCTGCCCAGTCGACGTGCGTGGACATCAAGCACAAAGTGTTGTCTTCATCGTCAAGCTTATCAAGAGCGAACTCTAGATCGGGAGCCGCGATGAGCCCGACTAGAATACCGTCTTTCAATATTGGCAAGCCGCCGTCCAGCTCGCCAGTCATATGTAGATATTGCTGTTTTTGACGGAGTTCGCCGGCGGGTACAAGAGGCGAATCGGTGATGTCGATAACGCGCTCCTCTCTTACTCGTGGGGTGATATCGCCGAGTTCGTTGGTGAAGATAGGCCGAACCTTGTTATCCAAGAAAGGATATGAGTTCATGTCCGTCAGGAGATCGTAAATGCTTAGCGGCTCAATGGCGTCTGCTGTCCACTTCGCAACCAGTATGCCAAGCGAGAACGGCAAGACATGATCAAGACTACCCGTAAGCTCGAAGAGAATGACAGCAAGGGTAACAGTCAAACGTGTTACTCCTGTCATGGTTGCACCGGCAGCCACCATAGCGTATACGCCAGGAACGACACAGGAGCCGGGCGGACCCGTGGGTTCACAGGCTCCGAAAAGTCCAGTACCGCCCAGACGAAGAGCAAGCATCTGAACCGCATGACCCACGATGCGGCCGGCCAATCCACCAACGACCATGGACGGGACATAGATTCCAGCGGGCACTTTGATCCCGAAGGTGACGACTGTGAGACCGGCCTTGATGACAAACGCAACCAGCAACGTGCGAATGACGTCTGGAATATGCTCCCGTGTCGGGCACAGCCCCGTGCCGTTGTCAGTGAAGGTATCGCAGGGACTCGCCAACTCGAATAAAAGCTCGGCTACGGGTAACTTTGTGTACCTGTTCCAGAAACTGAGAATACCGGTAACCAAAGCCACGAGGAAAACCTCGAGAAGGGGATACTTCTTGATGAAGGAAATTCGCCGGAACGTGCGGGCCCAGATACGGGATGCCTTGATGAACAACGCTCCTAGTACACCGCCCAAAGCGCCTGTGAAGATGAATGCAATAATTTCAAAAAATTTCCAGTCGACGAGGTATCTGACTTCAAACAGAACGATTTTGTTAGTTCCGTAAGGGTTTAGAAATTTCAGCGACAATGCGGCGGCCTAAACTATGATGAGCCGAAAGAAAAGAGAGATGCGTTGGCAAGCACTTACAATGCAGCAGAAGAAGGTTCGAAAGAGAGTCTTTGGCGGGAAGTAATAGCTGACTTCCTCCAGGCCAAAGAGGACGCCGCCTATAGGCGCTCCGAAGGCCACTGCCACGCCACTAGAAGCGCTTGCACTTAGTACTTCTCTGCGCTTGCCGTCATTGTGGTTGTACTTGGAGAATAGACGACACGCAATGTTGCCGATACACGTCGCGATGTGCACATAAGGGCCCTCTTTGCCGAGACTGAGACCAGATGCCACGCTAAGAATCAAACCTGCAGTCTTGATGACCAAGGTGTGCACACCAAGATATCCGTGAATGACGAAGCCGCTGAGAATGACCTTGACCTCGGCCACACCACTGCCTGCTGCGGAGTAATATACCATGGGCGGACGTTGTAGTGATTCGTCGTAGGCAGCATCGGGATTGAGCGTTCGTTTTCTCCCTTCTTCATCCCTTTCGGTGCTGAGCACATCCGCCCCCAAATTTTCGTCGAGGGTAGCAATCGAGACGGCGGAGGGAATGACAGTTTTGGTGCCTAAGGTCAGGGCGCAGGAGGCCATGCTCAGAGTAATAACGCTGACCAAAAATGCAGCAAATTGCGTGCTTGTGCTGTCGAGGCGGTCTGTTCGAATCACCTTGGACCAATGGACCCATTCGTCACAGATGGATGCGCCAAAACAGCACGTCTTCTTACTCATATACCACGCCCTCGTGCAGTATCCTTGCTTCCAGTCGAACAGAGTATTTTCGGTCACGTTGACCAGGTAAGCGACTGTTGCCGTGAGTATGCCGATGATGGCAACGAGAATCCAGCCTTGGGCACCATCAAACCAAGCAGCAACGCGCCCTCGGATATCTCTGCGACTACGAAGGGCCTTGACCCTGTATGCGTCGGCGATGCTATCGTGAACCCAGTCGGTGGAGGTAAACTGATCGTACCACACGCGATCGTCGTGCCAAAAGGAAGACTTTGAATTTGCTAGGCTGTTCTCTACATGCGAAAAGTCAGTTCTAGGGCCGAGTCCAGGACACATGCGAAATGGCTGACCGTGTGCTGCACGCCGCTCCGAGCCTAGGGCTTGCACCAAGCGCTGACTGAAGGTGCGGCCACTGAATGAGGGGGCACGGCTTGTGCGACGCCTCTCGTTCCTCGCTGTGTTTTGACTATTTATTCGAGCAGCATGCGGGCGAGGGGTGCCGGGTATGGAGGTTGCCATACTCGTGTAGGAACGGGAGCCATGGGCGTTTCCGAGCAGACTCGAACGCTCTGTGGGGTCTTGGGCGGAGAGCTGAGCGCTCGAGGCGGTACGATTAGGCCTCGGCCTGCGGAAGTTCAGCGTGGGCGAAGTTGGTGTTGTACTGCCATATGTATCCTCCTGTTCTTGCCGCTCCCACGACAGGACATGCTGGCTGTTGTCGCCATCTTCGCTCTGGAAAGAAGCGAGTGATCGGGAAACCATGTTGTGAGGACTCCGGAGAAGGAGAGCGAGACTCGGATGCCGCAGGCTATGATGTCTCAAATATCAGTAAAGGGATCAAGGGTGGACAAGGGCGTCACCAGCAGGCCTGGCTGACTATCTAACAGGTCATCTGGCGAAGGGCGAGTGTTGCAGGCGTCATCTATCCGCGGACTGGGGTTGGGATGGAACTTTGAAAGAGGGAGGCAGTGAAAAGGAAATCAAACGTACACCGGCAAGCCCCACCTGGGCACTCTTCCAAGACGTTCGAGCAGCCCGTCCGGCGTTGTTGGACGCTAGGGAGGGAGAGAGAGCTGGAGAGGAGCCACCCATCCAAGGTTCCCGCGCTGAACCCCGTCGTCGACGTGATCCCGCGGTTCACGCCAGGCACGCGGGACGCTAGCCTACTTGGGGAGCCCCGCCAATTAGACTCCACCTGCAGGGCACCTCTAGCCAGTGTCAATTCGGCGAAGCACGACTGTACAAGTTGGGGACTGCTGGGCTAATACAAGTAGAATAACATCGGGATAACCCAGCTTTCCTTTTCTGTAGATTGTTGTGTGTCTGTCTTTGTTACAGTCAGAAAGCGATGCGCTTCTTTTCCTCAGCAAAATCGGACAATCGTTAATAATCATGGTATGTGACATCAACAGAAAAACATCGAGAGATCGCGATGCCAACTCCAGCAGGTCGCCTTATATCACAAGTTCTTCCTCTTCGGGGACAGCCTGACCCAAGACTCTTTCAATCAAGAACGCGGCTTTGGCTGGTCGGCCGCCCTGCAGCACGGTTTGTCCCCGTCCCAGCCATTCGTGCTCTAGTAGGCCTCCGCCGCCCAAGGTTCTGATATCCTGGCAGCCTACATTCGACGTTTGGATGTCGTCAACCGAGGTTTTAGGTTCGTGGCCTGGGTCAAGCAAGGACTTTCTTTTGACTATTTCATCAGTGGTTACAATACCCAACAAGCATTGAAAGTGCTGCCCAGCATCATCCCGTCGCCCGAGACTGCCCGCATTCGTTTCTTGGTAAACACGCTTCCTCGACTGGACAGCATGGGCTCTGTGCTGACCTACTGAGGTCGTCTTCTTCGGCGCCAACGATGCAGCTCTTCCCCAACCCGTGGAGAACCAGCACGTCCCACTGGAAGAATACAAGCAGAATCTAGAAAAGATCATCACCCATCCGCTCATCACTCCTCACAATGCACGCGTCATCTTGATTGCACCACCTCCGATCAATGAACATCTCCTTTGGCCCAACGACAAGCTCAAAGGACGGGAATCTGCGTCAAGAGTGGCTGCCGTCACGAAGAGCTACGCCGACGCAGCGTACGAAGTAGGCACTCGCCTTGGAGTGCCTGTCGTCCATCTCTGGAACGCCTTCATGACCAAAGCCGGGCTCGAGATAGACCAGTGGAAGACGGGCGATACTCTCCCTGGATCTTTAGATGTGCTAGAGAACGAAACCCTGAAGGAGTTGCTGTACGACGGTACGTGAGGGTACTGCAACCTGTACCGTGAACTCGGGCTGACGGGCCTTAGGGCTTCACTTCAACCCTGCCGGATACCAGATTCTATACAAGGAGACTATGAAGGTTATTGCGGAGCATTGGCCCGATCAACTGCCAGAGAACTTGCCCATGGTGCTTCCTGCATGGAACGACGGCGATGCGTGGAAAGTCTAAGACAACGTGACCAGCAGCATAGGCGGCCAGACCGGGATGGATATAGGTTGCACGACTCGTAGCCTATCTTATACACTTCGCGTCCTATCGGTGTGAAGATCGGATAGTGAGAGTGATAGGGTTGTTGGCTCTAAGACAGACCTTGCTCCAACGTCAACGCAGGTAGCATCGTCTTCCAACAATGGGTCTTTGCATCTGTAATTCGAAGAGATTCCTTATGTGCAGTCTCCGGTGGAAGTAGCGGACATCTGGACTGGACTAATACTTAATCACATGTCTGCAGTCTGGTACGGGTGGGCGCTCAAGTGCAGGTGCTGACTGTGCATCGCGATCGCACCTGCTTGTAGACTAAAATAGGTAAGCTTGTGGCGTACCTCCCTCCCCAAGCTCGGAACTCGATTCCACTCCCAATCCCCGCATAACAACAACAACAACGACGAACAATTGCGAACCTTACATCAACCTCACTGGCCCACGTAGAAAGAAACCACAATCCACTGTCTTGCTATGTGCCATCCCTCAAACTAGAACTACCAACCGCTGTATCCCCTTTGTCGACTCTTGTTCTTATTATCTGCCGAGTACAACAGAGTACCCATTGCTCGCCTCCGTTGCTTCAGACCACCCTCCTGCTCGCCCAAACCCAAACGCTTGCTCTCCCAACCCTCTTCTTCAATATCCAGATCATACCTACACCCGAGCCTTCCGTCGTAAACCCGATCAACTCATCACTATTCTCGCGGACGGTCCCGCCCATCCTTTGTTCACGCCCGCTTTCGCCTACCCAACAGTCCTGGTTAGACTGCACTTGTTTTCTGTACACCACCGCGGGTATTACGCAACATACTCGAATTGGAGGCATCTCGGTGGCCGGTAGGAGGTGCTGGCACGAGTCTGGGACTCGGGGTGGGGGAGAGCCGCCCGCCTGGAGCGCCTACAGCGGATGACCACCGTCTCTGCCGTGAGGGAGAAGCATAAGAGTTGGAATGCCGGCTTGTCGGTTATGGATCCGGAAAGCGCAATATTCCAACCTGGTGACGATTTCTGGCGCCTGCAAAGCGAAATGCTCCGCGTTCAACAAGGTCAAGCGGAACTCGCCGACCGTGTCTCGCGGCTGGAACGGAGGCACGATGAAGATTCACGACTGAAAAACGTCTGGGGAACTTCTTCGCCGTTTCCTTCCCTTTTGGGAAGTACACCACAGCAAGGTACGCTTCCGCAACCTCCACTATTGCGCCCCTTTGCTCATACCGCAGTTCCTTTGCCACAACCTGCTGGAGACGAGTTCTCCAACTTTGATGGCCAGTCGAGCAACCTCATTGGTAATTTGCAGTTGGATGCCGAGGATGAGTTGCCTCGCCGCATTGGAACTACGTCTCGAGCGAATAGTGTGCGCTTTGATGAGACAGCCGACCATGGTCATTGGGCACACGCCTCGCGCTCATCCCTAGACCTCATCCCTCGCACAGGAAGCGGCCTCGGCGGCCACTCGATGAGCGAGCGGAGCTATTCACACAAATCCGACGGGAGGCAGAGCTCAGCAGGCCAATCAGTACACTCGGCAACGTCGGGTCGGGCAAACAGTCTCACGGGTTACGGGGCCAACAGCTCAGCAGACCCTCCCGGAATTGCGCCAGGCCTGTTCATTCTGGGCCCCGTCCCTGCGATCATGCGCTGCTGGCTCAGCACCAACTTCAAGCATGACACACTGCTCTACGCCGCTGTATGTAGCGGATCCTACGCCTCATGCCTCGACGTGCGGCTCCTCGATCATCTTGGTTTTCGAGACCGCATCACAGAAGCAGAAAAGGGGAGCCGTGTCATCAAACTCCCTGTATACCTTCCCGAGGCCATCTCTCTGAGCGCATCTTCGGGGTCGAATAGCCCGGCCCCTCAACTTCCATTCATCAACGTCGAGTTTAGGATTGCAGAGGTACCACAGGGGGACGTGGAACGGAAAGGGATCCAGATCTTCCTAGGCAGCGACGTGCTCCGGCAGCATAACGCCGACATACTCTTTTCTTCGAACCAATTGACATTGTATGATGAGGACGGTAATAAGCTCAAGATTCCGCTTGTTCGACCAGAAAATGAGGGCACTTTCAAGTCTCTGATAACCACTAGTGCAGATTGGTTCTCTACTCCGGACAAAGCGCCGGGCGAGCCTGAGACAAGTGCAGCTCGGCAAGATTCCGAGGAGCAGGCCGTTGACAGGAGCTCCGCGACCCCGGAGGCGAAGCCGGATGGAGGCTCTGCGGCAGCTGCTCGAAAAGATGAAGCGGCAGAGGGCAGGATTGCCGGCCAACGTCCTTTACTCGGTCTCTCTATGCGGATTGACGCTGCAGAGGGGGCGACGGAGTCCAGTCCAATGAGTGCGGCACCGCACTCGGGAACGTCACCGGCCATCTGGAGCAATTGGCGACGTGACACGGAGAAGGCCAGCACGCAGCAAGATTGGGGGAATGCAGCGAAGGACAGCAACACGACCTACCAGCGACGGGATGCGGGTATCAAGGTGCTGAAACCCACCAGACTTGTCTCGCGGACTGTGTCGAGCGGACCTAGCACATCGCCTTCGCCTAGTACGGCGCACGGCACGTCACGGTTCTTTGACGATGGCAAACGTAGGATGAGTATCGGAGCGAACAAGGGGAAGGACAAGGGGCAAACCCCGACGTTGACGAGAGCACGGTCGACCAACCCGGTGGGAGGGGCGTCTGCATTCTCGTGGATGAATAGTACTGCGGGCACAAAGTAGATGCTAGAAGAGGGTCCTCGTTGGGTCAACGGGGCCTTGGAGCAGGATAAATCATTAATCAGACGTCAGTCATGCGAGAGTGCAGCTGTGATTCCGTCTCTCGGCGCAAAGCGAACGACGCCTATCTATATGCCGTGATGGGCTGGCCAGAGGATGCAGTGATGTTGAGGTGAGAGGTTTGGTGCAACGTTGCAACTAGTCTACTGTGTAGTCTAGTACACAGTATGATATTCACCCGTCTCGCTTGCTGGTGGTCTGTGCGCCATGAATTCGCCAGGCACGCAGGGCTGACGCAGCAGGGAGACCACAAGCACTGATGAGAACCCCCCCCCAAACACAACGTCTGCCATAGATTGTTGTCTCCCTCTCTTCTTGTCTACCGACAATTTTCCTCTCCTCCTCTACGCCACGGCGGCCGGTGCAAACATCTCTTTGCCATCAAGCGACGCCCGTGTGTGCTGCCACCCAAGAGGCGCCGCGCCATAGATTCTCGCTTGTCTGTGTCCGCAGGCTTGCACCAGGCCGCAAACCTCTCTTTGGTACGCCTCTCCGCCTCCGCGGGTTGCCCATGTCCGTTGTCGTCACACGCTGAAAAAGTGCCAGGCCCGCCTTTCTCTTCTCTTCTCTTCTCTTTGCCTTGGAGGACATTGCGGCTCCGTCTCTGACTGAGACTGCTGCTGCTTCGATCCCTCCCTCCTGCCTCCCTCCCTTCCGCCTCTCGTGAAGCCCGTCGTTCGCTCGTCGTCACGCCTTTTGCACCAGAGTCAGTTATTGCAACAAACCTACCTGCACTTGGAGCTGCTCCAGCTCCAAGGTAGGCCCACAGCGTCACCACGGCCTCCACAAAGAAGCGGAAGATTGCAGGCTCTGGCCCTTCACCCGACGTCTCCCAAGCCAACTCCCTCGCCCCTCATACCCTGAATGATCGCTCCAGCACGCCGCTAAAGTCACCTCGCTCCTCCCCTCTTGCACCCTCCGCTGGCCTTCGCTCCTCGCCTTCTCCACCCCGATACATCCCGCGACACATGCACGACGAGGTCTTTGAAGCGTCCGCTGCAGACGACTCCGCCTCTCCCTCGAGAGACATCGCCAACAGCGCAGCCAGCTCACCGACTGAGGCCTACGCACACCTTACTCTCGACAGTCGCGAATCGAGCAACACCATGACTGCAGATTCTGACAACTCTGTTCCCAACTCAACCCAGTCAACCCAGCCTGCCCCAAGGCCTCCACCACGCTCGTCATCTCCTGCAAAGCGGCTGCACTCGGACCTGGACGATGCGGCAAACGACGACGCAGACACACAAACCGCCCGTCTTTCCACTAGCCAGTCAAGCCCGCGAGCTACGAAGCCTTTGCCTACCGCCTCGCAACGGAGTGCTCGTGCCACTTCGGTGGAAATGGTCGATGCTCCTACACCAAGCATACCGGGGAACAACTTAGACACAGAGTCTTCATCGCATGTACCCAGTCTCGACGAACAGGTGGCCAAGGTGCTGGCTATACACCAGCGGCCATTGTCAGATGGTCAAGAAGGCTTCGTGGTGTCGGAAAAGTGGCTTGCTCGAGTCTTCTCCAGGACTACGGAAAATCGGGTCAGACCTGGACAATTCGACAAGGAGGCAACCGAGGGCGAGATTGGACCCGTCGATAACTCCGACTTGGTAGACACCAGCATCTCGTCCGCGTCCTTATTGACTGCGAATGGCGAACCATTCGTCCCCTTGCGACCTGGTCTCAGCCTTTCGCACGACTTTGAGGTCCTGCCGAGCGATGCTTGGGAGCTCATCATAAGCTGGTACGGCCTCAAGGAAGGCTCCCCTGTCATTCGGCGATTAGTACACAACACCACAGGTGATGCGCTGGCACAGAACCTTCAATATGAACTCTACCCCCCTATCTTTACCATCCGCAAAGCCCAGAAGAAGGAAGACGGATTGGACTTGTCCAAGCCGAGCCCGAAATTGGTCGCAAGTCGAAGCTATCCCTATGTGCAATTCCTTAAAGTTGCCAAGACAGCGGCTGGTATCGATATGAAAACCAAAGTTCGCGTATGGCGAGTCCTCAGTTCTACGCGAATCGATCAATCATTCACGCAGCCGCCTGGCATACTGACCCCGGACGCGTCCCCACGTCCAGGTTCTCCCGTTTCTGCAACACGCAACGCTTCTGTGCCTTTGATAGTGAGTATGGACGACTTTCTGGCTTTGGCCGACGGCGCAGAGCGTGAGCAAGTGACTGGAAAAGACGAGACAGCAAATGAGAAGTACAACGGCCACTCGTCTCTTCATATTGTTGGCTTGGCTGAGGATCAAGTCCTTATTCTTGAGGAAGAAGACGAGAAGGGCCATTATCGTACAGAGACCTCCGGCAAGGGTGCTGCCAAATCTGACAGCCAACTCTCCATTAAGGCTAGTGGCAAGGTGTCTAAGAGCACGCAAAGCGCCGCAAATAGCGGGAGGAATTCCCCCACCACATCGGGCCCGATGACGCGCGGGCGGACGCGCACCGGTCGTACTCGCGGGACCGTTGGCTTGACCAACTTGGGTAACACCTGTTACATGAACTCTGCTCTGCAATGCATCCGAAGTGTCGAGGAGTTGTCCTTGTATTTTCTCAGTACGTGAAAGGTGTCGAGAAATCCCATCCGTTTGCTAATAAAGTCAGTGCAAAAGTACAAGGACGACCTGAATCCTGATAATCCGCTTGGCCATGGCGGCTCTATTGCCAGATCATACGCCACCTTGCTCGAATCCGTCTATAATGTCGACGGTAATTCCTCTTTCAGCCCAAAAGCTTTCAAGCATGCCCTCGGGAGAGCACAGCCTTTATTCTCCGGATATGGTCAGCAGGACTCGCAGGAATTTCTCAGTTTCCTGGTTGACGGCCTGCACGAGGATCTCAACCGGATCAAGAAGAAGCCGTACATTGAGTATCCGGAATCCGACGACCAGACCGTGAAAGACCCGGCCGCAATCGAGGCTTTGGGGCAGAAGTTCCGGGAGATACATCATGCTCGCAACGACTCAGTGGCTATGGATCTTTTCAACGGGTTCTACAAGAACACGATGGTCTGTCCCGAGTGTGAGAAGGTTAGCATTACTTTCGACCCCTATAGCCTCTTGACTTTGCAGCTCCCGATCGAGCAGACGTGGCAGCACACCATCACGTTTGTCCCCAGACAGGGATCGATGATCAATGTTGATGTCGATATTGACAAACATGCGAGTATCAAGCATCTCAAGGAGTATATAGCAAGGCGTTTTGAAGGCGTACATTGGAACCGGTTGATGGGCGCCGAAGTCTACAGCCACAAGTTTTTCCGGATTCTGGAAGATGACAAGGCCATATCGGAATACAATTTCGGAGTGCGCGATATTCTTTATTTCTATGAACTGGACGCTGCACCGACGAACTGGCCGCCACGTAAGAAGAAGAAGCAGGCATACCGATCGTCCTTTATGAACCATGGCTCATCTGACGAAGACATTCCCCAATCTCCGTCACCCCTTTCGGACAGGATGGTCGTGCCAATTTTCCATAGGACTCCTGTCAGGTCCAACAACTATCGCGCCCACCACAACTGGCAAATGACGCTGTGGCCGTCATTCATCATGGTGACCCGCGAGGAAGCGATGGACTACGATGCCATACTGAAGAAAGTCCTTGCAAAGGTCGCGCAAATGACAACGCGGCCTATTCTTACCGAATTCACAAGCGGCGATCAGTCCCCATCTAGCTCCGACATCGTGCTGACCACAGCGGAAGACGCCTCGCCTAATGCTGACCCTCGCGTTCAGGATGGGTCTGTTGAAGGTGAGGAGAACATGGTTGAGGTTACGATGGCGGATGCAAACAACACCTCGCCGAGTGAACCATCACCGGATGACATGCCCGAAGTCCTCCGACCTGGCACTTTTATTCCACCCGCATTCAGAGCACTCTTCGAAATGAAGTACGGCAACCCGGGCGGCGGAATAGTGCCTACCGGCTGGGGCGACGATATACATAGAAGGAACTACGAATCGTTGACGAGCCGCGTCCCCGTTCCCGCTTCTCCGCAGCCATCTGATGCCTCAGATGCGAATGGTAACAGCAATACCAGCTCCGGCGATGAGCTCGATGATGTTCCACAATTCTCCAATGTGGCCGAACAAGAGAATCAGAGCAGCGAGGATGAGATCCCATCCATCGAGCCTCCAGAGCATTTTGCCCGCAGTGGTCGGCAAAATAGCAGGAAGAACAGGCGGAAGAACATGAAGTTCCAGAAGAAACAGCAGCAGCATGCTTACTCCAAAAAGGGCAAGAACCGGTTCAAGGAGCAGCCTTCACAATCCTTCTCTGATGTGGAGACGGATGAGACCGCTGCCATCATCCGGCTGGGAGAAGCCATCATCTTGGACTGGAGACATGAGGGGCATGAGGCGCTTTTTGAAGGCAGCATGGACGAGCAAGACCTGCGTGGGGTGGAAACAACTAGAGTCCTTGAGACGTTGAAAGACCCAGAACTTGATGAAAAGCGAAACCGGCGGGCTATGCGGAGGAAAAATGGCATCACTCTGAAAGAGTGCTTCGCGGAGACTTCCAAAAGCGAGATTCTATCCGAGGACAATGCATGGTACTGTAACCGCTGCAAAGAGCGGCGTCGTGCCTCCAAGACCCTCGAGATATGGACTGCGCCCGACATTCTAGTGGTCCACCTGAAGCGCTTCAGTGCAGTCCGGAATTTCCGGGATAAGATCGAGGCATTTGTAGACTGCCCGCTTGAAGGGCTAGACTTGACGGGTAAGGTCGGGCTGCCGGAAGACAAGAGCCTACTCTACGATCTTTTCGCGGTCGACAACCACTACGGCGGCCTGGGAGGTGGCCATTATACCGCATGTGCACGCAACTTCTTCGATGGAAAGTGGTATGACTACAATGGTATAATTTCTCTCTCTACTAACTTGGATCGCGCTGACTCGCATAGACTCTATCGTCTCGCCCAAGAACCCTAACAACGTCGTCACCTCCGCAGCCTATCTCCTCTTCTATCGCCGCCGTTCAGATCGCCCTTTAGGCCCTCCCTATCTCCAAAAGATTGTCGAACAATTCCGGAATCCCGACTCTGATGACTCCGTTGACGGCGAGTCAGATGGTGCAGACGACCAACGCAACCCCTCCGCCTCGTTGGCGGGAAACGGCTCGCGCCTCGGCGACTCGTCCCGCAATGGGTCGTCGAGCGCTTTAGGAGCCGGAGCGGGAGCCCTGCGCGCAGCTGGTTCAACTTCAGCCGGGAACCTTCTGCTGAACGGAGCAGGAGTCGGGACAGTGGACGCTGATGAAGAGATGCTGGAAGGTCAAGAGCTGCCGCCGCCGTATGATGAGGGGTATGCCGGTGGCGACGATGACGATGACGACAACAACTTCCAAGGTGTTTCTGTCGACGGAGGGGGATATGGCCCCCTGGTTGGGGGATATTATCCCGGCGCTCAGTGGGATTTTAGCAATGTCCCTGCCGAGAATCAGTCCAACGATGCCGACGACGATGATGATCGCTCCGATATGGTGAACCTCGGCGAAGATGACGGCGATTGCCGCATGCTGGAGGATTTTGGCGATGAGCTGGATATGGATGGGGGCTTGGCACCGGGAATGAGCACGCCGTTGGAGGAACAGGTTCCCCCGCCGTATCTGGACGACGGGGATGACGAGGGGGAGGTGGCGAATGTGGTTTTGGGCCCCGAGGAAGATGCGACTGGGGTGAGCGTAGGGAGGAGTGAGAACGGGAAGCTGGATTAGGAGTTTAGCGAGCGTAAGGAGGGGATGGCCAGGGAGGAGAAGACGAGCAACTGTGGGGCCATGTGAGTGGTGTTGCAGTGTTGGTGAGAAGGAGAGAGCTGTCTGGATATGAGTAGGGTGTGGGAATTCTTGACGAATGGAATGGAATGGATATACAGCGGCTTCCTGTGCAAGCTGCGGAGGCCACGTTATTGGTATCGCCTATTTGGTACCCTCGGCCTCTTTCTTTCTTTCTTATCTGTTTGAGCGGAAAAAGCATGATCAAGAGAATCCATGACCGTGAAGCATCATTTCAAATCAGCATGGGGGACCCTGAAAAGGGAAGAGAGGAAGGGGGGTGGGATGGGATGAGTGGGAGGGGGATTGCAGGAAGTGGGAGGGCCACCCTTCCTTCCATAGAGTTTTGCTTTCGGCATTGGTTGGGCGTTGGGAAGGAGTTAGTGAATGAATGCGCATTTTTCATGGATATGGCATCTGTTCGTGCTGGAATGGAGTTGAGGGGTTTCTTTCTCCTTGTGGAATAGGGATACGTGGGCTGTGTTGAAGTACATATGTGATGGAGCGGTATTGGCCGGCGAACTGGCTTCGAGCACGAGGGGAAAGAAAGGAAGGGAGAAGGAAGGGGAGAAAAAAAAAATATGGTTTGGATAACCACTCCCTATAAGATGATGTCCCCCGTAGTAGGCCTAACCTGATACCGCGACCCTTGCGCCTTGCAAAGAAAGAAAAGGGAACGCAGCAGCACGAATAACCCAGCAACCGAAAACCAGAAAGCCTCCGAACACATGCCGCCGAACGGAAAAGAAAAAACGAAGCCTGGAGGAGTGAAACCCAGCCCGCCAGACAAGACAAACAAGCACCAAACTTCCCCACCCGTTCTTACCCCACAACCCGGACGGATTGTTCGCATCCCCGCGCGTTTCTCTTTTCCCAAGCCCCCTTTCCTATTTCTTCTACACCACACCCTCCTGAAACCTCTCGACCCCCCTCTTAATCTCCTCGACAATCTCACTCGCCTCCTCCCTCGTCTGCGCCTCAAAATCATACCTCTTCGTCTCCCTCTCCTTGAACACCACAACGCGAAACATCCTCGGATGCTTCTTCGACACCTTGGACCCCACAATACTCGAGAAATGCACCGTCGTCGTCTTGGACGCATGGTGCTGGTGATGCTGCTGCTGCTGATTATGCCCCCCTGCCGCACCATGGAGATTATTCATCAGCGTATGCGTCGTGACCGACTCCCCCGGCATGATGTGCATGTACTCGGAATCCAGCGCGAGGATGCGGCTCGTCGAGCTGGCAAACGACATGGGTTGCTTGCGCAGCACGTTGTACCGGCGGTAATACGCGTGGTTGCCCAGAGGTCCGCCCCCGCCGGCGCCCACGGACGAATTCACCGTCGCCAGCGGGTGCGTGTGCACGTTGAGTAAGGCGTGGCCGCTCAGCGCGGCGGCGGCGGCGCGCTCGCCCTTCTTCGCCTTCTTGGTCGCGCCGCCCGTGGAGATGATCAGGGGCGCGTTGGGCGACGAGGAGCCGGGACTACCGGCCAGGCCGAAGATGCCGTCGCCCATGAAGCGGCGCCGGATGAGGTCGAGATCGGTGCGGGTGCCCAGCGCCTCGACGGTCCGGTCGATGGGCGCGACCGTCGTCGAATTGCTGACTTTGAGGACATAGAGCGCTTTGTCCAGCCCAAAGTCCCGGCACGCTTTGTCCAGGAGCTCGGCAATGTAGGTGTCCGTCGTGCACTGTATGGGAAAGTGGCTTGTGTAGAAGTTCTCGTCGGTGAAGTGCACCGTGATTGTTCTCGGGGCCCCCATGCGAGAGGCGGCGTGCGTGCTCGGCACCAAAGGAGCGTCGGCTAGAGTGCTGGTGTCTTTCCTCGTCGCAGTGGGCGCGAAGCTGGGGCCCGTGATGGGGTTGCGGAACGATTTGGCGCGCATGGCTCTCGTGGAATTGGGCGGTTGCTTGCGGTCGGCTGTGGGACTTGAAGGCGGTTTGGGCTGTTGTTGAGAAGACTCCTCCTGCTGCTGGCTACTTGCCAGAGCGGCGGCCGCCTCACGGTTATATCTGGGTGTGAGTTTCTCATTCTCGGCCATTTCGCGCTCGGTGGCTTCCACGAGGGCGAATTCGTCCCAGGGCTTTTCTCTGGCGCGCGGGCGCATACCACGTTTGTTGTTGGAGGCGAAGTCGATGATGGGTTTGTTCCTGGTTAGAGGAGGGAACTCCTCGTCAACTTCGCCGTCGTCGTACATGCGCAGGACCCACGAGTTGACATTGCACTTGTCCTGCGATAAGGGGGGTTCAAATTTCTCTTCCTGGTACCTCCAGAGTGCGAAGCCGATGGCTTCGGAGACGGTGACGGCGTCGCCATGGTCGTCGAATTTGACGAGGAGAAGTTCAAGGGGTTTGGAGGGTTTGGTGGAGAAGGGACAGTAGATTCGGATGTAGATGGGGTTGACTTGGGCTTCGGAGGTGGCGGATAGCGCGGCGAAGCGTTGCAGGGGGTTTGTGGGTTTTTGCTCTTTCGCCTTCAGGGCTTGGGTGAGGGCGCTGACGGGAGGCATGAAGCTGATGGGACGGGGAGGAGGGAGCGCTTGCAGAGTCGGTCCAGGTTGTTTGGACTGTTTCTTGGGCGAGGTTTGAGTGAAGGGCGGCATCTGGGAGGTCGGAGGGGAGGATTCGAGGGCGTTGCCTTCCGCGAGGAGGGATTCTGGGGAGCCGGAGAATGCGGAGGAAAGAGAGCTGTCTGATTCATGAACTTCGTCAAGGGCTTCCAATTTCTCCCTTTCATCTTCGGAGATCCGTTGCGCCAGGAGATGGCTACCCTGAGCAGTTCTGAGGGGATTGACCCTCTTCTTCTGGAACATGGCGTTGTCAAGCTCGTTGTCCGAAGACATCTCGCTACTGGTAACGGTGTCTCGCCTCGCACGCTCCTTGATAGTCTCTATGGTTCCCAGGGAACCTCTACGTAGGCGACCATCCGGAGGCTTTGAAGGAGATGTGACCAGCACCGACGGGCCTTCTGCACCTGTGATCTCCGTGCGTAAAGCTGATCCTCGAATTGGAGACGAGCCAGCACGAGTGCGAAGTGGCATCTTTGTGAACTTGATCTGTGTTGCCGCTCTCTGCGCAGCTTCGCCCTCTTCGTCGCTCTCCTCGCTTAGATCACTGCTGTCTTCCTCCTCCAGTTGTTCCTTTCTCCGCCGTCGCCGCGTATTCAGTGTAGGCCCAACCGTATCATTGCTCCCTCCCCCAGTCACCATGCCCCCTTCTTCCTCCTCATCACCAAACCCTTCGGGCGCTTTCAGAGCAGCCGAGCGAGGCGCCTGGAAGTATTCCGAAGTGATCGCGGTAGGAATAGGTGGAGAGTACGTCCGCTTGATGTCCGCAGCATTCGGGATCCAACCAGCAGCACGAAAGGCCGGGTTATTTAGGACGGAAGTGTTGACATTGATAAGGCGCTCGCCAACGCCATCCTTGATCAGAGAGAGATAGGAGGAGCGGAGCTGGTAGACGACGAAGCTGGGTTGTTGTTAACATGGCCGCACGCAAAGGAATGCATATAGCGGAAACGTACTCCTCATCATGAAGGAGCGACATAGCTACGTACTACCAGAGTTTCGATAGTCATAGCAACATACTAAGGCGATTCAGACCAGCTGAAAGAGTGTGTAAGCATAGAAGTGAATGTCACCAATCTATGTGGGGTAGCGGATGCTGTCGGATTAAGGTTGACGGTCCTGGCTTGGCAGCCGTCTTCAACTTTACTTGAGCTTGCCACCATCTCCGGCATCTATCACCAACATCCGCAAAACCTCCTCGCCGCCATGAATCTAATAGCGTATTCGGATTCTGAAGGGTCAGATATTGAAGCTCCACAACGGCCGCCGAAACCTGTTGCGAAGCCTACGGCAAAACCGGCGTTTCCAAAAGTTGTCGATCGCTCGAAGCCTGGAAAGATCAAACTCCAGCTGCCTACTCCCACCCATCAACCAAAAGACGACGTTGATATCGACGCTGAAGCACCACCAGCTAAGAAGGCCCGCACCGGCGGTGGAGCATTCGGCGGCTTCAACTCTATGCTACCTGCGCCTAAACGGCCGAATGTAAATGCTATATCGGCTGCGGGAGGAGGAGCGGCGACTTCAGGAAGCAGAGGGATAGGCAAAAGCCTCGGAGTAGGGGTCAATCTGAAGACTGGTGCAGAGCCGGCCTTCAAGAGAGAACCAAAAGCGGAAGACTATGACGAGAACGGCAACCCCGTTCAGAAGTCTTCTGGCACGCCATTGCAGAAAGAGGATTTTAGGGCCCTGTTGAATTTACCTCCTCCAAAGACGGAGGCCAAACCCGAAACTAAGACTGAGTCTGCACAGTCAAGTTCTGCCGCAACACCTGACGTCAAGCCAGCCGCTAGGCCGCGGTTCGTACCAATGTCCATGGCTCGAGGAAAAAAGAAGCCACATCCAGCACGGCCCGCATCTTCACCCTCAAACTCACAGACCGTCAGTCAATCACCGGGAGCAACCGAAGCCTCCGTCGGCGACCCTGCAGTAGCAGAACCCAAGCTGCCTACGAAGCCCAAGGTATCATTGTTTTCTATACCGGCCGACGAAGATAGTGTGACATCAAAGCCATCATCAAGCGGCGATTATCAGCCTCTGATTTATGATGCTGGAGAGGAGGAGGATGAGCGGATACACACTGAAATCCCTAGCGCGTCCAACCACCAGTCATCATCTCAGTCTCACAATTCCAATACCGCCACTGCATCTGGCGCGCGGGATCTTACTGACATAGCATCTGAACTTAACCTTACCGAAGCTGAACGTCGACAGCTATTCGGCCGCAAAGGGCAAGGACCGGATATATCCGCAGCCAACATCATAGAATTCAACACTGACCAGGAGTATGCCCACAACGAGATGTTGCGCCAGCAGGGCGAGACCGTACAGCATAATGCGCTCAAGTCGATTTCAGGTACTGGGAAGAATAGCCTCAGGAGCCTGCTCAATATGGCTACGACGCAGAAGGAGGCACTGGAGGATCATTTTGCTGCTGGTAGGAGGAACAAAAGGGAGGCGGGCAATAAGTACGGCTGGTAATTCTGGGCTGCGGTATCATAGTTACAAGAACCTTTATCTCATTCATTTTTCCTTCTAGATTGTCGTCCAAAGTGAGAGTGGGAGAGTTTGGTTGCTCATCCCTGTCTGCTGCTTTTGTAGGAAGTCGTCTCTCTGGAAGGCAAACTTTACATGTCCAGATCCGCAGGCCCGCTTCAGCATGAGCGGAAATGGCGTGCGACTGGGGGGGACAGAAATGCGTCAGTATGGTAAGTCCATTTCCACTTGCCGCAAATCGGTTTTGATTCCTCTCCAGTTCATCAATTTTCGCTGCATCACCGCGGCATGCTACGCGCTCCGCAGCAGCTAACTTGCCCACACCTGGTTTTTCTAATCCCTTCCACAGGCTTCCATAAGTTCTCCAACTCTGATGTGGGGTTGGCACACATTTGCCCGTTTGCCCCTTCGCCCTACTGGAGTCGCCGTCACTGAAGAGTCCACATAAGCGCATTTTCGATTGGCACTTACCAACTCCCGGCCACCAACAACCGCAACAACCGCAACAACCGCAACCGGTACGCTACGCGTATTGTACTGATATCCGTCGCTCTTTGAAGTATTACCAGACGATTACGTGAATGCGTGCGTGCACGCGGGCTTTTCCAAACTGTTAGCAGCCAGCACGCCCTCCGTCTATCATCATGCCACCTGAGCCACAACCCAAGAACGGCATCCCCAGTGAGGACCCATCGATACACGGAGCGGGGAACGGCACGGGTGTCGTCGATAGTGATCTCTCCGCTACCGGTCAAGGTTTTACCGATGGCGCGCAAGACGTCAGCAACAGGAAAGGGAGGCGAAAGCAGCGGGGAGGAAAGCGCAAAGCCACGAGATTTGATCAAGCAGGCTCTCAAGACGCGGCAGACATGACAAATTCCGGCAACGCTGGAGATCCTATTCAGTTCCAGGATGGAACAGCTGCCGCCGAAGAGTCGAAGGAGAAAGAGAAGAACACGCACAAGAATCGGAAGCCGAAGAAGAAAGGCAAGAAAGCGAAATCAACTGGGGTTGCACCTACGGAGGTCAGCATCAGTGACAACAGGTATGTCGTACCGTCCCAGAAATCTCCGCTCAGGAACGAGGGCTATCGTGGGAGTGCAGCAGTGGAGCATAATACTGTGGATGCTGACCTAGGAAATCCATACGATAGTCTTCCAGATAAGGTAGAGCTGCGCACTTATATGCGTAACGGCATCGAGGAACAAGGTCTTTTCGCCACTGCGCCCATTCGTGCGGGCACTCGACTGTTCAACGAGCGACCGATACTGACGCAGCTCGATCCCCCAAACGATACATTACCTTCCGAAGCCCGAATAAGAAATATAGTCGCAGCCTTTGACGTCCTTCCGCCCGCAGAGCGACACAGGTTCATGGAGTTAAGGCCCGGTTCCGTGCTTCAGCTACTTTGGCTCTCCCGCGAGGCCGACTATCTCATCGAATGCTATAAGTCTCTGCGCCTCAAGGCAGACAGTCGTAGTAAAGAGGAGGATGTTATTTACAACGCTTTGGGGTCGCGTTTATTTGCACTATGCAGGAGCTGGCGCATCGCTGCCCGCTTCCACGCCAACAGTTGGAAGTGGTCGGTCCAGGCTGGCCACGGATCCGACGGGTCACCAGAGTACGAGCTGGGTACGGCCGCATTCGTCAACATATGCCGCATAAATCACTCATGCATACCCAACTGCTTCCCCTACGACAATCCTGAAACGGGCAGGATGACGGTCCACGCGACGTGTGATATTGCTCCCGGCGAACAGCTCTTCCATTCTGCTCAGGGAACGGCCCATTGGTATCACACTGCTGCCAACCGCGCGCGGGACCTGCGTTGGATAATGGGCATCCACTGCACTTGTCCTGCGTGCGATGCGACGCATCCTGATTTCGGGAGGCACGAAAATATCAGGGGGATGTTGGGCAGCCATTCCTTCAAGGTGTCGGAGTTCTTCAATGTGGTGAAGCATTGCGATGAGAACGGCTTCATCGTCCGTAACATCGACGGCAAAGTGGAGAAGCAGGGACTCCACCTGGAAGTGGAAGCCTTCGTCAAAATGGAAGAGATTATCACGGACATGTTCTGGCTACTCGATAGTTTGGGCTGTGGAGATCTCGAGATGCCGAGATGGCGCAAAGGTCTGAGGGAATTTGTCTTCAAGCGGCTAAAGAAATGGTATGCGGTTCAGGCACATGCGAACAAGGAGCTTCTGGAAACGGCGAGGTGCATTGGAGAGGATCATCCACATTACCGGTCGTTGAAAGAGGATATTGACTTTACGATAAAATGCGCCAAACTGGAGATCGTCAAGGAAGAAATTGAGCAGAGGGAGAGTAGGGAAGAGGAGAGGCGCCTGAATGCAAGCATTACTAGAACAACGATATGGATCCTCCAGAATCTGCAAGGCAGGGTGGAGTAGTACTACCTGTATCTTCTCCAGGCCGAGAGAGAGTTTCGCCGGCTTCGCAAGTGGTTCCGGGCCTAACTGGAAGATTGGCAAGAAGGCCATGTTGCATGTACGATTTGCTTATACGCTTGGCTATAGAAGGCGTGGTGAGATCTTCGCGCTGATCCGTTTCTGGTGCCACTGTTTCAACAACAATGGCTGTTATAGGCGCGCCGAAGTTCATAGCCAACTCATTTACACCGTCAGATTTACGTTCTGATGTTGGGTTGTTCGTGCCCGCAGTGTTTAGTGGATTTTGTATCGGAGTATCTTCCGTCTAACCAACTGCTAGGTGCCTACGTCCTACAACACACCCTTCCGCGGGATTCGTCGCTCCCCGGCCGTGTGTCTTCGATCTAATGCTCCATTAAAATACGTGCAGGAGAGATTTTACTCGGCTACCACACTCATATAGATGGTGCCTGAACCACCTCATACGGGTCTCTACTTCGGCAAAGACTAAATTGCATTAGGACGTGCCACTCACACTTCTCCCAATCATGTTTTAGTATCTCATTTCCTCAGAAGCGTTCTACTTAGGGTCCTCAACAGCAATCCAAAGTCTGTTTGTCGTTTTGCTCTCGAATATAACGCATCCTTTTCGTCTTGGAAATTGTGCTTGCATCAGCTTCCTCTGTACTCTACTTCCTCTGTTGTGTTTGTGTTAGAGGTTGATACTGCGCATCTCGATCAATCGTTCCTTTTTCTCTGACGCTCCACGCCTATGACTGATATTTCTGTCCGTCTTGTGCTCCGGGTGGTAGGTTGATCTCAGTACTGCATTAATAAGGACCTGGATTGAAGGTCTCGATCGCGATGGAGAAGCACTCAATGGCGAGGGCGTAGAAGACGGCACAATCGGAGTGGGAAGGCATGCACGGCACGTACGCAGACCACTCCACCGTCTTACAGTGGGAGTCCAACCCATATATTACACTATACTATGATATTGCTCCCCACCCGAGGATACTCATACGCTTCTCTCTAAGTTATGGTGGAATCCGAATGCAGCTCCAGTTTATAAGACGGGCGGAATTCTCCAGCAACACCGCCATAGTACTGGTGCGGACGAGCAGAAAGTCCGTACGGCATGGTAGAAGGCAGAAATAACGCCTTCGTTCCTGATTCTTTTCCGATTCCTGAGCTGTCCGCAGCAGGATATGATATGGGACAGTCGTCACCTTCGATTGGGCAACCGCAGGTCTAGCTGCAGTAGATGTATGGGCGCGCAGAAACGCAGTCCCCTCAGCCTTCCAAACCTCATCCTCAACCAACCACACCCCCACCAACACCGGACTCCACACGACCAACCACACCAACTCTATAGAACTGCCGTTTGCCTTGTGGCGACCGACAGCCAGAGACTATTGCACGAAGCAGAGTGGTAGGCCTTGCCTAGAACAGAAATCCAGGTCGGCCATGCCTTGCTGTATGGCCGAGTGATTGTGGGACATAGCAGTTACATGCCACCGTAGGCGGCGATGCGGCTTCCGAATGGGCCTTTCATCATTTCCCTGCGGCAGCTTTGGCTGCTTCTTTTTCCTTCTTTCTTTGCAGGTATCGCTCTTTCGCGCTAAGAATTTCACCTTCCGTTTTCCGACTCTTACTTGCATGCTCAAGCTTTCTCCGCTCTTCAGCCTCCTCATCTGCCTTTCGCTTCGCTGCTTGCTCGAGCTGCTCCACAATCATGGCGGTCTGTCTTTGTCTCTGGGCTCCTCTACCCGCGTGCCGACTCTGCAAACCGGGCTGTGTTATGCTTTGACGCGATGATCCTCCAGTGGACAAGCCCGCGCTCTTAGGCTTTGCTACGACATTCAAACCCGCAGACAGCAATTGTCTCTTATCCGCAACCTGTCCTTCATCGTTGATGATAACGTTCTTCCCCTGCGCCTTCAGTTCTTCCGCAATTTCCACTTCGGATTTCTCCTTGGGTGCCTCGACCACGGTCGGGCGAATACCCTTCTTGGTCAGCTCTGCAGCTTCCTCCATGGCTGCTTGTGCTTCCCGATGTCTCTTCTCCTCCTCAAGCAGCATACGTCTGTGAAAACCGGCCATACCCTCTTTGCGTCTCTTCTCTTCCTCAATTTCTTGCCTCTTTTTCTCTTCCTCCTCCGCCTTACGCGCCTCCTCCTGCTGCGCCTTGTATGCTGCTGTGACAAACTTTGCCTTGTCTGCAAACTCGTCACCTTCAGCCTCTCGCTCCCTCTGTAGGACCTTATCGCGCGCTCTCAGTCTGTCTTTCTTCCTCAATTCGGCGGACTCAAGTAGATTCTCAATATATTTCGCGCGGCCTTGCGCCGCCGCTTCTTGTTCAGCCGCTTTTTTAGCGGCAGCTCTTGCTTGGATCGCATCGTAGGCTGCATCATAATCGTATATAGAGGGATCGAGCTCTGCGGCCTCTTGGGCCCTCTTCTTCGCCTCTAGTTGAGTTGCTGCGTTGACCAGCTTGGAAGGGTCGTCCTTTCTCGCTTGAACTGGACGTTTCGGTGGGCCGACTTGTTGTGCTTTCGGACGGGACGAAGGCTTAGAGTTCGAGGGTATCGATTTCTGGGCACCGTCATTGTTCAAGTCCAATTCCTCGACTACTTCTGCGCCATCTGCAACCGTTGTTTTGATGTTTACGTCCTCCTCTTCATCGTCATCAAGAAGGGGTTTCCGCTTGCCCGGCGCGGGCTTTCCGGGAGCGTCAACAGGCTTGTTCTTCAGGTTCAGACCGAATTTGAAGGACATGTTTGGGTGATGCTGCACATCAGTTGCAGCGTCGTTAAACTTGAGGTTGAGATAGAGCCACCGCCAAGACATTCTAGTACAGCGCACGGACACTTGACTTCATCGTGGCTGCCGGCCCATGCGCGTTATTCTCCGATTCATTGCACCGGGTCGAACCTGAATCTAACTTCAACGAGCGCCATATTCTACATGCAACGACGAATACCTAGGCTCCTGCTTCCTCACGATGGAGGGAACGGCTAGTGATCACGAAATATACGGGAGTGTCCATGCCTCCAAGTTTCGAATGAAATCGAAGTCCAGTCGGTGGAAGCGGCATCGCACAGAGCGCATTGAGCACGACCGCCATGACGATCGATCCAGCAAACGACACAGGGCTAGCGACGGCCACGAAGACGGATCACACCGCTCTTCAAAGCGGTCCTCTAAGCATAGCTCGAGGCGGACGGTATATGACACGACGTTCCCACGACACGGTGGCTATGACGAGCCAGAACACAAATACCGGGAGTCGCTCTATGATGGACTGCAAGAAGATCTACCGACAAGCTCTGGTGCAAGTGGCCTTGATCCCGACGCTGCCTTTCGCGAGTCCTTGTTCGACGCCCTGGCTGATGATGAAGGAGCTGAGTACTGGGAGAGTGTATACGGCCAGCCAGTGAATATCTACCCCAACACCAAACCCGGACCTGACGGGAAACTGGAAAGGATGACCGATGAAGAATATGCCGACTACGTACGCACAAAGATGTGGGAGAAGAGCCATCAGCATATCATAGAAGAGCGCGAAGCGCGGGAGCGGGCACGAAGGAAAGCCAAGGACAGAAAACGGCAGGTGGAAGAAGATATGGCAAAAGAGGAGGAAGAGAGAGAAAACTTACGACGCAGGATGCAAGAAAGCTTAAGAAGAGGGGAGGAGCGGAAGAAAGCGAAAGAAGCGGAGGCTGCATGGGCGCGGTATATGCAGAAATGGGAGGAACTCAAGCAGCGGAAAGATCTCACTCAGGACAGCACGGCAGCGCGAGATTTGATACCTTGGCCGGTCGTATCTGGGAAGCGGCGGCATGTCTCTAACGATGAGATCGAGTATTTCTTCGAGAACTCAACCGCTTGGAGAGAGGATCCGGCAGCGATGCTCAAAGTTGAGCGTGTCAGATGGCATCCAGACAAAATGCAACAGCGATTTGGGCAACACATCGATCCCGATACCATGAGGTCGGTTACCGCCGTTTTCCAGGTTGTTGATAGACTCTGGAGCGAGCAAACACGTCTACATTAAGTGCAGCCAGCGGCAACATTGCGGCATGACTTTGCCTGCAACTACCAATCCGCTAATCTTCAGGAGACCTGGAATACGCGGTTGAGGTTATTACATTTGGTCAGATTACCAGGTTTGCTGAAGTTTGTTGGTTCATGCAAGCGATTTCTCTTTTGTGATACCCATTGCATCAGAGTATTTCTCATATCTGCTTTTCACTTCCATTTCCCTTGCTTCCAGATCTCTTCCAACGCCTCATGACCTTTCCGATCGCGTCCGTTGCCGATGCAATTGGTCCAACCTCTTCGGACTGGAGTAGGTTGCGCGGCCACAAGCGTTCTGCAATGCCGTCTGAACTCCCGATGGACATCCTAGTCTCTTTAATATCTTTGACACAGATCACCTACCCGCTCAGCACTGGAGATCTCCAAGTGCTTTTAATTGTCCGGCTAAAGTCTAGGACGCGTACGCGGAGGCTTGTTCCATTCTTAATTGCCAGGAGTTTCTGGTTTGATCACTCGTCATGGAGAATCCGGTATTTCCAGACATGCACATATTACTGCCTTAGCTCTACCCTATGTTTCGCGCTAGAAGCTTAATTTACTAGCTCAGGCCTTGGTAGAGCTTGATTCCCCATTGGTACGCTTAGATGGAACCTTGGAAACGGCGTGTGGCCATCATTAGCATCTCCAGCAACATCGCATCTCTGTTTGAACATGATCAAAGGTGGTTTCCTCGCCAACACGCAATTTTGAATGCAAGGATCCGCAACGAGACAAAGATGATATTGTTCGCCCGTCTCACAATCTCACTGAAACGTCAAGGGCCAAGCTATGGCAAGTCTGATATAGACATGGCAGCACTTAACAGTTCAGAGATGATGCGATTGTCAATGCTTGGGCCTGAAGGGGCTTGAATACCCGGCGGCAAAGGCGAAATCTGGGGTACATTGACCCCTTCATCTGGAAGCATGTCCAAGATGCATGCACCCCGGCCACAACCGGTAAAACCATGGCATCTGACCTCTCAGATGCGAATTTCGGAGTGATGTCTATCAAACAATCTACTATGGACCGGTTAGTTGTACGGCTCATCTATGTCTTCAAGCATATGAAGGATATGGCGAAATCAATCCTAGACATCCCGTGGATCGACTCACAAGCTTATAAACAGCGCCTATCTTCCTCAACAGAACACTGAACCACCAGTCCTTCGATTCACAAATCAACCACCATGGTCGCCTTCTCCTCCATCATCGTCGCTCTCAGCGGCGCCGCCACTGTCCTCTCCTCTCCCTTGGATCTCATCACGCGCAGCACGCCCCAAGGCACCGGCACGCACAACGGTTTCTTCTACTCTTTCTGGTCCGACAATCAAGGCCAAGTCACCTACAACAACGAGGCGGGTGGCAAGTACAGCGTCAGCTGGAACAACGTCGGCAACTTCGTCGCGGGCAAGGGCTGGAACCCCGGCGGCCCCAAGGTCGTCAACTACACCGGCACCTGGAACGCCGCCAACGTCAACTCGTACGTCAGCTTGTACGGCTGGACGCGCAACCCGCTCGTCGAGTACTACATCGTCGAGAGCTACGGCAGCTACAACCCGTCTAGTGGTGCGCAGAAGAAGGGTACCATCCAGAGCGATGGCGGTACCTATGATATCTATCAGACCACCCGCGTCAACCAGCCCAGTATCGATGGCACGTCGACTTTCCAGCAGTACTGGAGTGTGAGGACGCAGAAGAGGGTTGGTGGGACCATCACTACGGGAAATCATTTCGATGCCTGGGCCAAGGTTGGACAGAAGCTGGGAACGCACAACTATATGATTCTTGCTACTGAGGGGTACCACTCTAGCGGCAGCGCGTCGATTACGGTGCAAGGGCCGTGAGGGCCGAGTCGTTGTTTATGTGGAAGAAAGGGTGAAGGGCCGGGTTGGGAGCCATGCGTGACTTGTAAATAGTGTTGATGCTGACAGGGAGTTGGGTGGGTTTGTGGGGCTTATGGGAAGAAGCACGATGGTAGTGGAATACTATCCATTCTCTCAAATGCTATCTTGTGCTCTAGAGCCAACAATTTACACCTGGCTCGTGCTGTTAATTCGGAAAAAAATCAGTTGTCTCGAACTCCGTTGATTTCTATGTGTGCCAGCTTGGCTTATGCGGCATGTACGTCCGTATCACATGCGGATCGGCCCATGCATGTGCATAATGGACGTAGAGTGAGTGTCACTCCGTGGCGTGAAGCTCCATTGGCTGATACTTCCAACAACTGCAATCACAAAGCGCCGATGAAATTTTAATTGTCCCTCTTTTTGTTAGCCTTCTCTACTCTCTGTAGCTTGTTAGGTTTATAAAGATAATTTTTCTTTTAGTAGTTTATCTAGGTAGGATGCACCTAACTACCGGGATATAAAAATCTAGCTCTCCGATAACTAACATCGTAAGTTTAATTCCGTTCCTAGAAAAGCAGCACGCAGCTAAGATGCTTTAACAGACCTATGTACTAAATTATCTACAATACAGCACTCCTAGAAGCATACGCTTCTATTTACCTCTGCCCTTACAGTAAACGTACAGTCCTTTCCTAATTTAAAGCGAGCTTAATGCTATCGACCTCAACACTATGCTAAATAACTAACACTACACTACCCGTACATTTTAAAGCCAGGATGATTTTAAACCTCTATTCTATGTTATACTAATAGCATGATTCGAACTTGTAAACCTAAACCAGCCCCGAAACCATAGCCAATTATAAATCTATCCTAGCCTGTTTCCACCGCCCCTATTATCCCTACTCCAGTACCCAACCGGTTCTGCGGAGGCCCCAATGTAGAAAAAACAAAGGAAAGCAAGGAAATCATCGCTATACGAATGACGGGCATAGAAGCTAATCCGCCATCGCTAACCCTTCCTACCGCTGCCCCAGATACCTAAGCCATGGCGATAAAAATCGGAATCGCAATGGCAGTTACGATGAGGATGTTGACCGGAACTCCAAGGTAAAGAGCCGCACGTTTCGGTGTAACTGTCGCCGTGGTGAAGCGACCACCAGAGACCCAATTCACCATGGAGTCCCCAAACCAGCGGTACAGAATCAGAAGCGGCGGCAGGATGCAGAACAGGCCGAAGACTATCCAGGAGAGGCGAGTGCGCTCCGCGCAATCCTCAGCAGTTGGCTCCCGTCGAGTTACATGCAGGTGAGGCGATCCTAGATCGTGGCCCGGAGTGACAGACTGTCGAGTAAGAGGCGAATCGGTGGTAACCGACGATGGGGCTCTCAAACTGGGCGCATCAAAGCGCATGATCTCAGAGAATCGCGTGGCCCCGCTCTCGTTAGATTGAACTGAGCGGGCAAAGCGTGCCGAAGGCGCAATACTGGGTGTGAGCTTCATTTCGCGAAGCTTAGTTTGCCCTGTCACTGCTGAACGTCGGCGCCCATGACTGCCATTACTGTTATCCGCAACGCTGCTTCCGGCATCGTGGATTTCGGTTCCTTGAGATGTGCCAGGCAGGTCGGCTTCCGGCGCCGGACCGTCCAGTTTTCGGTGAGATTCCTCTCTCTGGCAAGCGACAGCGCTGTTATGGCTCTCGTGGAGAGTGCTATTGTGGAGTAGTTGTGCATCTGCAGAGTATCGCGAGTCTTGACCCGTCTCCCAATCTTCGTCATTGTCTGGTACGGCTGTCGGTCGCGTCTTAACCAGATGTGTCCCCGAATGTCGTTGCCACATCGCTGGAATGGAACTAGAAGCCTCTGCCTCATCGAAAATACGTCCCGCGTCATCGAGTGCCGCCTGACGAGTGAGCGTTCCTAGGTTTTCTGATTGCGACGAGGATTGTCCGGGTTCAAGCTGCTGCGGCGGTGCGGTAGATGCAGACTCCGGTGATTGATTTAGAATGTTAATGAAATTGTCGTACTCAAAAGACGATTCTAAGGAGGCTGCTGCCGGGGTTGACGGTTCTGGAGTCTGCCTGAGAGTGGGTTCCCGTCCACGGCCCTCACGCACCTGGCCCAGGAGTTCTAACGAGCTATGACTGCTGTCGGTGCCAACACCTTGAGCCTGTAACGCCAAATGATGCAAGGCAGATCGACCTCCCGTCACTAAACCGTGTGATTCGTCGCCTAACACTCCATATGCGGTGGCTACAGATTCATTAACCATTCGTACTGTGTCGCCATCATCGATCTGAGCAGCAGTTGCACCAGACGCAACCTCTATCTCTTCTTGTCCTGACAGATACTCCGCAGTAGGGATAGAATTCGGGATGGTGCAAGTGTTCGGTCCGTGGAATGGGTTCCTGTTGGTTTGGTCCTCGAGCCCAAACACACCAGTGGCTCTCGGACTGTAGTAGCCCTGTGGAAGCCCCCATTCGTTCGAATATAGAGATGGAGGCGGATACAAGGGTTCAGAGGCAGACATCGGCTGGTCGAATAGTTGATCGGGGACCATAGACGTCAAGCCTGCCGTAGACTCGAGCGGAGAATACGAGAATGACTCAATCGGCTGGTACGTAGTTGCCAGAGTTGGATAATATTCATCATCATCAACATAGACAGGCTGATGTTCTTCACGAACGCTGGCTGGTGCACCTGCAGGAAGTCCTTCCAATTCTTGCTCCTCCACCTGCTCTTCAGTGGGCTCGGGTGCTTTGTTCAGCCTTCTGGTGAACGTGCGCGACAGGTGTTTGATGGGTGCCAACTCTCTTAACGAAAATCGTGGCTCTTCTTGTTTCGTTCTGCCAACCGAGGAAGGCAATGCAGTACGTGGCTCATCAGGACTCATTGGGGAGGCAACTTCCGCAGAACGCGGACTGAGAACAGCCGGAGGCGGAGGTGACAACTGCGTGTATGGCTGATGACCATGGCTCTCCTCGCGCTCATCTCGACTCCTGATCAAGCTCCATGCCGCGCCGAAGTCAGTAGACACCCTATTTCTGGGAGCTATCTGTACAAATATTAGTGAATTGTTGATACAGAGAAATGCGACTTACGTCTGGCCTTGCAAGGAACTCATCTGATGTCCGCATAGGCGAGCCGTCACAAGAGTGGAGATCGTTAGGAGTTTCAATGTCGTGAAGCAGGATGGAGTCGTGAGGATTGACCAAATCGAAAGATGCTCCACGATAACGGATCACAGCTGGAGTTTCCGGCGGTGTCGCAAGAGCCGTCGTAAAACTGGTGTTTATGCGAGGAAGTGCATTCACGTCCAGACTTTGCGAAGACAAAGATACAAAGCTTTCAGGATGCGGTGGCCGAGGAAATCGAGACAATGACAGCGTCGAAGTTGACGTCGGGGCATCGCTCGAAGGTGCGATTTCCGTGACCGAAGTCGAAATTGACTGAGACGACGATAGATGGGTCCCAATTGCATGAGGGGGGATGTGGGCAGAGGGCAGTGGTGACTGCGGGTGGCGAGGCTGCGGTCGTGGCAGTTTTTTGATGGTTTTCCACCTACCTACCTTTTGAGTCTCTTTAGGAAAGCCTCCAACGGATTTTTCAGCGGCGGCTGCTGCTTCTCCAAACCGAGTGTCCTCCGTGTTCTGTGGTCTGTAAGACTCGTCTACAGCTTCGAAATGATCGGTCCAGTGAGGAGGGGAGGGTGGGAGCGGCTGGTAGCCCGCTAAATGTTGCAAAGAAATGGAGAAATGAGAAGGCCGAAAAACGAGGGAGGCTGGAGAAGCAGATCTCCCTGCCGTGCTCGGTGCCCGCTTGAACTCTCTAAGCTCAGGGGTTGCGGCTTTCCTCCGTAGTGATTTGCCCTGAGGGGCTTGAGATGACGGTGTTGGAGTTCTTTGCAGCTTGCGATACTCGTGCAAAGACAGGGCGTGGAGTGGGGAGCGGGTGGGGGTGGAGCTGCGAAAGGAGTGAAGCGAGTTTTGCGCTGAGTGGGCGGGCGTCGCGTATCCATTGTTTTGAGAAGGACGGCGTGAAGTTGACTCGATGATGAGGTCTGCCATTTTGCAAATGGGCGGGCTTCCGGCCGCCTTCCACAAGACTTTTGACCGTTTGCCAGCTATGCACTGATCTCAGGATGCAGATGGGCCCCTCTCCGAAACCTGGAATGTGACGAGGTTATCGAGGCCGATTTGACAATGGGATGTGAGGATAGAGGGTGCATTGCGGCCACAGGTCCCCAAGGCTCCCGTGAGACACCCGACGCAGGCGGAAAATTGATACCTGCCAAGGGTCAGCTCTGTATTGAAGGGGCTTGCTTTCGGTAAGCAGTTTAGGTGGGAATGGTGGGAACATACGTCACTATGCTTCGGCTTTAACGTATTGTGCCAAAGCTCTCCGATTGTCCAGTATATGCGGAATATGCGCCGGAAGTGTTAGACGGCGTGCAGAGGTTCAGGAGAAGCAAAAGAGCGTGGGGTTTTGTCCTATTGACGTGAAGATTGCTTGGAAGACGCGGATTTGGGAAGGAACAGAATCGGTTATGGTTTAACGAAGGGAGACAGCAGCGGAAGAATCGAAGAGTATTAGCATTATAAGATGTTATCAGAACCCTGGGAAAAGAGGCTCGAGTCAGTCCTAAAGGGGGCACTTCTGTCGGAACTGAAGAGGAAAACACAGAGGTTTGCCTTCTGGAACATCCAAGGACGCCACACAGAAGCAGGAAACAGTATTTAAGTAAGGCCGTCAGGAGAAGGAAAAGGAGAGTGAGGATATGACATAGGAAGATAGAAAAACGGAAAGATTCACCCCAGGAGGCGCCACTCCCGGGCCATGCATATCTCATATCTCGTCAGCCTGGCCATCTCCCCTATTCCGACGCTTCTATGGCAGTGCCATTCTCGTGTTTCCTAGCACCGGCCCATTTGTGTGCGAGCTCAGAGGGAGACGGAGTGAATGGAGTGTCGTGTGTGGTTGACAGGGGCAAGACCACCCTTGCTAGGGTTTCGGAGCCCCAGCCAACCAGCGTTCAGAAGAGAGTCGGAGCAGAAAACGACGCTGATGCGGCGAACTCGTCCATCACCACTCATCTGCTCTTTCCTGCCTTGTTGCTATGCTCGTCATCCCTTCTCGGAACCTTGGTGTGCGCAGAGAGACGCGGACGGAAACTGGGTAGATTTCTGCGCCGCCGAGAATGAGATTGCGATTGGTCTCAGCTGTGAGCGAGAAGGCTTCGAGATTCCAGGTATATGGCCACTTTGACACGACGACGCGCTCAATAATCAGCACAAGAGGGCATGGATGAAGGAGAGCGTGCGACGGTGTACGCCTGATTTTATATCCGTCGGCACGGGGCTCATGCTGAGAGCAGTGATCTGACTGGTGTCGCACACCGCGAGCTCCTCACCATGATGATATCTTGAAGTGGTGTGTTGTATTTCATACAGAGACTATGATACAGAGTTTGGAAGGGGTTATAGTAAGGGTTGAGGTCACGAATGGTTCGGGTTATTGGGAGGGTTCTGAACTCAAGCCAAAATACTGCGGCTTTCCACGTCCGACTGAATATCCGGCTGCAATTCCTCTGTAGGTGGAATTACCTACCTAGCACAAGCTAACTAGCTACAACTTAATCATGCAACAGGTAGAGTTTTCCTTTTAAACATACTACTATATAGAGAGGCACGATATAAAGCTAATTACAGGGCCTCCTATATTGCTGCGCCTGCTAGCTGTTTAAATTAGATGTAGAAAACAACAGTACAGAGGAAATGCAGGGGGGTGTTTAGTTAGACGTGAAAAGATGCGGTATACTTGGGTACTACCTGAGCGGCTATTCAGGAAAACTTATATGCCTTATTACCACTCGTAGAGTAAGGTAGATTGAGAAGTTGAATCAAACAGAATTAAAAAAAGAGAGAGAGAAGGAAAGCTAACAAAAACAGGGGCATTCCAAAAAGTAAAAGAGAAAGAAAAGGAAAATATAAGGAAAAAAGGGAAAAAAAGCCCGATGCGGGGGTCGAACCCGCAACCTTGAGATCGCCAATCGTTCTAGGGGAACGTGAAGCTAAGAGTCTCACGCTCTACCGATTGAGCTAACCGGGCTGGTGGTTGCTTGATGAAATTTTTTTGCGTATTATCATTATAAGTAAAAACTTACAGAAGGATAATTGACATTGAAACGACCTGAGGTGGTGTGCCATTGTAGATAAGATGGTTGGGCATAAGTGGGGAGCTAGATGCCGGAGAAATCCTTGTGGGGCGAAACGATTAAGGACTGCAGCTGTGTGCGTTTCATCGGTGGCTGTGGGTCGACTTGACTACCAAAGATGGACTTGGGCCATATTCGGAGGAATTGCCACGGCAGCAAGCAACATGTGTTGACCCGTTGCAAAGTGCAGACCAACGGTAGATTTTCCGAGAAGAGAAAAATAGAAAAAGAAAAAGAAAAAGAAAAAGGCCATCTATTATGAAATACTCGTTATAGAGGTGTGCCTCCCTTTATTATTCAGATTTTGTACAACTGCCAGCAAATAAATAATCGTTTAGTATCTCTACATACCCGTCCTTTCCAAATCGTGAGATAGAGGTGCAACCGCCTGTATATCCAGACTACCCGTCCTCACTTCGCCCAGACTCTTGACCTCATACTCACTCTCCCAAGCTCCCTTCTTCATATCCGGCGTCATCTCACACTCACCCGTCGAATCCACCGCCGTCTTCGCACTATCAACACGCCTCCCCATCGCATACTCGGTCTCACCCAGAGTCTCGAGCAGCAAATCCGGGAGCTTCGTATTATCCACCGTCACCGGTACATCATCAGCGAGGTCTTTCCACACGCCATTCCCCTGCGCTTCATGGGCGCGGCGTTGGAGCTGGAAGATGCCGTCCTGGATCCAGCGGTCGAGGCGCGGTGCCATGCTCTTTCTGAATTTGCTGAGGTAGATGAGGACGCGGAGGAGGACTACGTCTGTGAGGACGATGACGCTGGATACCACGAGGGTGAAGACGAGGCCGAAGAAGTTGATGTTACTAGAAGCGTTGATGAGTAAATGTCCAGATTTGGGAGTCGATCTCTGAAACTCAGAAACTTACACGAAACCGCCAGGCTTGCGCATCTTCTGCTTGCTGCACAGCTTGACCTCGCCATCGTCCGAGGGAGGAACGACATATTTGTGCGTAGGCGGCGACCTCACACCGGGCCCAACAGCGTAGTCTGTGATAATGATCTGATGGCTCGCCCAAACAAAGGCTTCCCATCCCTGCAGCTCCTTGATCCACTGATCGTCTGGAAGAGCTGGTATTTCGTTGTCCGAATTCATCAACCGATTGGCCTCGAAACGTTTTGTCGCAATGAGCAGGGCTACAACGTTGATGTGTTGGAGCAGTGATAGGACGGTTTTCTGCGTTATGCTTGCCCCAGGAAAACTGTCGATGGCCTCGCCTCGGAGCGTGCCTGTCAGGTTGGTACAAGATGTGTTGCTGACGCAGAATTGATACTGCATGAATGGTCAGACATAGGTAGGTACCGCACTAAGCACTAGAGCATACCTGCAGAGCGCACCCTACCACTGACCCAGGGAAGTCCGATAGATACCGTGTTTGCCACCCCTGGCTGTAGAGTGATTTCTTCTCCCGATGTGCTAAAAACAGTGGATCGTCGACGGGCTTGTAGTACATGACCTTGTTCTTCATGACCAATTTCAGTGCGACGTCGGCGTCCGGTCGTTGAAGTTCAGGTCGGAGCACAAAGGTATCGTCGGGGAAGGACCCGTATGCGATATCTCCCCTTGTTGCATTGTTAGTGCGTTCGCATTTGCGGACAGTTCTACTTACATCTGCTCGTATGTGCTAGTCGTGTTGGAGAGTAGCGTGCTTTGGCCGAAAGCCAAATCCAGAGGTGGATCCACGCCTGGGCGGCTGCCGTAGAGATACTCAATTCTTTGCTCGCCCGGCCACGGAGTTCCATCTTCCATGGTCGCTGTAGACTCGTTCGTGGTCCGTGTGTAGCCTTCGAGTGGAAGTACCGTACATGTGGACCGTCTCCGGTACTTCATGCGATCGGCCTCGTGGAGGTTCAATCCAAAAGCATCGTTCATGTCGATGAGGCCGGAGTCCAGTGCAATTGCAGGTGAGGCGCACATGCTGTCGTTGAAAGGGCACGGCACCGTCTCCGTGCTGAAGGCGATGTTTGGCCGTGTGAAAATGTTGCACTTGCTTGGTAGACTGCCATTCTGATAACAATCCGGCGCGTAGGACTCCGCAGCTGCGTAGACTGTGGGTCTGTAACTATCCCAGGGCGCTGAACCTTCTGATTTGTCATATGTGATACGTCCGCAATGCGGGCTGTTCACTAAGACTTCGAGGTTCGTGCTAGTGACCACGGACGATGAGAATATACTGACGGCCAGGGAGGCCAATGCGAAGATTAGAGCCGCAGAGAGCTGTAACAACGATCGAGCAAAAGCGTGGTCGCTGATGCCTCTCCAGGCATACCAGAGTTTCACCGAGTCAGCCATCAAGGAGCTCGGAGAGGGGAGGGTCCGTAGAACAGCCTGTTGATGCCGAAAGAGCCCATCGCGTGGTCGTCCATTGGCGCGCACCTGGTGGTAGAAGAAAGTCAAAAGATGCCAGAGGTGGGTCATTCCTAGGGCCGTGACTATGGCCAATATGGCAACGACTATGGCACCCGTTCTGGCATCCGTCGTGATTGTCTGTCCCATGACTGGGCCTTGGGCCAGGTTGACCCAATACCCACGCTTGACGAACCGGGACTCGAGTTCCGACATGGTAAAGTTCGCGGTGTAGCTGGTGGACGGAGGTTGGAAACGCTGTGGCAAGAGGTGCAATCGAGTCCACCAGCGGAGGAGAGGATATATGCAACCTGAGAGTCGGTAATCAAATGCAAATAGCAGGTCTATAATCAGAAAGGCACATGCAGGCAACCAGTCTGTTCCTAGGCCACCAGGGCCTGCTACAGTCTACATCGAATTACGAGTGGCTACCCGCAGGAATTGAAATCTTATGTCTGTCTGACGTCCTTTCGAGCTGAAGGGCTGAAAACCGGACGTACCGAAAGTGGTCCAGGATAGTCGATCATCAAGTCTTGTAGGTCTGGTTCGTGCAAGGTTTTAGCCTGTATCCGTCAGCTCAGGTCCTACATATTACTGGGGCCAAATGTGCGCAATTTAATTGGACTTGACAAACCAGATAGGCGGAACACTACCCCTCGGATTAAGCAGTCGGGGCGAAAAGGGGAGTAGGGTAGGGCGGACCCTGGGGAGTTAAGGTCCAGCCCACGAGTTAATGGAGACCACCACACGAGCCTAAGCAGTGAGAAAGTCAAGGCGGGTTCACATGGCCCACAGGTTGAAATCACCATACTCTCTGCAGCTAAATCCAAACCTTGATTAAATTTGATGTTAGAAAATCGCTATATTTTCGTAACAGACGTTTGGTTGTGCGGGCAGTGCAGGTAATAGTAGGAACTATGATGGAAGAGGAGATGTTAAGGGTGAAGGGTAGACGAACCTGGCCTTATCTTTTTAAGCTCCTATATCTATTGCCACCATCTTTGAAGCGTCTCACTAAAATCCATTTTACTGTGTGCATCCGTGCCTGTGTGAATAACTTCATACATACGTTACCCGGCAAGACCAAACATCCCCTCTTCCGTTCCGCGCGACTGGCGCGAAGCCATACAGGCTTAGACCTGAGAGCTAGCTGGTCATCGAGCGGAAGTTTTCTTCGCCATCGGAGAGCCATGTGGTCCGAGATACCCTATGTTCGTCATGACTCTCTAAGCCATTCATCCTCGAGTAGTTCTTTGGCACTCGGCCGGTCCCTTGGGTCAAGTTTCATCAACTTGCACAAGAACACTTTGTCTTCCGTCGTGACCTCCTCGTCCTCGACTAGTATGAACGGCTTCCATAGCCCATTATCTTGACATAGTGCTGCAGGACGATACATTTGGCCCATCTATCCTCGTCGGCAATCTCCTGGAATCTCGTATGCCATGGGCCGAAGAAACTGATTTGCTTGATGAAAACATGGACTAGATATTCTTCATCTTCGGGCTTGAACTCAGCGGGCTTGAAGATATGAAATTTTTTCCCCCAGATCAAACTTATAAGCTTGTAAACATACGTTAGCACTCGTTACATTATCCGTAAAATACGCAATCTAACATACTGTAGCGCCCAAGGACCGTACATCAGTCGGTGTGCACCAGCGGAGATTCAGGGTGGCTTCTGGGCTGCGGAACATTGCAGCACCAATAAGTTCTCCATCTTCCTTTGGATTCACGTTAGGAGGAATTCGGTAGGCGTCGCCGCAGTCACCAAGCTGGACGTCACTAAATCTGCCAGGCCCGCTGCCGTAGTTCACGAGAATGTTGTCGGGTTTGATATCTACCGCTAGGTTAGCAATGTATCAACCCATGGAAGTGCTTCCAGTCAAAGGCTTGCCTGTATGCACGTATCCAGCGCTGTGAAGCGCATCTAATGATTCGAGAATCCGTCTCGCAATGAATTCAACGTCGGATTTCTCCAACTGCCTCTGGTTCGAAGCACGTAACGAATGGTCATCCAAGTATTTCAGGCCTAGGCAGGGTGGCTCAAGGATCTCATCAAGTAACGGACGGATAGATGGCTGACCATGGAAGCGCTTGAGAACGTCGCGTTCGTTTTCTAAACGATAGGTTGGTGCGGTCTTCACAACAACCTTTCCCATCTTGCTCTCACTGGTGAACTCTAGTCATTACTGAGCGCGAGAAGACTTTTTTCAGAAGAGGTCGAACTAAGTGAGCAGTCTTACATTGCAGTCCATGCATGCTCATGGAGTTTCTCCGAAAGGCAGTAAGAACCAAGCTTGCCTCGGAGGTATTGCCCAGCTTTTAGAACAGAAGCCATAGCCAAGAGAAATACTAAGACAACTCCTTAGATGGACGCGACAGAGACTAAGGCGGACTAGGCAAACGGTAGAGAAGCGACTGAATAGATAGCAGCAGAGTTGTAGGCTGCCAAGCATGCTACCTACCCTGCAAGCCACAGCTTACATATTTCAGCCCGGTTTGGCCCGGGTCTCCTAGCATAACTGACACTTCGAAATGATACAGTGTCGTGCTAAAGGCGGCAGAGGAATTGGGTAGTGATGGGTTTGTCATAATCCTTCCTCTAGGAAGCCCGTGGAGGAGTCGCGTCCGGTTCATCCAGCCTTGCAGGTAGGGCGAGGATGCTTTACAAGCCAAAAGCGTCCCCCCTGCAGCATCCTTCTTCCGAGAATGGAAGAACAAGGAGCAATACAGCGTAATGATTCAAAATGAATGATATCTATGCATTGAATCTATTTCATAAAATAACGGCGGAGGGGTTGAACCTCACATGCAGCCAACTGCTCCAGATCTATCCCAGGGCTTCTTTCAAGCATATGCCGAAACCCAGACAGTACTCCCCTTCTTCATACTCCAACACGCCGATATGCTCCACAAGCGCCACCAAATGCCGGATATCTTTCATAGTTCTCAAACAATGCGTTGCCGACCATATTCAACAGGTGCCAAGAGTTGCATGAAAAAGTGTCTCCGAACTCAAAAATCTTTTAACGGTCCTGTCAGAACCTACCAAGCCGTTATATCTTCCACCTCGGCCTCTCCAAAAGTACTTGACTTCGTCGCCTCTAGCCCGGTATCTGGATTCGGACTATCCAGGCGCGGCGTACGCGACATGATGTCAGGAAGAATATCGTTCAAAAAGCCCAGCAGGTGCTTGTTCACCTGCTCAAACTCCAGCAAGAAAGCGTCATGACCGTCGGGCGAGTCGATGGTCTTCAGAGTGGCCTTGGGTATATGTGCTGCCAGCTCTTGTTGCTCGGCAAAGGTAAAGAGTCCGTCCGACTGGATTCCTAATATGAGAGCGGGCTGTTCAATGAGAGACAATGCGTAGTGTAACGCTGAGACGGGATCCAGACTGCTTGGGTCTTTGCCCTCCGGGTACCGGTCTCGAGAGACATCGTGAGTATCTAGCTTACGGGAGATGGCAATGTAACAGTTTGCGTCGAAGCGCTTGATAAACTTTTCTCCTTGGTACCGTAAATAGGACTGAGCCGAGAAATACGTCGGAGGACGCCTGTTCGGCAGAGATGTTGTGGAATCATTCTTCAAGGGCTCGGATTCTGGTCTTGCGGGAGTGGAGGTCCCGGAGTTCGAGGCACTGTGGAATTCCAGGTCTGTCTGGGTTGCTGCATTGACAGGCAATGGGGCTGTGCTGCTCGTGCGAGAGCCTCGCGGTGACCTTGCATGCTTATGTCCCTCATTATGTATTGCCCAGTGCTCATGGGCGGGTGAAGTAGGCCGAAGAGTTCCAGTGATATTCTGTTTACGTGATAGATCAGGGGTATTCCTTCCGAACCGCGATTCGAATGAGTCCCGACTCCGGTACGTCAGGAGGGCAGACATACGTGCAGCTCCCAGTCCAGTAGAAGGAGGATCGTCGAAGGAGTAATATCCATCGTCGTATTTGGGATCGCTGTAGATGCTCTGCCGCTGTGCTTCGCCCCAGCTGATTCCCCAGGCGCTGTAGCGAGCAGAAGTAGCAATCGCGACTATGCTCCTGACGTAGTCCTTACCGAAGTATGCAAACTCGAGGACAAGCATACCGCCCATGGAGCCTCCTATGACCACGGCAATCTGTTTCACGCCCAGATCGTCCAGGATGAGTTTGAAGATACTGCCTATGTCAGCGCCGTCTACAGACGAATGTTTGCTGGGCAAGCTCACTTGACATCGTCCCTGACGGTGGTCAGAGGGAACTCGGGACCATATAGGCCTAGCGACGGGTCACCATCTTTGGCGGTGACGGGACTCGCGCTCCCGTAGGGACTCCCGAGACTATTCAGGCACACGACAAAGAACCTAGAGAGATCGAAGGCCTTCCCCGGACCTCCCAGTAGCGGGCCCCACCAGTCTCCCACGTCTGCACTCCCTGTAAGGGCATGGCATATCACCATGGCGTTGTCGGCGCTTGGCGAGAGGGTGCCATATGTCTTGTATGCGACGGGCACATTGTGAAGGACGACACCCGATTCGAGGGTGAACTGGGGCACAATGGCAATGTTTTGCTCGGGAACTAGGTTGACAAACGGGTTCTCTGGTTGCTCCGTGACTCGTCCTGCATAACAAGCGTCAGCGCCGACCTGTATGTTTGCCATGGAAAAAAAAGTGCGTGGAGGGAGAAGGAGACATACTATACTTGAAAGCGCCATTTGTGGGCTGTCCGGAGGCGTCGGGGGCGGGCATTATGAGGGAATGTTAGGGCTGTGGAGTGACTGAAGTCTCGAGCCTGCGCTCCCGGTGAAGTGGAGTCTTCATTTTGGCGGGGAGGACTCGTTTCTGCTTCAATGCGCATTCACAGTCAACATCGGCCGCTAGCACCAGAAGAGCCCTGGTCTTGGCAAATGACGTGCTCGGCATAAATAAAGTCTGTGACTCTTCGGCCACCTTTGCAACCACCATCACCAGTCACCCCCCTCATTGTCGCATTGCCGGCAGAGAGTCATCAGAGCATGTATCTGTTTGCTATGTTTGCTGATTGAGAATACCCTGCTTCGGCCATCTAAATAAAGCTCCTCTCAATGCTGCTCGTCAACGTCCTCCAATTCCGCACTGCTGCAGACAGCAGCATCAACGTCAAGTTTCTGGTTTCGATTTCCAGTTCTCCAATATAGGCCTCCATCATGGATTTCCAATGTAGAATTGCCACACTTACCGCTTACTCTAGGTTTGTGTTGTACATCCCAACAAACAACCGAGTGTCACTATGCTACACCTCGCAACAAGCAACGGATCCGAGCTGATCATCGCTGAGGCGCTCTGCAAACCGATCGCGAACAGGATTATCAGTCTTTTTCGCGTTTGTAACCTTGACGCTCATATAACTCCGGCGGTCGACATGGCGAGTCTTACTGTGTGCATCAGATGTGAATTCATTCAGCGCGTTCTCCCCCGAGCTGCTGGCCATGACCTCCATCATGCAATTTTCGGAGCCTCTTCCAACTTCATTCCCTGCGCGACGCCCGTCCGATTTCCAATCATCCAGCATCTCCCCCTTGATAGCACAGGCGGAAGAGTTGAAGCGAAGGAAAACGCATCCGCTTCCTCTCGCAGCCGCCCATCTCTACTCCCGGCACCCATCGCCCCCTAGGTCCACCTTCTCAGCTTCTGATCATCCGGTGCCTTCTGTAGAGGGCGACTGCACACAATCGCCCTCGCCGCCACCAAGTCCGCGGCATCGCAAGAAATATATATTCCGTGATCCTCGCCGTCGAGCTGCATACCTGAAAGCACGAAAGGAGCGGGACTTCACACCACCGCTCTTCAAGTCCGACTCTGGCTCTGAGAGGCCTTATCTCCCCTTGCGGAAACAGTCGGCCTTCATTAAGGACGAGGATTTGTTGTCTCAATTGGAAGCGAGAGCTGATACTCCGCATGTCAGCGAGATGCTTCCAGGTGAAGATGCTGGTGTTCAGGAATCAGCGCAGGAGATGGACATGCCGGAGCTGGGTTTAGATGACGAGCCCTTCATTACCGATGATGAGCAGGCGCTGCATCCGGCTCAGTCGTCCACCAGCCTGCTGACCGATGACGTCTGTCCTACGTGTTCTATTGAAGAAGTCCAGTCCATCATGGCAAGGAACACGTGATGGAGACGAGTGTGGGAAATGCTCGAATGTATGGACGCTCGCAAAAGGGCAATTGTACCTGCCATCCTTTCGGTTCTGTTCCATTATCCATCTGAATTCATTCTCTAGGTGATTTCTGCCTTTCTCAAGCTTATTATTCTTTACAATCAGAAGTTCGTTATCACGCTTCTTGCACCTATGATCTTGTCAAAATCAACCCGTCTTTTGCAGATACTCAGCCCAGTGCTCTTTGGAAGTATCCGGCACGTCGAACACTCAGAGCATGGTTTCACATCTTGCACCCACTAACGAGCTGCGTATTTGGTACCGAGTGCGCTCAGAGCGTCTAGCATCAGGAGTTCATAGATGAAGCGAGGAATTGGATTCAGCGCCAAAGACGGGAAAGGAATCGAAGAATTGGAGGGGTAATAGTAGATCTATATAACGTCGTTCTACCATGATAGTACTCAGAACCACTATCACCTTACTCCCGACCTCCCAGCCACAGGCCCCGTATCCCCCTCCCTCTCCAAAGGTCTAACATTGATCTTCCTATCCCGCTCCTTCCCATCCCCATCTCCACCACCATCCTCCGCCTCCCCCCTCCAGCCCTCCACATCCTCACTTTCATCACCCAACATCTCCCCCCTCCTCCTCCTCTTCCTCTCCCAGCCCCTCTCCACCCTCCTCCTCCAAGGCCCATAAACAACCACACTCACCCCGCCCACCAGCACAAAAGCACCACAAATCGCCCCACCCACGACATCCCACCGCTCCCCCAACCTCTCCACGCCCCTCCAGAACGCTCCCCCATGCCCACCACCACCACCAGCAGTATCAGTATCAGGCTGCACAACATTCAACGCCAGATTCAAAAACTGCACCACCCCAATCGCCACAGCAACCACGACCGTCACCCCCGTCAACACGATGCTATAGTAACAAACCGCTATCTTGTCCCTGGCGAGCTGCGTGCTGGTATACAAAGCCATCATGAGCGCGCCGTCGGCCGTATCGAGGAGCGCCATGCCCGCCGTGAAGAGGACGGGGAAAACGAGGATGAGCCAGATGGACGTGCCCCTCGCGGCGTGGATGGACGATATACCCAAGATGGCGATCTCGCTGCTCGTGTCGAAGCCCAGGCCGAAGAGGATGCCTAGTGGGTACATTTTCCAGGGCCGGTCGATGAGGGTGAAGAGTTTGTGGAAGAGATGGTACAGCACGCCTGCGCCTTCGAAATGCATTCCCTCTTGTTCTTGTCTTTGTCCTTGCTCTTGCTGGGCTTGTTCTTCCGAGCCAGGTTCGGCGGCCAGGAGGAGCCGGCGCATCTGCTGTACGAGTTTGTACAGGATCCACATGTTCACGATGCCCAGCAGCGTGAGGAAGGCGGCGCTCACGCTCGTGCCGACGATGCCGCCCACGCGCTCGAAGTCGTCGAAGCGCGAACTCACGGCCGCCGCCGTGCCGGCTACGACGAGCGAGGTGACGATGACGATGGTGCTGTGGCCGAGGGAGAAGAATAGCCCCACGCTGACGGGCCGCTGGCCCGAGGCGATGAGGCGGCGTGTCATGAGGTCGATGGCGGAGATGTGGTCGGCGTCGAGGGCGTGGCGGAGGCCGAGGGTGTAGGAGAGGAGGGCCGTGGAGAGGAGCGGGGTGTGGAAGTGCTGTGGGAGGAGGTTAGCTAGAGTTCGAGGTTGGAGAGGAATCGATCTATGGGAGAAGAGGAATGCTGCTTACAAGCACGACACCGACGACTGCCCATACGACGACATTGACGAGGATCAGAGTTACGATGATGGCTATGGCGGGGAAAGGCAGTTTCCTGAGATAAGGGACTCGCGAATGGTATGTCGACGCCTTGTTGGAGAGGGAATCGATCAGCGAGGGCTTTCCATCTTCCACATCTAAAGCTAGATGTGTGGGTGAAGCTTCATTCATTGTATGCCTCCGCTGCTCGCATGCAATTGGAAGTCCAACAGGACAAGAGAAAAGAGAAACGGACGGACAGCGACTATCAGGAAAGTCGCAATGGGCGAAGGACGCTGAATATACGTGAAATCAAGACATCTGCACAGGCATGCCAACTGGGCAGGTGGTGGGGTATCGTTGCGGTGGTCCCTAGAAATTCGGGTTATCTCGAGTTTTGAGGGTGGGGTAGCTTGGAGCGACTTGCAAGGGATCTATGCAAGCAGATATACGTACCTATGACAGCGATGCATTACCAATGCGAATCCTGGAAATGGGGAATTTGGTAAATCCATGTCATATTTCTCTTGCCGAGTATTGCAATTGCGTCTTTTTGAGGGAATGTAACCTACATATCGTACACGATGTCGATAATTCCTACAGCTTCGTAAAACAAATCGACGCGTTCGTGCCCCCAAACCCAAAACTATTCGACAACGCGACACGCACCTCCTTCTCCTGCGCAACTTTGGCTACATAATTGCAGTCAAAGTCTTCCGGTGGGTCACCGGGGTTATCGAGATTCAGCGTCGGAGGTAGGACATTCTGTCAACGTCAGCGCATTGCTGTCGTGCGGTTTTCTAGGTAAATGGGACGGAAAGTTTTGGGGAACATGGAAACGCGTGCTCACATGATGCAACCCCAGCACCGTGAATATCGCCTCCACACTCCCTGCCGCACCTAATAGATGCCCTACCGCGCCCTTGGTGCTGCTAATATTCACATCCGCCGCCTTGCTCTTCCCCTCTTCGCCGAGCAGCAATCTCTTGATGGCGCGATTCTCGGCAGCATCTCCCAAAGGCGTGCTCGTCGCATGAGCATTGACATAGTCAACATCGCTAGGCTTGATACCTGCATGCCGAAGCGCATGCTTCATGGCGAGATACGGCCCGTGGCCGTCCTCGCGGGGTGCGGTCATGTGGTACGCGTCGCTCGACAGGCCGTAACCGGCGACATGGGCGTAGATTTTTGCGCCGCGGTTTTTGGCATGCTCGAGTTCCTGGGAGATTCAGTACAGTTGTTTAGAAAGATATGCGTATAGTAGGGAATCCTCACCTCCAAAACCATAACACCAGCTCCCTCACCAATGACAAAGCCGGCTCTGTCGCGGTTAAATGGTCTACTTGCTTCCTTCGGTCTATCGTTCCAGTCAGTCGCGAGACCCCTCGCCCTCGCAAAGCCTGCTATGGCAAGAGGATGAATGCAGGATTCCGATCCACCGGCGATCATGACATCTGCGTCGCCGAACTGGATCAGTCTGGCGGCATCACCGATGCTGTGAGCGCCGGTCGTGCAGGCTGTAGTCGCTGCATGGTTTGGGCCCTATGAATGTTAGCATGAATCACTTTATTGGAGAATAGGATTTTCAGTCCGACAAACCTTGAAACCGAAACGCATCGAAACATGCCCCGCAGCAAGATTAATCAACAGTCGCGGAACAAAAAGCGGCGAAACCTTTCGGTATCCCTTCACCATTATCAGTACCAATGATACATCACTCATCCCAGCATACTTACCCCATTCTCATAAGCTACGCTAGTATCATACACATCATCCAGACTCCCAATACCGGAGCCCATGTAGACGCCCTGCCATCGTCAATATTAATTGACGGAACAGGCTGGGTACAACGACGCACCGTAGCTTCAAGCTCCCCTTCCGCCTTGGGGGACCATCCCGCATCCTGCAATGCCTCTTCAGAGGCTACCATCGCATACTGCGCAAAACGGGCCATTTTCCGCTCGTCCTATCCTCGTTAACACATCATACAAGCACCTCAGAGCACCAACAACTACTCACCCCAACCCGCAACCACTCCGCCGCATTCCACCTCCCCTCCCCCCTAGCTCCCTCCGGCACCACACCTGCAACCCGACTGGGTAACGCCGCAAACCGCTCTCCGCGCTCCGCTATAGACACAATGCCGCACTCGCCATCCAGGAGCCGCTGCCATGCCCGTCGGACGCCTAATAAATAGTCAGTCGGTGGCTTCGGGTCAGAAACTCAAAGGGATGTCCTCAGTAGTTGGGAAATAGATTTGCGAGAGTGGAGAAGAGAAAAAGAAAAAGGATATGTCAACGGGGAAAGGGAACAGATGAATGGGATGAATTAATTTAGGTAGTTCAGATAGACGTGAGCGAGATGAGAGAAGGAAGGGGCTTCGAAAGTGTGAGGACGAGAAGGTGTGGAAATGCAGGAACGGCTTTTTAGACTGACCTATGCCCAAGGGCGTCACGAGCCCTAGTCCTGTTACCACCACTTTGCGCATGGCATGTTTGATGGAAGATTGAGCATTTAGGGAATAGGAAGAGAGTGTTCGAGGCTAGGTTAGGACGAGAGCTCCAGCCACAGTTGTTGCACGGCCACACTGTGGCGTATAAAGGGGTCCGCGCGTCTTCAGGTGGTACGGTAGAGGGATATATTTGAGGATCCGGATATGAGGGATTTCTGGTAGTTTGCCGGTATGTTAAGGTTGTCCGGAATAAAGAGGTTGCAGGATAGAGAGACGGAAATAATAGGCATCTCCTTTCCATCAAAAAGTTATTCCCATAGTGGTATTCAAGTGTCGCAAATGAGAGTATTCTACAACGCGAACAGCTGCCGCACTGCGTCAATTGAAGGTGAATTGCACATGATGGAATCCCACTGTCAGGTCAATTCCACCCAGCTTACCGGGAGCGGGTACCACAGGACTATCTCACAAAGTAATCCAGTCACTCTCGTAATGCTGAAGCACCGCGTATCACACCCCCGAAAGATAGCGATAGGACAGATCAAAGTGATGTATAAATGTCGGCAGATGAGAAATCAGCTTCCCATCCACTCATTATAAAATGGTATACGATGACAACCCAAAATCCCTCATTTCCAGTGATTAGATAAACACAATCATGAATCATCAAACTTTTCCCGGCCGCCCAGTTGGACCGGAGCCTATCTAACAGATCCCGAGTAAAAGGTCTATAAGAAAACATAATGGTGGATCAATGCAACTTGAACCAATGACGACAAATAGCGATGGCAGCAGTATGACCGGGCGTATGCGAGTAATCTTACTGCGTCGCAGCACCCGAAGAAGCCAGCAGTTGCTTCAGTGTACCATCAGCGCTCGTGAGGGATGGGATGGGAGATTTTTGGTACTCGAATTTTCCTTCGCATTTGTCGGGGGTCATGGTAGAAGACGGTGGGCTTTTCAGTGAATACTGTTGTTGAGGACTCGAAGGCACGCTGGGATACGTGTATGCCGTAACGAGATCTATCGATCGGGAGCCAGAAGATGAGTAATGCGGGTTTGTCTTGGGCGGTAGTGCTTGGGTTGAAGGAGTATACGGCACGGAAAAACTCAGGGTCGAAGACGGTGTGTGCGAAAGTGAGGGTGTAGTGTAATGGGTTGTGGCGATGGAAGACGAGGCACGGTGGTATCGGGGTCGGACATGTTGCCCACTTGTTTCGGGCGGTACACGGTAGAATTTGCGGAGCCATGCTGAAGCCTCGGTTTCCTTCCCAGGCCTGTCTTCGCTCGACGTGGGATTCTCCTCTGAAGATGGCTCGGACAGGTTCCAAGATGAGCGTTTGGAGAGAGCCATGGGAGTTGTGGGTGTGCGAGGCGCAACAATGTCTGGGAACTGCACGTCCTCGAGAGAGGAATCCATGTAAGGTAGTAAGGTTGGCGAGCAGTGTGGAGGCAACTGTTTGCTGTGATCCTGTCTTTTGCAACTGAATGGGTGTAAGTAGAGGGCGCTACACAGCGGCTGCATGTCTTACCTTTCCGAGCAATAGAGGACAAAGTTGCTTGGCACGATTATCTGCTTTTCACAAGTGGTGCTGCAAACATCAGTATTTATACACACCGCACACAGATAGGCTGATGGCACAAAAGCACATACCAAAATTGCAGGAAGCTGGTTGCCATGTCCTCGGAATCCTCGTACTCGCCTGGATCCTTTGGAGGCGCAACTTTCTTACTGCTGGCGTTGGTGGATCGTTTCGAAAGAGGTGCAGGTCTGGTCTGCCGCGAATGGGCCGGCAGCGTCCTTTTTGAGCCAGAGTGGCTTCTGACGTGATGGGTAGCCATTTCGCTGGGACGGAAAGACGGTGAGTTATAAAAGCCTCACTGGGGGAGTGAGGACAGTGCGCGGTGAGATAGGACGCCCGGTTACAGGCTGATAGCGACTATGATGCTGTCGACAAGGGGATCGGGGAGCAAAGGGCCGGTGACACAACGGCAGTGCTGCGGTGATGGGTTGGGCCGTGATATGACGATGAGGCGGCTTTGTTCAACTCGGCTTATCGCAGTCCCCTGTAGAAACGGTTTTAGCAAGGCACAGGAGGGTGGAGCATATTTCCAGATATCAGCGCCCGCAATCATACCAAAAGGCACCTGCATCGGCACTGCACCGATAACAACGGCTAGCCGGCTCGGGACGACGTTGTCATTTGAAACCGGAGAAGGCCCTTTTGCGCAGGGGCAATGGACGCCAGCTTACTCGCAGCCAGGTGCATCGCCCAAAGGGAAGGAAATCGAAGACTGTTTGTAAGGGTATACGTACAATAGATCTGTCAACATGTGAATGAATATGTAATGGTACGCAGCAGCCACTGTTTTGATCGGAATATCGAAGCGAGCGGATCGACCAGCCAGGGCCACGGGGAGCGATCAGAGAGATAAGCTTTGGATGTGAGGCTTGCTCCTGCGAGTGCAAGAGCCGCGCTGTTCCTGAGGCTCGACGGCTTTTGGCGGCTGACGTTATCAAGGCGAATCTGCGATGGCTGGCGAAGTGCGACGTTTTGCAAGATGCGTTTGGAAGGGTGAGGAAAACGCCATGATATTTATCTCATCGACGGTTGCGACATTGTCCGGATGTATAGATATCGATAAGCGGCCAAAGTGGGGGGACGCGGGGGATTTCCCACTCTAGCCGACTACCGCGTACACTCGGGGTGCTCAAGGATGGCGACTCCGATGGGGCCTTTGAAGTCATCGAGCACACCATCCGACGCGAACCGCTTCTGCTTTCTCCACCGGTCCATAAGAAAAAAGCGGACCTCCAAGCTGGCGAGACCTCCAGGTTGCTGCACCGAATCCCCATCAATCGTCCAGGATAGGGACGGGAGCGGGTACTACACTCCCCGTCAGGTACTCGCTCAAGCCGGATGCGTATCAGTCGTGGTGTTGGCCCTTGTGCCCGTCATCCAGTCATAACTATGCGACTCCGTTTTGGTGTGGTGACTCCCGTAATGTTGAGTGAGTGCAACCTTTTCTTCCCACAATGCCCATGCTGGATGCGTCCGCCAATAAGCAACATTAATCCATAACAAAATCCCCAACACGCTGCAACTTCGCCAGTAACCTTCTCTCTGAGAACCACGCGTTAGGGTCAAGAGTCAGGGTTGCATCCCCATACGGCGAGCGCTCATGCCACGCCTATGAAGGCGCGCAATCCATTGCTGCACTCACTCGGCAGAATAGATTGAATAAGCGGGGCCAGAAGTTGGCGCATCCGAAACCTTTAAACCACCGACTCCACGGTCTCGAGGCTAGACATACTGCATGCCGCGAAACGTTCGCCATGCGGGTGGTGATACCTTCGTCATTGGCTCCGGCACGTGTTGGGAGAACGGGTTGTGAAACCTTCGGGGCCTGACAGAGGCATGGCCGTTTCCTCCCAAGAGTGGACTACTCCTGCGCTCCAGTTACTCGCCAAATCTGAATGGGAGTTGATGTTGGGTAAAAGGGTCCATCCTGAGTACCCTCAGGGACCAGCGGGAAGTCGAGGACCTGCAAACCGAAGCAATTCCGCTCTAGTCCACCCCACAAAATTAGTGCACTGACACGGACGTCGGATGTGATGTTTACGTACTACACGCGTTCAAAAAAGTCTCGAACGTCCGTTCATTACGTATGGTCGCCGCAATGAGCACTTGCAGCGTCGATTTCGCCTCAAAGAATTCTCTCAACGTCGAAACAAGGGCTGGGATGACGAATCGGTCGTATGTCTTTAGCATTTCTATTTTTCAGCCTCACTAATTCCGAGCATGTACTTGTACAGTGGGTGAACTTACGACGTCAGCCCCAAGAACCACATCTGGTAATTCCATGCCGTAATCTTCCAAAAATGTCGAAGCAATAACATGGCGGCCCCATTTAAGTGCAGCTGTTCTCACAAGACCCTGTGACGATTTTTCCGTATCCAGGCCATTGAGGAAAACATTCGCCTTAATCGCATCAACAACCGACTCGTCGCCGTCCGTGGAGAGGACCCTAGAGACTCCCAGGTATTTTGCACAGAGGATAGACAGCATTCCCGTCCCGGCGCCTAGTTCAAGCACGTTGCGTCCTTGTACTATTCTCCGACCCCCTTCGGAGACTAAGAACGAACCAAACAGGAGTGCCGCCTCCCACGTGCGAAGTCCAGTGGTACCGGATGCTGAGATGACTGACCGAGATTCGAGAAGAGTAACTGATGCAGTCTCAGAGGATCTGGAATCTCCCCTGTCGAGCGGAAAAGAGTATGTCACATAGGCCTTTTGCTGGGCAGATGCAGCTTCCGGGAGGAGGGTGGAGCTCAAGAGAGATGAAAGTTCGTTCATAAGATCATCTGATATCTCCTATATGAGAGAAAAAAGAAATGGTCAGTACACTATGTACAACGAGCATGGTGCTATCAAAATATCATGTAGTGCAGGAAGACCGAGGAAAGGGTAGAGTACAGGTCCCTCCAGGCTCTTGGATGGTAGACAAAAGGAAAGGTGAGGCCATACATCCTCCTCTGGATCCTCGATAGCGGACTCGATCTTGGTCATGAGGAGTTTTAAGACTCTTTGTCGATAACGGTCAGGGGGAAGAAAAGCGATGTTGTCGGAATTAAAAAGATTATCATAGATCCAGGCTTGCACATCCGGCTTCTTCAACTTCTGCGATTCTGGCCATCTCAGCTGCTGGACGTCAACTAATTGGAAGAACTGGCGACACAGTTTTTGCAAGTCGGGATCAATGCTCGACTCCATGGCCAAATAATTCTGCTACATTAGCTCCGTGGGGGTGAGATGACGTTGGGATATCGTGATGCCCAGTTGGGAGAAGGGATTGAAGAGTCTGAAGATGACTAAGCCGTCCCACAGAAATTAGCGAGCCAAGACCGACACACTTTGGCCCGCTCGCAATTTTGCCCGCGACGACACTTCGAAACGACAACCCGCGATCACGGCACCACCCTCCCTTCGAGCCACCTAGGATTGATTTCAGCTCAGTACGAACCTCTCCATCGCTCTTGAGACTCCATTCATGCAAAATCACTGCTAACACGCTTCTCTTCTTCACAGATCACAGCAGTCAATCCGCCCAATATGGCTGATTCGCAGGTCACGCTGCGCACGCGCAAGTTCATCCGCAACCCCCTCCTCGGTCGTCGCCAGATGGTCGTGTAAGTTCGACCCAAACAGATCCGAAACACACACAAGGGCAAACGTGTGGGTCGCAATGGAAAGGGCATTTGTTTTCTGACAGCCAACTCCAGCGACGTGCTCCACCCCAACCGGGCCAACGTGTCCAAGGACGAACTCCGCGGCAAGCTCGCCGAGCTGTACAAGGCGAAGAAGGATGATGTCTCCGTCTTTGGCTTCCGGACGCACTACGGTGGCGGAAAGAGCACTGGCTTTGCTCTCATCTACGACTCCGCTGAGGCGATGAAGAAGTTCGAGCCCCACTACAGGTTGGTGCGCTATGGGATGGCCACCAAGGTCGAGAAGGCCTCCAGGCAACAGCGTACGTCAAGTGCACCCGTCGGACTTGAGAGACGTCCGGGATGGTCCATGACAAGACAAGTACTGACAATGCGCAGGCAAGCAACGGAAGAACCGCCAGAAGGAACTGCGAGGAACGGCCAAGGTCAAGGGCGCCAAGAAGAAGAAGGGCGAGTAAACGACATCTCCAAGAGGGGGCTCGTTGGGATAAGCATGAGGTCTTTCTGCTGGCGCAGGGTGGTTCACGACGGGACGGGCATTATTCCGATGGGCCGCTTCGTGTACATGTACCCATACCTGAAAAGCTCTTGCACATGGACCGGCAAGATGGACGGCGTTCGAGTCTTATGTGTCTGCTAACCATCAATGCATATCATGGACCTTTGGAATGGAATGCGATATTTCAGATTTGCATACTGTGATTTGCTGGCTGGAACACGTGGGATCCCGCTCATGGTGAGGTTGCTGGATCAACCTAAAATCAATGTTCCTTTTTGCTAGGTCTATTCGTGTTCTATTGAACCAACACCGGCCATCGCTGAAATGTGAATATGTCCAGCGCTGAGGAGTACCAGCATACGTCTCCAGCCATGACTCGCTATCCATCCCGCTGCCAGCAGCCTCCATCCACCCTCTCCCACCCCATCCTCTCACAGAACACACCCTACCGCCTCCCGGGCCTCTTGGGCCTCGCAAACCCCTTGTTGCCCTCCTTCGCCTCCTCCACCCCCTTGATCTTAAACTCGTCCAACACCACCGCCTCAGTAACCTCGTCAGGATTCGTGACCTCGATCCTCCTCTCGACCTTCAGCCCGGCCTCCTGCTGCGCCATGGCAACCACGCTCCGCCTACTCGCCGCAAACAGCATGCGCTCCTTGATCTTGGACACGCTGGGACACGTGGAGATGAAGACGACGTTATCCGCGGCGGAGCCACCACCACCCGGCGCATCGTCGAACCTATAAAACACGTACCTAGGCTCCGTCGCCGCAATGCAATCCGCGATATCCTTTGGCGCCGACACGGAGGAAGAGGAAGAAGAAGAATCGACAAGTTCCAGCGTCTCCGTCTGGACATCCATACGCAACTGGACCAGATTCCCACCCCCCAACCCCAACGCCTTCAAAGCCTCCACGACCCCCTCGCCGACCCTCATCCCGACCCTCCCCACACTCACCAACCCCCTCTTCCTCCCCTCCATCCCCGCCCCCGTCCCCTCCACAGCCTCCGCCTCCCGTATCTCCTTCAAACTCCGCTCCTCCTCCGTCAGCGGCGCCGCGCTCTCGGCATGCGCCTCGTGCCGCGCCCACCCCTCGGCGCTCAGCTCGTCGGCCGCCGTCACGAAGAGCGTCTCGCGGAAGTGCTCGCTGCCCAGGTCGCGCACGAGCGTGAGCCGCGTGCTGGCGAAGAGCATCTTGGAGCGCACGGGCGCTGGGGAGGGGATGTAGGTTATGGCTACTAGAGTGCCGACTTCGGTTTTTGAGGAGGGGTCGTCGGTGATGGTGGTGTTGTTGGTACGGGTGGATGTGGAGGAGGAGAGGTCATCGGCGCGCTTGAGGAGAATGTATAGTGCTTCGTTGGGTTTCAGGTGAGGGGCGAGGTTCGCCAGGTCCGAGGAGAAGGATGCCGAGGTCGAGGGGATGGTGGTGAGGGGCACGATGCGTTCGGAGGCGATGGTGGCGAGGAGGCCGCGTTGGGACGGGGTGGTGAGGAGGGTGCGGAAGGCGGATTGGAGCTCTTCGGAGGCTGGGAGGGTGGTGTTAATACATATGGCGAGGAAGATGGAGGGGGAGGGTTGTGGACGAGGAAGGGTTTACCTGAGATTCCGGATTGCATGGTGAATAGGTGATTGAAAGATGTTGATTCTGATAGAAGGGTTCGGAGTTGAAAAGGCTCCCCCGGCAGTCTTGAAGCACTCCACTGCACTCTGAAACTCGCGTGGTGTTTGAGACACCCTCAGCTTGTCCAGAGTGAGATGTGCATGATGTGGATGTGGCGGTGCGGACCAGGGATCGGAGGGGTTGCTAAATAAGCCACACAACATCCCCTATTACTGTGGTAACGATTACTGTGCTCCCCATGTTCATGCACAGAGAACAGCGGTACAGGAAAAATAGTTTCTGGTGAATGCAATTCAGTTCAATTCGCCTTACAAAATGCAAATGCCTCATGCAAGGATCTGGTATCCCACAATATATACACAGCACAGCAAACAGCAATACTTCGCCTGCCTCCCAGAATTCAAATGAACCCTCCCGCCTCGTCCGTCTCGAATTCTCCGTCTTTTCGCTCTCGAGCCCCTTCATTCATTCATCTTATGCCTCCCTTTCACTCCTCGTATGTGCCGCCGGGGATCATTTCGCGGCCCCTCTCCAGCACACCTTTCAGATACTCGTACACAGTGAAGGTGACGGCCTGGCCGGGAGCAACACGCATTATCCGGGGAGTGATGCCCTTGTAGAAGCTGCGGCTTCCCTCCTGCTTCCACATGTCTCTGTAAGAACGGTCAGCACACACTCTTTTGCAACTTCCGTCTTCAATGTACGCACTTGGAAATGGTCAATATTCTTCCCAGGGCAGTCTGTCCCGGTTCCGCAGGTGTCTTCTGCAGCCTGGTTTTGATAGTATCGATAGGGGCGTTCGACAAAGGGCCCATAGCACCAGACACCAGACCAATCAGCATAGTCTCGTAGCCGGGCAGATCGGTGGTGCCGTGGTAGTTCTGGAGGGCAGAACGGAAATAGGAGTATGCGGTGAAATTGACGGCCTGGTTGGAACCCTGGCGGAGGGCAGTGAGGGAGACACCACGGTAGAGAGCGCCAAAACCTTCCTCTTTCACGACGGTATACAGGGCGTGCGCAGCGTTGCGGTACTTGGGAACGTCGAGGGGGTCCGCCATGGAGTGGTGCTGGGCTTGTAACCGGATCTTGACGACCTCCATGGGCGTGACGACGGCGACGGCTTCGGTGACACCGGCCGCGAGACCAGCTATGTTCGGTTAGTATGCGTATGATAAATGGAATTTTAGCCCAGGATAGAATCCCGTCTGTCCATCGCGCTGTCGTTATTGCAAAGAACTGAGCTACATACCCAAAAATGTGGCCTGTCCGCTGACTTTGCCCTCCTTATCCGCCAGCAACTGCTTGTACCACTCGTAAGAGGTAAAGCGAATTGCCATTTTAGGTATGATACCAGTAAGGACCGCACCCAGGCCTTTGTAGAGACCCAGCGGTGTCTCACGCTTCACAATCTCTGCACCAGTCTTGATGAAACCACGCTTGGGCGCCTATGACAGCTGTCAGTGGGAGCTCCAAAGTGACATTTGCTTTATAGGGGCCAACAAGGATTGACCAGATTCGCAGAAGGGGGCAAACATACACCAGGGGCCCTCGCTCGCCGTGAAAGCTGCATGCGCACTTTGATAGTATCTTGGGCACAAGTTAGACCAATCCCAACCTAGATACATCTCGGATTGTTCACCAAGAGGATGGCAGACAAGAGCCTCCATCATACCAGCACCACCCCCAGCTGTCCGATGCCGTCAGTGGCCATTCTCGCATGGGTAAATGGCCCAATTGCGCGGAATGCGAGCATACCGATCAGATTGGTAGCCGCCGAGGCGGGCTTCTTCCCGCCAGGGCCCTGTGTAGTCCTCGCTGCCATGATACTGAAGATTGGGGCTCGCGCCTGAGCTCTAACTCTTCAGAAGATGCGAAGTCGAGAAGGAACCAAGTTCCCGGAGATGACTGCGGCAAACCGGGAGTCAAGTGACAGGCAAACGGAGCTCTGAAAGTGATGACCTGAAAGCTCCAAGGTATTTGTCCGTTCTCAACTTAGTCGCAAATGGAACAAAGGAAGGCGGAGTTCAGGTGAAGAGGAGATTGTTCAGGGAACAGACTCAGACTGCGAGAGACGCACAAACGGGAGAGAGGTGAGGTAGGCAGATAAAAAAATTCTAAAGGCCGAATCGCAGTCATAACTCTTTAGTAGGAAACAGCTACCCCCGGGAGTGAGGGACGCGATTTGCCCCGTCCGAGCCTCGGTCATACCAAAGGTTGCGTGAGCCCAGACTTTGGGGTGCTTAGTTCGGAGCGGGCACGTGTCGGTCCCATTATTTCAGTTGGCGTGCAATCAAACGTCGAGAACATTACGCTTGGCTTTCGCAGAGGGCCACTGTCGATACCCCAGACGGGTGCGGGTGGGCGAGCGGAAGTTGAGGCTTTCGGCTTGTGATCGGCTGCTGGGAGCCATTTCCGGCCATCGAAGAAGAGAGAGGAACATCACCACGTTTGCTGGCCCAAATGACTCTCGTGTCACCAATTGCGGGTTCAGTGGAGAGAGCGGCGTGATCCAACCATGGTGGCTACATTATGGTAGCTCGGTGCCGGGATCGGTGGCTGTTGTTCTCTTTTTGGCTCCTCTACTCAATGGTGCGAGATGGAGGTTCGAGGCATGACGTTGATGGGGATTCAATCTAAGTTCGGTAACCGCGGCTTATTCAGCAAGCCTACGAAGTACACAAAGCTGCATTCAATGTTTGCGGGGCTTCAGGTCCGGCTCCTCCCGCAGGCCACGTGCCCAGTCGCTCGGCAGAACTCGGGACATCGGGAAACAATTGGCGGAGATTCACATGTGGGATGAAGATGAAGATGCTCGTCTGGTTAAAGGTGGAAGGTAAACCGCACACGGCTGTTGTACACCTATTATCATTATCATACGAATACATGGAACATATTCCCGTACCAATACCGTCTAGACGCATCACTCAACGCCTCCTCCGCAGCTCGAACAACGACGTATCCTGACCCTCGGGGTCCTCCGCTTCGTCCATCTCATCAGACGAATCCATCTCTGCTGTCTCTCCCGCAGCTTCCTCTGGGCGAACAAGCTCCGGCTCCTCTACACTAAATCCCACTTCACCCAGCACAAAATGTCCGAAATAGAGAACGGCTTCTAGAAGCTCCTCCCCAGTCGGCACAATGTTCTCGCGGGGCAGCAAGAACCCGTAACTACCCGTGTCGCGAAGCTTGATCTGGTACGCGTACTTGACGCCCAGATCGTGGTAGAACCAGTCAAGAGCGCTCCCGCCTGTCGACTCGATGCGCGGAAAGACAATGCGTCCATCCTTGCCCTTGGGGTTCTTCTGCAAGGCAACGTTGCCCTCGCATGCCGAAGTGACCTTGTAACTGTGGCCCTTCCTGGAAGTTCGGATTGCCTTGGCCAGACCTAGGCCTAGCTCCTCAAGGTCCTCGACGGTGGGTGGATCGTGCTCGCATGTATAGGAATACGGGTAGAGTATTTGCTGCGAATACGAATGCATGTCGAACAGACCCAGGAATTCCACATTGTTGTTCTCCGTTTCGTTCTTGGCCCATTCGGCAAACCGTTGAGCCTCTACCCCATCAAAGGGAGCATCGCCGGCATAAGACTCGCTGCACGGATTCGAGTGCGTCGTGTTACCGTTCCATTTGAACGAGTAGGCGCGATCCAAATCAATGCCGTGGCAGAATCGAAGGCTGGTCGGCTGCCGGTTCTTCCTCCATAGCCGATCGGTTTCCCAAGAGTAGACGTATCCGTCAGGGTTCAGCGTAGGAACAAAGACAAAATCGAATGCTTCAAGCATCTTGCTAACCGAGCGCACTTTGCCGTACGAGTTGATCAGGCTCCAGGCAATGTAATTGACAGTGCTGGTAGATATCCACTCGCGTGCGTGGGATCCGCCAGTGATGAGGATGGTTTTGCGCCGAGCTTGCTTTTGTTCGTCGTTGGTAGGGTGCACCCCAACGCGGAGCGCGGGTATATCCCGTCCTTCGTAACTGATGCCAACATTGATTTTGCGCACATGGGTGCTGAACATGGAGGCCATGAGGTCCATCCACGGTACAATGACATTTAGGGGTTGATAATCTTGAAAGAATGGGTGCTCTCGTTTCGACTGGGAGGAAGGCATCAACCGTGGGGAAAAGGAGCGATCGGTATCATGGGGCTGTGTACCAGACGGTGTGGGGTAAGAATCGAGGATTGCGTGCGCTAGATCCAAGTCGCGCATAAGAGGAACGTGAGACTTTTGAAGGGAGTCGGGGAGAAGGCCCATCAACGAAGGTACCTGTGCTGTTAACAAACAGATCGGATGTCGTGGTTGAAGAGGGTGTTACTCACCACATCCTGGGCTATCCGAATGTCCACCCAGTCATCGTTGAACTCCCACACATCGAGAAACAGTACCTCCACTGCCTCCGCAAGCGCTGAAGCCTCCTCTGCGCTCGTGATTTTAAACCGCATCACCATGTCATGGCCATAACGGGCGAATAGTTTGCCCTCGGCAGCACCACCATTGCTAGAAGCGATGCCATGGGAATGTGTTCCTAAGATCTTCTGTGCCTCGCCACGCCCACAGATCTTCTCTATGATGGCGGTTGACAGCCGGCGCCATGAGGACGGTGGTCGGTCATAACTCGCAGCGGAGCCCGTGTCTGGATGCGGCGCGGCGGCGATTAGTGTCGGGCTCAGGAACAGGAGGCTCACAAGGGCGAAGGAGGGGGGCCGCATGGCTAGTAGAAAGTGTATCCGCCCGCAAGCGCCGGGGGGAGCGTCGGTTCTGGCTCACATGCGGCTGCAGCGAAGGGTTCGAATGGAGATGTTCCTTTAACTGCGACTGCTGCCTGCAAATCCTGTTCCAAGGTTGTTGAGGAAAACGAAACGTCAACCTTGGAATGATAGTCAGTATAATCACGTGATAATATGTTCACCGCCACACTTATGCGCCACAGCCAGCCCCAGGCTCCCGGCAGCCCTCCAGTCGGCGACGACCAGCTCCGCATCCATCCACGCAATGCTCTCGTGTCGTGTGTGTGTGTACGACCGCCGACTTCAGACCTGTCCCAGACCTGCTCCAATGCGACCCCGGCCTTGTGCCTGACTGCCTCGTCCCCCGACCGTCTGCGAGCCTCCTCCCATTATTTACTCTCCTTTTCTTCGTTTCCCCCCCCTACCGTGTCTCCCAACCCTCACCACCTCGTTCGGCCGTCTCTTCCGCCCCGGACCAACCCAGGCCCTTGATCTCCAGAGACCCTGGCACCTCAGCCTTAGGAAAGCAGTGCCGCTGCTCCTTGGACTCTCCGCCTCATTACGCACTCTCCATTGTGCCATGCTCCCCGCTGTGCGACCCATATATGCGTAGATGACTTGCTAGCCTGTGCGAGCGCGATGCCTCTGAGGGGCCTCCGAGCGAACCGCAGTGAACGAGATCTTAACCGCCGCAGCACACTTGAACCCACCGCCCTCTTCAAGAAAGGCTCCTCCCCTGCCGACCATGCGGACGACCGGACTGGCGGACGAATCGCTGTCTCCGAAGATGGTGGACGCCCTCATTTTGGCGATGTCGGAGACATTGGCGAAGACAGTTCCCCCTCGCCGTCTACTCACGAGCCTACACCCAAGGCCCGACGCTTCAGCCTGATGCGTTTCCGCCATGCCTCGGACTCACACCTGTCGTTGAAAGCAAAAGAACACGCAGACTCTGACGCTCCGCCCGTTCCCGCAGTTCCTGCAACCTCCATAGCTAGTATGTCATCCTGCGATTCCAAGTCAAGTAGGGTCCGTAAGCATTGACATGAATCGCAGCGCCCTCCATCATAACCACAGCACCCACCATTGTCGATCATGACGAGCCTACCATCCCGCGCAAGCGCGGAAGAATGCAACAGTTCAGTTTGCGTCGCCGTTCTCTCGATCCGTCCTCGAGCCAACTACCCGGTCTGCGGAAGTCGATGGATAAGAAGCATAGTGCAGACATTAAGAGAGGGCCTTTTTCGTTTATGCGAAGTCAAAATGCTCTAATAGAAGAGCCAGGGAGGCTGTCAATCTCAGAGGCACCGGACACGCTCGTCCCTTCTGCCCGGGGCACTGCGCAGGAAGGCGCGTCGTCCCTGTCTCTCTCCGTACCCAGGGCGTCAGAGTCTTCACGGTCTGACGCCAGTTCAGGCGTTCACATCTCCTTTGAACACACTCCTAGACCACGGACTACCCCTAAATCCAGTACCTCACTGTTCAGCCTCGGGCGTAAGAAGCAGCGCGCATCTCTATTCCCGATACCTATGAAAGTTACAACCCCTCAATTCCCAAACACCGCACCTGCTACTCCACGGGCTTCTACGAGCGGGGTCAGTTCCGGCTCACCGCATCATTCCCCCGGAGGCGAAAGCCCCCCTTTGACCGCCATCAACCACAATCGTGTGCAGAAATCAGAGAACGGTACCACGACCCCTCCACATTCCTCATCTCAATTTGCGCTAGCCGCTGCGTCTCTGAACGATGCATCGGGAGGAGATTGTCTGCTTCGAAACGATTCAATCCGGTCGGTTCGATCCGCGCATTCCTCGCCGAATCGTCGGCCGAATCGCCTCGCTCTCCGAGGTCGGTCTTCAACGATGGGATCATTAGGAGCGCGGTCTGAGGATGTACCACCACCAACTCCGCCATATATCGCAAGTGGCAGAACCTCCACCTCGACAGCCGGCAGGAGTAGCTTCAGCAACTTGTTTAACTTAGGAGCAAGATTCCGTCAGAACCCTGAGACATACTCTCCCCGCCACGGATCACCTGCTCACGGATTCTCGGGGAATTCGGGGCCGTTGTCACAGCAAAACTCTCTGAATATCAGCCGAGAAGCCCTCGTGCTACCCGACCGTGAGGAGGGTGAAACGCCAGGGCATTACTTGGAACGACTGGAGGAGAATAACATTGACAAGAGCGTAATTGCAAGTTTGCTTACGAAGAAAGATGACGCCTTTCTGCTTGCAGTATTGCGAAGCTATATGCGGAAATTTGCCTTCTTCGGAGATCCTATCGACATGGCAATTCGCAAGTTATTGATGCAGGTGGAACTGCCAAAGGAAACTCAGCAGATTGATCGAGTACTTCAGGGGTTTGCTGACCGCTACCATGAATGTAATCCTGGTATATATATCAATCCTGGTGCGTGCAATGAGGTCTTCCTCTCGTTACGATTTTTGGCTGACAGTTTCTCCAGACAAGGCCTACTTTATTTCCTTCTCGATCGTTATTCTCCACACCGATTTCTTCAACAAAAATAACAAAAGGAAGATGCAAAGGAACGACTACATCAAGAATTCATCTTGTGAAGGCGTCTCGGAAGATGTATTGGGATGCATATACGACAATATTGTGTACACGCCTTTCATTCATATTGAGGATGAGGTTGATCTCAAGAACATCGCATCTCGACGAAGTAAGAAATCGGCGGTACTTAAAGGATCGCTGCACGATCCAGCGAAGAAGGCGGTCCGAGAGCCGCTTGATCCGTACACGCTCATCTTGGAGGGCAAACTCGACATACTCCGACCCAATATCAAGGATGTCATGAACCTGGACGACCCATACGGCTATCTCGGTTCGGCACCGACGCTCGATATCCGGAACCTCTACAAATCATTTGCGCGCTATGGAGTCCTCCAGATTGTGTCTTCTAGGTCAAGACCGGAGGCCTTCATGTCGCAATCGTCGCAGGAGAACCCGCTGGATTCATCGGTAGGCATCGTGGAGATGCCGGTCACTAAGATCGGAGTGTTGTGGAGAAAAGACACGAAGCGGAAGAAGGCACGATCGCCTTGGCAAGAATGGGGAGCAGTGCTCACGCGTTCTGGACTTTCCCTCTTCCGAAATTCTAGCTGGGCGAAGAACCTGATGCACCAACATGATCAACATGAGAAGCATGGAGACGGAACCCCGGTAGTCTTCCAGCCACCTCTGCACGAGTTCAAGCAGGATCATATCATTCCGATGGATGGGGCAGTTGCACTTGTCGACAATACGTACAAGAAGCACAAGAACGCGTTCGTAATATTTTCGAAGGCGGGAGAAGAGACCTTCTTGGCAGACAACGAGAAAGATTTGAACGATTGGTTAGGGATGATCAACTACTCGGCCGCATTCGAAACCCTCGGTGTCCGCCCAAGAGGACTCATCGGAGCACTATATGATGGCCAAAGGCATCGCGGCATCCGGCGACTGGAGTCATCGCATTCCACAACGTCCGTTTCGACGCCAACCGGCGAAGTCACCATCCAACGTGGGCGAATTGACAAGCAGTTTGCTCAACAGATTATGAGCGCACGAAGAGAACTTATGCAAAAGCGTATTTCCGAGTCTGAGGAGCGACTTACGCAATGTATCAAGCAACTTGAAACACAATTGAGAGATGCCAGGCATCTTCAGATTCTTGCACCCATTCAACCTAAGACCAGAGACCTTCTAATCCATGCAGCCGGACGTCTGTCGGCAAAACTCAAATGGTCGCGGATTGAAATCTGGCGTATGAAGTGCCACCGAGACATCTTGGCCCAAGAGTTGCAGGAAGAGAAGCAGAGCACCGGCGATCTTGCATCTCAAAATGAGCGCCTTGATACCACGTCCCCCCTGGTGCAGCAGCAACTCTCCCCTCTACCGGCTAAGAAGCCCTCCAAGATCGTCGGACTGACGCGTCTCACTTCTAAAACTAGCTCACATTCAGGAAGCCAGAAGCCGCCTCCTTCTCCCACCGTCTCTATCGCAAGACCAGGCACCAAGTCTTCAAGAGATACCGAGATTGGCGGAGACGATGCGTTCAAAACTCCTCCTGAAACATCGCGTCAACCAAGCCCCAGTCATCTTTCTGCACCATATGCGCATATGCCAGTCACCCCTCAGTCCCTCCATTGTCCGGAGCCTATGACGAGTTCTTCCACACAGTCTCCGAAGCTGACACCCTTCGATCGACGTCTTTCTACATCCTCGATCGGCGGAGGGACCTTGAGTTCCGATGATCGCTCTGATGTAGAATTGCGGTACGAGACACCGCCGCCCATCGAGCCTGCGAAAACGGACCGGCCCAGCACCCCCGAATCGGCTCCCACAAATGGGCTTCATCTCGACGGCGGCTCCGACTCTGAAGCGGATCGGCCTCCTGCTGCACTTACCGGCTCACCGGAGTCACGGTCAAAGGTGAGACGGAGCTTGCATCGCACGTTGCGAGATTCTCATGCGGGATCATCTCACCGTCGAGGACATAAGACGAGGGATTCTGCATCTACCATCGTCAGTGATGATACTCACGAGAGTGAGGGGTTGGCGAGGAGGAAAGGTAGTTTTACTCTTCACGGCAAGAAAGCCTCCGTCATCACCTTTGGGCTTGACTGGCAGAACATGTCCGCAGAGGAACGACTGAAGATGAGAAAACAAGCCCATGAGGCATTGGAAACAGGTTCTGCAGAAGATAAGGAGGACGGCACTCGCGGTCGGTCACACTCCATCGCAACCGCCAGTACTGGTACCATTCTTACCTCGCCCCGCGCCAACGACCAGGACGATCCGACGCCTCGCCCCTCTCCCGACGACATTCAGAAGAAGCGCCATGTATCTTCACAAACCATTACGCCTGCCAATTATCGAGCCTCTTCGGGCGCCCACGACTCCGATGCTCGGTCCATGAAAATGGAGATGAGCGGAATTGAAGAGGAAGCAACCTCGAAGTCGCTCGAATCAGCAGCGCAAGAAAAACCAACGGGGGAAAAGGCAAACCTTGAGCAACCCCATATTGAGAACCCAAATTCACAAGCTGGCGACCAGAAATCAAAAGCTCCCGAAGCTTGATCGATCCTGCTTGTTTGCGCAACAATTCATGTATATGCCTCGGATTTATCCATTGTCGAACCTTCAAGATCTTAGCGTTGCATGGGAGTGGCTCTCCCCACAATATGAGTTCTACCGCATCCCGACGATCTGGACTTCCCTTTGTTTGTTCTTTTGTGTTATGGATTCTAAGCGTGTACTGTACATATAGATGGGTTACGGGGTTGATGGCGTTGGTGCGCGTGTGCGTTGCCGGCCATGCAAACGGATGTGGAGACAGCGTTATCGCTGGGTTGGTTTCTCTGCTGGCATGGCAATGAAGGGTCTGAGGGTTCAGCCTATACTAGGGCTCCTAGCTAGGGGTTTCTCTTTGTTTTTCAGGTACGGTGATGCGTGGATAGACCAGAAATATATAAGTTATCTAAGTACGCGGTTGATGTGTGTAGGTGGGTAGCGTGTTCTTCTGGTTCATTTTTGCTGTTAAGCCTACGAGGCGAAGACCTTTGATAAGAGATGCGCTTGTGAAGGCTGAGGAACGACTTAGCAGATTCTACTCGCAGGTGTACTTTCCCAAGCGAGACCAGAGCACAGGGGAAACTTGACCTTCACGGACCTCGACCGTTTCGTTTCAGGGCTATATAGCTACCTAGATTCACGGTTTATAGCAATCCCGGAGTCTAGCTTTAGGCTGTATAATTCGAGTTTTTGTTGTCTGCTAGCACGCTGCTTCGTTTTTCACTGGGTGGCTTAGTTCCGATGATCATAGGGACCGGCGATGCTCTTAACAGATTATGCATATTGGTGGGAGTTTTAGTCTTTACTAGGTAAGCTGCTGCGTTGAAGAAAGAATCCTGCATGCTCTCCGCTTCCTTACGCAGGTACTTCGCATTCTTCGCGTTCCAGTCCCTGTAGGCTAGAAGTTTCAGGTTAGCAGTTGAGCGACACGTTCTAAAAATAAAAGTATAACATCTTCCTGAGATTCCTCGGGACTGAGGAAAAGATCACTTCAACAGTTACCATTGTACACCTACGCCTTGATTAACCTTCAACACGTTCAGGCAGTACACATCTGTCAATCAGAAGAATCGCTCACTAGGGTGCTCAAAACTTTCTCTGCAGTCCTCTCCACATTTCCATCCTTGAAACCAACGATGGCCTCAACCACCATCAGCGACCACCTCCTCTTCCAACAATCCGTCTACAAACCCCTCTCCCCAAACCAAACCCGCCTCTTAAAAATCCACCCATGCAACTTTCCCGTCTCCCTCTTAAAATGCGATCTCATCACCGCCACCCTGCACGAGGAAACCGGCGCCATCCCTCTCGACAGCACCCACCCCCTACCCTACGAAGCCCTGTCCTACACATGGGGCGACCCAGCACCCACTGAAAAAATCCAAGTCAACGACATCCCCTTCTACATCTCCAAGAACCTCTACATAGCGCTCAAGAACCTCCGAAGCGCCACGAAAGCGCGCCTCCTCTGGACAGACGCATGCTGCATCAACCAGCAAGACCTGGCCGAAAAGGCGCAGCAGGTCGAAATGATGTTCTCCATCTACCTGAAAGCTTCCAAAGTCGTCGTCTGGCTCGGTGAAGCGTCCCCAGCCGCTTCCAAAATCTTCCCCTTGATCCAACAAGTCGAGAGCGGCCTCTACGACTTCAACGAAGCCGCAGAAGACGAGGAAGCGCGCGCCGCCGCGCAGTCCTTCATAGAAACAACGCCGTACTTCCGGCGCACTTGGATCCGGCAGGAAGTCCACGCCGCGTCCGAAGTGCAGCTCGTGTGCGGGCCGTACGCCTGCAGTTTTGAAGATTTCGCCGTCGTCATGGACGATTTACTCGCGCGGGAGCAGGACGCGACGAATCTGTTTGATCCGACCAGGGATCCGACGGAGGAGACGTACAGGGCCATGATGCTGTATATCTTCTTCAAGCGCGACTGCGACACGTACCACTTCCCCGAGGAGGAGATGCACAATATGTGGTTCCGGCTCATCATGCGGAGCGCGATGTACGAGTGCTCGATGCCGCAGGATAAGGTGTATGGCGTGCTGGGCATTGTGGCCAAGATGACGCGGTCGGGGGCGGAGGAGGAGTATGCGGAGAGGATCGATTCGACGGTTGGGTTTCCGGGGGTCGATTATACGAAGGGGGTTGCGCGGGTTTATCAGGATTTCGTCAAGCATGCGATCAATGGTAGCGGGAATCTGGATGCCTTGAGCGTGTTTGTGGATAGGGAGAGTGTGGGCGAGGATCTGCCGAGTTGGGCCGTCGATCTGAGGAGGAATGTCCCCAGGATCGTGGTCCCGCTCGAGATGTTTGATCTTTCGGCCGGTGAGGCGTACGGGCTGAGGGAGCAAGATTATCAAGAGTACGGCGTTCTCAGGCTGCGAGGAAGAAGGCTGGGTGTCATTCGCTCGACGGTTTCGCCTTTTGAGAATGGGCTGGAGCGTCGGATCAGGGGGCCTCATGAGCCGCGTCTCCACAGCTGTTTCTCTACTCGGGAGATGTGGGAGCCCGAGAAGAATGGCGATAGGGGCATGGACGAGGCCTTCCAGATCATCCAGGACAAGTGCTCGTATAACTGGACGACCGTCGAACCAGTTACGACCAGGCTTTACGGCGATGCTGATTTCGCAGACTTCGATCCTACGATACACCAGTGCCATGCCCTTGTCTCCAAAATGGCAAAGGAAGGAGACATTATTGTTTTCCTATGCGGCGCTGATGTGCCGTTTGTTATTAGGCGCACTGTCGACGTAGATGAAGAGTCATACTCCTTCTTAGGACCAGCACTTCTTATAACCGGAACACAGCAGCGCATGAAGAAGGAAGTTTTCAGTTATTCAATGGCGAGGACTCGAGACATGCGTGGAGAGCCACTAGAAGAGTTTATTCTTCGTTAAGAAGAAGAACAGGAGAGCACATGAGCTGAGCCAGTGTAGTCCTCAGTTTGTAAAGGATGTTATGCTGAACAAAGTAGAAACTTGTCCCTTGTATAGAACCTACTATTGTTGGTATACAGGAGCAATCGAGATATCTATCCTACCTACTACTCCCCTCTCCTAGGAAGCTTATCCAACCCCGAATTGCACTCGTAGGCGGTGGCCAAAGACAGGCATAATATTGAACACGCAAAAACAAAAAGATATTAGCTTACATGTATTAATGTCCTAAATGATAAGAACCTGCTAATCAGACCTCGTGTGCTTGAGATAGGCAAGTTGCTAAGCTACTTAGGCATTGCAAGGGCACTGAAGGGGATCTGATCTATGCAGCTCTTGACTCCTATCCACGCAACCCTACGAGTCTATATAGTAAACAACCAAGACGTACATTTCTGAAGTTATATAGCGTATATGGACCAGCGCCTCTATATAGTTTCATGCCCTAGTCTTACTGAGTTCCTAGTCCAGTCCTGCACAATTCAGAGAGATGCCAGTCAGCGACGGCGAGATCATAGAGCACAAAACGTAGAAATGTTGGTAAACATTACAAACATTACCCACATCTTCAGGTGCAATGACAGCCGAGTGACGGTGGGATTCTTTCAGCCTATTTGTAGGGAGCCGGAAGGGAAGCGGGAGCGAAGTTACCCTTAGGATCCCAATGCACTGCAACATTGCTATGCCTTCGTTTCTCCCGAAAATAGCACGGGTGTGTTAGGTTATCATACTGAAGAACGACTTATTCTCCTCCCAGGAGACCGATCAACTGTAGATTTAGATGATATGTAGTACATTTATTACCTATAGCTACTCTATCCATGAACTGAAGCGTTTTCGTTGTAGCCAGCTTTGCCCTAATTGCTCCCATTTACCTTCTAGCGCGTTTTCAGCAATCAAATCATACTTAGACCTAGTATATTGATTAAGCGGCAAGAGACCATGTTTCGTGTCGCTAGGCGCTCATGTATGCTGTGAGGTCTGCACACGGCTTCAAATCCAGAACGAAACCCCCGCTAGGTGGCTTGATTCTGACGAAAGGCGCTACAGTGCAAAAGGTAACCCTACGCGAGATGGGCTGAAAGTTGGCTGTGGATGCACTTGCGGGGTAGGGACCTTTCTTTCATTGTCTCTGTTGCTTCACTCGTGCCCCTAATACATCGCCTGCACACCTCACGAGGCCTACCCAACAAACCAAGACTATCCACTAAACATAAAGATAATTCGTTGCAAGTTCCTCCCATGGATGTTCGATCCGAAGACCTCCTGCCAGGCGAGAAAGTCTTAATCACCAAGAGTGCAAATGCGCTCGTAAAGATCACGGAATACGGCTTGAGCAGGTTCTTCGCAGACGATCTCCTCCGCCTCATGGGGATGAAGAAAATCGAAGGCATCGGGGGCAAGTTGTATCTCACCAACTATCGACTGCTATTCAAGTCACACGCCTTCAATCGCCTTACGGGTAAATTCAGCGTTGCCCTTCCCACAATAAAGAGCGTGAAGGATACATCTCGCTTCGTGATGAAGAGGATCGACGTCGTCACGGATACGGAGACATTTCAGTTTGTTGTCTGGGGGATCCCGGAGCTCATTTCAGCAATAGACAGGGCTCGCGCGGCATTGACGGACGTGGAGATCGAGCAGTTGAGAACTTCGGCAGCAGAGAATTATAGGAGGTTCGGTGACGGGCTCAAAGTCGCCAATGCGATCGAGACGATGAACAGAGCTCTCCTGGTGGCTCGCAAGTCAGGTACGCTGGCCAAGATAGCGGCTGGTGCGAGTAATCCTTTCGAGCTTTCTGGGATTATGAATTTGCTCGAACTGCTCGGCGATGGGCCTCCAGCGCAGGGCTCGTCTACTGGATAAGCAGATGATTTGTCGTGTGTATTTCAAGCACTTGAGAACAGTTTTCCTTAAGAGAACCGATATATTGACTGATCGCTGGATGACCTTGCCATGAAACCTGGGCGCGCTTGAATGTTTGCCTAGTCGATTCAATACTAGCGTTAGTGGTCTCGTCGCTAGCAAAGGCGACTGATCTATACGGCTTTGGATCAGCACTTTCAACAGAAAGAATCAGGATTTCCTATAAGCCCCGTACTGTTCCGTATAGAGGACAAAATGTGTCTGTAGCTGCAGCTTACCCCCTGAGACTTACAGGCACATGGGCCCGCTCGGCTTGATAATCGTACAATAAACCCCGTATCAAATCAGCTCAGTGCATCCTCCACGATGTTACAATTCTTCACCAACCCCATCCCGTCATGATAAAAGTACAAGCACTCCCGCCCACCCAATCAAGCCTTCGCCTCCCCACTCTGGACCTGCTGCGGACCCTCTTTAGCAGTCATGCCCCTATCCTCTCTCCTCACCAACTCCGCCTCGGCCCCTGGATCCGGCCCAAACTCCCAGTTCCCACCCGCCACATCATCATCCCCGGTAGTCTCCAATCTCCGAATCTCCCTCCTCATATACCCCACAATCATCGCCAACTTCTCCGCATCCACATCCTCCCTCGCCCCAAACAGATTCCTCCACACGGCCGCCGCGAGTACCGCGTCGCCCTTGACCAATCCCTCATCATACGCCATCAACACCGCGCGCCAACTCGCAAACACGTTCTTCAGATAGCGCTGGCGGAGAGACGATTGCGTGAACTTGTGGTACACGAAGAGCCGGTCTTCGGCTGCGGCGAAGGCGTGGTTCGTGAGGTGCTGGATCCAGATGGGTGCGTGTGTGGAGGGGAACATGCGGAAGCGGACTTGTAGCATGTACATGTGGAGGAAGGTGATTTGGGCCCAGTTGTTGAAGGTGGGTTTGAGACCGAGCGCTGCATTGCCAGTTCGTTAGCGATGAATGGTTCGTCGGTGCTGCTGGATGCGGCTCGGGGCAAACATACTATCATACCACCATCCGCTTCCGACGCCTACATGCGTGCCGTCCTCATCTGTCGGGATCTCCGCTCCTTTCTCTGTCGCCTGCGGAATTGTGTATGCGCCGGGGGCAGCGCATTTCTTGAAGAGCTCCCCCGTCGCGCCGTATGCTACGTAGGTTTCTGTGAAAATGGGCGCCTTTTTGCGCAAGGTTTCGGCGATTTTCCTTGCGCCGGGGGCGCGCCATCTGGGGGGTGGAGGCGGGCTGGGGTTGGGAGAAGGAGGAGCGGTCGAGTAGGTGCGCTTGTTTATAAGGGGAGCGGTTATGTGTGTGGAGGTTGCGCGGGAGAGCTGCGATGGCTGATGTCTGCGTTAGCTATGGTATGCGGTATTCGTGCTCAATTAGAAAATCGTACTTGAGAAATGAGCTTGGGGGGCCGAGACAGCGCCCTCGAGCAGGCGCGACACGCATAGTTTGACGCCATTGTGGGGATTTCCAGGGAGATATGGGTTGCTCTGATGCTTGGACGTCGAAAAAGTGATGGGCGGTTCTGGTGCACGGACTAAAACGGGGCGGAGATCGATAAGTTAGATGCATGACTTCACCACTTCACGTCGACAAATCCTCTCATTCTACCATGGATTCTTCACGTGCGAAAACGGCCGATGACGCAAAAAGGGATGCCCGAGTTGAAGAGAAAGAAACCGCCGAAAAGAACAGTTTAGATAGCTAGTAAGGAATAGACGGTGCTAGATAACACTTACAATTAAATTGCATAAGTTATTTTTCTTCCATATCAACTTGGAATTACTCCAAAATGTTATAAACCGTCGGGCAATTGGTCTAGTGCCTATGACTCTATGAGCATTTTTATATTCTTGCCATCAAGCGGACGAGTTGCTCCTTTTGGGATTATGAGGTTTCTTTGAGCGAGTAGTGTTTACGCTAAGATCTTGGTGGATGTTGCTTGACTCAAATATTGCGATAGTGCAATATTTTCAATAACTAAAATAGGGCAATTGGTCTAGTGGTATGATTTTCCCTTAGCATGGGAAAGGTCCTGGGTTCAATTCCCAGATTGTCCATTTTTTCCTTTTTTTTTTGTATAGCCTAGAATACGTATTCTGTGTTTAGAATTTTAGTAAAGGTATTACCTAAACTTCCTACATTTCGTGTTGCACTGTGCTAAGGCCTTTCTTCTTTTAAACTTGAAATATTCCAGACTTAGTTAACTGCAAATAGCTTCCTTAGCAAGAAAATCATCGTGCACATGCAAGCATCCTCCATGCAAATAAACATCTGCAGTAATACAATCACCCTAACCCTACTAAACGCAGCATACATACTACTGCGAGAAGGCAGACAACTCCTATACTCCCATGATATTCTACTTCTACCTTTGTCCTTGCCTAAGTCCAAACCCCCGCCCCTCCAAACCATACCACCCCTAGATTACGGTGCCGTGCCATTACCAACGCACGGCTAGGCGCACGGACAGACCCACCGTCCTCCGCCTCCCCAACCGGCGCCTGTGGTCTCGTTCCGTTCCAACCCACCAGCCCTTCCCGATCCGCCAATTCCACTGCCTACCATAATCGCTGCCGCAACATGGAGGTTCCAAGGACTGCAAAAACGGATGAGGCGCGCACGGCTGCCGGCCACGATCTAATACAGTGGCAAAGGTTCTACGTGAGCTTCAGCGAAACATTTACAACCATTATATGTATCTTAACACGGGGCATAAGATGATTACACGCGAGGAAGCAAGGAAGCATGTACAGGGTGATCCAACCCGTTCGTGGCCCAGCGTCGCTGCGCATGAGAAGAAAGCCATGTTAGATCGGATCAATCAGCTACTAGCCAACGAAGACATCCCCGAGGTTTCCCAATCGTTATTTCTATGGCGAATGAAGAAGGCAATTCAAGACGCAAAAGAGGTAGCGAGAGAGGCAGCAAGAGAGGAAGCAATAGCGGCAGCAAGAGGGGCAGCAAGATTGGCTGGTAAGAAATACACTACTTTGGGATTGATACTATAATACACGTTCTAACCAAACCAGCTAGGACAGGTGCTCCGCCTAGCGGCACAGAGGTGGTAGAAGATTATACTGCAGGCAGGCTGGGGCAGGCGTCCCGCCGTCGCCCCTTTGATCCTGTTCGAGACTACTAGCATGGATGACCACGGGTCTCAAACACAAGGCATTGGGCGATGAGTTTCCTGGCAGCGTTACCATACTATGTACCCAGAATTTGGGTAGAAACATCGGACAGCCTCTTTATGTCGAACCAGTGATGAGCTTGAGTCAACCTTTATTCTCCTTTACATATCGTATAGTAAGTAGACGTGGAAATAATCGCTCTGAGACCTATTCATCTCATCTTGTTACCTCCTGGCGAGGATTAAGCACCATAACTTAACAGGTGCCACTTAGGAAGTTTCTGCATCAGCCGGGTGCTTATGTACTTGCAATACCGCGCCGCAACCGGGGCACGGCGGGATGCTCGACTGATTTCGCCCCTCGCCCGCGGAACGTGGCCTAGAGTACGGGTATAACTCTTCGAGGTAAGGTTTGTCACTGGAGTACAGCAGGACCACGAACAGTAAAATAAGGACTAAAATGAAGATAACAAGAGACTGGTACCGCAATTTCAAGTGTAGTGGAGACCATCTCTCCAAATGCAACGAGGACATGTACCTACCCACCAGTTGACCATGCACAGTAGTGGCCCTCCACCAGCCTTCCCTGATAGACGCCAGCACGTATCGAAGGACGGGCGTGCGCCAGACCTCAGAAGGTACGTTACGTATTCACACAAAACCCAGCATGTAGAAATCACCTCACGCTCACGCCACGGTGCCGTTCAATCCAAGAGAGGGAGAAAATAAAAAGCCGTATCCATAACCGAACCCTAAAACCGACACCCAGAGACCGCCCGTTATTAATGCCGAAACGAGTGCATTCATGTCCATGTCCTTTTCCCACCCAAACCGAACCACGCCGTTGGATGCAAGAACCGGGCCAATCCCATCCCATCCCATTAGATATGCTCACTATACCCTTACGCCAGTACGCCATACGTTTCGTGGGTAACAAACGCTCGGTGTATCTAGGTCTGTGTGCCATACGCCATATCCTAGGACCACGATGCTCAAAACGCCAGAGCACCAAAGCGCCAATCAACCTTTTGATCGTCACTCATAACCCGTCCAACGCCGTCGAAAGCTAAATGCAATAAAAGGTTGATACCCCAAAATCCGGAGCCAGAGTATTCAGGTATCAATACGCTCACGCGCTTACCACAGGCCCCACGCCATACAAGTTCCAACTGCACATGGCTGTGTGCAGGAACCCTGAATCTCCTAGCTTCCAATAGCCTCAACAGCATCATCCGATTCACTCCCAAAGTCTGACTGCTCTGACTCCAAGTCAGCCAGCGTGATCTCGATTGGGCTGGCACTCCTGCGGAAGTTCAACTCACCACCGGTAGAGAACGGGGTGAGGTCATCTGACCAGGCTCTGGAAAGCTCCTCCAGTTCCTGAGCTATGTTCATAACGTCATCGTCCGCTGGAACCCTGAGATTGAGTATATGTGGGTCGTTGCTGCCGAGCAGAGTACCAAACTGCTGGACGACAGCTCGGCACGCCTGCAGGAGCGAATCCGCGTACGCTCGGCTGGTTCCTCTCCTGTGCTCAGACCTGAGCTTAACAATCATATCGAGAGCCATTCGCCGTAGAGTCGTGTAGTAAACATTGAGGATCGTGCCAGAGAGCAGACCTTCCTCTGGGCCGTAAGTAGTCAGGTGGTAGACATGAGTTGCGGTGGCTGCGCGTACTTCCTCGTCCTCGTAGAGTAAAAGCGGGATTGAATAGATGCGGCACTTTAAGAGCGCCGTGTGGTAGAAAGAAGGGTGACCCTGGTCCGGTGCGTGCATGTTTCGCATTGTCGGAAGGGCGCTGAGGAAGTAGATGTGAGCTTCACCTCCAGCATCCTTCAATGTCGCGGCATTCGTGGCTATAGTTCCGATGATGTCGTGCACGTTTTGCAGGTTCGGGCAGGCCTCACAAAAAGCTACAGCTGCTTTGACATAGGGATCCGAATAGGGAACCGTGAGAGTGATGCCTTCGCTCATAGTGAAGAAAACCGCCTGCCTGATCCTGTGCTCCTCGGATTGGAGCATCCACTCGAGAATTCTACCCGGACAATCGACTTCTGATCTGGAGGAGTCAAAAACTTCGATGATCTTATCCAAGACAGCATACACTGAATTCTCCTGATCCCAGGTTAAGAGTAGGCTTTTCTCAGTGACAGTCAGGGGAAACTTGTGCAGCGCACGATTCTGGTACAGAAACCTGTCGTCGTGTTGGGCGGATGCTGGCAGAGGGGGGAGGCGAATGTCCAAGTGCGATAGGAGTACACTCACAAACTCGATGAGTTTGGTGAGTATGTGTCTCCTCTTTTCCATCAAAGTGCAAACGTATTCATGTGAACTGCGCGTCGTGGGGGAAGCGTGCAAGCCCAAAGTTCTCAGACAGAAACCGAGAAGGCCTTGTCTCAGAAGAAGCGCGCTCTCGACGCTTCCCATGCCAGACAACTCGCAGAGGACATGATAAACGTCCTCCCAGCCCCGAGGGCTTTCATACGTCTCTGCAGAGAGAACACAAAGTCGTTCAGCCATATCGAAGAGAACGCCTTGCGAAGGAGTCGTAGACATGACGTCTTCGTCGCTGTCACTGCCATCGGTGCCGAAATATGCGGACGGATCCTTTTCCCGCAAAAATTGTAGGCAATCGACCAGGAGTGCACGACTCTGCGCACGCACCTTTTGGTAGGGACACTGCAAGAGCAGGTTGGAAAGAGCATGTCTGTTTCTCGACAAACGTTCCAAGGCGATCGCAGAGCAATTAGCACACGAGAGGACGATCCTGCGAAGCTGAGACAAGAGCTCCTCGAAGGATTCGCAATTTCGCTGCCGGGGGAGGATCTGGTAGAGATGTTCGAGGGCCATATGCAGGGTTTGACTCTCCTGCACGTGGTCTTCCGAACACGCCCCTTCATTCACACTCCGAAGCTTCGTCAGCATCTGTCTGACGAAGCTGGTGTGGCCTGGATCGTGCAAGCAGTATTCGCGTATGAAATCCTGGTTGTCCTTGTCGATGGCTTCCTTGAAGGCAAGAGGTACGGAGACCTTGATAGGGCCCCCGGTCGCATCGATGCTGTAATCCTGCTGGTCCTTCTCAATGGCCGTTTTCCGCTGATAGAAGAGCATATATGCGCTATAAGGCTTCTGCATCTGCGGAGCATCCTCGAAGAAGCCTCCAAATGCTTGTTTAGGGATATCGGCGGGCTCGAACCGGCCGACATCGCGGTCGTTGAATTCGAACCAATTCGACGTTCCTCCGGACGGGCATGGCCGTTCGCGGATATAGGAAAAGTAATGGCCGTTGTCGGCCGTCCCATAGTGGACAAGAACCCCTGACAGCTCGAAGATGTCCTCTTTTCGAGGTTTCGACGGGTCACCCAGATATTCGACTTTGTAAGGGCTGACATCGAGAACCATTGGAAAGTGAAAGTAATCATTGACCTTCGTTCTTGTCATTTCCACCAGGTCGTAGTCGAACCGCTTTAGATGGAAGATCAAATTGTCTGGAACGTCCTTCAGACACGTGCTAGTATTCTGTTAGTGTAGGACCCTTACACCACACACTCAATGCTCACCGTTTGACAGCGTCCACAAACTTGCCTCCGCAACTCTCACACTTGTATTTATTATCGCCTTCCATCACATCGCCTTCCACAAAAGCTTGGAGGCTATCCAGAAGGCTTGCCTTGCCCTGAACGTCGCATTGTACAACGAAGAAGCTTTCAACTCGCTCCGAGACGTGGTTGCATTCCTTGGATTTGATCTGATTCATTGTTTGCCCTCCATAGAAAGACCTGAACTGCCGTTTTGTCTGGGGTGACAACATTTGAGCCTCCCACTGGTCGAATAGCAGATTGTAAAACTCATCGGCATCCATTTGTACCGCGATGTCGATGGGTAAACCTTCAATGTCCTTCAGACACGAGGCAAACGCTCGGGGATCCGCCGACTTGCGATAGCTATTCTGCATCTCGGCGAAGAGTCGCTGAGTTTCACTCAACAGGCGCAACGATGGAGTAAAGTCGGACACACGGAGCCCTAGCACGAACTTTCGAAAATTGACATTCATGAACAGTTGCGTGAGGAGTGAATTCATGTAACAGATGGCCCTCGGGTTGAGTAGCCCCACGTACCCTGTGGGAGACCGGATCTCGTTCGTACGATCAAAGCCGTAGGGTCTTTGAGCGAGGTACGTAGAGGCAGCGACATCCTCGGCAAGGTCCAACAGGGCGTCGTAGCTAACACGGTCGTCGATCAAAGCAAGGATCAGGCTGTAGAGCTCCATTCGCGTGCCACTTTCAAGGACAGGAAGAACGGGACTTTGTGTATCACCGTCGGGAATCTCGGCAAGTCGGGGCACAAATAAGAACCTTTCGTAGAGCCGCTTAGCGAGCGGAATAGCGTTGAGCGACTTCTTGAACGACTTGATCGAAGAAACGCAACACAGAAGTAGTTTCGTGAAACCCAAAACAACGTGGTCCACTTCATCGCGCCCGACGAATTCTTCGTGGCGGTATTCTGATAATAATGCGCCCCAAGATTGGAGGCAAGATTTCAACGAGGCCTCATTTCTGCTTGTTTCATCATAGGCACGGAACACCAGCTCCGCGAGGGTGAAGAGCTGGGGAGATTGAGCAGTGTATTCAACTGCTGCAGGAAGAACGGAGGAGATAATGGACCAGAAGCGCTCGACTATCTCCTTTTTCGTTAATGCTGAGGTACTGGGGAGGTCGCCTCCGCAGACCGACGCGATGGATTGCGCGACTTGCTCCCGAAGAGGTTGTCGTTTATCAGTGAGAAGGAGGAGCTGATGCAGCGGCGAGATATTACTCCTTGATACAAATTCGGTCCAGACAACGTTTGAGTGCAAGGAGGCTTCAAGGATGGTGGCATAAGACGTCCAGGCAATGGAAGGAAGTTCCGACGAGCTTTCCATGGCGACATGTATCAATGTAATTAGGCGATCGACAAGCTTGCATGGGTCCGAGAAGTATTGCGATGAGATCTCTTGCGGTGGTCGTTCTTTCAAAAGTTCGAGTAGACAGCGGACGAGCACCTCCGCGAGATGCAGCTCGTTTTTACCGCTGAAGGATGCATGCATCAGGCGAGGGTTGAGGATGGCTCCATCCAAAATGCGAACACAGTTCAATAGGGCCGGGTCTTCAATTGCGCCCTTACGAAGGCGCTCCCTGAACCTACAAAGGAGCGCATGAGCTGCATATTCCGCCTGGAAAATCTTCCCTGGGGGGAATATAGAATCTGCCGGAGCTCCGTTGTACATGATGTCATCTGCGAAGCGATCGCGATACGGAAAGCTCATAAGGAGATCGAAGATCGCTTGGCTAACATGGTCGTCTGAGTCCATGCAAGCGAATAGCTCCTCGAAATGAGCCAGCACAGCAGCCTCGAAGGCGGAGGTTCCGGATCTCTCATAGGCGTGAGGTTTAAGAGAGGCGCTTCCGGCAGCCTTCTGCACGAGTATATGTGCATTGGACGTGAGCGTGGTCTCGGCGAGCTTGGCCTGAAGCTGCTCCAGCGAATTGATCTTTCGCCCAGAGGAGAAAATGTTCACCTTGGTGAATCCGGTCGCGCGGCACAGACGATGTTCTAGCTCTTGAACTGTATTTGCTATTCCCATCAACAGCTTTTCCCTCCGCGAGGTGGAGTTGGTGGCATTATACGTTATTTCGATTGGTTCTCCAACGACATCTTCGGTCTCCATCGGCTCGTCGTCAGATTCTAAAGCCTGACTATGACGAAATGCGGACCTCTCCCTGATATTCTTCAGGAGAATCTTCTGTAGCAATACCGTCCTGCTCAAACGTAACTCCGTTTGCTTCCGTGCATCTTCTGACAGGCCAACATCCATAGCATCCGTCGGTCTTTCGAGCCCGCCACTGCGCAAAATCCGGTGTGCCTTTAGGAGCTCGTTCGCACATTTCCCTGCCAATGCGACGTGGGCAGCTTCCAGATTGTCCACAGTCAGGTTTTCGTAGATGCTGACTTTAACGTAGCGAGCAGCCAACAGATCTGCTACCTTGTCTTCGATGGTGCCCGGAGGAGCCTTCATCATCAATTGCCACAAGAGGTCAGCCCCGGGTATCTGAAGAGGATCCTCGTTACTCTCCGAGGGGCTTTCCGTCCATGAAGGAAACCTAAAGCAAGCCACGAAATCAAACATGCCATGTGTGTAATACTGTGGATCCAAGCCTGGAATATAGGACATAATGAGCTCCTTGCAAAACCGGCTTCTAGTCCCGCTTCTTGAGCAATCAGTGAACTTTTGCCATGCACGATCGCGCGAGCGGTTGTCAAAAGCAAACCTGCCAACGGTGTGATCCCATATCTGGATGTACAGCTCCCTGGGAATCGCTTCCGGAACCTGCGAAACCAGCGAACGGAGCATATCAAGTCGTATTTCCAGTGCATGCGGATACAGCTGATAGATCTCCTGCCTGGCTTCAGCCTCGATGAAAGAACATAGCTCATTCAGAATCCAAGTGACGATATCGGAGCGGCTGCGGAAGAAGGAACTATCCGTATAAGAGTGATGCTTCCAGATTATGTTTATGGCGCGGATGCTACCCGTTGCTTTGGGTGATTTTTCAGCGATATGCTTTGCGCAGGCATCGTAGATCGGATGGCGTTCAGAGATACTGGCAGACATATGTTCCAGTTGCTCACAAGCTTCACGGTGTAGCTCCAGTTTCTGCTTAGTTGAATCCCTGCTGGGGCCGGTTTCCTGAATCATCCGAATCGCCACATCCCAGGGCCGCGCGTGCTCGTGGATGACGGGCCAGCTCGAGATATTATGCCTGAGTCGCTCGTAGATGTCGACGTTGAATCTCAGCATCTCGATAGTATAGCTCTCAACCGGGTGGTTATAGAGCTTATTGGAGAGATACAGCAGATCTTGAACCCTCATCAAATTTGTGATTTGTCGAAGCATTGCCAGGATCGCCGATACTACCCGTGGGTCCTGACTGTTCGACAGCGACCGCCATATGGCATCCGCCTGCTCCTCCGAGAAGCGATGAGAGACCACGAGGAAACCGACTATATTACCGCTGCGGCAAATAAGCTGGGGGTGCGATTCCACACTGATGATGTAGTCGATTATTTGTTCGTCGAGGAGGAATTGCGCCAAGTACTGCAGTACTGGATGTTGCATTCCCTCCTCCGACTGGTTGTAGGCCTTCCACATATGAACCAAAATTTGGTCCATTGCTGATATGCTCATGACCCTCAGTTCCATCTTACCCTTGACGAGATATCTCTTCAGCAGCTTGAATCTCCAAGCGTTGCATACAAGTGCTGGACGGGAGCGTGCGCCATGACTGTTAGCTAGCGCAAGCGACTCGATTGCCGAACTCCCTGAGCTGGACTCTCCTTGATTGTTCCATTCTGACGGCAGCAACGCCTTCACGAAATCGAGGGCCACTGCTCGATCCCATTGGCATGCATCTGCCAGGAGCTCTGATAGACCCGAAATGATATCTCTGATGGGCGCGACATCTGTGACGTTGGAAGGATCTTGAAGAAGATTGTCGCAAATCCAGAAATAGCGTACAGCCGCCCGACAAAATTCGTTTCGATCCAACACGCCCTCGGCGCCCGGAATCTCATGCAGAAACCGCCCGGCATAAGACCAGAGGGGTGTGGCATTGTAAATGGTGGAATTTCTGCCAGGTGATGAGGCCTTCTGGCCGATCACAGCAACATCTGCCAGTAGGTGTTGCAGCCCATTAGTTGGCGACTCGAGAAAGTCTGTCCAGAGACGGTTGACGAGGTCGGGGATGTCGGCTCCATAGTCTCTGCCGAGAATAGTAAACAAGTTCACCCCTTCCGGGCGAAAGAGCATCTGAAGATGGCGAATATACTTGTAGCCTATCAGATTTGGCTCGGGATCGCCATCACCTATTGCCTGGGAGAGCATATCCGCCTCGGCTCGTAGAATTCGCGCACATAAGATGACATAACACTTGAGAAAGGAGTAGACGATTTCTTGTGCATCCAGGGCATCGCGACAGAATCTTCCGTAAGGTTGTCTGTGGCCGGTGAGTCAAGCTTTCCTCAATGGAACATTGAATACCCTACTTTCTGCTGAGAACCTTGCCAACGAAGACATCAAAGTCTGCCCAGAATATGGTTCGGGTCTGATATGCTGCTGGGCGGAGTGCCCAGCTAGGCAACTGGCTCAGCCAATCACTAAGCTGAGGTAGGAGTTTGGGGTCAATCTCGTCCGCTGGCGGGAAGTCAGTACTGCTGCGTCACAGAGGGTTAGGATACTAACCGGCTTGGATATGATTGATCATCTGAGCGAGGGCAGCCTGACAATCATCTCCGAAAGTGCTTGCAAAGGGGAACCGGCGGAACAACAAGTCGTCCCCGCGTTGGTAGTCACCCAACGTATCTGACGAGTCGCAATCATCATCATCATCTATAGGGATGACGGCGGGACTGTCCGCGCCATCGCCCTGCGGGGCAGCCGTGTCGCTGTCACCGGGATGCTCGTTGGCGGGCGCGTCGGACTCTTTCGACAAGGGCTGCGGGGACGAAGGCGGTTGAGAGCGAATGGTCATCTCGACCAGCTGCTCTGCGGGAGCGCTGTCTAGGCGGCGTCGTTTTCGGGTGAGGGTAGAGTCTTCGTCTTCGAGGGGATTGCGGGGAGGTGGTGAGGGAGTTGCGGTGACTTCGTCTGGAACGGCCGACTCCATTCGATCCCCGGCGGCCGGCTGACTCATGACAGTGCAATGGAGCAAAGAAGCTCGTCGATCCGAAGTCGACGGGAGCCCGTGGCAGACCGCAGTTTGACGGTGAAAGGGTTAGGTTAGGAGGGACGAGGATGGGGTGGTGCACAGGCAGGCAGCAGTGGTCCAAGCTTCCTCAGGCTGAGGAACGGCAAGAGCGCGATGCGCGGGACAATCGACTGCATAGGAGAAGCCCTGGAGGTGAAAGAGGCACAGGCGCCTGGAAAGATGAGGAGACGGCGCGGCGCGGGTAGGTGAGTGAGGGAGGGAGGGAGTGAGTGAAGGAACCGGCGTCAAGAGTGAATGGAGCAGACGATTGAGGTGGGGCATATAATTGTACAGAAGTGGGAAACGCGTTTGGGAGCTCCACGCAGGGCTACCTGGGTAGGGCTAGCCCCTAGCCGCGTATCCATGGATCGGCGGAGTGGGGTGGGGGTGCTGCGTCATTCCGCCCATCCAATTCTTGTCCCGCTTCACAGAGAGGAGCGGAGCCATGGCGCCAAGTCCTCAATTAGTCCCTGCATTAGTGTTCATGACACAGGGAAATTGTATTCCTAAACATATATCAAATCTACTTCTTCATTGCATCAACATCTCCCTTACTCCCCTCAGCCGCCGGTTTGCACAGACAGTGTCGTCAGCTACAGGACTAGTCTCGGCGAAACCGGGTGTTACTTCGGCGTCTTAAACTATTTCCTGCAGCTGGCACCATCGATTCGATCGATAAACTTGAACCCCAGTAGGTCTACGAGCAGGTGCCGAAGGGTGATAGCTGTGAGTAAGAGGAAAAGGCGCTTGAAAATGAGGCATTGCTCAACACTATGCCTCCCAAACCAATTTTTAAAACGGATGTCCCTTTTAGCGAAACAAAGTGGTAGGCATGCAAATCCTTTGGTGAAAAAGCCCAAGTGACTACAACTGATAAACTTCCTAGGCCCGATATTCCCGCGCCAACCCAGACCATCATCCTTGATCTTCTTTGCAAGTAAGTTGCTCTGATGTCACTTCAGAAGGGGGATTGCGATTAAGATCTTCTCACTTTTGACCCACTCCCTTTATTTCTTCTTTTCCAACTTGAACCGTGAGACATTGCCTTCAACCCTCACATGCACACATATATCACCTTTGTCATTTTCTGTTCTGTTCCTACATCAGGCAATCTACCCCTATCCCTCAATTCAGCCTTCCCAAACCCTGGGGCGTCTACTTCAGCACACTGCGGCCCACTCTTAATAACGACACCTACCTCAGCCTCCATCTCTTCCTTCATCTCTTAACTTCAATATTCCTCTTCCCATCCCCCTCCAACCAAAAGAACCGACCCTGACCAACATCCCCCCCCAGCCTCCTCGAACCCCTAGGCCACCACCGCAAAACCCACCTCCCCCCCTCCAAAGGCAAATCCAAATCCCGCCGCCAACGCCACAAACCGCAAGACCATGACCCCTCCTCCTCCTCTTCCAACACCGAACACATCCCCAAACCCCCTTCCCCAGAACTCACCAACCACATCCTCATCGGCCTGAACAGCGTAACCCGCCACCTCTCCGCCCTAGCCGCAGCCACGGCGCCGCCAACTATGCCAGCAGCGCAGCAGGCGAAGCACGAGGCACCTGGCGACGGTCAAGACGATGCCATGCAAGGTGTACAATACTCCGGAAACCAGGAAGAGAGAGATCCTACATTACCACCACCACGGCCCCTAACAGTTGTCATCATCCCCCATCCTCAACCCTCGTCATCTCTTCCGCACGCCCATCTCCCGACATTGGTGCACCTATCCACAAGGAAAGACGCGCAGCCTACACGACTCGTTGCGCTCTCGACCTCGTCGGAGAGTCGGTTGGCGTCTGCCTTGCATCTGCCGCGTGTAGGTGCGATTGGCATCATGGAGGGGGCGCCGGGCGCAGGTGCGCTGGTTGAGTATATTCGCAGCGAGGTGGCACCGACGCAGTGCAGATGGATTGAAGAGGCGCTGAAGGCAGAGTGGAGAGGCGTGAAGACGCAGATGCAAGCGGGCTAGGCTAGTAGGCTACAATCATCCCGGGCTGTAGAAGTCCCATTCCGCGCTCAATATTTATGCCCAAACATGTCATGCAAATGAAAAAGAAGTCATGTTTTCTATCGCAAATGTATCACAGGCCTAACCGCAGAAAACACCCGCGCCGTCGCTCAGAGGCTACTATGCAACCGCCGGGTTCAAGGTAAAATTACAAAGTACTCCACACCGAACCAAAGCATATTTCCAGTTTAAGTCCTCGCCCTGGCGGGCTGCTCCTTGCCCATGTCGGCTTCAGAGTAGTAAAAGTTCTCCTCCGGGATGCGGCCGCGCATGAACTGGGGCTCTGAGCCGCGGACATAGATATCCTCGAAGAGGACCTTTCCGGTCGGCTCGGGGGGTGGCATCTTCTCAGCCTCAGCAACTTCTGCGTCAACGTTGGCGCGAGCCTCCTTGTCGATCGCCTTGAGCTCCTCTTCGGTAACAACACCCCAGTCGAGCATCTTCTGCTTCAGCCCAGCAATGGGGTCGTTGGTGCTGCGCATGCGCTGGATCTCCTCACGTGTCTGCACATCTTGTTAGCAACTGAGCAGAGAAGGACAATGAGCAAACTTACGCGGTAGGTAGTGCCGGGATCAGACATAGAGTGTCCACCATATCGGTACGTGACATACTCGTACACCAGAGGACCCTTGTCCTCAGCGCACCATTGCTTTCCATACTGGACGGCTGCCTTCACGGCCAGAACGTCCATACCATTGATCTTCAGACCCGGGATGTATTGGCCGCGCTTGTAGTAATCCGTGAGTGCGGAGGAGCGGTTGGCGGCAGTACCCATGCCATACTTGTTGTCTAGTAATTAATGTCAGCTGCAGTTAGCCAGGAATGTGGGAGAACATACTTTCGCAACCGAAAATGACGGGAATATTCCAAAGCTTGGCCATGTTGAAAGCCTCAAAAACCTGTCCCTGGTTGGAGGCACCGTCTCCGTAGAGCGCCAACGTAACGCTCTTCTTGCCCATGTACTTCTCCGCGAAGGCGATGCCGGCACCAACGGGGACCTGAGCACCGACGATACCGTTACCGCCATAGAACCCCGGTGCGAACATGTGCATGGAGCCACCCTTTCCGTAGGCAATACCCTCTCGCCTTCCGAGCAACTCACCAATGATAGACTTGACGGTGCCTCCGCGCATCAGGGCGAAACCGTGACATCGGTATGCGGTGATAACATGGTCAGACTTTTCGATGGCATGCTCAATGCCGACGGCAACAGCCTCTTGACCGGTGGACAGATGGCAGAAGCCGCGGATCTTCTTCTCCTTGTAGAGCCTGTCGGCCGCCATCTCCATGCGTCGGACGGCGACCATGTCGTAGTACATCTGCTTGAGTTCGGCCTTTGTAGTAGAGAGCGTATACGAGGGAGGGTCGAGTTCGTAGGTTTCGAAGCTCTCATCCGACAGGCGAACTTCGAAAGGCACATCATCCTCCTGTATCAAGTCAACGGCTGCTCCAGCTGTGGGGTATTACAGAGGCAGCGAGTGGAATCACAGAGAGACGGAGATTTCAGTAAAGAAATGAGACTTCATTCTCACCTTCGGCACGGACTCTTTATCGGCGTGCGATGATGCTGCGTCGGTGGTGACGGATCTGAAGGCAGGGCGCGTGGCGGGCGCCAGAACATTGCGCCGGAGCGGCGACGCCAAACTTCTCCTAATTGTCCGCGACAGCATCGTGGCGATCCGATACCAAGCAAGGAAGGGTTGTCGGGGGACGTTGTTGAAGACTTGGTAGGGTGAAGACGTTCTCGTCAGCGAGACAACAATTTGGGAGTCGAGCTTTGGGTCCGGTTCAGCACGGGCCAGTCAACATCTCATTCGCCGATTTTCATATGTCAGCGGATTCAACGTTGGTCAAACAGCCCTGGAGTGCTTTTCGCATATATTTTGACCTCAAGACGGTGAAATAAAAGCAATTGTATGCCAGATACATCAACCACAAACTTGGCCCTTAGACAATGTGACGGCCTCGATCTTGCATGTGAAACCAGACGGAGAATTTGCATCCGGTCACGTGATGATCTGATAGAGGCGTTATATCCAAAGTGTATCTATATATCGTCGCGAAACCATGTCCACTTCGCTGCTTGCATTGTGACTATATACACGTAAATGTACAACGGTCTTGTATGTTACCTCGTGATGCCCCCTTATATCGCCTGCAGATGCTTCGCCTGTCCGGCGAAGAACTCCTTTTGGTGTAGGCACCTCTCACTAACACAACCGGGACATCTCAACGCCATCTGCGGGCTGCATGCCAGGCCGCTATGTAGATGCTCCTTTGCGAGGTCTGCAAGCGCCTGGATAAAGACGGGATTGCCGTTCAGACTCTCGGCACGCTTGACACCTGGGTGTCCACCTGCGTCTTCTCCAATGACCTCCTTGTCGAGCTCATACAATGTTTCGATGTGATCGCTCGTGAATGCAATTGGAATCAAAATGATATCTGTGTTGCCCTTCTTCATAAGGTTCTTCACGGTATCAGACGTCTGGGCTCCAAGCCATGGCTGTGGCCCGACTTGCGATTGCCAGACGAGGCGATATTTGTGCTTCATACCCAGGCGCTGCATGACCGCATACACGGTCGCGGCTACTTCGGCGGGGTATGGGTCTCCACGATTGACCACACTCATGGGTAGACTGTGAGCGGAGAAGAGTAAGACAACGTCGTCTCTTCGCTCAGGAGGGTATGTTGCCAGTGTCGCTTCGATATTCCGTGCAAAGGCCTCGACGAGTCCAGGATGCGTAGGCCAGCGGTCGATTACACTCCATTGAATGGATCCCTGCGGTTCGACCTCCCCGTTTGCTCTTTTCCCTTCCAGCCTGTTTCTCCACTTCCACAGTTCGTTTAATGAGGAGCCCGTTGTTGAGCAGGAATACTGGGGATATTGTGTGAAGGCAACGGCCCTTCCCCCCTTACCGCCTCCGAAGCCGTCCTCGAGCAATTGCTGATACATGTGCTCCGTTAAAGGATTGGCGTAGCGAAATGCCACATACGGCTTATGCGGTGCTGTCTCTGGCGACATATTGTCAAGAAGCTTGCACATTTCGGCGGCCTGGTACTCGGACCACTTGCGAATAGGTGAGCCGCCTCCAATCTCGGCATATTGTTTTTCAATCTTCGGCGTACGTCGTCGCGATATGAGCGGCCCGATGTAACTCTGTAGGCGGCCAAGAGGAATAAGATCAGCATCCGCCTGTGGAAGTCAGTTCAAGTCCCATCGATTGGATAAACTGGACTTGCAAATAATCTGCTCAAAAAGTCGCCAACCTCCGCCGTCGTCGAGGGGCCGCCCATATTCATGAACACCATGGCGGTCGGGCCTTTTGAGCCTGTCGAGTCCTGCATTACTGGTGGAGCCATGGTCGCCATACTTCTTGTCCATTGTCGCAGGACACGTGTAGTCGGCGTCGCACGCCTGCATGCGCGCATTGCCATATTTATTGCGTCAAGTCAGCAACGAAATAATATGTTCATGGATTGCTGAGGTGTGAAAAGAAGGCGGGGACCTGGCGAGATGCAATTGAGATTGGACGAGTGAGATTGGTAGGAATTACAAGCCTCACTGGCGATCCGAAACCAGAAGCATGGTCGGTGTTGATGCGGTCATCTCCCGGCGCTAGTCTCCAAATGGGGCTTCCCCAGGCGTTCCAGCACGTGCTCTGGCGTCGCGCTCGCACCTCACTCAAGGCGCGCCACTGTTGCCTTAGGTCTCATCTCGCGATAATTGAACTCACGCCGCAGACATCACTGCATCCTCTCATGCGTTCTCCTTGCCACAGCGCTTCGCATTCCTTCAGTAGGAGACTCACTGCAAACGGTACCGTCGTTTGCTTACATCCGTTGTCCTCAACATGGACTATCAAAAGCGTTACGGCCCGGCAGACGAAGAACCAGACGAGGATGAGGAGGAGCTCGATGATTCTGTATGTCCATTACTCTAGTTACCTAAATCGTCTAACATCGCACAGAGCTACAAAACCATCAAAGATGCCGTGCTCTTCGCCATTGACGTCAGTCCAACCATGCTGGAACGTCCACCCAAATCCGAGGACAAGAAAGCCGACCGGGACTCGGCAACATCAGCTGCTCTCAAATGTGCATATCAATTGATGCAGCAGCGCATCATTTCCAATCCAAATGACATGATGGGCATCTTGCTGTTTGGGACCCAGAAGACCGATCTGGGCGATGGCGACACAACATTTCAGCATTGCTACTTACTCTCGGATCTAGACGTACCTTCGGCACAGGATGTCAGGCGGTTAAGAGACCTAGTCGAGAATGAAGAGGAAGCGGCTGAGCTGTTGAAGCCCTCAGATAAGCCAGCTAGCATTGCTACGGTTCTCTTCTGTGCAAACCAGATATTCACTACAAAGGCGCCCAACTTCTCGTCAAGGCGGCTGTTTTTGGTAACGGATAATGATTATCCTGCAAAAACGAAGCAAGATAAGGACACGGCGGTTACAAGAGCGAGAGACTTATACGATCTGGGATGCACAATTGATCTCTTCCCTATCTCGAGACCAGGCCACGGCTTCGACCGCACGCGCTTCTATAATGTATGTTTTCAGTCGCACCCTTCCGCTCTTAGGCTCACACGTATAGGACCTCGTTTATCCCTCGTCCCCCTCCGATCCTGACGCCCCCGTCCTCCCCTCTTCCACCGCCTCCCTTACCAAGTCCTCTGATGGCCTCACCCTCCTCAAACAATTGCTCTCCAGCATAAACTCAAAAGCCACCCCTCGCCGCGCGCTCTTCAGCCTCCCGCTTGAATTGGGACCGGGCTTCCGCATCGGCGTCAAAGGTTTCATCCTTATCAAACGTCAAGAACATGTCAAATCCTGCTATGTCTGGGTTGGCGGCGAGAAGCTGCAGGTTGCAACGCTATCTACGTCGCGACTCGCTGACGATACGGCACGTGTGGTTGAAAAAGGCGAAATCCGCAAAGCGTACAGGTTCGGAGGCGAGGCGGTTACATTCACGACAGAGGAATTTGTGAAGATAAGACAATGCTTCGGCGATCCTATCATCCGAATCATCGGCTTCAAGCCGCTCAGTATGCTTCCCATCTGGGCGAATATCACGAAGGCGACTTTCATCTACCCCTCAGAGGCGGACTTCATCGGCTCGACGCGCGTCTTCTCAGCGCTACAACAAAAGCTGCTGAAGAGCAAGAAGATGGCCGTAGCGTGGTTTATCGCCCGCCGCAATGCCGCCCCCGTCATCACCGCCATTATACCAGGGCAAGAACGCCTCGACCCCGAGACAGGCGAGCAAACCATGCCACCAGGCCTATGGCTAGTCCCTCTTCCCTTCGCAGACGATATCCGTAAACCCGTGGTGATGGAAGACGCATACAAAACGACAGAGGAGCTAACAGACGACATGCGCAAAGTCGTCGAGAACTTGCAGCTCCCTGGAGGCGTGTACGATCCCTCCAGGTATCCGAATCCGGACCTCCAGTGGTTCTACCGGATTTTGCAGGCTATGGCGCTGGAGGAGGAACTTCCCGAGAAGCCGGAGGACAGGACGATTCCTAAATACAGGCAGATTGACAAACGGTGCTCGGAGCTGCTGAAGGCGTTCGGAGAGGAATTCGACGAGGTGTACAATGCCCTAGTATTACACACTAAACCCGACAGTCACAAGGGTGCGAAGGGAACGACGGCAGGGAAGAAGCGTAGTGCCCGGCCGATGGTGGACAACGAAGAAGAAGAGGAGATTGAGAGGGGAGGGAAGCCTGCGAAAAAGAGAGTCAAGACGGAGCCAAAGGCGTCACAGTCTCAGAAGAAAGATATCGGAGGGCAAGGCCTGAGTGACGAGCAAATGGCTGAGTTAAATGACAGAGGGCAAATCAGCAAACAGACGGTTGCGCATCTGAAGGACTTCCTCCAGGCCCGGGGATTGTCTTCATCTGGTCTGAAGGCGCAACTGATAGAGAGGGTGCAGGATTATTTGCAAGGAAAAGGCTTGTAGGCTTTTGAAAAGGGTCGGTTCTTCTGTGCGTTATGGATCACAGATCGGACGGTATTTGGCGCAGGTACTGTAGGCTCTAGGGCTGCTACGACGAAATGCATCCTCTTTAGATCAAGCGTGGCTGAGCAGTTCTCTTCCCCGTTACAAAGGATAGTCGCATTCTCATAAGATTTGAGCCATGTATGGTCCCAACGACGACGGTCCAACACATTGTACGGCAATCAACACCAGGTGCTGTCTATTCGAATGGGGTGACCTCTTGGTGGAAGGATCCATTCTTGCATCTCCAGGTCCGTCTCGTTTTGGCGACGGGCTGGTGGAGCAGGGGTTTGTCGTCAGAGCCGCCTTGGCAGGGCCCGTGCCAGCCGCGTGAAATCACGTAATTTTCCAACCGCCTCATTGGATCCCGCACCCGCGTTTGACCCTCTGGTGTTTTCGAGGAAAGCTGCCATCGTTGTCCCCCAGGCGGATTTCTAATAATAATAATGGTCTCACCATGTCCTCTCTCTTTCACAATCCTCATCCACCAAGGGACCTGCGATATGAGGGTTCCTGGACGTCTCGCCGCTGCCGCCGGTCGCGCAATACCCAGATGCCCAACACCCGTCTCAAGACCCATCATCCATCGATTGGCACAGCAACCCACAAAACGGACGTCCCGGACACTGCACCAGCAGACTCCAACGAGGGCTCAAGCTGCTGTAAACGTACGGCAAGTCCAAAATGAAGAGATTCCTCTGTCGTCGAACCCGGCACTCTCGTTCCCATGCCTCGACGCTGTCGAGTCTCGATCTGCATTACTCCAGCGCTCTCGCCGCTCACTGTCCGGCCCGGAACCCTCGTATACGAGCGGAAAGCACCAGGACTTTCACTCGAAACAACCCCTTCTTCTGGATTGGGGAGGCATATTACCAGAGTTCAACATCGCCTACGAGACCTGGGGACAGCTGAATAAGGACAAGAGCAATGCCATTTTGCTTCACACGGGACTGTCAGCATCGAGCCATGCGCACAGCACAGAGACAAACCCAAAACCGGGCTGGTGGGAGAAATTCATCGGTTCTGGAAAGCCGCTTGATACGGACAAGTACTTCGTCATTTGCACGAATGTGATTGGGGGATGCTACGGGTCGACAGGGCCGTCTTCGATCGATCCCGCGAACGGACAGCGATATGCCACACGTTTTCCTATCCTTACACTGGAGGATATGGTTCGAGCGCAATTTCGACTGCTGGATGCACTCGACATCAAGAAGCTCTACGCCAGTGTTGGTTCAAGCATGGGCGGCATGCAGAGTCTCGCGGCGGGAGTGCTCTTTCCTGAGCGAGTGGGCCGCATAGTCAGCATCAGCGGTTGCGCGCGCAGCCACCCGTATAGCATCGCTATGCGCCACACTCAACGCCAAGGTAAGGTTTGCTGATGTTTTGTGAAGGACGGGATTCGGCTGACCGCTTGTCAGTACTTATGATGGACCCCAATTGGGCGCGTGGTTTCTACTACGACGGCGTGCCTCCGCATGCCGGAATGAAGCTTGCTCGTGAGATCGCGACGGTGACCTACCGAAGTGGACCCGAGTGGGAGCAGCGGTTCGGACGGCGGCGGGCGGACCCGTCGCGGCCACCAGCCTTGTGCCCCGATTTCCTCATTGAAACCTACCTCGACCATGCAGGAGAAAAGTGGTGTCTGGAATACGACGCCAACAGTCTTCTGTACGTTTCAAAGGCCATGGACCTATTCGACCTGGGACTCGAGCACCGAACACGCATCAACCGCCTTCGACAGGAGAACAGCGGCAAGCTCCAAGACTTTATACAAGGCGGTGCCAGAGTGCCAAGTGCCACCGACGACTTGTGCAATCTCACACTGCCCGAGAAACCATACGAAGAGAAGGAGCAGCCTGCAGAGGCGAGTGTCGGCAGCGAAGCCGCCCAGGGTGTTTCGGATATCAACGAGCCTCCCGCCGATCTCGTGGCTGGCATGAAACCTCTTGCCAATACCCCAGCGCTTGTCCTTGGTGTGGCGAGCGACATCTTGTTCCCCGCTTGGCAGCAGCGTGAGATTGCGGACACGCTGCGACATGCAGGCAATCGCAATGTGACACATATCGAACTGGGCGAAGAGCACTCACTTTTCGGTCACGATACGTTCCTGTTGGATTTGGAAAATGTGGGAGGTGCTGTGAAAAGATTTCTGGGATGATACGAAGTAGCATTCTCCTCGGAGAGAGGTACTTCGACCAGGCCCGCACACATGTTGGCCCTGCAGTTTCCTATAGCGGCATACCGAGGCAGGGTCGCGATGCGTTACCATTGAGTTGTCCATGTGGTTTCTCAAGTGTGCATTTCATAGCAGGTTGTATGTTAACCCTGCCAGCCGCTGACGTGTTGACTCTGTATGTCATGGTCGTACGGGACGCTGGGCGAGGTGGGCAGGTGGCGGGTTCGTGTCACTTGGGCCAGGGCAAGGCAAGAAGATCTCGGAGTCGAGGTGTGAAAAAGGGTCGGCCTCTCACCTGTTTTGGAAAGTTACTCAAGCTGGACCTGGACCAGGTTGGATCCAAGGATCTTCACTGTGCGGGGGAGTTTGTTGGTGGGCTGGCTGGCCCGTTGCACAGGTAATAAATGCCCGATGCGGTCGGGACCTGGGGGCGCTTTCGACTTGGCACAGACCCTGTTTATTAAAGACATCTTGGGGAGCACTTCTCCGCAGCGTGCGACGTTATTATTTTCAGTTCATCTGAGCACGACCTTTGCTCAGCTGTAGCTTCTCGTTCCATTTTCTCCAGCCTTTCGCGGCTCAGCGGAGACTGCGACTGCCGTTATGGCGGACACCCGCGAAGATGTCAAGAAGAAGTCCGAAGAGGCGCAGATTACGGAGGTGTCTACGAATACCACGGCCACAACGGCGAGCAACCAGAGTGGAGATGAAGGGCGAACCTTGTGGCAGAACGTGAAGAAATATAGAAAGGTGGTGTGGATTACGCTTGCAATGACCAGTATGAATACCCTATCTCGTAAATGCATATTGTTTTCCTGCATGCCTCCACTTGTATTGAGTTCCTGAATGTCCAAGTCCCTTAGCCGCTCTGTCTTGGCCTTTTGACATCGACGACTGTTCCTCCTTGACCCTTCTAACAGATACTAGGTGCCATTCTCCTGTATGGCTACGACTATGTCATCGTTGGCACCGTATCCGCCATGCCTCGCTTCCAGTATGTCCTCATCCCAATGCACTTCAATTCACCCTCCCCTTCTGACAAACCATATCCAGGGAAGACTTTGGCCAAAAGCTCGACGGCAAATGGATCCTACCCTCCAACTGGCTCGCCCTCTGGAACGTCTCCTCGCCTCTCGGCGCCATGTTCGGCTCCGTCGCCGGCGGCTGGTTCCAGGACCGCGTCGGCCGCCGCATCGGCCTGGGAGTGACTTCGTTCCTCTCCGCCCTCTCCGTGGCCGTCATGTACGTCTCGTACATACCCTCCTCCATCGACGGACGACGAGCCTGCTTCCTCGCGGGCAAACTCTTCCAAGGCGCAGCTATCGGAGGCGTCATGACGGCCGCCCAGACCTACATGTCTGAAACTCTCCCCCCGGTCCTACGAGGCAGCGGCATGGCCTTGTTCCCCGTCTTCACGCTGTTGGGCCAACTCGTCGGCGCGCTCGTCATCTACGGCGCCCTATCCAAACGGAACGGCTACTCGATCGCGTTTGGCTCCCAGTGGCCCTTCTCCCTCATGCCCATCGTCGTCTCCGTCCTCATCCCCGAATCGCCAGCTTTTTACGTACGGAAGCGCCGCATCGACGACGCGCTAAAAGCCCAAGCCCGCCTCGACCCCCCCGGTACAAACACCCGCGCCGTCATCGACAAACTCATCATCGACATCGATTATGAAACCCGCACGGCGGGCAAAATCACGGCCTCGTACGCCTTATGTTTCCGGCCCTCGACGCCCAATAACCTCCGCCGCACGCTGATCGTCATGTGGGCCAACGCCTTGCCGTCCGTCTTCGGCCTCCAGCTGCTGGCCAAGGCGAGTTACTTCCTGCAGGTCGTGGGCATGGACGCGGATGTCAGTATCGTGTTTCTGATCCTGGGTATCGTGCTGGGGTTGCTGGCGAATGGGGTTAGTGTCTGGCTTGTTTCGAGGGTCGGGAGGAGGAAGTTGATTGTGGGGGGTCTGCTGGGCGTGGGGGGGTTGTGGGCGGGTATGGGGGTGGCGAATAGTTTGAAGGTGTCGGAGGGGGTGGTGTGGTATGTTTTTAACTTTTTCCTTTTTTTTTCTCCCCTTTTCTGGTCTCTTCTTTCCACCTTTTCCTTCGCATCACAGCAGCATATGCTCTCTCTCTATTCAGCAATCAGCCATGACCTCCCTCTCGACTAACCATCAATCAGGTGGACAGCCGCCAGCATGATGCTCACCATCCTCGTCGCCGGCCTCACCGTCTGGCCGTCCTCCTTCGCCGTCGCCGCCGAGACGTCCGCCCTCCACCTCCGCGCAAAAACACAGGGCATCGGCTGGACCGTCAGCGCCCTGTCGACCGCCATCACGGGCATCGCCCTCCCCTACATCTTCAACCCCGACCAGGGCAATCTGAGGGGGAAGACGGGGTATACGTACGTGGGCGCTTGTTTGCTGGGGGCCGGTGTTAGTTGGTACGTTGTGCCGGAGATGAAGGGGAGGAGTGTCGAGGAGATTGATGGGTGTTTTGAGAGGGGGTTGAGGGCTTGGGAGTTTGAGGGGTATGATAGGGTGGAGAGGGGGAGGGGTGGAAGAGAGGGGAAGGATGTAGAGGAGGGGTTGAGAGGGCTCGAGGCGAGGGTGGTGGTGGGATGATGGGAGATGTATTTGGTTGGGCCTTGTTGAGTCCTACGGCGAATCCATATATCCTCTGTTTCTCTTGTGCACGTCTGATGAGTATATAAGAGGATACGGTGGTTCCCCGACAGAAGTCCTATACTCAAGCCCATCCGTGCTTCTTTCTATCCGGGGGGTACGAAACCTTCTTTTATACCAATTCTTAAGGGAAGAAATGGTCACGGTCACGTGCCATCGCGTAGACGTGTACTGTGCACAGTTAGTCGCGTCTTCCAAGCCCACCAAGTGCATCCCCCGGGCAACGCGCATCACACCCTTAATCCATCATCTCTCCTTTTTTTTCACCTTCCCTTGTTCCCTTCATTATCCTCGATTCAAAGCATCCTCGTTATCCCAGCTATTGAATTTCGATTTTTGGGCACGCCTTCCCAACATGGAGCACACCCGCAAGCGCCTCCGCGCAAACACAGCCGGCGACGCCAGCGCAACTACATGCAGTACTGTTATGCCCCAGCACGACCTCGCCCTCTGCATCACCACCCTCCAAGACAAAGACCCCACAGCCTTGCACACCCTCCTCCTCTCCTTCGCCCACACCCATCCCGAAATCGCCTCTGCCCTTCGCGCTCGCTACAACCTGATCTAGCTGGAGCGCGCAAAAGGCGTAGACTTCGACCACCACTCAAAAACCATATGGTACTCGCTGAACCGTCGCTACCGCAACCTCAGCGGATCACAGGCCTACGAAATGTCCTCCCACGTCTTTGACGAGATCTCCGACGCCTTGGACGAGATGGTAGAAACGGCTGCGGCGGAGACGGCGAGTTTCGCCACTAAAAGATCCGGGCTGGAGACGTTGAGGAAGATTGCGAAGACGGTGTGTCTCAGTTCGGGCACTTTGGGGTATGAGGTGAGGGAGCTGATGGGACGGGCTGAGTGCGACATTGGGGAGGGGATGATGGAGATTTTGGAGGGGACGAGTGAGGGGGAGAGGCGGGAGATGGCGGAATGGGATGATGGGAGGGGGGCGTGTTTTTGGAGAAGGTGGAGGAGTTGAGGGGGTTGGCGAATGCGAGTTATGTTTCTGAGGTGTTGGGCGAGGTGGTGGGGGTGTTGTGGGGAGAGGTGGACGAGGGTGAGGAGGATAATGAGGCGGATGAGGAGGACGAAGACGAAGAGTGGGATGAAGATGGCGCTAGGAGGGGTCCTGGTGGCGAGCTGGTCTTCCGGGATGACGAGGCAGAGTTTCGGTTTCTGGACTCGTTTGATTCGGATGGGTGCCCGAGGGAAGTGTCTCGTCGGAGGAGGAGACGCTGAGAGTAGAGGGATGGCGTCCGTTGGGTGCTGGACCTTCGGCCGGCATCGGTGATTGGCGATGGTGTTGTTTCTCCTTTTGCAGGAGTCATTGATCCATCCGGATTCTCTTTGTAGCCAGTTTTCCTCCGCCTGTTGTTTGCTCTTGTCCATAGTCCCGCCTCGTACGAAATCGCAGCACTTTCAGGTGCATCTGTCTCCCATCCCAATATCGTGCCCACAGCCCTGGATCTTTGTACCGATCCTTCTTTCTTAAGATGCCGATTCACCCTCTGTTGCATCTACAGTCCCCTCATCTCTCCCCTCCGCACCAAACCCCCTCTTCACCAGCCCCTCAATCTGTGCCGCAACGCTCCTCACCCGCTCCCTCCTCGCCTCCTCATCCGCCGGATTCGCCACCGTGTCCAACCCTCCAAACAGCCACAGTTCCTGTAAATCCCGCACCAGCGTTGCCATTTCCTGCGACGAGCGTATCTGCATCGTTATCCATTAGCACCACTCTTCTGTAACAATCCCTCTAACCCCTCCTTCTCCAGTTATCCTCCAGATCCTGAGCTCTAAGAGCGTAGCAGTGTAGAAGTATACCGGGTCCACATACCAACGCCCCGCTCTCCTCCCGGATCCGCAACTCATTCATCGCAATCTCCCCAGCGCTCTTATCCGGCCTCTTCGCCGCGGCCGCGAAGATGGAGGAGTATTGGCTCACCAGCGCGTCGCATAGTTCGTCGATGCGCTCTGCATGATTCGCTGTCAGAAAGATGCCTTCCTCCCTCTGGTAATTGGGGTAGTGTCCGCAAAGGGGAGGAGGAGAGAGTGAAGGGGAAAGAGAGGAAACGTACGGTGCAGAGCTGCTGCGTTTCGCTTCGAGGGGTCCATTGCTCTTCGATTTTTCTTTTTCGTTTCGTCCCGGTTTGTCAACGAGGGAGCTGCACTGGGCAGCTGGTCGGCCGGTCGATCAATGGAGTAAGCTTCTACTTTGGAGCCGAAAGCAAGAGTAGTCCTAATCCAGCGCCAGCGCTCTCCCGCCGCGGAACCGTGATTGCAGTGTCCTCCGCTCACGCCGCATTCATGCAGGAAGAGAGAGCTCCAGCTGTACTTGTAGGTTCGTGATCAAAGGAGGAATGATGCAGATGCACGTGTAGGTGGGACCGATCCAGGCAATCGGGTTTAGCGAGCCTTGGCGGAGGAGCGTCGCCGGGGTTAGTGCAACTTTGATGGGACGACACACAGAACGATTCAAGACGATCATCTCTCGTCCATCGAATGGTGACGGGTATAAGATTTCTATTCGCTCCTTCATCTGTTCCTCTATATAGCCTATACGTCTATTTAATGGCTCATTATCTATTATCTTGTGGCACGTCTATTCTAAACTCCATTTTTGCTGCATCTGCCGATGGGGTGAGCTTTGTCAACTCCATGAGAATGCTCATGTGGTATCCGTCCTGCTTCGTGTTAAGGAAAGCAAAACCGAAAGCAGACTTTCCTGCATCATAGACTACGGGCCAGAAGGGTGTCCAGGGCTGAAAAAGCCGCATCCAAATCTCGGACGCTGACCCCTCTCAGAATCAGACACCATATTTGCCTCTTGTCTGCCATTGGGAAAGGGGAGGCCCAGTCAGGAACTAATATCCCCTCGTTGCATCGATTAATATGGTATAGGAGGCTTTGTCTCCTGGCTTGTGTCCTCGTATTTCGATGTCCGCAACTTCTTTTCATCTACATCCCGTCTCGGCCGAGACCTAGGAAGCGGCGTCTGCTCAGGACTTCCGAGCAGTTTCGCCTGATGGAGCTGGTGCAGCTTCGGTACCACGGCGCTGGCACTCCGCTTCAACGTCCGCGTCATTGACGCAACACATTTTTGCGTGGTGGAAGGAAACTCCGAATGAGAGTGAGGCGCCTCGTCGCTGACCGCACGTCTTCCGACCAACGGGCGTTCCCTCAATGGCAACAATGAATGGTGCTGTTGCGCGCTCCCTTGGTGTTCATCGTGTTCCTGCAGCCTGGGAAGCGGAGCCTTGGGCAGCATCAAGCTCGCGTTCCGTTTTAGGGTCTTCGTCACCGATGACATGCGGTTGAGCTTTCCTGGAGAAGGACCGAGCTCTGTGTTGTCGACAATTGTGCGCCTGACCAAGTCCGCCTCGCGGATGACTGGAGAGGGGCGTGGGGTTTGGTCGGGCAGGCGAGAGGTGGGTGAATGTGGTGGGGTGTCGGGCCCGTGTGAAGTTGGTGACCGCAGAGGAGTATCGGGAAGAGACCAAGTAGGCGACCGCCACTGGTACGCCTGGGGTTCATCATGATGACCTTCTTTCACGGCTCGAGGGGTCTGGTGCTCAGATGATTTGAAGATGGCGCGCGGACAGCTCAGCGACACAGCAGCCGGGCTTGTTGTAAACGAAGAGGTAAGACTGGACCTGGAACCTCGAGAAAGTTTCCACTTCTTCCTGGCTTCGGCGATCCTTTGATGCGTAGCCTGGGAAACAGACTTGGTTGGTGTCGATGGCGGAGTCAGTGGGAGATTGGTCTGCGCGAAATTCCTGCGCGGTTCGAGCGCAGAATGGTCGATCGAGAGTCCTCGACATATCATGTGCATGCAGTCGCCTGAGGACTTTCTTCTCCTTCTAACGGCCAAAGCTGACATGATGTTGAACTCGAGATACGATGAGAGAATTCTAGGTGAGGCGTTGATGGCAGACGATGAAACTCTGCAGTGTTTGCTATATATCAAGGTGTGTAGACTAAATGCTAAACGGACCGTTAGCTACTCGTGCTACTTTGGGGCGAAGTTCGCCGAGCGTGACCGAACTGTGGAAAGAGCATCTCCGTGGGCAGAGCATCTCCGTGGGCGTTGAAACCATGTAATGGGCGTACGGTGAGACGAGAAGCTTCCCCCAGGTCTTTGAAGCTCTAGAAACGGTTTCTAGACCTCAATCTCTCAACTCGACTAGAAGGACCCAATACCAAAGCTCACGGATCCCATGCGGGGGTACATGGAGATACATGGGTCTAGTACGAGGCAACGGGGGAGGTGCCCTGAAGATGGCAAACCGTCCCGACGATGGGGTTCGATAATTACGCGGATGTCGGGCGCTAGAATCTTGGGTCGGCTTCCAGAAAGCCGCCACAATGAACTGATGCCACGTGCGGGTCCGCCACCGAGAGTTTGTGTAGTGGATGAATGTCCGGCGCGGGGAAAACAAATCATACTGCTGCAGTGGCCGAATGGCACCCCGCTGGCCAAAGTCTGTGGCAGGTCCAAGTGGCGAATTCACTGCACAGCCGGTCGGTAGGATGGGGAGCGGCGCGGTGCTACACCCCACAGGTTGGCAGATGACCAGCGTTGTGGGTATCAATGGATCGCACAAATGACTGCACATCGAATAGCGAGGGAATAGACGAGGCCTAAGAGGTGAGCTGTTGATCTGCTATAGACATGTTGAGCGCGTGGCGAGGGTAGTTTAGCCAGATCAAGATGCATGCGTGCAACAGTGTCCGCGGTGCAGGAAAGACGGGGAGGCAAGAGCTTGCAAGGAAAGAGAAGAAAAGGCCGATGCAGAAACTGCAGAGACGCACTGAGCGGCTGCACGAAGCCAAACCCGTCGGTAGTGAGACGGCAGAATGCGGGGTGCCGTGGTGTTGAGGGGAACGGAGGGCGACAGAGGCGACAAGGAGGCGACATGATTAATGAATCTGGGGAAACTTTGGAACTGCCGATGCGAGAGTCGCCGGCACGTGTTTGGGCCCACGCATCAGCCACAGTCACTCGCCACAAAAAGGGTCCGAGCTCGCCGAGGCGATTGCGTCAAGGCACCTGGGCAGGCACCACGGTGAGCCCACCAACGCCCGCCCGCGTTGCTTCTTCCGTGTCTCACTCACTCACCCTGGCCTTCACTTTCACCTTCACCTTTCGCCGTCACTTCGGCGGTGCATCCTCTATACAAGTACATCCTCCATCCGCTCCCCTCTATTGCCGACCGTCCCACGTCGCATGCGCCGCAGCAACCTCCGAGTCTCATCTCTTGGCGCTCTTATCGATTATCTCATCTGACCTGCCGAGCCTTAGTACTTACCACATCGTCCTAGCCCCAACTAGCCCTTCCCTTAGCGCCCCAGCGCCAGCCTGGCCCATCGCGGCTCCTCCGATCTCTTCTGCACGCACCCAAACGCCTCTCACACGCACATCAACGCGACCCCACGACCATCACCCACTTCGCCCTTCTGCCCTTGCCCACCGTTGCGCCGCTGCAACAGCCGTACCGTCGCTGTTGGTCCTGCGTCCTACCATCTCTCATCGCGACCACGCCTCCGTCATCGCTGCGGATCCGACCTCCCTTTTCGCCTTCCATCGGCGCGCACCACGAGACCGCCGAGCCCGTACACAACCTCCTCCGACTGCCCTGACAGGGTCCCCGACTACCTGCGCCATCGTTTACCTCTCGAGTTCTGCTCTCCCTGAGCCGTCTTGTGTTGACGTCCCTGCCAGAGCGGCGGTCGGTAGGCCAGCGCCTCTATTATGGCACAGGTCGCCGCGCCTGCCAACGACCGCAAGCGCGTAAAAGTCTATGAGCTGAAGAATAATGACTGGTTCGATCGGGGCACCGGCTTCTGCAGAGGCATCATCGTGAATGTATGTCGCCTCGCGTCATCTCTCCCCTCCGGACGTGTACGACGCCGCGAGTACAAGCTGACAATTCACCTACAGCAAGACGAGGCCAGAATCATCGTCAACTCGGAAGATGAACCCACGCGGCAATTGCTGGAAACCACGATATCCAAGGATGACGGGTATCAGAAGCAGCAAGGTATGCAGCGCCGACCGCGTGTGCAAATGTGCCGAGGCTGATTTGGCACAGAGACACTCATCGTCTGGACGGATCGCAATGGCACCGACATGGCTCTGAGCTTTCAAGAGCCTGAAGGATGCGCCGCAATATGGTACATGGCATATCATCAATAGCCTTAGCATCGGCTTGTGTGCTGACTGAGACAGGGACTTCGTAAACGAGGTACAAGCGCGGCTTCAGATGATGGCGCATGGTGCGTCATGCGTTGATCCCGATTGATCGCATTTCTACTTGCTGACAGGAAGCAGATGACGGCCTCTCCGATGAAAACGATCAACATGAAGGCTCCATCATGCTCCCCATGCCAGACCTGGGGAACCTGGCCGAGGTCGAAAACCACATGCGCGCAGCCAACCAGACGCCGGCCGGCCGCGAGGCCCTCGCCAAATTCGTGCTGTCGGAAAACTACATCAGCAAGCTAATACCACTTGTTGAAATGGCCGAGGACCTGGAGAGCATCGATGACCTGCATCGGCTATGTAGCATCATGAAAATCCTGATTCTGCTCAACGACAATGCCATAGTCGAGTATGTCGTTACCGATGATGTCATATTAGGCGTTGTCGGTGCTCTCGAATGTAGGCACCGTGTCTCCTCGCGTTGAACAGTGGCTGACATCATGTAGACGATCCCGACTTTCCATTGCACAAGGCCAATCATCGCCAATACCTCTCCAATGATCGCTTCAAAGAAGTCGTCAAGATTGAAGACCCCAACATCAAGAAGAAGATCCACTATACATATCGCCTGCAGTACCTCAAGGATGTCGTACTGGCCCGTATCCTGGACGACCCCACTTATTCGGTCCTGAACTCCCTCATTTTCTTCCACCAAGTCGACATTGTTCAGCATTTACAGTCTGATAGCGCGTATCTGAAAGAGTTGTTTGGCATCTTCAGCGGAAAGGAACAGAATCAGCAGAGACAGAAGGACGCGGTTCAGCTCATACAGCAATGCTGTAACGTCGGGAAATCTCTGCAGGCCAGCATCAGGGGCGGCCTGTATCAAAACTTCATCAATCACGGACTTCTCGATGTGCTGCAATTTGCACTGAAGCATAACGATGTTACAGTGCGGGTGGCGGGAGCAGACGTGTTACTCTCCTTGATCGACCATGACGGAATGATGGTACGAGGTTATATTTTCAAGGCCTTACAGGAACAGAAAAAACCACTCACGGACACTCTGATTGAGCTTCTCCTCGTGGAGGTTGATATGGGGGTCAAGTCGAACTTGGGGGATGCAGTCAAGATCCTGTTGGACCCGAGTGCCCTGAGCGCATCTTTTGACACGCTCACCCGAACGAATAGCGAATTCTCTGCGAGGATGCGTGGCATTGGGTTACCTCACAACGATTCCTTTGTCCAACGATACTACCAGGAGTCGACCAGAAAACTCTTCCAGCCCCTGAAGAATTTGGAGGGAAGGGAGTCGAGTAGGTACATGCCAGAATGCTGGTGAGCCCTGCTAACAGCTTTAGTGGACAATCTTTCCACTTCAGAAGTCACCCTCTTCATCTACTTGGTCGACGTTCTCTGCTACTTTCTTCGCCAGCACTACTCGCGAAGCAAGTATATCATCATAACAGAAGTATTGGGCGCTCGCGTCGCTCAGCTCCTGAGGTGCCCCCAGCAGATTCTCAGGCTAGGTAATGTGTCCGCAATCATTACTCGCAAACGTGTATTGATCGTACCGACAGGCGCGCTCAAGTTCTTCCGAGCATGTCTTAACCTGAATGACGATTATCTCCACCGACAGATGATCAGCCAAGACGTTTTCGAACCGATCCTTCAGATAGTTTTCGATACAATGCCGCGCGACAACCTACTCAACTCGGCGTGCCTTGAATTCTTCGAGACAATCAAGAGAGAAAGCGTTCTGAAGGAATTGCTCAAGCACGTGGTTACTACGTATCGGGACAGACTGGAGGCCATCACATACGTCGATACGTTCAAAGATCTGATACTGCGGTACGAACAGCGGCAGGAACCTGTGTCAACGCAGGAAGTGGATCATTCATTTACCAGCGTCGAAAGCGACACCCCGAGTCGGACCGTCAACATTCCGAGTGGCGTGAGATGGGGCCAGGCGCTGAGAGACCCCGATGCAGATGAAGAGGCCTACTTCAACGGGTCGGATGAGGATGACGACGGCTTGCCGAGTGGGCCAAAGAGCAATGGAGCATCCCCCGTTCGGCCCTTGGTCAACTACCCCGATGACGACGGCGAAGAAGACGAGATGGACATACTAACAACCAGCGCGCCGTCTGCCTCTCCTCTCCGAGCGATACGCGCCCAGACATCCGAGGCACCGGAGACAGACACACAGCAACCAACGACACCACCGACGCGAATCTCAGACAGGCGAAGGAAAGAAGAGGAAGAAGAAGACGAACTGATTGCTAGTATATCCAGCTCCGGTACCAAACGCAAGCTACCGCAGCAAGAAACCTCTGCGGCAGGCTTACAGAAGCTTCGGCGGAAGAACTCGATGTCCAACGCAAAGGACGGCGCCGGTCCGAGGAAGATAACCATTTCGATTCCGCTGAAAAGCAACGGAGGTGGTGTCAAGGATGTTTAAGGAGGCAGAAGACATGTTGTTCAACAGATGAGTCGTTATTCAGCAGCTTCACAAGAGATACCCCAGGAAATCGGAATTGAGTTGGTTTGTATGGGCATGGAACACACTTTCTCCTTTTTGGTGGCGGACAATGGCATAGAACCGGAGCCATGGCGTTTCGGAGTGCACTTGACGGTTGTTTTTTGTCAGTTGCCATTGAAGGGAGCTTATTTTCGCTTGGCGATCGGCTCAGGGTGGGAATTGTGCGGTCGGTTGGTACGGTTTGATCATAATTGATATCTCTATGACCATCTTACGGGGTGGGGAGATTTTAGGTGGTACTGCTGTCCATCATTACTCGAAACATGACCTTGGCTAGTCACAGCATGAGCTGCACTTGACTGCACTTATTGTGTGAACCGTGATCTGCCGCAAATTTATTAGAGACACTGATATGGTGGTGGGTATGTACCTAGGTAACAATTGAAGTCCTGATCACGTTCTTTGGCGTTGGCGCGTCCCGCGTCACAAGCGTGTTTTCCAACCCCGCTTCGCGGCTTTGAATTATACAGTTCCATTCACCGCTGCCCATCCTGAACAGTATAACATACCACAAGATACCCCCATATATCCCGATCGCTCGTCTTACCTCTCGTCCTCGTCTTCTCTCCCAGTTTTCATTTCCGCCGTCGCGGCAACGAGTCGGAAATGCGCAGCGACTCCTCCACATCCATCTCCGCAATCGTCTCCGCACCAGCAACACTACGGACAACAGACGAGTCTGCATCATCAATCGCACCACCGATCACAATGCCGCCCTCTCCACCCTCGACGTCTCTCCCCCTCACGCTCATACTCGCTGCGACGCCCAGGTTGGGCATCGGCCGCAATGGAAGGTTACCGTGGCCGGCACTCAAGACGGAGATGGGGTGGTTTGCTCGGGTGACGAAACGGGTCGCTCCTAAGTCCACACAGAGGGCACCGGTAACCGCTGAGAGAGGGGGGCAAATAGTTGCGAGAGATCAAAACCAAGGGAGGCAGCGGGTCGAGGTCAATGCCGTCGTCATGGGACGCAAGACGTGGGATTCCATTCCTGAGAAATTTCGGCCGCTGAAGGGGAGATTGAATGTGGTAGTTACTAGGGATGTGCATGGTTTGAGGCAGCGGTTGAGTGCTGGGAAAGTGGATAAGGATAGGGAAGGGACAAGAGCAGTTGAGGGACCGCTTGTGGTGGGGAGCTTGGAGGCGGCGCTCGAGGTGCTGCAGCGCATTTCGGAAGATTCTTCTGCTTCTACTCCCACTTCCCCGAGAACGACACAGGGGGAGGCAGACGCATCGACAACACACTCAGAACAGCAGCCAGGAGATACCAACGAACCGCAAGAACCCACTTCTACCTCGCAATCACCGTTTCCTCTCGCGCCCAACCTCTCCATCTCCCGCGTCTTCGTCATAGGCGGCTCGTCTCTCTACGCCGCGGCCCTCGCCTTGCCCCAAACGAATCGCGTGCTCTTGACGAAGATCTACAACGACTACGAGTGCGACACATTTTTCCCGATTGATCTGGAAGGGGAGGAAGGGAGGAGGGCCGGGTGGGTGAAAAGGGGGAGGAGGGAGTTGGAGGAATGGGTTGGGGAGGAGATATCACCGGGGAAAGAAGGGGATGGGGAGGACCGGATGGAGGAGAAGGGCGTGAGGTTCGAGTTTGTTATGTTTGAGCGACTTGAGAGGTAGTAGCTAGCGATGGGATATGAGGGAGAGATGGACCATGAGGTCGATATAGGTGTGCCTGATACCATATAGCTCCTGAGCGTGCGGATGGAATTAGCACTCACACTTCTGCCTCTCCTGTACCCAGTAAACAGCACCGACGGCACATCCACTTCAGCTTCGACAGCTGATGGCATGACATGTATCCCGAGGTAAGACCATTCCCAACATAGGGACGAGACTCGCCTTCTCTGATTCGTCAAATGAGTCTCACGACCATTGTCGCGAATACCTGCAACAATGACGATTGTAAGCACTTGCGCTATGCTGGAGTAGCCCTTCTGAGTACTCTGTGTATAATAACCAGCTCTTCTCTCGAGACCTTTCTTCATTTCCATCCCTCCATCAACCACAGACCCTTCGGACCAAAACCTCGCTCACGAAAACGTTCCACGCCAAGCCCCATCCGTCTTTTCGCCCGCAACGTCCCGTCTACTGCTCACCCTCAATGCATCCTCACACTGCACGCACCCCCTCCCGATCGGAGCAACCAGTAGGACCGTCGGCGCAACGTTCGAGCGGGTCCCGAGGAAACGTTGAACTCTGGATCCAGACTGTTCCCTTAGTAATAATCAGACTGATCCCTTAGTAATGCACATCGACACGTTACCCCGGTTGCACTAGTGGTTCCTGGAATTCCCGCCCGTTTCTCGTCCGCGCGCCCTTCTGCTACCAGACGAGGTACTGTGGTCCTGCCGGGGAAGCTTGTGTGCTATGGAAGCAAACGTGGCTTTTTGCTGTGGGGAGGTGTCGTCGCACCATTATTGGGTGGTGGATAGGGGTACTTAAGAGTAGGGAGATTTCCACGGTTTTTTGTTGCTTCTCAACAACTCGAGTTTGACATTGCAAGAAAAAGAAGGGAAGAAAAGGAAAGCAAAGGAATCAGCATCTCAGAAACCCAAATTCCCATATCTTCCATCGAAAACATGGCCACCATCCAACTCCCCGCCGAATACGGGTACGCCCTCCCCCAAATCCCCAATCCCATCCCTCTCCCCTTGCTCCCGTACCTAACCCATCACCAACCCTCCAACATCACCAGTAACACCCCACTAACCTCTCCTCTCCCCCACCTAGCTACACCCTCGCCGCCGCCGTCTCCACCTTCTTCGTCGGCTCCTGGCTCGGCATCCGCGTAACCAAGTTCCGCAAAGCGGCCCGCATCCCGTACCCGTACGAATACGCCTCGTACGAGCAAGTCACCTCGGCCTCGCCGGCGCAGTCCAAAGCCATGGATACTTTCAACCGCGCGCAACGCGGGCACCAGAACTTCCTCGAGAACCAGGGCTCCGCCGTCGGCGCCATGCTCATCGCGGGGCTCCGGTATCCCGTCGCGAGTGCGGTCTTGGGCGGGATCTGGAGTTTGGGTAGGGTCGTGTATGCGTGGGGGTATACGAGTGGTGGGGAGAAGGGGAGGTATAGGGGGATTTTTGGCCAGTTGGCGCAGTATGTTTTGTATGGGTTTGCGGTGAAGAGTGTTTGGGATGTGGTTAGTGGGGCTTGAGAGGTCCGGGGGTAGTATATCGGATGGAGGAAAGTATGGGGAGTTGAAGAGGGCGGTATGGATATATAATGAGGAAGATGTAATAAAACGGACAATCCTGACAATCCGTTCAGAAATGATGAGTCGACGAAAGGAGAGGGATTCATTCGCTGAGGAGCATGATTTGATGTATGATATGGGGTACGTACGTATGTGTGGAATTGCAAGAGCTTGTGTCCCTAAAAAACGTCCTGCCGCTATTACCCTGCAGCCTTCATCCATTTCTCCAACCTCCATTCTACATCTCAACCCAGAAACGCCTAATCAGACCACTAACTACCCCTTCCACACCGGCGGCCCAGGCAAACTATGCTCCTTCAACCCATAGTACCCATTATACCCCGTCGACCCGAACGGGAACCAAATCGCTACACTTGTCGTTAGCCGCCTTATTTACCCTCTCTATCCAAGTCTGGAAATAAAAGAAAAGTACATGGTACACAGCACAACGTACAAGACTGTACAACACCAACACAGAAGAGAAGCAAAACACGAGCGCCACGATTCAGAGCTCATCCATAAACATACTTCAGTGCTCTACACTCAGAGAAAAAGAGAGAGAGAGAGAAAATATAAGAAGAAAAAAGAGAGAGAGAAAATATAAGAAGAAAAAAGGAAAAAAGGAAAAAAGGGCAAAAAAGGCAAAAAAGGAAAAATTTGAATGAATGAAAAGGAGGATGACAACGCACATCTATCCCAAGCGTCGTACGCGCCGGGGAATTTCACCAACGGGCCCGGTGATCCGCCCCCGGGACCCTTGATGCGCAGGTGTGCGCAGCTGACGTAGAATTGAGTCGAGTTGAAGGAGCTGCTGTAGCCGTAGAGGTGCTCGGTGCGGAGGAGGTAGTATCCCGGTGGTGTGGAGGGGGGTATGGTGAAGTTGAGCTTGTGTGAGGGTGGGTTAGCTGGGCGTTGGGAGTAAAATAGGAGTAACACAAGAGTGAGATGAGGGGGGAAAAAAGGGTTAAAGAGTACAGAAGAACGGATTCAAAAGAGGGAGGAGAAAATGGAAACCGAAACACAAACAAAGGAAAGGGAAGATGACGCAAACTCGAAAACAGGAACCACTCCTAGAGGTCCTTGGACACCTACCGACCAAACCCTCTCCCCATCCGCCTCCCTCCCATTCAACACCCACCTCCCATCCTCCCTGGCCCCAACCTCGCCAATCTTAAACCACCACCCATCCCCCGCATTCACCCTCTGCTTCTGCTCCGCCAACCGCAATGCCGTCGTATCCTCCCCGTCCTCCCGGGGTTCCTCAGCCACAAAACTCAAATACGCCGTCGCCGGCCCCGGATGATAGATATCCATGTCCTCCTCATCCTTCCCGTCGCCGAGCGAGCTGCTCTGCGTCGTGGACACCGAGACCGTGTCCCCCGCGTTGATGTCTAGCGGCCAGTTGACGTAGGAGCCCGAGAGGTGCGCGAACCAGCCGCAGCGGATGTGGGGGGAGTATACGGAGTATTGCGGGCTGGAGGTTGAGTTGTTGAGTTGGGGATCGGGTGGTGGGTAGATGGGGCGGACGTAGGTGTAGGGGGGCGAGGGGGGTTGGTTGAGGAGGGCGATGCGGGAGAAGACGTCTGTGGTTCGTGTTAGGTATGTATCTGGTCTTCACTTTGTTTTCTCGTTGGAGAAAAAGATGAGTGCTAGGGGAGTCACTGTTCTGGGGACCATTCGATGAGAAGCTGTGATTGGTTTCTCGAGAAGTATGGGAATCGAATTAAGGAGATTAGGAAACGTACAATGTGCGGTGGTATCGTGAATGCTGCTGAGGAGCAGCACCGCGACGGGGCTGGAGAGCTTCATCGTGTTGGTCTAGGTGTGATGGTGCTGCTCGATGGACTGAAGGCTGTGCTGGCTTTCTACATATTGTGTTACTGCTCACATTGGAGGACGCGGAAGTTATGGGACATATGTTCCATTCCGCCGTCCCTTGGGTTTCTAGTGCGCATGGGAATGTGCTTAAGTGCGATATATAGAGCGATACCGTTCGGTTGGTATACTTCTTGTGCCTTACGGTCGTACACAGTTTAAAAATAGCAGTCGTGAGTTGGTTACCACGGCTAGATCTCATGAGTACCATAGCCTGTTATTAACATACCCAGGAAGGAGGAGGAATATTAGGGCTCCCCGCGGGGCAGCTAATCAGGCATGCAGCATACGTGCGTAAATCTGCAAGCCTCTACATACGTTTTTCCAGTAGTTGATATTGTACTATGTAGGCACTTTAAGAGGATGTCACAGTGCTATGCGAGATGACCAGGCAGATAAATCCTTCGTTTAATATGGGGACCGTAATTGGAATAATAGCCGTGTCTTCCGGTCCTTTAAAATAGTTTTAATGCTATCCGCCCTTGCACTACAAAGTCGCACTATGTGAAGCATACATAGCTTTTCCTCATCGTTACCCCAAAGCGGACAGCTATCATGAAGCTTCACTACCTTCTCACACTCCCCACATTCTCTCTCCTTACCAGCGCCGACCCCTTTGACCCAAAGTCCGTCAGCCTCTTCAGCCCCATTACCTTCTACTGCCCCGGGGACGCCGTCATCAACCTCTCCGCCGACAGCACAGTAGTTACAATCCGATACGAAGCACCAGGCCGTTGGGGCCAGAAGAATCTGATCTGGGAGGCAGAACCATCAGCATGTTTTGTGCAAGTCCCGCTGAGGTTTCGTCCTGATACGTGGAACTCCGTTAGTATGGTCGGGTTGCAGTATGCCGCGAGGAAATTGGTGGGAGAGGCGAAGGCGAAGGCCGTGTGGAGTTATCCGGCTATTGGTGTGAGTGGTGTGACGGCTCCGGTATGTCAAGTTCAGTGAATGGAAGCTTGGTCTGGGTCGTGGGCAGACTTTAACACCACAAACAGACGTACTTCCCGGCTTATACCTTCCCCAACTCGACCTCTCGCGATCCGGGTCCACTGCTCGCAAATACAACCTACGACGTCGGCGCGCGGTGCTGCAACTGTGGCGAGATTCGGCTCAACGTACGCACTGTGTTCGACAAGTCGCTGGCGCTAGTGGACGGGAACGCGGTGGAGCAGAAGGTGAAGCTGGCGTGGGACGACGATTGCAAGAAGCCGGATGAGCTGGATCCGTGTTTGAGGACGGATGTAGATGGGAAGGTGGATGCGAGGTTGGGTTGTAAATCGTGATTGACGACGCTGAACACGCTTCGCAATTGCAACAAGGTACTTGACCGTAGCGTTGGAGTTATAGATACCGTACTAACAAAGCGGTGAATATTAAGTAAGGCTTGTTGCACATAAAAATTCCTGTGGGGCTGCGATGTGGCTACGACTTGTTGAAAGAGACAAGCAGTTTCAGTCACATGAGACAGGCAATCAGGTGGACAGTCTAGGAAGACACACACAAACAAGGAGGTAAAACAGATCTCGATAATACTTAAAATGTCCTAGGAGGCACTCTAAATAGTCAAGCAACTGGTACCCCCTCAATATTCTACACCACCCCTCAATCTTCACTGGACGTGGTTACTTCAGTATCTCGCTTGACCTCGTCGTGAATGATACCAGCCTCAACGTAGCCCTCGGTGACATGCCACTTGTCCCACGCCCATTTGGCATCCCTCTTATTCATTTTCCAATTCCAATGATGCTGGAACCAAGCCGCGGTTGCGTACCAGGCATATGTGTCGGCTGCACTTGCGTTAGGACGAGCATATTGGAGTTTCTGGTCGGCCAGAGGGCGAGACACGAGAGTATTTACACATACCATTGGTCAGAACATCCGTGTTGATAGTTTTAGGCATATACTGCCATGCCAGTCGAGGAGCATTGATTGCTCCATAGGCGCGATCAATGACTGTATTTACGGACATAGCGTAAGCCTCGATACGTTCACAGTCAATGGACGTAATGAAAATGCAACGTACTCAACTCGCGGATTGAACTCTCCTCCCTCCAGTAGCCAAATTCATCGACATGGAAGTACTCGTGGAGGAGTATGTGCTCCTTTGTGCGTGAGAGTAGAGGCAGCTGCTGTATGCTTTTGCTCCCTTGCATTCCATTGACGGTGACATCATTCAGGTAAGGGAAATTGTTGTTCCAGAAATCCGGACAGAAAACGATCCCAGGTCCTGTGGACGTTCAGCAAACAGAAGGGTACTACTGGCTTCAATAGCAGAGCGAAGTTGGTACACGTAGAAAGGTACAGCGTACGTACCTGTTCCGGTAAAATTGGCACGCAGAACGTATGCGGCGCTAAAGGAGCAACTGTTAGCTTAGGACTCTCGACTCTGACTCGGCGCAGACCGTATGCATGAGAGGCGATACGTACGCTTTGTTTGTTGGATTACGGTTGCATGCATCCTTTCTCGGATCCATCTGAACACTCTCAGGTGTCTTGCATCTCAGTTTAATCAATTTCTGGGCGGGCACCCTGCCACGCCTGTTGGCCCCGGGGCCATATTGAGGGTATTGTGCAGCCCTGGCGCCGAGATTGTCTGAGACCTGATGAGCGCCGTGTTTGCGCATACCGGATGGGATATACTTACACAAGAAGCTCTCCAGATTGATCTTGTATTCGTCAACATTTTTCCAGTTCCTACCCCCCTGGCCACGGCCCACAAGGAAAGCATGAAAGGCGCCATCGTCTTGACCGTGCTTGTTGTAGTTGCTGATTGCATGAGGAATGAATTCATCGGAGATTTTTCTCACTGTCTCGCGGAGAATCGCAGCTTGTTCATCATTGCATTCTCCATTGTAGACAGCACTTCAGTCAAATCCCGCGAATTCTTCCTCGAACGTCTTGTCCCCAGCGCGGGCCGCCAAGTTCTGCGAAGGAGGAGCAAAGGCATCATCAGTGAGCGGGGCGGCCGTTACAAGGCCGAGTGAAATGAGCGAGGAGCCAACCAGAATGAGGCTTTTCATGGCGAAATGTAAACAGTACCTAGCTGGAAGGGTGATCGTCGCATGTGGGATCATCTCGAAATTTATATCAGGCACACACTCTTCAGTTCGCTCCTAAACGGCCCCCGCATACGAGAGCATTTCGACGCATTTCCTACGTGTGGTTAGGGAGCAGGTTTCCCAAGTCCTACTGCGCAGATACGGCGAGCATCGAAAATGCACATTTCCCTGATTGGGTTAGAGTATCACTCAGCGAGGCTGCCGAGCAGTTTCAAAGTTTCGTATTGTGGGAGGGTAGCTGCCCAGGTGGGTAAGCCACTCATACCCTTTAGGGTAGTGGACCCTACAGGAAATGCGCCCCAAGATTACCCTAGGTGGACTTTGGGGTCCGCATTCGTTTCGCGCTACAGTGACCTCTGATCTTGCATCTCTAATTCTATGCGCTCTTACAATCACTCAAGGACACTGATTTTATATTTGATTAAATCGGCGGCGATCAGTGCGGGGATCCACGATATAATGGGACCCAATTCCAAAAACAGAAGACAGGTGCGAAGCCAGAATCTGGAGCTTTGAGACAATGCAATCGAGAGCATATTGATGCATAACTACGAAGCAAATACATCACAACCCCCCTTGGAACAACAATCAGGGCTCGGCAATCCGATATACCAACTTGTGCCCACTGACTTTCCCCTCCTTCATCTCCTTCAACCCGTCCAGGACACCGTTCAAACCGCCACCCCTCACGTCCTGCCGATGAGGCTTGAACTTGCCATCCTTCAGCAACTGCTCCACAAAATCTACCCACTTGCTCGACCATTCGTAGTGTTCCGGCTTGCCAGGTACAGTTTCCCTGCCTCCCTTCCACCCAATTGCCCACTCCTCTCCCAGTGCAGAGTATCCAACACTCCAGGTACAAATGACGCCGTCCCGCTGTTTGGCTTCAGGGTTGAGAATGTTGCCGTAGCGCACTTCCTGCCCAGGAGGTGCTTCTGTGGCAAGGGCATCACCGCTTTGTTCAATCGATCCGTTTTCGCCTACGCAGTCCCAGACATAGTAGAGTTTGTTGTTCGTGAACTCCCGAATTTTCTTTCCTACATCCGGGTCATAGGCATCAAAGACATGATCAGCGCCCAGGCTTTTGACGTAGTCAAAGTTCCTGGGAGAACAAGTGGTCAAAACTTCGAAACCAGACCTACAGAATTGTTAGTGTCTTCAAGTTGCAAAGTGCTGGTGCCGTGGACGTTCAGTCCAGGAGTCCAGGATCCAAAAAAGTTCACTTACAACTTAGCAAACTGGATGCCAACAGCACCCATCCCACTCGAGCCGCCATAAATCAGAATCTGCTTCTTCTCCTTGAGTGGCTTGTCCGGCCATGGCAGCTTCATCTCCTGATACATCCCCTGCCCCACGGTGTTCACTGCAACGCCCAAACCGGCTGCTTCTTCAAAGCTCATCGAATCGGGTATCTTCAGCACCAAACCCGGCTTGGCATAAACGTATTCGGCAAATGCGCCATTATCTGGGCGAAGAGTATGGCTGCCATGGACGAACCCGGCCACTCGGTCGCCCTTCTGAAAAGACTTGCTTGGATTGGGTCCAACCTCTTCAACAATGCCGGCGAAGTCGCAGCCAACGGTTGCCTTTGAGTCGACACGTTCGATGTGCTTCCAGTCGGTGGGGTTGAGTGCAACAGCAATGACTTTGACGAGGATGTAGTCCGAGGGTGGAAGAGAAGGGAGAGGGGCATCAGTGACAACTTGGGCATGGCCCTTGCTGAGGATCTGGATGGATTTCATGGTGGTTGTTTCTTGAGAGACCAAGTCACGGATTGCGTGGGGTTTCGATTCACGGAGACGCAGGCGAATTTATGTTCAGGTTTGAAGCGTTACTCAAAGTCCTGTGTACAGTCCCCTCCAATTGCAAGGCGCAATTTAAGTCCGATGTTCCCTTGACGCTCGACTACATGTATTACAAATTTCCTTTGGCGATGGAATCCTCTAGTACTCGTATGATTTAACGGTGACTAGCTTGTTACGCATTAGTTTGGGTCTGAGTTTCCATCGGAGTTAAAGAATAATTGGCAAGTCGGACGACCTAACCGGATTTTAGTAAGACATATAAATACAACAGAGCGGTATATGTTCATTGAACTTGGTAGGGATCTGCAGATGAAGGATGATTCCCTACTAATTGATTGGCTGCTTACTTTCCATGGGAACATCCGCCGAACCCGCTGCTTACAGGCTGACAAAGGGACGTCGGACATGAGCGGCCGCAGCGGCCGCCCGCCCGCCCAAGTTCTCCAGCTGCAGTGCGTTCCGTTGCCTAACTCTTCTCCTCGTCACGGGCTCTCAAGTCCAGGTAGCACTTAGCGACATGCAATACGCAGTCTTCAAAGCTCTTGAATCTCCTCCTCTCCAACAGACGACTCTGGGTCCATCCTGAGTCCACTCTGTACGGCATATTGATTGGAATGTTGTGTTTTCCAAGCCTAAACACTCCTTGCTCAACTTCTTTGGGAAAGTGACGCTCCACTGCCTCTCCAACTTCCCTCCAAACCTCATTTATGGTTTTTCCCTTCTCCGTGGTTGCAGCTGCGATCAGCCATCTCGGTATCTCCTCTGTAGGGAGGGCTTTCTCATCTAAACTTCCAACGTGAACAGCGGCGCAGTCGTTGACATCTACAAAGCCGAAGGCATACCTTGGCCGGACGTCGTCGAATAGGATTGCCCGTGACATACGATCCATTTGTGCGTATGCTTCAGAAGCCGAGCTATGTAGCTCGGAACCACCAATGACGGTGCCGGGTATTATTTGGACGATGTCGAAAGGGAGCTTGCTTTTGATTGCTTCAAGATGCTTCATGCAATGAGCTTTTGCAGCACAGTATGCATGATGGGCCGAGGCCAGAGGAGGGCGAAGGGATGCTGAATTTGCATCAACATCGACGGTTTCTTTTCACTGTCAATTTGCAACTCTGGATCATCGTAGGAACGAACGCTACCGTTTAGAACCTTTTCCATCCTTGTCCCTAACGTATCACCGTCATCCGGGTTCACCAAAGCCGCGCCAGCCTGTGTGAACACTACCCGACGCACGGTTCCGGAGTTCTTCGCAGCGGAGATGACATTCTCCATTGACTTCACAAAAGGATAGTACACCTCATTGTCCGGGTGATAATTCGGTTTTGGCCACACGCCTGCAACGTGAATAACATATTTTGCTCCTTGCAGCGCCTCGTCGTACGCGCCGGGCGCAGTGTTGTCGGGTACAACAGCGAAATCGACCCGGTCCACGAATTGTTGTAGTGTTGGGCCTCGCTGAATGTATTCTATCGCAGCATCACGCCGCACAATGCATCGTACTCGGTAACCCGCCTGTGCGGCCTGTAGGGTACAGGCATACCCTATCGTGCCATTTGTGCCAGTAATCTGTCTCCCTTTTTAGCTGCTTGACGTGAATCTTCTTATCCATCAGTGAGCGCATACAGCAACAAGTCCACGATCTTCAGCCATGATAAGGGCAACCTAGCGTGTACAGGTCAGTATGAGTATACGCGACAGTTGGAAGTGAGATGTTAAGGTTGATAGCAGTTCAGACAGAACTTGCCGGGGTTATGCACAGACTTTGAAAGCCGAGGTACGCTGAGAGAGCGAGCTTTTTGTTGTGCCGCAGTCTCCATCCCCCGGAGATATCAAAATCTCAATATCATCTTCGAAAACTGGGCCATCTTTTGTGGTTCCAAATAGTCAATGTGAGTGAGGGTCACGTGCACTTCGGGCTACCGCCACATTTTCTTCTAAATGCGGCCGAAGCGGTGAAGGGACTGTGTAGGTGAGTTATCTGACGGCCATCGTTGGCTGTATACTCAGTATGAGCAGGAGAGGCACATCCAAGCTTCTCATACGAAGAATGCTCTGCGCCGAATGCAGTTCTGCCGAAATCTGAGAGTCTTTGACGCCCCGGGCGGACTGGGTAAGTCTGAACAAATGCAACAAACGGCAATCCGTCGTTGTCGCAGGCTCATGGCAAAGCACAAGGAAGCACAGAACCAATATCGAAGCTCATTCAAACTTGATTTTGTACAGTTCATACACAAATATCCCGATTACCTTAATAAAATGCAACTCATCCAAGTTCGATATGGTCGTCCAATTTCCATTATCCTTTCTCTCCACACCTCTGCAGTCCACCGCATGGGGTATATTTCTCGCTTTCCGTCGAGTTCCTTGTCGCTTACAAAACGAGGTAGGCCAACATGCCGAAAACACCGGAGAAGGCCAGGGAGTTGACCTGGAGGGAGGAGGCAGCGCCGGTAGGTGAACCCGACGTGGCGGAGCCCGAAGAAGTGGGCGTCGTGCTGTGGTCCGTACCGTTCATGAGCATGCCACCCTCGCCAGCGGTCGAAGTGGGGGAAACGTTCTGGCGAGCCTGGGCGGCGGCCTCTGTGAATGCCTGGAGAGTCCTGTTGTTGTTGTTCTTACTGTGATTTGGTTAGCGACAGGTCGACGTTTTCACCGAAGGGACACATACGGAGGGTTGATGACGCCAACCATGCCGTTCTGGCAGTGCTGTCCCTGAGTGCAGTAGAACCAGATAGGCGCAGAAGCATTCGTGACAGTGAACATATAGGTCAACTCGGCAGCCTTGGCGGTGTCGGTGGTGGGGACGAAGCCGGACCAGAGGCCGCCTTCCAATGGTTCACAGGGTTTGGCAAAGGCAGCCTGTGCGACGGAGTGGTTTTTCGGCCAGAATTTGAAGTAGATGTTGTCGCCCTCCGCAGCAGTGATCTCGGCAGGCTCGAACTTTAACCCTGACTTGCCAACGGAGACATTGATATCTTTTGCCAGGGCTCCGCCAGCAACGGCAGCAGCAGCGACGGTGGTGGAGAAACGCATTCTGAAGTGGTTGTGTGTGTGAGAAGATATATGTGGAATAAGAGCTCAGCTCGTGAATGAACGAAGTGGATATAGAGTTGGAAGAATCGAGAAACTGAGTATGAACTGAGGGCAGAATGAATGTTTGGGCCAGCCTGAGGAGAGAAAGCGTTCAGGTCGGGATATTCAAGCACATTATATAGAGAACGGATTGAAACGAGTTCGCTCGGTTACGAAGCCCAGTTCGTATACCCGCCATCAAAACGCAATGCGGAACAAATTCGAGACGGGACATGTTCCGGATCCAGCGGTGGACGAACCTTCACTTTTGACGGAGGAAACAGGGGCGCTTTGGCAGAGATGCTGATTGGAGGCGCAAGTCATAGGCGATTCAAGTAGCGCTCCGTTTATCCTGAGATCCATGACCTGGCTGTTTGAAAGCCAAGAGATCCATGATCGCTACAAGTTGAGCCCTGAACGACCAGTAATTGCGGGGAAAGGGATGAAACGTGAGGAGGTTGGGTGAGACGTGAAGCATGTATCAGCTCCTTTCCCGGAATAGATTAGCACTCGGACCATGTCGCGTTCATAGCGAACCGCTCAACTCCATATGCACAATCAGTTCTGAACGTCTCCCTTCATCAGCCTTCTTCTCTGTTCGATTGTATTGAGCGCAAAAGTTCAAACTGCGATTGTGCATGTTTTTGAGCCGTTCTTCTTCCGTTTGCTTCAACACATGTCACGCGAAGCGAAACTTCACTCGTACCGCTCCCCTCAAGCACATCGCCTGAGAGGACTACGATGCCAGTGTACTATTTCCGCAACACCAGATCTGGGCGACTCAGCCACACGATAACTCTCCTCTGGTATTGGGTTCCGTGCGATGTGGTACAGAGTACAAGCACGGTATAGTACCACCACAGGTACCACGAGCACCACGTCCTTTTCCCATTCTGCCCAACCACCAGCCTTCGGATTTGCCGGCAAACCGTGGTCGTGATTCCTGTTCAACAATATGTACCTAAGAGGCATCGTGACCTTCAAGCAAGGCATGTGGAGTGATTCTATTGATTTCCATGACCTTAATTTATCCTGCCCCGCAGCTTTCCTACCTTGAGGTAGCATCCGGTCACGCAGCGAAAATCGATAGAATCGACTATATAAACATACCGTACCCTTTCCTTGCCAAATATCGTCATGCACAGGATGAAGTTGACAACTGCTATTACCGCTGTTGCCGCTGGCCTGGCCAGCGTAACTTCAGCCATCACAGGTAATTGACCGGCGTACCAATTCACCTGGACAATTCGGACTCAGACGCTTCAGTATCCTATGACGAAGGATACGACAATGCCGGCAGGTCATTGACCGCAGTATCCTGCTCCGACGGTGAGAACGGTCTCATCACCCGCTACGGATGGCAGACGCAAGGCCAGATCCCGAATTTCCCCTACATTGGCGGTTTTCAGGGCATCGCTGGATGGAACTCGCCTCAGGTACGACATCAAAGAACTTTCTTGGTCCCTTCTGTAAGCAATATGTGTTGCTGACGTTTGTCCACTTAGTGTGGTACTTGCTGGGCGGTCACGTACAAGGGCAAGACTATCAATGTGCTGGCAGTTGACCACACCGCAAATGGGTTCAATATTGCGAAAAGGGCCATGGACGAGCTCACGGGCGGTAATGCAGTACAGTTTGGCCGGGTCGATGCGCAGGCCGTGCAGGTTGTTGCCAGTCAGTGCAGGATCTGAGTTATTCGAAGGGGGAGGAATGCGACAGGAAAGCATTTCTGGGAAAGACAGCGTGGATGACTACAATACACTAATAGTTTATTAATATGTGCTGCTAGACACACCCTTGTTGAAATGTATGCTGTGCGTGTTTCCCAGTGCCTTAGGGGAATCATGAATGACAAATCGTTCTCTATGAATCGGCTTGATTTCGGCTTTGGCATTCACAGTCATTTGCGTCATTCTGGAGATCTTAAGCTGTTAAACGTACAGATGACTCCAATCGAGAATGTCGGTGTGTATTTGAGCATTGTATCACTTCCGCATGCCTCAGTCTTTCTCTACGAGAACACAGAGCGCGACATGCCGACTTCGAGGCTGGCTGGCAAAAAATAGGGATCCATAGATGTTGCGAGTAAATAAAACGGGTTGGATAGATGGCCCGCGCTGGAAAGGCGCGGAAAGTGACGATTTTAGTGCAAGGCTACTTACGCACCCTCCCCCAACCGGCTTGCCATCGACAATGATCGTTCCTTTATCCAATAATGGCAGGTATAGAATCTTGTGCAAAGATTATATATGCCAAGTGCGCTAGAAATCTACAGTTGAACAGAGAGGATAGCACACATAGAGCGAGCGGACGAACGATAAGAACGTATCGGAGAAGGGAGTCTAACGTGTGTGGGGTATACTCAATGCCATTATACGTTTATGGTGCAGTAGCGTCCCTGATGCGTGATCACAGCTCATTTACGAGTCGTACACTTCGACATACTTGAGCGGAGCCTCCCACTCAGCTATCTTCAGGACGGCTTCCTCTGTCCCAAAGACCCTTAGCTTGTTTCCAAACTTATGCCAGAACATGGACTCAAATTCGGGAAGCATCTCCATCGGCCGCCGTTGTAGCACGTCGATTGAATAGACCTTTTCTCCATCGCTTGTGCGTGGTTGGTCCTTCCAGGAGGACATCTGCGGTGACTGATCTGGCGTTGCGTCTGGAGACTCCTCATCGTGGGCTTCGAGGCTTTGAAAGACGTTCGTCGATGCAAATCGCGAAGTTATTCCTTCAACTGTGTGCACACTACTATTCCTCGTTGACCCGTTACTAGAGCTGCCGGAATCCACAACCGTATCATGCTTATCGTCTGCGGGTTTGGCAGTGGGTAACATGATAGGAGGAAGAGGGATCGGTTCTTGAACATGCTCATTGCCATCAATCAACCCATTCTCGTTTCCCGGTGCAGTTTTGTGATGGGAGGCCGATAAGTCTTGCGAATTGCTAGCTTGCTGCCCCGCATGGAGCTTCGTAGATAACCGTAGCATAATTGCAGCGGTGAGCATTGCGTCAAAACCAGCTTCATGGAAAGCTTCTGACTCGTGATACTTGGGATGATCCGCGTGTGTAACTGAATATCAATGAGTGGTGGAACAACTCGGCTACCGACTCTTGACTTACCGATGTCAGGCAATTCTTGCGTCTCAAGGCTCTCCGCGATATCTTGAAGCGTAGGGGAAGCGTTCAGATCGCCACCATCATGCGTGGCTAGATACTTTGTGTCAACTATTCGAGGAAAGAGTTCATGGATGGCCTCGCAGAACTCTTTCAGCGTGTCGGGCAACTCGCCAATGAAAGAACGGTAGAAGTAAACGAGGTCCGTGAACATATTGTGACCAACGAGCACCGGTTGCTGATCTCTCAGTCGCATCCTCGCTCGATCAAACCTTAGCTTGATATTATCCAGATCCGCGGCCACAAACTCCCCGTTCAGGTCCTTCGCAAAGTAGATGGGATCGATGTCGATATGTCCCCTTGCCAAAGCCTCCACGATCCAGCGGAACCCGGTCTGTCTGCTGATCTGTTCCTTGACCCGGCTTTTCATCCTCTTCTTATTGTCCTCCTCCCTCAGAGCGTCAAAGTGCACTATCTTGATGCAGTCATTTCGTCCTATGGCTACCAGGTGAGGGAACTCAGCACGTAGAAGTTGGTAGACCAAGCGCTTTTCGAACCGAGAAATGACCGATATGGCAGGCGGATTGGGCATTCCCGTGTGCGTAGTGACAGATAAGGACGCGCTGTCGCTGGTTGTCCATTGTATGATTTCCTGTCTCACACGATGAACAAAATCCAGAGAGTCCACGTCGGTTTCCTTCAATTGCATATCCTCGAACACATTCTTCTTGTCGATTCGATCGTAGGCTAGTTGCTTTGCTAAGTAAGCCTCGTCTCGTGAGAGATACTGGACTCCATGGGTAAAGGGCAAGTCCATGCGGAAGTCATTCTTGAGTAGAAACGCTATAGCACCGGTTTGAAATGTTATCTCACGTTCGATATCCAGACGTTCATCGATCAAGGGGCTGATGTTGAAGTTGTATGGACGCAGAATATATTTGTTCGTCATATAGTCGAACTTTGCACAAGTCAACCCGACCTGCAGGATCTGGTGTCTCTCAGCGCCAGCTTTGGCCTCGACGTACCGGTCTTCCAGGGACTGCCTGCCTCGCGCGCGGGGCCTGCCAGGAATCCTGGACGGTATGCCGGAGAGCTCCAAATCGAATGAAACGAAGTCTGCCTCGGAAATTGCGATCAATATCCCGAGCAAGCGATTCGGGAAAGAGATAGCGTCGACCTCCATTACTGCGGGACGTCTATAATTCTGGAATATCGAGGTCAGCAGACTAAGGAAAACGGAAGAAGTCAAGATTCCGGTACAACTGCGCTTCGGTAAGAGGTTGAAGTAAATAAGTTAGTCGTTGTTTTCTTCAGTGAGACAAGCGTCGCTGTGTCTAAGATACCAAACTTGTAGCCTTGCAAAAGCAAGCCGGCGGTCAGCTTGCTAACCCAGACTCACCGGCGCGTTGCCTGAATAGGCCAATGTGTCATGGCTGCGTGGATGGAGTGTTGTGTTGTAGCAGAGTCACCGAGTCCGGTTGGCCATCAGTCGCGGATGTGGCTGGTGAAGTGGCGTTTTAGGAGGCACGTGCACGCCAAGAAAAGCAGATCGGGAAGATGCTGCTGGTCAGCCGAGGTACTAGCAGCTGGACCGCAAGTGCATTCCTCTCGCCAGACCAACACTCTCTCTTCCGCCTTCCCCAGGAGATGGAGCCTTGTACTCTCGCCCATCTCTTCAAGTAGGACCACCTCAGTATGGCTACTCCATATGCGAACGCGTTGAGCGACTCCCGCATGCTCTCATCGTCTATCTCCTCGCTCTCTTCAGGCCGGCACCAATCGTCCTACATCGCAAAGGTCTACCGGCAAGCGGCCCAGTTGTTCTTAACTCGCCGCCTACCGGAGGCGCTGTCGACAATCGAGCCAATTATCACGCCGCCGCCGCAAAACGATGTCAATGGCACCTACAATGGAGATCTATCAGCATTTGCGCCCATCGCATCTGCGTCGCGGGGCACGCGGGTCAAAGTTTGGAGCTTCTACCTGACATTCCTCAACTCCGTGGTCGAGCTTGGCGCTGAAGAAGGGAAACACGCCTTTGGCAGCACGCGGTGGAAGGAGCTGGTATCAAAATGTCGTGACGGCAGCGTATGGGAGGAGGTCGTGCGGGACGGATATGCGGGTGTCGAAGGAGACGTTGACGCAGAGGTGGTTATCAATTTGTAAGGATCACCGAACATCCATCTATTCCCTTATAACATGTGCTGACGCGTTCGCAAAGGGCTACGTTGCTCCTTACCCATTCTCCCTCCCAAAGGTTGAACCAACAACGATTGGAAACCTACCTCTCCACTTCTGCCCGTCCCACGTTTGATGTGTCCTCGCACTTGCAAACATCACACCACCTACAAAAACGACACAGCCACCATAACAATGGCACCAGCACTCCCAGAGACCTCAACACGCGCCTGAAGCTTCTCGAACTCTATACCCTGCATGTGCTCCCACGCAATGACGAGTGGGACTATGCACGCGAGTTCATAAGCATGAGCGAGGTCCTAGATGATGAGCGCAAAGAAGCGTTTCTACTCGCACTCCACACCCTGAAGGAAGAGAAGGAGGAAGCGGAGATGCGGGAAGCCAAGCTTCGTCAACAGCAACAAGAGCAAATGGAGCAACGTCGCAAAGAGTCCGAGAACAGACGCTTAGAGCAATCACGAGCCGAGGATGAACGCAGAAAGCGGGAAGAAGAGAACAGACGGCAGCCTAGGGGCTCTGACGAGGTATTCAGAAGGCCGCAAGCCCCTCCAGCATCGCGTCCGTCGAAACCAGGGAAGAAGACCGTCGGCCCCCCGCCAGGCTTATATGATCGTTTGTCATCCATGATGGGGTCGATGCACACTTTGGTTTCCGCTACAGCGCATTCGATGACTGCGAATCCAATGGCTCTACTACGAACTTTTCTCTTCTTGCTTGCATTTGCTATGGCGTTAGGAAGGAAGGATTGGCGAGAGCGGATCATGCGCGTTCTCAGACAAGCGTGGGATAAGATTCGTCGCACGGTCGGTATGGGTGTGAAGGTTTCTTATATCTAATGTTGTATAACGTACTTGTGGGCGGCCGTAGTCCTCATGAAGGATGGAGGTGTTGGTTCCTTTCTTTTGTATCATAGTTTTGTGGCAGCCACATTCCTACTCTACACCTCCTAAAAGTCTCTCTTGCAGGTGAATAAAGATGTCGTCTGTGTCTAGCTATTCTTCAACCCTTTCCTTACGAGGACACCGGCGCACAACAAAAATTTCACATGTTTAGTGGCCTAGAAGCTTGCACATAACGCGCATTCAAGTTTATAGCTCCTCGACACCCTCCTCTGCGTCAAGGCTTCAGACAATTTTGCTATACCAACCTATGCTGCCTCCGACCGACTTTCTACTTCGCTAAACTTGCGCTTTACAGATTTGGTCACTCCACTTCCTATAGACTTAGCTTGGCTTTTATTCGGCTCAGCAGACTTAACTTGCAACGCTTGGAGTCGATCTTTAAGCGGCTGGCACCATTTCGAAGAAGGCCCCTGAACAGCTGTGTATCCATCTAGTGCCCGAGTATACATGGTCTTTGCTATACCTTCATGACCTGTCTGTGCGAGGAGGTCGCCGAAGCAGAACATTGTACTCAACGCTGGTAGATAGAATGACAGAAATTCAGATCCGAGAGCCTCCTCGTAGCCTTGCAGTGCTCGAATATACATGGTTTCTGCCTCTGTGAGCTTGCCTTGGTTCTTGTAGAGGATGCCTAGGTTGTTGACCGTATTGAGTGTTGATGTGTGCTTTAGTCCGAGTGCTTCCTCTGTGCCTTGCAGCGCTCGAATGTACATAGCTTCTGCCTCTGTGAGCTTGCCTTGGTTCTTGTAGAGGATACCTAGGTTGTTGACTGTCTGGAGTGTTAATGTGTGCTTTACTCCGAGTGCTTCCTCATAGCCTTGCAGTGCTCGAATGTACAT